GAATGACCTGCAAACTGGCCGACTTTGGACTTGCCACTACCGACCATGTCACCTCCGACTTTGGATGTGGCTCGACTTTCTACATGTCCCCAGGTACGTCCGATCTAATCCGACTCAGCTGAAGTCACGTGCTAACTTTTGGCAGAATGTCAGACATCGGCACCCAAGGCCTACTCATGCTACGCCTCAGCGCCCAACGATGTCTGGAGTCTGGGAGTCATGCTTGTCAACCTCACTTGCGGACGCAACCCATGGAAGCGAGCATCCTTCGAGGACAGCACCTTCCGTGCCTTCATGAAGGACCCCAAGTTCTTGAGGACCATTCTTCCCGTCTCCACAGAGCTCGACGCCATTCTTAGGCGCATGTTCGAGTTCAACCCCGCCAACAGGGCGACCATTCCTGAGATTCGTGAGATGATCCTCCGATGCTCAGCCTTCACAGCCACCAAGTCAGCTGTCACAACGCCTCTATCTTCTCCTCCCTTCAGCCCCGTGGACTACAGCCGCGATGCTGCGTACAACGCCTACTACCAGGCTCCCGCAGTTCCCCAGTTCGCTCCTCTCCCTGGCTCCGCATACGCACCATCGCCCTTCCAGCACTCCACCTCCTCTGGAAGCTCAAACTCGGACAACGACTCGGTCTTCTCCGCTTGTTCATCAGCCTCCTCCGCATCCTCAACATCATCGTACCAACACGTTTCTTCTTCTCAGGTTCCCAAGTTTTCTTCCCGAGTACCGCAGCCTCAACAACAATACGTTTCCCAACCACCTGCCAATACGTGGTTCCAGCCATTCATCCATGCAGCCAACCTGGTTAAGCATGTGTCTTTCCAGCCATCGATGATGGCTCCGGTTCATGTCTACTAAGCCACCTTCTCTTCTGGACCTTCGGGCCCTTTCTATTACGATATGCTTCTTCACGATGTGTTTATACAATTTTCGAAAAAGTCACGATGACACGAACAGCGATTGATTTCTCGTTCGGTGTTGGTGCGGTTTGTTTTCTTCGGCGTTTCAAAACTAGACCAGTCCGGACGATACTCCGGTCTTGGATTTTAGAACTATCTGGTTACTACGTTTAACTCGGCGCCTTGATGGCACGGCGTTTGATTCTGGCGTGGCTATCTCAACGGTTTTTGCCACGTATAGTAGGAGTGGGGTCATCAGGCATTTTCCCGGAGTTGTTCTTGTTAGGCATTGGATCGGTAGAGATTCATCGCCATCACGTTCGTTCAAATTTCCCACCATCAAGAGATACCAGAGCACTAGCTCAACAATGTACGGTAGCAGGTCCCAAAAAGAAGGACACAAATTTTTGCCATCAGCAAACTCAAACAAATGCAAAAACATACCATATGGTCGCTGCGACGACAGTCGTACAGCAGACTAAACAAGCCACATCTTCGCACCTCATCACTTGACTGAATACGCTCTATTGACACTGCCCTTAGGTCTTGCCTTTGTCCACGATGCTCCCACCGAATGTGCGCATCGACCACATCAACGTTGTTGACCCACTCACACAACGCATCAACCTGCAGCCACCCTGCCGCAGTTCTGCACCCAGCCCAAAACATGCATACACTTGCGCGAGAAATCCATCTCGCAACCAACCACCTGCCTAGCCACCCCACCTAGGCTCCACGGCCTGGGCATCATCCATATGCACCCGCAAAGTCTCCATGGCGATGGTCGCTGTAAGCCCACCGCCACCAGCAAATCACAGGTTCCACCAAGACCGATGTGTGCATGGCCTTCTGCGTGCTGAGCGTGCAAGTGTGCAGTAGCCTGCCTTGACTCGGCGGGGACTATCACGCCGGGATTGCGCCCTGCCTCCACAACCTAACTGTTAAAAGGCTAAGCCGATGTGTAAGATTGCTAGGCGCACTTCCAAGGGGAATTATGGATGGAGAAGAGCGGATACCGGATGCAGGTCGTGGCCGGTTGATGACCTGAATGCAGGATCGAGACTCATCTCTGCGCTTTCTGTCATTCCCTTAGCGCAGATCTTTGTTGGGAGACAGGTGGCCGCCTAAACGGATTCCTCAGGCCACGCGATGTATTCACTACATGGAGGTAGGCGAGGCGAAGGCTGTGCTAAGCTACTCGTGGCTGAGATGGTGTAGTGTTGTTATTGACATGTTGTTGGACCTGCGCGGCAGTCGTCCTCCTGGATCGGATCTTGCTACCACAAGAGGCATACCACGAAATGACACGCAGGCAGCAGTAAACATGTCTCGGCCATACGAACGCCATTTCGAGGTCCCTGTCTCGCTTCGTGGCCGGTCAGCTGGCCTCCATGGAGGGCTGATTTTCTCCAGTCAACCACCAAACGTCCTCCAGCTTCCGTTGCCCTTGTGTCGTATCGGCTACCGATGCTCCCAAGACACATTAGCACGTCGCGTACAGTGTACATCCGCCTACACTTGCAGTGAGGCGTCACCGGAATCATTCAACGGAACCAATCGCGACACCCAAGCAAGCATGGAAGGGCACCGTTGCAGAGATTTTGTTTTTGCGGCCGCCAATCCTTCGTCATCTGACGAGCGTGACGAGGCGATCGAAAAAGGAAAATGTCGTCGCTACCGAAGCCATTTCAGCAATCAGCAAATACGCATTCATTTCGCAGAAGCACCGCGCGGGTAATGGCGTCGAGTGACGTGCAGAATGGCTGACGGAGCAAGACTGGTGTAAGGATGACATCCTGCCAAGGCCAGCGGCTGGTGTGTGGCAACAATCATCACCCAGCCCACGGGCGTCGTTTCCTTCTGCCGCTAGCCACGCTCCAGGAAGAAATCCCTCAACCCCATCCTTTTGCATCATACGCATCCCACCCCGCGGCCCTCTCGTCAGATTTGTGCATGCGACAAGCTTTCCGTTCGTTATTGATCCAGCATGCGCAAGTGTGGCGATGAAGGACCTGGGCACTCAACGTCTTACCGAAAAACCTGGTCCAGACTTATTGATGCGATGAAGATGTACTTGCCCCATTCGCTGGGTGAAGTGCATGCTTCCATAGCCACCCTAATTTCGTTCAGAGCTAGTCGACATTGAGCAGCAAAAACGGTCTTGGGCACCGTCTCAGGCGATGGGGAGAAGTGCCCTGGTCGCTCAACGGCATCAACGATCTGCTATCAGCTCATATGGGGGCTATATCGACGAAACCCACCCTGGAAGACGTTGAATCTCGCTTCAGTACGGGATGACATCGTCCCTCGGCTCTTGGATATTGTGGCTGTTCGCCAATACTTGCCTGAGGCATTCCTTGCTACCGTATACCGGACTTGCATCCAGTTCTTTCTTTCTTCCGACACCCGTACGCACCCCAGAAGTATGCTTTTTCGTGCGCTCCGGAAGTACCTCGAACTGGCTTCTGCTTAGGCGAAATCTGCAGAGGCTTTGCTCGCTTTCGTTTTGTGAGCATGTGACGTGCGAGGTTCGGCGTGACAGATAGACGAACGGGTTCGGTAAACAGCACACCGGATACTTACTTCTGCGTAGGGATTGTCGATCTTGAGACCTCACAGTAAGGAGCGGACCTTGCGCAGTAAGCTTCGTGGCTTGTTGTTTGTCGGTGTCACCATTCCGTCTCACGACAAACTGTCGGGTGTGTCGACTGACATCCACCTTGCGGGTACCAGTCTGTGCTGTGCTGTTGGAACCCGATGTTTGGAATCTCTTTGTTCCTTTAGCTGAGCACGTCCATCTCGACGTGATCGACCCTTCTTCTAGGCAGTCATCTCAAAAGCACGCTTCCATAGCAATGTGGTAATCCGTGGCGCTGCATATCAATGGTACTTTGAGTGTCTATCGCTCCAGACCAGCAAAAGTGTCGCTCCAAGCCATGAACCCAAAACCCTCCATCGTCAGTGCGCTTCCGTTCGTGGACACCGGAAATACATATCTAAGTCACTAATACCCAACATCTCCGTACCGGCGAGCATCTCCGCATAATTCCTTCTCCTCCTAATGCGATGCCAAACTTTGTCAGTCGCACAAAGAACATGCAATGGCGCTGCATCGTTACACGGTAGCCACCCAAGTCTGCTTCATCAGCCACTTGCGAGAAACCTTCCACAACATGATCCGATCGTTGCTCAATGCTAGCACGATATCCCCACAAGCGGTACAGCATTGCGCCGCTTCTCGACATGTGTTCGCCCGTTCCTGTGCTTCGGAACGCCCCTTACTGTAAAGGGCCCCTTTGACAACGCGAGTAACACAGTAATGGTCCCCGTCTAGCCTGCTGTAGAAACCCGCCATTTACGAGCGTATCACCGCGTCTAAGTTTGCTGCATCCTCCATACGAGCAACTCGACATGCCTTTCGTTCCGTCTTCCCGTCCAAGACACAAGCGGCTTCCCGTACACGTACGACTGGCCTGAGAAAAGGTGTTCACAGTAACACATTCCTCACGGCAAGCTACCACAGCACACTGACACCCGGCCGTGTACATAAGAAGGACAGGCGTAAGACTGACAGCGGGTAGGCGTTCCGAAGGGCGCATATGCAACTAGGCGGTCTCCGACAGTCACCCAGAGCGTTTCGCTGCTCAGCCTCTCCTTGCGCTGTACCAGTTCCAACGGCGTGACAGCTGAGCCTCTGTCTATGCTTTTCCCATTTTGGCGTTGTACTAACCAAGGCGAACGTCCACGATCGACCATGGTTGCCTTTTGCACACCTCCAAATAGCAAGGTTTATCATTAGGGTGCCATGTTGCCGGCATCCCACGCGAAGCTGCATGATCAGCCCATGAGCACAGGTCATTGGGCATACGAGAAGAGCGTCCGGGACAGCCCACTGGGTGGTAGGTGCCCAGCGCTTTAGACGACGGCTTGTATTCTTTTCCTTCCCACGGTTCTCTTCACGCGTCATACGCTACGATGTCTTTCCACTCCAAACCTTGCTGCGAACATGCATGAACCAGGTAGCGCGATATCCAGTCTTCGGAACGCTATTATCGTCGACTTCGCCTCCTAGGCAGAACGCACGTAGGCGATGCCCGACGCTGGGATTGCCGCATGGCATGGCATAGGAAGCTAGCTACAGGACTCGCGAGCTCGTACGAAGGCAAAACGAGGATGCAGCGAGGAAACATGGATCTAAGGTGGGCTAGCGAGGTGGAATCATGACTGTGGGCGCTCGCAGGCATCTATCCGAGTATATTTTACGGTCGGCTTCCTGCGTCTGCAGCGGACGAAGGAGAGGAAGAAGAAACGTTTGGGCGGAGATCCTGTCTTGGGCAGCAAGAGCTCGAAGGTTTGTCGGTGGAGTATGACTCTTATGGTACTGCTATACGGGCCAGGACCCGGAGTACCCAGCTCAGCCTCGTCATCGTATCGTGAGTCTGAACACGCCGAAAGGTCTTGCTCCAACATTATGTCATCGCGTCCGTATCTACATCCAGCATCCCATCCCCCACAAAAGTAAATCATCGCAAAGGCCAAAGCCCAAGCCCGCCAAAGCCCAGTTCTTTCCTGCATCGGCACTTTGCACCTTACACCCATGCGTTCTCTTCGCCCCACAAGCACCAGGCATCCACCGGCCATGCAGCTCACGGTGCAAGTACCCGGCTCAAACCAGGCTTTTGCTGTCGAGTCTTTGGTTGCACGACGCGAGGGATGCGGTGGGGATGCTTTCAGTGCTTGCATCGGAGAGTTATGTTGTGCTAGGGAGCTTGAGAGGTGAGGGTCGATGTTGTGCGACATCAGACTGTGGGGTGATGTAGGAGGTGGTTCATTGAGTGTTAAGCTGATAGCTGAGATTGTGGGGACTCGCTTTAAGCCAGCCCCTGGAATATCTCGACTTCAACACTTTTCGCATTGGAAGGTGTCTTTTTGCGGAAGTTTGGTGTGGTTCGTCTGCCTTAAGTTGCTACTATTGCAAGAGGTAGCGTATACATTACGGTGGTAAGCAATGTTAGCATCATGTACTTCTCAGGCAACGAGACGAAACCTCTCTGTCCATACGCGCTTGTCTATCTTGTCGGTGCCGTTGTGAGCTGGAGACCGCCCAGGCGTGTACGACGACGTAGGGAACCTCGGGTTCGCTGATAAGGACCAGACCCGATTTGGCGTAGTGCGCGTATTAGGAGATCACCACCTGGGCAGTTTCCTTGTGCAAGCTGCATCAATTCTCTGCGTGTCTATGTTTCGACGTCTGCATCATACAAGAGAATCTGTGAGCTTCTAATGTGGCTGTATGCACAGAATGCACTTGCATTGCCTGTTAATCATCAGGATAGTTCAACACAGCCCGCGATGTATATACTTGTGGCGTCATTGGATGCGAGCCTGAACATCAGCCGCACACGATGTCCAATTCAGCTCACATTGCCTATAACCTAACAACTATCTCAATCAGCCGTACACGTGCTTCAGCTCTCCTGAAATTACTCCGCCTCTTTTCTTTGCTCCGCCTCGACGCTGCCTGACCCTACAACTGCCTTCGTCGTTCCTGCAGCATAACAGCGTCCACGATGCAGACATCGCACATCAGTCCATCCCAACAGGCCACTGAAAACCCACACGCAAACTTATTACAACGATGGAGATAACGCCTCGAAACGTGCGGTTCACCCACACTCCGCTGAATCTCAAAAGTCGCGAGATACGCCTTCTCACGATCGAACGGAGTTCCGAACCGTCGAGCCCAATTCAGATCACCCTAAAGCACGTCGAACTTAATGGGCATATCAATGCTCTTACCCGCTACCGTGAGGAGGTAGCAAGACTTGAATCTATTGGATGGGCCAAAAAAGCGCGGAGAGAGGCTATATATGATAAGATGTTCCACGGAACTTTCGACTTCATCGCGTTATCTTACACTTGGGGCTCTGAGTTGCCAGTACAAGACATATTTGTTACAAGCCCAGAGTGCCGCGGCTGGCTTTCTGTTCGGCAGAACCTCTACGACTTTTTGAAGACAAGGCGAGGCTGTGACTCGGCTTGGTTCTGGATCGATCAGATATGCATTAATCAAGGACAAAACGACGAAAAAGCTCACCAGGTCAACCAAATGGCAGACATATACAGCGTAGCCGCCGTCGAAGTCTGGCTTGGTTCTGGATTTGAAGGAAGCGACGAATTTATGGATTTGATCCTCCGCGAAAGTGTTGACTCGATTCAGATCTCCAACCCAGAGCTCGTCATGAGTAAGCAGGAGATACTTGAGCTCGTCCCATCTTTAGACCGCTTCGTAAGTCTGCCATATTGGTCGAGACTATGGGTAATCCAGGAGGTGATACTGAGTAGAGTTGTTGATATACGCATCGGCTCAAAGACCATTTCATGGTATACATTCTTCTCGATTTTACAGAAATTGAGGTCAGCATGTCAAATTTTGGGCATTGCGGAAACAGTTGAAGCTCTGGGGTATAACTATGAAGCTGGAGGTACCCGAATATGGAGGATTGAGTTCAGCCGAGGTCGCACGGATCATCAGTGGGACTCTATTGGGAGATTGGTTTGGGGAGCAGAATGTTCAGATCTGCGAGATCGAGTGTTCGGTGCCATGGGTATGGTCCACCCTTCGCTTCGAGTATTTCCCGACTATTCGATGCAGCCGCAGGATGTGTTGCTGATGCTTCTCACCAAGCATGTAGAAGTCACGTATGCCGAAATCATGGGAACGGAAAGCCGGGTAGATGATTTTGACGAGGGGGACTCCGCGCATCTTCATGTTCCGGCCTTCAGACAAGACTGTGTTGATCTAGCAGCGTGTTGGCTTCCGCAACTCGAGGACGATAAGAACAGGATCAGTTCAAAATCTGTCCGGCGTCATTTCCTCAAGATTCTACCCTTGGATCCGCCTGCGCTCAACTACAGGTTTGGACGAACATGGCAATTAAAGTCTTATCTGTGGTACAAAATTCCCAACGAGCGGAGCATGCGGTGGCAGCTTTCAAGAGCAGGCGTCGTGCGGCTTGCACATGTATTAGACCGCATCAAGCCTAAAGCGAAGTACGGCCTTGCTGGCCATGATTGGCAGTTTGCAGACTCATATAGTATTTGCGGGTAATTGTTAGCGTCAAGCTTGTAGAAGTACCTCTTGGTATTTCCTGAGGTGCGATCGCTCACCTTTTGATACACGATACTTAGAGGGAAATATATGGGTAGCGGAGGTATATGGAACGGTCATCTTTTATTGATCAACTACACAAAACACTAAACATTCATCTTCCTCCTAATCCCCAACGGTCTCGCAAAATCCTTCTTAACCGTCTTCGCCGGCCTAGACACCGAGAACTTCACATCCGTCGACTCTCCAGCTGATACCAAATCCGGTGAACGCCTCTTCGTCCCCCTAAAAACAGCGCGCGCGATCTCCGCATCTTCCGCATCCTCAACCTCTCTCGACGACGAACGAGTGACCACGTTACCCTTCGCGTCTATGCCCTCCCTCCGTGCATTCGCCGCTATAATCTCATCCAACGCATTAGCATCAGCAACAGCAATCCCAACCCTCGCATCCTCAGTCTTCCGTTCCAGCGTCTCCAGCGTCGCTTTACCATCACCCTCTCTACCCCCTTCCCTCTCAAGCCTCTCCAAACGCTGCTCCTCAATATCCCCAGCGCGCTCCTCATCCCTCCAAACTTCAAACTCCCTCTGCGCCCCATTCACAATCCTATAATCCATATTCTTAGGATCGGTCTCGATAACGATTGCCGCGGCGCAGCCAGGACACTTGCAGTGCAGCATAACTTTCTTTACACCGAGGTAGCTTTTAGGCGAGATATGTTTGGGGCTGTTGCGGAAGACTTTGCCGCGGGCGGTGTAGTGGTTGCAGGTGAGGCAGCGCATGCTGCGGAAGGGGCAGGCGAAGTTTACGACGGTTCGGGTGGGAGGTTTTGAGGACTTTCTTGAGCGGGTGATTTTTGATGGGTCAAAGTCGGATGGGTCGTTTTTTGGAAGGTTTTGCGCTCGGCCATTGTAGTAAGGTGGAGGGTAGATCGTGGGGTTGGGGAATACGTGGGTGGTTGCGGCGGCAGACATTGTGTGAAGACGGAGCGGGGAGGTATTCGCGGTGTGTCTTGCTGTAGAAGGTTGGGAAGGGTAGGGGGATAAGAAGGCTAAAGTTTGCACATAAAGGGTATGAGTACGTAGGCGTTGACGGTACCATGGGCGAACAACTTGTTCTACCGAATGACAAGGACAAAGTTACATGCGCTCGACTTGCTGCCAGCGACAGCATAGCAATGCTCATACGTCACCCGTATTTTGATGGCAGTTGATGAATACAAAGAATGCCGTTCTCCAAGTTATGTCTGGGATAACGCACCTAGAAGTATACATTACACCCACATTTTCAGTACATCAACGTAGAGCATAGCGAGTACCTTCAGGCCTCATCAAAATAATGCATTCTATTGAGAAAACAACAGAGCCACCATAACGCTAGTAGCCTGGAAAGCACCCTTGGTACGGAGTAGAGAAGCGAAAGTTTGGGGTATCTTCTTAAATGCTGCGCCACCGCCGTCTGTTTCGGACCATACCTGGGGAAAGGCGGCTTCTACGTTGACGTCCGACTCCGCCTCGCCTGTCCAGTCAAAGTTGATATGCCAGTTGAGTTTCAGTAGGACGTGTTTGTCTTGCAGGATCAATGTATCACGACCCAAGTTCCTGCTCAAGTCTTTGCGCGTGATGCTGTTTGTGGGCTTGCCTGTTTGTAGTGGTTGGGCGTTTTCTGTATCCTCTGCAGTACGGCCTACGAGTAGATGCGCAAACGCAGTCTCGCACTTATGCCAGTGCTGTGCTCGTTTCTTCGCAATCTCCCAGTACGAGTCCATAGCCCAGGACGCATTGCCAAGATCTCTTTCTTGCGCTTTCGTGCGAATGAAGGTGCCCAGTTCACGCTCAGCCCACGGTGAGATTCTTAGAAGTTGCATTTCGATAATCTCGTTTGCTAGAGCATCGATGGTTATGGAGACTTGGGCTGTCAGCAGCTTCTGTGGGCCCGCGATGTCGATGGTATGCTTCTGGTGAACCCGCCGTGAGGTCGAGAATATCTTGCCGCTGGGCAGGCTGAGTTGTGTGGAGAAATTGAGTGAAGTAAACATCTGGAGGTATGGCAAGGGATCCGCGACTTCGACCGGGCGATGTGATGGCACGGGCTTTTCCTCTTGTTTCGCGCGTGGTGGAGGGACGGCGAGGGCGGCGAATGGTAGGAATGAACACAGCAGACTTGATACTGGTGCTAGCTTCTCTGGCTCTGTATCGATGCCGCTGATCTCCGATATGAACTTCCTGGTATTGTGTCAGTCACAATTTGGCTATCATAGGAGGGGTTTAGACTCACTTCAGACTATCGCGCTCTGTGGACCGCAGAGAGTCCTCCGGACCGCGGCGCTGCTCCTTGACGACCTCTTCAATGCATCTTGACACCTGAGACTCCAACTCTTCTACTTCACGCTGGAGACGTGCCTTTTCCTGCTTCCTTCTCTCAACTTCTGGGTCTGGAGGCTGTCTTTTCTGTACCACTTCTTGGGTTACATCTTCAGCTATGTCTTCTATAGGGCCATCTTCTACCGTCCCTGCGAAATCGTCTGATTGTACTGCTGGCGCTCTCGAACTCGGTGGAGGTTGCTTGATAGGATCTTTGACGCGCGGGGGACGCTTGCTTGGTGAGGAGAATAATATTGTTCTGCGCGGTTGCTTTGAAGTTGCGCGGTTGTTCTGTGATGGTGTCCCTGGGAGTTCTGGCAGGTCGCTCTCGCTGGGTAGTTCCACTTCGGTCTCTTCCCTTCCTCTGGAGCCATTTCTGGCTGATACAGGCCGGTTTGGGTTGCGCTTTGGAGATGCTGAGAGAAGGTTCGGGTAGTTACGCGCAAGACTGGCTTTGGTAGGTGACGCAAAAGACGGTCGTCGTGGAGGTTTCCTCAGAGGACTGGACGCTTGTTCGTTTGGCGAGCTGGTCCTCCTCCGCTTCGCCGGTGGCTCATTCATGCTGTTCGCATATGATGCTTTCGCAAGAATCGCAATTTTCGACGCGTATCTGAGGCGCTCTCGTGGTAGTAATATGTCCGGAATTGGGATAGATGTGCTGGTGGGGTATGCGACGATAACAGTGAATGCGACGCGTCGGCGCGTGTTGTTGCCCTGTCGGCGTTCGCTGCAGCTTTTGCCGACGTTCGGAAAGGCGGCGCAAAATGACGTCGAACCGTCAATCGCTACTTTCAATCAGCTGCGAATTAGCTATCGACGACAGTAGCCAACTTCGACATGTCATAACGAAGCGATTTGTGTGGCTGCTGTAACTCTTGACAATCTCTTGGGACCAATGGAACGCATCGCATACTCAGGTCCGCTGGCATTGCGCCAGAGGCTTTGCGCTTCATGCTGGAGGACGTGGCGCAGGTCGCGTGCTTCGACCGAGGCAGGGCGAATAGGACTGCAGAATAATAATCGGGTACAGCACCGCTTCAAGGGCTATATTGCCCCAGAAGGCGAACAAGCCAGACCCATCACCGGCTTCTATGCAGGTTGGACCCTCACCCACATTGTCTGCGAAACTACAACTAACAAGATCCAGACATGATGAAGAAACCACTATCCGAGGTTCAGCCACTATCCCACACAACGCCAGAACCTCCACACGAGCCACCGAAGACGCAGAAGGAAGAGACATTCGCAAAAGCCCGTATAATCTTCGGATCTACAACTGCATTGGAGGAACGCAAACAGGAGATCATGAATTCGTCCCAGAATATTGCCGGCGTACTAGTCCCTCCGCGACCCGAAGAACCAGACAACTGCTGCATGTCTGGATGTGTGAACTGTGTATGGGACATGTATCGAGACGAAATGGAAGAGTGGGCCGAGAAGAGCGCTCAAGCAAGAGCGGCGATGCAGGCACAACGGCAGGAAGGAAAGGGGACAGGGAGCATGGTGGCAGGAGAAACATCACCGAGTCATGTTGCTACAAGTATGGACGACGATGGCGGTGGAAGTGAGACGAATTGGGACACTGGTTTCGATGATGCGGAGAAGGACAAGTTGTTTGACGATATACCCGTAGGCATTCGGGAGTTTATGAGGACGGAGAAGAAGTTGAAGCAGGCGCAGAAGAAGGCCGAAGCTGCTGCGGCAGCGTGAGCTTGGAATCTGGCAATACCCATAGATCTATCTTGCCATTCAAATACCCATCCATTACAAATCTTGCGATATTCCATCCTATGCCCAAAAACGACACCAATTATGCTGCACCGCAATCTTCCATCTCGTCTAATCTTCGCCGACATCCACACCCTTTGCCTGAAGGTCTTTCCGCGCCTCTGCTATTTGCTGCATGAGCTCCTTGTGCGCGTCGGGTACGTCGTTGAAGGTGAAGACTCCCCAGCCGAGCTTGAAGAGAAGGTACGCGCCGAAGGAGATGAGAGCCCAGAAGGGGAGCTAGAGTTTTGTCAGCGGAAGCCCAGTACAATAATCATGGAGATGGTAAAGGTAAGACTTACGAAAGGCACAACCTCCTCTTGGATCTTCTGAGGTAGCGGGACGACTTGGAGGAACAGTGAGAGGTAGATCTTTCACATGTCAGCATCCAATCTCAATATGTAGAGGTAAGGGGCTGCATACGGAGGTGAGGAGCATGCCAATGCTGATGGTCTGCGTAGCGCGCGTCATGTTGGCGAATTGGTTGTTGTAAACGAGTTAAACGAGGGTCGGTGGTCGGAAGAAGTGCGGGTGAGGGCGTGATGCTTGACGTCTGTGGTGGTGAATGTTCGGTGCCAGATCGCTCAATTGCCGCCAAGGGATCTGTGTCCAGGGGTCCAACGGAACCGGCCAAAGGCAAGGCCAACCGCACGGTGGGTCGACGCTGCCGCAGGAACTCACCCCGTTTCTTTCCGCATCTGAAAAAACAAGTGGCTGAACTATTGATTGCACTTTTTCTGGAGTTCTCCTGAAACCAATCCGACTAGTAGCTATCACCTGTACGGCGGCTCCGGACGACTGCGAGTAGCCGTTTCATCCTTGCGCAATCTCTACCGCCACTATGCACACTTGAGCTTTGCCACGACTTTGAGCGATTGCGTTTCTTCATCTTCACACTTTTGCGATATGCCATTATCCAATGAGGAGCTTGGCGACTATATAGCGTCTTTAGAGCGCCTACTCCAAGGGAACCCTGCAGGCCAGACCGCTGCCCTCACAGGTTACGTGCATAAGCTCGATGCGTTTGCAGCAAGTGGGGACAATGAGGCCATAGAGAAGACCTTGCAGCTGTTTGGGACGGCTGTTGGCGGTCGTAGTACGTTATGCCTCTGTCCAAAGTCAACCCTGCTGACACTGTATAGAAAGATGGCAGGCCCCGTTCCGCGACAGCGGCATCCTTGCTTACGCTCTTCGTGGCTTGTCTGCCGTTCGCCATGAAGATCCCGTGGCAAAGCAATATCTGAGAGTCATCGGCAACTCGGTTGCTGATAACGGTACTGTAACCTGATGAGATCCTTGTACGACGCAAACAGTCTGACTGGAGTCAAGATACCAACAGAGAGCTCGCCGTGAGAGAGCTCGGTGCCATCGCTGGCTGCCTTCCCTCGCCAGAACTACGCTTGACCACTTTGGCCGTACTTTTCAACCTTTGTAATGACTTTGGTGAGCAATGCCACAGGATCCTCCAGACATGCAGCTCATGCAGATAGAACCCGCCAAAGCTGCGGCGGCCGCTCTCAGACTGGATGCCACAATATGCACCTTCCTAGTACTGGACAGAATTCCGGAAGCAGCGCTAGATTACGCCACGGACCTACTGAGCTGGACTACGAGCAACCTGAGCGACGCCCAGTTCAAAGACGAAGTTTCGCTGGAAACATTCAAGAGTCTGCTGAATGTAGCACTGCAATACGATGAAGACCATCATCTGGAGTACGTGGCCATCCTGGTACATTATCTCCAAGATCCAGAGTTCCAGCAAAGGATAGCAACACCGAAACTTCTCGACGACCTTGTGACCCTGATGCTGGAGTTTGAGGCTCGATTGGAGCCAGAGGACATCGAAGCCGTCTTCCAGGAACTCGCAACAAGCAAAAACGCGGATACCACCACATCAGACGAAGCGCAGGTTCTTCTAATGGCTCAACTCATTGGGCTGCTATCTGCCGCTTCAGCAACAGATGTGTTTGCACGAAGCTTCAACGTCAGAAGTCCTGTTATCGAAAGGCTGGAAGCAAAGCTCCGCGCACCTTGGGAGAGCGCATACCCATCTACGATATGCGCTTGTGTCATGGTCGGAAACCTGGCCATGTCTGATGAGGTTTGCATAGATATGGTTAAGATCATGGAACTTCACGTTCGATTGATTGTGATTCTTAAGAAGAGCACTAAGCCTGCGCTTCTTTATGCTGCCGCTGGTTTTATGCGGCATCTTACGTTTCCAGAGGCTAACAGGGCTTTGCTTGCAGATGCCGGACTCATGGAAGCGTGTTGTCGCATGCTCGTACTAGACGACCCTTCAGTTCGAGGCGAGGCGGCAGCTATGCTGTGCAAGCTCGTTACCGGCAACTTCTACAACATCGAGAAAGTCATGTACGAGACCGTCGGTCCTGACACAGAAGCCATCGACCCAGACATCTCAGCCGATACCGTAATCTTCTCACACATTGTCGAGCAAGCCCTCGCTCCGTCCGCACCACTCCCAAGTACTACGATGAAGAACCCAATGATCGAGCTTGGCCGTACCATCGTCGCCATGCTGCGATATCTTGGACGGCCAAACGCCGAAAAAGACGTTGAAGCAGTGCAAATACAGATCTTACAAGTACCCCAGATAGCCAAACCAATTGCCCAACTTGTACGGCAGCGCTTCTACCCCGAAGCCCGATCCGAAGGACTACTCGGCCTAGGCCTGCTGGCCCAAACTCTCGAAGGCGCCGCAGCCATCGCCGAAGAGATAAAAGAGGACAGCGGCCTCCTCGAAACAATCAAAGAGCACGCCAACGCAACGGAAGTTGGTCTCGCGCAGCAATCCCCATCAACAGCTAGCCGAGACCACCAAAACGCGATTGTGCTGCTCCAGGCGCTGCAGAACAATGCGGTAAGAGAACTCCAAGAAGCCGTCGGGGAAGTACTAAGGACTTCCAGACTGACCAAATGGACGCAATACTCTCGCATTAGACAGTCTCTGTCTAAACACCAAGGGCGTCGCTCTTCTGGCGACGTCAGCACACTAGGTAGCCCTGGAGGCGCCTCGCCGGGGAGAGTTAGAGAGTTGGCTCGCAGAGCTACTACTGATTCTCCTGGCATGTCTCCGGGGAGGGCTAGGGGGTCTACGCTTGCGAGTGAGACCAACTCAGATGAGCGGCCACGGACCCCTGTGAGGGTTCGGGAGGTTATTGGCGAAATTGAAGAGGTTTCTCCGAAGACGATGGTTAAGGAGTCACCGGCGAGGGAACGGTTAAAGGGTAAAGGCATGAAGCGGACGAACACGGCACCACAATGATTTTGATGATGGGTTATGTCTTATGTTTTTAGTATCTACTCTACTTCTTCTTAATAATGCACTCTCCACTTATGAATACTATAACACTGGCATCGCTTTTGCTGAGAGCCGTACTCGAATATTGTAGTCGCCACTTCAACTAAACCATGTGTGCTGGGTGGAAACCCTCACTTAACACCACATCACGCCACGTCCAAACCACCATATCAATCAGATAAACCCTCAAACGATCTCCAACAAATGGAAGACAAGCGAAAAGCAGTGAATAATCAGCGCAGTGGCGTCTGCCTATCCTCAGCCTCACTCCGCAGCATCAGCGTAATCAAGAGCGCTCTGATTGGCCAGACGAGCCACTCACGTGCTTTCTCCCGCTAGCAATCCAGGGTCCATGACATAGTATGCAGAGGAGAGTTGGGGTATAAAGAAGAGCTGTCTGTCGATTGAATACAGCTATTCACAAGACAAACTCTACCAACCTACTATACACTACTTCTCGATCTCGCAAACCTACAACTACAACTACAACTACATCCTCAACTCTACCAACCAACCACCACAACATCCAAGATGGTCTGCTGCGGACGTAACAACGGCACCTGCGTGTGCGCTCAAGAGGCAAAGTGCTCGTGTGGAAAGCAGCCAGCGCTTCAATGCAGTATGTCGCTCCCTTCTTTCCTTCACCTTATGCCCTCTCTCCCCAGTCCGTATACCCAATATCCACCACCTACCGCCTACTACTCACCATCATATAACCGATACATGTATACTAACGTATCAACAGCCTGCGACAAGGCCGCCACCGAGAACAAGCTTCCCGCCGACTCCTCAGCTTGCGCGTGCGGAAAGCGGACAGAGGATGCGTGCAACTGCGGTCGCGCTGACAACGGATCGTCGAACCTCGAGACCGACTTCACTACTAGCAAGTAGATGGTGTGATTGTGTGGTGTGACAAGGATGGAGCCTCTGGATCGTGGCGTGAGGGTGGCATGGAAGGGAGTTTTCGGCGTTTATATGGGACGATCGAAGGATCGAGGGTATACCTGATATCAGTGAATGATGATTTGAAAGTTCAAAGCTGTCCTATGCCTATGATGTCTCATACTGTTCGTGATGGGCGCGTTGACGCGTCTTGCTACGGATGCGCGTGTTCATCTCCACTGAGTTCCTTGCCCTAGGTATTGACCGTACGATATGTCTTAGGAGCTGTGTTGGAAGCTTTCGCGTGTTTGAGAAACATTGTATAGTGGATGTAGCCGCTGCCTTCTTGGTCCCTGTGCACCTAATCGTGTTGCGTGTGGCATCTCATCGATAGCTTGCGGAGCTCGGGGGAGAGCGATGGGACGGTCGGAGCTGGATACACAGTAGATCTCAAGGCTGCTACGGCATTGCTGAAAGGTGCCTGATTCAGTACTGCCCAAGGTCGAGTGCATGGAGCTGCACTTGCCATAAGGGTCAAGATCGCGATGTCTTGATCCTACTTTGACTCGCACGGGCAGGAGCTACCACGCTAGACCCTGTTTGCTTGGCATCCATGTGTAGAACATCCACTTCTTCCCACCGTCAGTTGTGCATCCAGAGAAACAACTAGATAGCTTGCCGGGGTGTTGTGCGTCTTCCTTGCTTGTTCCAATTCCATGTCCTGCTCTCGATTGCGCCATAAGCCTGCAGCCAGCGTCTAGAAAGCGCTGACAGGCGCCCCTTTCGCGAACTATCGACCTCCGCTCCGCAGCGCGCACGCCGGCATAAACCCTGCCTCGAGGCCCGTACCGCACCATTCCATAGCGCACCACCACTACCGCCGCCGCATTGTCGGGCTACTTACCAGGTGGGAACCGCCCACCCACCACGTCGTCTACTACCACCAGCATGGCGGCCTCGGTCACTTCCAAGATGGCAGCGAGGGCTGGTGGAGGCCTCTTCAGCCGGGAGCAGTCGGGCAACGTGCCCACGATGCGAGGTACATGACGGCATGCCCACAGACAACGGACCGAAGCTCACACGCGGACAGGATTGGTTTCATTCATCGCAGACCTCAGGAATGCTCGCGCGAGAGAACTGGAAGAGAAGCGCATCAACAAGGAATTGGCCAACATACGGTGGGTACACGCTGCCGAGTTCTAAGCATATCCGGAAGGCTAACAGTGCTGCAGGCAAAAGTTCAGAGGTACCTCTCCATGGATACACCTTCCCAATGACCTGCTCTGACAGAACTCCCCCCAGATGCCGGCCTAAATGGCTACCAGAAGAAGAAATACGTCTGCAAGGTACATACGCCACTCACCGACTCTCCTGGCCTATTGCTGACCCTCGCAGCTCCTCTACATATACATCCTCGGTTGGAACGTCGATTTCGGACATCTCGAAGCGGTCAACCTCATCTCCGCGACCAAATACTCGGAGAAGCAGATCGGATATCTCGCCGTTACCCTATTCCTGCACGAGGAGCACGAACTGCTACACCTGGTCGTTAACAGCATCAGGAAGGACTTGCTGGACCACAATGAGCTCAACAACTGTCTGGCACTGCATGCGATTGCGAACGTGGGTGGAAAAGAGTTGGGAGAGGCACTAAGCGCCGAGGTCCATAGGCTTCTTATATCACCGTGAGTGGCATGAGCTGGATTCCGTGGCCAAGCTGACGTCGGACAGGGCCTCCAAGGCATTCGTGAAGAAGAAGGCCGCCCTTACCCTCCTGCGACTATACCGGAAACACCCTGCGATCGTACAGCACGAATGGGCGGAACGGATAATATCTCTTATGGACGATCCCGACATGGGCGTGGCGCTCTCGGTCACATCCTTGGTCACAGCACTCGTTCAGGACAACACCGAACAGTACAAGGGAAGCTACAACAAAGCCGCGAATAGGCTGAAGCGCATAGTCGTGGACAACGAGTGTGCCGAAGGCTACTTCTACTACAAGGTGCCATGTCCGTGGATACTGGTCAAGCTGCTCAAGTTGCTGCAGTACTACCCACCTCCCGGTTCGTATCGTCACTAGCTACTGCGAGCTCATGCTGACTGAAACAGAGGACTCACATATCCGGAAACTGATTCGCGAAGCGCTCCAGAAGATCATGGACTCCGCCCTCGAAATGCCCAAGAACGTACAGCAGAACAACGCGCAAAATGCCGTCCTCTTCGAAGCGATCAACCTCGTAATACACCTCGACACAGAGCAAGATTTGATGGTACAAATATCGCAACGGCTGGGCAAATTCATTGCATCTCGGGAAACCAACGTGCGTTATCTTGGATTGGAGGCCATGACACATCTGGCTGCTCGATCGGAGAATCTGGACCCCATCAAGAAGCACCAAGCAATCATCATCGGATCGTTAAGAGACAGGGATATCAGTGTGCGAAGGCAAGGTCTGGACTTGCTCTACAGCATGTGTGATCCGACGAATGCGCAAGCCATCGTGAACGAACTCCTCCGATACCTACAATCCGCCGACTACGCGATACGAGAAGAGATGGTACTGAAAATTGCGATCCTTACAGAGAAGTACGCTACGGATGTTCAGTGGTATGTGGATATATCGCTACGACTGATCGCCATGGCTGGAGACCACGTTAGCGACGAAGTCTGGCAACGAGTTATCCAGATCACGACGAACAACGAAGAGCTACAAGTGTACGCCGCGCAAACGATCCTGCAGTACATCAAGTCGGACTGCCATGAGACGCTTGTGAAGATTGGCGGTTACCTGCTTGGAGAGTTTGGCCACTTGATCGCGGATAGCAAAGGATGCAGCCCAATTGAGCAGTTCATGGCGTTGAGTGCGAAGATGCGAGGCTGCTCGTCAACGACACGGGCGATACTTTTGTCATGTTACGTCAAGTACGTGAACTTGTTCCCTGAGATCAAGCCTCAGCTTCTTCAGGCTTTCCGCGCCTACAGCCACTCGCTCGACTCTGAACTCCAGCAAAGAGCATGCGAGTACCTTACACTCGCCACCATGCCGACGGACGATCTATTGCGCACCGTATGCGACGAGATGCCTCCTTACCCAGAACGGACATCAGCACTGCTTTCGCGGTTACACCAGAAGCATGCCACTACTAGCGATAAGCGAACGTGGGTGATTGGTGGCAAGGATGCGAATGCAGACCTCAAAGAATTTGGTCTTGCGAGGCAAAATACGTCTGCTGGTGTGAAGCGAAGCTTCACCGAACCCGTACCAAAGGATGCCAAGACCGGCGCGGCAAATGGCGCCAACGGTGTCACAGCGATATCAAGCGATTTGGAGGGGCTGGATCTCAACATGGATTTGAGCAAGGCTTCCAAAGCACCAAACCTCGCAAGCGCGGCTCATCTCAGTCCCGACTGGGAGGTTGGGTACACTCGTCTCTTACTACGACCGGAAGGTGTCCTCTACGAAGACCAGCAAATACAGATCGGCCTACGAACAGAATATCGCGGACAATTGGGCGCTCTTATCTTCTACTTCACGAACAAGTCACAGTTCTCCATGGGATCTTTCACAACGACGCTCGACAATAGGTCATCGGAAACCTTGAAAACAGACATCAAGGGTCTACCCGACACCTCCATTGCGCCCGAAGGCCAAACGCAGCAAACCATCATGTTCGAATGCAAGAACGTCTTCATCGACCCGCCAACCATCCGTATATCCTACCTCGCCGGAGCACTACAGGGTCTGACCCTCCAACTACCAGTCCTCCTACACAAGTACATGGAAGGCGCTGAACTCAGCGCAGAAGACTTTTTCAAACGCTGGAAGCAGATCGGCGGTGCCCCCCGCGAACATCAGAGTATTTTCGGCCTGATCAACAAGAACCGAACGATGGACTCTGAGTTCGTGCAAAAGGTGGTCAAGGGCTTCAAGTGGGGTATTGTGACTGGTGTGGATCCTAATGTTAAGAATATCGTCGGTGCGACGGTGTTGCATTCGAGTGAGGGCAAGTTTGGGTGCTTGTTGAGGCTGGAACCGAACTTCGAAACACAGGTATGTTGGTGTGCGTTGACAAGGGAAAAGAGAAAGCTAACGAGAAACAGATGTACCGGATTACGATTCGTGCGACTGATGAGTCGGTTCCGCCTGTTTTGGTCAAGGCTATGCAAGACCGCCTTTCGCAGGGTATTGAGGGCATGGCTTAGATACCAGCTCTCATCTCGATCACCGCCATCACCAACACCACTTATTCTTACACCATCACCTCACTGATGTGTACACACTTGGAACCTTTTGTTCATATACTAATGTTTTTGTCTGGGAACTTTGGGCTGTTGAGATAGAGCGAAAGAGTCTGAGCTAGGCTGCATGTGTAGCGTTCATTCTTGAGGAGAAGGAGGAAAACATTGAGATATGGCGCATACCCTTGTTTCTGGCTCATGTAGCATGATTACATATATATTGGAGCGTTTTTTGTTTCGTGGTAACTTGGGTTTGGTGTGAAGTGATGATAGTACTTTGCTGATGCTGATAGGTGATCTGAATGCTCGTAGATGATGTTAATGCTTGAGTGAGCTTGAGGTTCTTCGCGGAGGAAGGTTGCAGCTTCCTTTGACCTTGGTTGGATGACCACTTGACTTAGTCACTCATCAGAAACAGGCCCGAGCCCGAGCCAAAGATGTAATCTGGTTTTTATTGATTATTTGCTCATAGTGATCGCTCATTCGTAGCGAACGGTGGCTCGTTAGCCAGTGTTGCAGCATTGGGCAGTGCATGCGTGCGGGTGCTTACCCCACCAAGGCTGAGTACGGCTTGGCTCAGGTGCGACTCCGCCCTACGCTGCTTTCTTAAGATTTCTTGTGCCGATGTTTGCATTGTAGTTCTCCGTCCGTTTCTGTTCACTCTTTCACCATGTCTTTTGGCTTCTCTGTTGGTGACTTCATCGGTGCAGCCGCCTTAACACAGCGTTTGATCCAAGCGATCAATGGTAGCCATGACGCAGGCGAAGATTATCGAGGAGCACTCCGTGAGCTAAGATGTATGCAGGAAGCATTCATCCGAGTCAGCTGTTTAGGCGAAAGTCGACATGTCGCCCAAGCTACGTTTAAATCGGCTTCGTGGATAGCCATGGAGACTATGAAGATTATTGAATTATTTCTAGACAAAACGAAGAAGTACGACAAAAGACTTGGTGGACTAGGGAGTCCTGGTATGGCGCAAAATTGCAGGAAAGTTGGGTGGGCCTTGTATAAGGCAGATGATATGAAGAAGCTGAGAGAAACATTGCACGCAAGGTTAAATTCGTTGAACCTATTGCTGGTGGCCGCTAATCTGTAAGTGAAGACGTCAGCATGCTTCGTGCATTCATTGACTTAGATTGAAGTGAGCCCATCGGTACTGGCGACATCACAACGTACGTAGCAAGTGACGAGCAATCAGTTCCGGAAGAGCACCGCGCGTCGACCACCCGAAACGACTCATTGCAGCCAGATATTCCGCACGTGCTGGCCGCATCGAGTATCATGGAGCCGGCTCCCGCTACAATACCACAGCCTATTATTTCAGGCATTGACAACGCGGCAACGGTGTTGGATGTCGATGTCCAATCGCCTATCTCATCAACGGAAGCTCAATCGGCACGGGATGCTGTAAGCATGTCCTATGCACCTATCTCTCTGACGACGTTCTCGCCTACAGAGATAGTATCATTGGTCACCGACTCTTCCCGGCGCTCGACGAGAATAAAAGAGATCGCAATGCTATTGCGTACATTGATGCGAATGGGAGAGTGTCAACTAGACCTAGTCGATTCCAACGAATTTACCTCGCTAGTGGATCAAATCTGTGAGAAAGATATACCCCTTTACAACCGACCTGCAGTAGTCTTGTCAAAAGCACCCATCAAGTTCAAGGATGCGGTCGGCCGAAAGTTTAGCTTCCCATGGAACTCATGCAAGACATGGAAGGTAATACTCAGTATGTTCGCCATCAATTGATCATCTTACTGACTTGAAGCCAAGGGGATGGAAGAATTGATTAATCAAGCTTTCTTACATGTCGATGTGATTGGACCACACGTACACGAAGGACACTATGATCTCGTCGGCCCTGATGGTGAGATTATCCTTCCACAAGTGTGGGAAGAAATGATACAGCCCGACTGGGCTATCACCATGCATATGTGGCCGATGCCTGAACTGCCATCTCTACCGCCTGGTGGTCCTCTACCCCCTCCTCCTCCTCCGCCCCCCAACACGGAAATGTTCAAGTCTTCACACCTGCTGATAGGAAAGCGAAGACCACGAAGAAGACGACAGCCATCGGTTGACGCAGGTTCATATCATGAGACACCTCTGGTAGACTTGCAAACGCCGCAATCCCCTTCACTCACAGGAACATTAGTCATGAACACTGGTTACCGACTGTCTTCAGAAACTGACCACGGGTCTACTCAATCAGCGTCGCAAACGAGCTGCACGTCCATATCAGATGAGGACGTCGTGGAAGAATGAGCAAAAGACTGGAACGTGAAGTTGTAGCAGAAAGCAGCGTGGCAAATACATCACTGTAAAATGGAAGCTTTCATGCCCACACATCGGAGCGCGGCGGAGACAATACACAGGCGCGCCACATGCAACGCCACCAAAGTCAATCAACATGCCTACATTTCATTATTACGTAGCCCCTAGTTACTCGCATACAACCAGTATAATACAAACAATACCTAAGCAGCAGGATCCAAGAATCCCTCCAACGTCTCATAGTTCAACGGCTTGAACAACTCGTTACTCAAATCCGCGCCGCTACTTCCCAGCAAGCCTTCGAAGTTCTCGAATGCTGCGTCGAAATTCAACCAGTCCGGTGACTGTTCTGCGAAACCGAAACCGGCGGGAGGGCCCGTCATAGGCGCGCGATCTGCGCGTTCGCTGCTTGTGGGGTGTTGACCGGGTGTCGGAGCGGGTATGGGGTTGAGGAGACTGGTCATAGGCGAGTTGGCGTGAGTATGGTTTTGATGTTGTTGTTGTAGCCGAGGGTCGATGGGCGTTTCTCCCATATTTTGCGACCATGGCTGCGACTGGTTCTGTGGTGGCAGCTGGTTGTTGTGTGTGTTTTGCGGTGCTGGCGGCTCCGTCTTCGGCTCGGTCGGACGGGGTTCGGCTGGCACAGGTACAGGCGTGTTGACAGCGTTGGTATTACGTCCTGCCGCATTGCTAAGCACAGCTCGTCCCAGATCAGCTGTCGTGCCTGCAGACCACCATGCGTTTCGCAAACGGTCGAGGAGGCGGACGCATTGCTTGAGCTCTTCGGTGGCGCGGTTGACGTGGACCTTTAGGCGGCGAGAGCGGAAGTGACGATATACCACGCTGAGGGCTACACCGAGTGCGTAGGGTACTATCGGAAGCGGTGGGAGTAGCTCGGGGGATTCAGCGTTGAGAAGATGGATCACTCGTGTAGCCGAGAGACTCTGTCGGACGTAAGAGGGTGTTGACTTGACCGGCGCGTTGATGGAGAGGGATTTGTGGGAGGCCATGCACATGGTATGATGGAAGAGCGATAGAAGACCTGAGGAAATTAGCAAAACTGGAACTTCAGTATTTGGAGCAGCTTACTCATGATAGGGCCATCGAGCTTATCTTCGCCGTCTCCAACCATCTCTTCAAACCCTAAGAAGTCATCACCTTCCCAGCCTGTCTCTTCAGCGGCTCTGCCAGGCCTATAGTAGTCGATGACCTTGTCCAACATCTCGGAGATTTGAAGCCAAATACCGAATGGGCTTGACCTTTTCTCTGGATCTTGGGGGAGCTGTCTCAAGCTGTTGTCGCGGTCGTGCATCAGTAAAGGTCTCCCGTTCATACAAGCATTGATCTTGTCCAGACTCCAGAGGCACCAAAAGACATCTTCCAAGTTGCCTTGAGATTCTGAACTCTGGTTCTTCCACTGATGTCCAAATTGGAGGCCAAAGGTATGTGCGTGATGAATTGCTTGTGCTAGATGCATAGAAGCTTGCTCAGCGCCATCTGGACCTTCGCAATGAAGTGATATCAGAGCAAGCACTTGGATGAGCACGACGCGATTCTTCTCTAGCTTTGCTTCGATCCCAACAATGACGGCATTGTAGAGCCTTTGAGAGAACTCGCGTGGATTGAGTGGCTGCGTTTCGTTACCCAAGTAAAGGTGCTTGGCGGCTGTTGCGTGTTTTGAAGCGACGATACAAATCGCTTGCATCAGAATTCGAGGTTCCCGACCATAGTTGTACTGCTCGTAGAACAACTCCTTGTCCACAAGCGGGAGCAGTGGATGGACGTAGCTGAAGTAGATCTCGAGAAGCGCAGTTTGGTTCATACGAGAAGGGAGTATATCAACTCCGACCGCGTCTAGGTAGGTTAGGAGAGCCCTAGATACCTGAGCCTCCTGGTTGGAATGCGGACCTGTTTCTACTATCCGCGAAGCGCCTGAGCCCACTTGCGACGATGTCTGTCTCTGATCTCGTTCTTCGATCCATTGTCCAATGGGAGGGTGACTGGGCGACTGAGCAGTCTTTCCACGCTCGGAATGAACTTGCTCCCGCAAGACGGCTTCAGGGTTGAGATAGCCCAAAAAGTTGGGTGGTGTTTGGACTGTATGGTCCGAGGCCGGGCTTTGCGGCGGCGGCATTGTGGATTGAGCATGGCCGTAGTCTCCACGCGCCCCCCTGGGATCATGGGGATGATAATGTCCGTTCGTTGAAGGGCTGTCTGAGGATGGATTGCTTCCGCCACCACTTTGGGGAACGCTACCGCCACCGCCCGTTGCTCCTTCGTCATCATCAAAGGTGTGCGAGCACCTTTTCTAGTATAGCGTTAGATGAATACCTTGATAGGTTTACGGTACTACTGTAGCTTACTCTGCGCTTCTTGCATGATTCGCATGCGCGATGGACTCCTACGCGACGCTGTTAGCTGCTGCTTGTTGTGTGCTGCGCACGGCCTATACGCACTTTTGCGCTTTCGGAAAAACTCGTTGTTCGCGGCAAATGTTATCATTGTCGACATGTCGGTGGCCTGTGAGCGCGCTTCGTTCCGACAGCGCAGCAGGTCGTGTATCGCAAGTAAGAGTTGCTTGTTCTCCGTAAGACAACACGAGGTTGACGTTGCCAAGGTGGTGTTTCGTACACGTGATGACGGTCGCGCGCCTGCCGCCTCCGCATTTGCTGGCGCTTGTGGAGCCGAGGCGATGGTTTGGCCGCCAAAACCGTGAAACCGCAGGTATTACGAAACCTGCTCTCTACCGTTCGCACGTTGCGGAGCAGCCCGGCTCGTCAACGTGGCTTACACCAACCCATATCCTGAAGCATACGCTGTGTTTTATTGTTTATGTGCTAACAGGCAGAAGCCGATGTAGCCCTCATAATGCGCTTTCGTCGATAACGAGCTTTTGCGGAGCTCATCTCGATACGGTCTCTCACTGCGTCGCTCCCCTTCCGTCCGTCCCGTCTCGCTCTATCACCGATACGGTTGCGCCTCCTATCACCGATAGTGCTGCTAATCAGAGTCGCTCTAGTCGACTTGACGTATCCCCGCACCGAGAGACACGAGTACTCCCGTCTCTCACCTTGTTTCACAATTGCATCCGAGGGTTCCTTTCAATATCATTCGCAAAAGCTATGGATAGCTCGTTACAATGCGACATCGCAGTATCTGTGGATGGCGAATGAAGCAGCCCTGGAGGGCGTCCCGCACCTGTTCCAATCTTACGTACCTTTCTCGGGCCTTCGTATACAATGCGCGGACCACGTGCCTAGAGAAGACATGTTAGTAGTATCTGACAGCCCTTACCGCACGCTTGATCGATATGAGTTGGATGACATGGCAGGCCTCCAATTACCAGCGCGCGTTCCACAGCGTGCGAAATGAATAAATACACCAACAAGCCAATTCAAAAACAGGACATCCGGGAGGGACTTACGAACGTTTCATGGCTTGTCGAACTCGCAATGTTAGAGTCTGGATATCTTCGCTACACCTGAACAAGTTCATGTGCTCGGCGCAACCGGCATGTATTTGTCTGAAGGTGCCCTCATCGCATTCTCAGCTCGATTCAATACTGCACATACCAAGCTGTTTGGCGCTCGCTAGGTTTGCTTCTTCGTTTGACGTGACAAGGAAGGTCACAAACTGTTTAGACTCCCCAGTATAAGTAGATCCACATAAGAGCTACTGATGCACCCAAAGCACTCCTAGAATGGTCAAGACGGAAATAGGTCTTACGGACCTTGCACGCGAGACACGCCAGAGAATTTACGATTTTGTTTCCAACGACGCCGGAGATCAGACTATCAAGGTGACGCTAGACCAGCACGACAAGCTCCGATTCGAGAATGGCAACACGATCTTTGACCTTGTCCTGACGGCCAAGATCTTTGCAAAGGAGGTTTTATCCTATCTGTTTCAATACATCACCTTCACATTGACAGACAGTCTGCGTACCTGCAGCCCCATCGTCCAAGCTTTCTTCCATGCATTCAAGCCCGATGCGAAGATTCGCGCTAAGAAGAGTGCCATACCATTCGCGGCCTCCTCGATCTGGCACACTTCACGCATCCATTCGTCCTCGAATCCGACCAGAGGCATCATGGAGGCACCATTCCTAGCGCCGAATCCAACTCATACGTACTCTCAAAGCTAGGTTCAGACTTTGGCAATGACCTCGCTCAGACAACATGGGTCTTGCTAAGGGATCTTGAATATGCAATCCAGCTACTAAACCAAATGTCAGGTCTCAAGAGCGTCAAACTTGGTGTCGACGTCATTGAGTTCATAGCCTGTAGTATCCGTCGCGATCCAAGGGAACGCTCTTCTAACCTCGCTGGTCTTCTTGAACAGGTCAGTCAAGGTACGAGTGGAGTAGACCCCGCAAGCCACCATCTGCTTAGAGCTCTGCTCATATTCAATGGGGTGGGCAAATTACGCAAGGTTCAATTGGAACTACATTGGAACAACTTTGTATTGGAAAGGTACCGAGAGGCCGGCGTAGTCTTTGGACCCCCATGGACGAATGCAGTGAGACAAGAGATGGAAGAGTGCTTCGAGGACATGGTCTTCGCATGGAACACGGGCTTAATTGAGTAGAGACACATTGCATCCCCGTTGAGCTTATGCGTTCCTTGCTCGGCAGGAAGAGCATACTGTCAAGTATCTGATGTGCTTTGGCCTATTAATAACGATCTAATCCCTCTACAGATCAGCGAAACCACTCTGTGAAGTCTCTCAGGGCCCTTCACAAGCGATCAATATCCCTCCTCCCTCAACCTCTTCCTGACATCCATCAACGCCCTCCCCAGAAGATTCTGTCCCCACCGATACCGATTCTTCTCCGCATCTCTCTCCGCAAAACCCACCCCCCAGATCCTATCATGCGGACTAGCCTCGACCAACTCGCGGTCACCAGTAGCCAAAAGCATCTTCCTCAAATTCTCCGCGTCCTCACTAATCGTAAACTTGTGATATGTGCCCTGCTTCACAATCTCCAGCTTTTCTATCATCTAGTCAGCGTCCTCTTCTAGAAGTACCGCGAAGAACTTGGAGTACATACGCTCGTCCCAAACCTTCTCATCAAACCCCTTGACCTTCCGTCCCAGATCTTTGTGCTCTTTTGGGCTGGTAGTCTCCAGCATTTGTTTCGCAATCTCTTCATCGCTGAAACAACGCGCTTTGTGCACCATCATCCACATTTCGGCAGTCGCGTAGGTTTCGTCATTGATCGTGAACTTGGACCAGTACCATTGGCAGAGGTAGCCGTGGCCGTCGCGCGGCTTCCAGAAGAAGACTGGTTTGGCGGAGGGTGTGAGAAAGGTAGAGGATGATGTGGAGGGGTGCGGGGTCGTTGTTACAGGCATCTTTGATGTATGGTAATGCTTTTGGAGATAGAAAATGGTATGGCGTATTCTAGGGTTATCGAGAGAACTGAGATGACTCCAGCGAGATGTGTGTGGTGAATATCCAGAAGTCGTAGGTTTTGCGGAAGAAATACTGTGCGAAGAACTTGAGAACAGCGTTATTAACTATCGTTCCACGTTGATATGTGACTCAAGGACAGTACGGTCTTCCTAGGTACCATTGATGATTTAGGCGCTAAGCGGGATGTTGTACCATGGCTCGATTGCTGTTGCGCCCTTTTGTTCAGCACTTGCTCTATAAAGGCGCTCGCGTTCTCTTGGCCTACCCTGTCATAATAGTCAGAACAACGGCACCACGCATCGTTCGGTTTACTCGCAAGTCCGCATAACACGTGCGAGCGTCCTTGGTGGCCTCGCGCCTGCACCCCGCATACACGTGATAAGGCTGAGTGCCCAGGTGGTGGCTTCCTTATCTTTCCCTCAGTAAGTCAGCTTCAGAGTTCCCACCTTCTCCCCAAAATAACCCTTATAATCCTTGCGTGTCTGGCCGCCACTCCTTTTTAGTCCTTTTCGCGGCATTGGGTCCGCACAAACGTACAAGATGGCTGACGAAGCGGGCGCTCGAGAGCTCGAAGCCTTCAGCCTTGCCACACCATCGAGTCGTAAAAGGAAGCGGAGGCCTTCACCTGTTTCAGGAGAGCTTGCAGCCGATGCAGTTGAAAATCTTTCCAAGTCGATATGTCAGGTGTGTCTCAACCTCGGAAACGAGGTCTGGGATCCTAGATATCGCGTTGAGCATGGTCTCTCATGGGTACCGAAACACCTGGCAGACGCGAAAGAGATCAGCCGTGCTGTTGAGCGAGGCTGCTCTGGTTGCGAGATCGTCTCTTGGATACTAGAGCCTTACATGACGTATATTGAAGGACGTGGGAACGTGATACGTCTTAAGTTCGGTGACGGCTATTGTGCCTTTTCTGGTGGAACCTTTTTCCGCGAATTGAACTTCTATGGGAACATTGTACCGAAAGAACATATTCTCACGAATATCATCGTTCAGAGTACACCCTTAGCATCGGAGAAAAATATCCTCTTACCTTGGAGAAGTACGTCTCACTTGTTGTTTACTCGGAAACTTCCATCCCAAATCGATGTTAACGTCTGCAGATCCTTCATGTCCCTGGAAGTACATAGAGCCTGATCTGGTAATCACAGGCCCTCTGGGCTCCCTAGCTTCCGTTGCAAAGGTGAAGAAATGGTTATCCCGGTGTCTTTCTAAACACAGTCGGTGTGAGCAGGCTTCAAGCACGCAGCTGCCCACAAGGGTAATCAAGATCGAAGGGCCCGCGGATGTCGAGCTGTATACCACAAAGGATGAAGTGGCTACATACGCCTGTCTCAGCCACTGTTGGGGCAGAAATCCCATTCGATTTACAACTACGGAAAACTTCAAACAATACTCAACCAGCATTCCCTGCGAGGATCTACCTGCAGCTTTCCAGCATGCCATTGAGTTTGCTTACTATCTTGAAATCCGTTACCTATGGATAGATTCCCTCTGTAAGCTTCGCGTGTCTAGCTGCTGGTTAAGGAACTCGCGCCCTTTTCGATCAGCACGCTGACTACAACTAGGCATCGTCCAGGATTCCATCGATGATTGGCGTCATGAAGGGAGCAAAATGTCGAAAATATACGAGAACGCGGCAATTACTCTGTCAGCAACAGGGTTCGTTGACTCTCACCAAGGTTGCTTTCCTGGGACTGATGAACGGTTCATATCTCGTCAGAAGACGTTCATGAATCACGACGACGAGGAATATGAGATTCACTGCCGCGAATCGCTCCCTCAATGGAAAGCACCTCTTTACGCGAGGGGTTGGGTGTTCCAAGAGCGGATGCTATCTAGGAGGATAGTTCACTTTATGGACGAAGAAATATGGTGGGAGTGTCGAGAATCTTTCCATTGCGAATGCGGCAGTCTTGAGCACAACGGAAATGTTTTCGGATTGAACAAGAACTCAGCAGCTGAGATGAGTGAATTTTCCTCGCTCGGAATGATCGAAACCAGATGGAAGGAGTTGGTGACGACATACTCATCAAAATCACTCACATATCTAAGCGACGTTTTCCCCGCCATACAAGCACTGGCTAAGCTTGTTCCCTCAAAGATGGGTAGATACCTGGCGGGACACTGGGAGAGTACTTTGATCTCGAGCCTCGGCTGGTGTGCTTTCATGCCAGTACCAGTACGGAAAGAACACAGGGAATGGCACGCTCCGTCTTGGTCATGGGCTGCAATCCAAGGGAAAGTGTACTAGATCCTGCCGTTTTACAATCACCCAACGTGGACATCTGCTACTGTTCTCAGCGCCGTAACGATACCTAAAGGAAAGGATCCTATGGGACAATTATCGAATGGGTTCGTTTCCTTACGGGGAAAACTTCTAGCTGGGGAGATACAAAACCTGGATTGTATTTCCGATCTTAGTGGCCTTGTACTAGAAGGGGAGCATGTTGGCGATCGAGTCCATGACTGCGAAGTCCATTGGGATGCGATTTTTCATCACGAGGTTGGCAAGCGGGTCTTCGCGTTCAAGCTCCTTGAGACAACATTTGACCCCGTGACTGCTGGTAAGATTATAACGATAAAGCAAATTTGGTTGATTCTAGAGGCCGTAGAAGGAGAACAAGGCGAATATATGCGTATTGGTATGCTTTTGATGAGTCGTACTCAGCATCAGCCCGCAGACTTATACACAAGAGTATTCGACGCAATGAACGAGAAGGCAGTGGAGACGGACGTGAAAATAGTTTGAACGCGCGATTACACGTATTATAGTCACAGGCATATCATTAGAACGAACATTCAGATCCTCCACTTTCGTGTATTCTGAAAGAGACCCGGCCGCTCATATCTTTCCCTCACATGATACACGAACACACTTCCTATCATCTCACAGATATGCTCCACGCTAGATCCCTAACCAGGGCATGCACGCTAGTATCACAATGAGAGCTAGATGTAGCCCTAGCGGTCTCGCACTTTACTATCCAAGTCCTAGGCTGTCAGAAGTTTGAAATAATTCTTTGCAAAAGGTAAGTCAGACATTTCTGTAAAAATCTTTAGAAGGTAGATACTTGGAGTAGCTACCTCCGGCTCTTCGCGACGAAACGAGAGCACGCGTCCAACTGCCCGTGTTCGAAGTCTTCCTTGCTTGGTATTTCGGAAAAGGTGGCAGAGTGGTTGTAACTCTGGTGATGAGTAGTAGTAGTACGCTCAGAAACAGACATGAACACGATTCAATGAGATGTCTGGTCAGGAAAGCCAACATAGGTCTCTCGTCTCACAGCTACCTTGCGCCGGTAATTGTATTTCATCAGCTTAATTCACGATTTTTTTTGCAGTCGCAACACTTCTGATTCGAAAAGACCTCTATGCATGGGTGTGGTTCGCTCGTCGGCGATGCGTCGATGTTTGGCACGAGATGAGGAAGGTGGCTCATCGCGGTGATCATACTTCACTCCCCACTCAGATCATACACGTACTTGTTTACGTACATCCCACTCTTGACAATCACGCCCCTCAGCTCTCCCCCTGCATCTCCTTCTCCATAACGACCGCATCCTTCTTCTGCGGCCTCTCCCCAAAAATCTGACTCCCCACCCTAACCTCATCACTCCCCATTTTGATCGCCCCCTCAAAATCCGCACTCATGCCCATACTCAACTCCAACTGCCCCTCTTCCCATCCCAGTTCCTTGACCACCTGATCCCTAACCTCCTTCAACTTGACGAAATCCTCGTTTTCGGTCTCGGGGGTCGTGGCTTGACTTCGCGCAATCGCACCGATAGTCATGAGGCCGTGGAGGAGGAGATGCGGACATTTTTCTATAATGTGTTTGCAGAGAGCGAGTGTCTCTGAGGGCTCGACGCCGGATTTATTCTCCTCGCCCGATGTATTAACCTGCACCTTCACGCGCAATTTCCCCTCCACTTTATCATCTCCTTCTTTCTCAACCAACCCTCTCCTCCCCTTCTCCAGCTCATTCGCCTTCTTCTCACTATCCACACTACTCACACACCACAGATTCGGCACCTGCTCAGCAAGCTGCTTGCACTTGTTCGATTGCAACCCGCCGATCATGTGCCATTTTATGGAGCGGGGCAGGATTTTGTGCTTCTCGAGGAGTTCTTGGACGTAGTTCTCGCCGAAGTGGGTTTGCAGTGGTTGGTTGGAGGAGGGAGAAGAGGAGGAAGAGGAAGAGGGTTTATGTAGTGCGAGGATGTCGTTTGCGGGTTTGAGTTTGGAGACGGCGATGAGGCGGACCTGGAGTGTCGCGTTGTTAGCAGGTGGGTTTTGGGGGAATTGGAGAGGTGGGGAGGGTGTTTACTTCTTTGCTGCCTTGGCGGGCGGCGTTGATGCGCGAGGTTATGCTCGCAATGTTCTCGGTGAGCTGCTTCGCGCGTTGGGGGTTTATGTGCATGTCTTCGGCCATGGCTGATGCAGGGCTATGATGGTGTTCGCGTGTTCAGCCCTGCGACTCGCTTGGATGAAGACGTCAGATCGGTGTTACGACATGGTGCCGTGTTATCTCCGTTGCATGCACGAGTCATCACTTTTGCATGCTAGAATAGGAAAACCAAAGGCTTGAATATCGATTAACGTACTTCTGTGCGACGGTGCAAAGGTAGATTTGATGCTAAGGAGGCGCTACGACAGGCTGCGAAGTCTGCCAGGATTCGCTGACCCGCTGCAACCATTTCTCGCTCCCACCAAAGGCAGGGTCCACCAACAAGTCGTGATCGGTACGTGGGAGCACTTCATTTTTGTACTCATAGCTTTGGCTTGGTACCCATATCGCGTTGAACCAATCCCTGCCTTTATCGCCGACCAGTTGGTCCTGTTCTGCGTGCATGCAGTCGATATCCCAGACCCGTCTGTTTCCTGCCAGTCGATCATCTTCGCCAATGGTCTTGGACAGGAGCTGTACTGCGTCGTCAAGATCTTCCCATTTGACTATGGGAGTACTCCATGGAACAGAGCGTCTCAAGAACATCTGTGTGTCTGCTGAGACGCCGTCTACGGACTCTGCGAAAACGAACTTGGTGATGTGGTTTCGCAGGTCATCCACGACTTTTGGATCGTCAAGTGCGAGAGTGTAGAGAGTGTCGCGAGGGCCATCATTTGGCTCTCTAGGTTCAGTTGTTTCAGACGCTGCAAGAGCAACTGGGCCTGCAGTAGAGCTTGAGCGCGACAATGAAGTGGATATTCCCTGAACGAGGGTGCCGCTCAAGCCAACCAGAGGAACGACATTCTGATTAATGAATCTGGCGACGGGGCCCATTCTCCCTATTAGAGACGCGGGAAGAAGCCCAGTAGCCTGCAGATGCGTCATCTTCGTGTGCGAGTAGTGTACCCACGGAGCGAAGAAACAGATGTATGGATGGTTGGGATTCAGCAAATGTGGATAGGCGAGGATAAGGTTCATGAGGTAGATGTCGCCTCCACTGTGACTAGCAACCGAAACATGCTCGATATTCAAATGCGCCAGGAGTTGGGGAACCATTTCTACGTGGATGAGTTAGCCGCCTTGATAAGAGAACACGTTCACTAACCGAGCCAGGTCTGAATCCGCTTCTCAGGCTTCACAGCATCACTACCACCAACACCCGGACGATCCGGATGGATGATTCGGACATGATGCCTTTTTGCTAATTGATCCAAAGGGGAGTAAGACAGGCGCTGCCCAAACATAGCTCCACAGAATAAAACGACTGCGTTGCTGTCGGCGTCGCCAAAGTCGGAGTAGGATACATGATAGGGTTTGGGTCGGTCGGCGTCAGGGTTGGCGGGAAGCACAAAACTGCGGTGGAACCTTCGGTCGCAGATGAATTCAATTGCGCCCATGGTTGCGGGACAAGAAGAGTAGTTTGTTGGTAGGGATGGTTGCGAGGAGTAAGTTCGATCCTTCCAGTGTACCTCCAGCCCATCAGCTGCCAAGCATGGGTATGTCAGGCAACCAGACACGCGGCAGGATGCTGTAGGTGCTATTGGATGACAAGGGACGAATCCCACCTTTGCGTACGTCCTACAATCGCAATGCCCACCAGGAGTGCCGCGATTTGGTGTAACATGTCAAGACATAGCCTATAATCTTTTGATTGTTGCTGAGCGTAAGTGCAACTCCAATCGAGCAGGCACAGAACCGAAGCTTTGTTATGCGGAAGAGCAAGGTGACAACACCAATTCTCCAGGAAAAAGAATGTCGAAGGGCGAGTCGATTGTATTCCACAGATGCCAAAGATTCAGCTGCTATGAACCGTGGTGACGTCGAAGGCTCGCTGCAGGCGGAACAAATGCATCCCCGGAGCAAGCCTCATCACATCCGGCTCGTCGCCCCACATGGCAAGTAGCGTGCCGCAGAACCGCCTGCGCGTCTTGTCCTCCACACCCTATCAAAGACCAACTACAGATTTGATCTAGTTGACAAGACACAATGCACTCAAGTGTCTACTTAGAGCATGGAGACGCCCGGCTAAGGCACCTAGTACCTGCAGGAGGTGCCGGAGTAATACTTCAGACAGATTGCTTTATATGGCCAAGCCCCCGCTTAACCCCGGATACACCCATGACACCAGTGAGGATTAATATCAAAGCGAACTTCTAGAAATGAAGGTGCATGCGGTTTGGAGGGGCGCCTTTGAATTGCAATGTATAAAGATGTGGGTGCTGTAGGTTGAATGTTTGTTGGCGCGGTTGCTCTTTCCCACTACAGTACTTCTTAGCCTACTTTACAATGAGGTATCTTCCAATTGCTCTCGCCGCTGCTGCTGCACGAAGTGTGCTTGCGCACCCAGGTTCCCCACATCCAGATGCGCAAGGAAGGTACACGATTGAGGCCGAGGGGATTAGGGCGCAATTCATTCCCTATGCTGCTACACTCACCAACCTTTTCGTCAAAGGTAGAATACGCCTACAATACTAGATAGTATCTACTAATAGAATGTAGACCCGGCAGGCCAGGAGCTAGATATCGTTCTAGGTTACGACAACACGTCTTACTACGGTAAGCTACTATCGCGCGTTCATCTCACACCAACTAACGATCTTCAGCCGTCGACCCTGGACACCCCGTCTACAATGCCATCCCAGGACGATATGTCAACCGCATTGGCAACGGCGAATACTCCATTGACAACGTAACCTACCACACTGAGAAGAACGATGGCCCAAACACCCTCCACAGCGGTACAAACAACTGGTCCTACAGGATGTGGAACGTCAGCGCCGTGACAAACTCGTCCATCACCTTCTCCATCAGCGATGCCTCCAACTCTTCGCTCGGTATGATCGGGCGTGTGGATGCGAGCGTCACGTACTCGGTCTCGAAGAACAAGTGGCACATCTCTATGGATGCCACATCCCCCGAGGCCAAGACGCCTCTCATGCTAACGCAGCATACTTACTTCCAGCTTGATGCCTTCAAACGCCCTGACAACCGCACGGTCTGGAACCACACTGTGTACATGCCAGAGGCTAAGCGTGCGCTCGTCGCCGATGCGAACGCTCTTCCCACCGGCGAGATTGCGCAAATCCCCGCCGGAGCCATTGATGATTGTGAGTAATCTTATACTACCAGATATACCCGAGGCACATGCTGATTGTCCAGTCTGGTCTGCACCGCATGAACTTGGGTTCGCGTCAGGCAACGAGGAATTCGAGAACCACTGCGGCAACGGATGCCACGGCTACAACGGCGCGTGGGCGTTCAACGAGGCCAGGAACAAGAGCGCAGCGGTGCTCACGCTATCGAGCGCATACAGTGGCATCGAGGCCAAGCTGACGACGAACCAAGACGCCGTTGTCCTCTACACGTGCAACTGGAACGACGGAAAGAGCGAGTTCAAGAGTACGCAGGGTGTTGTGGACCAAGACAAATTTATCCCGCGCGACGGGTGCATTGCTATTGAGGCCCAAGACTATGTTGATGGCATCAACCAGTAAGTCGATGATGACGTCGTTTCAGGCACAAGCTAATATTGTTGAACAGTCCGGAGTGGGGTCGGCTGGGCAAGCAGATCTCGGGCCCTGGAGACAAATACCACTGGGAGTCGTCGTGGGAATTTGGAACGATCTGACATGAGACGGTAGCGGCCTTTGAAGGGGCAAGAGGGTGGTGAGGCTAGAAGTGGGCACTGCGTAGGACGGGATGTAGTAAGCAACATGTTATGCAACCCCATTGACCAAGTGTCAATATCTGGAGCCCCGCATTTGGGCGGGGTGTGATGCTCGCGTGTCGCCCGACGTCTACTTGGTAGCGAACAGCACAGTGATGGAGGAAGAATTTCGCGTGTATGTTGATAATGAAGCGACAATGTTGGTGGTCGCCGATTGCGGGCGGGAATAGCACTGGGACAAGGCCCAAGGTTGGTTCCTGGTATTGGTATCGTGGCGGCGCGGGCTAAGCGGCACAAGCTCCAGGACCTAGCTGCATGCCATGGCTGCATATACATAGGCCCAGATGTCGCCAGCACGCAGCCTGTTTGCTCTTCAATCGTGCACCCTCGTCACTACTCGACTTTGTGAATGATCGTGAAGGCATGCTGAGCTGACATGATCGACGACTGCTCCTGACGCCTGATTGCCTTTTCCATCGCCCCGCCCATTCGGCCCTAACCTTCCTACATACGCAACATTCATTTGCGATCGACAGTCCGCTGCGTAGCTGCCAAGCAACGACATCATTCCGGAATCGTCGACTCCAGGGCTCCATCACTCCAGGGTTGCTCGCCCACACCCACGCCCAACTGCACTTGCCTCTGCCTGCCTCGCCCATGCGCCCCTTTTGTCGATCGCGACTACTCTGTCTATCTAATCGCATCTCGTGAGGCGCGTTGGAAAGGGCCACCCACGGCCAGTCCCCAGCATCGATGTCCTTGTGACACCGGCTATCTTGCACCGGACACGCCCACCACCTCTCCCTCGCTAGCCGTCGCGATAACGACCTGATCCCTGCCCGCACAGACTGCGTCACTGGCACTTGGGCATCCACGGCCCGCCCTGCTACGAGCCCGGCGCGATCCGCTTTCACCATCGATAATCCAATTCCTCCATCCATCCTTCCACCCGCACCATGGGCAACTCGCAGGGCAAAGAGGCCGCCCCAGAGCGGAGAGGCCACGCCCGCCGCTCCAGTGCCCACCAGCCCACCTCGCCCTCGACTGCCGGGCCCGCCGCTTCCACACACGACAGGCCGGGGAACAGTCCCTATGGCAACTCGCGGAGAGACAGAGGCAGCAGACCGGATCTCTCTTTCCTCGGCATCCGCACCGGCGACAATGCCGAACGCGACCCCGCCCTCGAACCGCGCCGGGAGACAAAGGCGGAGCGCGAGGCCCGCAAGCTGGAGAAGGACCGCATACTGAGGGCCCAGGAGCGCGAGAGGAGTCTGAAAGAGGAAGGCGTCGACGGAGGATACCTGGTCACGCTCGGGGTGTACACGGGACCAGAGGACTTTAGCAAGCCCACGGTGCGGCAGCTACAGGTATGCCTCTCACTCGTGATATAACAACTGAACTCACACGTGCTAGATTGAGCGACGACTCGCTCCCTTCTGGCGGGGTCTCGATGACCACGAAGATACTTGGACTGAGCACCAGCTTGTCGAGGTCGTCAACGGCCGCCCGCTGCCCGCCGCAGACGACATTCCTCCCGAAGAGCCGCCTCGAACGAACACGAGCAACCACCTCAGCACAGCATGGAACCCGCGCAGCTCAGAGCCGAGCCTCAACAAGCTCACGGTGCCCATGGGCGCGCGCTCAATGTCTCAAGAGCCAGAGCGCGGAGGTGGTCTCTCGCCGTCGAATCCCACCTTCTCTCTCCCTTCGCCTGGGTCTCCGATCGCGAACAACTCCTCGTCCTCCCCATTCTTCCGTGGCCGTGCCAAAACACTCGCTTCTCTCGCGACCGGTTCCCGTAACGCTTCGCAGGCTGACATGGCCCCACAAGAACTACACCTCCCCAAAGACCCGTACGTTAATGGCCAACGGGTCGAGGCTTTTCTCTACAAGAATGCCTCTGAGTGCCCCATCTGCTTCATGTACTACCCGCCACATCTGAACAAGACGCGTTGCTGCGATCAGCCCATCTGCTCAGAGTGCTTCGTCCAGATCAAGAGACCCGATCCGCATCCACCAGAACATCACGGAGAGCCGGGCGCTGAGGGTGCGTCATCTGCTGAACCGGAGGAAGAGGTCCAGCTAGTCTCGGAAGCAGCTGCTTGCCCCTACTGCACACAGACCGAGTTTGGAGTGACCTACGAGCCACCGCCTTTTAGGAGAGGGCTCGTCTACAATGGTCAGGGTCATAATGGTATGGGTAGCGCCACGTCTGCAATGTCATCCACCTCGTCTCTGAACTCGCCTACTGCGGCCGGCCCTGGTAGAAGAAGGGCGACGTCATTGGCAGTCACGGACAAGACTGTGATAACAACCGACATGGTGCGGCCTGATTGGGCCAAGAAGCTGGCAGACGCGAAATCCCACGCTTTGCGAAGGGCTGCTGCGGCCACTGCCCTACACAACGCTGCATACATGATGGGAAACCTTCCACAAGGCGAGAGTCGATTCGGTCTTGGAAGACGAAGGCGGATATTCACAACCGACAGTGCTGGTAGCAGTGGGCACGGAACACCCCGACGCGAGGGTGAAAGTTCGTCTGGTCAGCCAGGAAACTCAGGCGACCTATATCCCAGCCGAATCAGCTCAAGGAGGGGCAACAGGATTGATGACCTCGAGGAGCTCATGATGATGGAAGCAATACGTCTTAGTCTGGCAGCCGAAGAAGACCGCAAGAAGAGGGAAGAGAAGGACGCCGCCAAGGAAGCCAAGAAAGAGGGCAAGAAGAAGGCCAAGGAGATCAAGAAAGTCGCCAAAGCCCAGCGGAATATTACCAGTGGCTTCCACCCCATAGAGATTGATGGCATCGACGAAACGGAAGCGGGGAGCTCTTCTGCGGCTGGGAAAGGCAAGGGAGTTGATCGATCTGGTGGCGCCGGTGGCTTCAATCCCATGTCAGAACCGACGTCGACTTTGAACACGCCATCTACCAAGGAAGACCCGCAGAAACATCTCGAAGCTAGTCGCGCCCAGATTCAGCGGGAGACGTCTGACACCAGCAATCCAGCTCCTTCTCATCCCGAGCGCAATAAATCCAACGCCTCCTCCTCCTCCTCGTCGTTCGCCGAGTCATTCCAAAACTCATTACAACAGCAAGAAACCCAGCATACCCTCGCGCCCGGGTCTTCTTACGTACCTAGTTCAAACGCATCAGGTATCAGCTTAGCCCAGGGTGACACCGACACTCCTCCACAGGACTCGAATAGCACGGAGCCCATGTTCAACTTCCAAAGTCTTACCAAGGCCATCACCCCCGAAGACGACAACAAGAACGAGAATAAACCTCAATATATCGAGGACGTGGGCGAGACGCATACCGAAGAGAAATCAACAGCTGCCAACGGCAAGGCGCCTGAAGCCCCAACAGCCGCAGAGAGCCAGACTTCAGATCCGCTAGCTGAGAGCACGATGACGCTGAAGCCAAGCGAAGAAACACCAAAGACGCAAGACACACACTCCAACGACGACGACGAAATCAGCCCCGCGCCACCCATCCAACTCGTTTCAGATGACCACTCCCATTTCGACCAGAAGCACCTTGGCGAAGTAAGCATGATGCACGAGTTGAACCACCAAGCCACGCAGTGAAATCTTTTTTGCCAGTGAAGGATCACAACAACATGACCAATTTTCCTTTGTCAGGACTTCATATCAACATGCATTCGAATCGGTGTTTATCAAATCAATCAATCAAACGGCGCAAACGGTGGAAAGGGAGTTAAACAATCGCTACAGGTTTCTAGTGTCTACTCTCTGTTTCCGTCATCTCGGGCTCTGTGGCTTCATCGGGGCGTGGGAAGGTCTATTACTTTTCTGGGATGAAATTGCTGGGATTAAGCGGACGGGCAGTGAAAGCCTGTCTGTTGAGCTAGATTTCATGGAAAGAGAATGCATTTTATCACAACATCATCTTTCATGTGGAGTCTTTGGAAGTGAGCATGTACTGTGGAGTGATGCATGTAGTTTGATGGGTATGGGGTATTCATATCAATATAAAGACAGCAAAGATCAAACTCATTCCTGCATACGACCTGCGTGTGCGATTTCCCTTGTTCCGACGGCGCGATAACCGGGTTGAATGGGATATGATGAAGCCATGCGCCGAACTGTACTCCAATAACCGATAAACGCCGTTGGTATCATGCCATGCCATAGTATCCATCCGTGTCGTGTCGTGAAAAGTCGTCAAGTCGTGGAAAGCCCTCTTCTCTCCCTAGTCTTTCTTGCTCCCACCTGTGATTTATGAAAGAAATTCCGGCATCGTTCGCGTCGTTGATATTGCGATGGGCACAAGTGCACCCTCGTCCCCGTCCACTCAATAAACCAACGCCGTGATATCCCTCACACTCAGATGCTGCAACGCGGCGCTACTCTGGCCTCCTAGCCTTGTGAAGTAAAGTGATGCTAGATCCATGGTTGTGCGTAAAAGGGCTGTGGGCTTGCCGGGGTGGTAGAGGTCGAGGAGGGTGAGGGCCCAGCAGGCGATTTGGATTATGAGGAGGGAGGCTATGCAGAGGCGGAAGGACGAGTCTTTGCCCATTGTGTGTGGGTTGTTTGGTGGTTTTGTGAGGTGTTGTGGTAGAGTGTTGGTGATTTGCGTAGTGACGGGAGGTAGTAGATAGTGGAGTGTGGGGTTCCCAATTTCCTTGTTGTATTAATTCGTGACGTCCGTTCGTTTCGTGATCGTTTATTATCGTGAAGCTCGGATGCTCTCTCACTCTTCTCGCCGAAATACTCAATCAAAGAAAGAATGTTCAAAATGACAAAAGTTGTGCCGTGCGAAATTCGTGCAACGCCGTGATGTTTTAAGCCAAAGCGAAAATTAAACGAGGCTGGGCCTGTGTTATTGTTGATCTGTTGACCCCATAACTAACGGCGGGTGGAAAAAGAGTCGGTGTGGTGAGTTGGCATACCGCATGCATACAACCATCCCCAATCTTAGTCTAGAACAAAACGAAATTGTGGAAAGACGTCGACGATAAAGTCAACAATCGACACAGCGATGAAGAACAAGCGACAAAGTGGTCTGTCCATCACGTCTTCCCACCTTACCGTCACGCGTCACGCAATCACATCACCCACCATCTCTCCCCATAACCTCCAGCCCTCGAAGCACCGACGGGAGACCATTTCGTGAAAATCGTCCGTGAATGTCGGTGTGTAGCCGTGATCTGCTCGGTTTGTAGTAGCCCACTTCCTTCCCATCGGGCCTCCTGTCAACATGCAGAACCCCATAAAAACTAGCCTGCAAGGGGTTAAGACTGAGAGGAGACAGGTGCATGTGAGCCGTCCGCAGCCTCGCTGGCAACAATACGCGTGGGGCTCTAAGACCCTTCGCGCAAGGTTGTGCGCGGGCTGCGGGTGTTTATCCGGGTTGCAAGGGATGGTTGGGTGTGGGTTGGTGGTTGGTGATAGGTGGTAGGTGTTGAGGGTTTGTGGGCGGGCCGGAGGTTTGTAGGCGCGCGTATGTGCAGCATCTTTTTTCTTTGCTGGGCGCCTCGGATTGTTTTGCGGAACTTGCGGACTTTCACATGCGAAGATCGTGTAGGGCGTTAGGTAGTCGCGCAACGCACTTTGAGTGCGCCTTTCCCGCATTCCCGCCCCTCTATTCTTTTTTCTGAGACGTCATCTTTGATGTTTCGATGGAGGATGCAGATAGGACCGCGCGGCCGGGCAACCACGCCGCCAAGGCAACAACGAAACCGTCCCGACAACACCACCATCGGTCTGCGAGATGATGTAGCCAGGCAACACCAGACCAGACCATCGTCGTCGTAATATACAATCTACGGACGAGGGAGAGGTCAAGCCTTTACAAGGCGTACTGAAGGAACATCAAGATATAACCACTGGAGCAAATCACATATCAGCACCGAGTTCGGTAAACAACCCATCACAGCTGCCTACGGCAGCTATTTACAGTATAGGCATAAAACACGGGTATTATACGCGAAGCTTTCTGCAAGGAACCGTGCTGAAGGCTTAGATGGATGACACAAACTTCACCATATTCCCACTATCCGCGTTTGGTCGTATACGCGCTTAGTCGCCGAGGATACCTAGCAGAGTGAACCTGAGTTCATGCCATGACGACGCAATCTATATTCCTTCGTACATCCCTTAAGGCTTTGGCATTCGTATCCGGACGAAGCATACGCGCGGTTGTGTAACGGAACGGGACCTCCGTTCGAGGCACCTGCACCAGAAAGTTCAGTGCGTCTGCAATAGAGAGTGCCGCGCGTCGTGAGCCCATCGTCAAGGCGTTATCTCATTGTAAGTGTATGAGAAGATGTGACGGCTTACGGATACCTTTACGGGCGTAATTGAAGATGATGCTGCTCCCTCCCGAGGCGATGGTCCGCTTTCCTAAGGCGGTAATAGGGACGTGCTAATCTGGGTCACGATGATGTGGTTTTGGTCGAGGAGTAAGCTGCGAAAACGCGTGCCTTGCGGAGAGCCTTGGACGTAAGTGCTATGCTGTGCGATGTTAATTCGACTTCTCACGATCAGGCAGACACAATGGGGTGGTGTTGAGTCGGGCCGGGGTGTAGGTGGGAGTGTATATGAAAGAGTGCGTGTTCGGGGTGAAGATGCAATGCCACAGCGGAAGACAACGAGCTTGAAGTGAAGAAGAACAGCAAAAGGTATGTGAAAATTGGTTCCTTCGTGTTTCACGGTCAAAACAACGGACACTGGATAAAGTGAGATATCCTATCGTGGTTTACCTCATTTGGCTAGCGCTGGTTTGCCTGGTGCAACTCTACACTGTGCTTGTTTGCTACGGGCACAAGTACTACCTTCAGATCGAGCGCTGTCGTATCTAACAGTGACACAGTCATTTCATGTCGAGGGCACACACTGCAATAGAACTACAGCCTTTTTATACAGACATGGCTCGCGGAGATACCACTACACGAACGTATCGCGATGATGAAAGCGATGCTGTCAGTCAAATGTCTAGTCCGATGAGTCTTGAGGAACTAGAGCTTCAAAGGCAAGCACATCGACGTACTACATCGCAGCGCTGGTGGAACAGACTAAACTGCTGCGGTTTGCTATCTCGACGACCTGGAGAGACTGAAGCCCATCGAAGACAACGCAAGAGACGCTGTTGTCTTTGGTTCGGAATCGTTGCTGTTACTTTGACGATCTTCGGTGCTATTGCTGGAGGGTAAGGATATACAGTCAAGATGAAAAGAGAAACTAACATACATCAGTGTTTACATCACCTTTGTCTCCATTCTGCTAAAGCGACTCGCTCCTTCCCCCAGGAACAGTGGCCTACAGCACATTGTCGATACCTGGAAAGAGCCAGATTCCGGTAAAGCATTCCAATTCGACTGGAGAGATGACTTCAGCCGTGATATCGTACCGAAAAGCTGCCACTCCCACAACGACTACTGGCGCTCTGTTCCCCTCTATGCTGCCCTCGCCGCGGGATGTACCAGCATCGAAGCCGATATCTGGCTAACAGAAGATGGCGAACTGCGAGTCAGTCACTCATGGGAGTCTACGACCAGCGACCGAACGTTGAGGAGCTTATACATTGACCCACTGCTCAACATCCTCTCCCAGCGAAATGCAACAACAGCAGACGAACCAGACAAGAAAACAGGTGTTTTCGACATGGACCCAAGCGCAACCACCGTCCTGCTCATAGACTTCAAATCCGACCCGGAAGCAACATGGCCAATCCTCCTCTCACAACTCGCTCTCCTCCGCTCCAAGAACTGGCTAACATACTACAACGGATCAACCATCCGCAAAGGCCCCCTCACCATCGTCGGCACGGGGAATGCTCCTTTCAATTTCATTCAGTCTATGACAAACCGGTACATCTTCTTCGACGCACCACTCCTCTCCGTCTCAGATGCAAAGTACAACACCACAAATTCTTACTACGCGTCTGCTGCCATGAGCGACGCAGTAGGCAAGCTCTGGTTCGCAAGTATGTCGTCAAAACAGGTTGGAACAGTTCAGCAGCAAGTTGAAGCAGCGGGTGCGAAGGGGTTGGAGGGTCGGTACTGGGGTACTCCGAACTGGCCGATTGGAAGGAGGGATAAGGTTTGGGAGGTGTTGATTGGACTGGGTATTGGGGTGCTGAATGTAGATGATTTGGCCAGTGCGACAATGTGGAATTGGGGGTTTTGTGTTGTGGCTGGTATTGCGCTCTGTGGGAATAGCTAGATAAGTCTGTCGTTATGCTTGCATCATTGATGCAGCTCATAAATAGGTCCGTGTATAGTTTGAAGATCTCTGAAGAGCATCCGGGATGCTTGTGCAATGCTATGCTCATCCAATGTCCAAGTGTTGGCTGGCTCGTTTGTGTCGGTTCTTGCGATGCTCAGTGCTGTTTGCCGCGATCAGCACAACGTCATGGCCATGTTGATCAATGGCTGAAACTCGGGTTACGTGCGGCTCCATACAGTGCCTATCCCACCCACACAATCTACGTCATCTTCAAACTCCCCGTTTACCGTATCAATCGTGGTTTTAGACACGAACTCTGGAGCCCTAGTATCTTAGGAACAACGACGGTTCTGTTTGGACCCTGGCTGTGGGGACATCTAGTGGTTGATCATAAGAAGCTTCGCCTCGGATCCGCAAAAGCTAAGAATAGCCCCATTCCGTCTCGCGTTTGCCGGACAGCTGTCAGTATCGCAGCAAACACGCTGGTGCAAATGTCGTCGACTCCTGAGAAGAAGGGCTCATTTCACCGCCACAGGGTTCGCAGCCATTTAACGGCCAAATGTACCTGACATGCTTGATGCGTGTGGCTGAAACAACTCTGGGCAGGCACGATGCAAGCCTCAACAGGGGGTAAGGGATTACGTGGACAGTATCTCGATTTGGGGTATCTCCACCAGGATGCTCGGAAATAGGCGAGCTGTGGACCTATGGTAGTCATGCGACATCGCGTTTGTGGTTTCCGCGGCCTGGCTGCCCTGCAACAAAGGGATTAGTTGCTTTTTCATCGGCTGAAAGTCTGGACGGCCGTCCCGAATGAACAGCCGGCGATGCTGCTACACGATCGCGATTGTACGAGCTGGACACAAATTTTCCCTCTGTTGGGGCGTATCGATACGCGTGTACCTGCATCTGCACCGGGTATTTTGGCCAGAACCGATCAACGGCAAGGATGGCGGATCGGGTCCATCATGCTCATCGCTGCATGAGGCTCAACGAAAACCACATCCTCACAAACGACTATACATGAGTTGCTCCCCAACGGCCTGTCCGACATGTGCAGAAATACGGTAATTAAGGCATTGGCCTCAGTTTTATGTGCAGCCAGCGGTGACGATATTTCCTCTCGGTGATTCGTTGTGGCGAGTAGCTAGCGGTTTCAGTGGCATGTGGCTTTCCCGCTAACCCCTCCCTGCATACAGCTAGGCATGGTCTGGGGACCGGCGCGCGGCGTTGTTCGTCAAAGTAACTCCTTGCACTGCTACCTTTTCTTCACTCGCTCTCCCACCCTGACTTTGCTGCTATTGTGTCCCGAGAGCCTCTTCGCTCGTTCCTCTATCTCATTGTTTCCTTACCTTGCACAGAGAACCGACGGCAGGCCTTCGTTCAATCGCTGTCGTTACACGTCTCTATTGTACTACTCGTTCAAACGGCTCTCAAAAAGGAAGTGCTCGACGCACACTCTTCCGCCAGCTTCGTTTTGGCAAAACACTCCGGGATCTGCATTCCCATTCACAATTTCACAATACCCACAATACCCCGCCTGCGCATTCGCAGTGACGAATCGGCTCCTACGAACAACTACTAGATTTCCTTTACATGACAAGCAAACGAGCCTCTTCTCAGAGGTCCTTTCGACTCTCCAACCACGGTTTCCAGCCTCTCGACAACGGAAACATGGAGAACCGCGGCGATATACCCCTCCAGACTGTCGTCAGTCACACCCCCACGCAATCGTCCCCTACATCTGGCAATGAGAAATCGGAGAAGTCACACATGTTCTCGCGGGGGCGCAGGAAGGTGGCATTGGCGCCGGTGGACTCCAGGACAGGAGCGCCATTGCCTCCACGCCCCCATGAGGAGAAGACGGCTCTCAACCGCATGGGCAGGATCTACACCAAGATTCTGAACTGGAGCATCGTCACGCGCTACATGATCTACGTCGCTCCAGTTGCGTTGCTACTGGCCATTCCCATTATCCTCTCGCAGACAGGTACCATCACAGGCTCAATCGGCGGCACAGGCCAGAAGAAGTTCTGGATCTGGATCGAGATCATCTGGCTTAGTTTCTGGGTCATGAAGATTGTGGCACACTTCCTCCCCAACATTTTCGAATTCCTCATCGGTGTCGTCAGTCCTGGTGTCAAGAAATATGCGCTGCTCCTGAGAGCTCTCGAGAAGCCTCTGTCTTTCGTTTTCTGGATGATTGTTAACCAGGCCACATTCCCTGCAGTAAGATGAGAGAATCGCTCCTGAGACGAACCGCCACTAATGCCGTTTAGCTTATCAGACCTGTTGCTGGAAGAACTGGCGAGAACTATCCAGGATGGATTGGCACGATGCAGTCCGTTCTGCTTGCCCTTCTCGTCTGCACCATCATCATCCTCGCCGAGCGCGTCCTGATCCAGCTCATCAGTATCAGCTACCACCGCAAGCAGTTTGACGACAAGATTAAGGAGTCGAAGCGCAACATCTACCTCCTCGGTATCCTCTACGACACTTCGCGAGCGTTATTCCCCGCATACTGCAACGAGTTCGCCGAAGAGGATTACATCATCCAGGACACAATTCTGGATCTCGGGTTTGGCAGCAAGTCCAAGGGTACGGCTAAGCATGGTCGCTCAGGCAGTCGCACTCCCATGCGTCTCATCCAAGAAGTTGGGCGAGATGCTGGTCGCATTGGTGATAAAATCACATCCGTCTTTGGTACCATCGCTTCTGAGATTACCGGCAAGAAGGTCTTCGACCCCAACTCTGCTCACTCCGTCGTCTTGACTGCTTTGGAGAGGAACAAGAGCGCCGAGGCTCTGGCTAGGCGTATCTGGATGTCTATGGTCGTCGAAGGCAAGAACGAGCTTTACCTAGAGGATCTCGTTGAAGTCATGGGCCCTGGTCGCCAGGAAGAGGCGGAAGAGTGCTTCGCTGCAATCGACCGCGACGGAAACGGCGACATCAGTTTGGAAGAAATGATCTTGACTGTGACTGACTACGCTAGACAGCGCAAGTCCATCAACTCCAGCATGCACGATGTCGACCAAGCTATCAACGCCCTCGACGGTCTCATCATGACTATCGCCGTCATTGTCTGCATCTTCGTTTTTGTCGCTTTCCTCGCCCCGGCTTTCCGCACCACCCTCGCTACATCCGCGACTGCTCTTCTATCGCTTTCCTTCGTATTCGCGACCACTGCCCAAGAAGTCCTCGGTTCCTGTATCTTCCTCTTCGTCAAGCACCCGTACGATATCGGCGATCGTGTCGACATTACCACCGAACAGCTCACTGTAGAACACATTGCCCTGCTCTACACCGTGTTCAAGCGCGTTACCAACGGAAAGACTGTTCAGATTCCCAATATTGTCCTGAACTCGCTGTGGGTGGAGAACATTACACGAAGCAAGGCCATGCGAGAGCAAGTATCGGTATTCTGCGACTTCGGTACCTCGTTCGAGGATATCAATCTGCTCAAGATGGAGATGATGAGCTTCGTTCGCGACCCTGCCAACGCCCGCGAGTTCCACTCTGATATCGACATCGAAGTGGTTAGCATTGCCGAGATGAACAAGCTGGAGCTCCGCGTCGAGATCCGCCACAAGAGCAACTGGTCTAACGAGTCACTTCGCGCTTCTCGCCGATCCAAGTTCATGTGCGCGCTCGTCGTCGCTTTGCGCAAGGTCCCGATCAATGGTCCGGCTGGAGGCGACGCTGCTCTGGGCTCGCAAGACAAGCCTACATGGTCCGTCGCAGTCCCACCCGCTGAGGCCGTCGCCGCGTACGAGAAATACAAGGCCAGCGCTGATGCCGGCCGTCTGCGCCCACTCAACCCCAAGGAGGAGGATACTGGCAGGACTTCTGGTGTTGACTACTTGGGCGTCGGCACGGAAGGCAACGCAATCAGTGCGCTCAACAACAGGAAGCCCGGTCTGGACACTATTCGCGACGACACCTGGGAAGCTCGCGGCGACGACTCCAGTACCATTGGCCGTCCCAGCACAGACCAAAGACCCGACCTCGACGAAGTCCGCGGTCTACTCCGCAAGGCCAGTTCCGCCGGAAAGCGAAAGGGCGGAACCACACTCTCACCATTCGGCTCGCGCGTCTTCGTCGATACACCTCGCCAGAACCCGCCTCCACCTCTACCGCTCCACGTAGTACCCTCCGGCAGCCAAAGCACGTATGCGCCTCCACCAGGCGGTCCCCTGCCACCGCCATCCATGCCTCGCAGCACCGCACCCGGATCGCCTAGTTCTATTTCTACAGGACAGGTAGAGGAGTACTCGTATCAGACGATGGCCCCACCGCCTCGCTCACGCAGTCGACCTCGTGCACCACAAGTAGAAGAGGATGAGGGCGAGAGGCGATGGGATATCAATGCCAATGCGCCACAACGCGCCCCGTCGAATAATAACCCTTATCGCAGTCCGGGGTCGCCGCAGCAGGGTGGGTTTCAGCAGTTTAAGAGGGAGTAGAACTTCCTGATGGATGTATCTGATCATAGTATATGGTACACTTGTGATCTTCAACCAGATTGAGGTTCAAAATTCGTGTAATATCTTTTTCTTTATATCTATTTAGATGGAAATCTTAGCATGGCATTGGTGGTGGTGATGATGTCTTGAAGACGCTTACCTCACTGTGGCGTTTTATATTGCTTAGTAGGTGTGCTCACGAGATGAGCGCAATATCAATTATTACTGTTTAACACTTCGTCTCATCCTCATCTCGCATTGAAGTGTTTGTCATGTGAGTAACTATCGCCGGTCGAGTCTGCGGAGCTACGGAGTTGCGCACGTGAGTTGACACTGGATCTACGGGTATATAAACCCCTCTTCTGTCTTCTGGACTTGACTTTTTTTGTTCCACACTTCCTCCTCTGTTTTCCAAACAGGATCAACGTCCGAGGCATGGAGAAATGCTTGCTTGCTTGCTCACAACCCTGCCAACGACTTATCGGCTCGGGTCTCGACAGCGAGCGATAAGACACGGCTGAATGGGCACGGCCATTCGACGATCATACTGCACTTCGTGCCACTCGATTGGGCTCACAGGTACAGTAATATAGAAACGCAACTATACGACGGTCACAATCATGAAAGACAGGGCTGTTTCAACGGTGGTAGTGATCGGCAGCATGTTATTGTTGATTAGGCAGCTAATAACGTTGAACTAACGAGCATCCAGTTCTACCCTGCTCACTCTGCGTACGAAGATTCCGGGTCCCTCGCAACAGCTAGCATCGCATCAGCCTCGAACTTGGCGCGTTTCTCTGCATAGGACGATTTTGGGGCTCTTGCCACAGCAAGCATTGCATCAGCTTCGAAATGAGCACGCTCGCCACGCTTGTTGGCGTAAGATGACTCTGGGGATCGCGCAACGGCCAGCATAGCATCAGCCTCAAAATCTAGGGTGTCAAATTAGCCCAGGTGGTGCTGTGATAAAGGCTGCTGACTCACTGGCTGGCTGAGCTACGGGCGCAGCATGTGCAAGAGCGAGTAAGACTGGTGCGAAGACAAGTAACTTCATGTCTGCGATTCCTTACGTGGGGTATGTTGTGAATGGAATCGTGTAGCAAATAATGACTCAGTACAGTATAGTAAGATGGTTGAAATGAAGACCGGTGGCTTCTCATCATCCTTTTGTATCTTTTCCTAAGCCTCAACGCATTGCCCACTTTTGCACCATCACATGGTCCTTATCTTGAATTGACGACGAGAACAGTCAGCCTAAACATCTTTGATAAGCCCACATGGCATCGAAATGCGGGCACCATGCTCATTGGCTCATGAAAAGCGTGCCAATACCTCGAGTCGGTGGGTGAACCAGTAGCTAGAGTAAGCGCAATCAAATGTATTAACAGTGCAGTCAGTGACGATAGCATCATCTGATAAGTCAACATTCAAGACCCCGAGTTTCAAGAGCTCAGAACTTTTCGACGGATGCTGGAATCTCACGTCACATCCGAAATCATTCCCTTGATCACAACAATACGCCTGCTCTTTACGAAGCATCAAGATGTTTCCAAAGCCCACCATCACCTATCTACCTTTGTCGAGCATCTCTCGGTCTGAAAATGATGAAGCCAGTTACATGTATTCGAGACCAGCCAAAAGTCTCACAAAATATCATTGGCTTGCGCACGGCGTAAGTTTAAGCATGATACTTGTGCTTCTTGCGCTTCGGAACCAAGTCGGCCAAGTCTCCTGGACTTCATGCTGGAATTTACACAACTACTACTGTACGCTCACCATATCTGATCGGAACATAGATCTACTGACTGAACTCCACAGCTCCCATTGATGAAGGTGTGGCTGCCATTCCCTACATCGAAACGCGCTTCAATGGCTCTCTTTGGCACTTGTCTCCCTTCAAAGGCCCCCCAAGCCCGGATACCAAGGCAGCCTGGCATTCAGTCATGGAATACGGCATGATCGGGGTGGAAGCCTCCCAGATTGAGGCCGTCGGCCACAATCTCAGTACTGCATCTCGCTTCACAAATGCAGTCGGAGGAGGATATATTGCGGTGGCTGTGGGGACGCATCAGCTGCACTGCCTGCATTACATCTGGCAGGACCACCATCAATCATATTTCAAGGAAGTGCAGCAAAAGATCAAGGATATCCCTGACATGTACGAGCGTCACTATGAACACTGCGTCGACTACATTAGGCAGAGTCTCATGTGCAACTTCGATGCTACGCTCGTAACATACGACTGGGTGCTTGACCATCAAAATCCCACTCCAAACTCAAACGCTATGCACAAGTGCGTTGATTGGGATGGCGTCCAGGACTGGCTGAAGAGCAGGGTAGTCGAGATACCTGAGGGGTTTATCTGGTCCCAGCCCGAAGGGCAGGAGAGCTTACCGTGGAATCCCTGAAAGATAGCACCATATATGTACCTAGGTATGCAACTTAAAAAGCGACCACACACATTATATCGTATGCATGGCCCCCACGTTGTGCAACGCTGCGAAACGCAAGGTTGTTATCGAGCCGGCCTAGGGGTCTGCTACCTGAGTGGCTTGCACCCCACTCCGGACTGCATGATTGCCTTCTTTCCTACTCGGCATGGATAGAAGCGCGGTGTGAACTGGCAGGCTCCTGTGTGTCGTGTAACGTCAACACGGCTCTGCAATGAAGCCAGCCTGTCGCCTTGTTTGCTCACTTTCGTGCACGCACCAGCGTCCCAACGATTTCGTGTCGCAACCCCCCACATAGCTCAGAAGATGGAAGATTGACGCTCAAGGAAGTCCATATCACCTTTTTTTTTTCAGTGTAAGGCCAGTACCGTGGCATATGCAACGAAAGAGTGCAACACGCTACACACCTGGAACGTTCTAGAATTGATGACTATTAGAAACGATCTTTGATGTGCTGGAGCAGTAGTTGTCGCATCCCTTTCAACTTTCTTCGCGACTTAGAGGATTCTGTGCGTGACACGTGTTGTTCTTCGTCCTCTTCAACTGAATCCTCAAATTTCCAACCGACAATGGTGCATCCTGCACCACACAGAATTTGCCTCTCCGTTGAGAACATACAAAACACTACTCCGCTAGATAGCGCTGCGATTTCTATGCCTGTTACGACTGCATTCCGAACACTTTCGGTGAGATCGTGACTTTGTTGCTGCTGCTTGAGGTCCAGGCCCAGAACTCTCTGAGTTTCTTTAATATCCAGGCAGCGCTCTTTTCTCCTTGTTCCTTCATCGCCATAGGCCCATATCGCTACTGACTCATCATATGATCCGGTGACGATCAAGTTCTCCTTGTGTATGAACATCAGGGCGCGGACGAGGTCATTGTGGCTTTTCCATCGTGAAATTGGACGCCCTGACTGCTTGTGACGGATGAGAATATCTAAATCGCCTCCTGCCGAAATAATTTATTGACCATCCTGAGAAAGCACTAGAGACACAATCTTTTTTCGGGGGGGAAAGAAATCTGTTTGATGCAGGTGCCACTTTCGATGTTAAAGACGCGAATTATCCTGTCTCCACTAGCGGTAATGGTTTCGGTTTCTGTGAGAACCGCTGCATCAGCAGCTCCTGTATGTCCACGGAGTACGCTATGAGGAAACGGCTCGCTACCTCGCCGTTCCCCGAGGCTCTCCAGGAAGCTGCGAGCCCACAATTTCGCTGTGCAATCTTCCGAAGTCGTCACAACATATTGTGAGTTAATCTTGATGCTCAAAATACTGTCTCCGTGCGCTTGCTTGATGTTATTCTTCATGTCCCCTGTTGAGAGTTGCCACACGATAAGACTGCCATTCCCTACGCAACTGAACAACATGTCAGTCTCGTGATCCGCGACCATGCCGAAGACGGACGAATTGTGGCCCAATAAAGGTGAGTAGGCCAAGCGCCGCGTCGATGCGTTCCAGACTCGAATTGAGCCATCCCTACTGCCGCTTATTATGAAGTTTCTTGTCTGACATAACGCGTACACCAGGTCGGTGTGCCCTTCTGATGCATGCTGAGAAGGAGGAACGGAAATGGGATTCGCGCGACCCTTGCACCATGATACATCTGAAGGTGCAAAAGCGGGTTCGAGAGTTGGTTCAGTGTCGTTTGAGAGAGCTTGTAGTGAAGGTTCTTCATGGTGTGACTTATGATAGGTCACAGGTTGACGAAATGGCCCCGACCCGTAAGTCGACACGGAAGGATAAGAACTTTTTTCAGCAGAAGAAGATGTTGCAAAATGTAGTGGAGGGTCGTCGTCAATCAGAGCGAGTTTTTCTTCCAGGGGCGATGGTTTTGAGGATTCATCCTCAAGATTCTGAGTAGATCCACGACCAAATGAGCTTTCTACTTAGCTAGTAAGGCTGTCGAGATATCTTTGCAGAATAAAATGAGTACCATTGCGGCCTTGATCCGGTAGTTTTGCTTGGAGTTTTGCGATCTCCTGGAGTATCGATGAGTAGATTTGCCGTGTCAACCTTGATATCTGTACGCATGGGGTGTTGCCGATTGCAACGAGGGCATTGCCCATAGGTAGCGAGCTAGCCATGATTAGGATGAGATGAGTGGGTTGGCGTATCTCCAGGTGTATCGGGTTTCAGGCGTCCTTTATTTTTCGGGTCGTACAGCTTGGGAATCCTTGCGGCTGCGCGTAACATTATATATGCTGTCTGGTTGTTCAGCAGTATTTCTGCTTCTGTCGGCGTTGAGATCCACCTAATTGGCATTTACCTAACGGGCGCGTTGGGGACTATCCCGAGGTTAGCTGCAGCTGCTATCTAGCACCGGGGCTGATACTCAGCCTCCGAGCTCAGGATCACGACAGGAGATCACGACAATTCCGATTCTACTGGAGAGCGTCTGCAAGTCGACTGGTCATTTCGCTTCCGGGCACGGTCTTTTGCAGCTGAAGCAGGAGCAAGTGGCACTACATGGTAGCCGTAAAATGCAGATCCCAGGCGCGAACGGTCGCGCGAACTCAGAGAGATCATTGTATACTGACGGTAGGTACAAGGCCTGAGGCGCGTGCGATGCGCATAGCTTGGCACGTTTATGAACAAGCCAATAACAAGATGCCGGCTGTGTCAACCCATGTAAGCACTTCCCGCTGACAGCTCGTGACAGGAACATAAGCGTTAAGCGGGCCCATCCTGATTCTGCCATGCTTGTCTGGCGCTATCACCAGCCTTGTTCCCATTTCACAACCGACAACTTTGACCGGGGTTGAAGAATACCGTCACCAGATCTACGATAAACCGCATGATACGGAGAAGACTGAATCGAGATTACTGGGCGGTCGCGCGACTAACCTGTGCGAAAGAAATGCAAGAGAAGAGCGATCAACAGCAAAGATGGGGGTTATAAACAGCAAAACAAATCGCGATCCCCAGCAAACATTAAAGGATATAGCGCATGGTCGGTGTGAAGATAAGGTTGTGTTGCGGAAACTGCTTGAAAGCAATTATGTGAGACCGGACGAACGAGATGAAGATGAATCAAGCCGAACCTTGCTATCGTTCGCCGTAAGCAATGCATCCGCAGCGGTCGTCAAGACTTTTCTGGATAGTGGCAAGGTGGATCCAGATTTGCGTGATACGAAAGGACGTACGCCTCTATCGTATGCCGCAAAGGACGATCGTGGAGCAACTTTAAGAATACTTCTCGAGAGTGAGCGGGTGGATCCAGACTCTCGAGATAACAAAGGTCGAACGCCTCTGTCGTACGCTATGGATGAGAAGAACTGTTGGACCGAAGCAATTGCAAAGATGCTTCTCGAGACCGACAGAGTGGATCCAGACTCTCGAGATAACAAAGGTCGAACACCTCTGTCGTACGCTGCGGATGCGGGGGCCAATACGATCGTTGAAAAGCTTCTCTCAAGTAACAGGGTAGATCCCGACTCTCGAGACGACAACGGTCGAACGCCTCTGTCGTACGCTGCAGGCAAGTGGTGCAACACGGTCGTGAGAATGTTGCTTGACAACGAAAAGGTTGACCCAGATTCGAGGGATGCAAGTGGCCGTACCCCGCTGTTATGGGCTGTACGAAGAGAGACTCGAGATCTTACGATACCGCTGGGTTTGCTGCAAACTGGGAAGGTAAATCCTGCCTCTCGGGATGAGCAAGGCTACACAGCCCTTTGGTGGGCTATTGGGGGTGGATGCGAAGAACTCGTTACACTGTTACTTGAAACAGGGCAAGTGGATGTAGAGGCAAAGGAAAAGTCGACCGGTCGATCTCCACTGTCCCATGCGGTACGAGTCGGAAACGAACCAATCGTGAAGGCGTTACTAGGCACCAATAGCGTGAATGTGAATTCGAAAGATAACCGGGGAATCACGCCGCTCATGTGGGCGGTTGAGCGCAAAAATCTCCATATTGTGGACTTGCTACTGGGCGATGGGAGGCTTCTCGAGCGCTCTACAGATGATAGCGGTCTCGAGATCGATGCTCGATATCTCGCGCACTGGCAAAATTCATGCAACCAAGACCATGGCAAGTACTGTGCATCATCACCGATCGAGCACCGACTGCCTCGCCAGATTCCTGATTGGGTCATTGACACAGCGGAAGGTTGTCTAGTATCCGGTCGTACCGCATCAAGATACATAGCTTTGAGCTATGTGTGGGTCGCCCCAGATACGAGTACCGACGTGTCCACAGCGGAGAGGCTAATGCTAACACAGAAAAGTCTGAACCAGTTTCAAGAGCGGGGCTATCTGCAAGGGGATGCACTCGCACGTCTTCCATGTACGGTGAAAGACGCGATTGTTCTTGTGCAGAAGTACGGGGAAAGATACCTGTGGGTTGATTGCCTATGTATTGTGCAGGACAATGACAGAACACGCGATCAGGTCGACAACATGGGTGAAATATACGCTGGCGCGTACCTTACCATAATTGCTGCGACCACTGCGGGACGTCTAAATACCCGGAAATCCACAAGATGTCATAGCCTGGACTCTACTACCCAACTTTATGAGAAGCTTTTCAAGACCAAGTGGGCCACTCGTGGGTGGACCTTTCAGGAACAAATGCTCTCTAAGAGAGTAATTATCTTCCTTGACAGAGAAGTATTCTGGGATTGCCAGAGATGCGTCTGGAATAGGGACGACCTTACCCCAGAATCTGCTCCGGGTACTACATTGACCAGACCGTACTATGAGACCGCTCGGCGAATATCCACCATGTCTCAGCCAGATCTCGATATGTACATCGAGATGATTAGCTTGTACAACAGTCGCGATCTGACTTACCCGCAGGACGCGCTACCGGCGATATCTGGAGTATTAAGTACACTGAAGCGTACCTTCACTTCTGGTTTCGTCAGTGGCCTCCCCTGTACATTCCTAGACCTCGCACTATTATGGCAGCCCTACAGTATAGCGAGTCGTAGGGTTGCTAGGGATGGAGGCAATATCGCGTCAACAAAAAGTCTACCATCATGGTCCTGGTGCGGTTGGCAATGCCCCGTGGATCCCCACAACCTCCGTTCGAGGTTTGACTACTTTGAGGAAGACTCTTCCGGGGAACATACGATCAACCCTACTCCATCAACTTGGCAAACACACAGACTTGTGCAGTGGTATGCTTTGTCTGAAGATATGCAGCACACGTCGCGCATTGACGAATTTGATTCTCTCTTGACGCGCCCAGAACCTGCTCTCCATAGAAGTTCTGTATCACCTGGCACACAAACATCTCATCATCAAAGTAAATACGAATCATTGAGAGAAGGCAAAGATGCTGGATCCGTAGATACAACCATGGCTTCGAGCTCGCACCGTTTGTCCGTAACTTCCCACCACGATTCAAGTTCTGCGTTGCAACTTCGAAAAGATTGGCCATTCCTCTCATGCAAAACACGTACGGCTTCACTCCGTCTCAAAGCTGTCCTCAAGAAACGCCAATATATTAATCCCTGCTATATGGGTCCATCGGTATTCGAACTTCGTCGATTTGCTGGTGAGCCAGCAAATTCTGGCATGTGTCATCTCATATGCCTGGAAGACAAACGAGGGAATCAAGCAGGCGTACTACGCCATATGAATCGTGATAGAGCCGAGCCAGGCGACGCGATTGAGCTGATCGCTTTGTCCACCGGGACTATACGGTCGGAACACCTTCGGAACGTTGGAGGTAATAGCGGGCCTTTGTTCAAACAGGAGATGGTATCAAACATTGATGGGAAATGCTCTTCTGAATATCTGGGTAAGTAGGATATGGGCTGAGAATATTGATATAGCCCCACAAGCACAACGGAAGGAATCCAGTGCTGACAATTCCTAGAACTGAGAAGCGAAGTGGAGAGATACGGTGTGCAAAGTACATCTGGCTGGGAATATCACTTCTACAATGTTCTTTGGATTGAACGTAAGGGCGAAATCGTGTATCGGAAGGCAGCTGGGCGTGTACCAAAAGTCATCTGGGAGGCAAATTGCACGGAGCCCGCAAAAATCATTCTTGGCTGATACTTCGCAAGAGCCGCGAGTCACTCAAATTACGTCAATAAATGTTATGAATAGATACCAGACTTCAGTCGCACTGTATATGCGTAAATATTTACAAGCTCAGGATGACACATAATGAGTCATTTCGCGCTAACCAGCTAAGATCCGGCCATATCCAAACACAAAAGTGAATGTCCAAGATCGAAAGGATCCAATAAGCAAATAGTCGACTTCAAGTTCAACTATTCCAACACTCGCAACTTTCAAAAAATGATAGTAGATATCCTCCACGACATCCGCATCTGGACCTTATTTGCCATCCTCAGCGGCGTCTACGTCTACATCCAAAATCACCGGCGCCGCCCACCCTTCCCTGTGATAAACACGCACGCAAACGATTTCCTCGGCCGAAAAGCCAACCAAGACTACGCCACCAATGCCTCCGCCCTAATAACCAACGCCCTCACCGCCCACCCCACCCTCCCCTTCGCCCTCACCCTCCCCAACGCCTACAAAGTTGTCCTCCCAGCTTCCCTATCCAATTTCGTCAAATCGAATCGAGACCTAGATCACAGGGAGCTAGTACGTCAAGACTTCTACGCAGGATACCCCGGTTTCGAAGCTCAGGATGTGTTGCACGCGTCTGGGGATATGTTGCTAGACATCATCAAGACGAAGCTAGGGCAGAACGATAGTGTTATGCCTGTTCTGAGCATGAATTTGGATAGTGCATTGCGTGTGCACTGGGGTGAAGAGAGTGAGTGGCGGATGCTGAACTGGCATGCTGATACAACGGTTATAATTGCATGCGCTGCTTCGTCGGTTTTTGTTGGACCGGAGAAGTGTGAGGACGAGGAGTGGTTGAAGCTTGTGCAGGAATATGTCATGGTATATTTCTCTGCGGTGGGCGAATTGCATGCGTATCCAGCATGGTCGCGACGCATTATCCAGCGATTCTTCTCACCCAATGCATCTGCTTGCCGGAGACATGTCGCCCGCGCGAGGGAAATCATGAGAGACGTCCTCGCGGATAGGGAACGCCGAGTTGAAGAAGCGAAGGCAGAAGGTAGAGATATACCCGTTTGGAACGATGCACTTGCGTGGACGCAGGCTGCTCCAGGAGGGAAAGAAGCGGAGGCGGGCGACTTGCAGCTGTCGCTTGCTATGGCGGCCATGTTCACTACGAGCGAGCTGTTCAGACAGGTTCTGATTGATGTGGCATCGCATCCGGACATCATCGCGCCGTTGCGGGAAGAGTCGCAGCAGCAGATTGCTAAGCACGGCATCTCGGTCGCTGCGACAAATGGAATGGTGTTTATGGACAGTGTCTTGAAAGAAAGTCAGAGAAGGAGTGCGGCCGCAGGTATGTATTCCCCTCGTTCCATTCATACCTCCATGCGACTCTCTGGATAATATGGAAAGGAAACAAGAGCTCATACGTCGAATAGTCGCCCTGGAGCGCGTCGCTTTGAGAGACGTCAAACTCCCAACCGGACATACACTCCAGCGAGGCACACACATAATGGTCGACTCCACCTCGCTCTTTTCTCCCGCGCACTACTCCGACCCCGACTCTTTCGTTGCAGATCGCTTCCTTCGGAAGCGTGAAGCGGGCGACAAGTCTAGCCAATTCGTGCAATCAGGTCCTGATTATAGTGTTTTTGGAGGTGGAAGACATATTTGTCCGGGAAGATTTTTTGCAGGGAATGAATTGAAGATGGCGATGGCACATGTGCTGGAAAAGTATGATATCAGAGTGAAGGAGGGTTATGTCTCGAAGCCATTGGAGATGGGAGTCTACAAGGTTGTAGATCCGATGATGAAGTTTGAGGTCAGGAGGAGGAAAAGAGATGAATGTGTACTATAGAAAGTCACTCTTGGCTGATACTTTGCAAAAGCAGCGAGCCACTCACAATTTATAAGGTTTGTAGACCCATGCGTACAATGAACCAGCTATAAAGTCTCCAACACCCACTCACCCTCCACTTCTTCTTTAGTACACTTCCCTCTTATTCTCCGAAAGAGCTTATTGAACATGTGATGTAGAGTCTTTCATCCAAAAGCTATTTGTCAACAAGTGATGCTACTGTTTTCCGACTTACACCAAAACAAAGATCATTGTGAACGATGTAATGATCGCGCGGAGCAAAAGAGGTTACATTTTGCGCATGTGAAGGTCGACCACGAGGAGTACAGACAAACAACGACACTACGTGGAGAGCCATGGGGGAACATCCAAAATTCGAATGCCTAATGGCTACGTGTTTGTCGTGCAGCGTCATTCAAGTGATGGGATAGAGAGCTCGATATCCTGGGTCAAGGTGTATAAATAGCCCTAGTCTTCCAGCACTTTTTTTTTCTCAATACCACCACATTTCTCTTCTTTTCCAGATGCACTATGAACTCTCGCCATGACTGCGGCGCTGAGACTCAAAATTACCAAGACACTTGAAATGTCGGTTCTGTCTGTCGCCGCAAAACCTGTACCTTGGTACGAGTACTTCAAAAACGATGCCCGATTTCGTGATGAGAGACATCAAAAAGGATCGAATGAACTGTACATGGAGTGGAAGAGTCGAGCTTTCTCCACATCAAAGTCCAAAACTCTGGGAGTGGACTGCCACAACGAGACGCTAGCGCATCGGTCGCGAAATGTGGCTATAAAGTCTTCGCCGCGCATCTTTGTACGATGCATCCTCTCAGTACCTTCTTTCCTCTTGTCTCCAAAAGCTAAAGGGATACTTTCAATGGCTCGAGATTATTTCCAAAAACAACGCACGAGCAAGGCTATGAGGTGGCGGAGTACATACGCCCTTATTCTGCAACAAAAATCCGATCAACATGAGCCATGTGTCTAGCTTCTCGTTGGCACTCAGAACAACGTTCAACAACGGCTCAATGACGCACAAAAGGAAACACCGGAAGAATGCATGCGTCTGTCCAAAATAAAAACAAAACTATAGGCTCCCGCGCAGAAATAGATAAGACCCATAATATACATACGCTTTTCGTAAATGCAGAATAACTCCGTCATCATGCTATGATACAATCCTCTCCACTCCGATCCGCCTACCCGCGCCATCCGTCCTACTCCCCAACTCCGCATACATGTCCCAAAGATACTTTCGATGCAGAAAGACTTCTCCTTGCATCTGTACGTCATCGCTCGCATCTCCCATCGCTCGGCCGATCTTCAGATCTACATAGGCCGGTATAGCGGCTAGTAGTTCCCGAAAAAAGGCCTTGTGGACAAATGGGGTGGTTGACCATTCATGGAATTCTGGATGCGACCATTCGTAGTACCGGGTATGGAGCGTGGGGACGATGCGGAGAAATTGTAATGAGGGGAGCGCGGAGAAGAAAGAAGCCCAGTCGACGTATCGGTTCATTCGTATAGCGTCTTTCAGCTGAAGTTCCACTTGTAGGCGTTTGACGCGTGAAAGGTCCCAGCCGTGTGGGATCTCGTAGGTCGGAACTGGGAGTTTATTGAGGGAGATGGCAAACCAGTTGTTGGTGTACATGCAGTCTGTTGCTTCGCCGGCTAGTCTTTGAGATGCTCTGAGGAGTTCTAGGTGAAGAAGCGGCTCTGGTTCGGCTGTCCGGGGACATACTGGGCGTTTTCCTGTCGAAAGTCGCCGTTGGTTCAGTCGTTCTCGTGACTTGAGTGCGGCTAAGCGTTTCTTCCGGTCATTGAGTATGGTCGTTGCGTCGAGTATGGGTAAAGAGCGCGATGTCCTGCGCACCACGAGGTGTGAGTAGACTTCATCCCTGATTTCCTGCGGTAGTTCGAAGAAGCGAAAGGGCCTGCCGTTGGTGATGCGTTGCGTCACCACTGCGTTGGATACGCGACGAGGCCTCCGGGGCGGTATCGTTCTCGGCCGTCGTTCATGCTGTACCCCGTGAAGCGTGCGACTGAGCTCGGCGTCTTTCTTCGAGATATCCCCAGACTCCAGGCCCTTGAGGATGAGTAAACTTGGTAGTAGCTCCTCCAGCATGGAACCTCCCCGACGACGTTGTGGTGCGGCCATCACAGACCAATTGCATGATACAATCTGCTCCTATCAGCCACATGTTGGCGACCATTTTGTTTATGAAGTCGCCTGGACGGGGAAATTGCCTTCATCTTACACTACTGTCAAAATTGCACCAACATGTGGGACCCTGGCTCCCGCGCTGCAGGTCCTGCAGGATCGGAGGTTGCAGGGTGATACCGTGTCGTCGAGGTGTTCGCACCATGTTCAGTACGGCCCTGGTTACCGAGTGACGGGGTCGAAGGATTGTGGTGGAGAGGAGGAGCCGGGCGCGGAGATTGTGGTCCAAGCCGCTGAATCACGACGAGCAATGCGGGAAAGATGCGGCATCCTCAGCTTTTATTCTGCCAAAACTGTCTGCCGTTCTGTCAGCCATTCCAATATCTGAGATGGTAGCTGCATTTATTAGGGCGAGTGTCGAAGAAACAATAGCAGAAGAAGTAATTGTATTACCGTAGAGTGCGGTATAGCGAGGCTATGATGTGTCTTAACAGAGGTATTATAGCTTAGTGTTTCAGCCCAAGAAGATATTGCGCATGGCGGAACGCTTAAGCGAAAGCACTAGAGTAGAATAAGTCGTTCCCAGGACCTTGGTACGTTCATGCGATCGGTGGTGGGTGGTTATTTTGGTGCTTTGCTTCTGGTGGCTGCTAGCCGTCCACGCCTACTTTGGCGTGGCGGAAATATTTCATGCCCACCCAGGCCACGACAACCCACACCCAGCTCGTAACTGCCGTGCAGACAATCAATGCAGGATAGTAGCCCGTAATGGGCAGGGTTGCGTCGTCTTCCAAATCGGGTGGAGCATACGGTGTCTCGCCCACGTCCCAAGCCCAGCTCCAGATTCCGAGGCAAGAGCCCATGCCGACGACGAAAACAATCCACGTTGCTATGAGCACGACCCAGCCCCACCACTCTGTCTCGCTGTAATCCCACTCATCATCAGGGTCAGCCTCGGCAGGTGTCAGGACGGCCGAGATGGAAGTGCGTCGGTTGCTCCGAGTTGAACGGCGGTGTGCAAGAGATGTCGCAGAGCCCTGGTTGGCACCACTGAAGGAGAAGTCATTGCCGGCGGGAGAGGGGCGGTAGAAGGACATGGTGTCGTCTTCGTCGGTAGTCGAAGCGTAAGGCGCGACCGGGCTCGTCATGGGTGATGCAAGAAGTGAAGGAGCAGCCCGTTCAGGACCATCGGGTGGGGTGTAAATAAGCGCGGGTGACGACGGGGACAGGTGCGCGGCGGGTAGCCATCCACTGTCAGACGAAGAGTTGAGGGGAGCGTTCTCGTAGCTGAAGCGTCCTGGGGCTGTGGCTTCGTCCGAGGGGTCTAAGCTTGTGCTGGTGGTGATTGTGGGTGTTTTGGCCTTGCGCAGAGAGCTGCTCCGTTCACGCATCTTGGCCATGGCGGCTTTCCTAAGAGATCCCTTTCTCTGCCTCCCTTGGCTCTGGCGCAGGGCAGTCGCGATGGAGGACGCCCTCTTCGCACCTTCCGTATCCTGATCGTACTCCTCGTCGTTGCCTAGTTGTGTCGATGGCGCCTTCCCCATGGCATCCATGGAGGACCTGAGGAAGGCGCCCAGTATGCCTCCCGACTTGCTGCGTCTATGGCTAGACGAGCCGTCCGCGTCGTGCTTCACATCCGCTCCCTCAGCACGACCCTCATTGCGCGCACCGTTTCCGTCTGGCATGGTTCCCACGTGCGCCAACAACCATGGAGGACCGAGGTGGTGAATCAAGTGTCATGTTTCGGAGCCAGACTGTCAACGTCAGTGTCATGTTGCGCTCTAGGGTACCAAGGGTAGCGTTCCCTTGCATGCGGGCTAGTCGGGGCCGGATTGGTCGATTCACCGAGTATGGGCCGCCGCATACAGAAGGCCTCCCTCAATTTCCCCTCCACCTCCCGTCCGGGGTTCAACTGCGCTGGTTATCTCGTTAAGCCTGGATTGCGCATTCGCTAACCGTCACTCATTACCGTCACTCATTTACCACCGTCATGGCCGCGAAAATGCCTCTGCCTGCTCCACCACGGACCCCTACGCCGCCTCCTGACGAGAACGCGCCCCAGCCCGTAGGACTAGGATTCCGAAGCGATCTGGCTGTGGACGATATGGGGCCTAACAATAATGCGCTGCTGTCGCCCATGTCGGCCACGTTTCCCTCCAAGCAGTATGCGACTCTCGGACCCAGTGACTCAGTCTCGCAGAGGGCGTCGCCGGCGACTCTGTATACACCCGCGAGCGCGACCTTTCCACAGACACCCGCGAGTGCTGCCAGTGGAACCATGGATCTCGACGCGCCCTCTATGAGCGGGTCCGAGAACCCCGGTCCCTTCAACTTTCAATCTGTCGCCTACCAACCTGGTCGACCGCAGGTCAAGGCCAATGTGCGTCCTTCTATATGACCCGATGCGCTTATACTGACTTTCGCAGGACATCGGCCGACGACGAGGACACAAGTACAAGCACAGTAGTGTATCGCATCAGATCTTCCTAGAACCCGCACCGCGCGCCCCGCTCCAGCTTCCCGCCTCGCTCCCGATCCCGACTTTCAAAGAGTATCGCTCGTCCATGTCCAAGGATCAGAAGCTGAGGCTGGCATGGTGTTTCTGCCATTTGGTAGTCGCTGGTCTCGTACAGTGGGGCGCGCACGAATCCCTTGCTCTCACGGTGTTGTCACGGCTGATCTTCTACGATGCGCTCGGCGCATTTCTATGTGTGGCCGTTGACGTTGGATCCAACTTTGAGGTATGGAAGCGATCAAGCATACGACACCCGTTTGGCTTTGAGCGTCTGGAGGTTATTGCAGGACTGGGCATGTCTGTTGGGCTACTGTTCATGGGACTGGACCTCATATCGCATGGCTTGACGCACGCGCTCGAGAACAGTGGAGGACACGAGGCGCATCATGCAGACTCGCATGAACGAGTATCGCCTGGCAGCATTGATCTTGCTGCTTTGTGTGGCATTGTCTCGACACTCGTCTCCGCGATCCTGCTGAAGAACCATGCGCGCATAGGCAAGGTCATGAGGCTGAGCGCCATCGCTAACCTACCCTCGGTGCTGAGCAACCCTTCGCATTTTCTGACATTATCGTGCTCGACACTGCTCCTTCTGCTGCCACTGCTGAGCATTCAGATGTATGTGTGGCTTGATCGGACCCTTTCATTTTCAGTAGCGTTCTCCATGGTAGCACTGGGGTGGATTCAGGGATGGACGCTGGGGAAGATGCTGCTCATGTCCTACTCGGGTCCCGGCGTTTCGGACATTATGTACGACCTCGAGACGGACCCAGCCATCAGGGCGGTCGACGAGGCAAAGTTTTGGCAGGTACACTACGGCCTCTGCCAGGCGAACCTCAAACTACGAGTGCGGAATTTGGAAGAAATCGGGCGCCTGCGCGATCGCATTGGCAGTATGGTGCGGAACCGCTTGGGCGGCGGATACGGGAGCGGCGGGCACAGATGGGAAATTTCGACCCAAATTACACTCGAGAAGGACTGAGGACGCTGGGCGCCGTTGCATATCCGCGATTAGATTCTGCAATAAATCTTCGAACCCCTGTGGCGGGATCATCTCACTAAGACTCAACCGCAGCCCGAACGTTGCCCCAAAAAGCAGTGCGACGCCAGAAAGTTGGTCGGCTACGAACATACTTTTGCGGCAACGCAACGCTGCATGATAACTGTGCACCCGCTGGTTCCGATGGCAGGTTTGCTGCGGAAAAACGACATCATCTGCGCCTGCGAGACAGCTGGCACTGACGCCTGACGAATACCCCTGGGCCGACTAAAAGTCTTAGCGAAAGCCCTGCCGACGCTTTCGATCAACAGGCACCCAGTGCGCGCACACCGCTGGCGGCTTGCCCCGTGCGACTGGCCGACTTTGGTCTGATCCGGCTTGGGCTGCCTGCAGGTGCTTGCTGTTCGCTCGTCACGCCCACCGCAACTCTCCACACACCCGTTCGCTTTTGTGCGTCGCCTGCACAGCGTCCTGAAGTTTTGCGAGAGCCTGCGAGAGCCTGTGACCTGCGCGGCTGGCAGAAGGCAGATAAAATACCGCCCGCATGCCCTGGCTGGGCATGGCGAGAGGACGCGATGACCGGGCCACACGACACCGTGACGACGGCGAATATCTCGACGACAGAGAGCGGAGGCACCGGCGCCGCCACAAATCTCGCGACCACGACGACGAACCCACAGCTTCCACACGCGAAAGGAGAGAGCGCCGACGGGCAGAGGAGGCAAGACGGCAGGCCGAGGTCGACATCGAGGACATCCGGGCGCGCAGAGAGTCCTACTACTCACGCAACGAGGCTGAGAAGAGGCGCGACCGCGATCGCATGGCATCAGACAGCAAACGCACACCGGCCAAGGAAAAGCCACGGAGCAGCCGCGAGAAGGAGGTGCGACGGGACAGCACGCGGAAGCCAAAGAGAGCTGTGATACCTGATGACCACGATGACTTCGTCTTTGGCCGCCCCAAGTCCATGGGTCACGTTGAAGAAGTCACTGTGCGACGATCATCTGGGCGCAAGAGAAGCGAGGAAGGCGGCTCTTCTAGCAGGACTGCCTACACTCCGCATTCAGGTTCTGGATCTGCGTCAGTCCGCAGGGTCGAAGTTCCGCCATTGACCAGGTTAGTCCCGTCTCCACTTGTACACGTAGCTCAGCTAATGAGGGCCAGGAATTCATCTACACGCGAGCCAAAAGCACATACTTCAGCCAGAGAACGAGAGCCCAGGCCGACAGTACGACGCAGCAACACTGTCAAGTCGCCTCCCCCGACGCCACTCACCAGGACGCAGTCGGTCAAGGATGCTGCCCGTCGGAGCACCGGGGGCATATTGTCAAGCTTCTTCTCCAAGGCGCCTCCAATCTCGCGAACGCCTTCGCGCAAGGATGAAGAGAAACGGTTAGTATTTCTGTCACGTTACCCCTACAAAGCTAACCTCGATTAGGGTCGACTGTCTCGTGTGCATGAACGATGACCTACCCATCACCAAGACCGTCAAGCTCGCATGTGGCCATCGCATGTGCTACTCGTGCCTCAAACGCCAATTCACCCTTTCCGTAAAGGACCCTGCTCACATGCCACCAAGATGCTGCACCTCAGAGCACATCCCATTGAAGTATGCCGACCGTCTCTTCGATGACAAGTTCAAGGTCCAATGGAACCGGAAGTTCCAGGAGTACACGACTGCCAACCGCCTATACTGCCCCCAGAAAGGGTGTGGCCAGTGGATCAAACCTTCCAAGATCAAGATGGACCCGACATACGGTCGCAAGTACGCACGCTGCAGCACGTGCAACACCAAGGTCTGCGTACTCTGCAACAGCAAGTTCCACACGAAGCGCGAATGTCCCAAGGACGAGGAGACCAACCGCCTGGTAGAGATGGCCAAGGAGAAGGGCTGGCAACGATGCTACAGCTGCAAGGCTGTAGTTGAGCTGAAAGAAGGTTGTAATCACATGACCTGGTACGTTCATTATATCACTCACATACAACAATATCTAACAACATCCCAGCCGCTGCACAGCACAATTCTGCATGGTCTGCGCCGCCCCATGGAAGACCTGCAACTGCCCCTGGTTCAACTACCAACACATCCCCGACGGCGACCAGCTCAACGACATGCGCGTCCCTTACCCGCAACAAGCCCGCTACGCCGATGTTGAAGTCATCGAAATCCCCGACCAGCCCTCGCCACCCCTCGCCCGCCGCTCCAGCATCCGCACCCCACGCAACCGCAGCGAACGCGACCTCCCCCGACCGGAATCCCGCCGCCTGTCCGCTCACCTCCGCGACTCACTGCACCTCAACCCCACGCCCACCGTCTCTTCCATCCGCCGCACCGAGCCCGAGGTGCAAATGTACGGCGTCGGCAACGCAGGTGGCCACCACATGAACGACTCGTACGCCATCCGCTCCATGCCCGCATCCGTTGCGCGCACCGCAGCCCGCACTTCCACTCCACGCACGTCAACCCCACGTGGTGCCTTCTTTACCAGCAGTAGCACACGCCGTGCTGCGCCCGCGCCTGCCCCCGTTGCCGCCCCTCGCGTCCGACCCGCATCCACACCTGTCGTCACCTCATCCACCATGGCCGGTCTCTCTCGCGACGGCCGCAAGGTCGGTCAGAACCGTGTAGGCACCTGGCTCACTCACGTCCAAATCGACCCCGAAGCTACCAACACGGCAGCCCGGGACGTCGAGGTGGACGAATGGAGGTGCGATGGTACCATGATTGGTATCGACTAGATCATATCGCATTCTGTTGCACACATAACGACCGGCGTTTTTGCTACATCTGGGTTTTACATCTCCTTCCAGTCCTCTACACGTTCCTCTTCTTCACTCAGCATCTACTTTCTGGGCTTTGCGTTTTTGGGATTATACATCGGATTGTTTTCCTTTTCTCTCGGTTATTGGGTTGGTCATCTTTTGAAGTTTTGGGAATGTTTAGAGTTACCCTTCTCCCTCCTTTATCTTTCGCGAGCGAAAAACCGCGAAAGGTTCTTTTTCTTTTGTGTGTATTAGTCGTGTTGATTAGCGGTTTTTGGATAGCATTTAGCCGGCAAGATACCCACCCTTTACGCCCTCGTTTAATCAGTTATTTTATTGCGTTAATGCTATTGTAACTTTGTTCGATTTCAGAAAAGTATTTCAGATTGTCCTGCTATTGGTGATGTAATGTGATGTAGTTTAGCGGGAGTCAGGGAGAGGTCAAAAAGTCATCTGTCGCAGAGTCCAGGAACAGTAATAATATCGTTATCCACGTCCTACTGTCGCTGTAAATTGTTTCACAGTGTATACACCAGTCTTATTCCAAATCCTGTATTACTAATTGATATCAAGCCCATAGCAGCGCAGTGATTTGAAACCTTTCTATCAAATACTTGTCAAACATGTTTGATGATTTTAGACATCGTGTTTGAATATCAGCCGAACTATGTGTGCGAAGCCAAGACATGCAGAAGGCTACATACACCTCACACTAAGAAGAGACTGGGCACTTCTGCTGCCTACAACAGGGCAAAACGTGCAGATTGGAAAGCGTAGCGTCGTTGTAAGCTTCAAAGTCTTCATCCTTTCCCTTGATAGGAGTGCTTAGGCAATCGTCCTTTTGACTCCACATCCTAATCGTAACCACCTCCCCGAGCGAGTAAGCCAAAGGAGATCCTTAGATCCACCTCGTCATCGTGAGGCGTATGCAGAGTACGTGGCACCAGCGCAATGGCTGAGTGACTCTCGCTTGATATGTACAAAAAAATGAGGCAGTGAGCAGAGAGGGGTAACGGACCTACTGCCCCAGCCCCCTCAACCCTGTACCCTGATCGTCTACTGGCGGTGAAGCCCGTTGGATTTGCAAAAGTTGAGCAAAAAGATTGGTTCGAAAGATCTTGAGCAAGCTCAAGCACGGTGATGTCCCCTTCGTGGATCGAACACGATACCTCCAGATTTAGTGACTGATGACTTCAGTCTGGCGCTCTCCCAATTGAGCTAAGGAGACGGTTTCTTGATGGAAGCTTGCCAGATCATAACCATTATAATACAAACAAATATGGCTGCTGAAGGGCCTCGTTTTACGAAGAACGCAAACTGGAACTGTAATATGTCTCTGCCGTGTGTGGAGTTGATGTCGTTGACTAAGAAAGATGACCGTTAGTGTACCGAGGCTCATCCATCTCCAGCAACTCCATAGCATCAACCCAAATTCTTTCCGCGCGAAACCTCCCACACCATCAAACCGCCGTCGCGTTCGCTCCTACCCCACTCCAACCCTCCAAAATGCAACTCTCACCCCTCGCAAACCCATTGGCAACCGTCGCCCAGCTCGAAACCTCCGGCTCCCAACTCGATGGCATCCCACCCGCTCTCGAAGACTCCGTCCGCTTCGCCGGCGCGCGCCTCACCCAAGCAGCAGGCATCCTGCTGCGCCTCCCGCAAGAAGTAATCGCACAAGCCATCGTAGTCTTCATGCGCTTCTGGCTCGGCCCCGAAGGCGGCAGTCTCGCTGAATTCGGCGCAGAACAAGTCTCAGCCGCGTCGCTGTACCTCACCACGAAGCTCTCTGCGTATCCAAAGTCTGCGCGGAGTCTTGTGAATGTATACGCGTATCTGGATTCGCTGCCGGTGACATACTTCGATATGGAACAGCTTCAGAAAACGGGCGAAGATACAAAGGGATACTACGTCAGCGAGGGGACATACGAGCGCCGTCGCGCAACGCTGTTTACAACCGAACAACGCATCCTACGTACCCTCGGCTTCAATACGCACGTCCAACACCCATACACGCTTTGTATAACATACATGCAAGCCCTCGACATCTTCACGCACCCGCGCGCGTCCGAATTAGCGAAACGCGCGATTGCACATCTCAATACCGCATTGTTGAGTCCGCAATGCCTGTACCTGACGCACCAGCCGACGGAGCTGGCGACAGCGAGTATATATCTTGCGGCAAGGGAGACGGGGATTAAGATGCCGGAGTGTGAGTGGTGGGAGGTGTTTGATACGGATAGAGAGGTACTGGGTTTCCTGTGCGTGGGGCTGTTGAGTTTGGAGGGCTGGGTGAATGAGGAGCGGAAGAGGTGGGAGGGACGAAGGGTTCCGATGAGTGTAGAGGGAGTGGAGAGGGAGGTTAGGTGGAGGAAGGAGGAGGAGGCTGACACTTGAAAGACCCAGCACCGTTCGCTCTTACCTTGGACCTCATGAGATCTCCGCCATGACATTACAGACCTCGCATCGATCCTCTACACGACTCTTGAACATGCGTGACGAACCTCAGAATCATAAACTGTTCGCGATGTTGCGCAAACTTCTGGAAAACATAATATCTTCACGATGTTTCTTGTACGCAAACAACGTGTCGATTCGAAGAGCAAGGCGATCATACGGAGCATTGCGATATATTCCCCTTACTACGATCGACGAACATTCGTATCATATCGACATGGCATCGAGAGAAACACCACTTCAGAGGAACGTGTCGCCGGTTGCAGATTTTCTGAGGGGGAATAGTGACCGCGATATTGAAGTGCGATATGATTGGTTCGTGAATGATAATGGGTATGAGCAGCGCATTGCCAATCTACCGTCAAGTTCGGGCAGCCAACAAAAAGGGTCTTCACATGTGGAAGCTGAAAAGCATCGAAGTGCCCCTGCACGGCTGGAGAAAACACATGAGGGCTTTAGCATCGATAAAACTACGGACACCAGCATGGACGCCACAATCGACAGCATTGAGAACCATGACTCCGTTCTTGGTCCTCGCAGCAACCCCGTCAGAGTGAGTCGCAAAGCTGCCGTGAAGCGGAATAGCACGAAAGAGAAGAAGAAAGAGGCTGAGAGACACGACGGCACGGTGCAGAGCACCCATGTCCGTGCGAAGACTTCTTCGAACGCTCTAGTTATCCGAATCACTGCGAGCACGCCACCAGTTTTACGCCGCTTTATCTTTGATCAAACACCCAATGAGCTTTCGTTTAACCTCGCCAAACTCTCAAATTCGCCAGATTTCGAAGATGTTCCGCTAACTCCTGTGGCCGGTCGTGAGCTGGGACACAGCGCGACATCGGTTCTGGATACACATCAGCACATACGAGAGTCCACTAGTGAGGAACGAGAAAAACCGTTGAAACTTTGGGATATGAAGAAAGAGCAACGCCGGGTCCCGACGACATTTAATCAGATATTGGGAGAGAAGAAGACTCCTACCGCACTGTTGTAAGTGTCGTGGAACAAGATTGAATGCCAAAGCTAGATCGTCCGGTACTGGCAAACATCATCTCGCGCAGAGCCGGACACATCATCCCGAAATCAGGAGCACGCTGTCCATCAACACGTGCTCGAATTCAAACGCAATTTCACAACGCAATCGCTTGCTACAATGTACATCCTCACCTCATGTTTCTTCATTACTGTCGCAAGAGCTAGATAAGACTGTCCTCTTCTCGAAGTGAGCCATTGTAGCGTGACCACAATGTATTGTTCCTCTGACCCATACCTTCACACTGCAGTGAAGTACTCCCTGGCGTAACACGTATTATCTAGGCCATATAACACTAATATCCTACAAACCCCTCCTCTTCAGACAGAGCAACAGCTCACTTTCCAGAGAACGAACTATGCCACGCGCCCTAGTCGCCCTACCAACAGGAACCCACACATCATGGCTCGACCTACTCCCTCCTTCCCCACCCAAGCCTAAGCGCCAACCCCGCGCAACTCCCCAAATGCTACTCCGCATTACCGCCCTCCACCACTCCCTATCCATAATAAAAGCATCCCTCGTAACCCGCACACACATGCACCACCTCTACCGCACCCTCGGCGCCTACTGTCTTCACTGCACACCCCTTGCCACCCGCGGGTCTTGCGGTCCCACATGCCCCCTTCTACGTCCTTCTGCTTCCAGTTGTGCGTTTTACGGGGCGGTGGAAGCGGATAGGGGGTGGGTGAGGCGGCTGGTCGCTGATAAGGCGAAGTATAGGGAGGTTGTTGGGGATATGACAACTAGGGGTACGGCGGTTTATGCAGCTACAGTTACGAGGTGGGAGAGGGCTGTAGGGGCGCTGAGGGAGGGGTGTGAGGTGCCGAGTGAGAGGTGGGAGAAGGAGGGGTGGCCTAGTGGGAGGGGGAATAAAGGGGAGGGGAAGGTAGTGTTTAAAGAGGGCTGGAGGTTTGAGGGGGCTTGGGAAACGGGTAGGACGGTGGATGGAGATGGAGGTGTGGCGCCTGAGTTGAGAAGTATGGTGTTGAGGGAGGTTAAGAGGAAGTTCGAGGAGTGTGATGGTGGGCATGAAGATGGGAAGAATGTGTTGCTTGAGGGTAGCAGAAAGCGTGTTAAGCGTGTGTAGCAGTCTTCGTTTGGTGAGCTGGGTACTAGTAACTTTCTTTGCTATGTTTCCACAAAACCACATTGCTAACGGTACAATCTCATTGACTCAATGATACATACATCTGACTCTAGCAGTCCAACCTGTTCATCAGAAGCGAGCGATGGCCCCCGCGTTCTTTCGATACTTTCGAAGCAGGGTCACAAGTTCGTTCTCATCAGGGAGGTGGTTAATCCATATTCTTGCTGACATTCCGTACAAGCTGCAACCTTTATCAGGGTCGGCGCCATGCTCCAGTAGCCATTTAGCCGTTTCGTATCGCTTCCAGTGGAGAGCACAGTGCAGTGGTGTTCCTTCGCGTCCGCAACACTCGTCCGGAATAGGTGGTCCACTGTCCATACCGTGGATATCGAGGCCTAGCTCTCCAACTAGGTACTCAAGCATCGGAATTCTGTTCTCGCTTTTACTGCCCGCTGCATGGTGGAGCGGTGCGGAGTTGGATAGCACAGCACCGTGAGCGAGCAAAAGAGCGAATATTTCTGGGCTACAATGTGCGGCTGCTTCGTTGAGTGTGTGGCCACAGTTGGATATGGGACGCATGTTCATAGCTGGCGCTGTTGTCTTGTTCGATGGCCCGAGGTTGGGGTTCGCTCCTAGTTTTAAGAGCAATCGAATGCTCGGTTCGTCGTTACGCTTGACAACTAATCTATCTTTGGTAAGCTAGTTGTTGCAGTCTTCGTAAAAATCGGCGTCGTAGTGGCTTCGTCGCGCAGACTTACGGGAGCAGCACAGCGCCGTAGGCGATGCTGGTATTGACGTCGTACCCCCACTCTAACAACCACTTCACCCCTTCGTGGGAGTCTGATGCGTAGTGTACTGTGCGTGTGTCCCACTTGGCACCTGCGGTGTGGAGTTGTGTGGCCAGATCGAGATAATCGCATTCAATAGCTTTATTGAGCCCGTATGTCAACAGCTCAGGCTCTCTACCAGACGCCAGCATTAACGCAACGGCCGCATTATTGGTCCCGCACGCTCGCAAGAAGATTGCACAACACGGATTGTTACTTTGATCTCCAAGTTTATAGTATGCGAGATGGGGTGGCATAATGAATCCAGCCTTGGAGGAATGTCCCCAGGTAGCTAGGTATGCAGCCCAGAGGATGAAGTCAAGTGGTGTGATCGAGTGACGGTCTGCGTCACCCTGTGGTATAAATACATTTAATCGAATCCTATGATATCTACGCTTCCATGCGGCGTATGCGGCGTTTTATTCCAGATGCTACCCAGGGACGGCAAATGGGGTCGCGATAGGGTTAGCGCTGGAATTATGGTCCGTGCCGCTGGTAAGCGGCCATCCTTCCTGCCTCTCAACCGCTGCCTTCCTTCCGACATCCACTTCTCCTCGTCTAATGAGTTTGCGACGCCATTTTGTGTTTTTGATCTCAAAGGCGAATTTGGGCCCAGTCAGGGTGCAGTAAGGCTGTACATTCCACAAGCATGACGGATGACATCGTCAAATCACTTGGGCAGCCCCCAATGACCATTAAGGCCTATCCCAAAAATGTTCTGTCGCTACGCCACGGGCCAAAACTCTTCGGATACAGAGGATCCGCCTCTGTCTTTGCTTGGATTCGGTGACCGGTCTGACAAGATGTCACCTTGCAGCAACGCTGTTTTGCGGCGTAGAAAGCGACAGCGCAACGCAAGGCAGAATGCATGTCATCAGTCCCGAGTTTAGAACATCTGCGACAAGTTCTTACAACCGCTATGGATTTCTTGCAACTTCTGGACGAAACGCATGCAATGACGCCGCAGGGCAGTGCGAGAAGGTCTCAATTGAACTGTAGGTGGATGAAAGCGTAAGCACACTGTCCATCCAGATGACACATAAAGCTGAACATCGATCATGATCTTGGGAGAGTTCAAAACGCTTCCCCATCATTCCATTCGTATCCCGTCACTATGCAATTGCTACGCAGCGGTAATACACTGGTTTTGCTTTTCATCTATCCCGCAATCATCACGGCACAGATCAGTACGGGTACCGGAGGCAGCAATGTGGGCTCTCAAAGTCGGGCGCCATTCCCCGTCTCGGTAAATAGCAGTAATATCGCTATTGCCAGACCTTCCACTCAGCTCACTGGATCAACTACCACAGTATCCTCAGGCCTTTCGTTGGCTACTCTCCCTTTGGTGACACAGAAGAATGATACGGTTGTGGATAACATCACGGGCACGTATTTGTCAACGGCATCTACTACTTCTTCCAATTCTTCAGGCTTCCTTTCGGTCGCGCCTATCGCCTCGTCTTCCACGCTATCTCCAGTCCTGTCGGGTGCCGCCACTTTTCATTCGGGAGGGACCAGTACTACCAACGTAACGACTGCATCAAGCTCCAATACCGAAGCTACGGCCAGTAGCGCAACAAGCCTCAATCCGACTGCGCAACCTACTGCAGTTAGTTCAGTATCCGACGTTGTCTCCTCACTGCTATCGGTAACGTCAACTAGCCTAGTACTACCTCCTGGAATTACCAATCCTCCGTTGCCAGTCACTACTCTGGTACCTACTGGAACTGAAGTTCAGTCAAGCGCGTCGGATCTCCCCATAGCCATCGCAGAAATTTTTCCCATTCTTCAGAATTGGATAGAGGATCCTGCTGCTCATGTTATTAGTGTGACAGACGAGCTGAACGTTATCCTACCCGCAGCGGTTGGCTTCTTGGCCAAACTACCAAAGCCAACAGACGGAGTCGAGCTGTGTGTTTCTGGGAAACGCCGAAGAAGCGAACAAGGGTGAAGTAGCCGCCACGCATAGCTTTTGAGATATCTTGCTAACTTCTTACTAGTATGCATCCCTCTTACTACGCTTTGGCTGCGCAGCGATCAAGCCGTTCTAACACATCTTACTGTTCTTGCTAACAACTTAATAGATCGTGACATGCCCAATATACTCGGCGAGCGCGATTTGCTTGGTGGCTTGTTCAAGACAGCATTCTCGCTCGTGAACTGTGTCATCAACACGACCAACAAGGTGAAAGATGCAGTTGTCGGCGGAACGACTGCTGCAGTAAATACTATCAAGGGCCTGCAAGACGACCTCAAGCCATTGCTCGATGCTCTCAACGACGTCGTGCCGAATGAAAATTCCGATCCCTCTGACTCGGCATCAGAGACAGAAGAACCTACGCAGACTTCCTCCTCTACCTGTACCCTAACGACAGTTAGCAACTGCGACATCACATGTACAGCGACTGCAACTACAACTATAGAAGGGCCAAACAGGCGGGCGCAAGGCCACGTTTGTACCACAGTCTGCGGGGTGCTTGTCACGAAATGCGATGTTACTGGTGTCACTTCTTCATCCACAGTGACGACTACAACAACAGCTAGTCGACAGGTATGCGCCCGCGATTGCGACAACTGTAATGGTAATGTACGAAGATTGGCGACTAATGCACCTGATACGACCGAATTACCCATAGCTTTTGAGAACACTGCCCTTTTCTCAACTTCGATGATCGTTGCATCGTATTTCAGTAAGCCACAATCGATTACACGTGAGCTCGCACCCGTGGAGACAAGTCAGTCTACCAGCCACATATCGAAGCGAACTCTTTCAAGCCCTCCCCAAGGGGGTGACGAAGGTATGTACTCAAGCCCAAGTACTACTTGGGATGACTACATCCAGCCAAATATATCTGAATACCATATGCACTGAGGGTTTATTAACTTGTTTAGGTGCTGTTGGGACTTGGCTTGTCGTCCAGATCGCCACAAGTCCTAAAGGCTCTCTTCCACTCGGAGTCGGAACGACTGGCTTAACGTTCCCATTGGGCAGTACAGCGGACGATTGGCACCTGGTAAACTTATATGGTTGCACATCCGTTGTGGTCATCTCACGCAAACGGATGTATCTTACCCACATCTGGGAAATACCTTCCATGAAATACCCACAGAATTTTCAAGGTGATGTCTTGAACGTTCTACGAGATGGAAGTCCAGAGTTCCCCGAAGGTCTCACAACATTCACTGGACCCGGCGGTGACTTTGAAAACATCCAAGCGAACAAAGTACGTGCGTTCATCATCACGCCGTATCGGGATCATGCCTTAAATCCGGCCAGAGACGATGTTCAATTTCCATCCGAAGTCACTAAGATCAAAGATTTGTTGACCAGCATTCTTGGGCGAAGTGACACACTTACCATTCCCTACTTTCCGGCTGGGAGAGATGACGATAATAGAACCCCCAAAGGCAAAATTTACATTCAGTATGACCCAGCGGCAGCAGCTCTCGTATCAGCAGAAGGCGACTGCAATCAGCAGCAAGCTGCGGCGATAGAGCTTTGGTTTGAGGATGCTCTTACCTACCGTTACAGAGACACATGGCAGCCATTCCAGCATCAGGTCGTGCAGGCAAAGAAACGGTCCGTCGCATCCAGTGGTAAAGACACGCGCTTGCTCAGAGGGAGGGAGGTGACGGATGGGGACGAAGTAGAGTGGAAAGAGTACGAGTCTTTGATGGGACGTCAAGATGACGACACTTGTGCTCGACCCAGTAACAGCTTGTCGGTATCACCGGTACCATCCATCCCATCACCAGCTTCGACTGTGCCTACTCCGTCCACCCTCCAGACAACAGTCAAGCCATCAATGATCAGCTTCATTGGTGGAAGCTCAAGCCTACCGCCGTCGTCGATAGTCACATCATCACCATCTTCAAAGTCTTCTATAAAGTCGGAGACTCCGTCTCTTACGTGGGCACCAGCCCAGCCTAGCACGACGAAATCATCTTCAGCAGCGCTCGAGCCACCCTCTACATCGCAACCTCCGCCGCCACCTCAACCCAAGCCTGCGACTAAAGCTTTATCGGTGATATTCCGGAACACGAAGGGTCGTGGCGAAGACTACAACAACTGGACATTCTTCGAAACCAAGCCCAACACTCAGGCTGACGGCTGCAGTGTACCCATCCTCAACGATGTCTCGCGACAATGGTCAGAGCCATCTCACCTGTCAGACCCGCCGTGGCCGTATGGCACCTTCACCATGCCACTATTTGGAGAAGAGGACTGCGAATACCTGAGCGATGGGACTAATCAGGGTGTGCTTTACTGTCCTAGTATGGGTGAAGGGAAGAATGTGGGATGTGAAGAGGCTGAAGAGAAGAAGGATCCTGGTGATATCACGGATTGTCATTATCCGGGTCTTGAGAGGAAGGTTCATCGTGTTGTTTACTGTGAGTGGTAGGGTAGTCCCATCCTAAGAGTGTTCGAGTATATCTTGCACATGCCGGCGACCGTCGTCTCATTATTGATCTCCGGTCATTGTGTGATCCTTTCTCTTAGAGCAACTTTGTTCATAGAAACGTATGTATTGCAGACATCGTAAGTGGCTCGCTGTTCGCTCCGCGTCATCGCAGTACTAGTGCACGCTTATCACAGCATGGCATCGCACGCCCCATGGATAGTCTACGCCTGCGGTAGACTTAATTCAGTGAGCTCGAAGACGGAGAGTTTGCTATGATATTCCTCGATGGTCATTGGCATGTGTTTGGCTACTGCAGAAGAGAAGCTTGAGATGCAATGCACCTCTCCGTCACCATAACAGGCTTCAAAATCCCACAAACAAGGTCTTATCTACACTAAGTGGCGGCTGAAGTGCAGTATCGTGTGAATGGCTGATGCTTGAGAGGCTAGTCGATCGTCGCTGCGGCACTGCAGATGTGGTTATGCGAGCCTCCTGTGACGTGCGTTGCCGCTGGAAGCTTAGCACTTGAGGAAACCATGACGTCAACAACGAGCTTGGACTTATTGCAGCTCTAGAACACTACGTTTGGCGGGCAACCTCAACTTTAAACTACACATCTCACAATACAAGAATCTTCGTCGATTTCAATTGCATCCTACCAATTCACATCATGAGCTTCCTACGACCCATGTCAATGCTGCGCTCGGCAGCACTACGGCCCGCAGCCCTCTCGGCGGCTCCCCGTGCCCGCGTCCAAGTTCGTTTCGCGACTTCAGATTACGGCTCTGGTAAGGGCAACCCAGCTGGAGAGAACCCCGAGAAGCAGGGCGCCAACCCCAGCGAGAACCTCGAGCACCCCGGCCCCGCACCCCCCAAGGTCGCCCAAGGCAAATCTTCGTCGTCGCCGAACAAGGACAGCAACTCGAGCCAGAATGACTCTCCCAAGCCTACATCAGAGTCACCAGCTCCTTCCTCGAACAAGGGCAAGCGCGAATTCTCGACATCGGCCCGCCAAATGAAGGACAGCAAAGAGCCAGCCGTCAAGCAGGCCCAGGACAACAAACCCTCACCCAGCGAAGTCAAAGGTGCGAAACCCAAAATACTCAACGAAAACCCTCCCGCTCCTGGAGAAGAGAGCGAGGACGTCAAGCAACACAACAAGGACATGGATAACAGGGCGGAACAGGCGCATGAAAAGGTCAGCAATGAGGAGGCAGAGAAAGACAAAGTCCCCGGTGGCTTCTGGAAAGGTATGACATAGCTTTACCAAGGGCATTATGCATGTTGCTAATACATCTACAGGCGAAGGTGGACGAAGCGGCTCCGAAGGCGTACGAGGATAAGCAAGGGGCGGGTGAATGTTCGGACATTAGGATAGTGTACAGTTAGCTGGAATTGACTCGCCGAAGTCTCGTGAAATGTACAACATTCATCAAACCTAGGCTGCGACATAAACGTGTTTTTGTACCATGTATTCGTCGCTAGAACGCTGGAAGTAGGCTTGGCTTCATAAGTTTTGTGCATGTTTAGGCATGACGTAGGGGGCTAGCGTGTGGATCGCCCCCGCATTTGTCGTCGTGATGGGAATTTTTTGAAATGCCATTGCGACACAACGCCCAACAGAGGGGCGCTATTTTGCACTACTTGTGCCACGATGATGCTTTCTATCTTTCCAAACAAGAATGACAGGCCTCGGAGTTCTCTTACTGCGAAAACGTTCAACATATGCAGGGCCTAGACCGAGCTCCTGAAAGGCGATCTCACAATTGCGCACAGCCAAAAGACGCGGTTGCATGTGGCCATAGCTCCTCATTGGCTGCTCTGGGAGGCAGGCGCGTTGGGGATCTTGTTTGCCCAAGCTCCATACGTGCAGCACTACGTCACTCCCACGCACACAATCTAGCCGCCATTGTCTGTTCCCTCCCCTCATAAACTCGCAGCTCACCACTACCCTCTGACCCTCACCCTTCTACCGAGTTTGCCTACCCTTCAAACCCTCGTCTTTGCTTCATTAATCGATATCAAGCACATCCTCACATCGGCAGCCACATATCATGAGGTTCTCCCTTACATCCACCTTCGTGGTGTCCCTTGCTGCCTCGGCAACGGCCAACAGCTGGTTTGGAAGCGCCGGTGCGTATAGTACAGAACCCCTCCCGTTTGTTTTGATTAGCCCATAGCGTCATGCAGCAGGATACTGACGCCAGGAAGCAGTCTACGACAAGTGGCACGAGACCGAGCTTGAGCGCTGGCTCAGCGACAACGGCATTCCCCACCCCAGCCCCTCTGACCGCAAGAACCTCCAGTCGACTGTCAAGGCCAACTGGAACGACAAGGTTGTCACTCCCTACACAAGCTGGGATGCGCAGACCCTTCAGAACTACCTGACCCTCAAGGGCCAGCAGGCGAAGAAGGGCACCGAGAAGGACGCCAAGAGCCTCGCTGAGCAGGTCAAGGTGTACTGGACCGAGACCGAGGACTCCGCGAACCAGGCCTATGGTAGTGTCAAGGACTGGATCTTCGACTCGTGAGTACCCAGAAACCTATCTTCAACACAGATACTAACAATCTGCAGTTGGTCGGACTCTCAGCTCAAGGCTTTCGCCGATAAGCACGGCATTCCCGTTCCCCAGCCCCGCCAGCGTGACTCTCTCCTCGCTGCCGTCCGTGACAACTACCAGTCTGTAGCCGAGAAGGCCAAGGAGACTGCCAACTACCCCGGTGACTGGCTCTACGCTTCCTGGTCTGACTCTGACCTCAAATCTTGGTTCGATGAGCGCGGCTACAACGTCCCCCAGCCCAACACCCGCGACTCGATGATCGCTGCTCTCCGCCGCCAGTCTCGTCTTGCCAGCCAGCAGTCCCAGGGCGCCTACGCTTCCGTCTCTTCCGCTGCTGCCAACGCTCAGCAGAGCCTCAGCGACGCTCTTCTCGACTCCTGGTCTGACAGCCAGATCAAGGAGTGGGCTGACAAGAACGGTATCAAGGTTCCCCAGGGCTCCAAGCGCAACGAGCTCATGGCTCTCGCCCGCAAGCACCGTGCCCGTCTTTACGGTGACAGCGCCTCTGCCTCTGCCGGCTCCGTCTCTGCCTCTGGTGCTTCCGCTTACGGTGCCGCTACCTCCAACGTCGGTCAACAGTACGCTGCTGCCACTGGTGGCTTTGCCTACTACACCGACTTGGTCAAGCAGCAGATCGGTCTCGCTCAGGCCAGCGTTACCTCTGCTACTGACGCTGCTGGATCCAGCGCCAGCTCTGCTTCCGTCCGCGCCGCTTCCAGCGCCAGCTCCCTTAGCGGTGCTGCTGCCAAGGCCGCGTCCTCATCCTCTTCCTCCATCTCCAAGTCTGCTGCCAGCGCTAACGCCGCTGCCTCCTCCTCCGCTTCCAGCGCCTCGTCGGTTGCCTCCAAGTCTGCTCAGAGCGGATACGATGCTGCCGCCGCTAGCGCCAGCTCTGCTAAGCAGGAGTTGTAAGCATCTCACAACATTCCGATAAGCAGCGTTCAGTCATATCTTCTCTCGATATGACTGCCATACGCATCACTTCACGACCTTACGATCTGCGTACGGATAGGCGGAAAATGGAAACCTGTAACATTAGCATCACGACGATATCCCCTCTGCGACCTCCTGGTAGGCTTGAGGAGGGTCTTGTAGTTTTTCTTATTCCTTCGGAATTGGGATGGATGGATGGCGTCTCACGTAGCTTAGTATGCGCTTGATAATAAAAAGTATAATTGCAATGGTGTTCAGACGGTGATGTGTGATTGATACAAGAATTGATATTCATGTGTCGCTTGCTGACGGGGTTGGAGTGTCGGTACTATGGGAATGATGATGGTGGTTATCATCATCATTCCTTATCACATCCAGTCTATGGACTTGGCGTAAGTCGTACTCAACATTTGTGATTCGTATAAGGATTTCGCACACCACCAGCAGGGTCATGAGCATGAAATCAAAGGTTTTTGATCACGAACTCTTCGATCCAAGTGGTTTGAACGAGTAGATCGTAACACTGGACTCGCGGGATCTTTTATAGTATGCCGTTGTCACGAGAGCGCGAGCCACGTGCCGTCATGAAGACGTGTTTTGAAGATCAATATGCGGAGACGACCGCAGGCAAAGCCATGAAGCTGTGGGTCCTCACCTTTGGAAGCAGACATGTGAGTAGAGGCGGAACTTTATGGTGTTTCGGGGCTCACGCCGAACCGCGGACACATAAACTTGACCAGGTTCTCTTTTTGTGTCTTGCAGGTTGCAGCTCGACGGGTAACGTTCTCTTCATGTCGCAGTTCTCGCCGGTGTTTGATGTATCCCCAGAGAAGGAGGTTCTCCTCATGCGAAGGTGGCATGGATGTTTTGATGCATCGGCGCAGAAGAGGATGAGAGGCACCCATTGCTACGAGTTCTCTGGCTTTTTGGACAACACAGCGCAGCCATGAAGATGGGGTTTTTGGTATTTCGGATACATAAGTGTAGAGAAGATACCCAGAGGAAGAGGGGCAAAGGGAGCGTTTATATACCCATACACTAGTCGTGACACTCTCCATATCGTCGACGGTCTTGATCTTAGGTTTCTTTGACATCGCATAGTGCTTGGTGTCTTTGAGACATGAGTTCGAGTTGTCGCTGCTTTGCACATCGGCTGTAGGGTACGACGACTTTTAGTGGATCGGGCTGCTGGACGGACATGGCCATAAGCAAGGGTATATTTTGGCTAGATGGACCCTATGTGTGAGAGGTGTAAGGAAGAAGCGACGACATGGAGCGTTGTTGGGGTATTTTTCCGGTCGACGAGCGCGCTCATGGGACAATGATTCGGTTGTTTTGGTATGCAATGATGGCGGACGAGCCTTCTCATTCAGTCGGTTTGCATAGTTTTGGAGAAAGGAGAGAACGTCGCCATTCTTCTGTTCGGATACAGTTTCTGATTTCCTTACCCTACTCAGAGTCCGCAAGCGCGCTCATCGGTAGGCAATTTCTTGGATTTGGTAGGTAATGTCGATTAAGCGAGCCCTCTCATGCTCGAGAATGTCTGCAGTTTTCGAGGAAGAGAGGAACTCGCCATAGGCGAAACTCAGCATGGGGTTTCCGTTCGTAGATTTTGGAGATAAACATGCAGATGTGGTATAAAGAGGATGAAGAGGAGAGGATGGAAGGACGGATTTATAGACATCTCGCGGTAGTAGCGTCATGGGTATGGTAGGAGTGCATGCCGTGCGCAAGAATGGATTTTTAATTAGAACACGAGAAAACAGAACATGGAATGATCTTGAGATCATCTCGATTTGCGTCATGTCATTGAATGGATACACAATGTTATGGTACACGTAGCTCAGCAGCTCCATGAAAAGTACGATGATAGGTTTTTGTAAAGAGAACCTCCGCGTGGGAAAGGTAGCAGTAAACCCAAGTCAGACGGCCGCACCATAAGGCTAGCTCCTCCAGCTTTTGATAATTTTGAAAAGCGCCCAGGTGTTGTTGTGGTGATGCAGAAGACGCAGCAGCCTCGAAGTAAGCGCCTGGTGCCCAGGTTCCGCGCGCCATCCCAATGCGTCCTAGACCCTTTCTCGCCGCCAACCCGCATCCTCAAACTCCACCTCACCATCCCCAACTCTATCCCGCACACGTCAACCCATCACGAACACGTCTCGAACACCTTCTCGAACGTTTCGCTCAGCCATCTGACAAGCTTTCATAAGCCTCGTGCACCCGCATCCACCGGCCCACCACGGCCCGATTTGTTTCCACTCCAGATCTGCGACGCTGACTCCCCCGTTTCCCGTCTCACGGCCGTCTCCAATTTTTTCTGACCGCGCGAATCCAACGACAGAGCTACGAACTCCGCATTAATTGCTCTCCTTGAGATGGAGAGATGGAGAGAGATGTGAAGAAGGCCCGTTTCGGGCAAGTAGGTAGAGGTAGGTGATAAGGTTGACGGGTGGTGGTGCTGAGGTGCATGTTGTGAGAGGGTTGCGCGGCGAGGTGATGAGAGTTGTGTCGGTCCGAGTTTGCTGACGTACCGACGTGTTGGGCGGGTGAGTTTGGAGAGGGACGGGAAGGGAGATGGGGATGTATAAGAGAGGGATGGGATGTCGAAGGATGGAGATATTCATTCCAAATCCACTCTCAAATACTTCGCCTACTTCTACGATCGCTTCCTACTCACCTGGTGTGAGCTGAGCTTTAGTTTATTTACACTCTTTCAACACCATCTATCTTTATTCTAATATTTTATATTGTTCTCCATCGCTTTATACATACGTCAACATGAAGACCTTCGCCATCCTCTGCCTCTTGGGTGCCGCTCTCGCTGCACCGGCTCCTCAGGCTCCCAAGATGCCTCAAGCTCCCCAGGCTCCCCAGGCTCCCCAGGCTCCTCAAGCACCTCAGGCTCCCCAAGCGCCTCAAGCTGGCCAGGGAGCTGGCGGCAACTGCGCCGACATCCAGTCCAAGCTCGCAAAGGGCATCCAAGCCAACCTCGACATCCAAGCCGCCGAACTCAAAGGGTAAGCCATCACTTCTCCCTCCAACTCCTCTCTCTCTAACATCCCCACAGCGTCTACGCCCTAAAGCTCCAAGCCGGCACCGCGGGCTTCAACACAACTCAAACCTCCGTGCTCGCTATTCAAAAGCGGGGCGTCGACATCCGAGCCAACAACCAGAAGCTTGCCGCTCAAATCAAGAGCCCCGCAGCTGACGGCCTGGCTATTGTAGCTGGAGCCCAGACCAAGGAGATTGGACAGGTGCAGAGTCTCAAGGGAACGGCCGCTGATGCGCCGACGATTGCTATGTTGGTCCAGGAGGTTATGGATGGCACGATGCAGAATCAGAAGAACCTTGCTGCGGCTAAGGGACAGGTTTGTGCGAAGTAGGTGGTTATGGGTAGGTGGTGCATGGGACAGGGTGTAAAGTGAATGATAAATTTTGGTAATTGGGTTAGGAGTCGCCTTTGTGTTTCGGAAGTAGTGTAAATGTAATAGGAATACTATGCGAGGAGAATTTAGAATTGCCAACATAGAATTTTCGTCTTGCCATATTGGAAGTACGCCCAGACATTTATGAAATTGATGCCCTTTTTCGTGCTCAAGTCGTATCGAGCTAAGAGATGACAGGATACGATATGACAGCCATCTTTGTTTCTTTCGAGAGGACGAAAAAATCATGCATAGATGCAAATTTTCTTTTGGTTTTTAGGGTAAGAGTCTGGAAGTGTAGGAAAGAGGAATGAGCAGCCAGAAGAGAGTCTTTCATGCTCACTGGAGATCAAGCTCGTTGATAAAAGAGAAGCGGTACAATCAACGGCAGAGACCTTCTAAGAACAGAGAAGACGGGTTTTGTTGCATCGATTGCCGACCAGCTCATCTTGAACGCACGCACAACCATGTATGCCATTTCGGCTTTCTTTTTGGATCTACCCACGACATTGGGTTCATACTTAAAAAAAAATACGACATGTGCAAGACTTCTGTTCTTTGGAAAGAACAGAGGAGACATGGTCCTCTTGGTTTATGTTTTTTGATTTTGGAGACAGGACGTTGACAGGGTAGGAAAGAGAAGTGAACAGCCGGTAAAGAGGTTTTTATACCCACTGGATGCGGAGCTAGTCATGGAGAGACCAGATGGTATGATCATCGACAGGGACATGGTTCCCTCTCGACATGATTTTGGAGAAGACGTTGGCTGTGATCAGTACATCGACCCACAACCTTTTCGCACATATGAGTTTACTCCACTGAGAAACCGAATGTAAACACATTGCAACGAAGTAACACAGCACAATCTATTAAAAAGGTGAAGTCTAATGTCTAGAAGCCTTTCTGCCCAAGCAGCAAGTTGGAAGTCACACCAACAGCGAGAACGTCTCGAAAGATCCACAATAACGAGCGACGGAATCAACCGCACTACAATCATTAGCACACCACCACTCAAAACCTTCGCTTTATTACTCACGCAGCTGATAGTCTATCCACAAAATCATTAGCCTCTTCCTTTCCACGATAAACAAGATTGGATCACTTACACCACCAGCACCACACCCATTCAGACTCGGCCTCCCCCCACTACCAGGGTAAACGCAATTCCTAAAGGTAGGAAAGTTCCTGCTAGGCGCTCCAGGGCTCTGGCACTACACATATGTCATGTTAGAGGTTGAAACTTGTTTCGTTTGCGGTTCTATTGGAGACTCACGCAGAAGGAGTTTGGCTGAGAGATGGGTTAGCTGGGTTGTTTTCGGTGAATAGGCGTAGATGTCAGGTGTGGAAGGGAATTGGACTAGACTTACGTAGGCACCAGGACATGTAGAACCACCCGGTAATCCCCAACCGCCATTACAAAACGCGGCTTCGGACGCGGCGGCCAAGGCAAGAATGATAGGAGCGAAAAGTTTCATATTGCTGTTTTAACTGACGTGTAGTTGGTTTTCGAAGATGATCAGCATTGTGTGACGGGACGAAGGCGTATATATGTCGTCTGCAGCCAAAACGATTCCCACTCAGGGCCACAAGCGGTGCACGCACGCATCGCATGAGTAATAACCCGAGGTCTAGTGCGTGTGTTTGGTATTAACAGTGGTTCGTACTTTCGTTGTAAAGCCGCGGTTGAACCGTGTGCTAGCTCCACACAGCTAGCTGGTTCCGTATTCCTGCTCTCATGAGGTAGCGCAGGTACGCGGCTAGTAGAGACATTTGACAGGAGAAACGTGAGGTGCTGATACTGACATCCATGGAAGGTTCGAGTGTCTGTGTTTCAGCTGACATTCCGCTGATCTCACGGTACTGAAGGCAACTGCCGGTGGTGGTGATGGGGAATCAAATTGCGATGTGAATCAAAGCTCCGAACCAAATCGCCGGTTCAATTAAGGCTGGTATCTCGATCGGCAACGCGATAGTAGTAGGGACATGGCTGGAGATAAGTTGAACAGTGCAGCTTACGCTAGCACTAGGTTCAAACGTAGTTAGAACCGGTACTAATATGTAGACTTTTGTGGTAAATTCCCAGTGGCTAAGGTGAAGGGCCGAAGACGAGGCTGAAGTGATGCATTGCTTTCATGAACATTGAAATGCTCAAGTAAAAGCATAACGCGCAGTGCAGGTGTCTTCTGTATTACAATCTTGATCTCCGAACATCGCCACCCTACCTAGGGATATATCCAAGTAGTCACCCCCGAAACAGCCCTCCTCATGCCATCCACTTGGCAACTACAGTGGCGATATATGGAGCGGAAGCGTTACTCTCCGGCGAGCCGGACATCGATGTGTACACTTGCGCGAGCGCGGCCGAGATCGTGGAGAGGAATGTAGACTCTAGGGAATCTGGTGACTTGAGGTTCGAGAGGGAGGTAGGGAATGTAGTCGTGAATGTGAATGTGGACAAGGACTCACAGAGAAAGATATGGTGAGAAGACATATAGAAAAGGCAACAATCAGCGGATGCTGAAGACGAGAAAATAACCTCGAGACAGACAAGTACCGTGCCAAAGAAGTAGAAAGCTGAGTAGTAGTGCCCTACACCACATAACCCACACATCCGCCCAACGAAACTCTCAACGCCCGCCCAATTCATCTTTAGAAGGAAAGTCAAATTCATTCTATACATTCACAGACAACAGAGCCACATTCGACGAGTGTGGACTAGATCGATTCCTCACTTCTGGTACGATTTCTTCGATGCCATTTCAACAATGACTTGGACATTGAATAATAAACTCAACTCACCCTCACCCTCACCCTCACCAAGTCCACTCTCACGACTTATCTTTATCCAAAGCCCCAGCAGATACTTTCGTCGCTTGCACTCCATGCACGCTCGACTTCTCAACCTGTTTTTTAGTAAGCAGAGGACCTTCTTGTAACTCCGCCACTTCTGCCGTTGCCGGAACAATACCATCTCTCCTCTCGCGTCCCTCCTCTGCCTCTTTCTGTTCCACCACCATCTCCTTATCCACCCCCGCTTCCACGATCCCACCACGTCGTCCATCAACTCTCTCCCTCGCCCTCAGCAACGTAAACAATACAGCATCCGCCGCCCTCAAAATCTTCCTCCCATCCTCCGCATCCTTCTTCCACCTCTCCCTCTTATCCCTCGGATGTCTATCATCTTTCCAACCATCCTCAAACGTCTTGACCTCTGCGGAGATCTGCCAATGCATCTTTTCTATCTCGCCTATTGAGTATGTCGGTTTGTGTGTGGCGGGGGCCATGGCTCCGGTCGCGGATGATACGTATTGGGGCTCGGGTACCCAGTCGGCAGGTCTATCCGTCCCTGTCGCGGTGGTTTGGCCTGCTTCCCAGATGGCTTTATGTCTGAGGGACATGCGCCAGTGTGTGAGCTTGACGTCGATTTCGTGGGCCGTGGCGCGGAGACGGTTATATGCTACGTCGACGAGGTGGATTTGCTGGAGGCGGGTTTGACGTTCATCATCGTCCGTGGGGTTCATGTGGCAGTACTCGTATTTCTGCTGTGCATTGATATGCATCAGGTACTCAGCTTCCTGGAGTAGTTCTCTCTTGTCCGCTTCCATGGCTTCCATGCTAGCCAGCGTGCTTTCTATGTTGATGCGTCGCAGGTCTTCGGCATAGTCGACGGGCGTGATGTAAAACGGTGGCTGCTGCTCGATACGTGCTGCGAGAACCTTCGTGTGCTCATCGCTGCTGTCTCGGAGTTCCACGTCCTGTTCTGCTCGCTCAAAGGCCTCCTGTGGCAGCCACTGTGTGTACCAGAGGCTGTTGTGTCGAACGTATTGCTGCATGATGGGGTCGAGGCTCGCCATGAGCTCCGGGTCCCAGAAAATGCTCCAGAACTCGAGTGACCGTCGCTTGACATGTCGACCAAAGTGTTTATAAGCCTCCTGCCTCTCTCCAGTGTACTGAAAATATGCATGCGCTCCCAGCACACCTGCGCAAGCGCCGATATTCGTCATGCCTAAGCAGCGCGTCCACCTAGGTATAGCAGGCCGGCGCATAAACAGCGAAGGCACCGAGACAGCCAGCCCCAAAGCCACACCTGCCAGAGCACCATCGTCAACGGTATATTTCTCCGTCCGCTCATACAGCTTCCAGGGTTTGACCTCGGGTACGTTCTTCGACACAACCACATCCGCAAAGGCAGAGTAGTAATACCAGTTCAGCGTCGCTCCAGCCACGCCTGCCCAAACACCCAGGCGTGCCGAAGCCCGTATGAACACCGCCGGCCTCGACATCGGCCTCGTAGGCGTCACACTCTGTGCATATCTCGAGGCGAAGGACGTATACGCGGCGGCGAGGACGGTCGAGGAAATAACGGCATACTGAGGAGTTGCATTCGCACCGATGGGATCAGGGCGTTTGGGAATAAGGCGATGTTGCCCTTCACCTGCACCACTTTATTAGCAACTGCTTCTCTACATCATGTTCTGTAAGACATACCAGGCGGCACAAAGAGTCTCAGCACCATAGCGCCAAAACTACGCGTGTAGTATAAGACAAGCGAGAGACGGTGGGATCATATGCCGTCCATGATACACAGCTATGAATTGGTGTGCGGCTACAGCGAGCGCGTGGGGCATCCACGAGGCCGCTCATGGCAGTAAGGGTGCGTGGGCACTACCGGTGAGTGCCCGGATGGGCGCGCCTCGAGGGTGTCATGAGGCAGATGGGAAGGAACAAGGTTCCGGAAGCAGCTACGGCGGGCGGCCGCCGGGAAGGCGCATCGCAGCGGGACAGGTTTAATCCCTGTTAAGTTCGCATGAGAAGGCTGAGGGGGGGCGCAAGGGGCGAGGACGCGTAAAGATGGTGTCGTCGTTGGGGGTGGGTGGGCGGAACTCGCGATGATGCGTATTGGCTAGGTTCCATGAAGCGCACGTGAGGACGTGTGGTCAGACGACCTCATAGGTCCAGACCGCCAATAGACGATCACGTCTAGTCATTGCGCGAGTGGGAGACGGGGTCTCGTAGCATGCAGCATTGAACAAAATATAATTTCACAACTTCGGTACATGCATACTGTGATTGATGCAAGCTTCATTCCCCGATAGGAGCCGACTACACCACCTCCGTATCGCACAATCATTACCACGCACCACAATCTCGATCCCACCACCCGATTACAACGACTATTCGTACCAATTTAGTAACACAAGCTATATCGAAACCCACACCCGCTTTTCGTATTGAACACAGAAAAAGAAAAAGTAATAGTCGAACGAAAGAGGTAATCCCAAACGCCATCGCTAATACGTTTAAAAGCAAGCAACGCCAGAAAACGAGGGAACATGCGCAAGGACCCCATCCACCCACGCTAAGTGGCATTAGTACAAGGTAACGAAAGATCGGAATCGAGAAGAGAAATGGCATGCGAACGGGTACGAGAACCGAAGCAGATCGCAGAAGCAAAGAAACAGAGGATGAGAGAAGATGAAAGAAGGAACACAAGGAGAAGAGCGCCAGAGAACGCCAGACTGCCTCAAACCCCACCAACTTCACATTACCCCGCCCTCGTATCCCTCCGCTGCATGACAATCTTCGCATCCTCGCTCCTCAAGAACTCAAACACACCCAGCTCCAGCCTCGCCAACCCATCTTTAAACATATACTCGCTCCCCTCTGTATTCGTCATGACCCTAAAAGCCATGCAAAGTAGATCCTCAGGACTCAATCCATCAATACTACTCATATTCTTCCATTTCAACCGCATAGCCCTGAGATCGTTCATAGCAAGCAGCCGATCCACAAGACCAATGTGAGACACGCCCGGGTTGGCAGCCATGCTGTGACGCAGGGAAGCGATGGCTTGACGTTCGTGTAGCCATGCAGTCAGGATCTTGGACACGAGATCGTAGTGTGTGGATAGTTCGGTGCGGAAGAGCGGTTCTCCGTGGTACCAGAGTGTGTGCATGCGGACGAGGAGGCTGGCTTCGTCGGGCGGCATTGTGGAGCGCGGGTAGAAGAAGGTGAAGAGGCCGGCGGTGACTTCGCATTGGAGGAGGCGGAGGTCGGCGGTTGAGACGGAGCCGCGGGGGAAGGTTTGTGTTTGTGGGGGCTGGACGACGTGTGCGGTTTCGGGGGGTTGAGGCGGTTGTTGGTGGCTTTTCAGCACGGGTTGGTGCGGTGAGGTGTGTTGGGGTACAGCGGCGGCGGGTTGGCTGTGGTTTGAGGGGGCTCGGGGTTTGCTCGAGGGCGCAGGGGGTGCGTCTTGGGTTGGGACGAGTTGTATGCCGTATGCGGGTGCGCTTTGGATCGCGGGTGCAGAGGTAACCTGCTTATTAGGTGCCATGGAAGGCGGATTAGGTGCGGCCTGCGCATGTGGTGTACTAGATCTACTGCGAGGGTGTGGTGCAAGAGAACGGCCGAAGGGGTGGCTCGGGGTATTAGATCGACTCGGTGGTTGGGGAGGCTGTTGCTGAGCCTGGATGTGCGGATGTGACGGTAGCTGCGTATGCTGAGGATGATGTGCATGCGGTGATGCCTGATGTGGGTGTGAAGGGTGAGACGGTGTCTGTTGCTGCTGTGGTTGTGCTTGAGGTTGCGCTTGCGATTGCTGTGGCTGTGGAGCGATATGCGTATGCTGAGGAGGCTGAACGGCAGGAGACTCCCTCTTCATATGTCCACCTGCTCCATTAGCTGCTGAAGATGCGTTCACTGCTTGGAACCCTTGATTCGAGGCTGGAGTAGGAGTAGCTGGCGGTGCAGATCGAGGAGTTTCTGTAGCAGATCGAGCCATGGCAGCACTGCGTGAAGACGGCTCATATGGGCTCGTATAACTGTTGCTGTGACGATGTCCAATAGCAGGAGGGGGTCGATGCACTTCTCTCGACGGTTCTCGGGATACTTCCCGTGTTGGCTCTCGAGGTGGCTCACTGGGTGGGGGCGTGTTGTTAACAGCAGTGAAACCTCCATTGTTGACAGCCGTGAAGCCTGCGGGTGCGGAGCTTTGGGTGATAGCAGAAGGTCTTGACACGCCGTTCAAGTCGTTGTTTGACAGAGGACTGAGCTGTATCCGTGCAGGTTCGGATGCGCTTCCTGGTGCTGGCGAGAACCGATGCATGTGCGTCGGCATGGGAGGTATGTTCTCCATGCTGCCCGGGCCGGCAGGATACAGTGACTTGAGTGACTTCCTTGGGCTGCCCTTACGGCTCACAGGCATGGTGCTGTATGGCCTTTTGACAGGCGAAGCCTCAGGATCTTCATCGTCAGACATGGTGAGGTGAGCATTGCTCTTGCGCTTCTTCAGATTAATGGGTTTAACGTCAAGGTCAGCGCCTGCAACAGTATCCGGATCTGGTGGGGTGAGTGACTGTGGCGTCCCATGCGGTGACTACCGTGTATTAGCCATGACAACACCAACCATGACATGAAAACTTACAAGGCCTTCTGCATCAATATCGGCAAGCTGATCATACTCATTCGCACCCGACGGCCTCTTCAGCTTCATGTTGCGAATGTAATAGCAAGCTTTGATGATGATCCACCGATGCAGATGAATCTTGAGACTAAAACAGGATTAGCGCGCGTTCTGACACCTGACACCTGACCATCCCAACTTACATATCCTTATGCTCCGGCTCTTCGTAAAACAGATCTTTGTTATACGTCTTCTTAGTCGGATCCGGCGTGAGTAAACAGCTGCGATCCGCATCCCTGCCCCAAATAGCGGGTCCGTAATTCGCTAGCAGGTCCTCGAGCTCCTGGTTCAGGGAACTCGGATCCGCCGCGAAATCCAGCAACAAATCTCTTTCTTTTGGCAATTCCTTTGACAGCTTCGTCACCTCACTCGAGAGCTTGCGGTAGTCTGGGTTGTCGAACTTCGGAATGCCGCGGTTGGTCGTGGACGAAGACGCCGATAAGCCCAGGCCCAAGCATTCCGTCACCTCGCGTATAGTCGGGTTATGCGAGCTGAAGACGGATATCCAGCGAGCACGATCCCAGCGTCGCACGCCGTGCTCCAGATCCAGGGCCAAGTTATCCTTTGAGCTCATGGCGCCACATGGGTGACGACGGGCACGTCAACAGTTGAAATGGGAAGTAGGAAAATGACGATGGAAAAGTAAGCGGATGGAATGGGGAATGACAATCAATGGCGCGTGCGCCAAAGTGTGATGGATCCGCTCGACGTTCCAAGGTTGGGGTGATTGATGGTAGCTCGCTCGGCAAAGGTAAAAGGAGTACGTTCCACTAGGCCGTCTTGGAACAAAGTTTTCTTATTGCCAGCTGCTGCTACCCCAAGAAAAACTTTGTCCAGTCTCAGATGCCGATCGTGCTACCAAACTAGACAAAGAATTGAAAGCCCCTGTACACACAAGAAGAACAAACTGCGCAGCAATTGTATTCTGGAGTAGAGACCGACAGGCGCTGGTTGAAGGGGGGGGGGCGTTGGGCGGCGAAAAGAGGGATTGGTGATGATGATTGATGCCGGTGACGTGTAGAAGGGCGAACGACGGTACGCTGCGTCGAAAAGATACCCAGAAAAGAGGTGTGTCCAGTAGCGAGACAATGACCCGGCAGGGGCCGCAACAAAACATGTGCAGAGGTAATACGCGTCCGCACTCCGAAGTTAATGACTCGCACGCCAATAAATCCCCATCAGGTGTAATCATAGTACCGCCCCGTCCTCATTCGTTCACACCCAGCGGGTCCCCTTTGCCCTTGCTCGTTCATTGTACGACACTTGCACTATGAGCGTGGTGCTCATTTGCTGCATTATGCTAATCATATCTATCGCAGGGGTCTCCATCATACACGAGGTACAAATGAATATGTCGCTAGCAGCACAACTCTTACTCGCATAGGCCAAAACATCCGATCCTCTTACTCAAAGCCTCCATTAGCCGCCACATGCAATCAGCGAATAAGCGGCACTATCACCGTTTCGTATAGCCGGGGATAGATGTCGTTGGTATCATGGTCAGGAGTTACAACTACACATGCATCTATGACGCGCTCGTCCCTCATCCTTAGATTTGTACTGCCGGGCTGCGATTACTCAACTGTGCGCCCGGTTCCTATCTAGACTGCGCGTCGCATAATATTGATGGGAGGTACACCGACATCTGATATTAACGCCACAGCTCGAAAGAAAAAAATGTGAGGCAATGTGACGAATGTGCGGCGCGGTCACTCCACTCTAAAATAGGAACGTGGCAATAGGGAGATTTACGGCGCAGTGCGGAGCCTGAAGACACGCCCCTTGGCTGCAGGGAATACACTAAGCGAAAAGGTATACTGCGAAGTGCTGCCGAGCCGTGTATTCATTCGGATACTAGCTGCCGAACTATTGAAGCTGCGTACAGTCGCGCGTTCCAGGCGATCGCAAAACTAAAGCAAATCACGCGTCGCAGAGTCCCGTACTGCATGGTGATGAGGTGTGGCACATCTGAGCTAGTCTAATCCTACACGGTCCTGTAACATGATCAAGTAGCTGAAACCACCACTTTACGGCTGACCTACCCGAATAGCTTGATTTTCCCGAACTGGACACCTACTAGTGGGGGCCTCGACCCTGGCGATCGATCGTCGCCCTGAAAACCTGAACGCCTGTATGATCCTCGTACACAGTTTTTTTACGACTACAGCTCCGCGCGCATGATACGTGCATATCTTCATCGTGGTGTTCGCGACTAGCGTCGTGACTCGCCGATATACCAGAGCATACCCTTTCCGTCTTCCTCTTCTTCTTTGCGGAAGCTTTCCAGGTGGTCGTGCAGCCAACCCATTACCTGCGTAAAATCTACTGGCTTCCACTGCATCTCTACTGCATACTTTTCTCCGGCCAATACCACAATCGCTTGTCGCAGTAGCTCATCGCGGTCGACAGCGACGTTGGGGCCGAGACCAAACCCTCGACCCACGTCTTCAAAATTGGCGATGATGGTTTGTGTGCAGCCCATGAGGGTGCGGTGCTGTTGGATGCGTCGCTCGATCTCGGCGGCTGTGTGGCCTTCGGCTGACCAACCTGCAGTAAGATAAGTATAGATAGAATAGATGCGAATGCAGTTGGTAGAACCTACGTTCGTTTGCTCGTAATAGAGCTGCCAGGTGGCGCTTAAGTTCCACCCATGTCAGAAATGCTCGTTCCCTCGCAATGAAGACGGGTATGTTCTCGATCATCTTGTTGTAGTCGGCGCGAACGCCTTCTCGCCATGTTCTTTCGAGTTGGTTGAGGAGAGCTTCTTCGTCCATTGAAATACCTCGCTCCTCTCCATATATGTACTGCCGTAGCGCCCGTAAGCCATCGTAGTCCAGACCACGGTAGGGTATACTGTTATTTGCCTGTGGGAGCTCTTCTGGGACACCGTCATCCGACCGAAAGCTTGCTACCAGCGCGGCCATTTGTACGCTGACCTGTCGATCAGCAGCCGCTTGGGTCGCGTCGGTGATTTGCTGTTGTGCCGCTGCTTTGGTCTCTGGAGGATGTGCAGCGTGGGTTGGAGCAGGGCCTGACAGCGTACTGAGATATCGAGACTTGTTTGCTTCAGCTGTGAGTTTATTCCAGACACCCTCAGCGATGTTAGACTGTTGTGTAGCCTGCTGTTCGTGGGTTTTCGCCGATGTAAAGGCCGCATTCCCATTTGTCGCGTGTCCACCGCCGTTGACAGCTATAAATCCGCCTCCTTCCCGCGGTCCCATAATGGGACTTTCCCCCGATTCTGGAGGTGTGAGCATTGCACTTGACGACATCGGGCTTCCACGTGACGCTGTATCGCCGTCGTGCAACACCGAATTTGGCGCAAGCGCAACAAACGATGCTGGCGTGCCGCCCTCTTGCTGGCCAGAAAACTCGGCATCAGCTCGCGCCTGGCGATTTTCTGCCTTCTTTCGTCTCTCGCGATCCAGGCGTTCGCGCGCAAGAATGACGTTGCATGCCTTCAGCCCGATCCACCAGTGGAGAAGTTTGTGAATTCTGCGTGGTGGGTCAGTAGCTATTCGGCAATATTGCGAGGGTCCAAATTCAAGACAGATGTGCTCTAGAACTTATGTACTTACAATGCTCTGTCTTCCTCGTTCTCCAAGTAAAGATCCCGCGGGTAAAGTCCTTCTTCGACTCCGGGTTCATTCGCGGTGATTAGATGCTCACGATCGCCCACTCTTCCCCAGACTTTGGCCCCATGCTTCTCAAGTAAGCCATCCACCTGCTCTTTCAAACTTCCCTCGTCGCTCAAAAACTTCATTAGCTCATCCGGCTCTTTTGGTAGTGTGGAGACGACATCGCCCATGTCTGCAACCAGCTCGCGTACGAGGGCGGATTCAAAGTTTGTTTTACCGCGTTTGTTCGATGACCACTTTGCGCGCAGTCCAAGACGCTCGATCAGCTCGTGCATACGCACTTTTGATCGATTCTTCATGATGTCCAGCCAGTCCTTGGACGTTGCGTATGCGATAGCTGAGCCGTCCATGGCGTCTGGCCTAGATGCATGAATCGCGAAATTTCGCCAGGTGAATTGAATTCAAACTAGCTTTGATGCTGTAGAGAGTCGTATGATCTCCGAGCGTTGTGGTGTCGCGACTATGCAAGGGAGGCGTGATGTGTAGTGCTGATTTTCTCGGGTATGATTACATGCAGATGCTCTCAGGATTGGGGCAGCCAGATCGTGCAATTTCGCCAAAGGGCCGTCTAGAGCATGCACGAGTCAGTGATGGGGCGCGCAAGGCAAACGAACGACATCCTTAAAGATGAATCGAGAACACAATAGATGATAAGAGTACAGATGAAGAAACCATAGCGGCGTATGAAAGCTTCGTCTACAGGGTTAGCGGCGCCCGCCTGGGAATGGCAGGCGGAACCAGAGGGCAATTGCTGCCGATTGGCTGGAATGTCGCGTTAGCCGACGATCCCCCCAACTACTTACACAATGCATTGTGCACGTTGTTCTTCGTCTACAAAGTGGCGGAAACGCAGCTCACCGCTGCTGACTGTGGCGTTCGGTAACTTAAAGCCTATGCATACAACTGCACTTCCCTCTCCACTCATTGGCGCAACTGACATTAGATGCGCAGTGGCGCGCAGACTTCGCTGGTGTACAGGCAGTAGGAATTGTTTCATCTTCGCATGTGCTGTGACATACGTACACACTCAAACAGGGGCTTTTGAGGTTGTCCGAGAAAATTCCATATAGGGGTCGTCATTAGCATTCATATAGATACATATTATGAATTGCCTGGATCCTACCCAGCTTCGCCAAGCACCAATGCTATATAACCACCAGCCTGGTATCGATTCTTTCGACTAACTCGCTCGCAAAAGATAAAAAATGATTGGGGTATATGTAGGACAACGCAAAAAGCCATCGATGTACCCCATGATACACAGATGCTAGAGAAAGTGAGGAAGAGCACACCTTCGAAAAACGCCGAGGCTGCAATTCTAGGAAGAGGGTTATCGATGATTGTTATCGATGCCGCTCAAGCAGGATCTGGTCGGCTCAAGGATCTGAGTTCGATATCGATTTTCGCCTGAGGATTGTCTGCCCAAACAGACGCTTGAGCAAGTGTAGTCTGTAGACGATCGAATGCGATCTCCGTGCCTTTGCGGGCTACGATCGCTTTGTTCACACCGTCACCAAGACGATATGTCAGTTTCCAGGTTTTTGTTTTCTCCAATATACTCGCGACAGAGGGTAGATCCTCGCTCTCTTCCTCCAGTAGGCCGAGCAGGCCTCCAAAAGACTTGCACTCGCGCAGCGTGTGAATGAACTCCATCTCCATGCCTTCGTCGTCGACCGACCAGATAAAGTATACACGTTCAGCCTGTTCGTCGGTTAGGTCAAGAGATATGACCTTGGAAAATACTGTGGGTCTGATGACCCGAAGGGGAGGTTTGGATGTATCAGCGGACGTTGAAGTATGTCGTTTGATATCATCAGCAGGCGTTTCTCTCGTTTGATGCGTCTGTGTATGTATATGTGGCTGCGGTTGCGGTTCCGGATGCGATTCCGGTTGCGGTTGCGGTTCAGGTACAGGTACAGGTACAAGTGCAGATTCAAGTGGCGGTTGTGGCTGTGACTCTGGAGGGCATGCACTGCTTTCTTTGGGGACCACCTCGATCGCATCCGTTATCTGCGTTCTGTTTTCGCTAGGCTTTCGCCGCTTCCTTGCTGCGGGCTGCTTAGTATGAGCATCGCTTTCATCGTTATCGACCTTTGCCATGGCATTCGATGCTGAAGGTGCAACATCTTCGTCGGTAGATTTTGAGAGCTTGGGGGTAGAAGATAGACGCTGTCTTGGTTCCGGTATTCCTCTCAACTTCGAGACGATGTCAGCACGTTCTTCCGGAGACAACACTGAGAGGACTGCTCCAATGTGCCAGCGTCGCTGTCAGGGTTGCGAAGTGTGAGCATCATGAAATTGTTGACAAATTTGTCTCCTAAACCACCTCCACTAATCTGCAGAACGGGAGTGTGAGGTCAGCGTGTCTTCCATGTACCAGTCGTAGACGTGGGTCTTACCTCGTAGGGGCGATAGGATTGAAGGCCGTGTAAGGACCTATCAGTCGTCTGAGGTATCATGATAGCAAAAACCCCAGCATCGTCGTCGCCATCGAGCGGCATGATAACAGCCTTCTGTATATTGTCAATATCCTGAACTATGTGGAATATGTGCATTCTCGGTACAACTCACAACCTTCGGTCCGAACTGCACTTCGCTGAAGGCAATAACAGCTGAATCTTCCCTAGCACAGCCTCGGCAGACAGCGTTGCGATTCTCCCTAGGACTCCCTTGGACTATCGGAGGGTGCGGAGGGTTGAACTTTTTGTAATTGGCCTTCAAGTCGTGGAAGGAGGGTAGCCCTCGGAATGACTGGGATTGCCTGTCCGGAGCTAGGTAGCCAATCCAAACGCCCCGCGCAAAGAGTTGATTGGCCGAATAAAAGTGGCCCTTCAGATGAGGTTGCGAGTTGAAGCAACAATACGAGATGGAGTTTTTCCTAGGACTGGTGTTTCGAGATTCTTCCATTGATGTCTGCAGTGCACGCAACCCAGGTGATATCATAGGCGAAGTCAGTTCGCTCGACGCGCTACGGCGTGCCGGCTGCGCATCGCTTTCGGGAGCTGCTGCCTTGAAGTTGGCGTTTACTTCATTTGAGTTGGAGGGTATTTGCAACCGGATTGTGTCATCAGGCTGAGGGCTGTTGTTATCGAGACTGGGCTCGCGGGCGCGCTTGCAGCTTGTCGATGGGGCCCTCGAAACGGGTGTGCGCACACTCTTCCGAGCTCTTTGAGGCTGCGGCGGCATGCCAGAGGTTTTGGATGGCATGCCGGCGAGATGTCGGATCGCGACTGGTAGGCGGTGATGGCGGTTTGTTGTTGCAACATGCGGCTGCGCGCGCTAGCGCCCATGCAGGACTTTAATTGGCCTGCAATTCTGGATGGCATTTAAGTACGTCGGGGCACCACCATGGTACACCTCATGACCCTTTTCACTTTGACGCGAACAACCGTTTTGCGATACGTATAGCACGCGACATCGGGGTGTGGGAGTTTGATCAGTGAGCGCGAAGAAGAAAAAAGTTCCCCCTTGCCAATTGCGGACGCGCCAAGTAGACGACGGAAGGAGCGAGTACGCGTCTGTCTCGACTGGAGTCTAGGAGCGCTCGGAACTATACCGCTGCCTACCACATTATCACCGCTTCCAGAATGTATTCGCAAGCTCTCATCGCTTGATACAGACGTCGCCAGCTACGGTGTATATACTACAATTGATATTCAGTTTTTTGTCCATCAAGCACTACTTTTGCACGCTTCCATCAAACCACTATACCCAACGATGGCGCATGCCCGGCGAGTAAATTTCGTCAGAGTTGGTCATCACATCGAATCTCTTGGACTTCAGACGTATGGGAAGGAGAGAGTGGACGCCAGCACATACGTACGCAGACGACCAGTGTTCAGATATGAGCCGGTCTTTGCACTCAGCGAAATCGAGCTACCGGCTCTGTTTGGTCAACTACTACGCGATGAACGCGAAAAGAACACTGTCGTCAATCGAAATGATCCCACCCTACTCGATAAAGAGCTCGACCAGCTGTTAGTCGAGTATGGTCCTCTGATCTGGCCTCAACCGGGTGAAGGAAGTAGAGACCATCTCCGAGAACCACAAGAGGGTACCCAGTATCCGGCTGCTTTGATCTATCCGAGAGATAGTGCCACGTAAGTCCGCTCATCCAGGTGCTGGGTGCGCGCTAATGAAACCGGCCTCAAGAAACACCTGCGGGGCATGATTCTCTGCGAGAGGGCTCGCCCCCATGTTGATGTAGAAGCCTACAGAAACAGGACAAACAGAAAAGCCCGAGATTACAAGCCAAGAGATCTGAATATCGATGGTAAGCCATGGCTTCAAGGTTCCACAACCATAAACCGAAGCAAGGACATACCTGTGAGAAAGAGACGCAGCACTGGTACCAATACAAGAGCAGACGAACCCCCTCCGCAACGCGCACGTTCCAAGGAAGACCAAACAGACGATGACTCCGATACGTCTGACGATTCGGTGCTGGGCACCAAGATAGGGTGTCCGACCCGCAGGACAAGCGCGCATTCACCCGACCCGATGCTCTTTAAAGTCGAATTGCGAATTTATCGCACCAAACCACCGGGCCAGCCAATCGGCCCTGGTCCAACCTGGTCCTACGGCAGTTTGATGTTCATCGGCAAAGAAACAACATGTGAAGAATTCTTCGGTCTCATATGCAATTACACCAAGGCCGACTGCAGCTTCATCATTTCCCACTTGCCCGAAGATATGTCCATGGACGGAAGGGTGTGCATCGACCGAGGATCCAAGGAATCTGAGATGGTCTACCGACGTACTCTGGGTATTTTGCAAAGGGCAAGGCGATTTCCATGCGGTCCTTTGCACCGTTCGGTTGAGCTGGAGATTGGGTTCGAGATTGTCGTGGATTAGTGTTTTGAGATACCACGTCCTTTCCGCCTCGCGACTTCCAGCTCTTCTGTACGTATTGCATTTGTGCGATTATTCTTCACTGTATTTTTCTTTTCAATATCGACGAGGCGACAACAAAACGTCAAATACTCAAGCTTGGCATCTCAAGCACACGGGTGCATCGACGTAGCTTTGTGGCATGACAAGATGTATATAACATGACCTCGTTATTCGTGGTGTAATTAGTGTATCCATATATCCAACCTTTTCTTTTTGTACAAAACACGTCCTTGTGTATTCCATCTGATACTACCGGTGCTGACCCACCCTCCTCTCATCAACTAGCACACTCCAGTTCTTCTGGACACTAATGCCACCCGTCGCAGTCCTCTGCGCACTATCATCGCTAACCCTCCCCATCTCAATCTCCACATTATGCTTCCCCTGCGTGTCCTCCCCCACAAACTTAAATTCCTCTTCATCTTCCAACCGACTCATACCCGCGAGCGTCGAAAACAACCCACCCGTCGCACCCTTCTTCCTCGGCCTGCTTCCCGAGTTCTTCGAGTCATGCATATACCCATCCAAACCGCCATTCGAGCTCGGGCCCGGACTCTTCATATCGCTCGGCCGCGAAGAAGCAAAAGAGAACAATCTATCTAGGCCGATCCAGCGGAAAGCCGGTTTCAAGCTAGGCAAGCACGCACATGTGAGACCGATGTTGACCTCAACAATCGACCAGACGATGATCTCGCGGAAATTGTAGGTTACGTCGCCCTGGGCCGAGATGGGGATTTGCAGGAAGATGATCAGGCGCACGAGCGAGACGACGGCGATGAAGGTGCCCAGTGCGAACATGCCGGCGAGCACGATGCGTTGAGCGAGGGGCGCGTGCAGGCGCCAGACGTGCGGGATGGGCATGATGACGATGAAGAAGTCGAGTATTACGTTGGGGACGGAGCCGCCGAGGTAGATGTCGCGCGTTTCGATGCAGGTTTTTTGCGTGATGGTTATGTCCCACGCGGCGCGTACGGGGAGGCAGTTGAAGATTACGCAGAGCATCTGTGAGGCGTTGCTGTTAGCTTGTTGCGCTGAGGGTGTCAGTGCTGGTGAGATGAGTGGCTTACAATAGCGATACACCATGCGATGGACGCGGCGGTAACCACGTAGATGGTAATGCGGGACTTGATCTCGAAGAGTCGCCAGTAGAAAGCGAGGACCGATAGCTTGATACTCGTGATGCTCAGCGTATACAGGATTTGGCCGACGTAGATATTCCGCAGGAAAGCAATGATTTGTAGCGGGTTCGTTATCTCGTTGATGTGCAGTCCCAGTGACTCTCGCATGCCTGCAAGCACTGAGTGTTAGCCTATGATTTGTATCTAAGGTCGAAAGATGCGTACCTATTATGCACACGTAGAAGAAACCGTTAGCCATAGCCAGTGCCACCATGGACATGTAGTCGTCCATCTGAACATTGCGCCATCCCCCGTGCCGTTTCCGACAGTAGACCTTAAGGGGGACGAGCAGCATGATCAGGATATAAGTCGATATGGCCACTCCATCGAGACGTCGGCGGTAGGTTTGGCTGGATGCAGTGTCAGTGGTATGTTACCCAAGGTACTGTTTTCTGGTCGAGATATAGCATGGGGTGTGGTTCTAAACCACGGAGACCGGGTATGGAAAGGGTAGAGATAAAGAAAGGGCGAGTAGACAACTGCCGAACAACTTACACGCTCTCCTGTGGATCGATGATAGGCGCCATGATGCACAAACTACACACACTCTCTTTCCTATCTCCGATGGCGTATACACCAGGTATATCACACGAACAGCGAAGAAACAAGAGATCGCAGTGGCGTTGACGATGGTGCACGAAACTCTCGCATGAAAAATGCGAGACAAGCACCCATGATATATCAGAAGACGAGAACACGGCACACGACGCGATGCCCAGAAGGAAAGAAAAACCTTTCCTGACATCCCATGCAGACGCCCTGACCAGAGCTCCCCAGATGTTCCCAAATCCACCTATACCGCTACCGCCGCGACCGGGAGCGGGACCCCCTTTAGGTCTGTAAATCATCCACCCTCCAAACCCATGACGGTTTACTTGCTTATTTAGCTGTGCATCAGCCAATTACCATCGCGGCATCAGGCACAGAGAAGTAATAATCCGACGTCGCTGGAGCTGTTGGGCAAAGCATAAAGTTGAGAAGCGAGGCACTGACACACGGGGAGCATCTGGGAAGTGGATCGTCAGTTACAGGTTAGGGGGTCCTAGTCGGCCTAGAGGGTCCCTCGTCTTCACATGTGAGTGGGTGGGGGTTGATCCGGCACTTGCTCCCAACGGGGACGGCGTCGTGCTACGCGGGAACGAAATGGGAAGTCTCTCCACTTCCATTATGCAATACTCCAATCTGCGCGTACATCGCCCACCCTCTCGTTCGGCAAGCGCGTCGCGGCTTGAGACACAAGATCAGTAGGAGAGGGGTAGATATTTACATCTTGCAAAAAAGCAGAATACGAACGTATTTGTTTATTTGTTTCCGCGGGGTTGACTCTACGTGTGTACCCAAACGTTCACCCGACAATCACTACGGTCGTCGATCTAAATCCTCCGGGGTAGCCGTGGATGGATAAACTCCGAGCTGTGCGTTATTCTAAATGGCCGACTCGAGCAGATCATCCCACTTCTTGGTGTTGCGCATGTGCCTGGACGTGGTTTTGGTCGTAAACGGCCTAGTTCGCTGATCAGTTGCGAGTCAGAAATGAGGCTTCGGCAATGGTATACGAGCCAATTGATGATGGACATAATTCGATGAGGGTATCAGGCGTCTTGCGGCTCTTCGGAGGTGCGCGCACTGCGTCTGTTTTGTGGCGTCGATTTCTCTGTATGTCGTGCATTGCCGCAATCCTGCTATGCCGAATTGCAGGGCTCTGGAAGGATCGTGAGCCGCAAACCTGTGCGCAAGCATTGTGGTGGCGTAGGAACCAAAACGTTCTAAGCTCTCGTTGGAGGGCAATCACCGTTTGCCAATCATACGACATGCATGGCAACGGCAAGGGTCGCGGAAGCGGAAGTAGCCTCGCGCGCTTTGCTGTGCCGTGGAAGCGTGAGGGATACACGCCGTCGTCTTGGTAGTTTTAGCACTGCAGCAACGAGTCGAGAAGCTCGAAGACCCTGTCGAGTTCCATCAGGTTATTGACGCTTGTTGTCTCAAACCTGACCAGGGCAAATGCAGTGAATATCCCATGGGGCTTAGCGAGAGCCCCACCTATTCGGGGGGGGGGGGGTGGCCGGCACATGCGCCATCTTCCACGTGGATGCGAGGAACGCGATATGCGAGCTTATTAACGTCAGCAAAACAAAAAGTCAATGATGCAGCGTGATAGTGGCGCCGCTCAGTAAGCATCAGCAGCTGTTTGATAGTCAGAGTGTATCTCGAGGATAGTTGGTGCGGGAGGTGCGGCTCGTCATCGGTCCTTCTTTAGGACAGCCGAGAAGCAAAACTCCACATTTCAGAGTCGTTTCTGACAGGCGCCCCGGCTGCTAGCTAGCGACCTAAGGGCTTAGGAGACCAATCAACGGGCACTAATTTGGGCGCTCTCAGTGTCAGATACCGCGGAGCGAGACAGCATTGCCCATGTGCGATGGAAAAGTCGGCGAGGATAGGAGAGGCGTAAAAGAGGCCCCACGCTCTGCATTTCGCTTTCGGATTCCTGTCAAACTTTCCTTCTTCCTCTGATTAAGCCAGGTGCATAATGGCATTTCAAGATAACCAAGGCAATGGTTCATACCCAGGCCTTCTCGTTTTGTCATCTCTGTTAGTATCGACATACGTAATCGCTACTGGAATCTATCGCCTCTACTTCCATCCACTCGCGGCGTTCCCGGGGCCACTCTGGGCCCGCTTGACCGTATTCCCGTCATGGTGGCATACTCGCACTGGTGACCGACACATCTGGCTGTATAGTTTACAGGAGAAGTATGGTATGGTTGCCTGATCTTATGCCCCAGAGTCAGTCAGTTGCTAACGGAAGCCAGGGCCCAAGTTCCGGTATCGTCCGGACAGTGTCGTGCTCAACACGCCTGCTGCTTTCAAGAGAATATTTGGACCAAAGGGAAATGTTAAGAAAAGCATCTACTACGAAGTATGGCCACGCAATGTTCACACTATCAACACTTGGAGCAGCACCAGTGTTGAGGTGCACTCACGCAAGCGTCGTGTGCTGAACTACGCTTTCTCGGAGGCAGCGCTGCGAGATGCTGAGGTCTTCCTTCATTCGAACATTGATCGATGGCTGGAACTGATTGGCCAACAAGCGCCCAAAGCTGGCGAGTGGACGACTTCTATCAACATGTGTGACTGGATGAACTGGCTTGTTTTTGATATCCTTGGTGACCTGTGCTTCGGTAAGAATTTCGACATGAAGGAGCCTGGAAGTGATCTCCGTCACATCCCAGAAGTCATGGTCAATTTCATGGAAATTCTCCATCCGGTGAGTCCACTGCGACGGATCATTGATTGACCGTGCTGATTTTGTGAAGATCGCATTCGGCCCGTTAGCCAATGCCTGGGTATGGCTTAAGCCTCGTGGTCTCGACAAGCTTCTAGAGGTCGCCTCACCGCCAGTAGTCAAGAAGTGGCAGGATTTTGTTGAGGGGTGCCTTGAGAAACGGTCCAAGGTCGAGCATGAATTGGAGGAGAATCCCAAGCCTGAGGGTGAGGTCCGAAAGGACTTCTTTCACTGGCTCTTCAAGGCTGTCGACCCCGAGACTGGCAAGCGTGGCTACAGCGAGAACGAACTTTTCGCCGAGTGCGAGTTGCTGACTATCGCTGGATCCGACACGACATCTGTCGTAATGTCTGCGGCTTTCTTCTACCTGGCTCGTCGACCGGAGGTGCAGGCCAAGATCGCTCAAGAGGTCAAGTCCGTCTTCTCAAGCTACAACGAGATCAAGTCTGGCACCAAGATCATGTCCTGCAAATACCTGACAGCGTTCCTTCAAGAAGCCATGCGCATGACGCCTCCAGTCGCAGCAGAGCCCAGCCGTGAGGTACTCCCTGGCGGAACAACGGTCGGCGATCACTACTTTCCCGCAGGCCTCCACGTCAGCACCGGTCTTTACTGTCTCAGCTACAACGAGAACGTCTTCCCCGAACCCTTCAACTTCCGTCCTGAGCGCTGGATTGTAGACGAGTCTGGAAAGGAAGGATCCTCGGCTGAAAGTGTGGCATTGGCTGAGAACGGTTTCTGTGCCTTCTCCTTTGGAACCAGAGGCTGCGTCGGAAAGAACCTTGCCTGGCTAGAGATGCGACTTGTCATTGCCAAGACGCTCTGGATGTACGAGGTTCAGGCTGATCCCAAGAACGGACTTGGTGGAGGTAGCCGACATGGAAAGCCTGGGCGACAGACGGAGGATCAATATCAGATCTACGACATCTTCGTGGCCGGCAGGAAGGGGCCGATGCTGCAGATGCGCAAGAGGTAACGTTGAGTGAGATGAGCCCATTTGTGCAGGCGGCCGAAGTAAAGCCTGCAACGTACGATAGTCATCCTGGCCAGCCAATTGAGCATATTCTGATCCCTTTGAGAACGTAGTCCGTGTACAACACCACGTGTCGCCAGGTGCGTGCGTGGCTGTGGTGCAAACGGTGGTGCGACCATTCAGTCCCTGACGATCCCCCCAAAAAAACTAACAGCCGTTGTGCATGTACTGCACATCGTTAGTGGTGTTGTCGCACAGCCTCGCTAGGTGAGGTTGTGTTGTTGTCCGGGGTCACTTCACAAGATTTGCTGCGACCGTCAGCGCCTGCCCAGAGGACGTCCCTGCGTCATTCGACTAGCGGTGTCGCTCAGCGAAGCTTCCTCAAGCTCCGAGTCCGGTCCTTCTTCTCCATCTCCTTAACACCAACATCATCGAGTCTGTATATTCTCGTAGGACCATCTTTGTGCCCAATACAACATGACGATGTTTTTGGCCCCCATCGCAAGCCACCGGCATGCCTCAAACAGCAATGCCAGGCGAGACTCGAATGCCATGCGACCGCAGCGGCACAGCGCCGTATTTTTTAGCTCAGCTGGCCCCCAAATCTTGACCGGTCGATTGTTGTGACGGCATGTTGCTGCTTGCAACACCTTTCATTCTTTCTTTTCATGCTCGACATACTGAGCTCTTCTGTAGTCGCAAAGCTCCGCATTTCGCTGTCTTTCCGACGCCAAACATACAGCCATTGGCATTCGATCTGGAGTGACGCGGGTTGATCAGCATAGGGCTGAGCGGCTCGTAAAGCCCCGCGACGCCAGCGTAAATCAAAGGCACGTCGAGCTTGGTTCCACGACTTTCGTTCGCCTCGCCTGGACTGCACATGGTGAGCCGCCCTAGAGCAACTTTCATGCCCGAGTAGGGCGAAGGCGTCCGTGGGCGCATATTGGTGTGATGGAATCAGGCTGACCGGTGCAACGCATAGGCTGCAAGGTACCGTCAGCCTCGTGCAACATCTTGTGCGATTTAGTGACTTCTCGCGTTTCTTGTGGCTTCTCTCTTTTCTTTGCCTCTGTTTGCTTTCGTCCGACGGTCGCTACACATTGCAAACATCGTCGTGCAGTACACGAATGTCAGCGCACGCGACGCATACGCGAAACGAAATGCGGTCACCGACCGTGGAAGGAGTGCCAACTCCCCTCCAGATTGGCTCCCCTAGCAGTAGAAGACCCTCCGATATCACAGTCCCTTCTGCTTTGCGCGTTGGCTCCCCGACAACAGGCGGTACCCCGCCGTCCCATGCTCGGCCTCCCTTACGGCGCAAGAACACGTCGGGCGCCTCCGATAGGCTTTCGCAACTCTTTCCGTCCCGGCCGTCCTCAGTCGCCTCAATCGCATCTCCTAGCAGCACCCCTGCATCAAGACGACAGTCGGTTCCTTCGCCTCTGCTACCGGCCGCAGAGCCCTCGTACCGCATACCTCCCGCTCCTGCGCCGCCCTCATTTCCCCAAGAGACATCATACAACCCTGTCGCATACGTTTTCAGTCAAGATCACGCTTCACCATCTTTGAGCCAGAGCAATAGTAGGACCAAACGGGTCTTGGACCGGATCGCATCTTTGCGCAGGGGAACGTCTCATGGAGGTCATTACAACCGACTTGATGATGAGGAATCACAACCCGGCAGAAAACGGCTTGTGGGAGTCGATGAGGGGGGCGAGGCAGTCGGATATGATCTGAGCTCGTTAGGCGGTCTGCCGCTGAAGACATTCGAGGCGCAATTGCGGACACAGGACACACGCGAAGGGCAAGAACGCGACAGGGAGATAGATGAAGCTAGTCACGCCGCAGAATTTGAGCGTCTCGAGGCGCAACTCGGAGGTGGGATGACTTCCGTACTCCATGTTCCGTTTGAGCACACCCCAGCTGGACCAGTACCAGGCTTCTTTCCAGGTCACCGACGAATTCTGTCCAGAGCAGATGTAGTAGACGAGCAGGCCAAAAAAGCACAAGACGAGGCCGAAAATACTGGCAAAGTCGTTGCTGTTGCAACAGATGTTCCAGTCGATATCAGCGAATTCACAGGAGTCGCTCGCGACTTCGACTCTATGAGAAATCTGACTGCTGAGGCTGGTTTCATTAGCAGTGGTGCACAGACCAGCTACTTCTTTCCTGAAGGCAAGTTTCCCATACATGTATGTGTCTAGGGATAGGATCTAACACGCATGCAGATCCCCAGATGCCTGCATGGCGACCCCTCACTATGAGCTCGTGGTGGATCCTTATGCTCGTCATCCTTGCACTCGCACTCGCTGGCGTACAAGAGTATCTTTGCCAGATTTCCTTACGCGATGTCAAAAAGCATCCTGACAAAGGCGGGTTGATGCGTTTCGAGAAAGTTGGCGACCTGACTGTTACGCAGTACTTCACCTGGCAGTACGCTCCCATCATCATTTCAGTCTGTTATGGCGTCCTCTGGCAAATGTCGGATTTCGAGGTGAAACGCCTGGAGCCGTTCTACCAGCTCTCCAAGAAGACCGGCGCAACTGCGGGAGAATCGCTGAACATGGACTATCTGACCTTTTTGAGTTTCTTGGTACCACTGAGAGCACTTCGTCACAGACAATACGCCGTTATTTACAGCTCGCTGGGCACATTGGTTGCTAGTAGTCTTGTGCCTGTCTTGCAGAGTGCCTCCATGACTATGTGGCCACCAGAGGAAGACCGTAAGCTTGGCCAGTGGAAGGCTGTGAGAGTCGAACCAGCTTGGTCCCGAGCGCTTTCGGCGTGCCTTTTGATTGTTGCAGCCTGTGGAGGAGCGCTAGTGTACGCAATGCAGAGGAAAAGCGGCTTACAGTCGGACCCCAAGGGCATTGCGGGTATCGCGGCCATGGCTACGAAAAGCCATATTCTTACGGACTTCAAGGGCCTCGACCAGGCTTCCTTGCCACAGATACACAAGCAGCTTCGCCAGCGAAGATACATCTTGCACAAAAGCTCACTTTGGCAAGGAGAGTACATAAAGAGCAAGGAAAAGATCCACGAACAGGGCTCGGATCCCAGGCCACTGATGCTTCGTCTCTGGGCCGGTGTCCCCTTCATTGGCTTTCTCTTCCTGTTCACCTTTGCAGTACCATTCTTCACATTCGTCGAGGAGGTGGCTATAGTCACACAAACGGTACCTTGGATGATGACGGGCCTGGCAACCATCATCCGTATACTCTGGAATACCATGAACAGCGACGTTCGCATGCTGCAACCTTTTTACATCCTTTCTCTTCGACACGCCCCGGCCAAAACGCTTACACTGGACTATGCTGGTACCAATCCTCTCTGGTTGCCATTTGAAGCTTTCTTCAACGGGCATTACCTTGTCATGCTCGTCGCCTGGGGATCTATTTTTGCCGAGATCTTAACAGTCTGCGTCACTTCGATCAGCGTCGATGGCAAGAAATTCATACCCGGATTCGGCGGTCAAAACCAGGACGACGACCATGACGGCAAAATGAGTGACCCATCTGATCGCTACAACACTGAGCAGACCTTTCGCAGTTTCTGGTCTAGCTTCACCCTCACCATGCTCATCCTGATCTACCTCATCGGCATCGCTCTCCTCACCTATGCGAAGCGCAGTCGGAAGTTTATGCCCCGTGAAATCGGCACCATGGCCTCCGTCCTCGCGTTCATCCACCAGTCCAAGATGCTATTCAGCTTCATTGACACGGAAAAGATGAACTCAAGGGAGATGACGAAACACCTCGAGAAGAGTGGGAAGACGTACGCGTTGGGCTGGTTCCAAGGCAGAGATGGCGAAGATCACTTGGGTATCGACGAAGAAGAGATCAGCAGCGCGTACGTCTTTGGCAAGGATTGGACTGAAGGGCGGCTGAGACCAGGTAGAGATCTGACGTGGGAGGTTTATTAGACGCGTCTCGTCACGCAATTCAATGCATTTTCATCAACATCAAGAACGCGCATGCAATTACTGACGCTAACCCCCCGTATTCACAACCCTAGCGCCGGGACGCCACTATGCTGGTATAATAATCCCTTCTGACGCGTGTATGCCGCGTCATATGTCCCCGCTACCCGTCTCATCCTCATCCCATGTATATCCCCCTCCCATTCCATAGCACCCCTCCTAACTCTGCTCCCCAACATTCCCCACCAGCCAATCCATACCCTCCTGGACACCCCTTCCATCCACCGCACTACAAGCCACAATACTCCAATTCCGGTCTTTCAGCTCCCCCAACTTGAGCGCCTCGCTGATCTCTCCCGCGCCCTTTGCACCCGGCTGATCTTGTTTGTTTGCGAAGACGAGGAGGGCGGCGTCGCGCAGCTCTTCTTCGTTGAGCATGCCGCGGAGTTCTTCCGACGCGGTGGTTAGGCGCTCGATGTCTGTGCTGTCGATTACGAAGATTACGGCCGCCGTGTTGGCGTAGTAGCAGCGCCAGTAGGGGCGGATGGAGGTTTGGCCGCCGAGGTCCTGGGTGGGGAGTGTTAGATGGTGGTTGTGGGTGATTGGGAGGGAGGTGAGCTTACCCAGACGTTGAAATTGAGGTTCTTGTATGTTACTGATTCGACGTTGAAGCCTATTGTTGGTATCGTTGTGACTACCTCGCCAATCTGTCGTAGTCGTTAGACTCCGTACTTCTGACCATCCCGACCCAGGATCTATATGCTTCCATGTAGTCATGCCAGATATCGCGTACCTTCAGTCTGTATAGTAGCGTTGTCTTTCCAGCGTTATCCTGCATTTGTAATCAGCGCCATGCCCCCCATACTGGCCATGTTGAGGTATTCATACCAGCCCCAGAATCAATATCCGTATCTCCTTCTTCGCCCATATCAGCTTTGTAAACGTCGATAAGTAGCCGCCCATGTTGTTCTCCCTGTGTATTGTCCGCCCGCTCGTGAGGTCCGTTTGTATGCGGCGTTGACCGCTGGTCTGATGGTTTCGGCGAAAGGGACGGTTTCGAGGATGTCGGCGATATGGCGGTTCCGTGAAAGTGTTTTGGTTGTTATGCGACTAGGTTGGAGAGAGTTGGGCGTATGTTGTCTTATGGGTTGGAGTGTTTCAGTGTTGCTGTCTGGCCATAAAGTTAGGCCGTCGCATGCAAACAGGACAAACAGACCGAGGTCGTCGGCGGCAACTTTTGCCGATGTTCAGGCGGACCACGGGTGGAATTGATCTAGCCACGTTCCACTTGTCTAGCGTTACACTACAACCCCATCATCCACACAATGCCTTACGATCGCGATGTAGTCGTCAGTTGCATCGAGAGACACTATGATCTGCTCGTGCGCATGGCCTACCTCGACCCGGATGTGATCCTCCGCCCGCCGCCTGAAGGTTGGAGTGATGAGCAGCTCGCTGTCGATACATTACAAGAGTGGAAACGGTCGGACAGCGTCATTGATCTCTTGCGTCACTTGCCTTATCTAAGTAAGAATATGTTTGACGCTAAATACGAGGTCTACATCGAAACGGAAGCATGCATCTACCTTCGCAATTATGGCTGGCTGCAAGATGAGTACAAAAAGGACGCTATCAGCCTTATGATGCCATTCGAGGAGGAAGCACCTGCTGGGATGATACCGTTGAGCCAGGGCAATGACGCGACGGTGTGGATGGTCGATACGGACGGAGGTATGAGCGACATACAACGTGCATCACCAGATATTGACAGCTTTCACTAGGGATAATCTGGCCCATGGGAACGTTCGTTGTAGACCGTAGTGCGCCAGAAGACCAGCCTTGGCGGCGATGCGCAAAACCTCGAGAGATTCAGCAGTACTTCGATGAGCTCTACAACGAGATCGAGACCTTAGCCACCGTTCCTGTACCATTGACGCAAGGAAGCTCGATGTGGTATAACGAGATATTATCGTGTCAAGAGGAGAATGCAAAGGTGAGTGCGATCCTCTCGGCGAACGTGACCTGAAGACTCATCAAGCAAATGAACAGCTACCCAAGCGCTTGCTGAAACAGTATGGTTGGCCCTCAGCCCTCAGAAAGGCAGAGTATCTCAAAGCTCTCGAACAAGAACGTATTGACGCTAAACGCAAGGAAGTGGAACGGAAGGAGGAAGCCGTGAAGAAACATGAACAAAGGCGCTTTATAGCAGATGGCAAGACGTATAATTTGCGTTCCAAGAGTGGAAGCGCCGACAGCACAGAGGAGTGACAACTCTCACGATAGATCACTACGCATTCTCCTATCTTCTTATTTGGATCGGTCACACGCAAAACCACCGCTTCCAAACGTCCAAAACGAACAAACAGCTTCGTGTACAAAGTTATATAGCAAGACAGTAAGCATACTCTGGCCAGATCTGAGTTCCGCAGTTCTCTCCGTTCGAGCCCAGGACCGGGTTCAAGGCATACAGCACTTCGAGGGCAACACCGTTATCGTTACCGATACTCCAGCAGGTATCGCCCCGCTTGGTAACCATCCACCTCTTACAGTTTGCGGGAAAACCTCCCTGAGTCTGCGTAGGGAGCGGGGCAACCACTGTGCTTGTTGCCGGCTGGCTTGTCGTGGGGGTGGCACTGCCAACACAGTAGTAATATCCGGGCCAAATCTGAGTTCCGCAGTTCTCTCCGTTAGCGCCCAACATGGTATTCCATTTGTAGAGCTGTGACAGCTCAATTCCGGCACTGTTGGCAATCTCCCAACAGCTTTCTCCTGTCGCAAATTTGTTGCAATTGGGATCGATACCCGATTGTGTTTGTGTCGGCTTTGTGACCGGCGTTGTCGAACTTGGGATCGTGCTAGGCCTCGTAGATGTAGGTGATGGTGACGTGCCATCACCACTCGTGGCAATGCAGTAGTAGTAGCCTAGCCAGACTTGCGAAGCGCATCTCTCGCCAGCACTACCGAGCACAGGATTCAGCTCCCACAATCTCTGTACGCTAATCTTGGCATCGTACGCAAGCTTCCAACATGCGGCCTGGGTGTCATTGGCCATGATCCAGCGGGTACAGTCGGATGCTATGCCCTCTTGTATGCTATCTGCAGGTATTTCCCCAGCGTCTTCGATGATGGGAAGGGATGCCGTACTTCCTGGACCGCCGCGAATCGGTCCCTCGCCATCGTCGGGGATTTCTGAGGCTGGTGGACTGATCCACGCACCGCCTGGAGGACTAAAGGTATGCTTTCTCAGCTTCTTTTCAATGAACGGGAGACTACGTGGCTGACATACGTTGTGCAGATTGCCTGACCAACCAACAGGTGGTCACAAGCACCCATAATGTTGGGATTCCAGCTTGCGAGCTGAGCGAGCGTGACTTCGTTTGTCGTGTTTGAAAGTCCTTGAGCAATTGAGTCGCTAATTCACAGTAGTAAGCAGCTGATACGAGATAGCGTGTAGCAGAGATACTTACCACGTGTCGTTGGTTAAGACTCGGTACAATGTGCAAGCAAGAGGTATGCACACCTCTCCATCTGCATCGCAGAACTCATCCTTCGTTGCGACAGCCGCTTCCAGCGAGGCGATCTGGTACTTTTCCGCAATCTCATCACAGTTGAGTTCCTCTTCACGATCGGGTCGTAAATCCACCATGCGACCTGTGCATACTGTCGAGGTGGGCGTGGGCGCACTGCTAGTAGTCGATACGGTAGTTGACGGGAGTGCGAGCTCGGGCTCATCCGTCACGCGTGCATAGGCTGGCCCAATCCTGGTAACGAGTTCGCCGACAGTAGTCTTGCAGACATCTTGAACATCTTGAAACTGTTCGACGAGATAGTCGCCAAAGTCTGTGTCTTGCAGGTAATCCGATGTTACGCGGGCATGCAACATCTTGAGAAAGCACTCGGAGCACAACAAGTCGTCATCGTATAGCGTCGACATTCGGCTTTGGTTTGCGCCAAAGTCGGCGCGGTTGAGACACCATGGGTCATTGGGGTTTGCTTCGCAATCCATTTGGATTACATCTGAACCGGTCCATTCGTAGGACTCGACTAGACACCACTCATTAGACGATGAGCGCAAACAGGCCATGTCGAGTCCCTCTAAAATACGACCGCTCAGCGATTCGGCGGGCACGTATCGGTCGCCCGAGCGGTAATAGTCGTCAACGCAAGCTGTTGCGACATTCTGCCGCCACTCTGCTGCATCGGATATACAGCTTGCGGTGCAAAGTGTGGTAACATCGGTTGATTGCCAGTACACTTCGTCGACCTTGTGCGTCCATTGCATCAAGTCGTTATCGCATGGCAGCGTGGTGTTTCTAAAAGGAATCAGTTGATGTTCATGAAGCATGCGTTGAAAAAAACGACATACAAGGCGGATACACATCCGGAAGATATTCCTAAAATTTGTGACATGGTTTCTGCCGGAACAAGGGGATAGAGGTTGAAGGCTGAGGCCGAAGCCATCAAGCCCACGTTGACCAGCACGCGGCGGACAGAGTTTTGAGAAGACATTGTGGCCTCTAGACCTATCTGCAAAGAGCTGCGAACTAAGCAGAAGATGAATTGGAACACTTCTTGAAGCTGAGTATCCGGCGATGAAAGAGTGCTTGGATTGGGAATCGATCGAGGGAGCATGACCAGCCTTCCGAGGTTTGGTACCCAAGGAAGACTCCGCGGGTACCCCGGCCGAGCCATCAGAACACCAGAAACAAATCATTACAGGGCAATATGAGTATGCCACTAGTCTGTAACGCTCTGTCAGAAGTTAAGTTTCCCTGATCTTCACTTTGGCTAGGTTATCACTTAGCAGCTGTGCAGGAAGGTTGAAGGTGGTCAGCTAGGTTCTTGGCATCCTCCAGTACCTTGCATACCTGATGGGTATGCGTTCAGGAACCCGCTCGCGCGCGTCCTGGCATCTCTGTGCAGCCAGTCGTAGGCTGTTGCGTATTTAGGCTGTTGCGCGGTTACGCCCGTGGCGAGGCTGGCACGGATCTTCCGCTCGATTTTTGTCTGATCCATGTTCCGCCCAGCCTTGTCGTCAGGCGACCCACTATACTACCTTGCCTCACGCTAGCACTTGAGTATGAATTTGTGCATTAGTATACCGGCGGTCATTCTCTTTTGGAAGGAGCTTCAATTCTAGGATCCTCGGTCTTACTTTCCATCTATCGGCCGCTGGGCGACACGAACGGTGGCGTGAGCCCAATACATACATCGACATGTGTGAGTGTTGATCTGCTTTGGCGAGAACACTATCAATGCAGATTTGACGGGTCTACTCCGGACGCCCCAACGTTTGACCATACGGACCACATTCTCCTCATATTTACATTCTTTACCGGCTTTCGCCATGCTTTTTGAGCAGTGAGAAAACCCTCAATGACTCTCCTTTATACCTGGTCACTCAAGATGCGGTCTGCACTTTTTCATAGCTTAGTCCTCGGCTTTTGGCTCACAAGTAGCCTTGTGAGCGGTCAAAATGGCTCTTCTATCCAGAACGAGACATTTGACGGCGAGGTGGAACAATCGTACTTCCTTGTCAATTCGGCGTTTGGCATCTTGAGGAATGACATCCCAGCTCAAGCTCTGGAACTTCCCACCGGTACCTGCAACGATCAAACGCCATGTGTGAATGGTGCATGCTGCAGCAGTGTAAGTAGCTGGTATCGACCCAAGACCAGACACTGACATGAGATAGGTCTCCGGACTGTGCGGCTACTCTCCTTCGGAGTGCGGAGCCGGAAACTGCTCTTCTAACTGCGATGCCAAAGCAGAGTGCGGCCAGTACGGCAAGCCTGGCAAGCAGCAGTGTCCGCTCGGAGTCTGTTGCTCCGAGTTTGGGTATGTGTGATTTCTCCGACCGCTCCTTTCTTGCAGCTGACATCGGCATGTAGATTTTGCGGCTCGACATCCTTGTTTTGCGACAATGGATGCCAGAAGGACTTTGGAGGCTGCGGCGACGTCAAGCGACCTTCTTGCAGCAAAGATGGTGGTAGTGTCGAGGGCATAAACATCGGCTACTACGAGTCGTGGGCCAACACCAGGGCGTGCAGCAAGGTGTCTCCTGAAGACCTCAATCTTGATGGTTTCACGCATCTCAACTTTGCCTTTGTCTTCTTCGATCCCACCACTTTCGACATCGTTCCAATGGATAAGAATGCGGGCACGCTGCTAAGTCGCTTCACCAAGTTGAAAGAGAAGAAGCCTGGACTGCAAACTTGGGTCAGCGTGGGTGGATGGTCCTTCAACGATCGTAAGTGATACTTGTTCGAACCCACCAGTATTCGCTGACTTTGGCAATCTAGCCGGCCCATACCAACAGGCTTTCAGCAACATGGCCAGTACAGGAGCAAACCGCAAGACCTTCATTAACAAGCTCATCAAGTTTATGGACACTTATGGATTCGATGGAGTTGACTTGGACTGGGAATATCCTACCGCTGGTGAGCCGAAAATTGCATTTCCGTCGTTTTCATCTGGTACTGACCTTTGGAAGATGATCGCGGAGGCAAAGCCGGCGATTCAGCCAACTTTGTCCTACTGTCGAAAGACATCAAGGATGCCTTTGGTGGCAAGTACGGCTACACCTTAACGCTGCCGGCATCCTATTGGTACTTGCAACACTTCGACGTGTCCAAGCATCAGGAGTCTGTTGATTGGCTCAACTTGATGTCATATGACCTTCACGGTGTCTGGGACGCCGCATCGAGATACACTGGGCCCAAACTCGCAACTCACACCAACATCACCGAGATCAACATGGCCTTGGACCTCCTTTGGCGCGCTGGTGTCAAACCAAACAAAGTCGTTTTGGGAAAGGGCTGTAGGTTTGCCTTCGCTCCTATTATGCTTCTACATGATCTGACTTGTTGGACAGATTACGGCCGCTCGTTTACCCTCACCGATCCGAGCTGCAACAAGCCAGACGGCTCATGCACGTTCTCTGGAGGTGCTAAAGAGGGTCGGTGTTCGAAGGCTTCCGGCATTCTTACTCTACAGGAGATCCAAGACCTCATCAAGGAGAAGAACCTCAAGCCGGTACATGATCAGAAAGCCGGAGTCAAATGTACGAGGAAACAGCCGAAAAAGCCCCATGAACGATTCACTAACCATCACGACAGGGATACAGTGGGACAACGATCAATGGGTGTCCTACGACGATCAAGATACTTTCAAGCAGAAGAAGGAATTCGCGAACTCACGGTGCTTACGTAAGAAGTCCCAAGGATATGCGCAACTTTCATACTAACGACGCGTTTGCAGACGGACTCATGGTTTGGGCTATCGATCAAGTCGACCAGAACGACAAAAGCCTGAATTACCCTGACGAATGGACCGAAGACGACATTGCAGAAGCCGAGGTGATCATCCAAGACGAAGCAGCCCAAGGTGTTTGCTACACGACGCCATGCGGCGACAAATGCGCGTCAGGAGAATACGAGGCTGCGCAAGCAAACGGCCAGCCCGGAACACTCTCGACAATGGACCGCTGTGCCAAAGGACAATTCCGTCGGCTGTGCTGCGCCAAAGGCACTATTATGGGCAAGTGCCGATGGCGCGGCTACCGAGGTCTTGGCCTGAGCTGCACCGGTGGCTGTGCCAAGGATGAAACGGAGATTACGCAAAACACCAATCATCACTCGAGCACCGAGGATCAGACGTGTTCTGGAGGAACACAGAGCTACTGCTGCGCTGGCTTCAAGCCTCCCATCATCAAAGAGCAGATCGAAGATGAGGTCAAGGACAAGGCCAAAGAGGCCGCTTTGGAAGCTGCCGAAGCGTTAGCCTTGGAGGTCGCTGCTAAGGCTTTCTGCAGAATCGCCATCACGGCCGCCTTGACACCGCTTACTTTTATTCCCTTTATTGGTGAGTTGCTTCATTCTTTGACCGGAGCTTTTCGCTAACGTGAGTGATGCAGGATGGATCATACGACTCGCCGTCCAAGCCGCCGTTCCAGCTCTTGCTCAAGTGTGCGCCAAGGGCATTGCAAAAGCAGGCAAATCCGTCTTCAAGTTCCGCGGGAAGGACTACGATGTGAAGCTCGACAAACCATTGACATCCAAAAAGGACCGCAGTCCAGCCGCCACGCCCACGAAACCTGCGGGAAGGTGCGCCAAGGTCGACCCTAAGGTTAACCCAAAGCTCGCGGAACGTGCCCCTAGGGCCCGAACGGTCATCAACAAGATACGAGGAGACCCTGATGAAGAGATCAAGACAAAGACTTGTGTCTACAGTAAAGACAACGGGGATATTCACATGGGCCAGGCTTGTCTGCACTATAGCTCTGTTATAAGCCGCCGACCTGCTCTCAGAAGGTTGACGTGTTTAGGTAAAGGCGGCGTCAACGTTCGCGAGGTACGAAACTCTTATGCCAAGGAACACGCGACCGAGTGGATCAACGGCCATATGCAAGGTGGCGTGAACTGCGAGCGAGACGAATTTCCACCCGCCGCCATTTGGCAAGGTCGCGATAGGAATGTGTGGATTCGTCTCCAGCCCTCTTCTCACAACAACCAGGCCGGGAAAATGTTCAGCCGCATCTGCGACGACCGGGTAGCTACTGTGACGGAAAAGAACCTGGATCGAAGAGTCAAGTGTGACAACGGCAAAGTCATCGAGTATTGGGACCACATCGAGCGCGAACAGCTCCAGATCTTCAGCCTGGAATTCTCAAACATGCCGGGAAATATTGTTGACCAAGGGATCACGGCCAACCCGTGCTGGCCCAGGGACCTCGTCGACGACCCGGGCTTCGCTCTCATGACCAACGATCCTTGGTACAATCGCGCAGCCAACCGCCCCCGCAAGAGACACACGGCAAACTACGGAAACCCAGACTATGCTGCTCTGGGCTACCCTCCGGGGCCCGCAGCCGTCAAGATGAAGCGAGGCCTCGGCCTCGGCCCCGAAGACCTATACGTCGACGAAGGAAACTCGTCCCGGCTACCCACCGAAGAAGAGCTACGCACCGAATTTGGCCTCGTGCGCTGTCAAGGCGAAGACTGCGAGCCCGAGATGAAGCAGCTTGGTTTTGCCTCTCTGCCCATTATCCCAAATTCGTTTGCCTGGCCTCCCAAGTCTCACGAGCCGAGTACAACGCCGGCGGTTACGGCGGCGGTTACTGTGGCTGCCACTGCGTCTGGGTATGCGCCGACGACTACGAGTACGGTTGTTCAGGCTGTTACGCAGGTTCTTTCTGCGGCGCGCGAGTTGATTACCGAGTCGGTAGAGTATGCGTTCTATGACGAGGAAGACGATTAGGAGATCTATTAGAAAGGATACAAGAATGTATCTGAGTAGAATAGAATAGTGTAGATGGATAGTTTCGCTTTACAAGAAGCTCATAGTATATATATATATTAAATGTCAGCTTTAACTTGTTATATTATATCAGCTCTGGTATTGATGATGCTTCTCTCTTCAAGAGGACTAAACTATATGGGTGCATGTGGATTTCGGAAGTTGTGAGTCGCTCGTCACCGTCGCGTCACCGCAGTACCATGGTTATAATATAGTAGACAAAAGGCTTGTGTTAAAGTGATTGAAAAACCTCGCAACAGAACGGGCCTCGACCGATATTCCTGTCCCTCGAACGGACTGTAGACAATAGAAAAGACAAGGAAAGAGGTTGCTGGGTAGGCGTCATGGTCGCGATTCCGGTTCGCTGAGCTCGAGACGGCCGTCTGTTCGCCTGCGGAGGTAATGGCCGAGAGCACGCTTACGCTGAACATCGATGTTGGCAGCCATTCTATGGGTAACCTTTCCGAAAAGCTTCGACCGATTCGACAGGCTTACAACTCTCGGCAACCATGGTCTTGCATGATGAACCAAGTGTCAGCTTTGACAAAACAGCTGAAACCCCTGTCAGACCGTCGTCATTGTTTGACAGCAGGTGCCTGTACCCAAGTTTACCCTCGCTTTTGCTCATCGCTACACATCCTGAGTCACTGCGTGTCTTGCTCTGAGGCACCTCCCTCGCTTAAGGCCCCATTTGTAAGTGTTGTATCATTCTTTGGTCTTGCGACTGGCTGTCTTGAAGGAAGAGGAATACTTATCACTGGTAGAGGTGAAAGGTATACGGTAAGGGTGAGTCCATCCGCTGATGTTTCTGATGCTCGAACATGGAACGCGACATCATTCCTCTTCTACAAGATTCTTCAAATAGTATATAAACTCACATCGCCTGCCTCTTGCTTCCTCCCCTTCAACTCTATCTGCACATACTCCAAAGCCCAAAGATATACCATTTCAAACTTTTCTTGCAAAGCGCAACCACTTCCACAACACAAGCAAGCACAACACCATAACCACAAAATGTCTTGCCAACGCCTCTCAACCGTCCAAGGTCTCGCACCCGAAAAGCTCATCAAACTCGCTTTCAAGTTCCTCCCCTTCCGCACTCTCCAAGTCGTCTTCGCGACGCTTCACCCCACTCAACATCGCATCTTGATGCAACAACAGCGCCGCGGCGTGAGTCTGCACCACCTAGCAAACACACTATACTACCACCAAGGCGCCACACTGTCTCGCCTGTCGCGCTGGAACGAAATGTCGAAACTGCAAATGCAGCATGAACTCTTCAAACGAGAACAACTTGATGAACGAGAGGAAAAGAGCTTGAGTAAGTGGGGGTTGAGGATCAAATTAGTGTGTGTTATGGCTGGGGAGAGGAAGACGCGGGAAGAGGGGAAGGAGCAGAGGAGGTTGAAAGAGGAGGAGATTAGGAGGGCATGGATCGCGCAGTGCAGGGTGTATGAGGAGGAGGATGAAGGTGAATCTATGGATACTGTCGTCGCCGCTTCGCAGGAGAGAGTTCAGGTGGTATGCTGAACTAATGATAGGCCGGGGGCTTGAGAGCGACAACGCTCAAAGAAGAGAACAGGGAGGTCGCTACGGAGTCAAGCCTTGTCGAGTTCCAAATCGAATTCACCGCGGACCAGAATACCGCGATGGCTCGCGCTCTATGCGAGAAAGACGCGATGATCAAGAAACAGGAACTTGGGATCGAGGCCAGAACTTTGAGGTCGGGCTGCCTTTGTTGGAGTTCGTGCTGGTCATCGCAGGAGGTCTATCGGTGTTCATGTAATCGTCCCACATTTTCACCAAGGAGGTCATCTTTACTCAAACGATATCATCACCAGATTCAAATTACCACTGGGCCTATTACAATCCCATTGATGGCGAAAGTACAGCCCACGCTGGGAAATATCTCTTTCTTCCTTCCCTCCCCCCCTACTCCACCGCACCCTCCGAACGTGATACATTCATTTTCACTCCCAGAGATCAAGTTATCACATCACCTGCATATACTAACCTGAGTGAGAACTCTCCCTGATGAATACAGTTCCTCCCTTCTTCGCCGTACACTTGCCTTTTCCCTCTACCTACCGCGCCAGAACCTCTTGGATTGCTTTCAACAATCCTGTTGCCGCAACGACAAGCACTCTTTCTCAGCTAATTTTTCACACAGCAAGATGTTTACATCACTCATCGCAGAGATCAAGGGCGTGAAACCCTCCATTAAGAAGAGTACAGCCCAGGTCAAGTCAGCGACTGCGCGAAAGCGTGCCGACGCGGAGACTACATCAACTTCGACACCACCACTTCGACAGCGCGCAATCGCTCGTCATCCGCAACAGCGTCAAGCCATCGATATATACAGACTTGTCGCTCAAAAACCAGGGAGGAAGCCAAAGCGCTTAGCAAAATCATCATACAAGGTACTGAAGCAACAAGAGCTTTTGGATGAGGCACGGGTTCGAGGGCTTGAGATCGACGACGAGGATAAGACACATCTCGTAAACATCTTGATCATCGACGACAAGGCCTATGCCAAGCTAATGGAGGTACTTGGTTGCCGCTTGAAAGCCGTCGACTTTGCATAGGGCGAAGTGAAGCTCTACAACCACAAGTTGAAGCGCAAACGAGGTGAAGCGGAGGCATCACAGCAGCACATTTTACTCGAAGTCAACAGGAACAAGAATCGGGATGCGCGCGTCGAGGCTCAGAGGCTGGTATGGGAGAAGAAGCAGGCTGAGAATAAGGCTGCCAGAGCCAAAGAGCAAGAGCAGCGGAAACGAAAGAGAAGTAACAACAGCGGCTCTGGCTACTCTTCTCTCCCTAAGAGGTTCGAGTCCAACCGTGCACCACCAGTTCCGCCAGGCTCAAGGAAGACTGGCGCCGACAAGATACCATCAGGCGACAGAAAATCTGTCAAGATGAGTGCTGCCGACGACATGGAGGATACGCACGATGTTGACGAGGATGAAGATGGACTTGGCGACTTTATCGTCGATGACATGCCGCAGAAGCCGAAGCGCAAGAGCGATGTAGGCGGAATGGCGAGAAGCAGACTCATTGCTGGACTCTGATAGATGGCACGTCTTCTTGTTCCCTGCTATTGTTGTTACCTTTCTAGTATACGACAGCCGTAGATTATAGTTCCTACGCACAGTGTTCTTGGAGGAAAACTTATCCTACCGATAAAGGCTAATTACTTGGTGCCCAGCTGATTACGGTATATATCGTCGCTTCTTTGTTGCGCTAGCAGCTAAGGAAAGAGAACTCTTGGCTACACAGATATGCGCCGCAATACCGTTCATCACGTGTAGTACGGCACAGTCAATGGTGCCGTCGGGGTCCGCTAGCGCTTACGGGCACTCCAGTTGACTGTGTATTTTCAACGTTATCGCGCCATGGATTTGATGTTCACAATACTCGTTTAGACGGATACGGCATGCCGAACTCTGTCGATCGGGTCGAGTTTAACCACAACACCATGAAAACTGGCAAATCAGAGTTAATGTGCACGTCATTACTCTTGGCTAGTGCACCATTCCAACATCCCCACATCCCCACATCCCCTGGTCGGGTGCCTGATGACTCTTGGCAGAAATCCGGAGGTCTCATTTGTTGATTCCCTGGCTTATAGCTATTCCGCCTTGCTCGCATCACTCGCCCTCTCGCAGAGAGGGTAATCAAGCAAATAAACCCTTGTTTAGAAGGATTTATCCCCTGCAAAGGTGCCCTATCTACTCTTCCATTGGCTACAACCACGTCAGGCACCCGAACAGGGGACGTGTGGGTAAGGTGCCTAACCGCCACATACACTGGTATACATATAGATGTATTCTCACAAGTCTGAACGAACAATAGCCCAAGGCTTTAACCTTATGCCAAGTCAATATGTGGACATCTGACAGCCCAACCTTGCTGCTCCTTACAATATCAGGACTCCTCACCACAGCGGTTGTCAATGCGCAAAACTCCTCCTGCCGAGGCTATTTCGAGGAATTCACGGCCGTGAACTCGACCGGCCAGCACGAATTTACTTGGAACTCTTCCTACGCAGGCGACGACCCGTGGTATGTCTCTGTCCTCGTCGGATCTCGCTATGACGACGTCAGAGGACATGTCTACATCTCCGTACCTGGAAACGTGCCCAACGACACCGAACTCTGCAGCTACCAATACACCAACCTCAATGCGACGTTAGAAGCCGGAGGGGAGAACAGCTGTAGCGGCGTGATCAGCTCGGACTGCATGGACCACCTAGATAAGGCACTAAGTGATACCTCCGCGGGTTACTGTCCTGGCATCTACACTTCGTCCGTATCAGAAGAGTTCAGGAAAGCGTGTCCAATGTTGAGTGGCGGCTCACACAGTACGTTCCTTCCGTTGTCTCTGTTTAAGCCTTCCTTATGCACTTTGTTTTTCCATCTCCCGCACAGAACAGATACAATTGACTTGCGGCTCGGGGTCTGCAGCTTTTGTACATCCAGCTAATAAGTTCGCACAGACACGGTCCGTCAAGACGTGACCAACAGCACGTGCGCCTACACCAACATGCCCGAGGAGGTGCAGATTCCAGACAACTACAACACGTTCGGGACAAACGCAGGCGTCAGCGTGTCCGATAATACCGATCCCGATGCAAATGAGCAGTATGATCTCTTGACGCGCCAGACGATTCCACTCGTCCTACTGGGACGATTTGCTGACCCAGAATCAAATCTGGTGCAAACCGGCCTCAAATTCGTATGCATGACTGCGAACAACACAGTGGAGGGAAGCCGTGTATCAGAGGAAGAGACGCCGTGGGAGAGTGCCGGGGCTGATATTAGTGCGAGGATGGTGGGATGGGCGGCTGGTATTGCGACGGCGGTAATGCTCATGTTGTAAGACTGCAGTTTATGGTGGTGGTCTTCGGAGGATGAAATCGATAAAGCTGGAGCAGAGAGACCACCTGCATAAATTCAATGATACATGTATTGACTATTGGTAACGGAAGTATGAGTAAACTTATTGTTGGGGGTTGAGTCTGGGGACGGATGGCACGCAGCTGGTGGCTTCGTTCGGAGATCGGCAAAACTCTGGCGCTGATTTCTGAGACGCGGGCATCGCGTTACCTTAATTCGATCAAACTTACTACTCCCAACTTCCTTGTCTTTCTTTGTAATTTACAAGCTCTCTGATGCTATATTCTCGCTGTAATATCAATGCTCATGTGCGGGATCGTACCACTCAAGTTGATAATCGCGACGATTGCGCCGCACGCGTAACGCGCTCGCACGACGCGCTCTTGCCCAGCCTTATCCTATGGGATCTATGGGCGAACCGCCTTGACCATGTCGAGCTGTTGCGCTACCGGTGTCTCGCGCCTGGTGCTCGTCTTTGCGGGCTGTGTGGGTTGGACAGAGTTGTTGACGTTTTCTGGTACCGAGATGGAAGGCACCCGCATCATACGCTGACGCAGTCACAACGTGCCGAAATGTGCCTCCTTTCTCTCTTTTCCGTGGCGGTTTGCTCTCACCACATCGCACGACAAATTCACAGGAATCGAAAGCACAGCTCCTCACCTATACATTACCACCGCCAAGATGGCGTCAACGCTTACCGCTACTCAACAAGCCCTGGGCATTGCGGAAATCCTCCAGAACATTTTGCAACATCTGAGTCCGACAGATGGTGTCTCGTACCTTCCACAACTGCATCAAAAGATCATCTGTTCTGAGACGGATTTTCTTTCTTGACGCCAGTCGAGTCGAAGAGGATGAAGCCGATAGCAAGCTCTACCTCTCCTTAAGTACCATCTTTTGTACGTATGTATCTCACGAAGAGTGCGTAGATCTCATATATGGGAACGAATACCGACCTTTTAGTTTTCTCATTCTCGCACACATCAGACGTTTTGTTCCTGCGTATTCCTACTACATAGATCCGGCTGCGGTCACGGGAGCTTTCATTCCATCAAGGAGAGATCGACTCCCAATATTGAAACCTGGCAGTCAAACTTGGGCTTGGTAAGCGCCTACAACCCAAGTCCGTCCATCTGCCACTCACCCATTCATCGTCCGCGACCTTTGGATTGCAAATGGTTTCTTTCTGAGTGGCTTTGGCCATCACGCGGTGATATTCGTGGAGAACCCCTTCTCTTCCAAGATCTTTCGAGCGATTGAGAACTTACTTCTCCAAGTACAGAGGAGCCCCACTGCTAGTTGGATCAAACCTCCGCTCTCAAATCCCGCGTTCACTACCGTCAGCTTGGTTATGCACGGAAAAGTTTCGAATCTTTCCACCTCGATATACTTCGTTAATCGTTCTGAGATCTTCCGTCACGAGACCGGTGCATTACTTGACGGTCTCTTGATACTTCTCGCCAAGCACTTTGTCGAGCGGTTCGAAGCTGCTGGGGGTTCTAACGCACTCTACGTCTTCCAACAAGATCTCGCCGCGGCTAAAGATTTCACGAAACTACTGGGCCGACAGGCGAATTCTGCTTGAGTCAAGCTTGAGCCAAGTTTGTGTTAGTACAAGTAGTCTCACTGTAAACGTTGGTTTGTCTCACCTGTTGTCTTTCACTTTGCTGGCTCGTGCTCAGGCTTGGCAGTCAAGACAAACGATTGTCGCACACCTGGACTATTTCCCTCTCAGAATACAATCTGCACGCCTTATCAACTGATCGCGTTCGATCATCGACAGGCTCACAACAATCGCTATGAATAACACAGTCTCTCCACCGCTCGCCTACGGCCGCCATCCCGGGGATGTATTGGGCGTGACCGAACTCCTCGAGAATGTGCTCTGCAACCTGAGCCCCGGCGATATCCTCAAGAACTCTCAAGCAGTCTCAAAGTTCTGGCGAGATTGTGTGCAGGGATCAACTGCAATCAAGAAGAAGTGCTTTTTGATCGCCAACAACATGAGCGAAGAGGAAACAGACCGTCGACTATTTTTGGGGGCGGGTCTTCCTGACTTGGGCAAATCTCTAGTTGCAGAATGGCGCCAATGGGGACATACTAGGGATATTGCCCAAATGACAGTGGTGACACCGGCTACTCTTCGCGCCTTCTTCGCCGACAACTCAATGGCTCATCGCGGTCAATACAAATCGGGCACCCAAGATTATTTCTAGAGGTTGGACAACGAAGAAGAGTCCATGCGGTTGTCGACTAACATGGGCAGTGGAGGTCGCATCTACGATGACGATACCGAATACGACGCGCGTACCTACGAGTCCCTGCTCGACATGTCACGGGCGAACCCGTTACTTCGCCGGTCGTGGAAAGGAAAAGGCTCAGCTGTCTTCACTGGCCACGGAAAACACCTCATCTTCGCTCTTGGCGACAACTACCCTGAGGCATGTGATTACTTCACGCATATCCGAACATTCCTCGAAACCGTCGTTCACGCCAGGAGCACCGAACAGTCGAAAGAAGCTTGGAGGGCTGTCCAAATCTGCTCACCTGCCGTCACCAAACTCACCGTTGCTATCTGGTTACCTGGAGGCCCGGACATAGCTCAGGGCTTTCTTAACCCATCCGGCGTCACAATGCTTGACTTTGCACATATGTTCATCATAATGGTACGACTAGCATTACAAAGCTACGATTCAGTTGATATGGAGCACTGGCTTGGCAACATCCATCAAAACAAGCGAGGTGGCGCAACTTGGAAGAGGTCGATGCGCATATACAGAAAACAGAGGGAACTTATCGAGGGGATGGTGGACCAGCTCGAGAGAGGCAAATGGTAGTGCCACTGAAGGCCATCGGTCTAGTCTGCTAAGGCAGTTTTTTAGAGTCACGACGTCTGGGTCTCAAAAACTTCCTGGTACATGGTCTGTGTTATTTGGGCAAGACTAATGTAAGCGTGCACTTCTATGTAGATAGTCAAGTGTCTCAAAGCATATATACCTAATAAGACATTGTATGTCACAATGATTTCTTTGTCCATATTGCTAACAGTCGTGTGGAGCGTTTCCGCTTCACTCAGTTTCGTATCGTGGCTACGTGCATGACAGCCAATGCACAACATCTGGCAAGTTACCCACCCAATGTACCCTATGCACCAACCTTACATAGTCGACCCTGCTGAGTGGGCAATCCTTCTGTCCCTTCGACAAACCAGTCCTCGCTGCCCACACCCGTAACCGCATAGAACAAACCCCAAGGATCTCTTCCCCTTTTGACCTTCAGCAACCTTTTGTAGTTGTCACCATACATACTATACTGAAAATCCGGCTCCGCAACATCCGCCTCATTCATATACGCACCACTAAGCGGCGTCGCATCTCTCAGCTTCTGCACATACGAGTTGAGGCGAGCATGCGATGACTTCCAGAGCTCGTCAGAGAGGCTAGCATCATATTGCCGACTATCGAAGCCGGTCATATGCATGACTGCGTTGCGCAAGTGCGGTGAGACAGCGGAGTCGGAGCCAGGGTAGCCGGCTGTTTCGTAGGTTGGTGCGTAGTCGACGGAGTGAAAGCTGTAGCCGCCTTCTTCTACGAATGAGCGGATCGCCGCCATGGTAGCGTTGAAGGTTTGGGAGGTTGGGTTTTCGAAATTGGAACGGGGGACCAAGCGAGATACGAGACGGCTGTTACTTATTCCTCCACTTGGACCGCCGGGCAGGGCACCGAACTCTGCATAAGTATTCCAGAATTTTGGCTCGGGGTTGGTCAGAGGAATGCCAATATCGTTGAGGTCTTTGATGAGTGGCTTCATGAGCGCTTTCATCTCTTCGGCGGTGATGCCAGGCTTGGTGATTTGGTTTGATAGGGTGAAGGTGCGAGCGGTTGTGGTTATGAAGTTCGACATGATACCCTTAGCATCGTTGATGCGTAGGTTGTGCGCGAAGTATACCTCCATGCCCTTCCAGAAGGTTTCGTTAGATACACGAACGGTGGTCTTGTCGTTGCTAGACACTGGGCCGGTTTGGAATGTGAAGTCGCTTCGCGCGACTGTCGTGGGCGGATACGCTTTTACAATCGCAGATGTAACGATGCCGAAGTTTCCTTGGTTTGTAGGTCAGGAGCTGTAAATAGTTGTAAAGATATTGTGATGTCATACCAGGTCCGCCACCTCTAACGGCGAAGAACAGATCCGTGTTCTCCGTCGGATCTGCATGTACGAACCTGCCATCCGCAGTGACAATTTCTAGGGCAAGTATCTGGTCCGCCATTAGGCCGTACTTTGATGTGATGTACGAGAACCCTCCGCCTTGCATGTAACCGCCATAAGCTCCAACAGTAGAAGACCCTGGAGCTAAAAGCGTTATGCCATGTGTACCCATGGCGTCGTAGACTTCATGCTGTTCGAGCGCTGCTCCAACTTGGGCCGCTTGACCACTGTACTGACCAACTCTGTAAGTCGGTAAGTACTCAAATGCTTTCATGCGATGCACCCAGACTTGAAGTGCGCCACCGCCAGTGTTTCGGCCGAGGAAGTCATGACCGGTGTTTCTACAACTGTCAGTCTGTGAATGACATCTATCTTGATGGCTTACTTGATCGTCAACCGGACATTGTTATTTCTTGCAAAATTGACCGCAAGCTGCACGTCTTTGACCGTGGTAGCATTGACGACATATGCAGGAAAGCTGATGAGTTTGCAGTCAGACAGCGGACGCGCGGTGCTAGCTGCAGGTACGGGACACGGGTTATGTAGAGTCCACTGCCCAAACGGTATCAATGGGTCTTCCTTGCTAAATCAACAAGTTAGTTTCCAAGAGAGAATGGGTCTAGCAAGTGCATACGCGAAGAGAGCATCGGCTTGACGTCGCCTGACGTTTGAACACTTTGCAGCATCCTTATACTCGCCCTCATAGCAGGCGGCAGCAGGTGGGACACCCCTGAGCAATGTGCCTCCAAGACTGACGTTCAGACTACTCCACTGCGGCGATGATGGCCAGCCGTCATAACCTGGGTAGCTCTTGCACGATGGTAGGTCGCCCGTCCTTGCGCTGCCAAAAGCTAGATCAGGGTTGTCCCCGACATCCAAGTCGGTCAACTGTATACCTTCGTATGCGAAGTTGTATGCAAAAGCAGCTTGCGCCACAAGAAGGATTGAAAGAAGTGAGGGCCCGGAGACCATTTCGGAAAGCGTGAATTCAGAATCGAAATTGATGATATCAAAAGGCCTACAGGACGAGGCTTGCTCTCTTGGAGGCTATCACGACGACGCCTTATACAGGCTTCTGGTAACTGTGCTGGCAACGCCCCTCTTCTCTACTGCTCGCGATATGCCCCACAAGCATGCAAGCTGGTGATGACCAGAATCTTGGGATGGTACAAAGATTGTAACACCCATCTCTTAACTCGTACAGTCCTGTATTATGCGGCCTAATTCTCTTCTTGGCTATCCGATACGGCCTGGCCCAGACGTGTCTCCATATCGGGCGCGCAGTCAGCATGCAGTCATGGAGCTTACCCGGTCTGAAACTGCTGTATAACTCTTGTGATCAATACGTCGCGCATATTGTGGAATGAGTGAGGCGTTTGTGGCGTCCGTAATCATACAGTGGTCCCGGCTTCATGGTAAACAGTCGATGCTGATGGCTGCGAGGCTGCATGTTAAGTTTTCCCGTTGGTCGTAACAAGCGAATCACATTGAACTGCGACCGCACACTGGCGATAAGAGCTCTTGAACGCACATAAGCTGATTTGGGTGTCTCCCCACACTGAGCGCACAGCATGGCCTTCTTGGACACATGATGCAAATAGATGTGGAGAAGGAAGCATGGGGGATGGCAGGATGTTAAACAGCGGTGCAGCACCCACAATTTTAATGAAAATCGTGATGGCCGTGATGCGAAGACGAAAGAGCCTGTTGAGTTGAGTGAGACTTCTCCTTGATGACGACGCTAGCCCACTTAGGCAGTGACTGAGCTTCTCTGTTCCGGTTCTCGGAAGGTTCCGAGATTTCCGTCATCCACCATCACAGCGTCTCCGCAAGTCGCCATACACCAGAGAGGTCATGGTCATTATTGAAGCCCGACTACAGCTTGTCGACCAGCTTTCTTGTTATCTGATAAAGCATTTTAGATGATCTACGAACACCCTCAAAGCTCGCTATTCATCGTGAAATCACCGTTCAGTCCTTGTCCACTCTGTTCTCGAGCTCGGTAGCATCTTCCATATACTTCACCGAGTGCTTTCGCTGTTCCTCCTTCATTCCCGCCTCGACATCCTGGCGACGCTGTTCAGCCGACACATCACCGAACAGAATATCAATCTCCTCCAGTGTCTTTCCCTTGGTCTCTTTGATAAAGAAAGTAGCAAAGATTCCCATGGAAAGGCAGAAGATGCCAAACATGAGAAAGGTTTTCCATCTACAATGGACAAAGTCAGTATACGTCTTACACGCAGTTTGAACAGTCAAGCTCTTACCCGATTGAGTTGATGGCCGCGGGCGTAATCTTCGTGATAACGAAATTGAAGAGCCATTGCGTGGCTGCTCCCATTCCCACACCGTACGAACGAAGTCGCGTCGGGAATATTTCCCCAAGGTAAACCCATGGGACGGGACCCCAAGAAGCTGAGTAACCGATGACATACAGGTAGATCATGGCGACCATGGCGATGGACGCGGATGAAACCGAGCCAGAATCAGGATCTGGTGGGTTTGTAGCAAGAACAGCTCCGATGATGAACATCATACACGCCATCCATGCTGCACCAGCCATGAGCGAGTACTTCCGGCCGATAAAGTCGATACCAACGATCAAGAAGATTCCAGTCGTAATGACTTTGACTGTGCCATAAATACCCGTTGCGAACAGCGAAGCGTTGGACGCGGAGACGCCGACGGTCTGGAAGATTTGGGGAGCGTAGTAACCTGGAGGGGGGTCAGATGGCGATCACAACTCCGAAGATCGTCATCTTACCGATTGAGTTCGTTCCGCTAAACTGCTGCCAGAACATGAGCACGAAACCAGTTATGAATCGGTATCGGTTGCCAGGAAGGAGGACTTCCTTCCATGTGATGCCTAGAAACTTAGTATGTATCTTCCATGAGTTCGTAAACTAAGTCACTTACCCTCTGTTTGGTTCAACTCCTCTTCGACTGCAGCGCGAATCTCTGCTAGTTCTTTCTGGAGCTCAGGGCTATCGTGTTGCTCGCAACGAATGAACGCAAGCGATTGCGCAGCTTCCTCTTGTCGACCCTTTGACATGAGCCACCGTGGAGACTCTTTGAGAAAGAAAAGCCCGATCAACATGAAACCACCTGGGATGAGTTGAATCGATACCGGGACTCTCCATTGCTTTGTTGAAGTGGGCATGTGGAGCGCAACACCGTAATCCAGCCAGTAAGCAAAAGTACTACCAATGACTAGGAATTCTTGGAAGAGACCAGCGATGCGTCCGCGAAGAGCTGGGGGTGCGTTTTCCGAGACGAACACAGGGGTGATAGACGACATGCCACCAATACCGAGACCTGCAATAACGCGACCAGCGTAGATCATGCCAATCTCATGATGAGCGGCAGTTTGGATTGCGGCACCGATAAGGAAGACGAGTGAGAAGCCCATGAGAGATAATCGTCTGCCGAACCGCTCGTTAATCCAAGCAGCCCCGATGGCACCAAAAAAGCAACCTGCGGTAAGGAGCGACACGACGTTCGATGATACCGATGCGTTTCTCGAATCGGAGAATCCAGATGAGTCTGTTGGCAGGCCAAAGTCTTGCTTGAAAGCTTTGAGCGCAAGAACGCTGCCCATTACTCCGGTGTCATAACCTTTCATAGTGTTAGCTCTTGTTCGTTGGGAAAGGAAGCGTGCGCCTACCGAACAGCAGCGAGCCCATGTAGGCTACGCTGGTCAGTAAGTAGACCCTGCGGTTCTTGAAGAATTTTGACGGCATCTTCTATGTCGTCGCAGCTCTTTGGGTTGACTGGTCTGCCTACAAAGAGAGAGAGAGAGGTAAGCTTATGAATAAAACCCGGATCGAACCACCAGACGCCGAGGGTGGCACTATCGGCAGTGCCGTCCCCGAGCATTGCGTCGTTATCATGTGGAGGAACCTTTCCGACCCCAGACTCCACCTTTGGCCTCCGCAGACCCAATTATCTGTTCTTCCACCAGTCATTTGTTCGCATCTGGGATCGTTTAGGCCTACTATTCGACTCGATTGCTACATACTCATGGGACAGAGTCGTTGCGACGTTTGCAAGCATTCTTAATGGTGATTACGTTGCGCGACGCTACACCATGCGGCTCAAAATTTGTGAAGATAAGCCTTCCAAGCCGTGTTCACGAGAGCGCCCGAATGCTTGGTGCTGCATGTGTTGAGCCTAGCGCTTCCTTGTGAATGGCGGTCTTTTTTAAGCGTCGGCGGAAAATTGAGCTCCACTGGGATCTCGAGCGCTAAGCTTGCCAGCAATGGTAGCGCTTGCATCCCAAGACCCTTCACTTTCACATACTCAAAGTCCTGGAAAACATCAGATTGGGAAGGCGTCTAAGTCGTGTGGGAGTATAGCAAACGTCCGTCACATCCGGGCCGCTGCACAATGCCCAGATGGCTATACGTCACAGACGCGACTGCAACGTCAAAATGACGGGCCTCAACATTACGGCAGCGCTCTAAAGGATGAGCGCTGGACGCCTATAACAATTCGATTATAGTCTTCTGACTGGCTTGTCTTTAAAACCACCTTTTAGGTGATACCATAATGTGCACCCATTCAGAGGCCCCATCGATTTGAGCTGGCCTAGGGGGCGACGTTCAGTCAACTCGTGTCCAACATTAGTGACCGCGACGATGAACGTGGCTGGAATGCTGGGATGAGATGCATGAAACTGCGTACGCGCTTTAAAACACGTATAATGGGCCCGTAATGCTGCGTTGTGATGCCGAGATTTAGTGGAGGACAAGTTCGTAGTGTTGAACGAGCGCGGTCAGCGTGCCATGAATGACGGGCGTGGCGGCCATGCTAGGCGTGGCAGGCATGGGCGACATTGGGCCAACATTAGCGACCATTGAGCGAAAGTGCTGTCATCCACGCCAAAGCAGAATCTTCCTATTTAGGCAACTGGACTCACCACCGTCATTTCGCCTTAAGTCATCAGGGATGAATTAACATATTCACAGTGAATTTCAGAGCCAAGAAACAGCTTCTGAAAGGTTTCAGCGGCAAATTCTGTTTCGTAGGTAAAGAAGTACTGGTCTTCTCGGTCTTTTCGGTCATCTCGCTGCCGCCTACGGACATCCTCACCACCACTACCTGGAGCTCGCACATTTCGGCCAACGAAGAGTCCCGGAAATAGATATACGATGTAAGTCCGAGAGCAAAGGAGCGGTATTTCGAGCAAAGATAGAGTATAAAGATCGAAGCTTGCCGTAGCGGATGTGCACCAAATCAGCAATTGCAACGCCTCTTCTTTCCAACAGAGACCCTAGTGTACAGCTTTAAGCCCGCAATCATGGAAGCAGCAACAGAGCAAATCCGCGAGATATACGCTAAGAGCGATGCCCGCGGACGACAGCAAATTCAGGAAAAGATCCGCGACCTGCAAACGGATCTCTACAGCGACTGGGAGACGATGTTCAGCCTAGCTATGGCAGTGAGTCCTCCCTATCCATCGCATGCGTTTACTGATCCGTCGCCAGCCTCTTCAATGGGCTCTTGTCGACGCCGGTATCGACCTCAACATCTTTACCTCGCTCTCCTCATCGGCAACAGCAGTAACACACAATGAGTTTCAGCAGAAGACTGGCGCTGCGCCAAATCTACTCGCACATTTGCTCCGGTCTATGGCATCGTTCGGACTCATCGCAGAAGTTCAGAAGGACACCTTTACAGCGAACCGTGTGACGCGCATCTTTGCCAATCCTCATGTCAACGGCGCCGCGCCACATCTTTCAAAACTTCATCTACCGGTTATGCAAGCGCTGCCTGGCTATTTGAAGGAGCACAAGTACCAAGATATGACCGATTCGAAAGACTTGCCTTTCCAGAAGGCCATGAAGACGAATCTCACAGCGTTCGAGTGGATGAAGCAGGACGGCGAGCAGATGAAAGCACTCGGTCACATCATGGTGCTTGACTCCGTCGATAGCTGGGTCTCTTCATACCCTGCACAAGACATTGTCGGCGACTTTAAGCCTGGAGAAGAATCCGCACTCCTGGTTGACATCGGCGGAGGCTTTGGCCAACACTCCGTCGCGTTTAAGAAAAAGTTTCCCGAACTACCCGGTCGTATCGTTGTCCAAGACGTCCCTTCAACACTCATGCATGCGCCTAGCGTGGACGGTATTGAATTTCAAGCCCATGACTTCTTCACTGCGCAACCTATCCGCGAAGCAAAGTTTTACTACCTCAGGCACATTTTGCATGACTGGACAGATGAAGACTGCGTTCGCATCCTCTCGAACATCGTTCCTGCTATGGGTTCCGAATCGCGCATCCTGATCGATGAGGTGGTGCTACCAGAGACCAAGGTGCCTTGGCAAGTCGCGATGATGGATATTGCAATGATGGCGTCGCTAGGCGGTATTGAGCGGAGCAGGGAGGACTGGACGAAGTTGTTGGAGAGCGCGGGACTGAAGATCGCAGATGTGCATCGCTATGACGATGTGAGATACCATACTGTCATTACGGCTGTGCCGAAATGAGGTGCAGGCTTGTAGGTAGCGAAGCGGAAATTTGTAGTAGTATAGTAGAACAATGGGATGCGCTCAACTCAGTCATTGCATGGGTGGCTTACTCATCCACCAGCCACCAACTCCGCGGCCTTCTGCCGACCTTGCAAGTGCAACCATCACGAAAATCGCAGTCACGACCATCTCTAACCACACCTGCGCCCTGGTGAACTTCATACGCCTTCCGCCCTTTTCTCCACCATGGCGATCTCGGAGTATTAGCACGTGCATCTAGGAATATTCGGAGTATGCAAAAAAGCTCCGAAGATGCAAATCAACGGTTGAAGGCGGGGCAGGCCCAGACACGCTGCTCCACTAACCGTCGCTCCGCCGATAGGGTAGGGCGCATCGAGCGTCAACACGCCCTATGCATCGGGTCGCTGTCATAGATGCGTTTTTTACGCCAAGCTACTCTGCTCGATGAGGCATGCGAATCCGGGTGTTCTTCGTTGTCGTATTAAGGCACAGTGGCCTCGTGTGGTCGACGACCAAACTTCTGAACAAACGGATAAGATATCTTTCTGGTCCACGCTACGAGCGCTTCACGCAATCTGCTGTGTTATATTTTTCGAAAGACGACAAGAGGATAGAAGGAGGGTTTCTCGAAGATGGATCCAATCGCCAACCCCGTTGTCCAGATGCAGGACATTCCGACTACGAGCGACGGAAGACCCTATGCTTATGAGGAGCCTGATGAGATCTGGGACGGCTTGAGGAGGACAGTATCGAAGATGACGGGACGATCGAAGGCGGGGAGCGAGGCGAAGCAGTCTGTGCATCACGAGATGGAAGTCAGATCGCATGGGCGCACACGGTCGCATCGGACGCAGCCCATTGACGAGCTTGACGAAGAGCCTGGGATACCCATTGTGGACGCTGAAGACGATTTCCCCGAGGGTGGGTTGCGCGCGTGGCTCGTTGTCGCATCGGCCTGGTTGATGCTGTTCCCTTCTTTCGGCTTCATGGTGTCTATCGGCACGCTTCAAGACTACTGGGGCCAGAATCAGCTTTCGTATATGTCGGCACGTGATATTGGATGGATCCCGTCGGTTTTTGTCTACCTATCTCTTGCGCTGGGCATCTGGGTGGGACCGCTCTTCGACCGGTATGGGCCGCGATGGATCGCTTTGACAGGGAGCGTCATGTTTCTCCTTATGATCTTCCTGCTTGCTGAGTGCAACCAATTCTGGCAGATGATCCTTTGCTGTGGCGTACTGGGAGGGTTTTCTGGTGCCATGCTGACCACTACAAGCCTCGCAGTAGTTGCGCACTGGTTCAAGGAACGACGAGGTCTTACGCAAGGCATTGCCATGATGGGCAGCTCTGCTGGTGGTCTGACGATTCCGCTGGTCTTGCGGACTACTCTTCCGAAGTATGGATACGCGTGGTCGCTTCGGATACTGGGTTTCGTGTTCCTCTTCTGCTTCATCATCGCCAATATTTTGATGAAAGCTCGCATCCCGCCGTCTGCCGCCGCAAAGAAGAAAGCCATCATCTCACTTTCTATCTACGGCGATCTGAGATTGAGCTTGTTCACTTTGAGTGTCTTCGGTTTCGAGGTCGTTCTCTTTGGTGGGCTGGGCATCATGCCTACCTACGCAACGTTGAGCACGAACTTTCCGCCTGACACTGGCTTCTACCTCATTGCTGTACTCAACGGTGTCTCCTGCCTCGGACGACTACTACCCGGGTATGCCGCGGACAAGATTGGTCGATTCAACACTCTGTTCATCATGATCGTCTTCACCTTACTCTGGATGCTAGTCCTATGGCTGCCACTCGGTACGACATCGCTGCCAGCACTGTATGCGTTCGCAGCGCTCTTCGGCTTCGGAACAGGGTCCTGGATGGCGTTGACACCCGCATGCGTGGGACAGCTTTGTAGGGCAGAAGAGTTTGGCCGGTACTACGGAAGTATGTACTTCATTGCCTCCCTCGCAACGCTGGTCTGCATTCCAATCAGTGGAGAGCTTGTTGAAACAGTCGGACCTCAACCGATGGTAGCTTTCTTCTGCGCGATTCTCGGTTTGAGTCTGATCAGCTTCTTATTCAGTCGGTGGGCATGTTTGGGAAGGCGATGGACGCTGAAAGTGAAAGTTTGAGCGATTTGATAGATGAATTCGTCATGCTAGGAAACAAGCACGCTATGATCTTACCCACAATTCTGTTGTTGAGCGTTTTGAACTAGCGTAAAACAGTCCTGGTAGTGCGAACATCAAGAAAACTTCATCGCGCTAAGATCGGCCCCTTCCGAAATTTCACGATTTAGTGGAAACTAGTTCGTCTAACAAATCACATGGCTACACTTTACATTTGTCAAGAAAGATTCTATAACTGAGCAAGTCTATCGATAATGTGTGTTAGATGGCTAGTCATTCAAGCACTTTGACGAGCTTCAAACCTCGTAAACCAAGCACTATGATGAAGCCTCGTGAAACACCTCTCAACTACATGCAGCGCCACCACATAGTGGTCCAGGCTTACCACAAATTTACATGACGTGCTTTGATAGCGCCGAAAAGAATTTCAGGGTTCAATGGACACAAGAGTACACTACATTGCACCAAGAAACGACTTTATAGTGCGAACCCTTACCTAGCATCCCCGCCTGTGCGTCTCCAACATACCCCAGGGCCCTTGTCTCCGCCATGTTGGACCAAATCCACGACATCGAAAGCTCACCGCACATCGACCACCATGGCTCCGACGACGGCAAACCCATCCTCGAACCGCAACTCAATGTCGGTGGGCATGGTGCTACGCAGCGGCGGCTTAAGAACTATCATGTCACCATGATAGGATTTTGTTCAGGGATCGGGACAGGGTTATTCATCGGAACAGGATCTGCGTATGCGAGTGCTGGGCCTGCGGGCTTGTTGCTTGCATATCTGGTTGTGGGGAGTGTGCTTTGGTGTGTTATGCAGAGTATTGCGGAGTTAGCTACAGTGGTTTGTAACTCTTTGGCGTTTCTGTTCGAGGGGGAGTTGCTTACTATGATACAGATTCCCACTGCTGGGTCGTTCCCGCATTTTGCGAGCCGTTTTATTGATCCAGCTGTTGGTTTTTCTCTGGCTATCAGCTATGGGTATTGTTATACTATATCCATTGCAGCTGAATGCTCGGCATCCGCGATCCTAGTGGGCTATTGGACTGACATGTCGCCTGCCGTTGTCATTTCCATCAGTCTGGTTCTCATCCTGGCTACCAACTTGCTGAGCGTACGTTGGTTCGGCGAATCCGAAGTCATCGCTGGTGCGATCAAGATTGCATGCTTCCTCGGTCTCGTCCTGGTTTCGATCGTCATTACGTCTGGAGGAGCGCCAAACGGTGAGACCATTGGCTTCCGCTATTGGAATAACCCAGGCGCATGGGTGGACTACAACGGCATCTCGGGACCAACAGGCCACTTCCTGGGATTCCTCGCCTCATTTGTCAACGCAGCTTTCTCCTTCATCGGTGTTGAGGTGGTTGTTATCACCGCTGCCGAGAGTATCAACCCGCACTCGGCCATACCCAAGTCGGCCAAACGGGTTACATTCCGCATCGCTCTCTTCTACATTCTGGGCGCTCTTCTCATTGGAATCATTGTCGACCCTAGGAACCCCGGTCTCGTGTCAGGCACTGGAAACGCCAACTCCTCGCCATGGGTTATTGCCATCAAACAAGCTGGCATAAGCGTCCTTCCTTCGATCGTCAACGCTTGCATTCTCATCTCTGCCTGGTCGGCAGGAAACTCATACTGCTGGGTCGGATCTCGGATCATCGTCGCCATGACCACGGATCGCCAGCTTCCCCAAATCTTTGGTCGTACATGGAAGAACGGAGTACCATACTACGCGGTCCTTGCGTCTTGGCTCTTCGGGCCTCTCGCATATCTCAGCCTGGGCGAGGGAGGCGCAGCGCAAGCTTTTGGATGGCTAGTGAGTCTCAGCACTGTCGCAGGCTTGATCGCCTGGGCAACATTATGTTTCTGTTTCATTCGCTTCCACGCTGCTATGAAAGCGCAAGGACTCAGCCGGGATAGCTTACCTTGGAAGAGCCCCTTCCAACCTTTTACCGCGTGGTACGGTTTCATCGGATCTACTATCATTACGTTGATCACTGGATTCCCTGTCTTCTTGAAGGGAAACTGGAGCACGGGCGACTTCATCGCCTCATATATTGGCATACCGCTTTTCATCGTGCCGATCATCATCTGGAAGTTGGTGCATAAGACCAAAGTGAGCACCTCTCTTCTTCTGTGAGTTGTATGAGCTAACATGATATAGTTTGCTCGTGCTAACATCATCGATCTCCATTCCGGACGTCTTCGGTGAGCATAAATCATGCAGATCCGAGTCGTTCAGAGCCGGGTGTTTGTGATTGATCAAAAACAGGTTGACGCGCTCAGGTGGGCTTTGAACACTGGGGACGAAAGTCTAGTCGTTTTTCTAGAGATCTCGGTTATGCTATGAGAGCGTGTCTCTCAAGTTTGCTACCTCTTCTACGTGTATATATTTTAGTGTTAGGGCTGTGCCCGAAAAGCCGGGACGAGAGCGTTCCTAGGTACGGGAACGAGTACTGCCGACTCGTGCTACTCCGAAGAAACAATCGCCATCGGAGACCAAGACAATGAAGAAAAAGGGTGACAGTAAGGAGAGATCTGCGGCATCGAGGTGAACGTGCAGTACTCATACGTTAACTTCAAAACGATATCAGATGTCCATAACTCTCAGCTCCGGAACATCATGCATCGGGGGACTAGAGTAAGATGTACTAGGAGGCAACAGTTGTCCATACGAATCAAGTGCAGCTGTAGTATAACGACGTTGAACTTCCGCGTGGTGAAAGTCCACGACGAACATGTCTTGCGAAAGGACTTTGGTAGGCGTGATAGATACCTTGAGGCTAAGGTCTGTCCTGATCAAGTCGCCTGCTCGAAATCGCTTAACCTCGTATTGTGCTGGCTTTGACGATGCAGTAGCGTGGAACGCTTCCAGGTTCATGGCGCCTCGCCGCCAGATCGCGTCGTTAATATGACACCAGGGTTTTGGTTTCTTTGCGATGGCATCATGCTTACATCCCATAGATATGAACATCATGTACTTAGCAGACTGCCCTGTTTTGGTGGCCAGGCTGAAGCTCAGCTCGAAGGATGCGTGCCAGGACGAAGGCCCACTGTCGTCGTCCTTGCCCTGCAAGATGTTGTCTTTCGCATTCCAGGCTTCTCTGGGCCAGCATTGTCGTATCTCAATGCCATCTGGGGGTTTTCGAATAAGAAATCCCCATCGGCGCCGGACGCTGTTCGGGATGGTTGAGGTACGAGTGTTCCGAATGTAGATTTCTCTAGAAAAGGCAGAAGGCGGTATGCATTCGAATGGAATCAACGACACACTCGTACTGATATCTCGAAGATAAACATCAGCAGATAAGTGCCGCAATGGAACGATTACAAAGTGCTGGAAGTCGTGGATAACGTGACATCTTAAGATTCCCCAAACGATGTCATGACCAGACCAGATCATGATTGGGGAGCGAAGTGGCCGAAGCATTCTTCGTCCATACTTGTCGAGCTGGTGAGTGTGGAAGAGTGTTTGCCATATGCGTAGGCCTCTGTGGGTGATAGTATAAGGAGGCACAGGGTCTTCCGAAGCGAATGGTATCAGATCCCGTGTTTCTCGAAAATCATTCGGACCAATGGCGAGTACATCTGCGGTCAACTCATTCATACCGTCTGAAGCTTCCCATGCAAATAGTGTCTCGTCCTCGGAGATCTTCATGATCTCTTCCTGCAATCTTCTGAATGCCTTTGTCTTTCCCTCGCCATACAGCAAAGGCATGTTGACATCGAAAATTCCAAGCAGACTGTACGCGATATCTTCAGATCTTGTCGCCTGTCTGTCTGCAGCCCATGACATTCGCATACTGATGCTCGCGGTTTCAAGGCTCTGGCCCTCGAGATACTCCATGGGAATGCCTGTGATCTGCGATATTCGCCTGCCAATACTGGCCTTGCTTCCCAGAAGTTGCCAGTCGCGAGAGTAGAATTTCATGCCCTCGTCTCTACCAGATTGCAGATTACTAGGAGCCAGTAACTCTTGCAACGTCCAAGCGCGCGTGAACCATTTGCTGAGTGAGAAGATGTTCTGATGCCTCGCCGCTTCCCCTTGCGCAAACGCGCCTTGAAGTTCAACGTCGGCGAGATACGCATAGCATTGCTCTGAGTCTCTGTACCATGCAAACATGCTGTTGATAGCTTCCGAGAGTTCAGCACTACTACTTTTGTCGATGCAGCAGGTATCAATCCATGCGTAATCAAATCCATCCCCAATCGCAAGTTCGCATGTCTTTTCAATTTTTGAGAATCCCTTCTTCTTCCTAGCCTGTTCCAAGTCGGCTAGGTCGGAGAATACAACTTCATCGTCGGTCCAACAATGAGAGAGTATGGCATACGGCGGGATGCTATCGACAAAAGCCTTCAGCTCCAGGGTACGTGTATCCAGAAGACGCATTATGAAAGTATGCCGCTGTAGTAGGGCATCGAGTTACTTGGAGCAATTGTCTGCTCGGGACTTTGGGGCGGGCGCCGTCGAGGGACAGGATAACTTCTTATCGTGAGCATTACATTGAGGGTGACGAGACATGGAGTCAGTATCTTCGATCGTATTGACGACAGGAAGATTGTAGTTCAGGTAACAGTCGAAATCATGTTGAGGGAAGTAAGTTGCGTTGCGAAGGAAGGTGGGGGAGGCACAGAGGGGTCCCTGCGTCTTGCCAAGCCTTCTCGCTTCAAAACTTCTCGCAGCTTCACCCAGCGGCTTCCCTCACCACAACTGCGCAGGTACGGCATGAGTTGTCAAACGTCTGGAAAATGGCGTCCCACCCACGATCAATACATCGTGGATTTCACGTCAGAGACTGCGGACGTCTTCGACGATATGAAGCGCAGCCAGAACTAACAGCAGAACTAATGAAGCACTCCGCCCTCAGCCTTCAGCTTAATCTTCTACCAAGTAAGCCCCCTACCCTCCTTCCTCTACCCACAAACCCTGCACCCCATCTCAACATGATGAACACAATACAAATCACAAGTTTCAAGACGGATCGGAAAAGGTTTCACGGCCTTTATTGAATGAGTATTTCCTGTCTGAATGAGAGATTCCACATACATGTCGCGTCGCTTCATTATGTTTGGAGCAAGTTACTGACGAGTCATCATAGGAAGCAAACAGTGTTTGGTAGTTGAGTGCAGTAGGTGAGGAAGATGGTAGTTCATAGTTATATTATGCAATACAATATCTTTGAAGCACGATTCTTCGTTCATGCCGTATCGTTAATGACACGCCATCATAGCATGTTGGCAGAATTAGCAAGCACGTGGAAGTTTGCAGTTGACTTTGACATTGTTGATTCATTCCATGTTACAGTTACATACAAGACCAGAAAAGCAGACGTACGGTACGATACCGAAGTAAAAGCAGAGCCGAAAAAGGAAATGAAAGTCGAAATCATCCTTTGAGCGCCGCCACCGATGAATACAAATCCTTTTCCACCCCATATCCGTTTTTCATTGCTGTTCATTGTTACCCTTGCGTCGCATCGCATCCGTGACTATATATTTTGAACCTGTGAGGAGAGTTTGCGTGTCGCGTATCTAGTCTTCCGCCATTGATGCGGTGTTCTTGGTGGCCCTGCCGCTGCGGCGTGGTGTGCCGTCGGCGGTGGCAGCCTTCTTGGGTGCCTTCTTCTTTGCGGGTTCCTTCTTCTCCTTCTTGGGACGGCCGCTTTTCTTGGGGGTGGGCTTTGTCTCTGTTTCTTCCTTGTCTTCGGCATCATCGTCGTCAGCCTCGTCGGTCTTTGCCTTCTTCTCGGCAGGCTTCTCGTCGGCGTCAGCATCGCCACCGTTAGTCTTATCCGCGGAAACTTCGTCAGCCTTGCGCTTGTCGCCGGCTTGGGGTTCGTCATCCTTCTCATCAGACTTGTCTTCTGTCCCGTCGTCCTTGGCCTCTTCTTTTGCCTCTTCCTTGGACTCCTCCTTGGACTCCTCCTCCTTGGACTCGCCGTTGGTTTGCGCCTCGTCCTTCTTCTCGTCACTCTCTGGCGCATCCTTCATCTCCTCGTCCTTCTTCTCGGCTTCAGAGGGCTTCTCGTCCTCCTTCTTATCTGAGTCAGCCGACTTGTCGTCATCCTTCTTCTCTGACTCTGCCGACTTGTCCTCTTCTTTTGAGTCGCCGTTAGCACCGTCGGCCTTCTCGTCGATCTGGAGTTCGGAAGCGCGCTTCACGACGTCGTTGCCAGAGCGCTCGACGTGAACAGCGGGGTTGTCGGGCGAGGCGTTTTTCTTGATGGTGTTGCCTTTCTTGGATTCAATAGCAATCTCGCCTTGCTCCTTGACCTCGGCAGCGGTGCCACCGGGCTGTCCGGAGCCCCAGTTCCATGAGACTGTTTACATGTTAGCAATGAGTTCCTGAGTCTTTTGCGAAGGTACCGATCGCGACAAAGAAGACGCGCGCGGATGGACAATCGCTACGCGCCAGTGAGCGCAATGCGCCTGGCGAAATCTCGTGATGCGCAGCCACTGAACGGCTGAGGGAGCTGAGAATTGAGGATTGAGAGGCACGTACCCTTATCTCCTTGTTGGATCTCGGTGTCGGTCATTGTGTGTAGGGTAGCTTAGCAGTGGCAGGTGGTAAGAGATGACGTTATGCTTCGCAAAACCGCGTGTAAAGGCGCGAAAGCGGGGCTAGACAGCAATTGATGCGCGTTAAGCTGCAATGGATACGGTGATGCGTGGAAATGATGCGCAAGCGGTTGGAAGAGACGCGACGGGCGGTGTGGAAGAGAAAAGAAGAATGGAAGCTGGGAAACCTGAGTGCTGGGAAAGAGAGCTCAAAGATCGGAAGCTGCAGTTCTGAGGCGTGATTGGTTGCCCTGACCCACAAACGTGCCAATCTGCGCAATCTATGGGGAAGGTGGCTGGCGATCGAGCCACGGCGTCATCTGCCGGTCTGTGCGCGGTTCGCTTGCATTCTCGAAATACATCCTTGTCGATCACATCCTGGACGGCTCATGGCATCCGAGAATGGGATGTTTAAACATTATTGACTGCGCGTTACCATATCATTGTGTGCTCTGCCATACCATCGTGCACTCATGTCCAGTTCTTGCCTCCCATGCCATCCACCACACTGCCCATCCTCTGCGTATGAGCGTAGTCAAATGCCGTTACCAAAGCGACGAGATGACTAGTTGCCGCAAGAACAACCAAGACGTGAAAGATCTGATGGCTTGATCCCCAGATATCGTACTTCCCAGGACTCCACTTCTCAGGTATCCTCGCAGCATAGATAGCCGCGCCAGCAATATACAGTGCGCCCTGCAACAGAACCCAATCCAAGCCAATGCTCTTGCGCAGATGTTCGACACCATACAGTTGAACGCCATGGAGTACGGGGAAGACGGCGGAAAGTCCCATGAGCACGAACATGAGCGCTCGAAAGGGTCGCAATGCCGGAGTGCGGAACTTGGGATGTGTGGCTGCGACAGATGTGCCGGCAGCCAGCGTCGTGATCATAGTCCAGTATGTCCTTCGCAATTCTGGTTCGCTGGCAAAGGCGTAATAGACGACCGGTATGAAGCTGCCCCAGATTAAGAAGACAATGCCCAGATAATCGAGTTTGTTTCCCCAGACAGCGACTTCGTGCGAATGGTTTTGTATCGTATGATACGTCGCGCTCATGCCCAGACATGCCACCGCTCCTGCGAAGTAGCAGCTGAAGGCCCAGACGTCCACTCGCGTTGCTGTATCATAGCGATGAGCCAAGGTATTGTAGAGCGCGACGGAAGAAATGGCGGCCATTACAGCTCCGATGAGATGGGTGTAGATGTTGACGGTTTCGTTGTGTAGATATCCTAGGCTCTTCCATGACTTGACAAAGGAATTGGATTGGGCGCGGTATCCCGATTGAATGTAGTGGTTGTCTTGCTGCCATGGCGAGAGTTCGTCCCATAGTAATATCAACTTTTCTTCGACTTTTTGCTCCAACTCTTTCCCGGTTTGCGCGGCTTTGGAGGTTGCTACCTTCGCAGCGTCCATGTTAAGATTATCTGATGTGTATCTTCGAATTCAGAATTGAGAGAGAAGGCATGTAATATATTAGTGTTTGTTGGGAGTTCACATGTCACGAAGCGGCCTCGGGGAATCCGCGAATACCCTCAGGGACTACATGCGAGCTGGGTAGACTATGCCGCGTTCGGTGAGGCTTGCGAGGACAACACGTCGCTTCAGACGCAAAGCAATGACAGTAACAGCTCAGTCGCCCCTTATAGGCAATATCGTCACTGACCAGGTGGTCTTGCTGTTGTCACGAGACAGGGCATGTCCGACGCGTCGAGCTCTCGAGTTCGGGCACTGCCCCTCCATCCCACCTTCTTCGCCCTCCAACGCGGTTGCATTCACTACCGCACACCATGTGTCGCAAATACGCTAGATGATATACAGCCATGATTGTTAGAATCTTTGACATAACTTGACCTCCCGCGCTCTCCACCAGAACGCCCAACCTCACCACCAGCACAATGAAGGCCTCAGATCCCGGCCGACCCAGCAGCCGTCGCGCCGCCTCAGGTGCATGGAACCGGCTGAAGCCCGTCCGCGAAGATGTCCTGGAGACATACGGACTGCCTTCCAAAGGAGAGACACGGTACATCCCTCTCGCCCTACACGTCTCCGCGCAATGGCTAACCCCCCAGGCTGAACGACTTCAAAACGCAAGAAATCTACTTCAACCGCATAATAGAACGGTACATGAAACTCTGCGCGCTCAACCGCGACGAACTAGACCGTCTCTTCATATCCGTCAGCATCCCCCCAACCGAAACGACCACCACGACCAAGTCGACGACGGCGCCCACCGCCAATTCCAAACTCACATCCTCCTTCTCCTCGCTCTCCCTCTCCAAACACGCACCCCCAGAAGCCCGACAACAAACTACCAGTCGCCCACCCCTCGCATCAACGTCAACGAATACACCACACCACCCCATACCACAAAAGGCCTTCACGCCATCCATCCAAGAACTTTCCACAGTCCTCGCCTCCCTGCGCAAACTGCGCGAAGCCATAACCGCGTCCTCACGCACCGACGCCTTCGCCCTGCGCGCCTACACCTTCGCCATCCATGTCAGCATCCTGTGCCACGACTGGTCCTCCTACCTCCCGTCTCTCCTCTCTCTCCTCGGGAAAATCCACCCTGTCAACCCATTATCCCCATCTACCCTCCACGAAATCGTCGGCTTGTTAATCCTCGACCAAGCATGCCGACAATCCGATTACTCTGGCGCCCGCGCCACAAAACTACGCTACGGATACAAAGATTGGAGGGTGGAGAAGGTGTTAAGGTGTCTGGTAGCGGATGATTATGTGGGGTTTTGGCGGGTAAGGAGGAGTGTGGATGGGTATCAGAGGAGGGTTATGGAGTGGGCGGATGGAGGGGTGAGGGTGCATGCGTTGAAGTGTTTGGGTAGGGCGTATTTGAGTGCTGATAAGGGGTTTGTGGAGAGGTGTGCGGAGAGGAGTTGGGAGGAGTTGGTGCAGGAGGGTGTTGGGTGGGAATTGAGTGCGGATGGGGAGAGGGTTTTGATTAAGAAGATGAAAGGGTGAGTGGGACTTGAGGGAGTTGTATGAGATTTGATACCCGCTTGATAGAGAGGTCATGGATTGGTTGTATTTAGGATGAAGCGTTGAATGGGGTATCATTAAGACTTTTCTATAAGACGTTTTTTATCAGACCATATCACTCATCCTCCATCTCTTCGTCCTCATCTTCATCTTCTTCCTCGCCAGCATCAGCAGCATCCTGCCAAACATCATCATCCATATCATACGCATCCAAAAGATCATCATCCATCTCCTCATCCTCATCTTCCTCGCCTTCTCCCTCACCCTCGCCAGTCTCCCCTCTAGCAGCAGCCCGCTCCTTACGCTTCTTCTCCACATTCTCCTTTTGAATACGTCTCCTCTCCTCCTTCTCCTTATTCCTCTGTGTCCATTTCTTCTCCAACTCCTGCTCCTCTTTCTTGCTCTTCTTGATGTATTCATGCCACATAATCTTGCCGCCACAGACATCTTCTTCGACTTTTGTAAGGCGCAGCTTCATGCGTGGACCCAGTTCGACGAGCTTGACGGCGCGTTTCTCGACGCGGGGTTTTGAGCCGCGGGCTCGGGCGTGCGAGGTTTCGTCGCCGGCTTTTAGCTTCTCTTTTTCTTTGCGGGAGAGGACTTTTTGGCGGACGGGTTGCGCAACTTCGACTTCGGCATCGGTGTCTTGTTCCGTGTCTGAGGCGGATGTGTAGCCCGCTGCTGAGGGGTCGAGCATGTAGTCTGCGACGTCCTGAAGATGGAGTTAGTGTATGGTCTACATGCATTTTGGGGAGTTACTGCTTACCTCGAGCTTGCCCAGGTTGGGCAGTGCGCTCTTCTTCTTTTCTTTGCTGCCAATGAGCTTCTCGGCTGCGTATAACCGGCGGATGGCTTTCGGTACGCCTGTGACTTTGGTTGTGATGGCGTAATGTCGCAGGCTAATTGTGACGGAGCCATTCTCTTCCGAAGGAGGTTCGCGGTTGAGAAGGAGGACGCGCTTGATCGAATGTAGAGGGGTAGTGTGCGGTTGGATGGGCGGGAACAAGCCCTGGAACATGTCTGTCACCAGCTTCTCCAGATGCTTAGGAGGTGCCTTGTCGCCGAGTCGTTCTCTTTCCGCATCGCTGGTAAGAAAGTTGTTCATCACAAGCAGAGGCGCAACTAGGTAGTCGTTTGCGCCGGCTCGGGGGCGTCTCATTGACTTGAGAATGTCTTTGCACAGACTGTAGTTTTCGACTCGGAAATGGAGGGTAGGTCCGCGGGGGACGCGGCACAATCTGAGGTTGACGTTTCCGACTTCTGAGCGTGAGAAGAGGAGAAGATGGCTGACACCGAGCGGTCCACACATGACGAGGAAGTCCTTGGAGATTGTCAGCCTAGATCATGCTGGTGAAAATGTATGCTGTACCTTAAGCTTATTCGCCCTTCGCTCCTTCAGACGGATAGCGGTATCGGGCTCCAGGCAGTGGCGCACATCGTTTACGAGGTCCGAAACAGATCTTCCTACTCTAGAGTTCGTTAGCAAACGACTCAAGCTTTTACTCGAACCGACGCAACTCACTCCTGCGCACCGATGCGGATGACCATGGATTTGGGGGTCCCTGCTATCGGTTTCTTGGATAGCTCCTTGTCGCGTACCGACTGCTTCTTCCTCGCGGTTCCTTTCCCACGAGCCATTGCGAAAACTCAGTTGTTTCTGACCGAGCTGAAGTCCTGACGTGTATTGTGAATGACTCAATCTGTGGTCTTTATATCGCGATCGTATCCTTTACTTGAATAACCTGGAGGAAAGTGTGGTGGTGTTGTCGAGCGATTGGTTCTGTCGCATGCAGTCGCAAACTAGAGCTGGCCGGCTGTCGAACTTTTAGGTGGGTCCGCCAAGATTTCGCGGTTTCTTTGGTTCCAGCCGCGGTACATGATTCTGTCGCACGACTTTTCCAGACTCGACAAACACGACAACATCATGCCTGGAGTCACGAAAAGAAAGCTTCACGCGGACGCGGCCACTGCCGCCGGTGCGTCGGCGAAGAAATTGCGACCATCGAATGCACCTGCGAAGAAAGTCCAGAAGAAGCCTGCACTACCACCGGAATCCGAGTCCGGCGATGACGATGACGCTGAAGAGAGGGACTCCACGGATGCCCAAGAAGACCAAGATGCAGTGGGCAACGTCAGTTCAGGAGACGAAGCAGGACCCTCTACCTCCGCCGACGCAACGAGCGAACAAGCGCAACCCGCCACGAACGAACCGAAGAAAACGTTCGCCGATCTAGGCGTGCGCGAGGAGCTCTGCGACGCAGTAGAAAACTTGAAATATGTACACCCGACTCCGATTCAAGAACAAGCTATACCGCTCGCCCTTCAAGGTCGGGACGTTATCGGATTGGCTGAGACGGGTTCTGGAAAGACGGCAGCGTTCGTCCTACCTATCCTTCAGTCGCTGCTCGAAAAGCCGCAGCCGTTGTTCGGTCTGATCCTGGCCCCGACACGAGAGTTGGCATACCAAATCGCACAACAGGTGGATGCTCTGGGTAGCATTATCAACGTCAAGTGTGCGACGTTGGTAGGAGGAATGGATATGGTACCACAAGCCATATCGCTGTCCAAGAAGCCGCACATCGTAGTGGCGACACCTGGGCGTCTGCTTGATCGTAAGTAACGTCCCTAGAAACTCCATGTAAAACAAATACTGACCATACCCCACACGTAGATCTGGAGAACACGAAGGGCTTCAGTTTGAAGCACTTGAAGTACATGGTCCTCGACGAAGCCGATCGCCTGCTCGACCTAGATTTCGGCCCCGTGCTAGACAAGATCCTGAAGGTACTCCCTCGGGAAGGACGACACACATACCTATTCTCTGCGACCATGTCCTCCAAAGTCGAGAGTCTTCAACGCGCAGCCCTACAAAATCCCGTCCGTGTGAGCATCAGCAGCTCCTCGCATCAAGTCGTCTCAACCCTACTACAGCGCTACATCTTCCTCCCCTTCAAATGGAAGGACCTCTACCTCATTCACCTCCTCAACGACAACATCGGCCACCCCACTATCATCTTCACCCGCACAGTCAACGAAACACAACGTATCTCCATCCTCCTCCGCACCCTCGGCTTCGGCGCCATCCCGCTACACGGTCAGCTAGGCCAGTCCGCCCGTCTGGGTGCCCTCAACAAATTCAAGTCAAAGAGCCGCGACATCCTCGTCGCTACCGACGTCGCAGCCCGCGGTCTCGATATCCCCGCCGTTGACCTCGTCGTCAACTTTGACTTGCCCAGCGACTCTCAGACATATGTCCATCGTGTGGGTCGAACGGCAAGAGCAGGAAAGTCGGGTAAGGCTGTGTCGTTCGTTACACAGTACGATCTGGAGATCTGGCTCAGGATTGAGAATGCGCTTGGTAAGAAGATCCCGGAAGAAGTCATCAACAAGGATGAAGCGATGGTGTATGCCGAGCGCGTCGGTGATGCGCAGAGGATAGCTGTCAGAGAAATGAAAGACTACCACGAGCAAAGAGGTAGCAGGGGTGGTCGCGGTGGTCGAGGTGGATCAAGAGGAGGTCGTGGCGGAGGCCGGGGCAGAGGTCGTGACACGATGGATACTGAGGAGGGTTAGATGCCGTGTGCCCAGGTATGAGCTGTCGGTTTTGGCGTTTTGATCTTTTCGCGTATACCCTACGAGTTGCTTGATCCCCGACCATGTCTTGGAGAAGATGGCACCCTTGGTCAGGACCGAAAAGTTTGGGCTGCTTTTGTTCTGGATGGATGGGCGCGTAGATTATGATGGTATATGCTCAAGTCGAACATGATATATGAACTCGTCGCTTTATCTTAGATACTTTGATGGACCTAGCGGCTAGTGTAGAGGGTATAAAAGGCGTCTTTCGAGCTCACTTCTCTTGTCTTTGCTACATCCATAGCGCTTTTTTCTCTCTATTTCAAAAAGCGAAATCCAACAGGATGGTTCCAAAGAATCGTACCCTCTTCGGCGATGTCTTCTCCCAGAAGCACACTTCCAATTCTCCATGGCTCTGCCTGCTGCTTCCAGAACTCCATGATTATACGACCAAAGGATCTTCCACGAACGAGGCTCGAAAAAGTCATTTAAATCCCATATCCCCATTCGAAGAGCGCTTTGAACAAGGCTGACGAGATTGAGAGTAAGAGGTTTAAGCTGACGTGTGTTTCTATCCCGACACCAACCTTACTCACATAAGCTTGAACCCCGGTAATTTTAGTTGAGATCTTAAAGCATGGACTAGATCAGACGTTGTCAATGGAGCTCCTTTTGGAGACGACGTCATTCTGTTCGGCGGCGTCTCTCGATCATTTGGCACATTGTCGTCTTTTTGGAGTGCGGTAGACTGAATGAGGTTTTTGAGTCAATACGCAGAATGCGGGAAAGCAGACATCAGTTTTTCGATGTAAGATTTCCGGAAAAGAACGGCAACGATCCATGAGAGCCTCAGCGCTCTTTTTTGATCACTCAAGCTTGAGCGAATTGATAATGAAGTGGAAGAAGAAGAAAGCCTGGGGGGTATTTATAAGTCTCAGTGCCACGTCGAGCCATGGCTATGCTGTAATAAGCCTAGTGAAAGTGCCGAGAGATATACCAACCCTTGAACAGGCTTTGGAATCGAGGCAGTTGCAGACGACAAATACATTTCAGCCTTTTTTGCGTGATTTAGAAAGATCACGTATTTGCATATCCCAGCTGTTTTAAGGCTTTGGACAGAAGTGAGAGACATTAATGCTCCGACGCTCACAGTGAAGGAGATGGAAGTAGAGTACGGTCAGGAACGGACGGTGATGCGTAGGCGGTAAACATTTTTGGAAACTTCCTGGGAGGGAACATGTTGAGGGGACAACAGAGTTTGGATCTTGAGAGTGTTGTTAAGAACCTTTGAGATGGTAGAGAGCCTCATGCTATGATTGGCAGCGACATGCTTGTTTGCTTGCTAGTTTTGCCAACTGCCGACGCAGTACATGGCTGATCAGGGTGAATGTTTTGAGAGATGAGACCGCCACAGGAGACAGCGAATGCATGGACGGTGAATTCAGGAATTTTTGGATCTATCGATAGGGAAATGACGATTTTTGAAACCTCAGAAATTGGGAGTAGATGGTAGGTGGAAAAGTTGATCCCTATGAGGTTCTCAGGTAGACGAGAAAGAGACTGGAAAACTGAACATGGCTACCTCTTGTGTGGTTTTGAGAGAGAAGCACAGGAAGTCAATACCCTTCATTCCAGCGTCTTTTGGTATCCTTGTGCAAAGGAGTGGATGGTAGAGGGAAGGAATCAGGTGACTGTGCGAGCTTTTATATCTGGCCGGGCGCTATAGTGCACTAGCTTTGATGGATACGCTGAGAAACATAGATCTGTAATGTGTCGTTTTGAAGAATGCGTAGATTTCTTCGATGCCGAAAGACATGGTTAGGTGCCATGGTAGTTTTCGGAAGGGCCAGGTACTCGCATGCGCTGAAGTTTTCGAAAGTTGGAAGGAAGATCGATCTGTCAACGCTCGCACCGAGGGAGGAGAAAGTAGCGTTCGGTAGAGGCAAAGGGGCAAAGTCATGTCATAATCAGTGTGGCGTTTTGGAGACTCTGAAGTTGGAAATGCCACATGCGTTAGGATAAACGAAGTTTTGTTCGAGTACGAAAGGGCTCTTTGAATCAGCAAAGAGTGACATCGGAATTGAAACCCAGGTCTTTGGTTTCCATGTTCCAGTCTTCTGGAAGGCCGACGCCGCACATACAGCGTGCTATAACGGAATTTTGGACAGAATGAGTCCTCGGCAGGACAAAATAGCCATATGGTTTTCGGATTTAGCTTTCTTGCACGAATTGGTCCTTAGGCGTTCGGTTTTGGAAAATGGTAGAATTGAGTAGATGGTGGAAGGAAGACTCGGTCCAAATCAGCTCTACTTATATAGCCCTCTCCCCCTAGATCGGCGTACCCCCATGCCCACTCTCCATCTCCTTACAAAGCTTACCCAACTCCTCAACCACGACCTGATGATCATCCCACTGCTTCAACCCACTCACAACAACCACCGCAACCGGCCCATCACAGTTCTTGATGTAAATCGGCACGCCGCCACCATGGATAGCATAGTCTTTCGCCGTCTCGCCCAATCCCATCTTGGCCTTGAACTTCTCCTCATCGCCCTCGAATTGGTTCTGCAGACGCCATGTGCTTGCGTTGAAGCGGATGACGGCTGCGCGTTTGCGGCTGACCCAGAAGTCGTTGTCTAGGGCCGTGCCGGAGTGTGTTACCTGGTTCGTATCAGTATAGCAATCATACACATTGACATCGGCGTCCGAAAGCGACGATACTGATCATGGTACTCACGGCGTGGAAAAGCACATGGCCTGGCGTGCTAATGGTAGAAATGTCTACAACAGCCGGTCGCTCAAAAGTAAGCAGGCGTGTGCGGAGGTTGTAGCCGAGCTTGAACGCGATGCCAGAATCCCAGTGCGGCAGCAGAGCGGCCTTTTCTTGCTTCTTGATAGCTTCGACATCGCGGGGTGCTTCTGAGAGGCCCACGTACTGTGGTATCTGGATATCGTCTGTCGCCATTGTGAATGTGATGTGCTGCAAAGGTTAAAGTCGTGTAGTTGTGCGATCAAAGTATGTGGTAGCAGGATTCAAGTAATTGCTGTTCTGCCCGCAAATTAGTGGCTGATGCAGAAGGGTGTATCTCCGATAACATGTTGAGATGCCATGGCCGAATTCTAGATCGCCGATGTCATCCGTTGGCAGAGCTTTTCACAAATGTGGCTCTGCCGGCAGGCGGAGGCTCCGCATTGTTGCGCTAATTCCCCGCCATCATCGATCTGCCGCAGAGCCGCGTCGGCGTTGCACTCGCACTCTCGACACGTACAGCCATCAACATGGTCTTCCGACGCGTTCTCACGCGTGATCTGTGTCGCAGCGATCTAGGCATGTCTTTGGAGGGCCAGAGAGCGATGCGACGCGAGAACTACCTAGATATACGTGTTTACTCGGTTCAGAGGTTACGATGTCGGCCCTGCCTTCCCCAAGGCAACCTCGATCAGGGCTCACGACAGCCTCCAGCTTACATTATTAGCCTGGTCTCGTCAAGTGAGAGATCTAGCGACTCGCGATATTTGTGCGGCGCTCGTAATGGGCCCTCGCTACGCTGCACAGAGCATGAGAAAGAGCAGGACAGAACATTGCGGCCGCTGAGTCCACCGCGAACACTCACGTAATCATTGCTGTCCCCATATGGGGACTTGAAACGACACATTGATCCGGACATAGTGTGCCTTCGCGAGACGCCGACGCTATTCATATCCGCTATCCGACGTGCTCCGCTGACATCAGCGAACGCAAATACCTGATACTCGACGGCAAGGCGAACGTACGTTTCATCGATACGGCTATGCAGACTGCGTGAGCCTCAGCACAACATAGTTTTCGAAGTCCACTATTCCGGGCCACTGGAATCACATTCTTTGGATGTTTCCGTTGAAAGATGCATCTCCATCAGACAGCGGGACTCGTCTCCAAGCTGTTGAGCAAAGCTCTCCCTCATTAACATGGACCTTGTGCCGTACAACAGTATTTTTTGCGAATTCTACACAATTTTCACACTAATTTCCGTGCCATAAAGCGGGTATTCCACTTTATCCAAAGATAAACCACTTTAACATGCCTTACGCCCTTCGACCCCGTACAGGCTGACTGCTTCAAATCTTAGGCAGGAGTCAAGCATCAAACCGAAATTCTTACGTTGGCGGCATGGATCTATTTTGCATGCCACTGAGGGATGATCCAGCCGGTTACTCTATACTCTGTTCATGCTTTTAAGTATAAGAAGAACAGGATACGGTGCTTCAAGCCTCAGATCATACACACGCATTCAGCAACGTCTACTCTCATACCATCTCCTACCTATCATTCTTTTCGCATACATCAGAACATAACTCCAGTGATTGGGCAATCGAACGCCTCTTTACCCGATTCGCTGTGAACTTCCCCGCTTCGCCAAGCCATCCGACATGGTTCGCATTTCGCACTTTACTCTGGGAGCCATTGTGGCCTTCCTGGCACACACATCTATCGGAGCTTCTACAAGTGGCCCTGGTGTCGCCCTCCATCGCAGAATGGGTACAAGTGACAAAGCAGGAACTGTATTAGCCAGCCCCATCGATTCGGTCAACCCGCCAAAGGATACCGGGAAACAAGTCAAGAGAGAAGAAGACATCCCCAAGGCATATCTGGTCAGCACGGTGAACGGGATAACACGAGCCCAGTACGAGGAGTTCGCCAAAAAGCCACCACTTGGGGACAAAGAGGGCGATATTATCGCTTTCGATGGAGTCGAATGGGTTTCTTGCCAATACCTGAACCTCACTGACGCTGAAGCCGCGATCGTCCGCGAGGATCCTATCATAGCATGGGCCAACCCGATCACTGAAGAATCTGGCGAATTACTCGTCATCCCTCGGTACGGCGACCCGAGTTCACTAACCACGAGAGCCGAACTGCCTACATTCCTCAACCAGAGAGATGACAGTGCAGGTCATCTCAAGTTACTTTCAGCGAGGAACCAGAGGAATGATCCCACACAGCTACCGAATTATGTGTTTGAGCCTTCTCTTGGGCAAGGCCAAACTATCTATGTGCTCGATAGCGGTTATCGCAAGACTCACCAGGATTTCGATTCCTCCGAGCGCGAAGTTAGGGACTTTTTCGTTCCTAATCGCCACACGCTAGCCGGGATCCCACTTAGAGATGATCAGAAGGGACCAGAGGATATGACAGACATCACTGGACACGGCACGATGGTTGCGAGTATTGCAGCTGGATATGTCAGTGGCGTGGCTTCCAAAGCTAACCTCGTTGTCGTGAAATTGAGGAATTCAGCTACAAACCCTTTGAAGCCAGACGAAACTACTCTTCTACCGCGAGGTGTTACCGACTCCGCATTGGAATTTGCTCTCGCATGGACTTTCAAAGACATCGCTGACCAGAGAACCAAAAATACCGACCCCAACGCAAGGTACATTATCAACCTATCCTACGGTGAGTATTGTCATTCATGAACCCTGCAGTGAAAAGTACTGATGGAGAATACAGGTTGGACGAAAGCTCAAAACCCTAATAAAGTGAATGCAATGGAGCGTGCACTTCAAAAATGTAAGGAAGAGGACATCACATTTGTTACCGCCGCAGGCAATGAGGGGCGATCTCGTACCCTGGATTCCATCGTACCGCAATCCTTTGGCACCGACGATAGATTCAGCATGATCACCGTGGGCGGCGTGGATAATGCTGGGAAATACTATGTGCCAACCATTCAAGGTAACGGTCAAGGTGGTCAGGTCGACATATACGCAGGGGCAGTCGACGTTGTTTGCGCGAAGCATAACGAAGCAGATGACTCCACCATAACGGAAGACGGAACATCCCTTGCGGCCCCAGCAATCGTGAGTATTCGTCATCACCTTCAGTTCAACAAAAGATGCTAATGACGACAGGCCGGACTTGCTGCATACTATTTCGGCATCCCTGCGCTACGCAGCAACTGGCATGACGGCAGTGTACCAGCAGATATGAAAAAGTTCATTTTAGATCATGCAGAAATCAGGAATGACAACCCCTTCGACGAAAGTGACGATCCTTTTGCGTCGCCAAGGCCCGAAAAGGAGAGTCTCAAAGTGCCGTACAACTTGGCGCTTAACCAGTACGATGCGTCCTTCCATTCAATATATCTCGAGACTAATTTGAGACTAGGCTTTGCGATCTCCCAGATGCGGCAGCCAAGCGTTCTCTCTTCACCAAGAGAGCTCTTACACCTGAGCAATCAGTCCCAGGCCGTCCGATCGTCGAGGGCGGTGAGGTCACGAACGAAGATCTCAAGAACGTTCGTGTTCTCCTCCAAACCCTGCCTAAGACCACTGGCTAACAACACCACAGGAAATCTGTAACGTCCACAACCGCCCCTCACCCGAGACCGAACCAGAACCCGAGCCGACGCCAGAAGCACCAGCACCACCTCCAAACACAGCAGCTTGCAAGGTTCTCGAGCAGGGCCTTGGCGGCGGGAAATGGGAGGTCACCGGATCTGGTTGGGGCGACGAAGCTTCGCTTAAGGACAAGTTCGGAGATGATTCGTTTAGCTACACCGGCGGAGATTCCTTCACGGCTATGTTTGTGAGTAGTATGAGTGTAGGGGATGTTGAAAATGCTGTGAGGGAGATGTCGGGGCTTGGTGATGTTACTTGTACTTAGATGATGGTTGGGATTGAAGGACAGAGTATATGAGGGTTTTATTTGATGGCGAAGGGGGTGTTTGGTACACGGGTTGCGCGGGCAAGTATACGGATGGCGTGATGGCCATTATGGAATTCTATCACTGCGCACAATCCTGTCGAATTTTCATGATCTTTTCTCTCATATGCTGGTTCTGCTCCGTGCTTGGTGACATGGTTGCGTGAATACCAGCTTTTGCACCAAAGAAACACAGAAGACTGCTTGCCAAACATGTAGTTGCCGCGTGCACGCTTTGGAAGTTGTATCGAATTCTTTGATTGAGAGTATAAAGAGGAAGAAAAAGCTGGAAGACTGAGAGTTTAGACGACGCGCACTGTAACACGCATTTGATCTGGAAGCGCTCTGAAAATATGCGAAATCAGAGTCCGCATGTGATTGCAAGGTAGTCTTTTCTTAGTCGGCGCAAACACCTAACAAAGCGATACCGTTGTTTTGAAGTACTTTAAGTGTTGGCTGCGAGCAACCGGACGACATCATCATGTTGACCTTTATTTTAGAGAACAGTGAATGCGCAATGTTAATGGAAGAAGACGAAGGAGAAAAGAGGTAGCATTTTATATCGAACGTCAACGCACGACCGCTGGGAGGTAATACGCCAAGCCGAACATGTCTGCCGCCATGAAGAATCATCTCGAACCTTTCACATGCAAAATCAAGACCCATGTCCTATTTCGCGGTCGTTTCGATAATGGTATATTTAAAGATGCCTGACAGGCAGGAAATCACATGGCGGTTGATTTTCTTTGTTTAGGAGAGAATTAAGATCCAGTGGTGTGTTGAGGAAGATGGTAGCCAAACAGCAGAAGCTTTCATAGCCGAAAGGCACCAGTCTTCCCGAGACGTGTGCAGCGTCTACGATGGTTGTTGTACGAAGGTAGTCGTCATATCCAAGTTTGCAGATAGAATTCGAGGAGGCATGGAGACAGGAAGACACGTCCAGGTGCAGCTGAGATTTCTATGGCATGAACGCCAAAGGAGGCCGCGCAACTCATAACGCCTGAGGACCACATTTTTGTTGTTTCGTTCTGCGCAAGATGTAGTTAGAAGACAGAACACTCAGCCTGATTAGATCAGGTTTTGTACAAAGTGTCCGTACTTCTGCATCCTCCGCGACCCCCTTGTTTGTCGATGTGTGCCGATGACGTCAGAGACCTCGTCCTCGCGTCGCGTCACGCTCCCGAAGTCATCCATACTCTTTGCATCGCCGGTCCGTCAACACCACAGCTCTTTCCCTACGCGCTCTGTGTTCTTGTTTCCTCCTTTCGAGCGACGGAAGATTCGGACTGTTCGGTAATTGCTTCCCCGACGACCGAGTGCGGGTTGACCCTGGACGATGCGGGGACTCCGCATCGGCGTCATTCCTTGATGCTATTTCCGCAACTTCTAACGTGTTTGAACTGCGGAGATGAGCTAGCCTGCCGATGGCGTTGCTAAACCCCTTGCGACAAGTTGGAGAGATGATATCTTCCGGTGGCGTTGTGGAGGTGTCGGTATAAGTACTGAGCGCTTGGCGCAATGTCTGCGGACGTGTGAGGTTGATACTCGCTGGTGTCGCATTGAATCGGATCTTATTGCTACTGTTTAGACGCTTAAGTAAACCCGTTCAGTATGAAGCTCCAAACATCGTTACCATATCTCCTAGGCTTCAGCAGCGCGGCCTCGGCGCTACCACAGAGCCCCTCCGAGCGAGACACAGGTGCAGCCGCAAGAGCAACCGTACCAACCATCTGGATCGCAGGCGACTCTACGACCGCGCCAGATGGCGGTCACAACGGTACAGAAGGCTGGGGTCAATACCTCCAGTACTCATTCGGCACCAACGCCAAAGTGAACAACTCCGCATATGCCGGACGATCCGCGCGCTCGGTCCGTCTCTTCTCGTTCTATTTCTTTTACAGCACAAAATGATGAGGGAAATTGGCTAATGCTTGACTACTACAGTTCACACGCGAAGGTCGCTTCGACAGAATAGCCAAAGCCCTCCAACCCGGCGACTGGGTGATAATCGAATTCGGCATTAACGACGCCGGCGCCCTTCAAAATGGCTCCACCAGCTCAACAGGCGACAAAGGCCGACCACCTTGCCCTGGTGTAGGCGATGAAACGTGTACAGTGACATTCAAGTGAGTCGTTCCATATCATGGTTACCCACAGACGCTGATAGATGTGCCCACGTAACAGCAACGCTACAGAGGTTGTCCACACATTCCCCTCCTACATCAAATCCGCAGCATCCAATTTCCTCTCTCTAGGCGCCTCCGGCATCGTCATATCATCGCAGCTCCCCACCAACGTATGGGAGTCTGGAAGTTACAGCTTCACGCCTTCGAGATTTGCTTATTACAACATGTATGTGGAATCACTAGGTCGACCACATCAAAATCTGCTCTCTTGATTTGGGAAAGTAGGGAATGAGTCTAACTGACGTGTCGCGTAGGCTATCGGCCCTTGAATTGGGCGGTCCGTCGTCACATGTCTACTTCGTGCAACATGGAAGTTACGCCGCACAAGCTCAACGTTTACTGGGGAAAGAAGTGGTGGATAAGGTGTATCCGATGGATCATACGCATACGGCGCCATTTTTGGCAGATGTGGTACGTTCTCCTCTCTTCCCACACATGGCTGGTTCTCTTTGCGTTTTTTGTTCGGTCATGACACTGGATATAGGCCATTTTGGCTAACAAAGGAACAGCATAGCCAGGCATTTGTACTGGGTTTGAAGTGCGGAACTAGCCCGTTGGCGGGATTGGTGGTCAATGCCACCGCGAGGATTGAGATGGAGAGGGGCAGTTGTTTGCCTGCTAATGCTACCCTGCCGATTTAGATATCAAGTATAGTCTCAAATGCGTGGTCAACCTCAGCAGAAGACATGGTTTCTTCAGTTCTGCCATTTTGGAAAAGATTCGGGAAGCCGAACGCGCAGTTCTCATCGTGCATGACCTTGGTTTCCTTTCGGACTCCGCGGAACCGTGAATGGCGTGGCCATGTTCTTCAGTGATACAGCGCACTACTGTATAGTAGGGGCAATGGAGCGAGAGGAGCGAAAATGGTCATGGATTTGTCACCAACTTTTTTTGGAATTCAGTTCCCACTGTTTGAGGTATGCGAGCTTCAGAATAGAAGTGGAAGTAGAGAGGTGGTCTCGTGGGTACTTTCCAAGAAACGCCAGAAACAGGGCCGTAGCTCCTGAAAAGGTTTGAGAATGGCGAACGCGCAGCTCTCATCAGCTCACCGAAGAGCTCTTTTGGACTCGGCAGAACATGTATGCGGACGGGTGTGTTTTCGGTTTCATGACTGGAAGTGCAGGCGTTTTAAAGTAGAAGTGAGGAACGCGGTATTTGTTGTATATGGCAGACAGCGGAGGATAAGGTACGATTTTGGCAAGACGAGAGGAGAGCATATCGCCCATGGCTTAGGTCTGTTCGGATTTTGGAGAACCAAAATTCATGGTTGTGAGTATCATAGATTTTGGAGTAAAAGGAGCACAGTGTTAGGTGGTAATCATTTTATTGAGAAGGCAGCCAAGAGACATCTGCGGGTTCTGGACGATTTACAGGGAGACGAGCGCACGACTACCATGACCGGCGAGAGGAGCGTTTTGGATCTCAGACGGACATTTGCAAAGTCTGCGTGGAATTCTGTAGTACACCTGAGTAAAGCGCATATGGTTTTGATGGAACAGAAAGCGATAAGCCAAAAGCCAACATGGGGTTCCCGTGGTCGATTTTTGGAACGACTGGCGGGTTTTTTTGAAGTGTTGGAAAATACAGGGAAGTAAATGGAGCCGGAGATGTTTCTATACGTAAGGCCAAAGGACTATAGTACACCTTCCAATAACTTTGCAAAGGGCGAGTGCACACCTCTCATCGCCATCGTGTCAAGCAGTTTCGGGTCTGGGACAAGCATGCGCATGCTCGATGTCTTTTTGGTAATATATAAACGCGACAGTTGCTGCAACCTTGAGGAACAGCAGAGAAGGGCAGCGACAGCCATATGTGCATATCTCTCATTATTTTTGAGGTTTGAAGCTCGCTGTATTGGAGTGAGGATAGAACAAGAGAAGTGAGAGCGTGCTGTCGTAGAAGTTTTATATGGAAAACCCCGGAACCTAAGAACGATTTGATAGTGTTTTTGGAGAGGCGAGCGCACTGCTCATGGATAAGTGTACCGATGGTGTTGCGGTTCGAACATACGTGCAGCTATCATGTATGCTTTTTGGGGTCTCGGGCAAACACGCATTGCTGGACGATGATTTTCTGTACATATGTTGAATGGATAGCGGATTCTGGGAGGAGAGAACGGAGGCACAGACACCCATGATATCCATGTCGCTCGTTTTTGGAAAATTGAACCAGAGTCAAAGAGTATAGGAAGGTAAGGAATGTTAAAGGGAAAGCAGGTTTCATACGCACTGCCAAGTGCAAATACATGAAGCAAGGTTAGTGTAGTGCCGCATAATATGCGCATCAGATCACTTGGGCACAGCAGCAAGACGCTTGTTGACGAAGAATTGGTATCATTACGCATTACTTCCTTCTCAATCATCCATTGCCTATCTCTATCATACAAAACATTCCCTCAACTAATTACATGGCTCATAGGCCTCATCCAATCTTTATGCATCGCTGCAGTAGCGTTCTCACACTGTCGTTCCTGACCGACAGACTTAACCGGCCTGGTAAAGACCAAGAGCAACAACGTGGGGGTTGATCATGCTCAAGTTGAAGGGAGTCAAGAACGGGTTGGCATCAGTCAGAGCAACGAACATAGTACCGTTGACGGATGGGTCACCCTCGTAGACCTCAGCAGCGGGCTGGTACGTGAAACCAGTGTTCTCACCGGTGACCTCAAGGGGCGTGTATGTCAAGTTCAGTTGGCTGACCCACGCAACGTACGCGGGGGCGCCGGCACTGGTATCCGTGACGTAAGAGTTGTTGGGGCCGACAGCCTGACCGGGCTTCTCCCAGGTAAAGTTGATCTTCTTGCCGGGGAAGGAGAGGGGTTCGCTGTGGTTGCGCGCGATAGCAGGTCCACAGGAGTAACCTGGGTGCTCGGTGCCGTTGATGTTGACGCAGGACTCATCGGCGGGGATGGTGGAGTCAGAGGGGTCAGCGATGCGGTCGCCAACTACCTCGTGTGGCTTGGTATCATTGGGCGAGAAGCGGTTGGGGTTGGACTGGTTGTCGATGAGCAACGTGGGGAAGTTTTGCCATGCGAGACGAGTTGTGTTCTCAGGGCACGAGCTGATGTAGGGTGCGAGGTAGGTCCATGCCCAAGACTGCGGGATGCCAGTCTCGAACCATACGGGTTGGGGCGCAAGGCCGAGCATTTGGCGGAAAGACATTTGCTGGCGGGCCTCGGTGGCAATGGATTGCGAGAGGAGGGAGGCGACCTCGCGGGAGTCCAAGTGGGCGAGGAAGCCCCAGACACCGGACTCACCCCAGCGGGTGAGCTTCTGGTTGAAGTCGATGAACTCGCGAACAGTGCGGTAAGGGTAGTTGTAGGTGCACTGGGGAGGAGCAGTCTCGCCAAGCATGTTGGTCAGGAGGGTGGCGTGGCCACTCTCTTGCTGGGCCATGAAGGCAATGTAGGCGCGGTCCTCAGCAGTCAGACCGGCGTCGAGGAAATCCTCTGCGGAAAAGATGGCGAGACCGTTGTTGAACAGGTCCAGCTCAATCCATTCCTGGTAAAGACCCAGGGTGATGGACTCGTAGTCAAAGTCGCTGTTCACCATGTAGCGGGGCTCACTACCGTTGGTACCGAGACCACCAGCGGGCGTGTAAGGGATGGGCATGGGGTTCTGGGGCTTGCCATTGGTGTTGTAGTAGGTGGCTGTGGGGTTCGGGGGCATAGGAGCGATGGCAGTGCCGATGGTGGTAGGCGCCTTAGCAGCTCCGGTGGTGGTGGGAGTACCATCATATGGGCCATGGCTGGTGGCGCCAGTGACATCTGAGCTCCTTCGTGGAGGAGCTGAGCCAGGTGCGGTGGGGATGGCAGCGACCTGGGAGTCAGGACCGAAAACCGAAGCGGGTGTAGCAGCTGGCGTAAAGGTAACGGAGAAGCTGGCATCCGCGTTGGTGTAGCCTGGGACGTCCTCAGTAGGCTTAGCAGCGCTGTAGCCGTCCTGGGGCGCAGGAGCGGCAGCAGCAAAAGCTGCGAGTACCGAAGTGGTGAAGAGGCTCTTGGTCAACATCTTGAAGTCGATTGTCGGGTCGAGGTGTTGTGCGGTTGGAACAATGGACGGCGTCTGTAATAGTTATATACACGCGTCGCGCATCAGTGACCGCATCGCGTCAACGCTACTTCCTACTGATTTCACATCGATGACCACAAGCATCGCCGCCGAAATAGGTCTAACAGCTATGATTTCATGACTGAACGGATGCGGTAGTGCAAGCCGCAGATATCGAAAAGTCGGCCACAACATGGGAATCTCGGAACTGGCATCGGGAAGCTATTTCGGACGAATCAGAGGATGCGCTGCTGAATCTTGCCTGCACCGTGCTCCTCAATGCCTGCTGGAAAACCTCGGCGCTGCGTGAACGCGTGCACGCAGGAGGCGTGTTTTCCACGATTTGCCGCGTGCAGACAACGTGACGACGTGATGACATGGTGGAGCGTTTAAGTTTTGAGCCGCTAGCACTCCCGCCCCGCAAGAGATCAACAGCTCCAATTAACAAAACCGGGTTCCTTCCAAGGCTTCGGCGATGTCGCCAGTGCGCTTTGGGAGTAGTGCAACGCTTAAGCATACACCCGGTCTACATTTGTTTGCTGAGAAATCGCGAGCCGGTACATCCAGATACTCGCCCCCGCGGAGCGGCAGCCTCGCGTGGCGGCGAACCCAGTAACTCAAATGGCACTCGCCCAGTAGCCTCAGGCTCGGGTAAACATGAGAATCTGCAGGTACAGAAACAGGCTCAGCTCCGCTTGGTTGTTTACCGATGCGGCCATATGAGCGCTCTCCACGCATCCCATCGCATGCTGCAGGATGTGCATCGCAGTTGTGGATGCAAAAGCATTGGCCGCAAAAAAAAATAACGTGCATCTGCAATATGGGCAAGGAACATGGCAATTACCGATGCAGCTTGCATGTCTACCCCTTACCTAAGCACATGGACGATGACGTTAGATCTGCGCAACATCCGCCGATGTTTGACGAACGGCGAACATCATGGTGCCACGCAAGATGATTATTGGAGAGATGCGCGTAAACAACGCGTTCTGCATAGCGCAGTATGTGGAGCGATAAACGTGCGAGCTGGGATCTCATAGTGGAATTGTTGTTATTCGCTGATGATGGAATTATTTCGCGCGCGACATCGGACCCCAATTCTCCCTGGGCGCAAGCTGGTAGCGGACATATTTGCCCCTGTCGTGATCCTTGCCGAGCTTCTCGTCAAAGTTGACCTCGAACTTGGTGTTGAGGTAAGCTGGCAGATCTTTTGCGGGTGTCGTCGCCGAACCATCACCGCTGTTGTCTTCATTGCTTTGCGCTTCAGGCGCCGGATCGGCCGGTACTTGAGCAGGTGCTACGTCGGCAGTTGAGGTTTTTGTGTACCCTGTTGCGTTTGACTTTGCCAGAATGGCGGCGCCTGGGCTTCCTGCCTTGGGCAGATTCTTCAGCGGCGCTCTTTGCCGCACCCATTCGAGCATAATGTGCCAGATGTCATTCCACGATGCGTCGGTCTTGATGGAGCCAGGTTTGCAATGGCTCATCGTCACCCTAAACCCCGCATGTCGTAGCGCACCCCGCATGGCTGCCAACGGCGGCGCTGAACAGTGAACTATCTTCGCTACCGAACTTGGGATGATAAAGAATGGGTGGTGGTCTACCTCTGCAGGATCGGACTTCGGGATGAGGGGATCTAGGACCTGAGTCTTTTGCGCCCCGTTTGACTTGTCCAGCTTGGTGCCAAATGTGATCTCCTCCAATGCTGTATGCAGCATTCCTTCGATACGATCCGTTGTCGCGTACGTCTGCTTGTCAACTTCATTTAGCTGCGCTAGGATTCTTTCGATAAAACCGACATTATGCAACGGCCCGCCGTACATTGGTCCTGACAGGTGGGTCTTGTGGCCGCAGTGCTCACAGTGCTGGTCCGCGGAGGGCCCTTGTGCAAAGCCATGCTTGTACATTGGATCGCCATTCTTGTTCTTCAACACTTTGTTGCGAGCAAGGAACTGGGTGGTCCATGCACCGCAGCCGCTTTCGCAGTGATAGACGAGCATGGTCTTGCCGGCGAGCAGCTTGACATCTGTGGGCGCTTTGCGCACTCGTACGAACACTCGTATATAGTAGTCGATGGAAAGTGAAAGTAAGGGCTCGATAGCCATTCCATATCGGCCCGCCGAAGATGCGATGGCGTGTAGAACCAAGCGTAAGCCGCCTTCGTGGCAGGGCTCGCCCTTGAATGGCAATCCACCATACTGCGAGTAGGTCTTCTCGAGGTAGCCGTGCGACGCAAAGATGGCGGAGTCGGTGCACGTTACACACAGTAATCCGTCGTCGTTGATGGCTTGTATGGCCGAGTCGATGAAGGGAGCGGCAGTGCCGTATGGATCGAGATCAATGACATCGTAGCCCTTCTTATCACAATAGCTGTACATGTAGGCTATGGCATTGCCAGTCTTCGCTGTTACCGTCTCTTCGAGCTTATTATGCTTTACGTTGAGCTTGATAGAGTCGACGGCGTTCTGTGACATGTCGTTTGCTGTAACGGCGGTTGCAAATGGAACCTCTTTCGCGAATCGCAGGGCACGGAGACCGGTCGCGGATAGGGCATCGAGGATACTGAAGGATGGTCTCCAGGGCGTGCGTCCTCCATTTGCACCAGTAGAGTCTTCCTGAGCCTCTGCACCTTCCATTTCCTCCTCGTTGTCACCATTCTCCAATGTCTTCTGCCTCTTCGGATGAACCGCGCCTTCTTCACCATTAGCCTCTGGAAGCTTCCTCTTCTTAGACAAAGTTTCGTCTGCGGTAGGAGCCTCAGTCTCACCGTTCCCACGATTCGGAGCGCCTCCCGCCGCCCGTTCTGCTTGTATTCGTAATCGCGTGCGTTCCCTCCTCTGTTTGAACTGCTCGTGCTTCTTCAGTTTCCGCTGTATTGAGTCCAGGCCGAATGTCTTGATCGCAAGTACAGTTAGGTCACGATTGAATTGCTGTATAGGGTTGTAGAAGACTTGTTGCTTTGCATGCTCCTCTTTGGATAGCCTTGGGTCGGTGGACGTGGGGATGTCATGGGGGACGAGAATATGCGCAAGGCCTTCCTTGATGGTGGTGTATTCTTTGCCGTCGTGGCTGATATGTTGGTCGGCCTGCGGCGTCGCATCGATAGTCTGCGCAGTTGCGTCGGTCATGGGAACGTCGGCAGAGGCCATGGTGAGGGAAGTGTGAAATGCGCGTGGGAAAGAGCTACTGATTGCCCATGCTCTGCGGGGAAGGTGTGAAGGGGCTCGAGAGGCGCGCGAGCAGCGTATCCAAAATATAATGGAGGCCAGATTGGTGGTGAATCTGGAGGTCGATCTGAATCCAGCGATAGTTGTGGCTTGAGTAAAGAGTCACGGCGCATCCACGGTCCTGTCGCGTCGAGCTCCAAAATTTTGGCTTCGGAGTTAAGCTTAAATTTAGCGTCACCGCGCGACTTCCCCGCGTCACAACTCTCGACTATCACTACCCATTTCACACGACGGATATGCCAAATGCGCATTGTCGTAATTCTCTTGCACTGACGCACAAAACGGCGCCACTATTCTAGGAATATGAGATCATAGTAAGGTATATTCATCGCGTGCACTAGGATTCCGTGTAGACCAATGGATGAGTTGCTGCCTGGAAATGGGCTGAGACTCCTGTTCCGTCTCACCGGCCCCTTGAACGCCTCATCCACACCTGAGTATTGTCTTTCCTCCTTCATCTCAATCGCAATTTCTATCTCATCACTCTCTCATATCTTTCCTTGATATTTCCCCACACACTCGAGAATCTACACCATGGGCAGACCTTCCGACCCCCCGCCCAGCTACCGCGACGACCCAGACGCCGTCTCCCTCCACACCACCCCCGACGACTACACCTACGACGATGCGCCCGAAATCTCCGGCCTCCCACCCTCCTACACCGACAGCGAAGCAGGAACCAGCAACACGCCCGCATCCTCGATCCCCATCCACCACATCGCGCCCCCAACCTCATCAACGAACCACGCGAAACCATGTTTCAAGAACGGAAACCCCGTCGTAAACACTACCATAAACGTCCAAGAACCGCTCTACGACACCGACCCCGCCGCCCTCGAAAACGCCATCCGTGTCCTCGCCGAAGCCGCCCCAATACCCCTCATCTACATAATGGGCACGCACCGCGAAACCACCAAGAAGAACAATAAGACCGAGTCGCGCTGTGTAACCGACTTCCGACTCGTAATAAACCTGTCCAAATACATCCACGCGCACTACATTGCAAACAACTCAGGCACCATGACCCTTAGCACGGCCGAAAACAGCGAGAAAACGCACCGCGGCACGATTCTCAAGTGTAGGGCTCCGGGCTCGAGACAGGATATTGAAGTAGGTGGTGTTCAGAAACCAGGCTTGACGGAATGGTGCCATAGATACTGCGCTTCCCCGCGTGCTTTGCGTATCTTCCGTCTAAGGCGCGAGGTTGCCGGTCTGGATGAAGCATACCTTCGTAATAGAATCGAAGGCATAATCCGATCTACAAACTACCGGGGCAACATATCCATAACCTTCCCCGTCGAAGATGCAAACGTCGATTTCTACACGTCCCACCGTGTGAATGCTTGGAGGCTGAAAACGTGGCTTCGTTGGGTATTCTACCTGACCTTCCTGTGGATATTCAGCTGGCCGATCTTGTTCTTTGCGACGCGACGCTGGAGCGTTGTGCGTGCTACGTGGCCGTTTTCGAAGACTGATCATTCGGGACGGAAAGTGTATACGACGGTTACGGAGGAGGAGTGGATGGGAGAGTGGCATGTAGCGATAAGGCGGCTGGTGCTGGAGAGGTACGAGGGCGAGGCGAGTGAGGAGATGATGAGAGCGGTTATGGCGAGGGGTGAGGATCCGCCTGTGCCCGGGACGTTTAGGAGTGGGCATGTTGGTGTGGATAATGCGGTTGGTGTGCTGACGCAGGGGTTTCAGGTTGCGAGGGCGTTGAGTAATGGGGAGGGAGTAGGGAGGGCGGCGCAAGGTGGGTGGGGGTATGATTATTGATGGATGTATAGGCTTAGATGTCCGAATGCAGTTTGGGTGTTTTTCAGAAATTCAGAATTTCATGGCTGTCAGTTACATGATGTAGCCATCGTAACTTGTCAGCGATCTCATACTATCATACAAACCATATTTCGTCCTCGTCCTCGTCCGCTCAGGTGCATACTCATCTCAGCCTCGTCGTGTCAGCTCCTCACGCATACCATCCTAACCCACTCAGCACCTCCACCTACTTCCACTCCCAACACTCCTCAACCACCCACTCAAAGTCCTGAAACTTGACCACCGCACCCACACTCAGAATCTCAGGCCTAAACGTAACGCCGCAAGGCAAAAAGCCATCACCCACCCTCACAGTCCTCTTCCACGGATTTACCTCTTCCTTTGCTGTCTTTCCACCAACCACGTCCTTGTTGTCCTTAGCATTGTGCCACTCCCACCGCTCAACAGTAACCTTGTCTCCCCACATGACGATACCCTGACAATACTGTCCCAACCTAACAACCACGCCCCTAACACCCGGTCCATCATGTTGGCACCGCATCACAATACAGGTCTTACTACCGCTCTTCTCCGTGGACTCGGCATCAACATCCCTCCACATCTCCTCGTGCGTCTTGACAGCTCCTAGCGCCGGATGGTATCCATGCCCAACCTCGAGCGTCAACCCGGGAGCAATGGGGTACATGTCGCCCTCATCAACGGGGATGTCTTTGTGGCCGACGGGGAAGCGCGAGTCGAGCCAGTGCGTCCAGGTAGAGTGTGTGACGTTACTCCAAGTTTCATTCGTGACCTTCTTGGCAGACTTTCCGTGCTGCGGGCCTGTGGGGGGAGGCGTGACGGGTACGCTGGTCGAGGTGCCGGCGAAGGCCCAGTCTAGGTGAGCGGAGTTTCCCTGGTTGGTGGACTCAGTGGAAAGGAGAAGGGAGGGGGTATTGGCGTTCTTGTTCTTGTTGAGCTTGGAGAAGGACTTGTAGATACGAACATCGACAAAGGTATGGTTGGGGCTTGTTAGTACCAAGGTAGATGTAGGCTCAAACTGGTGAGATGGTAGGTTTAGCGGGTTCTTGTGCGGGAGGTGGATGGAGTAAGGAATCTCGGTGTTTGGCGGCAGAGGGTAAGGCAGGAAGTAGATGTACTCGCGCTTGCTAATGTTGGCAGCGCTGGGGTCTTGGAGGACGGGCTTGGGACTGTGGGTCGTGGTAATGGTGAAGGACATGTCGCCGGCTTCTAGTCCTGTACCCGCTGGGAGGGAAGGTGAAGCGGCTTTGTTGCCTGCAGTTGAAGCCATGTTGTCGTTTTCGGTGCCGGAGTCTGGGGGCGTGTAGATGACGAGGCTGGCGCTGGAGCTTGATTGATCGCTGAGATCACAGGATACTTCGTTTGCGGGCGAGGCTTCGGTGGTGTTTGCCTGTGCCGCGGCGAAATGTTTCTTAGCCTTGAGCACCATTGTAGATTTGAGTCTGATTTCTCTTGAAAGGGAAGAGGGAAGTTCGGAGAGACTAACAGTTACTGTAGTATTGAGATAGCTCGGCGTGAAAGCGAAAGAGATATTGAGATCTAGAAAATGAGTGAGTGACTGTAGTGCTTACTATGGATACCTCCCAGAGTTAGACAATGCGAGGAGAAAACATCAGCCTTTCACAGTGTATATGGATGCCAATTCAACACTAAGATGTATACGACGTGGGAGTTGAGCGGGCAGGAATTACCTTTGCGGAGCGTGCCGACTACCGGCTCACTGGAAACTGTTGGGAGTGCTTCCAAATGAGTGCTGAAGACTTCGTAGCTTGTACCGCGCACTTGTTGCATAATGTTGTGGTATTATGATGGAGATGATGTGAGGTGGGGGAGCTCATAGCAGCACGAACCACGCTAGCGATGTCCGTTTGTAAAGGTGATCATCAATACTAAAATCTAGGTGAACGGTGATACCAGGGATTCAACTCCAGGTGAAGAGTATTACGCGCTCGAATATCACATCACGAACAATCCGATAGTGCCCTACGGTAAAGAGGGTGTGTCTTGTGAGAGAACGATAGAGAAAACGATGAGGAGATGAATGGGAGGCACGGCTTGCATTTGCAAAACTAGGTATCATTCACATGCTGTCATTTATTTGACAGACCTAACCATGACGCCGCCCATGCTGGGAAAGCCCACGCTGGGAATACCCATCGCCGAATCGTAATTCTGACTTTTATATTGTCGTAAGCCATAGCAAAGAACCAAGCAACTACTTCAGCGAGTAGTTTATTTCTTCTTGGAGTCGGCCTCCTCGGCCTTAGCCTTCGCGCGCTTCTCACGGAGACCGACGAGGCGGGCCTCGGAGCGGGCGTCACGGAGCTTCCTGTAGGCGTTCTCGGTGGCCTCGTAGTTGCCGATGGGGCCCTCCTCGAGTTGGACGACGTTCTTGATGGGCAGAGCAGCGGCGGTGGACTGGACAAGGTTGTCGGCGCTCTTGGCGGCCTTGACGTCCTCGGCGGAAGCGTCACCAGACTTGGTCTTGCCGTTGCGGCGGGGGAAGAGGATGAGGCGCTTGCGGTACTCCTGGAGGCGCTCGACGTTGGCCTTGAGGCCCTCCTCGGAGAGGTTCTGGCGGCGGGGGTCGACAGAGATACCGATGGTGCGGGCGAACTTGCGGGGGATACCGGCGGCTGCTACATGTTAGGAACGCTTTGCGCAATTTGATAGAGCAACATACCCTTCAGCTCAACGAGAGAGAAACCACGGCCGGGGCGGACACGGCGGTTGTACTTGATGGTAGGGCAGCGGACGACGGGCCTGAGCTTGTCGACGGGCCTGGGGGCTACCTTCGCAGCCTTGGCAACGCGAGCATTGCGTCTGGACGTCTTCTTGCCAGGCTATCGTACTGTCAGAAATCTGAACACAGGCGCCACTACTCTCAGCGACGTGAGAGGGGAATTACCTGGTCGAAGTGGCAGCGGACGTAGCGTTGCCTACGGAATGTTAGCCCAATGCCATCAAAGTTCCCAGTTTCCCAATCGCAAACTCACCAGTCCTTGTGGAAATGATTCTTCTGAATCTGCTGGTTGTGCTTGATCGCCATTGTGTCGGATTGTCTGCCCTAATCAGCCTTCGTCCTTCGCTCGTGGGGGTGTATGGAAGCGCGCAGTGTCGACGGCGAATTCGTTTTGATTGCGCTCGTTCGATTGCGCACTCCGAAGATGGTAGACGTACCTCGATGGCTGACCTGTGGGTTAGTTATCGTACGGCTGTCGAGGAAGAAATCTTGAAGTTCGCTCGCCAATTTCGACAGCATTCCTAGCGCTAGTGGGCCAACCGAGTTTCCGGCGGTACGTTTTGCCGACGCCGACGTTAGCGTGATAGGCTGCGAACCTTGGCTTGCGCAGCAACACCAACAGTAAGTCCACCCCAGATACCTAGGTAAGGAAAAGATCAAATGACTACTTCTTTTAAGGTCTTGTCAGTAATCGATTTTCTAATCATGGAAATGGCAGTGCACGTTTCGGTTGCTTCCTGACTTGAGGTGAGTCGTTGTTGCGCAAGTTCAACTTCCTTCCAGACGAATTGCTTGAAACCATATGGCATTTTGTTTATTTAGACTCAGCTGTCTTTAGTGTTTTCGTCATACATGCCAGTGTAGTGATACTTCACCCCTTCGATGATGATGTAAGACCTTGTCACACCTTAATACTGTTGACTGGGAACCGCTCTTTTCCGAAAGTATCGCTACATCCATTCGAAATAAACTGTAAACAATAATCTAAACACCCCTATAGTACTCTCCTGTAGTGAGTACATAATGTACACGAAGACATTACAAAACGCTAAAGTGTATCCAAAGAAGTGAAACCGCACAAGTGCACTCTAAACCAAACCCGGCACAACAAGAAGCCCTAAACCACCACCCCATTGAGAAGAATCAAGATTCAAAAGCCACCATCATCCGCATCGAAGAACTCGGTGTTGGAGCTCTCCGCGCTCTTCCAACTCTCCCTGGGAATCTTGTCTCTGAGCCAGGTCAAAACAGCATCGGTACCCTTTTGAAGTACCTGTCGGTTGGGTACCCTGAACTTGTTTCCTTCGACCTCGAAACCTGTCAGGGTGCCTTGCAGCAAGCCGATACGCGGTTCCAGACGCTCGATATCGTTGTTGCCCAGGTTCACAATTCTAAGATTGTGCAAGCTCTCAGGCGATACCTCGGAGATCCTGTTGTCGGATGCGAGGAGCGTTGTGAGCGCGGGGAAAGCTACATGGAGGGTCGGAAGAGCACCTGCGAGACGGTTGATCGACACGTCCAAGGTTACAAGCAGAGGCGCCGTGAGATATGTTGTCAAGTGCGTGAGAGAGTTGATCTTGTTGCTGGCGAGACGGAGATCGCGCAGCTGGGGAAGTTCGATGGACGCTGACAGAGGAACTTCAATGCTGTTCCTAGACAGATCGAGTAATGTCAGGTGTTCGAACTGCGCCGCTATAGACGGGATAGTCTCGAACTTGTTTCGCTGCAATTGCAATTGACGCAGTCCGTTGACCATGACTTCCATGGTGACTTCATCGAGCTCTAAATCGGACATGCTCTTGTCTGCTAGGTCTAATGTGCCCGATGGTGTAAGTTGCCACATCGGCTGAGCCTCTTCTGTAACACCATTCTCGAATTCGTCATTCACATCGGCTGAGACCTCGGCCGGTAGTCGCGATGCCAGATCGCGCTTGATGTCATCGGTGCCCATGGTAAGGAATTTACGATCGCGCAACGGGTTCGCTGCGACTGTGAGATGTTCCAGATTCTCCATCAAGGCTATCTTCTCATCAAGCTGAGTGATATCGTTGCCCGTGAAGTCTGCAGTACGTAGTTGTTGAAGCATCACGAAACCCTCTGGTAAGGTTGAGAGTTTGTTCTCGCCGATTAGAAGCGTCGTCATACTGATCCAAGTCGACACTTCCGGAAACGACGTAAGCTTATTCGTTGAGACATTCAGCGTCTTGAGGGCAGGCAGTTCAATCACATCGCCATCGTACAGAGACGTGAGCGAGTTTTGTGCGACGTTGAGTTCCTGTAGATGTGGTACTGAGCTCAGGTTGAGAAGTGTACCCTCCAGGCGGTTCTTCGACGCTTGAAGCTCGATAAGGGTTGCAGAAAAGACCTCGCTAGGCAGGGATCGGAGCTGGTTGTCCGACACATTCAGTGTCCGCAACTGCGTCAAACGCTGCATGTCTGCCGGTATGCTTGTCAACTTGTTCGATTGCAGCTCGAGGATCTCTAATGCCGTGAGATCGCATAGCGCTGAGGAGAGATCTCCGTTGAGATCGTTTTCTGCTAGCTTCAATTCCCTCAAGGTCGGGATCTGAGCGATTACGTCTAGCATCTCCATGGGCAACTTGTTCCGTGACTAGGCGATGTTAGCTCCAAGATATCGTGGAATCTTACTGATAGTGTGACTTACAAGGTTCAACTTCGAGAGCTGCGTAAGTCGCTTCAGGCCTACAGGCAACTCTCGCAGCATGTTACCGTGAAAGTCAATGCTCTGTACACCTCCGAATTGAGGACCTGCCTCATCCGAATCGATCATGTCTTCAACTGACACATCAGGGAACATGCTGTCGGGAAGAATCTCAAGCTCATTGTCCGCAGCAAGGATAGTAGACAGGTCTACTACCTCGCCCCATGCCACCTTGGTATCGTTGGGGTCGTAAATGTACATGGAAAGTACGTCGTCAGGGATCTCCTTCAGTCCCATCGCAGCAATGTTTAAGCGGCCATCTGATCGGGCGGCATCAATCCGTCTGCGCAGCACGGACTTGCCCCCCTTGGGCCGCTGGTTGAAGGGATCGTCATCAAGACCAAAGTCAAAGGTCGCAATCTCGGCAGGATCGGGCACGATGACATCGGTGGGTGGAGTGCTGTTCCTCACCGGCTCAGCCTTTGCCTGCTTCGCAGCTGCCCTAGCCTTTGCAATCTGCTCTCTCAGCGCATTGGAAGAGCTGGCGGGTTTCGGCGGTGCCTCAACTGGTGCTTCTTCGACGTCTGCTTTCTTCGCAGCTCTGGCCTTCGCGATTTGATCGCGCAAGGCAGTGGAAGAGCTTGGAACCCTTCGGACGGTATCGGGTGTTTTCTTAACCGGAGTATCCCGGGCTGGTGAGGATGTAGCAGTGCCGGGCGGTGATATTGCTTGGCCGAAGACGTTGCTCAGGGACGGCCGAGACCGGGGTGTTCGCATGCCCGTGAGACTCTTACTATTCGTCAGCGGGCGTGGTTTGGGTGTGTTTTGCAGGTTCTGCGCCGGAGCCAATGGCTGCTTCTTGACAGTCGACACAGGCTGTAGCATCGAAGTACGCCTACTTGGCGTTGCAGCGGGTGTGCCAACATTTGCACTAACGCTTCTCTTTCCAGGTGCGGTCATAGACAGCCTGTTCGAAGGCGCACCGAAACGCTTCGGTGTAGCTGGTATTGGGTGCGGGGCACCATCACTCGTGGATGGTCTACTGCCGTTACTATTTGACATGGCGGATCCCGGCCGCACCGGAGGGGCCATGTTATTGTCGGCATTGAAGAAGCTCGATCTACGTCTTCCTTTGCCTGGTGCTGGCGAGGATGGCAGGTTGGACAGAGTCTCTGCCGTCCGTTCTGAGAGCGACGGGCGGCCCTTCCTCTTCTCCAGCTTCACAGGACTGATGGGACTGGACAAATCGTCGATAGCTGAGTCCGCATGTTCCGGTTCGGGCTCATTGTCGCGGAATCCGGCTCTCGAACTTGCTCGCGAAGATGCCCTCGAGGCTGACCTAAAGCCCTCTAGGCTACCCAGTGTATCGTCTTCCTTGGCCGGAGCGATCGAGGATGACCGCGATGCATTCGTCTGGCGTGACGGTGGACGGGCAAATGGGCGCTTGAAGACGGGCGCGTCATTAGTACTTGAGGCGGCGGTCGAGGTCCGCCGTTGGCCGAAGTTGGGAATACCGCTCGCTCTGCGGTTCGAAGAGGGTGCGATGGATGACCGTTTGGAGGCTGTATTGTCAGGCACAGGGCTCGAGGCCGTCAGGGGGTTACTGGAGTAAGCAAGGGATGCTCTCGATGTCTTCTTCTGCAGCGTCGACGTGGTCGGGCGCGATATGGACGACAGCGACGGCTTCTTACGCAATTGTTCCGTCGAGGCGGGCTGGCGCAGCTGGGAAACACTGTTGGACGGCCTGAGCACTGGTAGTCGAGAAGCCGGTGCCGGCCGCGGTATCCCAGACGGGCGCGGGATGGACGAGGACTGGTCCATGGTGATGCTGTCAGACAGCGCGCTATACGATACAACGCCTAAGGGTTGGGAAGTCGTTCATGCAAGACTGCACAGGCGAAACACACGTCCAACCAAATTAAGGGTCCTCCACTTGTCGCCAGGTTGCTTTTCGAGAACCAATTCTCCGCGCCGGGTCCAGCTGAGCGTCTGAGCGAGCGGGAGGCGACCGTTGCCCCGTGAAACCAAAGGGAGGGCCATGTTTCTGCTGCACTGACAGGTCAGGCCTAGCGCCGGTTGGTATTGAGCAAGGACGACCGGCGGGTCCTTCCTCAACCTCGCTCCACGCGCCTTCCGCACCGACGACAGCGTCACCCACACACCCAACACACCCGTTACGAGAGCCACGTCTTCCGCAAACACCTGTTCGCTGCCGTTTGCACGCTATCACGGTCGCATAAACCCCGCGACTTCTTTTTGGCAAACGCGCATCGACGCGCACCCCTGCTCCTACCGTATCGTATTCGTCACCTCTACCGCGTCGCCCACCACGCCAGCTCCCCCAGCTCTTTGACACCTCTCTCCCCGCGTGTCAGAGTTGGACTGGACAAAGCGCAATTCTTCTCGACCAAATACCGCCTCCATATCTTCCTGACGTGTGTCGCACTGCTTAGGCCAGTTGCGCCTGAGGCAAGATGGAGTCCCACGCAACGTCGTACCAAGATTCATTGATGCCTACGACCGAGAACGCACTCCCCGAAACACCACCCAAGCTTTGTTCTCCATCGCCCGCTGAGTCCGCAGCACTCGCAATGTCAAAACTCGCATCCCCAGACCACAAGTTTACCTCCCCCGCACCCCGGACTACCTCTTCCATGACCCCTCCACCCTCTTCTCAAATCCCAAACACTCGTGCAGTCATGAGGACGCCTACTCCCCCGACTCCACAACTCACGTCTCCCCCACCAACCAGCAAACTGCCCAATCAGCCGTCTGCTTTGACAGACATGGGTGCAGGTCTGTACCCGCAGGATCAGGTGAACAGTGCCTCTGCCGAGGAGCTGAGAACCATGGTCAACAGTCTTTCCAATGCATTACGCGACATGCGACTCTCCGCAGCCCACTACAAGCTTCAATACAACATGGCTGTAATGGAGAGTCAAGAGTCTGCAAGCCGAATGGCTGTTGAGCTAGCCATGGCGCAGAGAGAGCTTGACGTTCTTCAGCAAGCTGAAGAGAAGCGCCGCAACAACATGGTCACCCCAGAGCAGACCTACCATGAGTCTGCAAATGCAGCCAATGCTGTCTTGCTATCAGAGATGGGCCGCCAGAACCAGATGCTGCAGAGTGAGAATGAAGAGCTTCGCGACATGCTTGAGCAGCAGAAACGTCTGACTGAGCATCGCGAGGGCGAGCTTGCTAGCCTCTTGGATGAGAATGACCGTTTGAAGACGAGGATTCGCAAGAACCGCGATCACATCGCACCTCTTCTTGAGCAGATCGAACAATCTTCACCGCGTTCAAATTACGGCACACCTCATCAGCCAACCCCCAGGAATCGTGTCAACAGGGTGCCGCCAGCCCTCTCCGAAGAAAGTAGAAGTCAGAACAACTTCGAAGCTCTTCTCTTAGCCGACAAGATGCTGAGTCAGGAGGTCGCTACTGCGCCCACAACCCCCATCAGACAACACGCGCCCAGATCACGCTTCAGTCATCAGCGCGGCGCGCAGTCCATGTCGTCGCTGCCACAGACCCCGAATCGCAGAGCCGCCTACCCTCAGGTACCCCGCACACCGCCACTTTTCGTGCCAACCAACATCCCTCAATCTGCACCACCAGCGCACTACCAAGCCAAGCCCTCAAACACCCGCCGCCAAAGCAGCAATTCCACCATCACTGCCTCCAGCGTCGACGAAGAAGAAGCCTTCACCGACCGTGAGGAAGATGAAGTCCCAGAATCCCAGGCCAGCCAAATGGCACGAAATCTCCTGCAAAGAGCACCGCCCACCAAAGGCATGATGTCTGCCCCACCGTCAGCCCAGCCAGCCAACCTCGTCCAAAGCAAAATCTTCGGCCAAGTCAAGAAAGGCTCCGGTCTAACCCGTGCCGGCGAGCTAAAGCGCGGCCGCATGCCCTCGACAGCGGATCTCCGCACTCAGACAAGTCCGCCGAAGCGCGGACGCGTCGATCAAGGTGTAGGTCTCGGCATTGGCGGCTTGCTGCGAGATTAGAAGAATATTGTTCCTGACCATATGCGGCAGGGAGTTTATCAAGCTTATTGAAAGTTTGGTGTTTTACGATTCTGATGGTTTGGGCGGCCGTTCTGAGGGAGGGGTCGTTTCTTTTTTTTTGCTTTTTTGCTTTTTGCTTTTGGAACGCAAGGTTTGGATACCCTTCATGCAAATGAATGCTGTTTGAGCATGGCGCTAGCTAGCGCGGCTGACTTTGAGGTTGGCTGATACTTTATGATTGTTTATGCAATATAGCCCTTGACATGTGGGGCTTTTTTGGACACTATGTGGAGGGACATGAGAGTGTGGGGAAGTTTAGTCTAGACAGAACTTGAAGTCAATGTATATGCGCATTATTCGCTCAAGCGAGAGATCATAAACTACAAACGAATGTAATTCACTCTAACACTATGCTCACCGTCCCATCCCCTCAGCCCACAATCTTTACCCACTTCCTCCCCTCACTAGCCTTCTCCATCTGATCAATAACCCCATGCCACTCCACCGCCTCCCCAAAATCCACAAATCCCTCCTCTACACTCTTCCCCTTAACAAAACCCTCATACAACATGCCCACATTCTTTGCCATTGGCGTCAACTCCCTAACCACCTCTTCATACTCAGCCTCCACCGTCTCCACAATATCCTTCTCATGATCGTACACCTCGATCTTCTCTCCGCCCATAGAAGTGTTCAGCATCGTGGCAGAAGTAAGTCGGATCTCGCCTTTCGTGCCGAAAACGCGCCAGGTGAGACCGGGTGTGTCTTTGAACGTTTTTCCGTGTCGGAGGGCCATAGAGATGGGCGCGGAGTTGTTAAGGAGAATGCCTTGGAGCATGACGTGATCGGATGTCTCGCGCTTGGCGACGCGATCGAAACTGCCATCTGCTTTGAGCAGTTTCGTCTCCGGCCAGCGTGTCGTCAATAGCGCGGAACACTCTTCCAGGCCGCCCAATGCGTGGAACACGGCATCCGCCGTATGTCCGACAATGATACTGAGGAAGCTCCCGCCGCTTTCTTTCTTGGTCATGAAGTCGTTGGCAGGTGGTTCGACATCACCCGGCCATCCCATTTCGAATGTTAGGGTCGAGCTGAGTACATCACCAATGGTCTTCTCCGCGACGAGCTGCTTCATCTTGCGGATAAAGGGGCTGGAGCGGGATTGCAGGCCGACGATGGTTTTGGATCCGCTCTTCTGGGCTGCGGCGTGCATCTCTTGGGCTTGACTTAGGTTGGATGCCAGGGGCCATTCGACGAAGACGTCTTTGCCTGCCTTGATAGAGGGCATCAGGAGCGCGTAGTGCCTGTCTACTCGGACGGAGCAGACGACAAGGTCGACATCTGGGTCCTGTGCAAGATCATCGGGGCTGCCGTAGGATTTGGTGGTTGGGGGCAGGTTGTAGCGTTTGATAGCGGCTTGGGCGGATGGGATGCTGGAGTTGCACAGGGCGGTTATCTCGTAATGGAGTGAGGCGAGAAGATAGGGCAGATGGGCGCTGCGTGCGTGCATTAGTTGGAGTTGGGTTGGGAAGATGGGAAGTGGTGTATATACCTGGCGGCCCAGCTGTCTCCTGGACTGGCGGAAATTTCGCCAGTGACGGAACTGAGGCCGATGAGTCCGACTCTGGTAGGCATGTTGATGAAATGAGGTTTTTGCTGTTGTGAGATAAATTGCTGTGAGGTGAGGATGGACTGTAAAATCTATCCTGCCGATGATGGATATATAAATCAGCAGAGCAGTGTCGTTTATTCGTCCGGTTTCAACTTAACTAGAATCCAGATACATAGCCAAAACCAAGTGAAGAGGTACGCAATACGGTCGATACGGTGATGCTAGTTGATAGTCGCTTGGGGTACGTAGTGCGGAGTTAGGATATTGTTGCTACTTGTCAGGCTAACCAGGGTACGATTATGTACTTTCTGACTATCTGACATCTCTGACATGTCGACGTAACGACAGCTCACGACGTGTCCCCACTGGGTGTCTCAAGAAACCACCGCGGAGGGTTTTCTCTCATCTGTGCTGAACCTAATGAGTAGTACTAATGTATGTTGGTGCCATGCCTCGGACGAACAAACCGGAGGATCTGGTGGATGCTTCGCGGAATGAGGTTACTCCGCCGATCAAGGAAAAGCGCGTTCATAGTGAGCCTCTTCAGACACTCAGGTCTCTCGGTATTACCACGGCACTTCGACTCACAAAGGTTACTGTACGGCATTGCCTAGGCCGGGCCGGAGGATGTAGGTGCTTCGAGGGCAGGTGTGTTCGGCTAACATGAGGAGTCGGCCCGACACTGCCCCCTCATTAGTCATCTCAACGCGCCCCAGACGCGAGCGCGTTCTTTTCGTGCTTTTCCGTGTGCCTTGACGTAATCACAACCATGGAAGGGGCTTTCTCCGTGGAAAACGTTCCATCGTTTTCCAGCACCGCTAGGAAATGTGAAGCGGCATGGCATGGCGAGTTGCGATGTGCGCACTGCAGGTAGGTACCCACGTGGTGATACAAAACTATCGACTCTCCTGATTACAACGTCCATGATCCTCCTCCCAGAAACATAGTCTCGGATAACGGTAGTATATTCAGATGAACGCAGTACGCAACACGATGACTGCTGGTGCAGCGCGTAGACACCTCAGCAATGTCTTCCCTTGGGTCACATCACCCCTTGTTGTCGGAGCGCCGATGCGCGTCATGTCTGGTCCGCATCTAGCACTCTCGGTGTCCAAGGCTGGTGGTTTAGGTTTCATTGGTCCTAGCGCGAAACCTGAAGACACCGCTACCGATCTGAACACATTGCGCAAACTGCTACAGGAGACACAAGGCTCTACTTTTCCAGACGAATTTCAAGCTGGAATGCGATTACCGGTAGGTGTTGGATTCCAGCTCTGGAATGGGGACCTTAATTCAGCAACCAATGCAGTGGAAGAACACCACCCCTGCGCTGCTTGGCTGTTCGCGCCTGGACGAGGGCAGGAAGAGTTGGATGAATGGACGGCTCGCCTCCGAGAGGCATCACCTGGTATACATATCTGGATTCAGGTCGGCACCCTGAAAGAGAGTATAGAAGCTGCGAAGAGCGCCAATCGACCAGACGTACTAGTCATCCAAGGCGCGGAAGCAGGCGGGCATGGAAGAGCCACAGACGGCATGGGCATCATGACGCTCTTCCCCGAAGTCGCCGACAGCATTCGCGATTCCGGTATGTCACTGATAGCTGCTGGAGGCATCGCCGATGGTCGCGGTGTAGCTGCTGCACTTGCTCTGGGAGCACAGGGCGTAGCGATGGGCACTCGTTTTCTCGCATCTACCGAAGCCCGTATCAGCAAAGGCTATCAGAACGAAGTTGTACGCGCTACAGATGGTGCTCAGAGTACCACCAAGACTATGCTGTACAATCATCTAAGGGGTACTGTGGGATGGCCAGAGCAGTACAGCCCGCGCGGTATCACGAATAAGAGCTGGCATGATCACCAAGCGGGTGTTCCGTTTGAGGAACTGAAGAAGCGACATGAAGAGGCTGAGAAGTTGGGGGATGCAGGATGGGGCCCAGAGGGACGACTGGCTACATATGCAGGGGCTGCGGTGGGCCTTGTGCATAGTGTTGAAGATGCTGGAAGTCTGGTCAAGAGACTACAGGAAGAGGCAACAACGATTGTCAAGGGTTTGCACGATAATGTTTAGATTGTCACAACGATATCGCTGATGTGTTGATAAAGCATAAGTACCGCGTTCCTACGTGCTACTTGACTCCAATATCGAGAAAGCCGTCTATCTCTTCAGTCCGATTGAGAGTCCTCTCCAGCTTCTATGGACTGGTGCTCGTAGCGTTCTGGATTCCTGGGTTGGATAAGATGGCCGGAGTGTGTGCGGTGCAGAAGCGGAGCGGGTTTGCTGCGGTCGATGGGATTCCCGTTGAGATAGAGGACAGTCCACGAATTATCAATTTGTGCAATTCTGGAATCATTCCTCTGCTCTGCCATGGATTTTTTTTAACTATCCTGATGCAGAATTGGCCGCTTGCTGTGGTGTAGGGCTGTGAGTCCGCGCAGATTCGGTGCGATCTAAGATTCTGCCAATGACCTCGTTGAACTGTGCGGCTGTTAGCTGCCGTATGAAAGTGGCGCGAGCGTTGCTAAAGGACGGCCAATCACTTGTTTGTATAGCTTCCGTTAGGCTATGAAGTATGTTCAGAGCTGCTGTGATGTCAGACTCATTGAGGGATGGGTTGCCATTGTACGCTCCGCGATAGTATAGACGGAAGCGATAGTGACCATGTTAATCACCTTTGAACCCACGGGATTGATTAGGTTTGCTGCAGCCATTGTATCACATGGTCAATTTCCTGGAAGCAACAAGAATCTGAGTCATCCCCCATTCGAAGGGTGTAGGCACTTGACTGTTTGGATTACAGAACCATCCCTAGTACAACGAACGGTGTAGAGCCCCACCCCCACGACAAACGATGAACCCGCCGCTTGAGCTCAGACCCAAAAACATACAAAATGTTCAAAATCGCGCTATTACAGGTATGCTTGTTACGCTGGAACTACAATCAATATCGGAGGTTCCAGGAGCTGGGACATGTCAATACGATACCCTGGCGTTCCCTCAGTGAAGCACTGCAAATCATCATGCATTCCATAAGTGTCTACCTTCTCCTTGCCTTGTGGCAGCGACGCACATATCAGTATCAGTCCCGCTGCTTCTAGTCAAGCGACAGGTGAACTTGGAGATTTTGCCTTCGCGAGTGGTGTCGCTGAGTTAGGCGCTCTGTCCTACAAGCTCTTTCAGGAGGTTGCTTTTCCGAACGGAACAGAAGAGTTCAGCTTTAGCGAGTCTACCATTTACCGCATCATATCCGACGACTTCACGATTACACCCAAGCCACCTGACAGTTGGGGTCCAGGCGCTGCTGTCGAAGAGCCTCTATCTGCGCTCCCCGATTGGATTAGACCAAAAGGCCAATGGCCAGTGCAGCGTATGGCCAGTGCAGCGTATGGCTGGGCCCACTGACGCATTGCATCTGTACATCTACCTCTCGATCACGATGACTTGGACTAACCGAGAAGCGACCCCGCCCCATTCTGCCAATTTCTCTTTAATGAGTGCAAGAAGCTGGGCGTCGAGTTTGTGTTCGACGCAAACGCAACATCAGTTCAGGCGGCACCACGATCGAAACATTTCACTAGTATTCAGCTCGAGCGACAAGTTGGCGAGCCACTCAATATATCTTGTAGGAGTCTAGTCATAGCAGCAGGACCTTAGTCCCCACGCATCTTCTCGACAATCTTCCCAAACACATCTCTCTAATTACCAATGAACTCCACAGCCTCCGCCGGAAACCACCTCCGCGTCCGCACACCCAACGGGAAGCCAGAGGACGATCAGAAAGGAAGCGAGCAAGTCTTCTTCCAAAGCGCCATCCCGGGTAGACAAGGTCTCGATATCGCCAGTTCCCCCAGAGGTCAGTGGTATGTAGGCGGATGGGCAAATATACCGGAAGAACTCCAGCAACTTGCAAAGGATATGCACGCACAATCGTCTGAGATTGAGAATATGAAGGAGGTTGTGAAGAGGTGTTTTCACGTACCGGAGGATGAAGATTGGGAAATCTTTGCGGAGGGAAGGTGCTATAGGCCGCTTACGACGTTTGAACATCCTATCATGACGAAGGTGGACTGGGATTTGGTCAGTATGGGTGAGAGCTCCCAGGCTATGCCGCTTCTTTCGAAGCAAAAGGGGGATTCAGTGGATGGCCGCTATGAAATTGGTGGTCTGTTTCTGAAAACGGCCCACTTCGATGATGGTATCACATTGTCGCTCGAGAGTGGGAAAGTCATGAGCGAGCTACTGTTGTATTTACCACCTTCAGTTGACGTTTGGGTACTGGGAATGAGCTGAGTACGCTCTGCGGTCTCACTAATGAGGAGAAATAGTCGTCCTCGCACAATAAACATAAGATACAAGTCAAGAGATACCAAGCTCTCAGCACCCGAGCGAGTGAGGCAGTGATCGAAAGCTGGTAAAGTGAAGGCATCCCAACGACTATCAAGCTTTGTGCATACGAAACTGCCTAGAAGCCGAAAATTGAACGATATCTTGACAAGATGTCCGATTTCCAAATCGTCTGCTATTTACTATTGGCGAGGTGACCGGCAGTCCACTGCTCCTTCCCCGTGGGTCGAGCGCCAAGAGTACCTGATCGTCAACAAACGACATGTAAACAATCTCGCCAGATTGACGCGCTCTCGCTTACCATCTTCCATCGCCAGCTCCAAGACCCGGATCAACCATAGAGAGCGCTTCACCGTCTTCAGACGTTTGACGGCAGCATGAACGAGCACGTCGGAACCGAGGGTCTGCTCAAGGCCTTGCAAAAACTAGACGATGCGAGTCGCGGCCATGTCTTGGAACACCAGCCGCTCGGTGTGGTGAAGAATGTCCTCTTACTTCTTCTTCGTGAGCAAGACGGAAATGTTCCATGTAGGTTCAGAAATGCCGCATATGGTAACTCCACTGACCCAGGTTCACTGTGTGTAGTTCTACAAGATCAACAGCTCGCCCGTTCTTCCTTGACCACACATCATACTGTCCCCACCCACGATCCGATTGCTGGCCCCAAGAAGCGGGGTATTTCTGAAATGATCCTGGGTGACTCGAAGCGAGCGAAGATGGATACAACTGTGCAGCAAGACACCAGGGACCTCGCAGCGCATGTGATGATAAAGAAAGAGCCGGGGACGATCGAAATCACTAGCGATAGCGAAGAGCCTAAGTCTGACGACACTGATTACTTCGACACTAAACGGAGACGGCAGCCCAGTGGACCTACCCATACGTTTGCAAGTCCGTACCAGGTCGGGATCCAACTTGGTGAGACAAATAGAGGAACTGTCTGCTCCAGTTCAAGCCGAGCTAAGGCGCCGCTTCAAAGACATGTGGTCTTGCAATAAACAAAGGCTACAAAGATATGCACCTTGTACACTTGAGCCAGCAAAGTACGCGGAAAAGGCGCGTTGCATTCGGAACACGATCGCAAGTAGTGGATGTGACCAAAGCACAATGTATAGCCAAGGTGGCAAGTGCAGGGAGGCCGCAGACAATAGATGCATGAAAGCTCAGCAGTGGTCGGAAGCTTCTTGCTTCGTTGTGTTGACTAGGCATTGAGGACCTGCTGTGGAGGAGTTCACGAGATATGTACCGCCTTCTGGCGATCATGATGGAAGCACATCACCTGACTGAGTCTGATATGTCAAACGACTGGGAAGAGTCAGGATTACAAGGACCATTAAGTAATTGAACTGCACTTACGAATCTTCAAACTGTGACGAGTGTATACCTCGATTCATTCCTTAATCGCCGCCCCAAGATCTCGAAAGTCTGATGTTTCGTTGAGGTAATCAACACTAAGAAGGTACACTGCGAGCGCGTGAGGGCGTCCATGTATATTCCCAATTACCCTCAACGTTTCCCAACTCCGGAAAGTACCATGTATTCCTCGAACACGGTGAAAAGCAGGAACAACACTGCTCGAACCGATGGTCTACTTGGGGATCTGAATACTGACTCCCTGAACGCCGATGCTATGCAATGTGAACAAGTCCCGAATATGACCTTACCCTGGGTATGAGTACAGTGACAGTTTCAATGTCAACATAAGAACGATGAAAGCGTGTCTTTCAAACAGCATCCACAGCCACCCATCCTCCACTCCAGATGCCATCTGTCTTGCAGCCAGTACAACTCGCGTGGTCGCATCCGGTTGGCTTTGTGAAGTCGTACTCCTCCCAGGTAATCTCGTCTGCATTTCCCTCATCCGCCATGACCGTGTCCTCTTCCTTTTTGACTTCGGCCTCTGCAATAGGCATCGCAGCCGCAACCGGTACTTCTATACTCTTCTCAGGCATGTCCTCCGTCTTCACCACCACCACCTCCGTCTTTTCTTCCACTGCATCTTTCCCCCCAACCGCAACCCCAACCTTCTTAAACCTACCCCCCGCCGTCCCCGCTGCAGCATTACCACCACCCCCAATCTTCGTAAACCGACTCCCAACCCCCGGCTTCTTATTCGCGTTCTCCACATCTATACTCCGCATCTCCAGACCCTGTTTTGGCTTGTTGCTCTCGGTGTCGTTGGAAGCTGTGAGCTTCTTCATGTCGGCGAGTCGTTGGCGGTGGTTGTGGTCGTAGGAGCGGAGGTGGTTTTCATAGTCGAGTTGGCGTGGGTAGCCTTTGTCGCAGATTGTGCAGTTGAAGAGGCGGACGGCGGCGGGGAGGGGGTTGTTCCGCTGAGAGGGGGGTTAGTGATGCGTGGGTGAGGATTGGGTTGGGGGAGACGTACTGGAGGCATGGTCGCGACTATGTGGAGCGTGTCACGATGTAGGGATGTGAGCAAGGTGATATATCACCAGTAACAGCGACTCCGTAAACGATTCGTGGGATCGTGTGGTAGCGGGGTCGTGCAGTCGTGAAGTCGCGTAGTCGCGTGTAGTGATAGAACATTTGGTGTTGCGGCTCAACTGCACGCGCCTCGGCTCAGCGTGCAGCGCCCCACTTATATCTTCACCGAATCAACGTCATTCCATGTCTCAGCAACGTAGCATTTCCCGACCTCGCAACACCACGACACAGACCACAAGATGGAGAAGAGTCCGGGCCTACCACCGGTAGAGGATGAAGAGATGGGCGTCATGGGCCTCACCGAAGTCGACCCCTCGCCTGTCGACACACCAGAAGAGTTGAAAGTGAATCAATATTTCCCGGTTCCAGATGAAGAACGGCCTGAGAAAGAGACAGAAGAGATGAGAGGCATAAGGCGGATGAACACACTAGGATTGCGGTTGGGTGATCACGGGCCTGCTTGGTGGCGTACGTCTTCCTCCGACCGTCAAATACAGAGCTGCAATGCTGACACCAGTCCCAGTTCTCCGCATACAAAAGTACTCCTCCTACACCTTCACGGCCTTCGCCGCCCTCCACATAACAAACGTCTCCATAATACCGCTCGCCACCCGCTCCGTCCTAGAATCAAACCGCTACCTCCTGCTCACACGACCATACTACCAATCTGCTCTCACGGAACCCCTCCTCGTTGGCCTCCCGCTCGTCGCACACGTTACATCTGGCATCGCACTACGGCTATGGAGAAGGCGACAAGCGCTGAAGAGATACGGCGCTGAGACACGAACGGATAAGCGCACGATTCCATGGCCAGCATTAAGTGGGACGAGTGCGTTGGGTTATGCTCTGGTGCCTTTTGCTAGTTTCCATATCTGGACTACGAGGATTCTCCCGTTGTATGCGCATGGTGACTCGTCGCTGATTAACCTTCAATACATCTCCCACGGCTTCGCACTGCATCCTGCCGTTTCCTTTACCGGGTTCACAGCGCTGGTAGGAGTCGGGGTGTGGCATTTCGTCTGGGGTGCAGCCAAATGGCTAGGCTTCGCACCGAGTCAAGTCAAGCACACAGAAGAGAACAGAGCATTGATCCGGAAGAGGAGGTGGTACACGATCAACGGCATCAGCGCGGCTCTGACAGCACTATGGCTAGCGGGCGGTCTGGGTGTTGTTGGACGCGACGGCAAGATGGTGGGATGGGTAGGCAAGGAGTACGATGAGCTGTACAAGTATCTTCCCGTTGTAGGGCGATGGGTAGGCCAGTAAGAGGAGAGTGAACTGCGAGTTTTGCATTGTAGTATACCCCCTTGATAGCGCGTCGACAAACGTCTACACTTTCTCGCCGACATCCTCCACTCCACTTTCTCAGTAGTCGATATAAATCCTCCCTTCTAGCGGTCGCAGCACTGATCCCGTCGCCTTCCCATACGAACTCACAAGCAGCTTCAATCCCTTAACATCACACCTCATCACCTGTTCCTCCGTCGTAAAATTCAACATCACAAGCGCCATCTTCCCCTCCCACCTCTTCCGATAAACAAATAGATCTTTCCCTTTCGGATCCACCAACTCAAACGAGCCATACACAAAAACATCTCTATGCTCCTTCCTCAGCCTAAGTACATGCTTGTAAAACGAAAGCACACTCCCCTCATCCCCCTCCTGCGCTGCCGCATTGATAGTCGCATACTCATCATGCACCCTCATCCACGGCTTTCCCGTCGAAAACCCACTGTTGGCACTGTCATCCCATTGGAAGGGTAACCGCGCATGATCCCTAGCCATACGCTGTAAACCCCTCTTTATCCTCTCTTTGCGGGTAGGATCCGTCCCGTTCTCCGCCAGCCTCACGGCTTCGGCCCAGTAGTTCTGGCTTTCGACGTCTTTGTACTCTTTTTCTATGTCCCACGACGCTGGCGCGTTGATCATACCGATTTCTTGGCCTTGATACAGGAATAGACTGCCCGATTGGCCGATGAGCCATAACGCGAGTAGTTTGCCGCTGGCTACCCGCCATTCCGGTGCGTCGTTTGCGAAACGAGAGATGCTGCGTCCATTGTCGTGGTTCTCGTTGAAGACGGTTGTCCAGGCGTCTGTGCCTTCGATGAAACATTGCCATTTTTCTACTATGCGCTTCATGTCTGGTAAGGTCCAGGGAGCGAGGTCGTATTTGTTGTCAGAGCCTGGTGGTCCTTGGCCGAGATGTGTAATGTCGAATTGGAATACCATGTCTAGTTCTTTTTGTGCGGCGCTGATGTAGGGGAGGACGGAGGAGGGGTCTGGACAGAGGGAGAGTTCGCCAACTGTTACGACGGGTTGGTTGTCGTAGGTGCGGTAGTGGGAAAGGACGGTGCGGTTCATTTCCTTGATGAAATCGTGGATTCGTGGGCCGTTGCACCACTTTTGGGCGGCGGGTTGGATGTGGCTGGTTGGATCGGTGATGGGTGCGTCGGTGAAAGGGAGGACTTTGGAGTACTTATTCACGGTGTCTACGCGGAAGCCATCGATGCCTTTGTTGAGCCAGAAGCGCATTGCTGAGTCGTATATCGCTTGCCGACAATCTTCGTTTTCCCAGTTTAGATCTGGTTGAGACTTATCATAGAGGTGGAGGTAGTACTCTTCTGTATGCTTATCCCACGTCCAGGTTCCACCAGCGAAGTATGAACGGTAGTTAGTGGGCGGCATGCGGTTCCCTTGCTCGTCGTAGCGTGCTGGTTCCCAGAAGTACCAGTTCCTTTTTGGGTTATCTTTCGAGCTCCGACTTTCCTTGAACCAAGCGTGCTGATCACTCGTATGGTTTACAACCAGGTCGAGGATAAGCTTCATATCGTTATCGTGGCAGGCTTTGATGAGTTTCTCCACATCCTTGACAGTGCCGTACGGTGCATATACGCCTTCATAATCGGATACATCATAGCCCTGAGACATTGACGCACGAGGTTAGCGACGGTCTATATGTATCTCGTATATCATGTGCTTCTTACCATATCGATCTGCGGTGAGTCGAACATGGGCGACAGCCATACCACATCTACTCCGAGGGACGCGATGTAGCTGATCTTTTCAAGTATACCTGGGATATCTCCCCACCCGTCACCATCGCTATCCTTGAAAGATGCCGGGTAGATTTGGTAGAATGACGCTTCCTTCCACCAGACGTGTTTGTGGTAAGAGAGGTCCACATGTGGTGACATGGTAGTCGACGGATAGACTATGTGCACTGAACTTCAAGTATCTTTGACTTTACAAGTTGGTGAATGCAGACAGGTTATGAGCAGATATGACCCACGGGGTCGATGCGAAGTTGCTAATGGAAGCTAGGCAGTATCAAGATGATGACCGCTTGGGGCATGAGTTGGATGATGGAGGAGGAAAGTTGGACATTCCAGGCTCCAGAATTCTGCACTTTGGCCTGTACTCCATCCGAACGATCATCTTCATGCACCCCATCGTGATAATCTCTATGATTGGTGGTTATACTGGCCGGTCGTAAACGGTTGGCACCCTGACGCGAGTCAAGCTAGCCCCGCAATGTGGCGCGTCCGTGTTACTTCCGCATTGCTTCCGCATCGCCTCCGCCTTGGCTCCGTGAAATTCCATCGCTTCGCCGCACCACCATAGGCCCTCCGCGTTGCTTCCGATCATCTGGCAAGAAGGAACTCGTGTGCACGAAGAGAGTGGCGTCCTCTAGTGCCGTTTGAGTAATATTGAGCGTAGTATGAGCGGTTTTCGTACCGAAGCTGGGGCACCATGGGGAGGTCCGAGTAGCTGGGCTCGCTAACCCGCATCAAAGGCAACCCTGCCATGACTACAATCATCTCTGTTCGTAGATGGTTATAAAGCCGACACGGGTCCTCATGAACATGGCATCGATTCCAGTCGCTTCCACCCGAGCTGCTACTCATTGCGACGATGACAGACAAGGACTTTCAGCAACCTACGGCGACGCAGCTCGCAGCGCCTAATGAAGAGGCGCAACATGCTGCTGACGATGAGAAGTCCATGAGCCTCATTCAAGCGATCAAACTCTACCCAAAAGCTGTCGGTTGGTCTGTCGTTCTATCGAGTGCTCTGATAATGGAGGGTTACGACCTTGCATTGTTGGGGAGCTTGTATGGAAGCCCTCAGTTCAATCGCAAATACGGAGTCTTCAACGCCGCTACGGGCAAATACGGTGTTCAAGCCAGTTGGCAGAGTGCTTTGTAAGTATTGAGAATGTTATTCAGAATCTTGCGTCGTGTCTGATCGCATTAGATCTAACGGAGCGCGAGCTGGCGAGGTCATCGGTCTAGTCATCAATGGCTTTGTCAGTGAGCGGTACGGGTATCGGAAGACCATGATAGGCGCCCTGATATCGATGACTGCTTTCATCTTTATCCTCTTCTTTGCACCCAATGTTCAGACATTGGTCATCGGCGAAGTCTTCTGCGGCATACCCTGGGGCATGTTTCAGACCCTCACAACGCAGTACGCATCAGAAGTTGCGCCTGTACGCTTGAGGCCGATCCTGACCACGTTCGTTAACATGTAAGTACCTGCGGTGGCCTTCTCAAAGATTGAATGCTGATACTCGACCAGGTGCTGGGTGATGGGACAGTTCATTGCTGCAGGTGTCAACCGCGGCTGCGTTCAACGTCCAGACCAATGGGCGTATCGTATTCCCTTCGCTGTGCAATGGGTCTGGCCCATACCAATCATGGTCGGAGTCTTTCTCGCACCTGAGAGCCCTTGGTGGCATGTCCGCAGAGGCGACAAGGCAGGTGCCAAAGCTGCATTGCTTCGCCTAACCTCGCCGGACAAGGACCCAAACTTCAATGCCGACGAGACGATTGCCATGATTGAGCATACCAACGAAATGGAGAAGAACATGTCAGAAGGGACTCGATGGACGGACCTGTTCAAGGGAACAGATCTCCGACGAACAGAGATCGTATGCTTCACCTGGATTGCTCAGACGATCTGCGGGACCAACATCATGGGCTACTTGTCAGTATAGGACCTGATCTCAGTAAGCAGTCTGAGCTAATATCAAGCAGTGCATACTTCATGCAAAAGGCAGGCCTTCCGACCGTACAATCTTTCAACATGTCGATGATCTCACTCGCCCTTGGCCTAGTCGGTACTGCTGGCTCGTGGTACCTCATGCAGAAGTTCGGTCGACGAACGATCCATTTCTCCGGCGGCTGCACACTCTTCATCATTCTGATCATCGTCGGATCATGCTCCTTTGCGGGTACGCAGGCCTCTAACTGGGCTATTGGAGCAGTGTTGATTCTCTTCGTCTTCGTTTACGACTTCACGATCGGTCCAGTGACGTACTCAATCGTATCAGAGATGTCGTCCACAAGGTTGAAAGCAAAGACGATCGTTCTTGCCCGAGCGCTATACAATATCTCCAATATCGTTGTCAACGTGTTGACGAACTACCAGCTTGGAGATGCCAACTGGGCCTGGGGTGCGAAGACAGCATTCTTCTGGGCTGGTACTTGCGGCTGCGTTGTGGTATGGGTGTACTTTAGGCTTCCGGAACCGAAGGGTCGGACGTATGGTGAGCTCGATATGCTGTTCGAGCAGAGGGTCAGCGCAAGGAAGTTTGCTAGCACGCAGGTCGATCCGTACGGGCATGGGCGTGTCGCCGATGAGAAGGCTGCCGTGGGTCCGGAATGGAAGGAGTAAGGCTAGCCACAGCTGCGGAGCGGGTGAAATAGTTTTACGCGTCTCGAAAGCTGACGATCCATGTTCACAATTGTTGTTCGTGTTAATCATGTCCTTCCTTCTCCGTGACGCGCACCTGCTTGATGGTTAGTGTGTTGATATGACGTAAGCAGCCTCGGCTATCACGCGACGCGTCTGAACAGCCCACTGGCGACCAGCCATTCCTCACCACGCCTCCTAACATCTCTGATCAGGATCATGAACTCCGCGTAGACACTCGAACTTGATGCAGAACAACACGCCTAGAACGCTTTTCCGGAAACCTGTTGCAAAAGCATGTGACCCGTGTCGCCGCCGCAAAACCAAGTGCAATGGTTCGCAACCTTGCGCAGGATGTTTATCGGCAAAAATAGCGTGCACTTTCAGTGCACCGCGAGGTCAAGGAGGTCGCAAAGGCTCCAAGGCAAACGTACTCAGCGAATTGAGAGCGACTTCCCAGAGTGACACCGACGCCTTCGACCCACAAGATCCTTTCCCAACTGCGGCCGTCGCCATCGCTGTAAAAGTTACGCGAGATGTCTTCACAACTTTGATCGATATCTACGAGGAGCGCGTACACAGGATAGTATCTCTTATACCGGGCGACAGGTTGCGAGAAGAATTTGTACGGATGCAAACTTCGCCGACATCTCAACAGCTCATATTTGCCTTTTGCGCATACATGGCAAAGTTTGCGGATTACTCCACTGAAACCAATCGGGGATCTACACAGTCTTCACAGATGAACCCAGAAACCTACTACTTAGAACATACCTTGCTCTCCCTGCAGCGAGACAGGGTTACGCAGCTTGACCATCGATCAGTCTACACATCCTTCTTTCTGTACGGAGCTTATGCTGGCAGAGGAGACTATCGCCAAGCATGGTTCTACTTGAGAGAGGCAACGACCCTGTTCCTGATGCTCAAAGACGAGGACAGGGATTGGTTTGATATGAAAACAAGAACACGGCTATTTTGGATACTGGTCGTCTCGGAAAGGTACGCTAGAACCTCTCCATTTTCCTCACGTCGCCTTCGCTACCTGCATGCCTCATAGCTCATCATGTACATTTCTGACTTCATCGCATTCTTTCTGTGTCTTCCTTGCTCGTTCGGCTCCAAACGTGAGCAGGGATAGAGACGCTTAGTAGTAACTAAGTGTATCATAATTGAAGCATATCGCTTACCTTCTGTAAGAGCGCATGGCGTTCGTAGGAACCGGCCCATTACGCTACCCGTCACGTCTTCAAGCTTTCCACTTGATGGATATGCAGACCTTGGCTTGCGCCACCTTACATCAGTCTTCCGACCCCTCGATGAAGCCTTCTTCGCAGTGTGGAACGGTTCTGCGCAAAATTGCAGCAAAGAGTGGCTGCTCCAGCTTGAGAACGATGTTCGCACTGCGCTACCCACTGATCTCGAACTGTCGAACGAAGAGATTGCAAACGTTCGTATATCGCAGTTCTGGCTACAGATCAAGCTGTGGGAGTTGTTCCCCCGCTTCGGCTATCTCTCTACAGAATCTGTTTATGATTGCTTAACATTCAGATATCCCATCTTGGTGGGCAAAGACCTGACCATTCTCTCGATGAAGCTACCTATTCAGAGTCTGCAGATACATGGCGTCGGCATGGTACGTCATTCGGCCGCAGGCTTATCCCGTTGCTAACGACATTAGACGGAAAAAGTATTTGACATAGCCTGCGCTTTAGCGGACGTTCTTCATTTCGTGCCTCGCTCTGCATCACATGCGGAACTCAGCCCGCCAGATTACTTGACTCAATTGATGCTGTTGATCGCAAAGTTGCCGGGCGGCTCATCGAAGTTCATGCCTTTGCTGCTAGCCAAAGTCAATGAACTACTTCCGGATCTGCTGGAGCACGTATGTGAAGCGATTCAGATGCCCATCCCCACTAATCGCAACCCAATGAGCCCAGACACACGGTTCATATATGAAGAAGAAGTCGGCAGAGGCCTCCAGGCAGATTTGAGGAGAACACTGTAGCGGGGAGGAAGAAAGATGCATTCGAAGACTGCAATCAGGACGAGCCAGACTGGGTCTCACAAATATATCTAGTTATAGGACTTCAGACACAACACCAAAGTACTATCCCATCCGCCGATCTACATAACGAGTACCGACCGGTCTGGACTACCCAACGACCAGCGCTAGGACAGCTCGCCGTCGACAACACTCAAACCCAACCCAAACAAAACAAGAAATCCCGACCATCTCAACGACCAGCGCTCATGCGAACGTCGGCCTCAGTGCCCGCCGACGAGGGATCGCGCCCTCGATGCCTCCATCGATCACCGTCTCCAGCCCACCACCAGGGCCACACACGAAGATGAGCTCGCTGCTCAGGCGATTGTATCTTGTGTCACTCTTGGACACCACTGTGGCCTCTGGCTGCTTGTACAACTAGGGAAGACGCTCGCCCGGGTGGTCCTGTATGTACGCGAAAGCCCGCTCCAGTTTTGTGGTCTCACTCTCGTGAGTGGCGAACCAGCAGGCAAGCGGAACAGCAACGGCGACGAAAACGGCGACGAACGACCAGAAAAGCGCGGCGCGAAGGAATTGCCAAACGAGATCGATCTCGTATGTCTTTCGGCGGCGGAAGGTTTCGTGCCAGTCTGTGAAGCCTGACCCAGGCACGTCTGGGTCGAATTGGCATTGGTCGAAGAAGAGGTCGAGGAGACGGCGGAAGGCGTTTTCCCAAAATGGGTCGTTTAGGCCTGCCAGCAGGCCAAACGACACCATCGTGTAGGTGTTGTGGGCTTGTCGGAAGGAGACCGACAAAGAGAGTCGGCGGATGAGCATGTGGCCTAGGGCCCAAGAGAAGAGGGTGCCGATGGCGATGCGAAGCTCATTTGAGCTCGCGGTGAAGATGGTGATGAGCACCAGGCTCAGGAAGATGCGCAGCTTGTTCTGCGGGGACAGCATTGTTGCTGTTGTGGTGGTGATGATGATGATGATGATGGTGATGATGGTGGGAAGAGGGAACTTGGAAATGTCTTGAAATTGAGCAGGTGCGGTATTTGCTAAAGAGCAAGAGTTGGAGATGGACGAGCTATTTATATAGTACTGGCTTCTGTGCGAAGATGAGATGGTTGACAATACCTACTATTGTGACAATAGGTACGTTGCTGTCTTCACTTCCACTCCCTACAATACCAACTGAACGATAGCGGACTTATACGTATCCCGTCTTCACCCAGGAACGCCAACAAAGATCACAATAACAAGAAGCTGACAGAAGACAGGGATCCAGTTGTACCTCGCCTTCACCTTCACCCAGCTCCACATAGACCCTAGATATATATATCTGCGCCGCTTATACCTCTACACATACCCATGTATACCCCAGCCCTCATTATCTCCCACACCACCACCCCTTAATCCCCGTCGTATACCCCAACCACCCTCCTAATAATCATTGTACCTCCTCTTCGACATCACACTAACCCTCGATACCCGCTTATCCGCCTCATTCAACCCCTCCGCCTGAACAAATAACCTATTATGCACTATCCAATCTTCAAACTCCTGCTCCCTCTTCTGTTCATCTGGATCAATCCAATCACCCATCTCACTCGCACTCCCTTTCATGGTGGTATCGGTGTCGCTCATCCTGTTCATGTTCACAACACCTTCGCGCGATTGTGAGACCGAGGAGCCGGATTGCTCACGCCAGTGATGCGGGAGCGGACTCCTTCCTCTTCCGTCGTCCGTGGCGGCATCGACGTCATTGGGGTTGAGTCTACGTATCTGGCTTTTCTTGTACTCGTGCGCTGTCTCCGCGAGGGCTTTTGCACTGACACCGGTGCAGTTTTTACTTCTCCAGTTCCGCGGCAGAGTGTATGAGACGGCTGAGCGCATGCCGCCTGGCTTGCGGCGGAGGGAGCCGCCTACGTGGCTGAGCCAGGTTTTGGGGCTGGTGTCTTGGTTCTGGGTTGAGGCTGCGTCGGCGGGTGGGGGTGTGGCGAAGGGGGATCTACGGGGTAGCTCTTCTCCGCTGGGACATTGCATTAGGTGGTAGGAGTGGTCTATGAGTGTAGGCTCTACGCCGTTGGGGAGTTGCTCGTATGTGGACATGCCGATGCTTACGCCGCGTTTGCGGCGAAAGGAGATGAATCGCGTGGGGCCTGTGAAGGGGAGGTGCTGGGTTGGAGAAGGTGTCGTGGGTTCGACATGTGCCTGGTTGGTGTTGGCTTTGAGCTGTTCATTCCGCTGTGCGGTCTGACGGACTGCCTTCTTCTTGTCTTTACGTTCTTGGTGGCGCTTTCGAATCTGTTGTTTTGTTAGTAACTGGCCTTCTTCGACAGCGATACGAGGGCTTCTATCGACAGTAGACCTAGCACAAATGTAAAAAAGGTCTTTGGATGCTGGCTAGCCAAGTACGTTACTTACCGTACTGATCAAACTCATCTTGAGCATACTGGGCAAACGCCTCACGGTGTTCTGGCTGTTGAAGATCAAGAATGAGTTTGGAGAGGAGAGCAGCGCATGTTCCTGAGTACAGCTGTCAAGTGTAACATCAGGGTATTCATCGACGGCTTGTAAAGTTCGGTACCGTGAGTGGGGATACCGCTAACCAGAGGGTGTGGGTGATCGAGGGTCTATGGACATGTCATGTTTTCCACCTCAACGAAATGTAAGCATGGTCGAGATGTATTTTTGAGGGTTCGATTACTTTTACTTCGGGAGTATACTTCAATGGTGACCATGTAACTCTCTGCACAGTCTGCATATCATCGCATCTCAGCGCTTCCGCGGCTTATAATGTACAGCCCAAACTCATTCTGTCCTGGTAAACTACCAATAACGCTCTTCAGGAAGTACTTTCCTTGATACTTCACGGCTTTGCCTGTCCACAAGGTAGCCCACGGCCACGACCAACACCGCCGAGACCACGAACGCCACCACGGAAAGAGAAACTACCGCGACAACCGCGACCAGCAGGAGAAGGAGCAAGACTCATATGAGCGACTTGCGGTTCCTGGAACGACACACGATCTGACGCCTCGTCCCGACTCGTAGCTTTGAGGTCAATCCTCGCTATCCTGGCGATGAGCTTAAGATTTGCGATCTGCTCCTTGAACTCGTTTTTCTCTTTCTCGTATGTGTCCTTTATCTATTTGTACCGGCTCACTCTTCTAGCTGCTCCGTCTGCTACTGCGTCCCTGTAAGATTGTCGAAGTTTGCGAAGAAGGTTATCCTCTTCCGTACGAAACTTTGTCAGGGAGACATGGATGTCGGACTTCTCAGGCGTGGCGTCCATGGTTTTGTTTCTCTCAATACATATATGGATTTGATCATTGAGATGATTGCAAATGATGTTCCTAGTCTTTATCTCCGCTTGGAACGCGGCTTTCGCTTGCCCGACCCCCCTCTTCTCTTTGCGATCATTGGTGATCATAGCTCGCTCGCAGCTGGAGATAGCGTCTTTGATGACCTTCGTAAGATGAACTCTCTGCTCCGCCGTGAAGTTCGCCGCTGTCGTGCTCATATCCTCCTACGCATCAAGGTCAGTTCAACGTTCGTCAAGAGATCCGACATAACTCTACGCACGAGTTGTACCTTCTCCATAAGATCGCTCAATGCGTCGCTACGATTGTAGCATTCCCTGAGCATCCCATCAAGGACAGAGGTCATGCCCCCCTTCACTTCCTCGATCGTGGCCATTTCAATGGCGTTGCCTTGCTTCAGGCCTTTGATAATCGCGTCGGACGACATGGTGGGTTAGCGTGACCGTCGCGGGCGACACCGCAGTATTCGTTTCAGTTGGTGTTGTGGTCGCGTTGTGGCGTTGAGAGCCAGAGAGCCTTCCAGAAAGAGCAGGAGCGACTAGCGCGAAATCGCTAGGCCATCGGTGAAGGTGAACGTGAAAAAAGTGACTGACGATTTCTGCGTTCTGGACTTGAAGGGCTCCGGTAATTTCCCAGATGCTATCTTATGCTATGTACCCTCATCAGGATATGAGAATTCGCTGCGTCCAGTCTTTCGTCCTTACGGCCAGGTCCGTCGCTACCGTGTCGAGCACACCCCCATCCATCTTAATCCTCAAGAGAGATTCCCAGCATTGAGACGAGGCGCTCCAGACTGTCCTCCCGTATGTCCAGGCATTCCTCAATACTATCATATGATTTTGTAGCAAATTCGGCCCGCTTTTCATAATGCTCTTTGCCAGAACCTAACTCTGAAACGACGAATTCGCGAAATGCCGCAATGTGTTTGCACTCTTCGGTTACCCCAGAGAATAGACTGAAGTAACTTACTGAAGCGGCAAGAACTGCTGCTAGGCCTTTGATTGACTGAGCCCTCTCATCGAGCATTTTTGACCGTTCCGTTAGGAGAGTAAGGCTCTTCAATCGGAGACCTATATCAGCATGCCGACGATCAATCGCATCGGTAGTCTCTTGCTTGAGTCGGGCTAGATTAAGCGACCTCTCGGCTTTACAGCGGCGGATAGCTGCCTTGATGATGACTTTGATTTGACGACGCTGGTCCACGGAGATATTCATAGCTGTAGAGGTAGCGGCCGAAGCGCCCTAAACCCAGAAGTCAGTCACTGTTTCAAGTCTGAAGAGAGATCAACAAACAGGTGAGTTTCTCAGCTCACCCATCAAACCACTGCGGTTGTTCAGACCCGCCAATGCTGCACTGTTGTCGATCTGAGTGTGAAACGACGTGGTAATTGGAGGTGCACGCGCTGCGGTCTGAGAGTAAGATGCCGGAGCAGGCGACCTGACAGCTGCCGACAGACCAGTAGCTCGACTTTCCTGCTCAGCGACTCTTCGCTCAAGCGCCGTCTTCTCCGCCATATCAATCCAGCCTTCAATCAACTTCATGAATGCCCTCCGCTGCCTCAGATACACCTCTTTAGCTTTGGCCAGTCCCTCAACCTGCGCAGCTCTCATATCCACCTTCCCCATCTTGACCGCCCTGAACGTATCCGCGTTGAGCACTCGCTCATGCGCATGTTCCGCAAGCAGCGCATTATGAACTGGGTTGACGACCTGGTTCGTAGGCAAGCCGATGCAGAGCGCTTTTCTCTTTTCGAAGGCGGCTTCTTGGGCTTTGGCTCTGGCGTGCTGTTCATCTAGGGAGAGTTTCTGGGCGTCGAATGCGGTGTTGATGGTCCCGATGGCGTCTTGATACTCGGAGTAGCTGGTCTGAATGGCTTGGATGCAGAAGTTGATGTTGTCGCGGATGGGCTTTGGGAGGTGTGCATAGGTTTCTGCTGTTGGGGTTGTGAACATGTTGTAGCTCTCCTAGAATCTCAACATCAGCCCCAGTCTTGTGTGTTTTTCAGTGCTGACATGTGTCTCATACCTCTTCGCCTTCCAGGTCATCTGGTACTTTGTCACTGTCGTGCTCCTCGTCTGGCATTGCGATGGCACTCGTCAGTGCAGGCATCGTTGCGCTCTTGCGAAGTTCGTGACTAATGTCGCACTGCTATGTGCAGGTGTGGCGCGCGGTCGAGAGATTGCAGAGTTGCAAGTTGCTTCTAGAAGTAGAAGGAGCCCACTAGCGCGAGACGCGGGTTCATCGATGAAAGTGAAGATGAAAGACAGCAGCCTCATCGTTTCCGGCATAGCCAGCGCGCAGCCAGCTGCATCTTTCCCTCTTTGCTAACAGTAGCAGTTATGCTGGTGCATGTCGATCGGAGCAAATGAACCTGTCTGTTCATGGTCCTGGGCATATGCGCACTGCAATCTGAGCAGCGTAGCGGCCTGACCGTAGCTGCGGAGCATCGCAGACATGTTCACCTCTTTCTCCTAGAGATCTTGGTTGGGAGCAACTCATCCCGCTCAAGCATAGAGTTGAGTAAGCGAGCGTGGTATAGAAAGGAAGGGAGGAAGTAAAGTGAGATTTCAATGAAGAAGTAGATATATGAAAAACCTGAAGCAGGCATACAACACTCCCAGCTTCGAGATGAGAGAACTCTAGATGCTCGCCGCCAAAGAGAAGCGGTGAGATACTGATATCGTAAGCCTTAGAAACAGCATGTGATAGAAAAATACGAGAACAATCGAACTGAGATGGAAACAACGACGGCTTGACCACGTCAGCCGAAGACCTCTCATCCACTTACCTCGCAAAGCTACATCCAGTCACTGCTTCCAGACTTCGTATGTCTCAAAGTCGTTAGATAGAGTTGCAATAGGAATACTTGTACATGCAATCGAAAATGCTCTAACCCAGCACCTACGTGTCTACCTCAACCGAAAATGGCCATCTGAATCATACAAAGTCTCATTCCAGTCCAGCACCAAACATAAACCCTCATTTCCCTACGCAATGCACCGATCGAGTACAAAAACGCTGGAATAGCTGCGTCACCGAACTCCTGTCCTTACAGTCCGGATCTATACGCGGAGAAGCTTGGCGGCATAATCCACAATCAAGCTCTCACTGGGGAAGCTCATCTCCTCCAACTTCTGGGCATACGGCGTGGGCACCTCAGCACCGGTAACACGCGCAGGAGGCGCCTCCAAGTAGTCGAAGGCGTACTCGCAAGTGAGCGCCATAATCTCAGACGCAACACCGAATGAGGGGAAACCAGATTCTACGCAGAGCATGTGGCCGGTCTTCTTGACGGACTTGACAATGGCTTCGACGTCGAGGGGCTTGATGGAGCGCAGGTTGATGACTTCGGCTTCGACGCCGTACTTGGACTTGAGTTGTTCGGCGGCGACGAGGGATTGGCCGACGCAGCGGGAGAGGGTGACGATGGTGAGGTCCTTGCCGGGGCGCTCGATCTTGGCCTTTCCAAACTATAAGGGGAGTCAGTTTGTGGGTGTGGTGAGGATGTTGGTGGGGGTGTCTTACGGGAATGACAAAGTCGTCTCTCTGGGCCTCCTCGCTCATGGGGAAGGAAAGACCGTACAGAAGTCTGGGATCGTTAGTACGAGGTCTTCCATCTAGTGTCTGTTGTGACCTACTCGTTCTCGAGAACCACGACCGGGTTAGGGTCGCGGATAGCAGCCTTCAACAGACCCTTGGCGTCCTCGGCGCTGTATGGCGAAACGACCTTCAATCCAGGAATGCTTCCGTACCACGCAGTGTAATCTTGCGAATGCTGTGCAGCGACACCGGAAGCGAAACCGTTGGGGCCACGGAAGGTGATGTTGCAGGGCTGGATACCACCGGACATGTAGTGGGTCTTTGCGGCGGAGTTGATAATCTGGTCAATGGCCTGCATGGCGAAGTTGAAGGTCATGAACTCGCACTGTCGTCGCTGTCAGCTTTGCTTTTTCAGACGTGGAGACTGGGAAACTCACAATGGGGTGGAGACCAGCGAGCGCAGCACCGACGGTCAGACCGGCGAAACCTGACTCTGTGATGGGAGAGTCGATTACCCTCTTCTCACCGAAGCGGTCGAGCAGGCCCTTTGTGACCTTGTAACTGTGGGCTCAGTCAGCACCGTCCATTGATGTCTCGTGGTGTATAGCCTGCGATGCATGTTCTGTCCAATTGAACCCTCCTCTTTCTTATCGCAGACATGACATCTTTCATGTTTGTGGTGGGACGTACGCTCCGTTGTATTGCGCGACTTCCTCTCCGAGCACGAAAACCTTGTCGTTGCGCTCCATCTCCTCGGCCATGGCCTCGTTGAGCGCCTCTCGCACTGTCATCTCCTTCTGGCCCGACGCATATCCTCTCCTCGCAATTGACGGTGTGATGGCTGCGGCGCGGAAAGCTGGTCGGAAGGCGGGCGCTGGCCGCGACGCCGACACGAGGCGGGAGGTGGGTCGGAGGAGCCTTGAAGCAGCCATTGTGGGGTGGGTGTGAGGGTGAAGGTGTGGTGTGGAAGTGCCGTGGGCGAGTGATGGCCGCTGAGGCTTGTGGTGGTTGCTGGGGCTTGCTGGACAATTTCTTGATGCGAAGATCCGAGTCGTTGGGGCCGGCGCTAGCGATCAAAGCTCTTGAGCAGGGACCACACTATAGCGAGAACACCCGACGTGCGGATGGTCCCTGGATTGTCCGCCTCAACAACGTCGTCCGATATCACTCCCAGCGGCCTTGTGCATCTTAAGAGTATCTTTCACTGGCAGAGATGGAGTAGTCACTTGCTACTTGCAGTATAATGGTCAAAATATTCAGATGAGGATTACTTCTATTCTCTATAGCACCACATTTCGCGTTACCATGACCGTCCCTAGCCGTGCCCTACTTCCAAATATTACAGTATATATGCGCGTCTCCAATGCGCGTGATGCAAATGCCAGGAGATGATGCTCCTATATCGAAGGAATAGCTCGCAGACCCACGAGATTTTAGATGCGAAGAGAAGTCTAATGCAAAGGGAAGCGAGAATCGAAGGCTTATGCGTCGGCCGGTTTCCTTCCGACCATGAGATACATGGGCGTGAAGAGCTTCTCCTTGCCACCAGCGACAAGGCAGTCTGCTGCAAGAGCAAGACTGTCGGCAGTCTTCTGGGTACCCCTGGGGGCGAGACCGATCATCTCAAGACCACCGACGAACTTGTGGATGAGGCCACGTCCGACCTTGGTCATGCGAAGGATGGTGGGAATGTCGCCAATGGTGCTGATGTACTTCAGCTGACCGGACAGAGGCCAGTACCATGGGTAAGGGTCGTCCCTGTCTGCCAGATCCTCGTTGTGCTCCATGACGAAGCCGGCCTTCTTCATGGCATCGAGCGCAACCTCAATCTTCTCCATGTTCGAGATACCGTCACCAATCTCGATTCCGAGACGGATCTCGCGGTGGTGGGGGTTGTCGTTGTCGTACTTGTCGGTCATGAGCCATTCGTAGACACCAAAGACACCGCCGGGCTTGAGAACGCGGAAGATCTCGCTGTAGATGCCCTCGAGCGATGGTGCGTGGACAGTGGCCTCGATGGCGTAGACGGCATCGAAAGAGTTGTCGGGGAAAGACATTTGCTACCACGAGTTAGTGAGGGGTACTCGGGATGTGAGGATATATCATACCATGAAGTCACCCTTGGTGAACTTGAGCTTGTCCGAGAGACCCTCCTTCTCGGCGTAGGCAGTGGCACGCTCAATCTGGTAGTCGTTGTTGTTCAATCCAACGACGTTGACACCAGCGAACTTGACAATCTCGCGGGCGGGTCCACCCACACCACAGCCAACATCCAACACGCGCATGTTGTCCTGGAGGTTCATCTTGTGGGCAAGGTAGTGCTCGTGGCGGGCAATGGCCTTGTAGAAGGACTCGCCATATGCGTAGCGGGCAAAGTGGAAAGACTGTCCCCAACCGTACTCGTACAGGTCGGTTGCGAGGTTGTAGTAGTGTCTTGTGAGCGTGGCGTATTCGTCTCGTCGTTCCTGGGTTTGTTAGTAAACACGGTATGTAACAATGCCACATATGCGTACTTTGCGGGTCTCCTCAGTCTCGTCGCCAGCGGCCTTGTTGTCCCAATGCTTGAAGTACTCGTCGACAGCGGCTTGCTGGGCAGCCTTGTCCTTTTGCAACATAGCAGTCATGCCACCGCGAGCCTTTGCAGACTTGCCGTGCATGGCTTTGTTGAACTCGGCATCGCGAGTATGGTCTTCCTTTTCGAGCGCAGCGGGAGACATGATGGATATTAAGAGTGATATAAAGTTATGCGGGGAGTGAAGTGAATGAAACGGATAGTAGAATAAACAATTCGAAGAGGACAGGACCCTGAAACTTTATAAAGACGACCCTGGAGTGGAAAGAGCGGTATGGGTAGGAGATTGGGACTTGAATTTCTTAGGGGGTAACTGGCGTCGCCCAATCACGACCGACTCTGTACGCGGCCCTGGTCAACAGCGCTAGCGGTCGGTCGTCGCCACCCGAACGCGTGAAAGCCAAGACCGTAAGAGCCGTATAGTGTAGTGCCTAGATTTCTACTACCGTCACTCCCATACCATCTGTCGCAACAACCACCGCGCCCCACTACCACGTACTCGACGACCCCGGATTCGCTCGGTGAAGTCGCGAGATTACATCTAAGACTCAGCCACTACCATTCATCATATACCCTCACATCAGGCCTCACCATGCCGCCGCAAATCAAGAGCGACCTGAACCGTACGTCATGTTCTTTCTTCACTGCGCGTAGCCTATGCTAACTTTTCTAGGATCGGGCTGGGAGACGACTGACTTCCCCTCCGTCTGCGAGAAATGCTTGCCTGACAGCACCTATGTGCAGATGCTGAAGGAGGACTACGGCGCTGAATGCAAGATCTGCACGCGACCCTTCACCATCTTTCGCTGGAAGGCCGACCGCACCGCGCGACAAAAGCGAACCAACATCTGTCTCACATGCGCCCGCCTCAAGAACTGCTGCCAGCACTGCATGCTCGATTTGTCATTCGGTCTGCCCATCGTAGTCCGTGATGCTGCGCTGAAGATGGTGGCGCCCGGCCCACAGAGCGACATCAACCGACAGTACTATGCGCAGGAGCACGAGAGAGAGATTGAGGAAGGACGTGGAGCGATGGAGGCATACGAGAAGACGGATGAGAAGGCGCGCGATCTGCTCAAGCGTTTGGCGCAGAGCGAGCCCTACTACAAGAAGCAGCGACGGATAGAGGCTGAGGAGGGCGAGAGTGGGCAAAAGGCGTTACCCGCGCTTGGTGGAGGTGGCGCAGCGGGCGAGAGCAGTCACGTCCCCGGACCGATCAGAACGCGAGATTCACGAGGTACACCTGCGCGAGGAGGCATGAGGCCTGGAAGAGGAGGTCGCATGGGTGGCGCATCCGCAGAGCCAAACCCGCAAGACTGGCTACCACCTTCGGACCCCAACGTCGCATCACTTTTTGTCACTGGTGTGGAAGACGACCTTCCCGAACACGAGCTCCGCAAACACTTTTCACAATACGGACAACTCCGGTCGCTGGTGTGCTCACATCGAGCGCATTGCGCATACGTCAACTTCGTCAAGCGAGAAGATGCCGAGACAGCAGCGGGTACGCTAAAGGGCAAGGTAGTTATCAAGGGCTGCCCTATGCGCGTCACATGGGGCAAGCCGAAGCAGCTGGACAGCTTGGATCAGAACGTCAGGATGCAATACGCAAAGGAGGGAAGACAAGTCGCTGGCTCATCACGACGGGCAGCTGCTTCTCAAGCTGCTATTGAGGCTGCACCACAGAACAGTCTCGATAGCATGGTCGTTGCACCTCCACCAGGTGCAGACGACGACGTTCAGTACGCCAGTTTGGCCGGAAACTAGGTCTGCATTTCTTGCATCGGGTCGGCGTTTGAACTATATGGGTATCATGATTCATTCGATGTGCATAAAAGCCTAGGAGGAACAGCATTTTGTGCCTCCCAATGTACTCTTTCCTTTTCCCTTTTTGATATCTTCGTTGTCGCCTCGCTCGGTGTGCTCGTGTATCCGCAGTTCTGCCTGCATTAGCCATGCACTTCCAATTCCATCCATAGGAATCATACTGTAGCTCTCGCCTTCTGTGTCCGCTGCTTGTCCTTGAACCACGTTTTCCCGTAGGAACTTGGCCACTTCCTCGGCATGTACTAACGACGATTGCAACTCCTCGCTTCCGATTCGCAGGTCGCGGTTCGCTTCGAACTTCTTGCGGGCTTCAGTGCGGGCGGCGAAGAGGGTGTTCATGTCGCCTGTGCCATGTGAGCGCTGGAAGTAGTTTAACATAGTAGTGCGTACCTTGAAAGGCGATGCGCGCCGATCGCAGCAGGTTTCGATATGCTACTAGCGCCATCTTGTGTAGAGTCGGTGCGGTATGTAGTGAATAGAGCGTGGTGAAGAACGATCAGTTCCGCTCGGAACTTCCGCGAGGAAAGTTGCTACACGTGACATCGTTCCCGCCAGGGTCACCCCGGCTGGCGATCCGACACCCGCTGACGTCGCGCAGCTGAAAGTGGTCCACACACGAGCAACGCTTCGGTGGCCTCAACGGTAGAAATCTAGCTCCCACACCGGGCTGCGATCTACCAGAGCCAACATGGTGTCCTTCTGGCCTTGGAAGGTACGTCGAATCTTACCACGCGCTAATACACTTGCTGACTATGGCAGGGTAGCGAAGATGCTGCCTCGTTCGAGAGAACGCTCAACACTCTTACTGGCAAGATCAACAGAGCCGCCGCGCGCAATGACAAACAGAAGCAGCTCTCGCGACGCGCTCGCGTCATGTGGACGCTGTATACCGGCTTCGCGTATATCCTGGTCGCGGTGGTGCTCACTTTCGTGACGGGCTGGCAGAATTGGGGTCCCATTGAGGGAAGTGTGGTGGCTGGCGGGCCTGTCTTGTATGTCCATTGTCATCCCAGCATGGAATTTATCTAACCCTCCAGGATCTACGGCATCCGCTACGCGCTCATGAGCTACTTCGACTACCGCATCCGCAACACCGAGGCCTACCTCAAGAAGCTGAACAAGGAACGCGACGCTACCATCGAGCGCCTCAAGGAAGCCACCAAGTACAACTCGACCCAGCAGTTGCTCGAGAAATATGGCGCCTCGCCCAAACAACCCGAGCAGCCACAACAAGGCAACTCTCCCGGTCGCAGAAAGTCCCAAGGCCCTCAGAAGCCAGCGGCGCCGCCAGGTCCCCGGACTGGCATGCCTCCTCCCCCAACGGCCAACATCCAGCGACCTCAGCCACAGCAACTCCCGCATACCCCGCAGAAAGCGCCATCGAACGTCTCGTCCCCTCAGGGCCCGTCCCCGCCACAGCAACTGCCCCCACCAGAAGCCCCAGGCGCCGAATTCGCTCCCAACGCATTCAACACCGGTGCCGTCGACCTAACCAAGCAGTATACCGCCGACTCCCCCGCTGCCTTCACACAAACCCATTGGTACGACCGTATCCTCGACGCTCTCCTCGGCGAAGATGAAACTCAGGCTAAGAACCGCTTCGTCTTGATCTGCTCAGAGTGCCGACTCGTCAACGGGCAAGCACCACCTGGCGCCCGCACACTCGAAGATGTTGGTAGATGGCGCTGCGGGGGGTGCAGTGCGTGGAACGGGAAGGAGAAGCCGCGTGAAGATGATGTTACGAGGCTTGTTAGGGATTGGGAGGAGGAAAGGAAAGCGAAGGATGGGCAGGGCGTTGATGGGGGTGTGAGGGAGATGGAAGAGGTAGGTGTGGAGGATGAGAGCGAGGGGGTTGTAGTTGAGGCTGAGGCGGACAGCAGTGGTGAGGATACACCCCCTCCTAGTCGGAATACGAGGAGTAAATCCAAGGGGAGGGGGAAGAAGTAGAGAGGGTATGGTGGGCATGGGCGTCTGGGTGTGTCGGAATGGCATAAAAAGGCGTGGAAAAGGAGGGGTTATGTATACTAAATATCGATATGGCTTACAGCATGACAGTAAGCCTTCCTAGAAGATATCGAAACACCTGAAGATTTTGAATCATCCGAACTTCTTCTCGTTGATTTTGCACATGCTGCGCTGGTTGTGTATAAAAACCTCGCTTTACTCCCTCCCTTCATGTCTTCTATCCCTCCTTATCCGGGTTTTACAAAAGAGGTTGCGCCAAGAGTTCCGTGGTGGGCGTCTCCTCCTGTGTCTCTCCAACATTTTTACCAAAATCCCTACGGCTGTTTTCCATGGGGTGTGCTTCTCCCTCCGCCTCTTCCTCCGGGTTTTTCCAAAAACTGTCCCGATCTCATGCCATGGTGTGCTTTCTCCTACGCCTTACCATCATTTCTTGAAAGAAAAAAACAGGTTGACCTTGGAATGTTGTGCGCTCCCTCTCGCGCATCTTTGTTATTTTCTCAGAAAACTCATGACTGCCATCCATGGGGTGCGTTCCGTCCTACGCTCTTCATCATCGTCTCCAAAAGAGACATCGCAGCGATAATTTGAGCTTCCTCCCGCGCTTCTTCATTGTTTCGTCAAAAATACGAGACAGCGATGACATGATTCGCGCTTCCTCTCGCGCCTCTTCATACTTCCCTTTACCCAAAAACTGCTTTGGTTGAGGACATGTGTTGGCGACTGTCCTGTCTTTTCGAAAAAGGCACACTTGTAGGCGGCATGTCTCCGTTCCCGGGATTACCAAAACATTATGGCCAAAAAAACATGGTGGTGGGAGAGTCGAGAAATCGTGAAAAATCAGGTTGATGGCTGGTCAGAAACATTATCACCGCCGCACTCATTGCCGTTTGCTGTTCTTCAAAGCTGTAGAAAGAGGAAGCGTATGATGTCCAGAGTTCCCGCTTTACGCTGGGATGACTGAGAAGCAGCCAAAAGCCATTCATGAATACATCACCAGCAGTCGGTTTCCAAAAGAATCCAGCGATTCCAGTATGCTGTGAGAAAAGATTCTTTCGACGACTCTATGTGTCGGTCTGGCGGATATATAAACCTCACAGCGTCCTCTGGATTCTTGTCTTCTATAATGCACAACTCTATGTGATTCTTACCAAAACTTTAATGTCAGCCGTGCATGGTGCGCGCTCCTCCTTCTTCTTCCTGAATTTGGCCAAAACAGTATGGACAACATCTGATGGTGTGCGCTCCTCCTTCCGTGGACTTGAAAACTCAGCAAAGCAACCCATGTGCGCGCGTATCGCTTCGGAAACAAGAGATCTGCGATTTCATCCTATGTGTGTCTGTCCTTGACTTTTTCTACTCTCAAATAATGAGAACAAAGGAACATGTGAGAACCTGTGTTTTTATAAATGCTATCAGAAACTCTCAATGTGTCGATGCTGACCCTACTATTATAAATGAGCAACGATTCAAAAACCTGTCTGCCGTCGTCGCGATGGGTAATGCTTGGCGCGTGGTTGTGATGTATAAGAACCTCGTCTTCGCCGTCTCTTCTTGTCTTCATGATCCCACACATCCGGTTCCTTCTACCAAAAATTCCATGATTTTACGTTGATGGTGTTCTTCTGCCTCCTCCGTCTCAAAATCGCATCCTCGGCAAAGATATGTGTGGTTGTGGTCCACCAAAGTGCCTGCAAACATCAATAATGCTGTCCTGCCTGAAGACCACCAAAATCTCGGTACCGGCAATTAATGGCTGTCTGGACGCTTGGAAGAACTACAAATCGGTCGAGCTCGCAGCCATGTTCACAAAACATGAGAAGAGTGGTGCATGCTGCGGACTTGCGAAATCCAACAAAACAAGACTGATGACTGCTCTGATGTACAGAAGTGTATAAAGCTTTACTCAGCTGCTGTGTTTCTTACTTCTTTATCACTACACATTTCCAAGACTATGCTTCATTCAAAAGTTCAGGGTTTGAATATCATGTCTGCCTATTCGCTTCCTTCTTTCTACACCTAAAGTCTAGAGAATATCTCAGCATGAGTGCGCTCCTCCGCTCTAAACGAACCAGATTTTGATACATGGTCTCTGTCTCTCGCCAACCCCGGGAACCACCAACACAAAACGCCCAACAAAGCGTAGAATGATCGAGCGGTCGACTCCTCAAAACGATGTATGGATGTGTGATGGGTCTTGCGCTTTCTCTCTTCCCTCAAAAAAAGATGGCGGTGCTGGTACATGGTCTTTCGGCCTTGCGCACCGGGGAAGATGTATATAAACGCTTCAGCTGGGTTGTGTTTTCCTACTTCTTTATACTTACAATTTCTTGTGCTTTACTCCAAAAGCGCGAGACGGTGTCGGCATGGCTCTACCTCTGCGGTTCTGCTCTTGTATTACCAAAGCCCCCGTGAGAAAGTCTTAGGGAAAGTGTCGAGTCTCTTCGCCCAACATACCAAAACGTCAAAGAGGCTTGGAATGACCTGAGTTCAGCGCCTGTTTTTGCATCATAAAAACGACAGGATATTGCTAAGATGGACTCGTCTATCTGCCTCTGTCTTCATAATACCAAAAATATAGTCCTACCTACTTACGAAAGACGAGAAGGGCAGTCCAAAAAATTATGAGATCCTGGACTGTTCTTCGCTCTGCCCAAAACTCTGCGAAAGTCAAAGTCGAAGGTTGCATGGAAGCGAGAGAGAATTTTTACTGTTAATCGCACTTCCGCGGCATTCCGACTGTGGAGTTGCATATAAAAGCTCCTTTCCGCTTCTACTCCTGCCTTTCTTTTACACACCAACTCCAAAAGTTCTATTTCTCCAAAAGCGGCACAATTGTCAGCTATGTGCGGCTCCTTTCTTCCTCTTCCACACGCAACTCTAAAGCCATTATTCATGACATGATCCAGCAGACGCGAACACTAAGTCATGCTGCGTCGCTGAGAAGTGTCGGCAGACTGTGTACAAATCTTTCCACTGGAACTGCTCCTCAGTCTCTCATTCACACACTCCTATTCTCGTTACTTTACCAAAAAAAAAACCCTACCAAGATGGCATACGGTGTCTGTCTCCCCGGGCTTTTTAACAATTCAAAATATGCGATGCTGTATCTGATGTGTCGAGCATCTCCGCGCGGTTCAAAAAGACGAGCTTTGCATCCGACATGCATTCCACCGATATCAAAACCTCATCGGAGATTACGATGTAGCAGACCTTCGAGATGATTCTTTCGCATAGTTATCAAAATGTGTGAACTTTCATCAAATGAGCGCGCTACATTTGTCACGCCCTGTGTAAAAGGACCGTTCCTTCTCTTCTAAACTATCAAAAATACCAAAAGTTCGAAAGTTGCTTAGATAACTCTTGATGTGTTAAAAGCTGTAAGAGTTCTAGATACCTCAATACGGCGAAAAAGATTGGCATGTTCTGGAAAACAAAATTCGTCACCAACATCAATGGGACTGATCTTCTCTCGTGCGGCGAGATCGATGGGGGGAGGAGCTATGTCGAAACCCAGCAACAACTTCTAAATGAACAGCTTCCGGTGTATTCTGCCGCTAGCTATGATTGATCCAGTATTGGCTCTCAATCTGACGTGCATAGATATCATGGTTCGAGTCTCACGAAGTGGCTGTGCACATGCTTGTGTGAATCCCTCGGACGCTTTCAGACGACCAAAAATGGTAACCCATAACCTCAACAAGAGTTGGCGTCCTCGCTGAGCAGATATAAGAGCCACAGCTTCTGCTCTCGTTCGTATTTGATTGTTCATTTCACCCATTTCTACAATCAAAAACGCTTCGCGACATATGGATGTCTGGCTTCCGCGAGAGCCAGCACCAAAACCGAATCAAGTACATGAAATGTCTTCTTCTCCTGCTCTCCTTCCACTTCCCTTCTCGGCATAAATGACAAAAAGCCGCCAAAAAGAAAGACATGCTTTATGAGTCTCTCTGAAGCCACGCGGGAAATGCACAAAGAACAACGCGATGTCCAGCATTCCGTAAGAATCACCCCCATGACATATTTCCCAGGTTTCTGCGGTCTAGACCGAAAATTACATGAAAAGTGATAATGTCCTCTGTTCTTCCAGTGTACATTCCACGTATTAAAATTGAGCAATGCCATATCCATGTTGTTCGACTCCAGATTATCCCATCGCCTCGTCGGGCTGCTGTTCTCGAAGATCTTTCAAACTTCTAGCTCACAAAAATTGGAATGGGGCCTTGATATGCATGTTGCGCTCCTCTTCCGACTCGAACACGTCAAGTCTCCGACATGTACGTTCGTAGCAACCACACCTACGATCACAGCCCAGATTTCAAGGCCATGTTATCTTCACTAGCCTTGATATGAATTCAAAAGTGATGACCTAGTTATGATGCCTTCCTCAGTGCAGTCGTTTCTGGTCATGACGTATTACTTAAGTACCAGGGACTGCAAATATACTCACAAGCTAGGGATATAAAACACGGTGGAAGTTGCGAGCTTTCTTTCTACTCACAACCTACTCTATTATACCAAAACTTCGCGAAAAAGAGGCTACGTCGTCTGGTCTAGAAGCTCCAAAAGCATTGGCAATGTCTGCTCCAAAAGCATTGGCAATGTCTGCTCCCTCGATCAAGTCCAGAAGGACTTACGCATCCGCCACAAGTGTCCAAAAAGTTCTATTAATTTGCCTTATGGCCTTTTCGGGTGGTATACCTTCTTGTATACCAAACGGCTGTCTCAAATGGAGTCTGCGGCATGTGTCCAAAAAGTGCTGTTCACTGGGAAATGTCCCTTTTCGGACAGTCTTCTTTTCTTCCATATTAGAAGACGACAGTAAACTGGGGATACAACATCGCTATTAAAGCCATGAATGTCTCTCTTCTGAAACATTCCTCCAACATACCAGAATGAACTCGTGTTGGGCACATGTCGTTCGGCCCAGAATCCAACACGGCCTCATGCATGTCTGCTCCTCCGTTCGACTTCCAAAATAACAACGGTTCCTAACTACGTTGGGGATGCCAGAAAGCTATCGAACAACTGGCTGATGTGCTTTTCGGGTCGCTCTCCTTTCTTCTACACCAAAGATACGCTTTCGCAGCCAAAAGATGGAGCCACGCATTCGATGGCTCTGTTGGCTGGACTGCATCTACTTCATCAAAACTCCTGCCAATATCCAGCATGGTTCTGAGACGCTTCAAAAGAATCCACGAAGTTCTGTATGAGTGAGAGCAGAGAAAGAGGGGAGTTGAAATGACCGACAAGGTCCACCACGGCGAAAAGATGGAGACGCCGAAAACATCAAATGCGTTCCCGCAGCATCACATGAGAAAGCAGTGTTCGCGCTGTAGAAACCCGAGTAGAAGACACATGTTCCCTGACAAGCAACGGAACGTGTATAAACACCGCTCCAGGGTTTACCTTTCTCTTCTCTACAACACCTCCATTTCTGGAGTCCAAAAGAGAAAGCAATTGCCTGGCATGAGTTTGTCCGTCTTTCTGGGGTGTTCTCCAAAACCGAATTTCGAGCTCATTATGAAGTGTGCTGCTCGCGATGTTCAAACTTTATGATCGGAAGCCCATGTTCTTGACACGGCTGAGGACGTGTACAAATAGCGCTCTGGGTTCTGTTTCTCTCTTCTTCACAACACCTCCAGTTCTAGAGACCAAAATCAAGGAGCGAGAATGCGATGGCTTCGGCGCTGCTCTTCCTTCCCGGAATTTTGCAAACCTATACACACAACGGATATGAAGTGCGCTGCTCTCGTTCTTTAAACTATACCACGAGATATAAATGCTCTTGACGCAGGACTGGGGCCTGTATTAATACCCCTATGAGTCTCTGTTCTACTCTCCTTTACAGTACATCCATTGCTGGAGTCCAAAAATGGCAATCGGTAGAACGTATGATTTTGGTTGTGCTCTTTCTTTCAGGGCTTTTGCAAAACAAATCGTGGACATCGAAATGAGGTGTGCTGCTCGTTCGCAGAACTACTGAATGCGATTTCCTATAGAGATGATGATGATCATCATCATCATCGTCAACTCTCAAATGCATCAACCACACGCCATCAAAACTTCCCTACTATCGTACACAGACAATCCAACCTCCCTTCCTCACCAAATCTCCTACCTCCTCCTACATCTCAACCCCCCTACTTCCCCTTCGGCTTCACACTAAAAAAACTACTCATCTTCTTCATGCCACTTGTATCCACCTTCTTCAGCGCCTTAACCCCCCTCCCCTCACTCTTTTTCTTCCTTTCCTCATCCTCCTTCTTCCGCTTCTTCTCTTCCCTCTCAGCGATCTTCTCTTCGTCCTCTTCAATCGCGCGTTTGCGGGATATGTTATCTGAGATGGAGCGCAGGGATAGCGCTTCGGACTTCAGAGCTGCGATGGCCGAGAGGTGGGTGTCGAGGGGTATGAAGCGTGCGGATAGGAGGCCGAGTAGAGGGGCGCGCAGGGATGGTGGGGTGTAGGACGCGAGGAGGTAGGTTAGAGATGTGCGGAGGCGGAGGAGGTGGGGGATTTCGGTGGGGGTTGTGAGGGTGGGTTTTGAGGGGGCGTCGTCGGGGGTTGTGATGGTTGTTGTGATGCTCGTTTGCGAGTTTACTGCTGTGCTGTTCTCCCTCTCTGATGTATCGTCTGGCGTTGTTGAAATGGCGCTCAGTGTGCTTTCCTCGCGTTTTATGCTCATGACAGGTATCTCCAGGGCTGTCTTTATGAACTTCTCCTCCATTGACGGCGGAAGCCCTTTCTTGACCATGCGTTCTGCCTTCGCGAGGAGCACTTCGAGAAGCTTGGGGTGGGACAGGCGGTACATGGATTCTTCGCCTGCATCGACTGTGTCGCATATCCTTCGCATCTTTGTTTCTGTCATAGTCTTGAGGGTGGGGTATTGTGACAGCAGCGTTTTCCAATGTGGCGAAGAAGATGAGAGTGTGTCAAGGTAGTCATCGAAGGCGAGGAAGTGCTGTTTCGTGTCTTTTGCTGACTTTGGCGTGAGGGCGGGGAGGATGAGGAAGAGGATGTCGATGGGTGTTGCGATGAAGAGGTCGGCGGATTTGGTGATGTGGCCGCTGCCTATCCGTGAGGTGTCTGCTTCTTCTGTGGTGTCATCCTCGCTCTTCTCTCCTGTTATCAACCAACTCTTGAAGTCTTTCTTTGGCGCTGCGATGCGCGTGAACTCGTAGAAGCCTTTCTGGGGGCAGAAGTAGTATCTTGATGGTGTTTCGTTGGCGGGATTGTCGAGAGTGACTATGCGCGCGTCTTTGGATGTGTCTTTTGGTAGAACGAACAGTTTCGGGGGGTTCGATGTGCTTGCGGGCAGCGGTTTGGCTGTGGTGGTGGGTTCGGGCGTGGATTCTTTGGGCGCAGCTTTTGCGGGTTTCGAACGTGTGCGCGCCATTGTGATATGTATGTTGGTCCAATTGGTATTATACGGGATGGCAAGCGGTATATCGAATTCGTGGTAGCGGAAACGAAGTTCAGGCGCGTCGCGTGGGCGCAACCTTACACGCGCAATCCCTGTCACGTCACGGTTTCGGATTAGATTAGTCTGGGGTGAACCACAGTCCGGTGTCAACAAACGCTACGGAGCCGGGCTATGCGCTTGTGAGACCTGCCTGACGATCGACTGTTTCCCATCTTGCTTTTTCCCGACTGTAGTGTTGGCGTTGCTATGGGCCACTGCGAGATAGCGCATCCGATATTGCACCATCACAACAATGATCGTGCGGGAGAGCCCCAAGTCAAAAGGTAAGTCGCCCATGCGAAGGTGCCGGGCGTGCGCTGACTCTAGTGACAGTCAAGAACAACCAGCCCAACTGGCCCCCGCAATCTCCAGTCGAAGCGCTGCTCAGCTCGCCGTCCGGTCGTAAGAGGTACGAGAGCCGCCGCCAGCGCGACTCAGCATCGCCGTCCCCTTCGAAACGCCGCCCAATGTCGCGCGGAGGTGTGCCAGCCGGCAGCGACGGAGAGGAGGATGAGGAGACGCTCCAGCTGCAACTCCAGGCCATCGAGGCCAAGCTGAAGCTGAAGGCGCTGCAGAAGAAGAGGAACGAGTCTCAGGACGTGGATCGCAACGGAGCATCATCACGAGCGAGCATGGCCACCAGCATGCGCAGAATCGACCTGCCGCGACCCGAGAACAGGCAAGAGACCGACGTCGAGGTACCCCGATCACCAGTCCGGATGCGACAGGCGCCCACCGAGCCGAAGAGTCCTGCGCGGGTCATGTTGGGCATAGACAAAGGACTCACAGCCCGCGACGTTAGTCTCAAGCGGCCGGGAAGTGCTGTGAGCGGGCGCATGTCGCGGCTGGGCTCGTCGAAGGACGTCGAGCCGCCCAAGATTAAGTCCTTCAGTGAGCGCATCGCCGAGAGCAGGAACAAGGAAAAGGAACGTGAAGAGAAAGAGGATAAGGCCGAACAGAGACGGAGTAGGGGATTTGGGCTGCAGAACATCGAAGCGCTGAAAGACCGGCCGTCACTATCGCGAACCAGCTCTTCTCAGAGTACCGACACCAAGACCTCTCGTGATATGCCTCCGCCGGCCCTGAGGAATCACAGCCGAACGCAAAGTCTACAGAATCGCTCGTTTGGGAACCCGCCCACCCCACGACCAGGCTCGACATTATCCTTTAGGCCCGAGAGTTCACGCCCAACCTCGTCCTCCTCCAAGGCCACGTCTAGCAGCTTTGGCTCAACACCGACCGCCACAAAGTACGCCGAGATCTCATCGCGCGACGAAAGCACCGATGCTCCTAGTTTTGAATCCTTCTCTGGTCTCCACCTCAAGTCGAGAGAAATGCAACACAATGTAGTCACCCGCACCCTGGAAGGCAAGACCGTCCTCACTATACCTCAACTCCTGAAGACTGTGAAAGCGCCAGAATACGATCCGCCAGATTGGGAGAACGACTATGTTGTTCTAGGGGTTATCTGCTCCAAGTCGACACCACAAAACTCCAAGAACGCCGCGAAGGATCAGAGTAAGGGCAACCAAGACAAGAATCTGGACCAGAACGGCAAGTTCATGGTTATTCGCCTGACTGATCTTAAATGGGAGCTCGATCTCTTCCTGTTCGACACCGGCTTTTCGCAGTTCTGGAAACTCCCTCTCGGCACGCTTGTTGCTATTCTCAACCCGGACATCATGCCACCACGGAATCGTGACACCGGCAAATTCTCACTGAAGTTGTCAAGTTCTGACGACACCATCCTTGAGCTTGGCACCGCGCGAGATCTAGACTTCTGTCATGCACAACGGAAAGACGGCAAAGAATGTGGTCAGTGGATCGATGGTCGCAAGACTGAGTTCTGCGAATTCCACATTCAACTTCAGGTCGACAAGGCCAAGAAAGGCCGCATGCAAGTCAACACCATGACTGGGTTTGGTGGAGGACCAGGCGGCGGCATGTTTGGCCGACGCGGTGGCCCGAAAGGTGATGAACTCAAAAGGGAAGGCAAGTACCACGACCGCGAACTCCACGAGACCGTCTACATCGCACCACGTCCCGGCGGGGCAGCAAAGCTCATTGACCGCGATCATCAAAACTGGGAAGGCGGAGCAGGCCGAGAAGACCGCTTCCGCAAGCAACTCGCCGAAAAGGAGAAGGAAAGAGAACTAGCAAAGAAGCTCGGCACAATGGGAGATGGCAGTACCGGAGGCGACTACATGAAGCTCAAGGGTGCTGGTACCCAGAACCTCCCCGCAAGAGGCTACACATCGTCGCAAGGTTCCTCAGGCGCAAAGCCCGACAAGCCAGCCGACGTGGACTTTACCAGTCTACTGAACCGTACGTCAGCCGATGTTTCTTTGGCGCCTGTTAAACGTAAACGAACAGCATCGGCGAAATCGTCAAACTCGAGCGACCCCGTCGGCTGGGGCTTCAAGTACGGCCGTATCCCGTCACCGAAGAAGGAAACTTCTTTCCCTTCTGCATTCCGCGGTACACGAGAAGCCAGCCCAGCAAAGAAGAAAGCTCGTCTCTTGTTAGCCGGAAAGGGGATCCGCGAGCCAGGACGAGAGAGTCTGGGTGGTCTTGATGCTGGTCTTATTGCTGCCATGGACGACGACGATGATGATGATTTGGAAGTTGTTTAATTCTTTCGGAAAACATTAGGGGAGGCATACAAAAAAACATGAAGGGGAGGGCGTTTGGGTCACAAGCTCGCTGATTGGCTAGAGCTAAGCGAGCAACGGGACGGGGCATTTCGACTTTTCTGGGCTGATGGATACCAAAGGCTTTAGCGTGGAGCGAAGCGGCATAACGACTTTCTTTTGTGTTACTTGTACAATATTATACCCGCTTTGTTACGCTGAATTATATACTGCGTTCACTTTCCAAGGTTCTGAAACTTAACATCCGCAGAGGCGCGCGGGATCTTTGACCATACCAACAACGTACGTGCAGTCACACAATTCAAGGAAAGAGCAAGACCACACCTCCCAGGACCGATCACACCAAAATGGCGACCACAGACTCCGTCGCCACGGACAACAAAATCTACGCCCTCATCAACTACGAAGACCCTTACGTCCAACCCCTCATCCTGTCCGCCCTCAAAAAGCGCTTACCGGGATCGTCATACCAGTTGATCACTTCATCATCCCAACTCCCCTCGTCATCTTGTCGTCTTCTTCAGTGGGTGCAGTATGAGTCAATTGACTTTGACCACCTCATGGAAAACTCCTCTGGTGGTCTCGCCAACGCCTACGTGATTCGCAAAGCACTGATCCGGAAACATTATCTGAGTACTACTATCGCGAATTGGATCACCAAATACCCCGAGAGCGTACTCAAGAAACATGTAAAACCAAGCGTGGAATTTGAAGTCGATTACGCCGAATTTTTAGATGACGCGCTGGTCGAAGCGTGGGAGTTGAAGGAGAGTTGGGCTAGGAACGAAGACCAAGAAGATGAGAAGAAGAAGGAATGGTGGATTCTCAAGCCGGGCATGAGTGAGAGGGGGCAGGGGATTAGGCTGTTTTCTAGTGAAGAGGAACTGACTGAGATTTTTGAGGAGTGGGATCCTGAGAGTGATGATGAGGATGAAGATGAAGATGCAAGAAGTGATGCTGGCGGTGGAGATGGTGACAGGAATCAAGTACAAGAGAAAGATGAGGGAAACGGCATCATAACATCCCAACTCCGCCACTTCATCGCACAACCTTACATCCACCCACCTTTACTCCTCTCCCCTCCCAACGCGCCCTCTTCAAAACTGCGCAAATTCCACATCCGTACCTACGTCCTCGCCACCTCCGCGCTTCAAGTATTCGTCTATCGCCCCATGCTCGCTCTCTTCGCTGCACGGCCCTACGTCCCGCCTTGGGACGACGTGTTACAGGAAGATCGCGATGAGGCTATGCGGGCACATCTGACAAATACGTGTTTACAAGAGAGTGGAGATAGGGAGGGCAGTGTCGGGTTATTCTGGGATTTACCGTCTGTTTTACCTTCGCAACCCTCCTCTCCCCCACTGACTGTGTCATCTGACTGGAAAGATGAGGTGTTTAAACAAATAAAGGAAACGACGGGTGAGACATTCGAAGCCGCAGCGAGGGGTATGTCGATCCATTTCCAGCCTTTACCTAACAGTTTCGAAATCTTTGGCTTGGACTTCATGGTGGGCATTGAATCGGATGGCGAGCTCAATACGTATCTGCTAGAGGTAAATGCGTTTCCGGATTTTAGGCAGACCGGGGAGGAGTTGAGCGGGATGATTGAGGGGCTTTTTGAGGGGGTGGTGAAAAGGGGGCTTGTGCCTTTCTTTGGGGTTGAGGGGGAGGGTGGGGAGGCTGATGATGGGATGGTCAAGGTGTTGGATATTGATCTGGGACGGCGGTGAGAGGGTATCTTAGAGAGAAAGAGGTTAGACGACATTGCATGTTCACGTCAAATAAGCACGATCAGAGTTATCACTCATATTTTCCTTGATCTATACTACGTTCCCTGTCCCATCCCCCCATTACCATTGATTCGACCGCCAATCACCGTACACCAGCTGGACATCTGTTCGTCGAAAACGCCCAGACACCAAGCACCTGCATACCGTGATCCCGCAGTCAAGCCTATTCCCTACTTACTAACTAAGTTACTCTGAACAACGCACATATGCGTGTTGTCCAGTAAGTGTCCCAGAAGAAACACCGATTACAATGCCCTCTCAGCAAATCCAGGGTTCCATCCCCCTTCAATGCCAAACAAACATTAAAGGCCGTCAGAAATGCGCACCTCTTCGTAATGTAATCGTGGGTATCCTGATCCTGTTCCTCGACTTGAATAGACCAAGGAACACAAAAAGCAAACGCTCGCTATGCAAACAATCAGTCACAAAGGACCTGATGGCAAAAGAGGAGTTGGAAACGCTTTGTGGTAGCATCTCAACACAAGCTGCAGAGATGATGACATCGATACTTGTTCAAGACGAACGGGCTAAGAGCCGTTAGATATTGTCAATTGACATGGATGAGGTGGAGTGCTCACTGCGAGCCCGCTTGTCTGCTGCCTCGCGCTCGAGCGGCTCACCGCCGCGCTTCTTGGACGTCTTGGTTGAGCTACTGGAGCTGTGCACTGACTTGACACGCGACCATGAATCGAACGAGATCTCTGTTACTGTATAAGCGGGGGTTTCACTGGCGAAAATTGAAGAGACTTACCCTTCTTGAGCTTGCGAGTTGTGGGCGGCGGCGATGTGAGCAGCGACGGAGTTGGGACGACGTTCTTGCCCTTCCTGCGGCTAGGGGTCGCGACGGACGCATCAATGTCGGTGGTCGCCTCCTCGTCGTCGGTGTCGATACCATTGGCGCGGTTGCGCTCCTTGATCTCTGCTTGGAACAAGAGACGTGGTTTGATTGACGAACGAGTGAGTGGGCGGCGAGCCTCGTGACCAATCTGGCGGCGGACTTGCTTGTCATCGGCGGAGAAGTCGTCGTCCTGCTCTGCCTCTGAGGCGCCGGAGGGTGCGTCGTCGTGGAACTTGCGGAAGACCTTGCGACCCCGGAAGATGTATACCATGCCTTCGTCACGGTCGACAGCCGTCTCCATCTTGGCAGTCTTTCGGTCGACGACTTTCCTTGACTTTTGAGGAGTGGCCTTTGCCTTGCCCTTGCCTTTGACGGTGATGAATGGGTTCTCTTCAGTCTGGGCACCGGGAGTGGGTACGCGCTCCTTGGAGTCAGTGTAGATGGGGATCTTTTCGGTGTTCTCGTCCATCTGCTGGGCGAAGCTCTCTAGGGTGTAGAGGTTCTTGGTCTTGCGGCCCTTGCGCGGGGTCGGCATAGCTTCGTCGATAGTTGAGGGACGGTTGGTAGGGAACAACACACGAGCGGCGGAGCTGACGTCTTCGATGCGACGCTTGCGCGGCGTCTTTGCGGGAGTGGGGAGCATGCCCTGTGTATACGTTAGCATGTTGCTCATGAGAGGTGTTATACTGGAGGCGCTCTCGCACCCGACGCGGTTGTTTGTCAACCGCACCCGGTCCGAGGCGGTCACCTCAGGTAACATACCGGAGCCATGTTTGCGAACAAGGTGCGCCGAGAGGAGCTCGGTGCAGCCGTGTCAGAGTCAGAGTCGAGCGGGTTGAGGTCCAAGGGCGCGCGACGGGTCGAGCGTGGGGAGCGGAGTTGTTGGTGTTGTGGGGATGCAGGCGACGATGGGGGTGAGAGTGCAAAGGAAGCGTTTGCGCGGGCGGCAGAACGCTTGGAGTGAGAAGAGGCCGTTGGGGTGATATCGCGCCTGGTCCGTGGGCTTGACCGCTCCTGTTGGTGAGTGTGAGCGTCGTGCTGTGCGGCCACTCTGCGCGATCGGCGCGGTGAAAACGGCTCATAGTTGTCTCCATACAGCGGCGCGGGCGGCGTGTGGACGCGGCGGGGCGGGGACGGCGTGCGCTCCATGTTGGGTGGGATGATGCGGGTGTTTGTTTGGGACAGGGCAGTTGTGGTGTTGTTGTAGCAATGTAGGGCGAATTGTGGGTATCCAAAATCAAAACAATGCCACAGCAAGCTCGATGTCGCAGCGCCTCAACGTTGGGATGACAATGGATGCAGTATCGATATGCGCGCAAGTGGAGATGACGGTAGGGCTGGTGATGGTGAAGGTGAAGGACAAAGCCGGGTGGAGACAACGGGCTATGTCACGACGGGGAATGAAGGAAGTCGCGAGGTTGGGACGGCAGGTGCAGATGGCTGGTGCTCCTTCCTTGGCGCAACGCGGAACATCAACAAACCCCTGCTAACCGCTGGCCCCGCCAAACCAAATACGTCAAACACGCCAACACCTGTCAGTCGACATGCTGCCGTATCAATTCGTTTAGACAAGTCCGACACAACACACAACACGTTAACACAACATGGACCCGCCGAACCTGGGCGCGCTTGACCTCTCCGACTCGGACACGGACGCGTTGTTTGACACGCCCGCGGCGCGCAAGACCAAGAAGCAGACAAAAGATGCAGACAATGAGACAGCAAAGACACGGTCAAAGGAGTCGCATTACACGACAGAAGAGGCGCGAGAAGCAGCATTGCGCAGGGAGCTGGAGAGCATACGAAACGTCAACAAGGTCATCGAGGGCGTGGTAGAAAGCCTGCAGAAGGCCAAGGACAACATGGCTGTAAGGGACAATAGTAGAACTGCCGCAGTCTCTAGACTGACGATGAATAGACTGTATCACGCACCGTCCAGAATGCGTCTACCTTGCTCCAAACATGGACGCGCATACTTTCCCAAACAGAACATAATCAGCGTCTGATCTTGAATCCGCAATGGCAGGGTGCGTCGCAAGATTTGGTTGATATCGAGGAGGAAGAAGTACACCGTCAGCAGGCTGCACAACGTCGGGCGGCAGACGAGCAGGCACGGAGAGAAGCTGCGGCTAGGAAGATAGAGGAAGATCGTAGGAAGGCAGAAGCTGCTCCACGAGCAGGTACACGAGGTAGAGGCAGGGGCGTCCGACCACGCGGTGCTTCGACTTCATCCACAGGGAATTACACCGGCGTAGGTGGACAAACAGGACGTGGTGTCAGTCGTAGCGACTCAAGAGGTCGAGCGGGCAGCGGCATCGGACGAGGGCTTCCACGGGGAAGAGGAAGAGGCTTGGGTTAACGAGCTTGCGCCACGTCTTCGCCATACCTCGAACGCGTACATGCCATATTCAATCGACATTGATACCTAAATCGTGAACTTCTCAGTCTGGTGGTATCGAATGCTGAGGTCAGCATAATTTATCGTGCAATTTCGAGTCGTCTCACTGAGTCTAACTCATTTTATCATCGCCGGGCATCCATAGCTTATCTTGCCACGGCGCTTTTCCCCCGAGCAACTGCGAACGAGCCCCCGAATCCGTACCTGCAGCTCGATGCAGCTCACGGGCCGTTGGTGATGCGGATGCGCTTCTCAAAACGGCAAGGTCTGAGGACCCCACTTGTCGTCAGTTGGACCCCGCCGTACATTTACTTGAGATCTTGCGACGATCCGGGGATTAAATAGATTCTGCTTTTCCTGCCCGTTCGATTGTTTTCCCATTTCTCCTTCTATTGCTCCCTCGAACTCTAGAAATCTAGATCGCGCAATGGAAGTCCCCACAGCAACGTCGCTACGCGACATCTACCCTGAAGACGCGCTCCCGGTCGAGACAAAGCGATGGGAGAGCCTACTGGCCAAGTTCAAGGACCTTTATGGCAAGCAAGCAGACTTTGTTGCCAGAAGCCCTGGACGCGTCAACATCATTGGCGAGGTAACTTACCTGCTAGGAGTCTATTATTCTTAGCTTACAGCTGCAGCACATCGACTACTCCCTGTACGAGGTCCTGCCCATGGCTATCACCGCCGATTTCATCATGGCCGTGGCTGTGCGACCAACCGAGGGGAAGCCTCGTGTACGGATAGCGAACCTCAACTCAGAGAAATTCCCCACCCGCGAGTTCGACATTCCCGAGGGAGAGATCCCAATCGATGCGACCGAGCATGAGTGGACCAACTACTTCAAGTCTGGACTGAAGGGCGTGTCACAGCTACTACAAAAGAAACGGGGAAAGTTCACATCCGTCGGCATGGACATTGTATGTGACGGCACAGTACCGAGCGGTGGCGGCCTCTCAAGTTCAGCCTCCGTCGTCTGCACAAGCTCTTTGGCTGTGCTGGCTGCAAATGGCGAGGAGAAGATTGACAAGACCGAACTTTGCGAGCTTGCTATTGTCTCCGAGCGCGCAGTCGGTGTCAACTCTGGAGGGTGAGTCTTGCCTGACTTTTGCATTACCACGGCTGACAAGTCGTAGTATGGACCAAGCAGCCTCCGTCTTCTCCCTCCGCGGCTCGGCCCTATACGTATCGTTCAAGCCCAGCCTAAACTACACAAACATCGAGTTCCCCAAGACAGACCCCGAACTCGTCTTCGTCACCGCTCAGAGTTTCGTCGCCGCAGATAAGCACGTCACAGCCCCTGTATGCTACAACCTGCGTGTCGTAGAATGCACATTAGCAGCCGTCTTCCTAGCCAAAGCCTTCGGCCTAAAGAAAGATCTCCCAACCGACTCCTCTCCCCTCGGGGTCAGCCTCCGCGGCTTCCACGACACCTACTTCGAAGACAAAGAGAACGTCTCCGACAACACAAAGATCTCCGTCTCAGACTTCGAAACGCAACTCACAAAGCTCATCCAACACACCGAAGACTACCTCCCCCAAGAAGACGGCTACACCCGCGCGCAAATCAGCGGGCTGCTGGGTATATCAGAAGACGAATTGAATGAACGCTACATGTCCAAGTTCCCAGTTCGCGCCGAGAAATTCATGCTCCGCCAACGCGCCCTACACGTCTTCACAGAAGCTCTCCGCGTGATTAAATTCCGATCGCTACTTGCGTCCCCACCATCAAACGACCGCGCGTACCTCCAATCCCTCGGCGACCTCATGAACACGACACAGGATTCGTGCCGCGAAATTTACGACTGCAGTTGTCCCGAGCTGGACGAGTTGTGCGATTTAGCACGTGCGGCTGGGAGCTGTGGTAGTAGGTTGACGGGGGCTGGGTGGGGTGGATGTAGTGTGCATCTTGTGCCTAAGGACAAGGTTGAGAGTGTGAAGAAAGCGTGGGTAGAGAAGTATTATAAGAAGAGATTCCCGGATATTAGTGAGGAAAAGTTGAAGGGGGCGATCGTGGTTAGTGAGCCTGGGAGTGGGTCTACTCTTTTCAAGGTGAAGGATGGGAAACTTGCGTAGATGAAGATGTGTGGATGGGAGTGTGGGCCCGCATGTCTTCGTGTGAGTTCGACGCGGCGACGCTGAATGAGCCCGGCCGTTTGATAGCTTATAGTCACGGCTTTGAATACGTGACAAAGACGTTGGCTGTGTTGTCTTGCTCCATCATCATAGTCCCATGGATGTGAAATGTCTCACACAGTCAATTTGATGATGCTTTTCTATCAGAGTCCGGTTCATGTTACGTTGTCTACCTGAGTTCTCTTCACAGCTTTCCCCAGGTTGAATGCGACGCGGGACCGTGTTCATTGTTTAAGAACGTTGAATGATATGACAAGAATCTGCGACACACACAACTAGATTTCTACACAAGTCTTCCCTTTAACAACGTCGATCTTGCAGCCCCTACGTCCCTCGATACTCTACCTGTTCACCAGCCTCCCTTAAAAACAGCACAAGGCCTATCTTCACGCCCACTTTCACGTCCACAATCCTATCACACAGTCCCTGCCCAACCGCCCTGATCAAATCACATCAAACATGCCAAAGCGCAACCCGAACCGTCCCAGGAAATCCTCTCGCAAGTCAGGCGCCAAGAACACTATACCTGACATGCACTATCACGGCACAGCAAATGGTCAAACGGGATATCAACCGTACAATATGGCCACTTTCAGTGAGGATAGCATATAACGACAATTGGGGTATATGGTACCAACACTACCCACAAGTCAAGCTCAACCTGGATATTGGTACACGTACACTCATCCCGTCACCCGCGAAGATGTGGTTGTGTGGTATGACGGGCGGTACGCAGATACTGGGGAGGAGTACTACTTGTACGGTGGTGGAGGCGGAGGTAACTACCACGAGGAATCGCAGCAACGCTTCTCGCCGCCGCTGTACAGGTACATTGAGGGATATCACGACCCCATATTGGAGGACCAGACAGATCATTGGTGGAGACTATTCGGCCACGATGTGCCCGCTCAGTTTATCCTTGCGCCGATAAAGACACCCGGCCATGGGGAGGTGAATGAAGACGACGGTCAAGCAGAAGAAGCAACGAGATTGGTAGAGGGAGGAGGAAGCGAGGGGAAGTGGGACGCTGCAGCGTATTTTGGGCCGTATCGTATGCTTTTCCGAGAGCCAAGTCGTGGGCTTGAGAGAGCTTATGGTGAAGAGAATGGTAATGGAAAAGACAGAAGAGAAGAGGGTGGGAACTGTGCAGATGGTAGCACAACAAGGGGGCCTATTGACAGCTGTAAGCGAGAACACAGGGGAAGAGCTGACTGGGAGTGCGACTTCTGCGGTATGGAATGCTTTTGCTGGACTGTTGATGTGAAGGTGACAGAAGTCTGATGAGATTATACAGGTGTGGAGTAGTAGACTGTCCGCATAGCGCGTGTTTTGGTATGGGAATGGCGAGATGCAATAACCAAATATCTTTCTGACGGAAGAGATCCGAATTCTCCTTCAGTTTCCTAGCCGATGCGGATCAGAACTAAACTCGTTACGAACTACCCTTCGTATTAGTCGGCGACTGGAGCTGGCGTTCTAGCGTAGTGGAGGCGTCAAGGTATATGTGATGGTGCTGTATCGCTTGAGCGAAGCGACTCGTACGCCCTTGAGGCGTCCATCTCGTGTGCGGTCTTGTCCGGGGTGGCTGGTACCACGTCGTGATGGCCACGAGCGTGAATGGTTCTAGACACTCTGGCGTAATCTATGTTCTGATGCGTTCATCGCGATTTGGAAAGTGCATGTCGTTTGATGGCGTGGCAGGCGTGGAGCATGGCATGGCATGGCGATGAGTTTTCCGCGAGTTGAAGAAGCATGCGATACTCTTTACTATCTTAGATAAATCTATCAATGTTACCTCCGAGTTACTCGGGTATAGTGTGTTGGTCCCATGTCAGTGATGTGGCTCAGGCGTCGGGGACTGGTAGTCGATAGAGCGGAAGTACGATGTTTGGTCATCATGGAATGCTTCGACGCGGTTCTAGCCGGCGCTCGAACTCAAAGGTTGACGTTGCGTCGTCTCTTGCGAACCGACACGGTTTGCCTTTGCTTTTGTTATGAACATGGGACCAATCTGCTATAACGAATGTGGCATGGACCGCGAACCATTGGCTAATCGGAAGAACTTTAAATGTGGCTTATCCGCTTCCGTCCCAATTTTCGCATTCTCCAAGACTACGAATACGAATGACTTCCAGACAGGCTCTCCAACATTATACTGGAACGCTACCTTGGGAACTGGGGTCGGATATCCCCATCACTGCATACTTGGAGGACCTTCATCGCAAGTATGTGCCCAATCCGCATGTGAGAACCAAGCGAGTGAACGCCGCGCTACCTTGTAGGACACAACAGGCTGTCAGGAAATGGCACCACGTATCGTACGACCTGCGTAAGATATCTTCAGGACTACTTGCCTATGATCTTCAGCGTATGCAGACCTTATCATGGACCACTATAAGGTTTTGGCTACTTCTGATGAGGCAATGGCTTCAGTTATTCATGGCCAATCATCGAAGATATAGATGAGCAGATTTCGGCAAAGTCTCCGGCAGGTGTTCGCTCGAGGAGAGTGACAGCCTGATCCATGAAATATCTACTCGGCCAACTCACGAGAGGTGTTGAGAATGTGAACATCCTGCGCCTCGGACATAACACAATCCAGGTGCTGGTTTGGCATCCACAACAAGCTTGAATCGACCTCTGAAAGCGGTCACAAACCGTCGCTCATCGGCACTTTGGCCCCATTCAGTCGAACTATGACGCCACGTGTTCTGTTCGTTACCGATACTGCTGAAATCAAACATGATCATTTCCAGACTTGGGCTGTTCTTGGACACTCGTCGCGATGTTCTGTATTGTAACGATGGGCTATCGGCTGTTCAACGATTTCCCTAATACGCCAAATCTAGGCCTCGCTGAATGCTTTACCTATATGCCGAAGATCTATAAAGCTCAAGGTATTTCCAGCGATCACGGACGTGGTACATCGGGCTTGTCAAAGTCTAGTTTTATGGTACTTCCAGTTTATTTCACAGCTCAGCATACAACTCCTCCTACACCATGTAGTTGACAATCTCCATCACGCATTTCATCCTCATTGAACAGCCTTCTACTGGAAGAACTTCCTGCGCATACCCGAGATTATCTTTATATTCATAACAGCACTCGGACAGCATCGCAGATAGCAGTATATCGCACACGCGTAGCTAGATTTTGGAAAAAGCTCACACGTCACGGCATACGGGCAACAACAGTTCGATACCATCCATGGCAGCTCATCCTCAGAAAATCACTTCTTTCCTGAGTCTACCAGCGAAATTGCGAGAGCAAATCTACTGCGACATCTTGACATCGTCCGAACAAGGCCCAAAGATGCTTCAGACTTGTCGTCAGATCGAGCAGGAAGCACGTAAGCTCCTTTACCAGCGACCTATCAGCTTCACAAACCAAGTCTCGCTCTACACCTGGGTTGAAGCAACGCCTCTCAATCTCCTCTCGCATGTCATCAACATATCAGTGACAATTAAAGACATAGACCTTCGATCTATACTGCGTCCATATGCGTTCACACCACAGTCATTATCACGGCCTCAGCTGCTCAGCTGGGGATCATACAGAGCGGAAATCGGCAAGCTCGTCTCCACACTGGAAAAACTGCAGCATATCAAGACCATAACCATCAACTCACTTGCGATATGCCAATCTCATCTCTATGGCGAGTTCGTATCCAGAATCTTGGGCGGGCTACATTCAACATTATCAAATGTCCGGTTTATACACGTCGCCAGCCTACAATCCTGAGTCCTGGTGGAGCAGCAAAGGACGTCCAAACTCCAACGAGCCACACCAAATCAAGACTTTCTGAGCAAGTAGGGAAAGCATGACGTGCGCAGGCTGATGAATAAAGCTTATGGTGCCGGTATTAGGGGTTGATTTACCAATGTAATGGATCGTTCTCGGTCTCGGTCTCGCGCACTAGCGGAGCATGTAGTGCGCATTTGGCCACACAGGCATTCGTCTCGTTTGTAGCTTCATGATGAAATTTTCCTTGTTTAGGTACTGAGGCTGAACTCAATAAGTAGCCAATCGTTGTATCGTGTCGTTGATCGTTACTTCCAATCGATGCTCTTACCAAGTCGTAGTCAAAATCGTTCGAAGAGAGCGAACTTTGAATGGCAATAGTGACTAGTTCGCATTTGTCAGCGCGCTGGGCGGCGGGGTTCGGCCACTCTGCTAGCGACAAGAGATATCAGACCGATCAGCATATCAGCATATCTGAGTATCGTTCTTTGACAAATCTACTCATGATGTCAAGCGGAGGCGTCGAGAAACGCGGGTCTGCGTCCACGGTGCGAGTAAGTAGATTTGCTAGGTTATTATCCGGTTAGGCCGGCTGCGGCTCCTTGCATCCGCCCCAGACGCGACTCTGCCACGACATCCGCCCACAGCTATAAAGCATCGAATATCGCATCTCGAGCGCTCAATACGCGTCTAACAGCAGACTAACGCGTCTTCTAGGCTTGTGATCTGTGTCGCAAACGGAAGCGAAGATGCGTGTGGAACTCCGGTTCTCAGGGCTGCTCGCCGTGCACCAATCTGAAAGAAACATGCATGACCACGTACACGCGCAAACAAAGGTCGAAACCACAAAGAGGGTATGACCTGAACGCATTCACCAAAGCTAAAGATATTGTTGACGACGACCCAGCACGCGCATAGCCGAGTATGAGGATCGCATAAAGAGATTGGAGTCGCTGCTACATGAGCGGAACGTGGCACAACCACACGTGCGCCAACAACCTGTCATGCAAGCAACAGAACATTCACCTCCAATCTCAGCATGGGTAAATTCATTGCGTCATGAGGTGGAGGCGGGCCCTCATCCCCAACTTCCAGACTTCGACCCTTTTGACATAGAGAGCTTCCTACCAGACAATGATGGCCTGTTTGCAGACGGCCTGGGCGCACTGTCTACTGGCGATTCCATTCATGACTCTTCAACATTGGATCCCCCCTTGCAGGTTCCTTTGGATGGCATTTATTCCTCCGCTGACTTCCAGGAGGATGCTGCCTTCCTACAAGCTGCACAATTTGGGCCGGAACCGACCGAGGATGTCAGTCTACTACCGCTGCCAACAGTAACCAGTCTAACCAGTGACTGGTATCTGCCACCCCCAGAGCTCGGAACTACACTGCTTGCGGAGTTCCTGACTGACCTAAACACCGCATATCCGCTCTACCAGCCGCATGTCATAGCCGATCACCTTCGAACATGCTATGCAGGGCTGCCTGATGATTCGGCCATCGCTTGGACGAGTGCGTACATTGTATTTGGTATGGCACATCATATGCGTGGCATGAGCGTAAATGGTGCCAACTATAATATGGACATGGCTCAGTATTACCTTGCCCGCGCCTACTCGACACTTGACACTCTTCTCACAGCGCCGCCATCCCTAGGACAGGTCCAATGTCTTATCGGCATTGCGCTACTAATCGTCGCCAGCCCATGCAGTAACAAGAAGCCAGCGGGTCAATTTGTCTCTACCGCCCTCCGTGTCATTAGAAGTCTAGCCAACGAAGGCAGGAAAAGCAATGCAACAGCGCAGGAGCTAAGTGACGGCGCACAACAGCGTCGTGTTTTCTGGATCTGCTTCACCAATGACATCAGTCTGAGCATCTTGAGCAACACGCAACCAACCCATCAACTCCAAGACGTAGCCAACTGCTCCGACTTTGTAGCCGACGAGCTCGGCGCGCTCACTGCGACCGAGGGTACCTGGCGAGCGCATATATTCTGGCTCTTCACAAGGATAGCCTTACTTCAGACCGAAGCCATCGACCAGGTGCTCTCTCGCAGGACATGTAACACAACTCCGCTGGACTTAAGCGCTGCATCAACTATCGTGCTCGCACGCTTGCAGGCCTTTCACGAGCAACATCACATTTTCCAACTTTCCGCTGGCCAGTTGGAACAGATATTGTATCAAGCAGATATCTGTCATTGTGTTGCGCTGGAGGCTTACTACTTCGGGACTGTATATCGACTACATGCGTTCATGGCGTTAGACATGAGTTCGGAGACGAATCCCTTCGAGCTGGACGGCTTGATCAGGATGTCGAAGATGAAGCAACACAAAGCATATCTGGAGGCACAACGGCTGCTGAGTCTACTGCCAGTAGCACCTCGCGGCAATGTTGCCTTGTACTGGTCAGTGGCGTCGTTATCTCGTTGCAACATATACTAATCTCTTCACAGGATGGTATATCCCTATCTCATCGCAGCACTCGTCACCATTCTTGCGCATCATATCCAGAATCCAGCTGAGATGGCTCCATCGGCTGCCGAAATGCGTATCTATGGGCAGCTACTCGCTGATCTCGATACTATGGTTCTTGCAGGCGACGACCCGGACATGGAAGCGAAAAGAAACCTTTGCAAGTGCTTGTTATCGACCTTCGAGGCGCGGCACCGTGCTTACGATATGGGCGAAGCTCCAGGATGTATTACAGTGACGAGTTGAGGACTATGAGAACTTGACGATCGCGCAGGGGTGCTGGCAATGTCGCCGTGTTAATCAATCGCAGTGCCGCGAAAGAGATCGAATATTTCATGGGAGTTACTATTAGCGATAGGTAGCTGCGTTATTGGTAACGCTTTCGTCTTTGCAGATACAGCGCAGTGCTAGTGATCCTGGGCCCGATGGGAGTGACGTAGCTTGATTATATTCCGATCTGTGAACAGTTCTAATCAACAACGGAAGCAGTGAAGAGATTTCACTCTTATCACTAAGACTTGCTTAAAGGCTCTTCTTTGGCGATACCCTATGTTGAGCTCCAGCGCTCTGATACGTCATGCCACGGTCTGTCAAGCCACCACTGACTTCGATTCACATATAAGAGTAGTACATTCTGCGATAACTAGTTGTACATATTGGACTCATGATAGATCGACTCTTGACTCGTAATACTCAGTACTTAGGACAAGTAAACAAAAAGACACCCAGAAGCCAGAGAGGGATCATCGTTTGATTAAGTGCGTGCCATCTTCCAGGCGCTCACTATATCGCTTCCGGTCGTAGGTCCAGCCCTCTCCCATTCCTGTCTGGCGAGGCTTTCAACCTTACCGCTTAAGCGTTGCACTTCAATGGTACTGGCAGCGATCTTAGCGATCCCTATTTTGGACTTTATCCACCGCTCTGCCCTTTTAGAAGCTACCTTAATGTCCTCGTATATCACAACAAGACTTGAGTCAAGCTCTACTTTCCTGTCAGCTACGTGCACTCGCTAGTAGTCGCGGATCGATTCTACTCACCTTCCCAACCTCTGTTTTTCATGTCGATATCGAGTTTCGATACCTTCTCGAAAAGTTCCGATAGTGCCGCTTCTAATCGTACCAAGGCAACGCTGTAACCCTTCAAGCTGTTCTCATGCCCAAGGATGTTTTCGCCAAAGATCCTGGGTTTCACCGCAGATCGCAGAATGCGGGTGTGAGTATCGAGAAGACGATCGATCATTGTGCCAGTAGTCGATGCAGGATTGGATACCATGCGACTTGAGACACCCGCCGGGACGTGCGCCCAGACGTTATTGGGAAGCGTGGGCAGACATTGGCGTGAATGCACGGGAGTGGACTGAGAAACCCCCATTAAGCTCGTGGTTGATTGCAGTACTCTTGAGACAGGAGAAGTTATGTCTGAAAGGTGAGGGGCTGCACGAGCGGGGGTTGCGGCTGAGATGCATGAGGTGGAAAATGTATTGGACGCGACGCCGCCCCCAAAACAGGCTGCCACCGGAAGACGCTGCAAAGTTCAGCTTACATCCTGTTACGCGCTCATGGAAAACCCAGACGACAACGCCGACTTGTTGAAATACGTTGCGCGATCGATTGAAGAGGAAGAGGAATTTCACTTCTTACGATTTGAGAAGCTCCAGCGGATCAATATCGTCACACAGCAGGTAGAGCTATTTCAGCTCAAACTGAAGTTTGAGAATGCACAAAACGCCTCAGCCGATGACCTCAAAGATCTCAAGAATACCCTGAGAGATTATGGTATGAGCCAGTAGGACCAACAGTGAGCCACACGCATCACATAGCTAACAGGGTAGTAGTCACCGCGATTCGAGACTACCAGTTCCTCCGAAGCCGAAAGAGTGTGCCAACGGAAGATAAGGATAAGAGGAGAGTTTTGCTGCAAGCATGGTTCCAGCATAGATTTGGGAGTGGCGACGTGTTCTGGTCTCACTACGCCTATTTCGACGAAGGGTCTCCGAGAATCGACCCTTTCCGCAGTTTTTTGATGAGAAGACTGCCTGTCTACATCACGTACTCGGAAGAAGAGCGAACGGCTCGCCGCATGGAATATGAAGGGGGCAAGGAACCACCCAAAGATGTGTCACCATTCGTCGATCACCTTGCCCGCTTCGTAATAGCAATCACGGGTGGACTATTTCTCATCGTCCCGATGCTAGTCATGGCCATTGACACATCGCAAAAGAAAAGCCTCATTACGGTGTCAGTGTCGGTCTTGTTGTTCGCGCTTGCACTATCGTTCGGAGTCAGAACTTCCAACGTCGAGGCGCTTGTCTCAACAGCGACGTATGCTGCAGTTCTGGTGGTATTTGTGGGGACCAATTCTGGCGATGGAGGCACCGTGGCAGCTGCAAGTAACTCTACTATGGCGTCGTAGCGAGTGGAAGTGAACGGAGGCCGGATAGTACAAGAACAGACACTCAGTTCTACTACACTATCTTATGACAGCTTGACGAACAATCTTTGATCCGACGATTGCTTTATCGTACACGAGATGTACCCTTTCATACAGAATGTCGTCTGCGGCTTTGTCGATGCCGCTCACCGTGCATCGCGACTGTGTCAAGTACGCGGGAGTTACGAGCCCATACTAAGCAGCACAATATCGGAATGCGCTGCTAGTGTTACATTGTCAAAGTGCGTACATGTGCGACATCGATGGGTCACACCCACTTACTTATAAGTTCAGGCCGTGCTTATCGTACCGCAAGGCTGTCATTCATCCGGAGAACAAACCTACCTAGGTAAGAATACTACCAGGGTTGGCCTTTCTCCATATCGAAGGTCAAGCACAGCTTGGTGGCATTATGAATTGTATTATTTGGTCCTCTCTCTGCATAGCTATAAATGATCCTGCATTCCATGTTGAGTCTTGAGGATTGTGCTGCTCAGCTGAAAATCATGCTTGCCGAGGTGAGATCGTGAGATCATCAGGCAGCCGAGATATTATCCATTGGCTCTCGACATCTCTCGACATCCAAGCGCCCTGCACGTTCCTGTGGCCTGCCCGGTCCAGAGGTGCAGTTCTGCCTGACCGAACACATCTCTCCTCAACTTCCTTCACAGACTTATCAATTTCACGCAATCGCTCCGGGCGATGGGCCGCGGCGGTTACAACGGTGGTAGCGCAGCTGTAGACGGGCCAAAAGTCGACGACATTTATATTTTCACGGCGGACCGGGGTTTAGATGCTGATCTCATTCAACGCTCGCGGATCGTAGACGCTGGATTTTCGTTGAAGAACGAGCACGGCGCCGTGCAAAGGGAGTTCGGATATCTTCTTAGGGTGGATTCGGTCGCAATAAGCACGCAGCCTTCAAGGACAAGCCTTGTAAAGAAAATTTTCGCGGCTTTCGGAAGAAGAGACAAGTCTCGAAGGAAGCGCACATCACACATCAAGTGGGTATCGGCATCGCATTTGCTTCACACCGCGCCAGGAGGTACTATCTGGACCATCTAGAAGCGAAGCGACCTTTTGAAGGGTACAACTAGTCGAGTCAGACAGCACAGATGCAGTACGGAGGATGTGCACCGAAGTCGACCTGGCGACATCGGCAGTTCCCACCTGATGGTACTTCTGTCATGCCTTGGGATGGCAGCTAACAACGATAACCAGCATTTATAGATGACGTATCGAAAACAAGGGTCGACTTTGATGCTTTTATCAACTCCATGGATGATCAATCTTTTGCATACCTATGCTTGATACGCGAATACGCCACTCGTGCTCTTCAAGGAAAAGCAGCAGAATACAGTGGATTATATCAGGCTATGGTATCGCAGAATATTGACGAAGAAGCTTCATCACGTATATCGACCATCGAATTCCTAGCCCATGGTCTACGCTCGAGAACCTTTGCGGCGTTCGAGGAATTCAAGAGCTACATGGATGAACCGTCGGCAAGAAGCGACTCACCATTCAGATGTCTGTTTGTATTGGAAGATATGCCTGTGCGATACATCTGCCTGTTAGGATCAAGGCTGCGTATTCATCCTACAGTCTTCGCGGTCCATTACACAACCGGGGGTAATAGCACGATATCGGATAACATTAATAGTCTCCCTCGATAATCCAAACCAGTACCTGCGACGGCCTCGACTTCGAAAGTGGTGACGAAGAACTCCACACGCCACGTAAAAGAAGAAGTTTCATTTGTTGGTATCCAGTACTCATGCCGCATGTTTCTGCCAAAAAAAAACTCAGACCCGTTCAAATGTCCGACGTGGCTCAAGCCGAATGCGAGACTGAGGGACCGGAGGGCAAATCCACAATTCGTAGTTGCGAAGAACCTGGAAACACCGAGTAAATATGATCAGTGGGACGCAAGGGGCGAGATTTCTGAGCTGGGGGGCCAAATCACATATTGGTACCATACGCTGTCAGGAGGCGGTTGGGAAGGTCAGTCAGAATCCCTACCTTGCTAAATCCAGTCTAGACACTCATGGTACACGTGCAGGCCTAGCGCTTGTTGACCCATGCCTCAAAGACCCAGCCCATCTCGCTGTTATCAATGGCAGTCCATATCCTAACCTCAGTCGTATAATTCGATATCCAGAACTGGAAGATCACGAGAAATCTGACTTGGACCCTCATCCGCTGCAATGGCACCCTAGTGCAACCTTCACAAAATACGTTTTGCACGATGACATATTGATCCATTTCTCGGTGGCCAACATTGGTCCAGGAGGTAATCCACTATCTGTAACGCCCTTTCTACGTGGTTTTGTGATCAGCAAATGGACCGCCGAATTAAATCACATTCGCAGAAGCTACGGCCATACACGAGCGGCGCTCTTCTCAATCTCTTCGTCGCATTATTCTGGAAGTAGGCGTACTTCAGCGCCGCACACAGTGCGCTGGGGAGCGGATTGAAAAGAGTGGCTCTTCGAGACGATGGCCAAATTCACAACGGACCTGTATCTCTATCGTTTCGAAGCCGAGACCAACATGTGTGCTCGGGGGATTGACGTTGAAGATGCGCAAAGTTATGGCTTTGTTGGCAAACGAGAGGCGCAGATATGGCGACTCTTGCGTATCAGTTGTATCGATTTACAGGAGATGTTCCAGTATTAGACCGATTCATACACCCAGGTTATCGCGCTAAGAGAGGCACAGGCGAGTAATGCGCAAGCCAACTCTGTGCGTTGGCTCACAGTATTGGGTACGCTTTTTGTGCCTTTGTCCGTGGTCGCGGGTATCATGTCCATGGGAGGTGATTTCTTGCCAGGAGAGAGCAAGCTCTGGGTGTTCTTCGCTGTGGTGTGCCCTATTCTGCTGATAATAGGCGTAGTCCCGGTGATGACCATGGAATAGTAGACATGATCGCCGTGGCGGAGATTCAGGTGCTGGTGCGGTATGAGTAGCTGAAGGTATCAATGAAGCAAGCGTGTAAGCGCAAGCTGACATGTTTCTTCGACGGAAGTCAAAACTCAGTTTGCTCACCTGAAAGCTGATCCAGCTACGCCGGAGGACCACCGATTCGGCCATAGCCTTGCCATACAGACTCCGCTTTCAACACTCCTCTATCTCTCACGATCTAGATCCGTATCCAAAGGGTCGCCTGAACGCCTCGCTTAGGGCGCCACGCGGGGATGTGAGAGGCTCAACCAATGATGCGCTATGAAACTAAGACGTGCGCGGATAAGTGCGACGAGGCTTCTTCATGCTGAGCTGAGCAATGCACTACGGTAGAATGCATGTCTATACCAAGATAGCACAGGTGCTGCCGTAAGGTCTGAGGAAGCCAGTGAGACTCAGACACGCGTCCAGGTATATCAATCCGCGCATCCGCACGCGATGTGTCCGGCTTGAGCACATCTATTTCTCTTCTGCCAAGCATGCGCATCACATACCTCAGCATTCTCCTTACCCTTGGTATAGGCGCGAATGGTATACCCACACCTGCCTCCAGCTTCAAGCCATACTACCTTCCAAAGCGCCTGATCGCTCTCGAAGAACACGTTGTCTCGCCGTCACTAGAAGCAGAGGTGATCGCCGGAGGTGTGGTGCAGCGCAGCCCGCCGGGTACGCTCGATAAGCTAAAGGATGTCGGTGCCGGGCGCATCGCCGCTATGGATGCCGGTCACCTGTCTATGCAAGTTCTCGCCCAACAGTCGGCCTCGGGCTTGGAAGACCCTGAGGGGTGCCGCGCAGCAAACGATGCTGTTCGCTCTGTGATCGTATCCAGACCCCAACGATTCGCCGGATTCGCGGTGCTGCCTATGTCACTACCAGAAGAAGCCGCGGCGGAGTTGAATCGCAGTGTCACGACACTTGGGTTCAAAGGCGCGATGATCTGGAACCATCTTAAAGATGGTACATACTACGACGCCGCACGCTTCGATCCCGTCTTCGACATGGCGCAGACACTCGATGTACCATTGTACCTGCACCCTGCTGCCCCGACCGCGGATATCGCATCCAAATTATTCGTGGGTAACTACCCAGCCGCCGTGGCGGGAAAGCTTGGGGTAAACTCGTGGGGTTGGCATGTCGATGTGGGAACGCATGTATTGCGTCTCTACAGCGCTGGGCTGTTCGATCGCTTCCCGGAGCTGAAGCTTATAATCGGACACAACGGCGAAGGGCTGCCCATGTTCATTGACCGTATCGATTCGACGGGACTACGCAACGACACGACGTTCGATCGGGTATGGAAGACGAATATTTGGAGCACGACGAGTGCATTCTTTACTGTGAGACAGTTCGAGCAGCTTCGGCAGGTGAGCCCAGTTGATAGGATCATGTATTCGGTCGATTATCCGTTCAGTACCAATACGGATGGCTGGGCGTTCGTGGAGAAGTTGGCGCAAGCGCAGGTTCTAAGCGACGCTGAGATGGACATGTTTGCGTGGAGGAATGCTGAGAAGTTGCTGGGATTGTGAACAGCTGACATTGATGGAACGACAAGTAAAGATAATCGGATAATGATAGTATTTGCCTATGGACACGCGTTGGCACATGCACAGAGGACCTCGGGAGCATCAAGGGGTCGATAATGCCATGCCATGACATGTGACGCTTGTTCATGATAGGGATAGCGTAGTAGCTAGCGCATCCAGCTCGCGCCTTCGCGCTGGAACGCGGTTCTCCTACAGCCCAGCGTCACACATCCACCATCTACCACCTAAACATCTTCAGGTCCTGCGAGGCCCAATGCTTGTCTACGAGTCGGTGCATCCTCCTTGAAATACGGCTTCTCCGCCAATGACGTAACCCTTGTTCCGTGCCTCGGCTCAATTCCTCCATAATCCCAACTCGCGTTGTGGATGGTAATTCTGTTATCCCACAATGCCGAAGTTCCTGGAGTCCAGCGGAACCGAACCTGGATATCGACGTTGTTTTCGTACACATCGAAGAGGTAGTTGAGAATGACGTCGCTTTCAGCTTTGTCTAATCCGACAATGCGATCTGTAAAGGCGCGGTTGACCCACAGAGCTTTCCATCCGGTTGCCGGGTGGACACGAACGATCGGATGAACGCGTTCGATGTGCTTAGGGCCAGCACTAGTATCGTCACGATCAAGGTACGGGTGCGCACTGCGGTACACTGCTTCTCTGCCATCGATGATCTTTCGAAAAGCAGGAGAAAGCTTCTCGTATGCAGCGTAGCCTGAAGCCCAGAGGGTGTCACCTCCAATCTTCGGAATGGTATCGTTGTGGAGATGGGTTACGCTAAAAGAGTCAGAAACAAACATCCTTCCAAAATACTACCACTTACCCAGCAGGTTGGCGTTCGTGTACCAGATCAGTGTGCCATCTAGATGCACCACCCGTCTTCCGGAAGCTGGCTGGCACTTCCGTCGCCTGCAGAGCGGGCCATAGAACCGTCACCCCAGGCACACCGGGCACGAATGGAACTTGCGGCTTCAGTCGATGTCAGCGCGTAAATTGTCTCATGAGAAGAACTACTCACATGGACTTCAATCTCGCCATAGTACTCGCCCAGCTTCTTTTGCTCTTGAGGCGAGAGATCCTGATCACGGAAGAATACTACGCTTCTTTCAGCAATTAGAAGACCAAGCTCGTCCTTTTGTTGGTCTGTAAGATCCTTCAGTTGTAGTCCGACGATCTCGGTTCCGATGTGCGAGGTCAAATGAATGACTTCCTTTGCAGCGCCAAACAGCGCTTGCTTCTCTGGATCGGCTCGGGCACCTGGATCGATGTGCTCACGATCATAGTCTCTGATCTTGTACACATCGTCAAGGTAGAGTGGTTTTGCTGGTCTGTACGGATAGCCGGCCGACAGATCGATTCCTGCCTTCTCGAGTCGCTTCCTGGCTGGCTCTGGCAATCCTAGCGAGTCTTTCCGCGGTTGAACGGTATCCTTCTCCTGGATGTGTTCGTGAACGGGGATTGCGATTGGAGCCATTATCAAAGTCGTTTGCGATGCAGTTGCGCAGACCTCATCGCTCGCGGTCCGACCAATTTTATATCCGGAACTCTACTACCCCACTTCTCAAACAGCTCGCTCACAAATCCGACTCCCATGCATGGTAGACTGATGTGGCTGCGTCGCGTGCTGTTTGCGACATATGTTGCGGGGTTGCGATCACATCATAATCTTGCAGATGACGAATACCCAGTCAACGCTTCTCCTGTTATCGCTCGGACAAACTTCGCTTCATTTCAAATGTATCGAAACCTGGACTCACATCTTAGTCGCAAATAGTCGCGTCGAATTTGGTTGCTTGTATTCCACGCGAACATGACCGCCCATGATGCCATTCGTATCCACCATCACGCTTCCACTGCTGACAAGCGCTATAGCCGAGGCACAAGCAAGAAATGCTGACAGTGGGTAGATGGCATTCATGATTGAGTGTTGGGAGACTTGCGTGTGTTGCTGTCGGCTGAAGAGTCGCGTCACATTTGCACGCGCGAAGCTGCGAAAAGCTTCCTCCAGCATACAAGCAGTATTCTGAACATGTCGTTCCGCTGCAAAAGTGTTGCTGTAATCGGTGCAGGCATCAGTGGCGTGGTAGCTGCAGCTCATCTTCAAAGAGAGGGTATCGAAGTCACCGTTTTTGAGCGCTCGAGTGCCGCAGGAGGCATATGGTATTTGACCCATCGTCCATGCCCCTCAAACATGACTGACGGCATGGAAGGCTCTACGATGAGCGACAGCCTCTCGAACCGCCGTATCCGAGAACCAAAGTTTGCAGAGCTGATAGTGTTCATGCGATCGAAGAGACGGAGATTACAGAGAGACTGCTTCATGCGCCACCTGGGTAAGTTCCACAGACATAATCGTCAAACGCTACGTTGGATTGACTGACCACATACAGTCCATGTTATGTAGGCCTCAAGAACAACGTGAGCACGCGCTTGTTGGAAACCACCTTGAATCCGTTCCCGCCTGGGACTGAGGATTATGTGACGCATCAAGTCTTGTGCGACTATATACAAGCTACTGCTGCCTCGACGGGGGTGCATGGGTTGACACAGTACGACACCGACGTGAGACACGTTACGAAGAACGGCAAATCGTGGACGGTCGAGACTGTGACTCTGCAAATTGATCTGGACGGTGCGCTAAAGCGACATGTATCCTCTCGTGTCAGTATTATTCTGATGCTGGCTGCACCTGCAGGTTGCTAATTTTGGGCTAGGACTTTGATGCCGTAGTGATTGCTTCTGGTCATTACCACACACCAAGAGTTCCTGACACGCCTGGACTGGCAGAGTGGAAGCGACGATTTCCTGATAGAGTACAGCATTCGAAAAGCTACCGAAGGCCCGAGAATGCCCAAGATAAGGTACGTACGCGTTAGAATGAGCGAAGCGACGTCGTTTTGATCTGATACTAGTCCAGAACTATCTACTCGTTGGTGCAAGTGTATCCGCAACGGACATTGCTCGCGAACTGAGCCCGTACGCAAAAAGGATTCTACAGAGCCAAAGAAATGGCAAATTCGATCTACCTCCTAGCATGCTTCCAGAGAATGCATTTCGCATCGAAGAGGTTGTGTCGTACGATGAACCACGCGCGGAATCACTGGACCCCGACGAAGCGATCCCGGCCACCGTCACACTGAAGTCAGGCGCAAAGATCTGTGATATCCACCATGTTATACTTTGCACCGGCTACTTTCTCACCCTGCCCTTTCTACCACAGCTCAGCTCGGACGAGACGCCAGTCGAGCTTGCGGACGACGCGGTGTTGATGACGGATGGAACACAATTCCACAATCTACACAAAGATATCTTCTACATCAACGACCCTACCCTCGCCTTTGTTGGCGTGCCGTTCTTCACGGCCACTTTCACACTGTTTGAGTTTCAAGCCATGGTCGTTGCGAAGGTACTCTCAGGCCAGTCCAAGCTTCCAAGCAAAGATGCTATGCGGGCGGAATATGACGCACGTGTGAATAGTAAAGGCTATGGCAAGGCTTTTCATAGTCTGCGAGATCAAGAAGCGAGCTATGTCAACGAGCTTATGGACTGGGTCAATGTTGATCTAGAAGCAGCCGGCAAGGATAAGCTACATGGTCATAGCGAAAAGTGGCATCGCGCAAGGGCAGAGCAGCTTGAGAGGATGAAAGCGTTCTTTGTCAACCCTGAAACTGAGAAGCGGTTTGAAGCGACGTGTATTTGATCTACTGGATGAATACAACATGTCTCAATCGCAATGACCAGTCTGCCTAGATAGTCAACAGCGCAGACGAGCCTTCTACAGTCACATGATCAAATGCAATGTGTTGAGGATCCCCGCGTCTTTCGGCATGGTTATTGCGCGACTCAGGCACGCAATTTGCATGCCTGATCACGACACATGACGCCACACGATTGCCATGCATCACGACGATCTTGAACCTACAAATACCGGAAGCGCATTTCGCATTCGAGCTTATCAGATCTAGGCTGTCTACATGTACTACGAACCCCACGCGAACCCTGTCATAACGCCATACCGGCCCCAGTATGTCGAATCGCGCTACGAACCCTACCGCGCATTATCGACTCGCCACTGACGCGCCGAGCGCCATGCTGAACGGCAACCTCGTACAAGATGCTTAGCGATGGTAAAGAAGGCCTTGTGCTGCTTGTTCAATAAAGCTGAGGCTTGTGCCAGCACCGCTTCACACAAGATATACGCTTCACACGCTTCACACTGAAGCCGCATGAAGATGGGTCGACCTCAGGATATATCAACGGAAGCAGTCGCAGCTACAACCGTCATCCAAACCAATGAAGAGCTGAAAGCGAAGCCGCACAAGTGGTACTACTACCTCTGGGATACCTTGGACAAGCCGAAAGAAGAGCGATGGTTCATGTTCAAGCTCGATGCCGCTCTACTCACTTTCGCATCGTTGGGTTACTTCATCAAGTACCTTGATCAGATGAACATCAATAGCGCTTTCGTGTCTGGAATGTATGTATTGGTTTTCCTTTAGCAAGCATTGGCTGACATCGGAGTAGGAAGGAGGATCTTGGGCTTTACGGCAACCAGCTCAACTACATGCAGACTTGTTGGACTGTGGGCTATGTCATCGGCGAGATACCCAGCAACATCATTCTGACTCGCATTCGACCGTCAATATGGATACCTGCTATGGAGGTATGGTCTTGCAGAAATATACCTGTGCAGAATACATGCTGATGACGCTAGCTTACTTGGGCTGTATTAACGTTCTGCCTTTGCCGTGCCAACAACGCCGAAACTATCTACGCTCTACGCTTCCTCATCGGCCTTGCCGAGAGCACATTCTACCCAGGCATGCAATACATCATCGGATCGTGGTATCGAAAGGAAGAGCTCGCCAAGAGATCTTGTATCTTCCATACCAGCGGTGCTATCGCGACCATGTTCTCCGGCTACCTGATGGCCGGCGTGTACAAGCTCGACGGCAAAGGCGGTTTCAGAGGCTGGCAATGGCTCTTCATCGTGGACGGGATAATCTCTCTCCCCATCGCGGTCCTCGGCTTCTTCTGTCTGCCCGATCTTCCAGAGATCTCCAAGCCTTTCTACCTGACCAAAGAAGAGGTAGCCTTTGCGCAGGAGCGCATGCGACTCGAAGGACGACAAAAACGGAAGCCGTACACTAGGGCCAAGATACGGAAGATCTTCACGTCATGGCATATCTGGGCTCTTGTCCCGCTTTATGTGTTCTTCAATAACGCAAGTATGGGATCACAGCCGATATTCCAGCAGTTTCTTAAGACTAGTAAAGACCCAAAGTATACCATCAGTGAGATTAACACTGTGAGTTCCGCTGCTCTCTTGTATCATCGGGTAGGGCTGACATTATCAATAGTATCCGACAACTACCAACGCTGTACAAGTCGTCACAACACTCCTCTACGCATGGACGAGCGACAGCATCCTCAAAGGCTCCAGATGGCAACCGATCGTCTTCGGCGGATGCATGAACATCCTTTGCTCTACCAGCCTCGCCATCTGGGATATACCCATCAAATGGAAGTGGGCTTGCTACATCCTCTCCGGATTCGGCGGCGGGCTTTCCGGCTTATGTTTCGCATGGGCCCACGAGATATGCACGCACGATAATGAAGAGCGGGCCATTGTTGTCGCAGCGATGAATGAGATGGCCTATGTGATACAGGCTTGGCTGCCGCTTCTTGTTTGGAGGCAGGTCGAGGCGCCGCAGTATCGTAAGGGGTTTATTACGGTGGCGTTCTTGAGTGCGGCATTGATTGCGACTGCGCTTACGATCCGGCTGCTGTATGCGAGAGAGCTATCGCATAGCCGTGGTGCTGGCGATCATCATCACGATGACCGAACCAGCTCTAGTGATGGAGAATCTGAGTCAGGTCTTGGTGCCGAGGTTGGTCACACCAAGGGGACTTAAGCCTCCGCAGGCGGGAAGGCTGTGCTGGACGATGGAGTTGGGGTATTGGACAGCAGACAATATTGGGAGGTATTCAGGTGTCCTGTCGCACGCGTCATATTGCAGCGCGTGAATCAGCTTCTCATAGGTACGCGGCTTTGATGGTATAGGTTGGTACGTGGCTTGATACTGTCACCATTCCACATCTGGTGTTCTTTCTCAAGGATTCTGGGCCCAGCTTTGCGACACGGCATGAGCTACTAAAAGTGACATCATGTGGCTTGAGGCTTGCGCAAACAACAGCACTGATTGACTCTGATTCAATGTAGAGATCTTGGCTGTCTTGAGATTTTCCGGCTTCATGGCTGCGCTGGAGGTCTCTGATATGAGGGGTAGCAACTACGGCAGGGCAACACCGAGAAGGCTGAGGTTCCAGAGTGCCCGATGTACGAGCGCATGCATGAGCTACGTGTATCCAGTAGCGACCTGCGAAAGACGCCATTGATACAGTCAGCCGCAATTTTGGCGCAATGCAGACCGTATGTGAAGAGAGTGGTTGATAGTTAAAGTGTAGTCGAATTCACCAAAATGTGCTGCGTACTGGCGAGCACGGACTCTAGAAACGACCCAGCCTATCGAAAGAACTCTGATAGTACGCATTTGTCTTTTCTGGCTCAAATAATTCAAAATATCACTCTTGGTCCCTCAAATATCTCGGACTGAGCTTACTGAGCGCGCTCAGAACACCTCTCCCCTCAGGATTCCTTCCCTTCCACGAAACTCCACTGATCCATCGAGATGCCTAGCAACCGAATAGGTCGCAATCACCCTGATGAGCCACGCGTTACTCACTACTATGTAGAGGAGAGTGACCCTGAATCAGATTCAGATTCATGGAGTAGCGAATCAGATTCAGACGAATGGAGCAGCGAGTCAGATTCGGACGAATCGAGTAGCGAATCAGACTCCGAAAGTGAATATTACATTACTCGCCCGAGGCGAGACGAGAGGGCTAGCTATCAGGTCTACACCGAGCGTCCATCTCGTCACTACCGAAAACCTAGGACATCTCGAGAGTATGAATACAAACCTCTCAAAGATGCAGAGTGTTACACTCGACTCCTCACAGTGCTGCCATTGCGACGTAATATCATTGAATGTGAGCTTCGACGCGTACTCAAAAAGCAAGCCTATCGAGAGGGATACCGTGCATTGTCCTATGAATGGGGCGATTCTGAGCGTGACAAGCGCGCGATTTATATTGATGGCAAGCTACACGAAGTCACCAAAAATCTTCATCGATTCCTACAGCATGCAGCGGTGGCTCGAATGGAAGGAACCCCCGGTTGGAACTCGGGCGTTTACTGGATCGACGCACTTTGTATAGACCAGAAAGACGAAAAGGAAAAGCTCACGCAGCTGAAACATATCCGAAATATCTACAGCTGTGCCTACGAGACTCTCGCATGGCTTGGCAGCGGGCCGTCTTACGTGGCCAGTGCGGTCGGCCTTCTCGGAAACCTTCGGGAAAGCATCCACCGAGGACCGGAGTCTGAAGAGGACGCTGTGAATCGATGGGCACAAATAATCAGGAGACGGCCTGACGCCATTAATGAAAAGCAGATAAGCGCCCTGAAAACCATACTGGACTGCCAATACTGGACGCGACTCTGGATAGTACAAGAAATTGTCGCTTCAGACCAGATGCGGTCGGCGTTTGGAAGGGAGAGAGTTCGTTTAATTTGTGGAAGGTCTGAATGTCCGTGGAGCTTCTTCATGTGCCTACCGCTGGTAATTCAGCTACATCCCAGCCAAAGCCTCACTGCTAAGGCTCTGATGACGAGGATCAAAGAGACTCAACGCATTTGGTTACTGTTCCAACTTGCGACAGGTTCGCTACGAGTGTTGACGTCTTCACAAGGAGGACGCAGGCACTTCGAGACGAAACAGCTTCCACTACCGCTATTGATCCACTTGACGGAGAACTCAGCTGCTACTCGTGGTGAAGACTACGTTTATGCGTTGCTTGGACTCGCTGACGGACGTTCCCGCCATCGGATCAAACCCGAGAACAATCTCACTGGATGCGAGTTGTTGACACAATTGATGAGGCGCATGTTGAAGAGCCAAGAGAAGCTCACCGACCCTGATGAACGCGACGAATACAAAGCAATGGCACGAATGGCTAGGCGGGCTCTCCATCGGCCTTTAGACAACAGTGAACGAACTTTCAGAGAGCGCAGGGAGTGCTGTGGCACCTACTGCGAATCGAGCAACAGCACAAAGTGTAAGGAAAAGTGGGGAAGCTATTGCGAATGCGACGCGCTGTTGACTTGTCGCATGATGGCGGCAACACAGTGGGAGAAGGAAAATCTGCTTACACTCGATTCTGGGCAAGGATGGAGTAAGAAACGCCTCCGTTTTGCTAGTAATGAGACGAGGGCGGGTATGAGTAGAGGTCTATTGGCAGTTTCAATGGTGGCGATTCTTGGATCGCAATACTTAAGAAACAAGGCACTTCAGCAGTAGGGCTATAGAATCCATTTTGGGCTCCTAGCGCCGAAGATCAGAGTTCGCTGATCCTGGTTGCCAGAGCTAGCAATTCTATGGACTGCGAAGGCTGATGACGGACATAGCCTTGGCGACAGAATTCTCGAGTTTTATCCATGTTGGTAGGGTACGCACAAGGTTTTAAGATCAGTGGGCTGGAATCTTTATTCGTGCGTTACTTTGTCAGATTGACCTTGTGAGATATGGTTATACCTAGATGAGACAAAACGTCTGCTCCTCTGGTATATCCCCTGTTGAACGCTGGAAAATCTCTCCGTTCATGATCTCGTCGACGTACGCCTGACCCATGAAGATGTATTCATTTCCCCTCGGTCTTAGCACGTAAGGTGTGTTACCTCCATACAGCACAACCACGATGTCACCGGCTCGCATGCATTGTGGGCCGAGACCATATGAGCTTTTCTCTGTCCAGAACATGCGCCGTTGTTGGCAGGCAAAGTAAGCTTCTTTTTCGAATTGGGCTGAATCGTTGTTGTGAGCGAAAGCACCCTCCGCGCCGAACTCTTGGAGGTACAATAACCTCTGGAGAGCATGATAGCAAGCGTCACGGTGTCTTAATTGCACTGACTCGCCTGAACGTTGCAGGTATTCATCCTCTTCATCACCCACCTGATACTGCGAACAGCCTCTCGTTAACGTACGAGCAAATCTTTCCGGAGCTGCTTCTACATCCGCCTTCTCGAAAGCCTTGATGAATGGATGCCTTTCGGTTGGATCGCTGATGGCGTATATGTCCTTAGCATCAGGGATGTTTTCGTCATCGTCTTCTGAATGTTCGGTAAACTTCGGATCGCAGACGTAATCAGGATCTGTCAGGTTGTAGAAGTCCATGATGTCTCCAACCTCACACACTTCGCTGTATACGACACCTTTGAGATAGAGTTGTTCTGGTAGTGAGGAACTTTCGTTCGCTATGACCGCTCCATGTTCTCCACATGCACTCCAGGGACATGATGCTTCAGGTACCCCCAGAGGTGGGGCGACTGCTATGTCATCCCACCGCGGGGCCCATGATCTGTATCCAGACATTGCATTATCCTTAGGGTTACCAGCACCTTGGAACGTAGGCCCGTTATAGTCGACATGGTGTGTGATGTAGGCGAATGCGGTCAACCTTGAGTAAAGTTGAATGACGGTCAATACTGTGTCGGCATACACCTGACCGACGCATTTCTCGTAGCTGACCCCCAGGGTTTCAACCTCGGATCTTGGCGAGACTATGTTCAGTAGGCCATACACTTTGTCTCTTAAATCGGAAGATTCGGATTCGCGAAAGTGCTGCAACGCCTCTAGTAAGTGATAGTTGTCTTTGTCGCGCAGCATATCCGCGTTCTTAACAGGAATGCCGTCGAGGAGGGATGCTACAAGATCTCCGCTATTTTCAAATACCATTTCATGGGTACCTGTTTTGTCAAAGATCCACGATGCACTCATACCCAGGACTCGCCAGGAGATCTCCTCGTCTCCCCAGATGACTTGAGCGTCTGAGGCTAAGCGGATCTCCTGAATACACCATATTCTAGAAAACCAAGGCCGACCAAATAACTCTTTTAGGCTGCTCACTATACGGGGAGTGAACACCTCCGCCGATAATTCAACTTCCTTATGCCTGGTCGAATGATCCGAAAGTAATCCCTTTCTCTGATCATACTTAAGACAATGAATGCCAATGACCTTGATGCACATAAACGCTAGCTGGGTTTGTTCCGCGTCTCCCTGTCCCAACGATACAACAACTCTTCTTGCTAATGAATAGATGCTTCCCATCATCGGAACTTGGTGACTCTTCTCAGCCGGATCTTGTTGGTTAATGCAAATTGCATCCACCCAGACGATACGCGTACTTTCTCGATAACGTAGCCTTCTCAATGCGTGCGAGAGAGATGGACCGATAGAAGTTGACTGTCCATTGCATAGAAGCACGTCAGGTGGGTTTGGATTGCCCCATACGTATGACAACGCTTCATAAGGAGGGGCTTCATCGATGTTGTACGGCAGGCAGGCACATTCCAGCAGACAGCTCTGGTCCAGCGCGGGAGCAATATGGAGAAGTCGGAATGTACGGCCGCTTAGAAGCTTCTGCGCGTAGCTGAGAGGGGCTGACATTAGGTATTTGGAAAAATTTCGAATGCGAAATGTGTTTACGAGCATGAACCTTGACAAATATCTCTAGAGCATTCTGACTCATGCTACGCTGGTTCGCATATGTCCGGTACGTGTGTATCGCAATTCGGTACGTGCGTTGCGTATACCCAAATTACAATAAAGTGGCTGATAGACGCCGGTGATCGAGGACGGCAGACCAGCCGCGCAGGGCTGGCAAGTCACAGGTCGCGGTAACGGGGGTCGTGTCGATACTCAACAGCGTGTGAAAACCCGGACAACACCGATGACGTACACAGCCTTCGTGACGAAGTTTGCATGCGGTGTCCTAGGTGGGTAGGTGGGAAGCAGAGGTGCGTCTTGTAGGAGGTTGGGAAGTGGCACTACGATAAGACCTCGGCAATGTGCCGCAAATGGTACTGACATGTGGACATATACGCTAACGTAGAATTTCATTGTCGCGCTCGTGGGGAGCTGAGAGGCGCGCCAAGCAACGTCATCTACCGCAACTTCAACCGTAGCTTGATTCGCGCCGCTGTCACCTACCACTGCCATAACGCATTTCGGTCAATTGCCGGACCATGATACCCCTTTGCGCTTCCTTGATCTTTACTCTCACCGTTGCTATGCGCGGGCCTGCTGAACGCGACGAAGGCCGTCTGAGAATCTTGCCTAGCCACGTTCCCGCCCCCAATGCTGGCCTCAGGCGATCCACGAGCCGAGTGCGCGGTATGGTGACCCGCTTCCTTCATCTCAAGTCGCACGTGCGTCGTTCAAACGACGGTGCCTGGGTGCGGGACACATCCACCTACTAGCATCCATGTCATTATGGGAGCATACTATAGGGCATTTATACGAAGTTTCACTAAATCTCCAGCCTTATCTCTGACGCCCCCGTTCTAGCTAATGCGGGCTGGTCAGACTAAGCGAAACCACCTGCCCTTTTGCGAAGCCTTACCACCACGCTCAAGCACGTTGGGACTTGCCAGTTTATTGTAATATTTCGATTGGTCCACAGGTAAAGAGGTGCTGGAGGATTTCTCTCCTCGCCGACCTTCACCGTGATGCAAACGGTCACGATCATCCTGCTGATACCGATACTGATGCTCCTTCGGACGTCAAGTGAGAATGTGGTAAGGGCGCTTTGGTCTGCCAACGGTTTTGCGGCCACGTGCGCTACTGTGGGAACTATGGGAAGATCAGTACGATCACTGCGGCACGCTCCATGAGTGGAGTGTACAACCACGGCTACTGACGATCGCAAAAGAAAGCACTGCGCATCATGTCGGACTTCTACAGCTTCTGGAACCCAAGGCGCAATTAGATTTTGTTACTTGGAGTTGAATGTTTCCGTTATAGACTTCCCGATCGGCCATTCAGAAGGACCGTATGATGACCCAAGAAGCCGAAAAGCCACATGGAAAACATGGAAGACCTGGCTTCGGGTGCCCTCAGCCGCACAAGCATGAGTAAGTGTCTGGACCAGTCGCGACCCTCGGGCGATGGTGTCGTTTCAAGCAGGTGGCAGGCGAAGCGCCACTCACACTATGCGCGGGACGTGCGTAGCTCACTTCAAGTAAGTTTCAACTCCTGCTCCTACGGGTCGCGGGGTAGTTGGTGTGTATGCCGGCTCCTAATTCTACTATGCCGGTTATAATGGCCGCGGGCGCTCCCGAGTGATTCAGGAATGCTTTTCTGGTACCCGCGGAGGACTTATGTTGTTTTTGCGCCTGTCTCTGCTTGCGTTTACTCATCATGACTTCGAGATTTCCTACGCCGGAGGAGTTCGCATCGTTTCCGCCGCCTAACTATGTCGACCCGGCGAACCACTTGACATTGGCATTGGCGATACTGGTTCCACTGACTGTCCTTGTCATTGGGTTCATATCATGTCGCTTCTACTGTCGGACAGTGCTCGTTAATACATTGGGATGGGACGACTGGACGATGCTGATGGCAGCGGTAAGTGACGGAATATCTCGTCTGGCAACCTCAGAGTAGAACGCTGACCTGTGTAGGTGATGTCGGTTGGAAGCAACGTTATGCTCATTATATCGATGCTGCCAGATTACCAAATGGGCTACCATCTATGTGAGTAGGCTGTGGCTATGTTGTTTGTGCCATATCTAATATTAATTAGGGGATATCAAACCATTGCGACTCTTTGGGACGATGAAGGCCGCTCAAGTCAGTTGCGCGTCACAACCCGATGTACTCAAGCTCACAGCAGTATAGATGGGCATGGCGACTCAATTGCTCTTCACTGCCATCATAACATTCATGAAGGTCGCAATTCTTCTTACCTATATACGTAAGTGCGCAGCATGTGAGACAACTCTGGTACTCTGTTGACTGATGGCTTACAGGCATATTTCCATCCAAGCTCGATAAGTGGTTCTGCCGCTTGATGATCTTCTACACGGTCACTCTGAACACGGCCTGCTTCTTCATCACCTTATTTCAATGCTCGTAAGTATCTGCGCCTAATTCAACTGTGGCGCATCGTGCTAACAACCAGTTCAGACCTGCAAGCACATACTGGGAGATCTTCAAATACATCGACACCGCCAAGTGCCTCAACATCAAGGCCATCTACTATTTCCACTCGGCACAGAACACCTTCAGCGACTTCGTTATATTCCTATGGCCCGCGAGAAATCTTTTGAACGTCCAAGTATCGCTCCGTCAGCGCGTGACGTTGACGAGCATGTTTTCGCTTGGTGTTATGTAAGTCAGCCGCTCGATCTACCTTGAACCGTTCTGACGTGCGGTTAGTGTTTGCATCGCCGGCGTTGTGCGACTATACTACACGCACCTATACCTTGTATCATTCGACGTCTTTTGTGGGTCACCATCAAATAACAGCTGCACACAACCACCGACTAACATTACGCAGGGTATGGAGCTACCACCTTCATCATCATGTCTGTGGAGAGCGGTGTAGGCGTCGTATGTGGCTGTCTCCCAGGCTGCAAACCCCTGATGAACAAAATGTTCCCACGCGTCTTCGGCAACACATCGCAAGCATCGTCCCGTCGCCGCCCATCAAATAACTTCCTCGGAGGCAAGTTTGCACCGACATCGTCTTCTTCGGCAGGAAAATCTGAACAGGGATCATACCGCATGAAGCCTATCCATCCTCGTCCCGAGATAGGGCGCGGTGCGACAATGGAGAAGCGACCCCAACCAGACGTTGAGAAGCAGCTCCCCCCGCCACCACCACCACCGTCACACCACGGGCTGCGGCCGCCCAGCCGATCAGCGTTTACCGGACGGAGGCAAGGAGACGCGTACAGAGAGCTCCAGGGCAATGGAAGTGACTCCAGTATAGAGATATTCCTTTTACAGCGTCATTAAACCATGTTATCCCTACCTGAGGAACAGAAGGAATTGAGATAGACAAAAGAATGCTCGTGCTTTTCAGTGTCGCACCGCCCTAATGACCCAGAAGTTCATTATGCCGCTGATGTCATCGACCGCACGTCTTTTGTCACATTTGCGTTTGTACTACTGTGGACGCTAGAAGCCCGTTTGACCCCGCCCCTGAGCGCACAAATAGAGTCGCGTCCCGTGTTAAAAGAGTCGGCGGGGAAGGCGGCATGGCGGATAGCTTGCGGTTACCCCACTTCGCGTGTTTGCTACCTCGCCTCATTGCGTCTCAGTGTCTCGTCATTTCTCCGTTTAGCCTGGCCGCTTCTGCCTTCCGAACAACAAACAAGGCTTTGCAAGCACAACATGGGATGTCTCTCGCTTCGACGGATCGGAAAGAGAACGAGACAGTACTGATGGTAAAGAACTAACGATGGTGTATTAAGCAATGGCAATATTCCTCTGCTCCCAGCGACGGTCACCCTCCATGTATGCGTCCAGCCGGAAGATACCAACGCGCGTGTACTTCTTTGTATGCGGCTGCATTGCCAGAATAAGTCCCCGATCTATGGTGATACGAGCCAGTAACACAGTATGGCATCCCGCAGTGTATTCGTCGCACTGGCCAGACAGGTCGGTCCACGCTTTTCCAGACTTCGGATTTAAGAAAGTAGGATTCCAAGACGACCAATCATCTCTCGAATCTTCTTGTGCCCCAGCCGTCCTTTCTTCGTCGGGTCGATGGCGCGTAGCTGTGTTTCTGAACCCCCATGATTGAGGAGCTCTTTCCTGTCTTCCCAGTTTTGCGTGTAGGGTTAACGTTCGAAGTCTAAGCTCAGCATCAAAGACGTCGCTGAAGTCGTCTTTAGACGTAGCATTCTCGACGATGACGTTTAGCCGCTGGCAGGTAATCGAATCACTATCATTCCATGAGTAGATGATAGGTCCCTCGATCGACGCCCAAGACCATGACGGAGCCACCCATTCAGGGGCTCGGGTGGCTTTATGGGAGCTCCGGTCGTCACAGTCTACTTCCCAAAGTAATTGGCTCGGCAGGTGTTTTGCCCAGAGCCCAGCGTAGTATCGCACAGATGAGGACTGTCCAAACTTTCTGGCAACAGCCGAGATAGCGCGGAGCTTGTCAGTGTTGTTGCTCAAACTTAGGTGACTGTAGTGCATGACGATACGTTTCCAAAGATCCAGAAACTCGTTTCCATCCGCTGGTAGAGTGTACCAATGAGCCGGTAAGTCAAGCGAATGACCAGTTCCATGTTGCGCAAACGTTTCAGAATTCGTGATCCACCCATCTGTTTCCGGAACGACTTCATCAGTGCGATTAGCGGTGCATAGATACCGCAGCTGATGGGTACCGAACTCTAGGATGCGGGGTGAAAGGATTTGTTCTTGGAAGCACCACCCACGTTGGTGGATTGGCTCAGCATTTCCCATGCATCTGCCTGCCCAGAGGATTACGGAACCTATCTGGCCGTTTTTGCAAAGGTAGGGTAAGCGAAAACCTCTTTCCTGGGGGATATATCTGGATTGTAGAAACCCATCTTGCACCCTGGGACTTCGTGAAGCTAGCAGGGTAACATGCGCAAGGGAGTATATATCGCCCATCCGGGCGAGCTCGACAATCTTGTCATCATTATCGTCCTGAACTATGCAAAGAGCGTCTATCCAGATGTACTCAAGCCCTAGTTCAGCCGTCACTAGTATGGCATCCTTAAGCGTAAGTGGAAGATCGCTGAACGAGATCCTGGACCGCCATGAGATTAAATTGTCTCTTTTCAGTTTCACTAGCTGATCTCCTCCCCAACAGTAGCTCAAGGTAGCATACTTTGGCCGTTCGATGTGTGCTGTTTCCACCAGGCATAGCTCTGGATCCGTAGATATGGCTGAGCCCTTGGGCCTTTTAAATATCTTGATGAGACGGCGAGGTTTCAAGACACCAGAGCCCGTGGTCAGCCGCCGGGATTTGTTGCCGCACGCATGGTGTGTGGTGGTGCACGTCTGCAGCCACGTACGAGCCTTAGACATGGTTTCGGCGGATGCAGGATTCAGATTTGGCAGCCTGTGTTTGATGTCCGCAGCGGCCACGTTACTGAGCCACATTCATTATTAGTGCATTGATCTAGCAAAGAAGCCGTGTTCCACGGAGGACGTACTCAGGCTCGACGCACAGGACTAGCTTGCGAGCAAAATCTCTACCGTCCGTGTATTGATTGATATCATCCACCCAGTCTAGCACAAGCTGTTCTTCGGAGTTATGTGTGAAGTAACCGCGCAATTGACTGTTTACTGTGGTGTCCCGCCGGTGAAGGGTGACAAGCCACATCATCCATTCGCAGCCACCCTTTGCCAATGCGACGGCCTCTCCATAATAAAGATTGAACCAGTACCCATACTCATTGCCGGTCGAAGATTCGTTTTCGGTAATGAGCTCCCATGAGCCCTTTTCTGGGCAGCGGTTGTAGCCATGGAGGTAGAGGAGCAGTTTTGATTGGCACACCTTACAGGCGTGGGGCAGAACAGGCACCAGCATACTTGATAGGCATCTGCAAGGTTTATACAGCGTAACAAAGTGGTCAGTATGCAGTCAGGCAGCTGGAAAAGTGAAAGGAATTGAAGTCGCGCGGCGGCGTTCGACGTGGAACGAGACGACGCGGGGCGGGATGTGGGTCGGCGTTTAGCTTGCCCCACTTAGCGTGTTTGCTCCATTGCCTCGCCTCATCGCTTTGTCGTCATTTCTCAGTCTTGGGGGTCTTGCGAGCATTCCCATCGGAACAGTGTGGCTGTTTCATACAAAAGTTGTTATACAGAACCTTATCGGATAGAACCTGGCTCACGAGGGCAGCGAATCGCACAGATCGCAGAGCTCATCGCGCGTCACGCCAAATCTTTAGTCCGAAAGCCTCACTAAGCCATTCAACTATGTCCAACGCACCTCGAGGCGGTGATAGAGGAAGAGGTGGATTTCGCGGAGATCATGGAGGTGGACGCGGAGGAGGAGGGAGAGGCGACTACAGAGGTGGCGGCTTCCGAGGGGATCGAGGCGGTGGGTTTCGGGGTGACAGAGGTGGAGGCCGTGGTGGCGGCAGAGGAGGGTATGGCGGACCGCCCCGCGGTGGCCAGCAAGGCATCCAGATCTTCCCGTAAGATGTTTACCAATATTTGGTCCATCCAGAATTAATATTTGTACAGCAACACTCATCCGCAAGACAAAAACGTCGCAAAAGTTGAAGATGCTTTGCATCCAGTTGAAAAGAAAGGCCTTGATCTTAGCACCCTGAAGCTATCAGAAGGAAATCCAACGAGACCCGGATATGGCACCAAAGGTGTCGAGGTAGAGCTCACAGCGAACTATGTTGAGCTGCTGCCACCTTCGAATATGGTGTTGTATCGCTACGACGTTGACGTCCAACCGGAAGCGACTGGAAGGAAGCGTCACCGAATATTGGAGCTCTTGCTTCAGTCATCCGAGATGGTTCCTCACAAAGGCGACGTCGCGACTGATTTCCGTCAAACTCTCGTCTCCAAGACGAAATTCAAGCACGATGAAGATATCGTCGAGATTCAGTACCGCACCGAAGGCGAAGATGACCCAGCTGCAAACGCCATCGTTTACAGGATCAAGATCAAGTATATCAGGACGTACAGCATCGGTGAGCTAGTTGACTGGATGAACTCCACCAACCTCAGTCAGTCATTTGGCGACAAGCAAGAACTGACGCAGGCACTCAACATCTTCCTGAACCACTACGTCAAGTCGTCGAATAACCTTGCGACGATTGGCTCATCGAAGAGCTTCTCCCTCAATCAGAACGCAACTCGAGGAGATCTCGGCGCTGGCCTGGAAGTTATCCGTGGCTTCTTCTCGAGCGTGCGCGTTGCGACTTGCCGCATCTTGGTCAATATCAATGTCAGTCACGGAGCCTTCTATCATTCTGGTCCTCTACCAGGTCTCATGCGCAGCTACGGTACACGAAACACTATCGCTCTGGAAAAGTTTCTCAAGCTGGTCCGCGTCCAAACGACTCATTTGGCTGAGAAGCGGAACAAAGCCAAGCAGGTCATTCCTCGCATCAAGACTATATTTGGGCTTGCTAGGAAGGATGACGGTCATAAGCTGGCTAACAGGCCACGCATCAAGGGCCACGGTGCAGGCGCCAAGGACGTTGAGTTCTGGCTTGATGCCGACGCCGGCTCTTCCGATGCACCCAAGGCGGAGGCGGGTGCTGCAAAGGGCAAGGGCAAAGGAAAGCCCCAGCCTAAGGGCCCAGCGCCTGCTGGATCGGGAAGATACATCAGCGTTTTCGACTTCTTTAAGACGAGTATATTACTCTCTTCTTCCATGTTGTCACTGTACTAACGGCATGTAGCATACAACCGGGTCCTCCAGCAACCCGAGCTGCCAGTCGTCAACTGCGGCAATCGAGAAAACCCCATGTACCTCCCGGCAGAGGTCTGCATTGTTGTTCCCGGCCAGCCATCCAGGACCAAGCTTGATAGTGGCCAAACACAGACTATGATTCAATACGCTGTACGCAAGCCGTGGGAGAACGCGAAATCCATTCTCAACGAGGGTGTATCGACCGTTGGTCTGGATGAGAACACCAACGTTTTGCTGGTAAGTTCCTAGTCGCGCTGTGAAATCCATTCGCTGACCATTCCAAGCGCTCTTTCGGTCTTACCATCACACCGGGTCTGATCAAAGTACCAGGTCGAATCCTCGCCTGTCCAAGGGTCATCTACAAAGGTGACAAGACTGCTCCTGTCGACCAGAATTTTGGCCGTTGGAACATGATGAACATCAAGTTCAATACTGGCGCATCCCTAACGAAATGGTCTACAGTCATGATATCTCTTCCAGGTAAACGCGACTCTTTCGATCGCCAAGCTCTCGGTGCGGTGATGCAGGAGTTCTACCAAGGCTTGCTCAAGATTGGTATCCATGCCCAGCCGCCCCTTGCCCCACAACCTCTTCAACTCAAACATCCAGACGATCCCTCTCTCGGCCCGTTTCTACAGAGGGCGGCTAGTTCTTTGAATCTCCTATTCATTGTGCTACCAGAGGCAAACATCCCCTTGTACAAGCGCATCAAGACACTCGCCGACAGAGACTATGGCCTTCACACGATCTGTTCTGTTGGCTCTAAGCTCTGGAAGGAGCGTGGTCGCGATCAGTACATTGCGAATATCGCATTGAAGTGCAATCTAAAGCTCGGTGGCATCAACCAGATTGTCGAAAACAAGAGCCTTGGCATCATCGATCAAAACAAGACGATGGTGGTTGGTATCGATGTGACCCACCCTTCTCCAGGCTCGGCTTCCAACGCTCCTTCTGTATCGGCGATGGTTGCTTCTGTCGACAAATTTCTTGGACAATGGCCTGCGACGCTGCGGATCCAGCGCGGAAGGCAGGAAAATGTCGACGATCTCGCTGAAATGTTGAAGTCGCGTCTCAACCTCTGGAGGACCAAGGGCAAGCACCCCGCATTCCCCGAGAACATTCTCATTTATCGCGACGGAGTATCAGAAGGACAATATGACATGGTGCTGTCACAGGAGCTTCCCCAGCTGCGAAAGGCATGCGAGGCACTGTATCCCGCAACTGACACCAAGAAGGGTCTTCCACGCTTCACGGTTGTCGTCTGTGGTAAGCGACATAAGACACGCTTCTATCCAACGGCGGAGAAAGATTGCGATGGCGTGGGGGACAAGAGCTCTGGCAATACGAAGCCTGGCACCGTCGTCGATCGCGGCGTGACAGAGGCCCGCAACTGGGATTTCTTCCTTCAAGCTCACGCCGCACTCCAAGGAACAGCGCGTCCTTGCCATTACTATATCGTTCACGACGAGATCTTCCGCCAGATCTACGCTAAACAGATCCCGCCACAGTTCTGCAACATTGCCGATATCGTGGAAGACCTTACCCATAACATGTGTTATCTGTTCGGTCGTGCGACGAAGGCTGTAAGTCTGTGCCCGCCAGCATACTACGCCGATCTGGCTTGTGAGCGGGCTCGTTGCTACTTAGCAAACCTGTTCGATACGCCGACGGCAAGTGCTGCGCCTTCCGTTGCTGGAACTTCCGTAGCTGGGGGTGCGTCGCTGGACCCGAGCGCGTCGGATGTTCAGATCCATCCCAGGCTCAAGGACACTATGTTCTACATCTAGGCAATGGCGGCATGGGTAGTCACTTACATACAGCTATCACCCCTGGTACAAGATGTAGATTGCAAAGTTAAAAAAGGACGTCTAGGTGAGGAAGAACCTACCCGGCATTGAGTGGCAATTCATCGCTACAACATCCATCGATATGGCAACGTGTCGGTGATCCAAGATCATACTGTTCATTATTACTAGATACACAGCTCCATAACAGCCAAATACACTCATTCATCAGCCCCGACCCACACCCCTTCTCAAGTCCTACGCCTCTCCCACTAATGACCTCGGCGCATACTCCACACTTCTAAACTGCGCATAGTTCCCAGCCGCCATCTGATACATCGCCTGATCCGCCACCCTCAACCTCCTGCTATGCTGCTTATCCATTACCGCCGACATTCCGCCAGTATATGTATATCGAATACATACCATTGATTCCGAGCTTGCTTAGACTGGTGCACATGGAGACTTGCATGCTTTTTGCGCTCGTTCGCTTAATGTTGCTTTGTAGCGACTCGTTATCGCGATGCCGTCCGAAGTGGTCTTTGGCTTCTGCGGTCGTGCGAACAGAGTCCATGGAAGTCGCAAGTAGCCATGCAAGTGCAATCACGAACCATTCCGTGCAACACAGTCATAAAGTATATGCGTCTCGCATATCTAACCCATGGCGCCATGCACGCAGGATCTAGATCTACCGGTGCGCTCTGCTGACACACCAGCCATATATCCGCTAGTGCAGCTCCTCCGGCAAACTGCTTCGTATCGCGTTATTCCACTGCTGTGGCGTAAACAGCTTCTCGCCACGGGTCGCGCGCCAATAGTTTGTCGTTTCGTACACTTCAGGGCATCCACTTAGCAGCCAACCCCACTTCTCCAGGAACACCGGATCGATCTCCCAGCTCCGGTAATCTTCGGGTGGCCCCCAGACGATCAATATCGGATTGCGATCCAAATGATTGTACTCGCAGATATCGTGGCATAGCGCGTCTTCGTAGTCGACAGGTTCCGTTCGTTGGAAAGCTTGCAGCATGTTATCTCGCACTTTTGGCCATGGGAACACATCAAGCCAAGGGTGGTGTTCTATAGAGGTTTGTAGCTCGGTGGGCTGGAGACATGCGGGCCATTCTGCTCCTGCGTCTGCGCCTAGGAGCGGGCCCTGTTTGTTGAGTGGCGAGATACCATACCAATCGTAATATTGTGCAGTGACTCCTAAGAGATCGGCATTCCGTGCGAGACCGCTGGCGACGTTGTATTTAAGTAGCAGCGGTAAGTGGGACAGGGCGGGTGTGCCTTGCATGTAGCTGGCGTATGCATGTTCGGAAAAGCGGCGCATGAGTTCCTGCACCTTGGGGTGGGCGGCCATGCATGAATTCTGCGCTATTGCAACATCTCGGTCGCTAATATCGTCCAGGGATAGGTCAGATGTGCTACAGCTATCTTCGCGAACGGACGTATCGCTCTCGTTGGCTTCGTCTGGTATGACAACACGGCGGGGCTGTTTGGCAATAGCGTTCTTCTTTTGTGCGCGGTTCCCTAGCAAAGTATCAGCACATTACTTCCTTTTAGCGATCCATATCCAAGGCGACTTACTCCGTGCTCTTTGGTTCAAGCGGTTTTGTAGTTTTCGCCTCTCGATCGGATTCGTCACGCCCATCCAATCCTCCGTCTCATCGCGTAGCTCAGGCCGCTGAGACGACCAAGCTAACTCAATAGACGCATCTGCATGGCCGAAAATGAATGGCATCGGAGTTGCTGACATGGCGGCAGGTGAAGATCGTGTGCGGAAAGGACACCCTCCGAGTGCGTGCCAGCATATATGCAGATTGATGACGGCTCGCAAATCGGACCTAAACAACTAAGCCCCGCTTCGAGAAGCAGCATAGCCGCATCACATTTCGTAGTGTTGATGAAGTTTCGATGTCTAGTCTGGGTCCATGCTGCTTCGATGGGTGTCAGCAGCCTGCGTAAAGTCCGCGTTAGCTCCCTTTAGCGCCTGGGCTGATGCACCAATGCCATCTAGACAGCGGCAGGGCCCACTTTCTTGTCGCTCTCGCTCTCGCTCTCGTGCTCGGAGTTTAATAGATCGGAGGTCTAAGAAGGTAGTTGATGAAATTCTGGGTGCAATATCTAGACTTCGCGACGACTGCACATCTCATTCATTAGGACATGTGAGGCTTCGGCTTGCAAAAAGCTATGGCAGTCGGGCATTCAGCAATGCCCTTTCACTGGATAGTCCCACTAAGACTCATGACCTTATTGTCACTTCCGCTTCCCAAGCAGGATGATTGAATAATTGCGCACGCTTCGTGGCGAAGTCAACATCATACGTGATATTTTGCATCGGATCCGCAGCTCATGTAGCGTTGAATTGTTTCAGCTGAGACTAGTCGCTTTTCATTCATTGTATTTATTGCTTCGTCATCGAGAAATGAGTAATCATCTTCGATCGCCTGCACGTAGCTTTTCGATTCTTTCATAAGCTATAGTGAGCGCCGCATCTTTTGCGAAGCGACGTCTTCGGGCTTGTCCCCAGGATCTTCTCATCGGGTCTGCAGTGACTGTTCCGCTCAAAGCCGCACAGATCTCGCTCAAGTGACCGTGCCTCATTTATCAGCCGCAGGGACGCGGTCGAGTGGGATAGTCTCCATGTCTCGGATAAGCACAGCTGGCCTGTCATATTCGAAAACGATCTCCAGCGCAGGCCTGCATTTTGTAAGGAACTCGAGGAACTCGCGGCGGAATGCTTCATGGTAGACGCCGCGGAATTCGAGATACCTCAACTTCGGCACGAAGGTCTTGTCTGTCAACCAATCCATTGTGCTGTTGAGACGAATGCGCTTGGACTTTTGACCTTGGACAACAGTCAGAGTAACGGATTCGATGTTTGCGCAATTCTTGAGGATCGTTGGGAATGCGGTACGCGTGAGCTTCGATGTACCGTGGAGGGCGATGACCTCTAACTGAGGCAAAGCTTTGGTCAACTTCTCTACACCTGCGCTGGTGATCTCAATGGCTTCCTTCCTCTCAGCATCTCCGGCGATGAAGACGCGGACGGCGCTTCGGAAAGTGGCATCTGCATTCGCAATGACGTCAACAATGGTGCTGAGTATTATCAGCAGAAGTTAACACAATTCCCGAACAGGTTGGACGTACTCGTCCACGTTAATGCCAGAAGCGAAAACGATCTTTTGAACGGGCTTCGCAGTGCTATCGAACTTGGTCGATGCATCTACGTGCATAGTTTGCTCATCTGAGATTGCAGCAGGCTGGTACTCGATGGCCTTCCCTTTCCTTGCCTTTGCACGTTTCTCGAAGGCGTCCCACGAAGCGTCGGCCTGAGGCTGAGCTTCCAGACGAGCATCCCACTTCTCCTTGGGTTCATCCCAGGGTCCGTAGGCCTGTGTAGCGGGAATATCATCATCGGGGCTGGTGTCCGACCCCGCTTGGCGCTCCTCAATCACCTTGAGCCTTTGGATCTCTCTCTCCTTCTCCTTCTGCTTCTTTTTCTTGGCGGATCCCGACAGTGGTGCCATGATGTCTTTTTTTTGGTATATGACGTTGGATGACTAGAAGAAGCCAGGTGTCGAGGTGTCGAACGAAGAGATCATCGGAAGGCGGGGGTTCCCCACTGTCATCTCGCGCTTTACCGCATCAAACCTAGTGGCTTTGCGGCCCTTTCGTACCTTCACTCTCGTGTCTCACTGCGTGTTATCTGTAACACGACAAAAGGCGACCGCGCCGGCACCAATATCCTGAGGCATGTCTACGATACATGCCTGACTCTTCAGATATGCCCGACTCGGTCGCAGTATCGAAAGACCAGGGGCGCGCATGTCCGGAACAAAGTTCCCGGACATAAGATCGAATGAACGCGAGCCCGGAGTAGAGTCACCCGGGATTTCATGTAGAAGAACGCTTCATCTGGGAAAGGGAGCATAGAATGCCAGTAACACCGCATAAGAGCTTCCTCATACTACCTAGCGCTGAGCGTTCTGGTTGCCCGGAGGGTCAGCCTAGGTGACTCATCCGAGTCTAGGCCGGTGTGAACAATCCGTCGACGCGTCGAAGATATGCTTATAATAAAGCTTGAAAGCGTAGGTGCTTGAATACCACTACCAAGCATCAATCATCCAGCTCTTAGCCTCAAAATGTCACCATACGACTTCCACATCTCAACTCCCCGTCTCTACCTCTCCTACCTCGATCCCTCCTCTGACGAACAGTGCGACTTCACTCTTGCACTTTACCATGGTGCTCCATCTGTCAGGCGGTACCCTGGCGTAATCAAAGACGTACCAGATCGCGAAGCAGCGCGGAAGATCGCCGCTTCTGGGGATGAGAAGCTTCGTGCGACGGGTTATGGGCGGTACATTATCAGCTTGAAATCAGAATCACCTGAAGGTGACGAGGAGACCGGAGTTCCATTCTCTCAGAAGAAACTAGAACGCATTGGGATTGTTAGCATGCAACTAGGACGTGTTGCGGGCGAGCAAGCACCCACCATGCCGGATGTCGGCTTTAACATGATGGAGCGGTACCACGGGAAGGGGTATGCAACGGAAGCTGCGCAGGGATTGATCAAGTACTTTCGCGAGGAGAAAGGTGCGAAGGAGATTGCGGGTTTGACCGATGACACGAACGAAGAGGCAAAGAGACTCTTCCGCAGACTGGGGTTCACGAATCATGGAGTCAGGACCGTACGTGGTATTCGATGGTCGGGTGAAGAGCTTGACGTGGATCTCTGGACTTTGGGACTAGAGGATGGGAAGAAACTGGAAGATTTTGGATTCTGATCCGACACGGCTGCCGCGTATGCTTTCCACTTCGTACTGGCGTTCTTTCGCTATGGGTTATCTTTAAATGGGGGATTTTCCATGCTTGAAGGGGATGGATTATGATATCGAAGTATTAATGCGCAACCTCTGCTATGCTGCAGGACGTCATATCATGTGACTACTCTAATTGCTGTAGTTTTGAGCTTAGCTCGAAGACCGAGGAGACACTTTCGCCTCAGGCATATCTTTACACTCCCCAGCCTTCCCGTCTTGCGACAGGCTTCCCGCCTCAGTGTCAACGTCAATCCCATCCAGATACTCGAATCCAGTGACAACACGTGAAATCAGAGTCTGCTGAGCCGGGAAGAAAAGGTTGCAAAAGTAGTACAAGAAAATGGACAAAAAGAACCCATACAACCAGTTGAACGTGAAGAGATTCTGGAGGCCAGCCGAGAGCTTCAACTCCGGATTGACTTTGTTGGCTAGGCCTGGCAACAGAGGGATGATGGTAACGAACGTTGCGACAACAGCGCGCCAGTTTGTACCGTAGCGACCATATCGGTAGATGCCTCTTGGGTCGTACAAAGCGGGGACGTCGTACTTCCTGTGCTTCACCAGCCAGTAGTCCGTGAAAAGGATGCCTGCCATGGGCGCCATGAAGATGGCATATGCGCTCATGAAGTTAAGGAACGCCTTGCCTGACGCTACGATGATCCAAGGACATAGCGCCCAGCCGCCGATGAACGCGACGAGAATGGAACCTCGACGCACGTTGAGGTACTTTGGCGCTAGCGTTGTGACGTCGTTGGCAAAAGAAACGGCGTTCGCACTAATGTTGACGCTGAGCTGCCCAAGCAGCCAGATGGAAGCGCAGAAGAAGGCTGCTGCACGGCCGCCAGGCGTGTCCCATGTATCGATAATCTGTAGTGGCGTCCAATAGGCCGTGCCCCAGATCTCTTGGGCGGCGGATGCAGAGACGATCCCCATCAGAGCGACCATAGTCTTGAAGAACGGGATCACCGGCATCTGCCAGTATTGCGCGGTAGGATCTTTGCTGAAACGTGAGAAGTCGGGGATGTTGACAGCGAGAGTGCTATATCCACCAGTGATGCTAGTCATGCTTGATAGCCAGAGCCAAGCCCTCTCAGCACCATGTACCGAGGCCGGGCGTGTGAAGAAAGTGCCATTACCACCAGCTTTGACAGCAACCCATATTGTCATTCCGATAGCTACGGGCGGCAACAGAACTGTCTTCACCCAGAACATGTACTGTAGCCTGTGCGTTGGGATAAGGAGGAATGGGAACTGAATGAGCCAATACAGGAAGTATGAGACCATCCCGGCCGTGGTAAGCCCGACCGACGCAGGTAGGTGGTTGGGGATATCACGAAAGCTTGGCCAGATTGCATTCAGAATCTAGGAGGATATGTCAGAAGATGCATTCATCAGGGAATACTCAGTATAACGTACCGCAGTCACACATGTACCTCCATTGGCTGTTTGAACCCCGAACCAAAACATGGCCAAGACACCTCTGCTCACAATGGCAAAGTAGCTGAACCAGTAACCAAAGCTAGCGCGAGAGGCGATAGGGAATGGGATGTGTAGATTCGAGCCGATGGCGCCGTTCAATACTGTGGGTATAGCGTTGCATATACCCGCAACGAGCGTTATGAGCACAGCGTCAGTTGCCGTAAGCCCTACTTCGATCAATATGATATCCCACTATAATGAATCTGATAGTCAAGCTCTTACCTAGTGTGAAAATAGCAGATCCTGAACTCCAAGTCGATATAGTAACGAGGTCACTGAACCAGTACGTTACGAATGCGCTCTTACCCCAAGTGCGCTTCTCCGGTGGCACTGGCTCCATATCCGCATTGGTCCATACATCGGGCGGTGCGATACTGCTGTTTTGCTTGGGAAGCTGCCAGCTCGATGGCTGTGTCAGACGAAGCTTGACCTTCTCCTTCGCCGCATGGCTGCGAGCGCTTATATTGCCCGGAATGGGCATGATGAGGAGGCTCTGTCTTGAAGCGCTTCCACGCAGTGTGATGCTCTCTATCTCTGAGCGCGTGAAAGACTGAACAAGGATGAAAGGATCTGGCGGCTTTTTCAGTGTGATGACGCTCCTCGATGGTATTCGCGAAAGATGTGTGATCGACAAGGTACAGCGGAGTTGCGTCCGAGCCCGATCTAAGACGGAAAGAAGCTGGACATCGTCCTCACCTTATGAGGTTCAGGATGTCTGTGCTGCATCTCGCGGCAAGTGTCAAAGATGGACAGCTGTGCTTACGTCGCACCTCGCTGAGGAAAAGATGGGGTAGTCTGGGCTGATCTTATCATTCATCTTGACGTGATTGGACCGAATCTCGTCGCTATCGAAGATAAGTATACGTTCCTTGCGCATATCGCTATCGTGTTGCTGCAATCGATGGATGTTTCCTATGCTGTGATGAGACGCGTTGGGATGATATGCACCTGGGCAAGCGCACGCCACCTGGATAGGATAATGGGGGCCGAAGCCTCGGCCGGACTCGCGCTAGTGTCGACGCTTATCAGTCCGCTCCAGGGCTGTCTCCAGCCGACCGTCTCGCATCGTCCGTGCTTATCACTGGAGACCTCACCCTTCTCGACTATGGCGGCAACAGAACCCACACCGAATTGTTCGCTCGTTTTCGTGTCGGCATGGCGTCTCATTCGCGAAGCAGGTTGACTTGCGCGGCTTGTGCGAAACGGAAAGTCAAGTGCAGCAAGACGGTACCCTGCGACAACTGCATCAGACGAGGTCAAAAAGATACGTGCGGCATCGGCGAATCGCATGGCGACATAAGCTCTCCAACGCGTTCTTCCGACCCGAGATCATGTGAGCTTGACTATCTGCGACAACGGGTCGCACAGCTCGAAAGCGAAACCTGTCAGCGAAGCCCGACGAACATCAGAACTCCACCTGGAACTCTGCAGCCTGGAACACCAAGCGATAGGCCTGCCGATGAGTCCGCAGATGAGCCCGACGACGCTACTGTTTCTCGAGACACCGCGACGGTACTGGAGTTCCTCGCTTGGGGGAGAAGGAAAGAGCCTCACTGTCACACAGTCGCGTCCCTCGAGCCCGCGGATGATGTCCCGATTGAAGTTGGTTCAGGTATATTTGATGACTTGTCCCAACTTTCGGTGCTTCAACTGCTTCTTCCAAGCCCTCAGCAAGTTCGACGATTGGTGGAATACCACCATGAAAGCTTGTTGTGGTACCATGGCAGCTACTTCGTTCCTACTTTCCAGGCGCAACTCCGAGATTTCTACGACAGAGATAATGGAATTATCGAACGAGCGTCCACAGATCTCCAATGGGTGGCTCTGCTGTTTGCTATCCTGACTGCTAGTCTAGTATGCGCACCTGATCTACAAGTGCAGTCATGGGGATTTGACAAGGTGGAGCGACAGAAGCTCTCGCGACGATGGTATCAAGCTATCTTCACTTGCCTCAATCGGGCGGATTATACGAGTAACTTGAAAATCCTTTCTTGTCAAGCTATAGCCACGGGAACTGTTTCAGCTCACCTCCTGGGGTTCAGTACAAAGCAAAGCATCCATCTCGCAACCGCTGTACGTATTGCTCAATCTTTGGGCATTCATCGCTTAGGGCCAGACGCCAGTGGAGGTGTCGTGGCAAATGAGACCGGCCGCAGAGTTTGGTGCCAACTTTGCAGCCAGGACTGGTTCAGCATACCGTTCTCCGAGAGCTACCTGGTAATTCCAAAATACTCGACATCAATCCCGCCGCTCAACAGCCACGACAAAAATCTAGTCGCCATTGACCCGGATGTCCCTACTACCACAAGCTATTCGTTATTTTTACGCAACATCGCGATAATCATGCCCCAGCTTCAAGACGGCCTCGTGTCATGCAATACGCCTTACACACGTTACGAAACGGTCTTGCATTGGGATGCGCGACTTCGAGAACTGGCCACCCGTGGAAGGCCACTTTTCATGGCGAACGCACCGTTAGATCCGAGCTGGCCCACGTGGGTGCCATATGCGCGGCGCGCTCTAGCCATTACGTCGAGTCACAAGATCATCATGATTCATCGTTCTTTTCTACTGGATAGTTTCATCAATCCTGCTTTCGCATTTACCCGCCGAACATGTCTCGCAGCCTCCAAAACGATCGTCAAGGAGTACAAGGCCTTGATCGAGGAAGATGGTCCGACCCTGTGGATCCACCAAGCATTCGCCGTCGCTGCATCCATCACCCTTTTGCTTGATGTTCTGCACCGCGAGATCAACGAGAACGAGAGTTTTGAACATCGCGCACTTGTCGAAGACATCGTAGAGATTCTGCAGCGGCGCCCAGAGAGTATGATTGCGGTCAGAGGTGTCAAACTCCTCAAAGCTTTGCTTGCTCGGGCGTCGCACGAGAGTTTGTCTCAAAGGAGAAGAAAGCGTAATCGTGACGGAACACCCGCTTCCAATTTCGATGTGTCGGCCCTCGTTAGGGACTTTTGTCAGACCAACAATGGTGATAACTACCCTTTACCACGGCATGGGGCAGCATCGCCATCTACTACCGATCAACCTCCTACGTATGACTCGGAAGCGACCAACCCTCTTGCCACAACTTTTGAACAGCCGCAGTCTACATTTCCTTTCTCGGCGCCGGGTCTAGCAGGTACCAACAGTTTCGACGATCTTCTGTACCTAGCAAATTATGACTTCACGTTAGCGTAATGTGTAGCAAATGTTCTTTCCACTGAGTAGTCACTAGCGCGACGTGGCTCAATGCAGCATCGAGATTGCATTGCACATTACTTGCATGGGCCGTTTCCGCAACTGTAAGAGTCCATATGTCTCATTCAACAATGGCTTCCATTAGTTGCTGCGCCGCCTTCTCAACACCGGGAAGATCCTCCAATATCGGCTGATGACCACTTTTCACAACATGCACACAGCTCCTTCCTCCAACCGATGCACTGATATCTTGCGACCGCTGCACTGGACTAATCATATCCTTATCTCCTGCCACGAAGACTACAGGACATGTGATGGCTTGGTACCGCGGATCTTTGTGGCTACTATCCACGATAGCTTCACATGTTTGCGCATAGGCCTCGGGATCAGCAGAGCTCACGTCGAGCCTCACAGCTTCTCGAGCTGCTAGATTCACCGTTCGGTCTTGGCTGCGAGGTCTTTGTTAGCATGATTTGGACATCTTTCCGGGCTTCATATGAGCGTACCTATCGTCGTAGAAGTTAGACTTGGCCGCAATGTCCGCTGCATACTTGATGCCTTCCTTCCTCACCGCGGCCGCGAGATCGAGCATGCGCTGTCGAACAGCGGGGATGTGACCAGCTGCTCGACCAGGACCAAGGAGTAAGAGACCTGCAGTAGACTGTGGATGTCTTGCGGCATATTGCAGAGCGATAATGGCACCTAGGGAATGTCCAACGATGACAACCTTAGACGAGGCTGAGCTATTCGAGCTTGCTTGAAAAGATGTGATGAGGTCGGCCAAGTCGACAACAAGCCCTTCAACGGAAAGTGGTTTCGTGACACCTGCTAGTGGCGTCTTTCCGTAGCCAGGAAAGTCGACAAGAATGATGTTGTACGTGGGAGGTAGAGAGGGCACAAGCGGCGAAAATGTCTCGGTAGAGCCTCCGAGTCCGTGGAGGCATATCAGAAGCGGGCCTGAAGAGTCGCCAGCTTGTAGGTAATGCGTATTTGTACCTGAGTTAGTCTTGAAGTGCGAGGATCTGAGAGTGCGAGCAATCATTGTGAAAGCGTGAGAGTCGGGTCTTTGATCGTGAAAGAGAATAGACCTGTACCTATTACGAGCGCGGCGTGTACATAGACATATGCACGATACCTTAAGGCGGTATAGTCGGCCTCGCGAGCGTTCGGCTATATCTGAAAGTGGTGGAAGTGGATACTCGGCCGAGATCCCGAGTCTGGCTGATAGGAGCCCGAGGTGGTATCAATGCACCCACACCAAGACGTGGAGCTCCGAGTATCACTTTGCAAGCATGCTCGGGGCTGGTAGTTCAATTGTGTATAACTGAGCTATACTTGATAGGTGATATAGTCAACGATACGCTCAAAACTATTCCCGTCTCTCCTTGCATGCAAATTGTAGAGGCTCTTCAAACTCGATTTCTACTCAGCTACTAAACACCATGGTCGTTACAGCAGTCATAACCGAGGAGACCAACTGTCTGCGCCTCAAAGCAGAGAAGCCTATCCTCGATCTTCCACATGCCGACAAGACCACCGGACGGGTCGTACCCATCAAGCACGCAGAAGGTAGCCAAGTAGACTTTGGCGCCGAGATCTACGGCATTGATTTGAACAACTTCACGGATGCAGACTTCGAGTTCGTTTCCGATGCTTTGCACAAGTGGAAGTTGTTAGTGTTCAAAGAGCAACCGCAAATGCTCAAGCCGCAGCAGCAATATCTGCTTACTGCAAAGTGAGTAGCTGAACATCTTTGAGCTCGATCGATCTAACTCCATATCAGCTTCGACCGCGAGGAAACAACCGGTGGCTTCGCTCATGGCCATGACCCTTTCCTCACTCATCACAACGGCGTCGACTTCTACGGCATCCCCAAGCGTCCAGCAATTCCAGTACAGCCACAAGTCCACATCCTCGGACGCGGACCCGTTCCGGAAGGTCACTTCGGCTTTCCGCCAGGCTTCGAAGTCCAAGGCATCGATCACGAAGAGTTCCATCTTCCACCGCACATACCAGCGGAAGAGCGCGAAGCTGGTGCCTCCCGTTTCTACCAATGGCATTTCGACGGCTCGCTGTATGACATTCCTCCTCCGCGTGTAGGTTGCCTCCTAGCTGTTCGAACTCCCAAGGGCCCAGATGTGACTGTGCGATGGGAGGATGAGGCTGGGACTCAGATGAAGATGGCACCGGGTGCCACGGCAATGGTCGCTGGCAGCCGTGCACTGGCATTGCTAGACGAGGAGACACGGAATGTCGTGATGAACAGCAAGATCGAGTACGCGCCACACGCCTTCGTCTGGATGTCCAAAGCGCACAGTACCCGACTCGGTCATTCCCTCGAGACCGAAGGGCTTGAGAAGTCACTGGACGAATTGCCGAAATGGGAGAGGAGCAAAGTCTGTGTTTATCCGATGGTATGGACGAATCCGAAGACTGGTGAGAAGTCGTTGCAGGTCCATGGTCAGGGCGCTCTCAAGCTACATCTCAAGAGCAGCCCGGATGGAGCTGAGACGGTCGTTGAGGACTTGGGAGAAGTCAGGAAGTTTCTTGATAAGTATGTATCGACGTCACACACTTCGTTCATGCACTGACTGGGCACGCAGGCTCATGCGACCGGCGTTGCAGCCTGAGAACATATATGCGCATCCGCATCAAGAGCAAGATGTCATCTTGTGGTACAACCGCGCGCTATGGCACAGTATCGTAAGTCATCAACTTCATGAAAACCTCGAAGTGCAACAAGGGCTAATTCTTTCTTGCCTGCAGACCGAGTTTCCCAAGTCGTATGGGCCGCGTGTGATGCATCAGTGCAACATTGCGGCGAGCGATCATCCTTCGAGTTGAGGGGGCCACGGCGGGTGTGTGTAAGTTCGAGTAGTAATCAGCGCGCGATGTACGACTTCATGATGAGGCAGCTGCAATATTACACAAAGTTTCACGCGCAACTTGTTGAGATGTCCTGGAGTTGTTTGTGCATGAGTGTCCGTGACAGCCCAAATCGATGACGCGCGGCGAGTCATGCCACGTCACGTGCTCATACCCGTGCCCATCAAATGAGGTTTGCTTCAGCAGCGCCCCAGGGCTCTTCGATACCTCATCACAGATCATGATGATGTCGCAACCATCTCCCGCAGGTTCCACCAAGATCATCGCAAGGCTACAGGAGCTGTGGCGCGTTCTAACAGCAAAAATCACGTTAAGGAGCCCGACGCGTCATGAATGTCCTCGAAGGCTCAATCTCGCGTGACGCGAACACCACATGCAATGATCGCGAAAGCAGCTGACTGCATCTCGTATCTCGCGTTCTGGTGGCTGCGCTCATCAGCCGTGCACTGAGAGTGGGTCGCTCGCTCAGCGATTGTTATCTCACAACATCGTAGTCGGATACGAACAGGCACCCACTGCTTTCCAAGGTTCGACTGACCCGGCTATCAGCCACTGCGCTCGCATAGATCACGGATTGCGAAGAAGTCGGCCGAGCATAGCATCTTCCATGAGTTGAGTCTCGGCCGGGACCTTGGCTGCTGATAAGATAACAGCCGTGGATCTTAGCGAAGGGCGCCTCTTAGGGAACCTCGGGGATATTCCCCGCAGGTTCGGTGGATGAATGGCCATAGTATTAAGCGCAGCTCAGATAGGGTTCATGATAACAACCGAGCGCTTAGAAGGGAATGCGGGGATGGCCGTTGAGTAAGAGTGGGTGAATGAACATGGTCTCGCCTTTGAGCATATATGTGGCGTGGGAATTATACATCCAGAGTTGAGAGCGTAGACGCTTATGACATCCGGCTTTGCATTCTCACCACTTGAACTTTCGCTTCTTCTGTTCAAAACCCACCGCAAGAGACCACCGCCCAGAAGGAAGATCGCTGGTCACCAGTTTCCTCGACATCTGCGAAGAATCATGGCACCAGGTATCCTGGCCCCTGAGCCCACCTTTACGGTGAAGGAGATGGAGAAGACTGCCAAAGAGAAGCACAATTTTGGAGCGGTGATCGATGACATCGATCTCGCCAACATCAGTGGTAAGCACACCGGCACCATGACGATGGCATTGCGATTAGCTAACGTTGTGTTCCAGATTCCGACGTCAAAGCGCTCTCAGACGCGATCTGGACACACAAGCTTGTTGTTGTCAAGGGTCAGGAGAACCTTGCGCCCATCAAGCAATGGGAGCTTGTCACACGCTTCGATCCTAAAGCACCACATGTGCATTCTCATGGCGATGTCAAGACCTTCCACAAACAGGGTGGCCTACTATCGGTAAGAGTCACTTCCAGCCGGGTGGCCCTTTTCGCTAATCCAACTCCGCAGAGAGGACGCGATGTTGTCGGTATACCTGGCGCAGAGAACGTCCGTCTAATCGGCAAAGGCTACCAGGGATCAGACCACTACGGTCTCAAAGACGCAACGATCAAAAAAGAACTCGCGCACGCATGGCACGACAAGCCGCTCCCAGAAGAAGAGTACGCTCAAGGTCACACACGCTTCCAACGCTGGCATATAGATGCGCCACTTTACGCGCGTGAGCCAGCTTGGTTCACCACCCTTCGCTGCATCAAGCGACCCACATCTCCAGAACTGACCGTACACTGGGACGACGGCAGTGGCTTGACTATGAAGACCGAACCTGGTCTGACCGCCTTCTTCAGCAACGTACAGACATACGACATGATGACAGAGCAAGAGAAGAAGATTGCCGACCACTCATGGGTTGAGTACGCACCCCACCCTTACCAGTGGATGGGCGACTGCAAAGGCCAGTCTCACGGTCTAGGCCTAGTGAGTCAAGGTAAAGAGAAGTCAACGGAGGACCTTGGACCCTACGACGAAAAAGACATCAAGCGCTACCCCATGGTATGGGTGAACCCCGTAACAGGCGAGCGCGCATTCATGGTCCACGGTATTTGCGTCCGGCGCGCATTCGTTCGGTCAAGCGAAGATGAGGAACCCACTATCATCGATGACGTTGCCGAGATAAGAGCTTGGCTTAAGCCTATACAAGAACGCGTTTTGAAGCCGGAATACATCATGCTGCCGAAGGTAGAGGAAGGAGATATCATCATGTGGGCCAACTACCAGATGTTTCATACTGCCGTGGATTACCCGGATCAATGGGGTGCGAGGACGATGCATCAAGCAAATATTGGGGCGAGTAGTGGGCCGGTTGGTCCAGTGGCTATTCCTGGTGTTGCGTAGGAGAAGGGAGCAGTGTGGTATACTTATATAGGAATGCGATATGAGAATACGATGTTTTTCCAAGCCTTTTGTCAACCGTTTCACCCCTGCCTGTAGCTGGCATGGAGGAGTATCGTGTCGCCCGCGACAAGTGACATCCATCATGCCGTCTCCTGACCTATCAATACAGTCGTCTTGAAATAACCCTACACCTGGGTAGTCTCCCGACGTAGCATCAGCATTTTGTATCCATCGCGTCCCGAGCGCTTCCACCAACTTCCGTGTACTCGATATGAGTGCTTAGGATCGAACGGGTAGGTAGACGAAGGAGTTCAACGCGGTTTACTGTGGGTCTTTCAGCGAAATGTCCACATCATGACATGAAATTGTGAGGCTTACTGTGCTCGTTCTGGTTTGGGTCGACGCGACGCGTGCGCCTAATAATAGCGTGCCGGATGGCGAGGACGCATGAAGGCAACACCACTAGGATGCCAACAATTGCAATGATAGCTTCGCTGGAGAGTGGAACCATGGTGTATCGCTTTCCAGCCTGAGTTGTAGTGGCTTCGGTGTCCTGAACGAAGGTATTTGTGGTTCTATGGTGATAAGATGGGGGAGGGTGTAGAGAGTCGAATCTGGATATCTCGCGGGAGATGCAGTAGTTGCAAAAAGGACTGTCGGGAGCGATTTGATGTGTATTGATACTATGTGAGTTAGTCGTGGATGTCTACCTAGGTAGTTATATGGTCGGGAGGAGATCACGTGGAATACCCAGCCTCCCCGATGCATGTTTATGTTTTGATGGCGAGCCGGTAAGGCGGAATTGCTGATGCTTTCCGGAGTTGCTTACGCATTTCGCATTCAGTAGGTCTGCTCGATAGGCTATAGTGACCCGGGAGCGCTTGTGACACAGTCTGCACGACCCATGTTCGCCCGTGGCGGGTGGTGGACGGAGTGAACCAATAGTCATCCCCGTTACTGGTTGTTGAGATGAACAGTGAAAAGGACAAATAACATAGCACATGTGGTATACGACCACCACTGTGTCCAGGCAGGGACTCCCGCCGATGTATACATGCCGGACTGTGGACTCACTAGGTCATTAGAAACCACCGTATCGATCTTACTTTGGCTTCTATCTCCTTCCCCTTGAAATCCCACTGTACGGCTTTCGCGATTGGGTGAGATATTTGGGCGTCGGGATCAGAGACTACAGCAGTCTCGAGACCTACGTCGGCATGGTTAGCCAAGACATAGTAGCCCCCTGTCATCGGTCATGGAGTCTCACGTTCCAGGTGCAGAGCTTCGGTTGCGACTTAGCCTTCCGATAGGATGTCATAGACGTACGCCGATAGGCAGAGTCGGGGTGTTCCGATCCATGCAGCATCGCCTCTCCGCAGGAGTCATTGGAAACCATGGCAACGCAGGCCTCCGCAGACTTCTTGATCCGTGCATGCAGCCCGGTTGGATTACCAACAGACAGGTTGCTCTCGGTAGCATCTCTATGTCCGGGTGATTGGATGCCAATGTATCGAGGGAAGATGATGGTGGGAACTTGTGAGTCCAAAGTTTGTGCGGTAGAGGACTTGAGGTTCTTGGAGTTGCGACACTTCTCGTAATTGAGTATCCGAGTCGTTGAAAATGCGCAAGGTATGGTTGCCTCGTCGTCGCTGGGTCGCCTCTGGGTCATCGCAGTACCATGGGAGAAGAGGACTTGACACGGATGATACTTTTAACACCCGGCCTCGAAACAGAACACAAGGCCGATCGTTTTGTGGTAGAGCGAAATTGCAGAAGCTCGACTATTATCTAGGTAGCTGAAATTCTGATTTTTGCAACTACCGAACCTTCGGGGGTCCATCATTATTCTTTGCTTTACAACAAGGGGGTCACGACTTGTCTGGTCATGAGCGAAAAGGGTCCGAGCAAGAGACTTTGGACATTACCATTGAAGAGTCAATACAGGAAGTATGGGGCAGAATTTCTGATTGGGATGACTAAAGGTTTTTGGGCAGCTCCGGAGTTGTAGGGAGTCATCAGTTAGGGCGAGTAGTTGTTTGGTAGGACCAAAAGCCATGTCTGCAACAACCCGATGTAACAGATAAGCAATCAAACTACAGCATAGCGCACGCTTCTATGAGTCAGAGCCAAAATATATATTTTCATGTCATCCCCTCTGTTGGTCCTCAGAATTCCAAAGAAGAAAGAAAGAATGCTGACTGTCGACTAGGAAGAACATCAACATGGTTATGAAAGCAGAAGCGAAGAACTGGAAAGGAAGACATACCTATGCTATGCCAGTAAGTAACAACAGTGTTAGGAAGAAGAAATTAAACACTAAGTACAAGCATGAACAGATACCAGAATGTCTACAAACAGGCAAAGGAGAACCAGAAGTAAGCAAGACAACTACAACGAGAACGCTAACTATTATATATGAGAGCAGAGACGAGATTGAAGAAGACAGAGTGGTGGAGAAGGCAGAAAGTAGAAACGAAAAGAGTGTGAAGTGGATCAAGGAGAATGTTTTGTGTATGGGATAGAAGCGAGTAGAGAAGGTACATAAAGAAGGACAGAATGAGATAGCATAAATGCACAGTTCCCTTCCCCATCACTATCGTATACATCGTAACCCCTGTCCGTGTTGTGAACAAAAAGGTGCAAAAAAGAAGACTTTGGACGCTGTGGGAATTGAACCCACGACCTTTCACAAGTACGCAAGAGGATGCGAAGCGACTATATAACATGTTAGGAAACTTCTTGAGAGTGTATTTAACAAGATTGCTTACAAATCATACCCCTAGACCAAGCGCCCATTCGATTGTGATGCAGTAAATGCCATGGAAAAAAAATATATTGCAATTATATTTTTGACGTTGAGGCGTACATGGCGGGGTTTGGTGGGGTCAAACCAGATCTTGACCGGCCGACGCTTGGAAAACCAACATAGATCTCCCAATGTATGCACCAAGCAGGATGTATAGCACAAAATTCCAACAGTATATACACAACAATGTTGCGGATGATTTGAGGTGGTGAGACCCAACAAAGGTAATACACTTGACATATCCAGCAGTTAAACATTACTCACGCAATGCATATAGAAAACATAAGCACAGTTGCATCACAGTGGATTAGATCAAGGCAATGTTCGTTCATGTATTCTATTCATTTCATTTCATTTCATCCTCAGACTGCCTCTTGTTTCATAGGTCTCATGTCCGATTCCTCAACTACAACGTCCGCCAAGTACGACTTCTCGCACTATATACAGCATCGCCTGTCCGTACCCACCATCTCATCATTCCCCTCCGATCTAGACCTTCTTGCTAGTAACCTCCTCAGCATGCTTCTCGAGAGTGTGCGTGGGGTTGCTGCTCAGGCTGTCCTTGGTGTTGTCGCTAGCCTTCTCAGCGCCCTCCTTGGGTCCTGCGCCTTGGCTGTTGACGTTGTCGGAGGTCTGACCGGCTTGCGCTCCGGATTGGCGCTCGGGCTCGGGAGACTGACGGCCGGCGTTGGGGGCGGACATGGTTGTGGTTTGGGGGTTGTGTGGGGTGTGAGGTTTGGTTGCTTTGATATGTTAGATGTGTGTTGAATGTGTAGGAGTGAATGGGTAGGTAAGGGGGTAGGTGAGTGCTCGCTCGCCGTCGTGACGCTCGCAACGCCAACTCCCTCTCCCATCATCCGCATAGGTACAACGTACAGGTTTGTAGGTTTGTTTGTGGTCTGCCCTTCAATTAGCCAACGCTCCTTAACACCCCTCTCAATCCTGTCACATACCTGTAGGATAGAGCTTGTGGAAAGTCGTGTGTATGAAGATGTCTCGAGAAAGGCCCCCTCTATGTGTTTTCATGGGCGAACCACCTGCCCCACCAAACCTGACGTCACAACGCGAACGCGCCTGGATCGGGCAACATCGACGTCAACCTTCAATCAAAGAAGGCCAGCAAACGGGTCGCGCATGGCGCGTTATTGCGGGTCTAGAGGTGATGCATGCTTAGCAAGCGCGGGTGGGCGGCTCAGGCTTGCTAAATGGGTTCATTTGGCGTTCATGCAGCGATACTCGGTGGTTATCACTCAACGCGTTGGGCGCGGCTTCTTTGCTGGAGGGTATGATGGCATTCGCCGAGCTGGTCCGCAGACATCGGTGGACGCGCCGAAGGTGTGGATATGATTGCAGGTGCAATTTTCGTACTGTAAAAACATTGTGATCAATGTATTTATGACATAACAACCCCCAACTATCAATCCTACGTACTCCTCTTCCCCATCTCAACATCCCCCTCCCCGCCATCACCATCATCATCCCACTCCCCACCCTTCAACCTCTTCCCCAACCACAAGCCCAACACGGTTGCCGCACTCGCAGCCAAGAACCAGCCCTCAAACCATCTTTCCGTGAAACCTGGTTCGAGCGGCGCGCCCAACGCATCGCCAATCTTGCTCTTCATCTCAGGCGGCAAATTGCTCCTAAGAAGTAATGCGGAGCTGATAACATATGTCGCGGCGATCTGCGAGATGATGAGAGCAAAGTTGGTGCGGGCGTGGTGGAGGAGGCCGGGGACAACGCGGGCGAAGAGGTAGAAGGTTTGCAGGACGCTGTTGAAGGATAGGAGGAGCATGACGCCGGAGAGGAGGAAGGAGATGGTTCGACTCCAGGCGACGCGGTCGATGGTTGGGTCCCAGTGCTTTGCTAGTAGGGCGAGGACGTTATTAATGGGATCGCTACTTGCGAAGCTTGCATTGGGTGATGAAAAGCGGCGTAGAGTTGTGACTGTGGTAGCGATGATGCGGTATGCGCAATATACTGCGAAGACATACGAGACGATGTTGAATAACCTCCCATTTGCGGTATGCGATCGCAGTTGGTTCTGCCGACGGTTTTGGAGAACTGTCAGAGAGTTCTGGAGTGTATGGCGCATAGTCTCAAGGCCTTGTATCTCGAGTTGCAAAGTATTCCGCTCCTGGATATCGGGATTTCCACGAATCGATCCTACTACGCGGCCCATGAAGCCTTGTTGAGGGTTGTCCGCAAGCTTTCGTTCGACCGCACGAAGTCGGCTCTCCTTCGTCAGGAGCATGTCGTTCGTAGCTTGTATGCCAGCTTGCTTTCGACCGATGTCTGATTCGGTGACCTGTAGAGCATTAGTATGACTGGCAAGGGCTTCTATTCCTGGGAGACGATGAGGACTTACCGGACGGTATTTGACGCCAAATGTGTGCCAAAGGGCAGATATAGCAGCAAACCCAGCTAATGAAGCCATCAAGCTAATACCAATAATGCCTATCCGCTCCAAACAGCCTTCGCTGAACGTATGATCATGCTCATACGACGCTTCATGCAGATACGAGCCCAGCAGCCCTCGACCAAGGTACCAAAACCCTGCCAGCCATGCCGCCAGCCCACAAAGCTCCAACACCCATGCTGCTCGTCGCCGACTCTTCTGTTCTCCACCAATGTTCAGCCCAGTCCCCGATATGATCGAGTGAATCTCGATCGCCGGTGTCGCGACGACAAGCAGGAAGAGCAAGGAAGGTAGTGTGATCTTGAGCGCTAGCGTTCGCGTGGCGCGGTTGACAGTGTTGGAGATTTCGCAGAGGATGAGCTCAGCCAATACGGCGGAAAGGGCGAAGTTGGTCGAGAAGGCGATGCTGGCAAGTGAGCGCGCCTTGGGGCGTATGCTACTCAGTATCGTGGGTTGTGCACGCTGTGGTGCTCCAGGCAGTCGCGCGCTGTCATGGTGCCCTTTGCGATCCGCATTGCCTGACAAGATAGGGAACAGCTTTTGCGCCGCCACAGAAGCAACGAGGAAGGTGACGATAAAGGGAAGCGCCGATATGGCGATCGTCATCGGACTCCGGTGCAGGGCATAGTCCGGCATGCACTCATTGCAGTCGTCTTGGAGAGTCGGGATCATCGGATGGGCGGTCTTGTTATTCGGCAGCTAATGCGTGGCTGGTGGCTATTGCCAGTTTGTCCTGGTTATGGGCGAGGTGCGGATACCCATTGATTACGCGGCGCGGTATGGATACGTTGACACATGGAGGTCTTGGGAATGGGGAAGGTTACGCAAGTGAGGCAATCAGTCAATGAGGGACTGGGGCCGGGAACGCGCATGCATGTCGCGGCGCTGCAGCCACACGAAACGTCATCGCGTCGATCAAACCGGGGTCCGGCAGGCGCGCCGAAACACCACAATCTCCATCTTTGGGGCTGATGTGAGAGACGAGATATCTTGGGTATTGAATGCTAAAACTATGCGCCCCCAATTCCCTGTGCGCCAAAATGTGCGGGTGTGTCTTTGGGGGCTCTTCAAGTTGCCCCCGTAGTCTATTCATGTACGACACAGACGATCTCTACCTCCTATGTCTCCATCGCCAACCTTCGTGACGCGGTCCAGGGTTAGTCTGGCCAAACGACATATCTCCCTCGAGTATCACATTTCCTCCTCTCATATCAACCCTTGGTCGATGCTCCCACTATGCGTCCTTTGATTCCTTCGATTCCTTCGCTCCACCTGTAAGACTGTCCATGTACGACATGGATGCATTCCCACTGCCTGTATCTCCTTCGCCAACGCTTGATTGCCCCGTTGCGATCGATGCTTTCTCTACTGCCGAAGTTCCCGAAGTCGAGACTCCGCCTTCGCCATCTTCGTCGTCACTACCAGATTGGCTACTAAGCTCTGGACTGCTTAGGTTCTGTAGATGCGGGCTCTTCATCATCGGGCCAGGGCTTCGTGGATCATCATTGACCAGATCATTGACCACAGTGGTGGTACGAGTGTCTTCCTCGTCCCCGCTGCTGTCTGGCGCTTGTTCCACTTGCGCTAGAGGATGCGCCTCCACGGCAGGTTTCGGTGCGGTCGCCGCTCCTCCGACTATCGCTGCCTCGTCTTCATTCGCGAAGAAGCTATTACGAGGGCTGTTGAATTCAGGAAGGCTCTCGCTCTTCGCGAGAATTTCTCTGTAACCCTGGCGGTCTGGGTCGTTGGTGCGCTTGCTCTTCGCCTTGTCGCGTTTCGATGTGGGGCGTACAACAATGACAGGTACTGGCGAATGTTGTAGACAGTATTTCGACACACTGCCGGGGAGCAATCCCTGGAATCCGCCCAAGCTCTTGCCTCGTGTCCCGACTACCAGAATTGCGGGTTCATAGAGATTGATCTGTCTCATTATTAGACATGAAACAGCTCACCGACCGCGGAAGACTCACCATGTCGTCGATAACTTTGTTAACCTTACCGATCGAAAACTCCAATATCAGGTTGATGGCCTTGTTATCGTGATTTCGACTTTGTATATCGGCCATGGTGTTGTCAGCCTCCACGCGATACCGCCCAGTCTCTACGCTGCGGTCTCCCGCTATCGCATCTTCCTTCTCGACCACTCTGAGGCAGACAATCTCGTCTCCGTCATCGACTAGCTCGTTGATGAGCCATTGCAGGGCGTATACCGAATACTCGTTCTCGTCGAAACCGCAGAGGAACGTCCGTGAACGCTTTGTGTATTCGTAGTCCTTGTGCTTGGCGATGAGTGTGAATGAGCTCTCCTCGATGAAGTCTGCGGGCTTGTCGAAGGTGTCGAAAGATACCCGAGGTTGGAAGACGCTGAAGTGAATTGTCAGAATGGAGGTCCGTGGCAGGGTAATCGCAAGAGTTGAGGACCACCAAGCCTAGCGCCTCTCTGAGCCCTGGGGTGCTGGAAGCATACTTTTCCATTTTCGCGCGCCATAGGTACGGGGAAAGAGGAAGACGGGCGCAAAGCAGCGCAAAAAAACTTAGATATACCCGGGAGTGCATGAAGTATAAGCAAATCAATACTTACGGTGGAGGCGGCGGTGACGACAGCCGGCGTCGTTCACGGGGCCTGGGTTGGCCTCTGGGGAGCGACTGATTCCTGTGCGCCAGGAACTGTATCGACGGCCGCCGTACCTCATCCTGCGCGAGATGTCCGCCAGTGGGGAGCTGCAGCGGGCTTACTTTGTAAGGCGCTGAGGACTTTCGAGGCGCTGGAGACGCATGTCGGCCGTCTCTGGACGTGGGGGACGCGCTCATGGTGATGTCGTAGTAAGATTGCGGGCACGAGGTCGTCCGCAGAATCCAATCAGGCGAGCGCAGTGCCAGTGAGGTCCGACCGCGAGAAACCTGCTGGCTGCGTGGGCTTGCGCAGGCGGTCGGTGCTGCTGTGCGTCGTGTATGGGTCCTTGGCGCGGGGAAATGGCTGCTCGCGGGGTAAGTGGGCGATTAACGATGGCGGAGGGTATTGCGGTGGAAGTTGTCGCAGTTGTCGTGAGAAAGGAATGCCGGCTCAAGCCAAACTTTGGGGTGTCGTTAATGCACTGCCTGTTCCGGGTGACGGCAGCGCTTGGCTTCTTGGTGGTGTGTCGCGCGATCCGCATCCACGCCATCATGCTCAGACCCTGGTACCGCCGCGGAAACGCCCGCTGGATGCATTTGACACATGTGAAGGCATGACATCAGATGGGTGAATAAGCTAAGAGTTGCTGTAATGCTGGCTGCGAATTCGAGTTGAGTTTGAGATGAAAGATAAGAGGGTTTGTCACAAATGGAATCACGCATATCATTATTCCCGTTACGTCCAAGTCTAAACAACGTCTATCAAGAAGTGGGTGCAGCCTGGGCCGCTTTTCAAGCCAGAGCCTTGAGCTCGCCCTGCGTAAGCTTTGCATCACCAATGAGACGCTGAGCCTCCTCCTGGAAGATCTCCTTGATCTTACCGGCATCCTTGACACCATTGAGCTTGCTGGTCAATGCAGCCAACTCCTCGTTGTCCTGCTTTACGATGATGAGATCGACGTCGCTGAGAGCGGCATCGACCTGGGAAGCAGGCGCATCGCCGGCACCGTGGAAGTAGTTGGCGTCCTTGACGGCACCACGTACAACACGCTTGTTCTTCTTTGCCGCGTTCTTCGCTGCCTCCTTGGCCTTCTTGTTGTCGGCCTTTGCAGCCTTTTCGGCAGCCTCCTTCTCAGCTGCAGCTGCAGCCTCCTCGGCCTTCTTCTTCTCGGCCTCCTCCTTTGCAGCCTTCTCGGCAGCCTCCTTTTCGAGACGGCGCTTGTTCTTCTGGGCGTTCTCAGCCTGGCGGAACTTCTTGATACGCTCGTCAAGCGCCAGACAATCGTCGACCATGTGCCTCAGACGAGTGGTATCCTCAGTCTTCTTCTTGCGACGCGCGTTCTGGTTCTTGCGTTCGACGTGACGCTTCTGGTCACGGTTCTCGTTGTCATCGGGCACGTCCTCGTCGAGGTACTCAAAGGTCCTCCAGCTGTCGAAGTTGTACCAGAAGTTGTAGAAGTGCTCGACTTCCTCCTTGGTGCTGTTGGCATTGCCGAGCTTGGGCACAGGCTGCTTGTTTGAGAAGCGTCCCTCGGCCTCAAAGACCTTGCCCCAGAGCTTGTAGAAGTTGCCCTTCTGTGTGTCCTTCTTGGATGGTGGCTCAACCTCGGCGCCCTCGTCGACGGAGTCGAACTGCCTCCTCTTGACGGGGTCGGAGAGCACCTCGTGGGCCTTTTGGATGCACTTGAAGAATTGGTCGTCCTCAGTTCCGCCCTTGGCCGCCTTCTTGTCGGGGTGATGCTTGAGCACCTTCCTGCGGTGGGCGCGCTTGATCTGTTCGTCGGTGGCACGCCATCGGTAGCGGGTTATGCCGAGCACAGCGTAGTGATCTTGTGACTGGGCAATATTAGTAGGAGCTTACGATAGCCTGAAGTACCGCCTTACCTTCCAGTCCTTGGCCTCACGCTGCAGCATGACGGGGTCCTCGGGCTCGTCAACATCGTCGGGGTCCTCCTCCTCAACGCTCTTGACGTTGGCCTGTGCCTGGATGCGGTCATCCTCGGAGAAAGTGCGCTTGTTGCGCTTCTGTAGAATTCGTCAGTACTGCACATGCCAATCATCGTCGAAGCACATACTCTGCGGGCGTAGGCGAGGAAGTGCGGGCCAACAGGCTCGATCTTGCGGTCGTTGGCGTCGCTCAGCTGACCGATGGCCTTGAAGTCCTTCTCGCCGGCCCAGCCCTCAGGCAGGACCGGCAGCGGCAGTGAAATCTCCACGTTTGCCATTGTGCTTTATTTGCGTTGTCGTTCTGGTGGGGGAAATGGCCAGCGAGAGAAAAAGTGAGGATTCCCGCCGCACTAGCTTACCGAAGGCTGATCTTAGCGCCCTGTCCAGCGTCCCCGATCCATGTCACCTAGCCGCGACGGACCCCAGAACGTGTCAGAATAGTGTTCGTCCCCATGGTTTCGTGTTTGGTATTCCATTAGGAAAGTGTATTACTTGTCTACTTTGCATGGTTTTCTATACTTCTTCATAATTCAGCAGCATCATGTTCCAGGTAACCCATCCCCATCCACGTTGCATCATAGACATGCTGACAAGACATAGCGCATTCGGGGGGCCATCGACGCCAGAATAGCAGAAGAGCAAGCGCGCCAGAAAGCCACCTCACCATCGAATACTCCGCGATCTAGCTCCACAACACGACGATCAAACTCACGCAACCTCTCGCCCTCGAAACGCACAGCGAGATCGAAAGATGGCGACAGTAGCAAGGCCGCGCCGGCAGGAAAGGGCCCTGACCCCTCAGAGTTTGACCCCGAGTTCGTCGTAGGAGAAGAAGATGACCTGCCGAGTCGAGCCGGCACGCCGCGACCAAAGGAGAAGGCGCAACCCGCCGAGGCTGGTGCTGAGAATGGTGAAGGCAAGAAGGAGGAGGAAGAGGGGCCGAGTGCCGAAGTGGAAGTGAAGCCAGAACAGCCACCAGAGCTACCGCGCGAGATTCAATTGCGATTGCGCAGGCTGGACAAGCTGGACCCCAAGTATACGGGTGAGTGACGCCTTCCCTTTGTATGCGCCAAGCTAACCCCCCCTCCAGAACTCCTTCGGTCGTACCGCATCGCACACGCCAGAGTGGGCGCAATCGAGGCCTTTGAGAGCTCCCTCCGTGAATACACCCCTCTCACGTCCATCAGCGACACGGGCGCATTCGTCGAATACCTCGGCCAACTGAACGTCAAGAGCGACATGCTCATGGAGGAGCTCAAGCGGGTATCCAAGGAGCGCGATGAGCTCAACAAGAAGCTGGAGGACGCCGAGAAGCGCGCGAAGGAGGCCACGGCTGAGGTCAAGACGCTGAAGTCCCAGGCGCCGGCTGCCAGCGAGGCTGTACCTGACGATTCCACAACACAGACCGAGTCTGTCGCGCCATCGTCACCCTCCAAAACGTCCAAGCAAACTGAGAGCACCGAAGACACGGAAGACTTTTTCTCGTACGACAGCGAGCTGCCCCGCTTGCAGACACAATTACAAGAAAGCGAGGAGAAGGTTGGGAAGCTCGAGGAGGAGAACAAGTCGCTCAAGGAAGAGCTTTCTACGGCTCAGGAATCGGCACAGTCTTTCATGCAGAATCTGGAGACTACGACGAACGATCTGAACACATTCAAGGACACCCATCAACGACTACAAAGGGACGCTGACGACCGCGAAAAGGAGCTCAACAACACCATCGTGGATCTCAAGTCGAAGGTTGAAAGCGCCGAGGAAGAGCTACACAAGCACAAAGATACTCATGACCAGAATGAGAGGACCATCGCTGAACTCAAGGCGAAACTTGACGCAACGTCCAAGGAACTAGAAGAGCTACATGCGGACAAGGGAGAGAAGATTGTAGAAGATGATCAGGTGCAAGAACTCAAGCAGCGAATCGAGGAACTCCAAGGTGAAGTTTCGCAATTGCGCGAAACCCATGCCAAGGCTGAGAGACGGAACGAGACTATGGACGGATTGCTCGGCAAAGTTCGCGAGCAGCTGAAGACTACTGAGTCGAAACGCGACAGCGCTTTGGCCGAGCTTGAGCAAGCGAAGAAGGATCTGCAAAAAGCCAACGACGACAAGAAGTCGACAAAACCAGAACCAGTCCAGCAGCCGCAGGCGACCCCAGCACAACCTCCTCAGAGCGCAGCAGCAAAGAAGAGAGCCCGTGCCAAAGAGAACAAGAAGAACAAGAAGGGAGGAAAGGGACCTGAGGCCAGTGGAACGTTAACACCTGAAGCAACACCCAGTGAAGCTGGAGACACCGACGGCCTTCTCAGCCCTCGCGATGCAGAGTTTTCGCCGTCCCAACTTGAGGATGCTTTGAAGAATGTTGCGCAGCTCAGGTCTGACCTCGAGGAGAAGGTTGCTGCCATCGAAACATTGCAGACCGAGGTTGCAGAGAAAGCGTCGACGATTGACCGTCTCAGCAAGAGGGCAAAGGACCAAGAAGACATGCAAGAAGAGATCGATACACTGCGTCAAGATCTTCTTGACTATGGTCTTGAACATACTGAAGCCAAGGACAAGGTCAAGGAGCTGCAAGCCGAGAAGGCGGCGCTGCAAGAGAACCTCGGCAAGCTTGAGGCTGAAATCGCCGAGTTGAAGACGAGCAGAACGTCCAATGAATCGTCGCAGCAAGAAAGAGAGGCATTGACAGCCGAGTTTACAGAGCTCAAGTCAAAGGCGGAGACGCTGCAGACGGATCTTTCGGTTGCAGAGAAGCTCGCGGCGTCCCGCTTTAAAGACCTCACCGAAATGCGAGAGGTGCTGCAGAAGGCACAACCGGAGCTGACATCATTGCGCAAGGAGGTAGTAGAGCTGCGCACTACCAAGGACGAGCTTTCTACAAAGACTACAGAAGTCCGCCGATTGGAGAATCGCGAGAAAGACCTCAGATCGGAGATCACTGAATACAAGTCTCAGCTATCGACCAAGGAGGGCGATATCAAGACGCTCAACGACAAGATCAAACAAGAAACCAGCCAGAGGCTTGCGCTGGAAGAGACTAACAAGAAGATCCAGCGAGACCTCCAGAACTCCGAGTCAGAGCGGAAGGATGTCATCGAAAACCGGGACAAGTTGACCAAAGATGCCAAAAAGGCACAAGACGAGCTCAAGACATCACGCCAGAAGGTTCACGATCTGGAAGAAGAAGTCGCGAAGCTTACTCGTGAGGTCAGCAGCCTACGTGAAGAGATACAGATGAAGTCGGCGCAGTCTGCAAGTGCGCAGGACTTTGTGAGCAGCATGCAGGACCAGGTACAAGAGATGAGCACCCAGATGAAGGAGGTTCGCGCCCGAAGCGAGAGTCTGGAAGAGGAGCTTGCTGATGCGCATCGTTTACTCAGTGAACGTGGACGCGAGGCTGAAACGATGAGAAGACTCTTGAACGATGCGCAGGGGCGGGCTGATACGCGAGTACGCGAGATGCAAGAGCGCCTCGACCTTGCCGTCGAGGAACGCGAACGTGCAGAGGAGCAAGCTAGTACATTCAGCCGCCGACGAGCTCGAGAGCTTGAAGAATTGAAACAGAAGGTTCGCGACGCCGAACGCGCACAGGCGCGCGCTGTGGAAGACAAAGAAGATCTTGTGGCTTCCGAAGGGGCGCTCCGCAAGCAGACAGAGGATCTTGAGAAACGAGCAGCGCAAGCTAGCGAAGAAGCTTCTGAAGTCAGACTTGCGATGAGCCAACTCCGCGACGCGCTGGACGAAAGCGAGAAACAAGCCCACGAGCTAGAAAAAGAAAAGAGCGATCTGCGACGAGCATTCGACGAGACTCAGAGTCGCCTCGAGAAGCTCCAAAAGTCCAGCAAGGTACGTACTCCCACAACCCTTCACATGCTTCATATTAACCTACCCACAGACAATGTCCGACGAGCTCCGCACCCTAAAAGCTCGCGGCTCCAGCTCCACCCCTGTCCCGCAATCCTCGCGTTCCTCAGTCGAGTCATCACGATCACGCCTCGCTTCACCGATACCAAAGGGCGGTGGAGCCATCCAAGAAGCAATCGACTATGTGTACCTGAAAAACGTGCTTCTGCAATTTTTAGAGCAACGAGACAAGAAATATCAGCAACAGCTGATTCCGGTGCTGGGCATGCTGCTGCATTTCGACAAGCAGGACGAGCAGAAGTGGATGGCTGCTGTGTCGGCGAAGTGAGTGTAGTGGTGGTGGTGCTGAGATGCGGCTCTCCGCAATGAGGGATATGCGAGGTGGCATGCTTTGGGCATGACTTGCAGGTCAGATGTTACATGGCTGCTAATGGATGGCGCGCGAATGTAGGATACGGGACATTTATAGTTTTGCATAGCGGTTTTTTCTTTGAAGGTCAGGCTTGGGTGCGGATGTATTATATAGTGGTGGGGTTATGGTGGCTCCTTCCTGCTCCGAGAGGTTGGGCATGGCTCTTTCTCGAATATGTGCTTCCATTGCAGATATTGGTAGCAATAGCTAAATAGGACGGCACAGGTGATGCATGTCGCATCTTTCCCATCTTCAGGTGCGGTATTAACTATGGATTGGAAGGTACAGATGATGTGGTATGATGTGGTCCAGGGTCTTCAGGTGCAGTCGGTATGCGTGATGTTGACATCCCACGTGTGCTGCAGATCGGGTCGCAACAACAAGCATTCCTAGCAGCTGGCAGCCTCTCGAGTTGCTACCGGCCCGGTATGTCTAGGCAAGGTGCTCGCTGCGCTAATTTAACCAGACGCAAGGCTTTGGGCAAAACTGGCTTCCAAGGTTGCGTGGACGAACTAATGTGGTAGCAGGCGACTATTTGTAGGCGTCGACTGATGTCATAATTCGTCTGGCCTGCTTCCTTACCGCTCCCTCCGGCTTTGACGCGCTCCAGCCATCCGTCACCATCTCTATCATCATCCCAAGTCGCATCGAATTCTCCGAGAAGCGAGTCCGACTTGATTAACCACGCATCCCTCCAAGCGAGTCATCTCCCGTGGTTGTCGCAGCATCGCGCATCCGTGCAAACCCCCACCAAAGCACCAATCAGAAGCCCTACATCGATAGGCTGGCGAGGGGAGCGCTAAGCCCGTGTCCAGCAATTGAAGAAATCGCGAGGCAGTGCGACAGAAGAGCCACACTGCCCTCATTATACACCTGCAAGCCCATAGTCTGCGTCTGCCCATGAGCGCTGCCCAACGCGTCCGGAGCGCCTAACCGCACACGCACATCCCAGCAACCCTCGAGCCTCAGTCCCGCCCACAGCCCAGCGCGTGGCGGGGAAAGCCACCATGAATGGCACCGACATGAAGAAGGCGGCCATCAACAAGGCCAAGCAGGTCGCGCAGGCTGCCAACAGCAACGGCGGAAAGAAGCGACGGAAGGGCCAGGACCTCAAGCCCATAATCACGACGGAGAACCAGGGCAACCAGAACGCTTCGCCCGCAGGTTCGACGGGCTCCTTTCAGTACAAGTACGTTCACAACCACCACCACCTTCAACCACCGCTTGCAGCCCTCAACCTTCCCGCCCGCCCAGCCTGCGCCCCCCTCTTTCACTTATTTTAATGCGCCCGCACATGTGCTAGCCCCGAGACATGACCTGACTGCAGCAACCTTATACTGACCTCAACCCCGCAGTGTGCAGAACGCCAATTCGCCGCTCGCCCAACACAAGATGTACGGAAACCAATTAAGCCACTCGCCCGACTCGTCGTCGTCGTCGGTCGATGAGGCCGAAAACACAGCCGACGAGGAGGACTCAGAGGACTACTGCAAGGGCGGCTACCACCCGGTGCAGGTCGGTGAGGAGTACAAGGACGGCAAGTACACGATTGTGCGCAAGCTTGGGTGGGGCCATTTCTCGACCGTCTGGCTGTCGAGGGATAACGCCAGCGGCAAGCACGTCGCCCTCAAGGTTGTGCGCTCCGCTGCGCACTACACAGAAACCGCCCTCGACGAGATTAAGCTACTCAAGAAAGTGGTCGACGCGAACGAGAACCACCCCGGCCGGAAACATGTCGTCAGCCTCCTCGATTCCTTCAACCACAAGGGCCCGAACGGCGTCCACGTCTGCATGGTGTTTGAGGTGCTAGGAGAGAATTTATTGGGCTTGATCAAGAGGTGGAACCACCGCGGAATACCAATGCCGCTGGTCAAGCAGATCACAAAACAGGTCTTGCTAGGCCTCGATTACCTCCATCGCGAATGCGGCATCATTCACACCGACCTGAAGCCTGAGAACGTTCTCATCGAAATCGGCGACGTCGAGCAGATCGTAAAAACATACGTGAAGGACGAACCGAAGAAGAAGGACAGCGAAGACAGCGTTAGAAACGGCAGGCGGAGACGGAGGACCCTCATTACAGGAAGTCAGCCGCTCCCCAGCCCGCTCAACGCGAGCTTCAACCACGCCGAGCTCTCTAGCTTTCCCGGCAACACACAAAGTCTCAACAAGGTTATGAGCGAGGGTACAGGTAAAGACTCCCCCACGACTATCCCGAGTCCTCCTTCTTCGTCAGACGGTGTCGTAATGAGTGGTGCTCTAGCAACTCCATCCGCCGGCCCCAGCCTGTCCATGGCAGAACGGCTCGGAATAAAGTCCGCGAACGAAGACGACGCGCAAAAGCAACGAGAAAAGTCCGCGTAAGTCATCTCATGTCCATGTTCGAGTGTATACTAATCTTGTTAGCGATCTCCTTACGAAGGAGGTATCGGGTATCAGCCTCGACAAACCCAGCAGCTCATCCGGCAAGACCGAGCTCGAGCAGCAAGTCGAAAACGCCTTCGAAACTATTTCAGTCAAGATTGCAGATCTTGGAAACGCCTGCTGGGTTGGACACCACTTTACGAACGATATCCAGACTAGGCAATATAGGTCACCAGAAGTCATTTTGGGTAGCAAATGGGGTGCCAGTACCGATGTCTGGAGTATGGCCGCGATGGTATGGACGCCACCAAACCTGAAAGACGTGAACTAACAATACTAGACATTCGAATTAATCACCGGCGACTACCTCTTTGACCCACAATCTGGCACAAAGTACGGCAAAGACGACGACCACATCGCACAAATCATCGAGCTTCTAGGCACCTTCCCGAAGGGCCTCTGCATGTCGGGAAAATGGTCACAGGAGATCTTCAACCGCAAAGGCGAGCTCCGCAACATCCACCGATTACGACACTGGGCCCTTCCCGACGTCCTCCACGAGAAATATCATTTCAGCTCAGAGGAGAGTAAGAAGATTGCCGGTTTCCTGTTACCCATGTTGGAACTACTACCTGTCGACCGCGCAAATGCAGGCGGAATGGCAGGACACGAATTCCTGAAAGACACAAAAGGCATGGAGGGTGTAGATTTGAATATCCCGGTTGGTAGTAAGGGCGAGGGGATTGAGGGGTGGGCGACGGAGATCAAGAAGACGCGGTAGAACGCGGTGAGGAAAGTGCTGTCGGCCTATTTGTAGAGGTGGAGTGGAATGAAATGGAATTGTGCGACTGGTTAGCCTGGCTTTTGTGTGAGCAAATGGAGAGGACTATGCGCTCGCTTATCATCATTGGAGGGAGGTGAGGTTGTTTGAGATGGGATGGGATGGGAAGGGGCGGGGATACCGCGATAGAAGCATTACGATCATGACTCAATTGTATAGTGCGCTTTTAAGTGCAAGTTCGCAATCTGGCTGTCGAGACGTAGATGTGCGCTTTTGCCTGAGGATGCTCTAAACGTGGTGGTGCGAACTTGTAATGTGGTTTCAAGGTGCTCTAGAAACGCTCGTACATCGCTCCAAATATAGGCCAACGTAAGGACTAATGTTGAGCATGGCTTCATTCGACGGATATGTGATGTGCATTGGCCTGGACTCGACGGCGACTGTGTTGCTCGATTTCGTGTTCGGCCCTCATTCTTACTCGTATCTGTTCCTTTCATGTTTCGCCGACGCCGTTCTATCGAAAGGCGAGATGCGGTGCGCTGCTAACAAGCTGACTCGGGCGTACCAATTGTGAAGGAAGGGGGTCTGTGATGTGATGAATGAGAGTCCGCGAGTATAGCTCCTGCGCGATGTCGAAACCACGTCGTATGGCAATGCATCAGCATAGGGGGAAGCCGGTATGGCTAGCTGTGCTACAAATTGTCTTGCCTCGCAAGAGAGATGATGCCTGTAAATGTATCTGCTGTCCACGTTCTTTTCGCGGTGGTCGTTCAAGTAGTCCTTGGGTACTGCGATGTCTCCGGGTGAAAGGCGTATGCAACCTCATTGTGTGACGACGGCAATCGATGCAACACCGTACATCGCTCGCACTTATTATGTACATCGTACCTTTTGTACAAGAAAAACCTCGGTACTGCGATGACCCATGCAACAACCCGTACGAGGCTACATGCAAGATGCGCAGTACGCCACCACTCACAACTCACGCATTATCATCGGCACAAGCAATGTCTAGAACCTCCTGTCCAATGAAGCGAATAGTAACTCGATGTCGCTGGAAAGCTAGATGCTTACTATCGTGTTCGCGAGCTATACTTAGCCAGCACCAGCCACAGCAGATATTGAGTTTCGGATCGCCCGGTGGGGCGAGCGTCGTCATTAACCCACGCGGCTTTAACACGGGCCGAGACATGGTACCTGCAATTCGCGACCCTCTCGTTCCCGGCAGCTGCTTGCTATCGATGCTGGCCCTGGCACACGTATCTTTGGGTACAGGGAGTGATCTGGGAGCTGACGATGATAATTGAAGGGACCCACAGTGACGGGGGCTGTGGAGAGTGGTGTGGTTTGGTTCCCCCTTGATTGCGGCCACGCGAGGGAGGTGCGTGCCACGCGGAGGGTTGGGCACTTCAAGCTTTGTAGATTGTGATTAAAGTAGGTGGGTACGCGGGTTCTCCTGGTGCTTATCTTCTTGCTTCAACTCCAAGACTATTTCCTTACTTCGTTGAGTTCACTGTCGCTGTCTCTGTCCCTTCTCTATCTTTTTCCAAGTCATTCGTTCACAACATCGGCAGAAGAGCGACTTCACTCTACATCTTCCATAATGCATCTCCTCAACGTCTCGTTACTCCCTCTCTCCCTCATCCTCTTCTCAACTACTCAAACTCTCGCCCAAACATCCACAGACTGCGATCCAACCAAGAAGTCTTGTCCGGCAGATACCGCACTCTCCTCGTCAGTCTACACCCACGACTTCACCACCGGCGCCGATGATGAGAACTGGAAAGTCACCGCTGGCGATGTGAAGTACACTTCGAAGGGTGCGGAGTTCACTATCAACAAAGCCGGCGATGCACCCACTATCCAATCGAACTGGTACATCTTCTTCGGCAGCGTGAGCTTCGTCATGAAAGCTGCGCCCGGCAAGGGCGTAGTGAGCAGTGCCATTCTCGAGAGTGACGATCTGGATGAGGTGGATTGGGAGTGGCTGGGTGGACAAGCCGGGAATGTACAAAGTAAGTCTATTCCCCATCCCTACATCCTTATACAAAAGAATCCCCTCCCAACACCCCCTAGCCAACTACTTCGGCAAAGGCAACACCACAACCCATGACCGCGAGGTCGACGCCCCCATCTCCGACACACAAGGCACATCCCACAACTACACCATCGCCTGGACCTCCTCATCCACAACCTGGCTCGTCGACGGCGACGTAAAACGCACGCTCCGCTACTCCGACGCCAACGGCGGATCAAACTACCCCCAAACCCCCATGAACGTCCGCATCGGCATCTGGGCCGGCGGCGACCCCAACAACGCCGAAGGCACCATCGAGTGGGCTGGCGGCGAAACGGACTACAGTGCTGCGCCTTTTACGATGGTGGTGGAGAAGGTGGAAGTTCGGAATGAGAATCCAGGGGGTAGCTATCAGTATGGGGATATGACTGGGTCGTTTGAGAGTATTGTTGTTGATGGGGGGGATGGTAAGGTGAAGAAGAGTGGGAGTGAGGATGGGGAGAAGAGTGCTTCGAGTACTACTTCGAGTGGGTTGAAGACAGAGGCTAGTGCGAGTGCAAGTGCGACGGTTAATGTTAATGTGGATGGGGGTGTCGGGGGTGAGCATGCGATGGAGACGGGGAGTAGCACGGGAGCGATGAGCACAGCGAGCGCGACGCCTACGGGTAGTGCTACGGGCAGTGCGGCTGTGGCCGAGCAGACGGGTGAGTCTGGTGCGGTCTTGGGCAAGAGTCTCGGTGGAGGGCTCTTGGTGCTCAGCGCCATGGCCATGCTGTTGATCTAGATTAATGTCAATCCAATAGATACACAATAGCAGTTCCATTACAATGCAGAGAAGCGGTTTCAATCTGTCGTTCACATTGCTAGCCTACATACTTTGCAACCTGTTTGCTTCACGCATATGGTTCAACGTTACAAGCTGCCCAATGTGACTGACCACCAATTCTCTTCTCCTTTCGTCTCTATAAACGCTCCAAGACACGGGTCACCAGAGTCTACAGCTTCGATCAAGCCAAAAAATAATGCGTGAAGCTCACTTCGTTCCAAAAGGAACCGTAAAATTTCCCCTTCTGATCCATGCACATGATGGTAACAAACTTCTTGCGCAAATGAAGGCCGATTCTATCTGCATCAGGATTCTCAAAGCTGGGTTCATCCATACCCTTGAAGTCTTCCACCTTGAGCTTCGTCTTCTCTTGCCATACTCTAGCCTTTGTGAGTGTAGTGTCTCCTTCATTCTGAATGACCTTGCGCAGGATGGTGGCGGCGACGGGGAATATGCTTGGTTGAAGGCGTTGCGCACCGCCCAAGTCATATAGCATCTCGCAGACAACGGTGTTCATGGGCAAGCCCCGACTAAACGTTGACTCTGAGTAATCGAGTGGCGCAATGGCAAGAGCGTACTTCTGAATATCCTGCAGAATTCGAAGGCATCGGAGATAGAGCTCCATAACGTCGAAGGCAAGAGACCGAGTCTCTCGAGAGAAGATAGTCCTTTGCCATCGTCGCGAGCCTCGCCTTGATAATCCTTAACCAGCGACTCGACCATGGTGATGATGTCATTCTTTGCCTTGCTCTCCCTGATGGGCTTCTTGTGCCGTGGCTCTTTGTCGGAGCTCAGCTCAGAGTATCGGGAGTGATACTCGAAGCGCCGCACCCCGCCAAGGTTGGTCTCCCACTCTTTACCGGGCATACGGGATTTGTAGTTCTTAGTAAACTTATGGGCAGAAAAACCCATGACGATGTTCAAGTGCTTTCCGAATTCACTACCATGCTCTGGCTTTTTGCCCAGGAAAATCCGGTCGCTGCCTTGCCGGTGGACGAGCCAGTCCATGTCCGTCCACTATAGATCTTTGGGTAGGTATCCGGTACTCTTTGCAGCGTGGTAGAGATGAGCTGTAAAGAGGATCTGTCCCTGATTGTATGCAATGTCAACGGTTGTCCTGTGGTATTCATCGCGGATACCAGCAACATATAAGCCGCAGAGCGCAGGGTCGCACTTCAGAAGTGAGAAGTCGGGGATGCTGCCGAGCTTCCAGTGGGCTTGTTGTTTAAGTTCATCGAACATTTCCTGCTTTTGAGTCTCGTTCAAAGCGTCGATGTAGATTTGGCGTTCCTCCATGCCATGACGATAAAGCTTGTGTGTTTTACCGACGTCTTCGAGGCCTTCGACGTCGAGGTAGACTTGATAGTATGCGGAGAGCTGATGTGCGCTCTTCTGGAGAAGCAACTCACCAGCTGACAAGCGAGACCCCAGCTCTCTCTGCATGTCCTACAGGATTTGTAGCGAGAAGACGATCCAGCTGTCTAGGCGTCCCTTGTATAGCATGGCATTCGCGGCCTTATGCACCATATAGCTGCCAATACAAGGCTGTCCCTCGGGTATTGACGCTAGCTATGAAACGCATTTCAGGAATCTTCGTTCGTCGCGGGAGAGCCGGAAGTCGTTCTGCTCTTGTTCACTGCCAAAAACAGTAGTAGCCAGGTCCACCGTATGTGCGCACATTACGGTGTCGGCACGTAACATCTGATTGCCTTCTTTGTAGGTGAACGGATCGCTGTCCTCGTCGCCCACGTCGATAAAAGCTGAACCCTCCCCACTCTTACCGTAACCGAAATTTGTGAAGTTGACGATCTCCACGTGCATATAGACTTCTGCCGTGTCCTTGAATCGGGGATTTGCTTGCTCGAATTCATTGCTCAGTGCCTCAATTATAGCGATCGCGGCGTTCATGGTCTGCGCAGCCGCTTGAAGATCAATTTCGCCCTTTGCAAACTCGCGCTAAGTGCGCCTAACAGCGAGTCTGAGGTGAGTAGAGTCTTTGGAAAAGCAACAGATGCGAAAGAGACGTCGGTATCAGACGCTTCGAGCTTGTACGTGACCTTCCCTTTGGTAGGTCGAACTGGGCTCTCAATGACCTCTGGCATTCCTCCACTGTCGGAGAGCTCTTTGTCTTGCAGGAGCTCATACATATTGGTGCTGTGTGCAGGACCTGTCTTGTCTGTCTTGAGTGGTCGATGTTGAGCTTGCGGCTGCTTGGCCCTGAGTATCTCTAAGACGTTTTCCACGACCTTGATGAAGTATTGGTGCCTAGCGTTGTTCACTTTGGTGGCAATATCCTCACGATCGGAGGTCATCGCCTACCAAACTGCGCAGTCTCTACGACCTTCAATTACTGCGCGCAATTTCGTGAACACCGAGAGCGGGACGGATGCGTGTGTGTCACCGGCGATAGCGGTCGCGAGGGTGAGGGATGACTTGGCCGGGATCTGACATGTGGCGGTAGCGTTTTGCGTCAATCCAGCTTTCTTGGCCTCTTTTCTGGCAGCGCACTTAAGTCTCCCTCCAGCAGGCGGCACTGCTTCTTGATGGTTGTCCTTGAAGATGTTGTTGACGGTGCCAGTGGCGCGGGCTGTCTCCGCAAGCCATTGGACGAAGTTGCTAGTACCGTTCTTGTACGTGCGATAGGTATCAACGAGCAAAGGCGCGAACCCCATCTTCAGGAATTCAACGCGTCCGACTGTGGTGAAGTTGTGTAGTGGCTGTGCCGCAAGCTGGCTGGAGTCAAAAGTTGGTGGTGGTGAGAGGAAAAGGCAGCGTTGAAATGTGAGACCAAATTCGTTTGTGCGCACTCACGGTGAAGGTGGGCTCCGGACGTGGGAACTGTTGCGTGGGCAACGGTGACGAAAGAAGGCCATAGAAGTCTTGCGCAAGACGCGGTGACGGAGCGGCACCGCACACGTGCAAGTAAACTAGACCAATATACGGTTTGAGAAATACGCGAAATGGGTATATATTGGCGCTGCGATCTTTCGACGTCCTTACTCTATTTATGGTATGAAAAAACGGAATGGAAAGTACAATAAGTGAGTCCACTTCTAACAGTGTAGTATCTGATACAGGTGACCTTGGCAGAAAGCTGTCTTGCATCGCCATCTGGAAAGGCATAGGTGTGAGATGACATTAATGAGATGAAAGAAGACGAGAAGAACGAGCTTTCGTTTGATTGACGAGACTAGTAGTTTCGTCGTATTGGCAAGAGACCGCTGCGATTCGAGCATGTGCTCCTGGAGGGGCTTCATGAAGAGTGGCAAGACTGTACACCCGTAAGAACGCAACATTTTGCTATACTCCAAGAGCCTTGACATCCTTCGTGCCATGTTCTGGTCAGGGCTGGCACCTCCGGACGTCATCAATCCGGGCTTCCAGCCACGCTGCAAAGCAGCACCAATGTCTACAAGCTGACTCTCTCAGTGTCGAGGAGATTGTGCGGATTTCAGTCGTTAGTTGAGTTGTTAGAGGTGGAGTCTCCTAAGGTTTGAGGCAGTCGCTCCTCTTCGTCTGGAAAGGAGTATCAGGCGCACGGGCCCGTCAAAGTGGCGAATGTGGGGCCGGGGCGCGCAGGCTACGTCACGCACATACATTCGTTCAACCATCACCTTTGATGACAATCCTTGCGGCGCCGGGCTGACCTGATCGCTTGAGGTTCACCGGGAATCATCTTGACGTTACCGATCATGCGTACTGCAGACCGTTCTAAGCGTGCTCGGGTTATTGCGCGGCAGAACCAAAGCAAGCACGAAGACGTGTCCATCATGCCTGATTTACATGCTACAACACATCGATGATTAGCCAGATGGCGACAATCATGAAGCAGATGGCTTTTAATTGAGATTGCTGGAGTGCAAGGCGCTCTTGCGCAATGTCGACGTAAGCAGTATGATTGGATCCAGCATGGCTTCCAACCGTTCAGCCTTACACTGCCCCGCTCAGCACTTATATACTACGTTTCCATCGCGCGTACGGCTCTCTTCCTTGTCAGTCGTGCCCTGGGATCGCCGCGATCCTATCGACTCGCACTAACATCAAATCCACGTCTTCGATACTAGCTCTTTCCGTGCGGAACTCTGGACAGACCAGCGCCACCCCGGGAGTGGACTCTAGAGTGTCCAGATAAGCATGTCGCGTCCATTCCAGTATGAGCCTATCGACCAGCAGAGCTCGTCAATCAGACTCATCAGACTGCTGAGGGAAAGGTCACCAGACGGTCATGTACAGTGCAGAATCAAACACGCGTCCACAGAAACCTCGTACATCTGTCTCTCCTACGTATGGGGTGACGGGGACGAATGCTACACAATCCTCATCAACGGCAGATACTTCAGAGTTCGTCACAATCTGCATCGGTTCCTTGTACAGGCAAGACGAAGTAAACACTTACCGCGTACTTGGATCTGGATAGACGCCCTCTGTATCAATCAAAGCGACTCCCTAGAGCGAAATCACCAGGTACAGCAAATGGGTGTGGTATTCAGCCGAGCTAGGAATGTGGTGTCATGGCTGGGAGATGAGAAAAATATCGCCAGGTTCCTCCTGTATGTTGGGCAGCGCGCTAAACGCAAGGTTTGCGCACAAGGAACTGGAACAACTCCCTTGAAACGGCTCGACCTGGGGTTAAGCTTCCATTACCTCTGCGTTGCTGAATATTGGAACCGAGCATGGATTACTCAAGAAGTAGTGCTTGCACGTAGTATCACGCTCATGGCTGCCAACATCGAACTGGACCGCTCACTGTTCCCTGTACTTTCACATTGGGGCGAAGGTTATCTTGCACGACTCGAACTCCTTCGGCCCTTGCATGATACCAACTGGAAGGGTAGGAGTCTTGTTTATCTGATGAACAAGTTCAAGCTCAAAGAATCCCGCATTCGTCGTGATCGTGTCTATTCACTACTCTCGCTCTGCGAAGAAGGAAAGGATTTACAAGTCGACTACGACGCTACAGATTTGGACGTGGCAAAGGAGATCATAAGACGCTGCAAACAATCCTTCTGCTTGTGCGCTGTCAACACCATCACGTTCATCTTGCAGCTGGAGTCTCTCAACCGGAGCGATGTCACTTTGGACTCGGGGCTGCAACCTTTTGGAGTAATGACGCTGCCAGTCTTCTCACAGGACTTGCATGGGACACTTTGTTCAGCTCGACCCTGTCTATACAGAAGCTGTGACGGTACAGAGAACTCTCACCTACCAGGATTTGTCGAGATAGTCTCATGTACGATACTGACTATTCACCTCTATCTGGGCAGAATCTGTACTTCATATAACAGATCTTTCGCCAAGCTTGATGGGGTTGCAGATAACTCTGGTGTCGTACACCATTGGAATCTACGCGGCTCGGGTGAAGACAGACCCGTTGAATTCATCGCTACACACTACGAATGCTCCTGGTCATTGATGGATGGTGGAAAGAGCTGCACAGTCATGTTCTCTTTCGAGCTCCTTGTCGAGATCGCCCGACTCGGTCGAGGCTCCTCTAGCGGACTTTGTGCTCGTGTTGCTGATGTAGGTAGAAGATTCGCGCAGTTGTCACACGATCCTGTGATGTAGATGTACTCTTGGGATCCTTCTGAGCATGCCCATGGTGTTAGACATGGGGTCATTTTATAAATCGCTGACAGCTGGTGGATTTTGGCTCCCCTGTTGAGTTGGATGATATTAGATAGCCTATTGGCCATAATAGACAACATGAATTTTACTACCTCTTGTTCATTACTTTTACTGTTGATCTTCAGACTTCGAGCGCGTATGTGAAGCCTGGAAGACTACTCTCGAAGGAAAGTCGTGTTAAACGCACCGACCTATCAGACTGGGCAGCGCTAGCCAATGTGGGGCCAAGAGCTCGCATCACAGGCTGACGTGCTTTCGCCTCCGTCCAACTTTCTACTTAGGGATTACCTGTCTATCATACCATCTTGTACCTTTGCGTGCCGAATGCTGCACACGTAAACTTGATTGCGACGCAGACCCGTGCAGACCTGGGCACTACCGGGTCGTGTAGACCCAAGACCGGCTATGCGCAAGTCAAGCCACAAGCTGCTTTCTCCTCTTCTGTTTGGTGCACGAGGTAGTGGGCTCAGCTGGTCCGTGAACAGCCACAGAAGTCCTTCAGAATCAGGTTTATGGGCAGGATGCTACATCATCTCGCACTGCCCCGCTTAGAGTATTCTCATTACATTCGCTGATCTCACACCTCATATTTGTCCACAGTTCAACCTCCATGTTCCTTTAACACACGTCTTCTATAGACTGCGTGTTGGTACCTATGCGGCAAGTCGTTCTGTCATGGCAGATGATCTCCAGCAAAACTCCCCTGTCGTACCGCGGCCGGAGCCAGCATTGGAACCGTTCGCATACGCGCCACTTGATCATCAGAGAAGATCAATTCGCTTGATTCGCGTTCTTGCGACAAAGTCCAAAGAAGGCAAAATTCGGTGCGATATTCGCCACGCCTCCGTTTCCGATTCGTACATATGCCTCTCTTATGTGTGGGGGGAGCAAGATTGTGGGCACACAGTGCTTCTCAATAGCAAACCTTTCAAAGTACGAAGCAATCTTTTCGACTTTCTTGCAAGAGCAAGGCAAAATAACCGATTGCTTGGAGAATGGCTCTGGGTTGATGCGATGTGCATTGATCAGGCAAACGTCGGCGAGCGCAACCAACAAGTGCAACAGATGGGTCGTATCTATTCCTACGCCAAAGAAGTTATATCGTGGTTTGGAGAAGACAAAGACTCAATAGCTGCATATTTTGTCGAGCAGACATCCCCATCGGAAATTGCGGTCAATCCCAATCTTGCCGACCTGCGGCTCAAATTTACCTACGCTCCTTACTGGAACCGTGCTTGGATTACACAGGAAGTTCAACTCGCTCAAAAGGTCACTCTATTAGCTAAGACCGTAGAGGTTGATTACCGCTTATTACGCTCTACAGACAGGAAATTTCTGACCATAGAACATCATGACCGACGCAGCAGAATCCCGACACACTGGATGGTGCCGCCACGCCGTCCAAGTTGGCTACCTAGCAAACCAAGCCTGATCTATGTAATGAGTGAGTTCGGTTATAAGAGATGCCACGATATACGAGACCGCGTATATTCCTTGCTCGCTCTTTGCGATGACGGATCAGACGTCCAAGTCGACTACAACACGTCAGTAGAGCGACTTGCGAGACACACCCTAGAGTGCTGCGGACGGTCGTTTTGTCTCTGCTCTATGCGCATCGTCCACGATGTCTTACATCTCGGACAACAGCTTTCCTACGGCCCATTGGAAGACGCGTCTTCAAAGCCTTTTGCATACATGACCCTTCCCTATCATCAAGGTGTTCTTTCGTCGCGGAAATGCACATCGAAACCCTGTCAGTTTTCGAATTGCGATGGAACTGAGTGGTCGCATACCCCAGGCTTGGTTCATCGGGCTTCACAGCACGATGATCCCTCAATTACCATCTATCCCAGCCGCATTTGCAGATCTGCTTTCCACAACCTCACCCGTATCGAGATGGTTGCAGTAGGAGAGTCTCGATATAGGTGCGATAAAGTGGGGTTTGACATGGAAAAACATTATACACGTCCAACGCCGAAATTTCGGAACGATAATGAAGCGCGAACATGGTGGTGGAGTCCACCGCAGAGGAGTCGGTATCATCATCTTACTCTGATACCTACAGGCGATATCTGGAGAATCGAGTTCCACTTCAGCTCTTTGATTGAGATGGCACGCGACTCAGCAACAGCAGATCCATGCGCAATCGTTAGGCTTCAACGCGCAAAGCTCAACGAGCCTGTATTGCGACTTTGTTCTCCACCAGAATAGTTGGAAGCATCTTTGTTCTATACTCGTCTATTCTCTATGTGCAATTCAGTCCTTACCATGGCAGCGTGGTCCCATCCCAATTCTGAAACGTCCCCGAGATCGTCCTCTCCGCCTTGTCCAGAGTGCTTAGAACCCCCTTCACACTCTGCTCAACAGTAATAGCACCCGCAGCCTTCAGCGCCTCAGGCGAACCCATAGTATTCCCCATATCTGTCACCACCAAACCAGGATGCGTCACGTATGATGTGAGCCACGGCTCCTCGAAGTGCATCCTTGTCACAGCCCAGTTCAATGCAGCCTTGCTAGATCCATACGGGCTGAAGACCTCCGGAAAGCCAGCAAGAGCTGCCTGGGCACCCATGCTGCCGATGACCGTGGAGATGCCGAGGAAAATGGGGTTGCCGGACTTGCTAGCTTGGAGAAGCGGCTTGACAGCCTGGAAGAGAAGAATCGGACCGATGGTGTTGACGGCGAAGTGGTCGTGGAGTGCGTCGGAGGATGTATTGACGATGGTGGTTCCTGAGTGTGCGATTCCGGCGTTGGCAATCACGATGTCGAGAGAAGTGATGCCGTGCTCAGATTTGAGCTGAGCGACAGCATTCTTGGGGTCTGCTTCGGCGGATGAGTCGAGTTTGACGATGATGAGTTTAGAACCTGAGGCCTTGGGCAGAGAGTCTAGTGTTGGAGTGGACTTGGCGACATCCCGGACTGCGGCAATCACAGTCGTGTTAGGACGTTGAAGCAAGCTTTCTGTGAAGCCTTGACCAATGCCGCGGTTGGCTCCGGTGATCAGATAGGTAATGGATGAAGACATGTTTCGTTTTGGGGTGGCTATGATGATGTCCAGGCTGAAGGAATTGATAGAGAGCTGTAAAGTTCTGATGCACACGACACACTTCTTCCTTAAGTATGCTCCGACCTGGAATAGAACAGCTGGTAAACCCCGAGGCCGAGCATGATTAACAATCCTTTGGTTTTCTTTTTCGAGCACGAAATGCTTGTGAGGAGTAGGCTAATACGAATGATGCAATGTAGCCAGAAGGAGTTTTCGTTCGTCCGGTTCTGAGAGTTACGGACGCCATCTACTGAAGCACGTAGGCTGATCACTCGATGTCAGCATGGCGCGGTGGATGATTAGTGAACGTTGAGATTCTTGGTGACCGGACCGATGTTTAGTGAGCATCATGCTAGATGCGCTAGTCTACCGTGTACCGTCTGCTCGAGCTACGCGGCCTGATTTTAGTCATTTTCGCGTCTTGATTATGTCTTTGATCATTTGTCGTGCTGAGACTATAAGCTGGTAAACGATGAACATCACATAACAGCGCATATATTGTGGGCAAAGACAGACCTTGCGAACGATCTTCAATGAACCAGCCCTTTGTTTCTATGCTTTAGTGGCACTCGGGGGCACGTCGATCTCCTGCAAGATATGGTATAGACTTTCGCGCGTGCAAAGTTACTGTTTCCAGGCGAAGATTCCCTGCAATTTTGTCACTTCCCGAGGTCTGAGGTTGAGATGAGATGATTACCTATGTTTGAGGTAGAGCGGCCATAGCTGGAGCGAGTGCCGAGGTTGCCGAATTACGGCCGAGTCGAAGTCGTCCACGGCGCCCGGGTGGCTTTACAAGCGTCCTCTTTCTATCGCTTTGCCTCTGAAACTACACATGGGCAAACATCGGTTTGCCTGCTCCTGTCGCTTATTGATGCATCGCGGAACCCGTTTAGTCCTCACCGCTACCTACAACAGGCATCATGATCCCCTGCTACTGATAGATATACATCGCACCATCAACAAGCTACCAATATTCGCAAATACATTTATCCTAGAGTCTTGCTGATCGTAAGAGAAGGTTGGGCCGCAGTAATGATAGGCGAGGCTGATTTGGAGATGCGCATGCAGGCTGCAGCTATGGGCTTCCAGCAGCTTGCACTGCCCCGCTCGATGTGATGCCTACAACAAGCAGCCACTTTCTGGCAGCCTATTCAGATGGTCACTCCTCTTCTACACTGCGGTTTTACCTCCTAAGGTACTCACATTCTGGTTGATTATCAGTACTAGCACTTTCGCCAAATTTGATCTCAATCCCTCCACACTACGATGAGTACGGGAGACCTGTCACCGTCGGCCAATCAGAGTCATACACCGCCAACAGAATTCGCCCATACGCCCCTGGACTATTGCGCGCCTTCCATTCGTCTACTTCGCATACAAGCCTCAAAATCATCAGACGGCTTCATCCAATGCCAAATGCGGCATGCATCAACAACAAGCATTTACTTCTGCCTGTCCTACGTGTGGGGCGCCGATGATAGCTGCCAATGGATTCTCGTGAACGGTCAGCGGTTTCGCATCCGACAGAACCTGTACAACTTCTTGGAAGAGGCAGTGCAGCAGCCGCAATTACAACCTCATTGGTTCTGGATCGATGCTATCTGCATAGATCAGATCAACTCTGACGAGAGGAACCATCAGGTCAATCAGATGGGTGCAATCTTTGCAGGAGCAGTACAGGTCGTAGCTTGGCTTGGTACAGAAAAGCAGATCGTCACCTTCCTAGAGACCTCAAGAACTCTGAAAAAGAAAGCCGAGATTAGACGAAAGGAATTGAAAAAACGGATGCAAAGAGCAGGAGTTACAGAAGAAAACATGGGTGCGATCCTTAGCGCTTCAGACAAAAAAAGTTACCGCAAAGATAGAGGAATTGTGGAAACCAATATTGATGGATTCCGCCATTTCTGTTACGCTGATTATTGGGATCGAGCCTGGATAACTCAGGAAGTCGCGCTTGCCCGCCACATCACATTCATGGCCGGGAAGGCAAGCCTGGTAGCAAAGTCAATCTCTTTCGAGTATCAGCAATTCTGCCAACTGCGGGTCGCCGCACTAGACCCGCGCACAACACAAGAGCTTCGAGGTAGGAGCCTAATATACCTGATGGATCGATTCAAGTCCAGGAAATCAGGCATCGCACGTGATCGCGTCTTCTCGCTGCTGTCATTATGTGGCGAGGGCTCAGATGTGCTTGTGGATTATAACGCGACAGATTTACAGGTCGCCGAAAACATTCTGAACTGCTGTAAACGCTCGTTCTGCCTATGTTCCATAGGCATAGTTGCGTTTGTGTTGCGCGTCCAAACTCAACTTACGACCTCGCAATACGTTCTCAGATCGCCATTGGACTTCGCGCGAATAACCCTTCCAGTGACAATGGATTTGACGGAATTTGGCGAAGATTCGGCAACGCGACCTGTTTTACATAAGCCTAGTCGGTTTTATGGCTCAACGATGACACTCGATGTTCGCTCTCTTTGCCCCTTGTACCATGGACGGATTGAATTGTCCTCTGGTTGGATGCGGACCAATTTCTCAATTCACTACGCTAATGGGTTTTGTTATGCTGAAGGGAAATGGAGTTTGTCCGTACCTGAACGATGTCACATTGATCTCTCATCTGACCAGCAGTCCTGCACCGCAACATTTTCTTTAGAGTTTCTGTATGAGATCGTCCAGTGCAATCGATCACTGAAGCCGTGCTGTGAGCGAATCACGTGCGAAGGGACAACGTCAGCGTGGCCACCTAGTATGCCCGCATTAACTGTGTGCGACTGAGGGTCTTGTGCTATCAAATAGCTGTGTTTCTGCCTCTGGAGGTGTATGTATATTTACAAGATCGACGCACTTCAAGCTCAGAGTTAATACGCACGTACTACCAGTGGTCTACGAATCCATCGTATCTCAATGTCTCCAACTCTTCTGGCTGGAATTATGTGCAGTATGCTCATCAAAATGCCTCTTAAGCAAGTCATACGACTCATTTGTCGTCCACCCATCCCGACTGACAAGACCTTGCTTCGACTTCCACTAGTCGGCGTCTTCGTTCCAACCTCTCCTGTCGCGGAGATGCGCTCTAATTTCCTCCCATGCAAAAGATATAAGACACGTTATACAATCGTTGATCTCATTCCAATGCCTGTAATGACCTCACGTTAGCTCATACTCAAAACCGATAAAAGGTATGGACGTAGGGGCTCAGTGACGACATACCGGGCTAAATTCATCAGACACTGCCGAAGAGGTATAATATTCCATCCCAAGTCTTTCGAAAAAAAAAGTAACCAAGTAACGTCTATTTTGTCCTTGTGGTAGATGCATGACATCATTCATAAGTGGTCTCGCAGCCTGCATCTCGCTCTCGTAGCAGTGGAGCATGAGCGAGCGCTGAACCTGATGTTGTAATCGTTTTCTATCTCCACGGTCGCGCACTTTATCCAAGCTTTCGTAACGATAAAGGATCCGCACCATCGTCTCGTCTTTATCTACTATCAGCTGTGTATGCCGCGCTTGGTGGAACAGCGGGCCAACCCATGCGTGTTGCGAGCCGATCATGCTGATTACGCGATCGTTCTCAACGAATGTATTCGCGGGACGGAGATATGGGTGCCAGAGTACAGGCTTGCTTAGTTCGCCTTTGGGTAGTATGTAACCAGTGACCTCCAGAAATTTCTTGTATAGATCAATGTGGACTGCTGGATCTTCTTGGGATTTTGATCGACTGCCAAGAGGCTGCGGTGGTGAGCTGTCAAGACACTTCCATGGTGCTTCGTCGAGAGGGTTCAGCGGTGATTCGCCAAGGATACTCTGCATTGATTCGCGGGTGGTGTATTCTTTCAACGAGTTGATCTCTCGTATGGCTATCTCTTCGAGGTAATGGGAAGGTCCTGTCCCTGGAGAAGGTCAGTAGATCTTAGGGAAAATGTCTTTGCAAAATGCGACACACAAGGTCCTCGATCAGTATTCTTGACTCGTCTTCCCTGAGCCCTAAATGCTGGCTGAGAGGTGGGACCCATATTAAGTACTCTCCTCAAATGTTCCTTTATCGACTCTGGAACGTCGCCTACTAACTCAGCAGCCTTGAGCTCCGATGGCAATATCCCATCGAAATACAAACTACCGTAATGCGCAAAAGACGTTGGTATAAGTTTCCTTTATATCTCAATGACCTCATCCACGATTTTGAGCTTGGGCCGAATTTCGAGGTCGCCCCAGACCTCGCTGAGCTACGTGCACTTAGCTTCTTCCACTAGTATGTACTTTGAGTCTATGGGATTGTGTACACTGTCTTGCCATTGGCAGACCTGGGGTATTGGTACGTTGAGAATATTTCTGGCCTGTGTAGCTCAAGCTATTAACCGTCCGCTCTGACGCTGAAGGCAATGTAAAGAAGACATACGAAGGTCATGGTAGCAGCCTCCGAGGCAGCTGCCCAATACTTGGAAGTACACAGGCATGGCATACGCGCGATGAGGATCTTGCCGTTGTCCATGACAAGTCGGGAGCCTCAGCTCGATTCGCCCTTCGCAAGTTTGATCATTGATGAGCAATGTTGTGCGCCCGTCTTCTTGACAGCAAGCTTCTTTAGTTCTGGAACATTAAACCTATTGCATCGCTCGCGAAAGCGTTCCTCCTCGTTCCAGAGCCAGCGGCCGCTGTCGTAGCGGTAGAAATTCTCGTATTCATCGATTGACGCGCTTGTGGTGTGGTTGTGACGGATGATGAATCGCTAGTTTCTAGGCTTCAATGATGAGAAAGCGATAAATCTTGGGATGTTCGCCGTACGGCTTTTTCGATAGCGCAAGAAAGACATGGTAGTGGGATGATCTGCGGTCCGTGCTGCGCCGTTGCTGAACTTTATTGTTCACTGCTCATGAATGCGGCGTAGCAGGCTTATCGAGTGACGCGATCCTTCGAAGGCCTATTGGCTCATCCAATGAGCATTGATAACAAACTTCAAAGACGATAATCGCCAGCTTGTCACAAATGCAAATAGAATTGTTAAAGTCTATGTCACCAAATCGACTAGATATCGTCGTTGGCAGAAACTCCGTAAACGCCATGCTTATACATCATGTGTTGCCGTATCCACATCATTCCCCGTGCCTATATGCCATCCTATTCGTCGTCGAGTATCGAGCTGGCCAGCGGACCAAAAAAGGGTACTTCGTATCGATCGAGTGTTGCGGCTGTCCATGTGTTAGCGCCTGGCTCCATTCTAGCATTCACACCTTGGACCCACCATCCAGATACGCCCTCCAAGTCAGCCACCCTATCCCCGCCAAATCTCCAATGAACAGCACCCAGGAAATGAAGCTCGACCAGCTGAATATGATGTGCACCACAAAGATGAAGGCGAACAGCAAGCTGCTTTGCCATGCGTGGAACCGTACATAGTCACTTTGGTGCTCTAGAACCAGCAGTAACACACCACCAGCTGGTGGTAGCAGAAGATATGCCAGGCACGCTTCATAGTCCAGTCGCCAGCCCAAAGACGTTGTGAACATATCTACATCCTCGCGGGACCGGCCGAAGCCTGTGCTACGAGACGGCTGATCCCATGCTATGCGCTCTGTATCGGGTTCTGCAGGTGGTGATATAGGCGATTGACCCTGGAAGTAGTCATGCTGTTCGTATGCGCGTGTTGTGGGTGATGTGATATTACGTGTGCGGTCGATAGATGTCCTCGGCGAGTGGACGGGCGGTGGAGAGAGCGCGCGTGACGATTCGGGAATGTCTTGGTATGGGGCAAAGTTGGCTGCCATTATGCTTTCTTTACTTGGGAGACGTATGCGGTATATGAGGGGCTTGTCGCTCAATTCCTGGGTATTGCGAAGTTTAGTGCAAGAGATAGGGCAGACGCAGAGGCAGGTGTAACCGGGGCTGTGACGTTTGGCAGGGATCCGAGCTCGAGATCGGGGGCCGGGGTTTTGCCGCTGGCACGTGAATGATCGTTTTCGGCCATCTCCGCCGTGTCACTCCGCTGCAGGAACAGTCATGTTGTGCGACGTCTCTAGAGAATGACGGCTCACACAACTCTCGAGTACCTTGCATTTAACAGCATGTTAACGCAAGTGCGACGAGTCAATGTCAAGTAAAATAACGCCGTCTTCCCCATCGCTGGCCCGAGGTCGCACTTTCCTTATGTCACAGGGACATCAGATTCCGCCTCCGTCCAACCTTTATCTCGCCATGTGTTGTCCTACCTCACTCCACGTCCTGTACGGTTGGAACCACGTATAAAATTGAGTGTTGAAGCACTTGTTGGCATTCATTCACACCGCTCACACTGCACTTCGGTAAACTTTACGCTTATTCCGTCGTTCCCCGAAACTTCAACGCCACCGAACACAGCATTGTCACACTTCAACTCACAAACCCCTCTTGCAGCCAGAACACATCCATCAACATGTGTATCGCTATACTTACAACTGCGCATCCAGACTACCCATTCATCCTGCTCAACAACCGAGACGTACGTTTGGCAGGCTCCAGCGACCCCTGACTACGACTAATACGCACATCAGGAATATCTTCACCGTCCAACGGCAGAAGCAACATGGTGGCCATCTCCAGATTCCCAAGTCCTAGGCGGCTACGATCTACACCGCCCTGCTCATGGCACCTGGCTAGGTGTGACTCGCCAAGGCCGAATCGCAGTATTGACCAACTACCGTGAGGAAGATCAGACCATCGTTGAGGGAGCACGAAGCAGAGGGCTGATTCCAAACGCTTGGTTGAAAATCGACCCAAAGAAAGACGAGAGTACGGAGGATTTTGCGAGGCGAATGATTGAAGAAGATGGTGTTGAGGGCGTAGGTGGATTCTCTCTATGCTACGGGTTCATTCAGGATGTCATCAAAGAAGAAGGAAAAGGTCTAGCAATTGTCAGCAACCGCACTCCAGACGTACACGGCGTGGTCCATCTCCTGCAGCAGCAAAACGAGACCCGAGCTCTCAGCAACGCCGCCTACAGCGACCGCAGCTGGCCCAAAGTAACGAACGGAGAAACCTGGACGCGCACCGCTATCGCTGAATCCGTCGCTGCAAACGAATCCCGCGATCAACTTATCAATCGTCTCCTTGATATCCTGACCACTGACACCATGCCTCGGCAGAAAGAGAATGAGGAGTGGGACATGTATCTCAACCAGCTACGTCACAGCATCTTCATACCGGCCATCGGACGAGGCCATCTTGAAGAGCACAAGATGCCTGCGCATGAGATTGGCGACTTGGTCAAGGCGAAAGCGGTGGATGCTACGAGTGGGTGCTATGGTACGCAGAAGAACATCGTAGTGTTATGTGACAAGGATGGCAAGGTGACGTATTTCGAGAGGACACTGTATGACGGCGACGCGAAACCCATTGAGAAGGGCAAGGGTGACAGGGTGTTTGATTTCACGATCGAGGGGTGGTAAGACGATAACGATGACAACTCGTCGGTGCTAGGGTCTTCGTTCCATTCACTTCCATCTCAACTTCAATCATCAACATGTCATGTCCACATTCTGTTCTTTTCCACGTTCTTCCGGTTAGAGCAGTCGAAGCCGCCAGTATATCTTGACTCCAAGAGCTCGGATTATCTGTTGCCAACGCGTCAGTGAAGCCCGTCCATTTTGGTCGCTCCGTTTGCTCCCCGCGATATCGCGCTACATATTTGGTCCGTGCAGCTGTTCAATTCGTTACTACGTTCGACTATCGCTTGATCAACAACAACAGCTTGCCTCCTCAGTTGACCTTGAGCGCAATCATCTCGCAACAACCACTCTTGGCCGCATTCAGTCCGGTTCAACAATCGCCTTTTCTACTCCCACGTTTCCATCCTATCACAACTGCTACCATGTGTATCATCTTCTTCAAATCCCACCACGACGGCCCACGCGAGCACTATGTCGGTTCACTTCATTGCGCCCATATTGACTGCGCTGGAACGTTCGAAGCTCACAGCAAGTATCTGCTCGAAGAGCCCCGCGCCGATTGTGCGGATTGTCTAGCCGCAGATGGCGATCAGGTGGACCAAGATGTATGTTCGTATGCTGCTATTCCGCATTGCGAGTTGGCGTACGTAGAAGGGACGGGTTGGGTCAAGGTCGGTGAGAAGGCGGGAGCGGAAGGGGCAGGGCAGGGGGAAGAGAATGCTGAGGCAGGAGGACAGGGTCAAGAGGAAGGATACGACGAAGGAGGCTCGTACCATAGCTTCCGAAGCCTCTCGGACGTCGACAGCATCACATCACACTGGCGCTTTGATCCACCAAGGCGCGCTCAAAGAAACGCTGCAGCTCCCGGGGAGACATCGCCAGCCCCAGCTCCCTACGCTTCTTCAGCAGCTGCAGAGCCATTCGAAACCCACTCTGCCCACGACCCACACGAAATGCAAGAAGTAGGCTCGCGATATCACGAAAATGGCTCCAACCAGGACCCGAACATACCAGACTGTGCAGACTCACCCAACACCCTCGAGCACCGCCATCTCGTCAACAAACAGCTGAAAGCGCACACCAAGCGCATATCTCGCCATCGGCGTCAAAACAGTCGACCCGGGCGCCTACAACAGCGTCATGGACGTCAAAACAGCAGACCGGCCTTTGATGTAGTCGCTCCGCATTATTATACGTTCGCAATGGGTGTAAACTCAGTGCATCAAAGCCTGCCAGGAAGTCATGTACCTGGGTACCTGGCAGTGCCTCAACCAGGCCAGGCGCTGACGTGGGTTTGGGGACCGGTCCCGCCGCCTCATTTAAGGGGGATGTGTCCGCCTGTGAGTAATTCGTTATGCCGAATTGCTGTACTTGCTGACATGTATAGTTCTAGGGGTGATGAGATTGTAGAGGAGATTTAGTTGTGGAGGGCATCTGGTAGTAGACAAGACCTCGGGATGGATGCTTGTGTATTGTAGTCCTGTTCTGTTAATTGAATACGTACCTCCCAAATGTTTACATTGCCTTGGAACGTTTCAAACTTCAGTTTTCATACCGACACAGACTTCTTGGATAACTCATTCTAACGGATGTTTCGATGAAGTTATGATGCACGTGCTTAGTCTTGGCACGCTACAGGTGACAGGGAGTTAGTGACGTCTTGTAGATCTTTCGGCAACTCTAATCAACAAACACCGAGCCGCAGTTCAACCTCCGCACCCGTTTTCGCGACAATCTGACAGCACCTACTTTCTCGTGTCATACGTCTTAGAAAGTAGAGTTACAGTCTATAAACTGCCTGTTGGACCGTTTTTGCGCCTTCCCGATCCTCTCAGTACACACTCAGCCGTCATGGCGTCTCTACCGCCTCAGCGCCCCGCGTCGCAACATAGACCCGCACCTCCTGCCGAATCGTCGGCTTCGCAGCAAGAGCAGACAGAGCGAACGAACAGCTTCTCCGGTCAGTCGGTAGATTCGCAGACGCTACTGCTCAATACGCCATCTTCACAATCAGCCTCTTCTACGCCTCAGGAACAGACCGAGGTACCCACACAAACCACCGCGCCACAATTAGAGGAAGACGATGAACCGCGAAGATGTTGGATTTGCTTCAACGACGAGACGGAAGACGACGAAACGACATCGGAATGGCGGTCGCCTTGCGCGTGCTCACTAGTGGCACACGAAAGGTGTCTGCTAGACTGGATAGCGGATATGGAGGCGCCCAGCTCGCGGCGACGGGCTGGTAAAGCGGCAGGACAAATATTGTGTCCTCAATGCAAGAGCGAGATCAAAATAGAGCGACCAAGGAGCTACGTGGTGGACATGGTTCGGGGCGTTGAGAAGCTTACGGGCAGCCTCCTGCTCCCAGGCTTCGCCCTCGTCACAGGCACAGCGCTATACTCGACCCTGACGCTATCCGGTACGGCGACGATATATCAGATCTTTGGCACGCAAGATGCGCTCCAGATTCTTGGGCCTTTATACGAGGCCCCGAGTCGGTCGGTGAACTCAGTAACATTGCAGTGGCTGGAACATCTGAGGCAACATTGGAGGTTGGACCTTGGATTGCCGTTGATCCCGACAGTTCTGGTCGCAAGCCGAACGTCATTCGCCGACTCCTTCCTACCCTTCCTTCCGCTCATTTTCTTCGTTAGCTCCGGACAACCAGGCGATGATATGCTACAACTACAATGGCCACCGAGCGCCGCTTTCACCTTCGCCGCACTACCGTATCTCCGAGGTTTTTACAATGCATACTACGAGCGCGTGTGGTTACCACGAGAGCAGCAGTGGCTGAAGGAGATCCAACCTCGAGCTGGCGAAGACGTAACCGCAGATGCCCAAGTACAACACAACCACGACCATGACCATGACCATGTAGGCGACGAGGATGTAATAGAAGAGGTGGAGATTGAGCTCGACTTCGACATCTTCGCAGACTGGAATAACAATGGCGAAGCCGATAACAACGACGACGACGATGACGACGCGCCCGAGGCCCCTCCCGTACCCATCGTGCGAGGCCCAGCAGGACCCATTGACGCGCCACCACAGGACGACCAAGATGATGCTGAGATGCCTGAACTCGCCGACGTCGAACCCCAGCAACACGCAGCACCTCCGCCCAACATTCCCATGCAACCCGCCGCCCCTCGACCCCGACGCGTCCGTCGCGAACGCGGCGTTACCTTCTCCACCACCTCCCTCGCAGATACCATCCTCGGCGCACTCATCTTCCCTACCATAGCCGCCGCCATGGGCGAGATCCTCAGACTCAGCTTACCCAGCTCGTGGGTCACACCTCCGAATGGCGCACCAGCGACATCTTGGCTCGGCGGGTGGATCAATACTGGCTGCAAGGCCGGTGGCGTGGGCAAGCCAACGGGGTTTCTGCAGACGCGTTGGGGAAGGAGTGTAGTGGGTGGATGTATGTTTGTTGGGTTGAAGGATATGATTATGCTGTATGTTCGGTGGAAGACGGCGCAGAATCATCGGAAGAGGGGCATTGTGGATCATGATAGGAAGAAGCCAAGGGGCGGTGCTAGGGCGTCGGCTTGAGCGTGGGTGGGTTTTGGGTGTATAAGCGTGAGCTCAGGAGTATGGGTACACGATGATGGTATGCATGCGTCTGAGCACTTTGTGGAGTAAACCTATTCGGGTGGTTTACCATTTGTACATTACACTCAATCACACTAAACCGACGCCAATCAGTCGGTTCGGACTATCATCTCTTGAACTATCTTCCCGTTAAATATACCCCTCCTATCCCACCACTACCCGAACCTCTCCGCAGCAATCCTCTTCAGAAACTCCATAGTCCCCGCTTCCTTCTCCCTCCGTTCCGCCAGTCTCTCATTCCTCTCCGCCTCCCTCGCCCGCGCGATCTCCTCCCGTCGTATCTCCCTCTCATTCTTCTGTCTCTCCTGCTCTTTCTTCTTCTTCTTGTACACATCGATGCCGTCATCGCCCATGAGGTCTGACTCTGGGACGTCTACTTCGCCCGCTTCTTTGGCATCGCGGAAGGAGTTTAGGGTGCTGGTGACTTCGCGTTTCTTCTCTAGTTGGCGCTCGCGGGAGTTCGGCTCTGCGCGGGGTACTAGGTCGTCTAGAGCTTCTTTCTGCGATTTACGATCGGTTTTGCGGGCGTGCCGGATGTCGTCGATGTAGTTTGATTGGCCATTTGCACGGTCTTCGGAGACGAGTTCGTTGCGGTATGTCAGATCGTCCATCTTCGGTATCGTGGGACCGTGGCCGGTATTTCTGGGGAGGTTTGTAGGCGGTGCGGGACCAAAGTCATCGTCGCTTGCATCTGATTCCTCCTCTCCTTCCTTCCGCGCATAGCTAGGCGACGCTCTTCTCCTAGGCACCCCAGGAGAAGTCTCACGATACGTATGCACAGTCTCCTGCGCCGTCTTCAACATCGAAGGATCATACCAGCTTCTTGCCAGCTCCCCACGATTCCAGCGACTGACGAAGCTCTTCCATCGCCCTTTTATCTCCCGCTTGTCTAGGCTGTCTAGTTGGATGGACTTTTGTATGTCGAGGTAGGATTGGAAGAGCGGTTTGTAGTCGTCGTAGTGGCGCTTTGATAGAGGCTTTGCTTTGTAGGGTAGGGCTATGGGTCTGGATGCGGCTGGTGAGCGCGAGCGGTGGCGCTTGTGTCGGTGCGTGTCATCGTCGCGACGGGGGGAGCGCGAGCGGTGCGAGCGGTGGTGTTTGCTGTGGGTGCGCGGTTCACGTGACTTCGAATCGGCATGCGATGGTAACTGCGCAGTGGATTCTTCGGGTGTGTAGCTGTGGCGCGGCATCGTGGAGGTTTGGCGGTTGAAAGTTAATGTGGAGATGGAGCGTGAAGAAGTTCATATGTCATAGCGGGCCGCTTCCGCGCGCTTGGGTTCACTAGCACGAGGCCTGTCGATTCCTCCCCTTGCCCACGTTGCGTACGCTCGTCAACCTACATGCACTCACAACAGCAATCGACTAGCCGATCCTCATCCGTGGGAAATTTTGTCCTATGCACACGAATTTCAGCTTCGGGCGTCACACCTTCGGTCTTCTGAACAAACAGGCTTACTCCGTCTTTCCATGGATGATGAACTCAGGCTTTGCGCGCTGCCTTCTAAATCAGCATAGGAATCCTTCTTCCCTAATGTACAGGAAGAGATCCTCACCACAAGAGCTCTGAAGCGGTAATTAGATGATTTATACAGAATAGCGACGTCTTCATGTTGATCAAGTGAGTGCTTCCTGGACTCTGATGAGTAATAGGTATCTCTCCAGCCGCCGATCTGACCTAGATGTGGCTGATGATACCCAGCCTGTTTTACGGACATGCAAAGTAAGCTGCATATCCATGATGACGTTGCTCTGTTCATGGAGCTGGGCAACACTCGTAGACCCCGCACATTGCGCTTCCATGCTTAAGATCCACCTGTTCAACAACTTCGTTTGATGGAACAGGGAGTGACACACCGAATCCCACACCTATTTGTGCATTCCACCAGCGTACAGCTGACAGCCTTCGCTCTATGGATCCAGTCAAATCTCCCGGAAATTCGGAAGAAGACGAAGACGAAGACGAAATCTCGATTATCTATACCCTCTACGACAGTATGGAAAACAGTGAATTCTTGGAGACTAGGCGCAGTTTTCTGCCCGCAGACGTGATTGACAAAATGTTTAAACGCGGTGCTTTCGGGGGAGATGTGTCTGCCGATCCACGCCAGCGAGTCTTGAAACTCCTTCACGCCACATCAACTACAGTGCAGTATGAACCGTTAGTAGATTTCATTCTGACGCGAGCTAGGCGACTGTTCCTCATCTGCCTATTTGGTGATGAGCGTGGAATTCGTGCGAAGATGAGCGCGTTCATGAAAGATGGATTTGATGATGATCAACTACCAATTGAACGCCTTGGTCCTACATGGTCGGAGGTTGAGAATCCTTCAAGCATTCGCTTTTATGCCATTGCTGATAGGAGAACTCGTGAGCGGGGACGTAGATTGTGGGGGCCCAGGGTAATCAATTCCTTCCTTGAAGACCAGTGGAGGTTCTTGGCACCTATCATCTCCACATCCACACTGTTACACGATTTTGGGGAGCGTACGATGCCTTTCATATCCGGGGGCTCATTGAGTCGACACGGTGCTTTCAGCACGGTGATACAATACGAAGTACATTCCGCTCATTTCGACAGCACAGAAGAGGTAATATCGATCAAGCTTCCGAAGTCAATGTGTCGCTGACATGAAACTTCAGTCTTCACCTGCTAGCCGTATAATGGCGGTGAAAATGTTCAGAAAGGACCGAAACCGAAAACACAGGACAAGTCATTGGGAAAACGAAGTCAGGGTCCTTGAGAAAATGAAGTATCTGGGCCACGATCACATCGTTCGCTTTCTCACAGCTTTTCGACATGGCAAAGGGCTAACTCTAAATCATTACATTTGCTTCGAGTGGGCTAGTAGCGGCAATCTTTTCGACCTTTGGAACGAAGACCCGCAACCGAGGTTATCAGCACCTCTGATTCAAGCCGTCATTAAGCAAATCGATGGACTTGCACAGGCTCTGAATGCAATTCATTACTTCAAAGGATCGAACGGCGAAACGACTGAAGCATCGCTCATCCATGGTGATATCAAGCCAAAGAATATACTTTGGTTCAGAGACGGCGGGGAAATAGGCACCCTAAAACTTGGTGACTGGGGCGAGGCAAGACTGTATGGCGATGAAGACTCTGAAGGGGCAACCACAGCAACACGTAACAATGACCAGAGCAGATATGGTACCCGTCGGTATGAGCCACCAGAGGTCGAGACAGGATTGGACATTGGTGGTTCCGGCGCCATCAAGAATGGTCGTTCCCGACTATACGACACTTGGTCCTTTGGGTGCTTAACCCTCGAGTTCATCATTTGGCTTCTTCACGGAATGCAGGGACTGGAAAACTTTCACCATGACAATGTAGGAGATTACGGCTTGTCGGACTCATTCTACGAGATCAATCATGAGAGGCTTGCCAAGGTGCACGGCGTTGTGAGTCACTGGATGGAACACCTGGGGAAGGATGCGCTCTGTGAGTACGAGTCCTCGGCACTCGGTGACCTCCTCGATATTGTTCGAAACGGACTCCTCGTGGTCAAGCTTCCCCAAGGTGGCGGAAGTACTAAAACCAAGGTCAAAAGTTACTCACGGTTCATACTCCGAGACTATCAGGAAACCAAGGGGGAGACGGCTGGAGCTATCATGCACGAAACTGTCATGGCGAAATGTGCACCGGTAGCCGCTGACACGCCGTCGATCGTCATCATCAGTCCTGCGCAGGATGAGGGGGCAACGCCTGTGGGATACGAATGCAGCGATGGAGATCGGTTAGCGCATCAGAACAATGTGCCTTTGTCAGAACCAGATCTAGAGCGTTTCCGTGCCATTGAGCTGGTTCAAAATCTGGACCGATTACGTCAAAGGGAACACTCGGACGGTTACTGGTTCCAGGATCTCCCTCGCTGCCCGATGCCCCCAACTTTCAGAGGGAGGGCCTCACTGAGCAAGATACCACTGCGGGTGAGAGGGAACTATGATTATCCCGATCTTGACCCAGAGGACTGGCAGATACGTCCGGATAATGACTTCGCCGCCAGCATATTTGACCGTCTCGTTAAGTCTGGCGTCTTGTCGCCACCATCCACAACGCAAGTCACGAGCCACCTGTGCGACAAATGTCATGAATTCGAGCGAGAAATTTGGAGTCCTTTTTTCAGCATGACTTACGAAACGAAGCTGTTGTATCAGAATGCAGCATCGCACACTTGCGACCTGTGCGCTCTATTGTCGCAGGTCTGTCAGGATAACGCTAGCTCAACCCACTCTAGCGTGAACTTCGAGCGACGAAACTCTACAGTCAGGATGAGTAATATTAGACTCCCGGTTCTATCACTATTCCGTAACTATGGTAAGTTACCGTTCGAAAATGAACGAAAAGTCTCTGACTGCCCCTTTCTAGACCCCCATAGCATCGTCAATGATGTTCAGACAGGCTTTGATGCGCTCCCGAAAGCCGGAACCGCCCTTCATCTTGAGTTGTTATGTGGCTGGCTTGAACACTGCGATAACGAACATTGGAAGGACCCAAAATGCAAACCCTCAAGGTTTAAGAAATCCGCAGCCGGTTCGATCATCAAGCCTCCGACCCGCCTGATTGACGTCGGCACCGCGGCAGATAGGACTGTAAAGCTGCAGGAGATGAAAGATGATGAAGGCGGGGATTGGATCGCCTTGTCTTATCAATGGGGCTCGCCACCTCACTTCTCAACAACTCGGCGTAACATTAGCGATATGTATGCTGGCGTAGAAGTTGAAGTACTCCCCCAGACCTTTAGAGACGCCATCACCATGACAAGAGCATTAGGGAGACGGTATCTCTGGATCGACTCCGTCTGTATCATACAGGGACCGGATGGTGACTTTGAAAGGGAAGCCAGAACTATGGAAGACGTCTACAACGGCGCGTATTGCGTACTGGCTGCTTGCTGCGCCGAGGGTCAGACTTCGGGCTTTCTAACGCCTAGAGTGACTCGACATCAAGTTACACTGGACTCAAAGCATCAAAACCACGGCATCATCCATGTGTGCCAAATGATCGATGACTTTGACAAACACGTCCTCAACGGAGACCTCGCAAAGCGTGGCTGGGTCCTCCAAGAGCACGCACTTGCTCGCCGAACGATCTTCTTCACCAAGTACCAGACATACTGGGAGTGCGGCCATGGCATACGTTGCGAGACGATGGCGACGCTTTCCAAGTAAGTCGCTTGTACACCTGATCACACGATGTATACAGCTGACATCGATGGTAGCGATCATGCGTCTTTCCTTGGCGACCCTGACTTTCCCAAACGCCTGGAACCAGCCGAACATGGCGAATTTGTCCTACGGCTCCAAGAATTGCTGAAGCAATATTCGCGGCTGGGCTTATCAAAGGAGCACGATCGCTCCACAGCGATTGCTAGCCTCCAGCAACGTCTGATGAGAGTAATGAACCTTCAAGGCGAATATGGAACATTCGATAGTAGCGACAACCCAGGTCTACTTCGTCGCAGTCTCCTCTGGCATCGGTCCTTGGACGTGAAGAGCTTAGCTACGATATCCTACCCAAGGCATTATGAAGTTCCCTCCTGGTCTTGGATGTCATGTTCCGGGCCTATAGACTACTTCCCGCTGACATTCTACGGCTTCGATTGGCAACGCTTGGAAGTGACATGGTCGGATACGAAGGTTGCAGGTGGGAAGACGCGTCTCGGTGCTGCGGTGCAGCAGCTCGATCTGACTGCAGTCAACCCTTTCGAAGCGGATATCATCTTTGACATCCCTGCCAAGGTGGATGAGAAAAAGATGATGGCGGTGGTTCTGGGTGTCGAGAAGGGAGACGCCACACTAGGAGACAAGAAACACTATGTCCTAGTTGTAACCTCGAAAGAAGCTTGGGGACATGCATTGTACGGACGGGTTGGCGCGGGTCACGTTCCTGGGAGATGCTTAGTAGGGGAGCCGGAAGATTGCTTGCTCATCTGACGGATGGACTTTGTTGTACTGGGCATACTTCTACTGTCGTTACATCTTATTGAGACAAAGGCCACGTCTACCTTCCAAGGGTTTCAAGAATACATTAGATTCTTCTCGTACTACACAAGGCGTCTTTTTGCCAGACGTGTTGCATTGAGTTAACAGGTTGAAATGTCATGGTGTCAACAGGCGGTGTAAAGCACATATACTGGACGTGCGATTGAACCAAGCCCTGGAATGCAGAAGGAGGTAGGGGGTACCGGTTTCAGAGTCTGCATAATATCCTCCAATCAGCAAAAACCTAGAATTTGTAGTGCAGAAGCGAGAGCCCACACGGGTCAGCAGTATCCATCGCCGGTGAAGACTTGAGAAGGCTGTGTAATTCATCCCGCAGCACAGCCACCAATGAGACAAAACCTGGAATCGAGGCCAGTGAGCAAGCCCTATCCACCTGAAGACTAAAAGACGCACTCTACTGACCATCCATGCGCAGAGCCACACTTTGAGTTGATCTCGCATGCGCAATCATTGCTAGAAGCGTGCATGTATGGTAACGACGTAGAAGCCGAAATGATAAGTCACCTGGCAAGGCTGCCCTTGCGCTATCATGTGCCCAGGTGGATTCGCGAAAGGCCTTCTTCTCTAGACGCTCCCATAACACGACTACGTGTGTCTACGACGCATGTACATATGGCAAGAATAGCCGTCCATACGATGCTTTGTTAAAAACCACTCCTACTTACCTCTCTCGACCATGAACATCACTCACCTCGCCGGCTTAGGCTCAAGAACAATGCCACAAAGCTCTTCCACAAACTAAAGGCAAAGACGGACTCTTATACGTGGCGCACCAGAGACTTTCTCAAGTCCTTTGAGCAGTGAATCCGGGTTGGCTTGGGAAAATGGGGTATTTGTAGGGGCTTTTGGCTCTTGGCTCGAAAAGAGATGTTGCTGATGATGAGACACAGGGAGAGCGGCATCTAGACAAGCACAGTAATAATGCCACAAGGCCATTTACAATACACTCTCATCTCGACAAGCTTCTGGTAACGCAGATTCTTGCTCATTATTTATGAACAGCAACATTTGCGATACCGTCTGATCCGTCCACACCGAAGACCAGCGTAGGACTGTGCGATCGTGTCACATGCACGTGGATGAGAAACTGTGCGTCGCGCCCCGTATTTCATCTTGCGATTGTAACTCGTATTAGAAAATATGAATCAATATTAATGGGGAAGATGGGAGTTGGGAGTCGTCCAGTTTTGCCGTTTTGGAGTCGTAGGGTTGGAAGGAAGGTGGTTCTGGCGGTGTAGGCCTGTCGACGACTGGCGCTGAGCGGGCCGCTTCGGGGATCTCGGCCCCACTTGGCTAAGAGCGCTCGTCACGACTTCAAGCTGCTAATCTATCAACCCTCCTTCACACCTCCAATGGGTCTACTGCGCTCCAAACACACTTACGACTAAGGACAACGGATTGTTTTGTACGCTTCACGGTATGAATTGAGCAAAGAGCTCTGCAGCTATAGGCCGACTGTATGCCACCCATCTTCGAGACAACATGCGACCCCAAGGACGTCAATCACATACGCGGTTGCTTTAAAAACATCGCTTTCGAGGGTCGCAAAGCTCAGTTTTGGACAAACGAAAAACATCAGGCTGGGTAAGACGGAGCTTGTCGCGATTCGCGTAAGCTATCGACGTCACTTCCCACCCACCGTGTTCAGCCATCTCTCCTACACCTGCACCTTGCCTTGCCTATTTCTTCACAACAAGAATACTGCATGAGACTTAGAAACTCTATGCATTTACTGATATTCTAGAGTGAGTTTGTAACACCGCGGGCCTGCAGTCGCTACCTTGTATCGTAGTCGAGCCGCATCGATGCATATGAAGCCCAGCTGCATCGCTTATTGGGAACCATCATGAGACGAGCGAGAGAACAAGAAAATATAATACTCGCCTGCGTTTGGTATCGCCACGCCCGTACCGACCTGCGTCAGGAAAGAAAGCCTTGGCAAAGGCTTAAGGTTGCGAATCTTCTAGCATAGCATGTTCTGCACTGCCCTGCCAGGTGGTAGATCATCTCATCAATGCTGTCGATGACCATAGCCATCACCCTCACAGCGCGCAAATGCGGATGCAAAAAATTAACGCGCCACAGCCCACCAGCACACACTTATGACATGTTCGTTGCCGGCTGTTCCCATAACTTTCACAAATCACACGAACCAGTTTCAACAGTATTTACACAGACATCCACTTCGCGCATCAACCGTGTCCATCGAAGACTTTCTAGCACTGCTTACGTTACATTTCCCATATCACCTCGCCGACCAAACACACACCAAAATCATGTCGAATGGGGCGGTAACCGCTATTGTCACTCTTGTCGCAACATGTCCCCTTTCGATCGCGCTCTTGTTCCACTTGATCAAACGAGCCTGTCTCCATAACCAGCCCAAAAAGACTGGTATGTAAATCTTGGCTACAAGCCTGTATGGTGACTTTCGACTAACAACATCCTAGATGTCGAGCTCGCCAATCGCCCAACTCCGCCAACTATCAACATACTCGTCAATGATCAGCTCGACCTCCTTGTACCTTGGCCGGGTCTTGCCTATGTACCTGGGCGTCAATCGCCTACCTCTGTTGGGTCATCTGGAAGGAAGCACAAGTTAGTATTTCAATATATCGAACTTAGTTGTACTGTTTTAACGTCTGTGGATAGGGAGCAACGCCAGAGACTGTGACCCACGGTAGTGGGCTACCCTTAATCGCAAGGCGACACAACGCACCGAAACAAGCATTCGCGACCAATGGTAGATTGATAAAGTATCTTCAACCAAGGCCGTCGGCTCCCGCCCTTCAAGCCCCTCAGTGCGGGCCACATACTCAATACACTAAAAAGCTGGACCCGGATAGAACAAATAAAATGACGCCACCATGGGAATCAGGGATATACATGCAGAGAAACAAGAGAGGTGGCTTTTTACAAACAGTCATGGTTGGCACGCCCAATAGCTTTCATAGGTTTCCGGCGCAGGGAAAAGACAGATGGTTCTATACGCACAGCCTTTTTTGGCACCCAGTAGCTTTCATATATTTGAACACGTATCCCACACCCCAACCTCATGAAAACATGATTTCGTGCCGCCCTCCACCACTTCCTCGCCTCGATATGTTTATCCCTCTGTCTTCGACCTCGTGCGGCTGGATGATTATACTGAGAGGAGCAATGGCTCTGGCGCTGTGAGTCTGTCAACAATCGTTTGGCGCTAGACGGGCCGCTTCGGAGATCCTGACACCAGCCGCAAGTCCGATCTACTTAGGCAGTGATCGTTGATCTATCATTACCGTGAGCGAGAACTTGACCACAAGATCAGCAAATCATACGATTGGACAAAATGGTAAGCGGACAGAAAGTCTGGGACGAGAAAAGCGGAAAAAGCTTTTTGAAAGCTATTGCAGTCAAACGAACTATGTAGTACCTACCCAAATGGCTTCGGCCGGCGGACAAACCATACGTCGCAAGATGTAAGACCGCGCGCACGCAGTTCGAGGTGTTTCGGCGGCCCGTGTGAGCAGTTACAGCCGTTGGCCCTGGAAGGTGCACATAACAGATTGCAGCCTTACGGCTTTCCGGCCTGCTGCAGAGTCGCTAAGCTCCATGAGGCGTACGGTCTTTCGTACCAAGGCTGCCTTTGATCCTGCAAGCGGCTAGGTTTCACACCTATGATCTTGTGCATCTGTCCTGTGGCAACCAGACATGTCAACAATCAATCTGATCAATCTGGTCTAACTGAATTAAGTAAGATCTTAACTTAAACGAGCTAGTCAATTTCTATATTAGGTTAGACCAGATTGATCAGATTGATTGTTGACATGTCTGGTGGCAACATCATAGCTACGTCTACAATAGTTTTACAGCATATCCAAACTCCGTGGGACAGATTGTGTCCAAGCATGGCAGAATCTTGCAAGAATGAACCGCCGTGTGATATTTATCGAAGGGAAGTAGGTTTCTTGGATAGCAGGGAGTATACCTAATCTTGAAAAACAGGTTTCTGGGTGCGTGTCGAATTGTCACCCGTTGAGACAATAGTTTCTCACTGAGCTATCGCTTTTACGGGCCTTAGGAACTGGCTGCGAAGAGCAGTCAGACGAGGCTGAGCCACTTCTATCTACTTCATTGGATGCTTCCACACCCATGCCACATTTCAATTCTGATCCACAACCTAATTGGTTACCTACTGACCGACGGATCTCTGCCAAGTAATCACTAACAACTCGCCAATCAAGAGCAGAATGCTGTAAAACGCCTTATTTCTGCTTCTTACTATGTATAAGAGCTCAAGTCGTTCATCATGAGCTGTTGGGAATTCAAAGCTGTCTCGGGTGACCTCAGAATCTACATATTTTCCTCTCCGACCCAACGATTCCCATTGCTTACTGCTACCTTAACCCGACACTATGTTACCTCTGTCCAATGAGTCCATCATTGCAATCGTCACGCTCGTGGCAACGTGCCCTCCGTCAACACTCCTTATCGGGCATATTCTCCGACGCAAATACTTTGAAGTCCAGCGCGAAGTACAGGGTGCGTCTGCACAGATATGCCAATGATATGACTCGCATCCTGACTTGATACTAGATGTTGAGCGCACCTCTCGCTCTAGGATCAACCTTGAAGTCATCAGACACGTTAAGGATACGATACTTCAACCTGTTAACGCATACTTGACTATCCGGTAACCAGCGATCACTGCCCTCAAGTTCAACAAACTACCCGAATATTTGACGACCCCACTCACGATAAACACAAAAATGTTTTGACGTCACAGTACCCACCATTAGCTCGCATCCATATTCACATGTACTTGGACTATATCTTTTAATTTAATATACTACTATCCATACCACGAATGCCCAAATACCAATGCTTTCAAACAAACCGCTATCGCACATGCACGTTTCTTTGCTAATCAAGACACTGCACCCCACATTCCAGCACTTCTTCCTCTCGCTCTATCCTCGTAACGAGCAGAGGCAAGGAAGGCATGTGTTGGACTGAATGTGTAAAGCCGTCCTCACAGTCCCAATCCAATGCTCAAGTCTCAAAGAGTGAGCTCTAGTCCTCATGGACGATAGCACGAACCCCACTTCCTTCAAACTCATATGTAAAGTGATCCAAACGTCGCATGTCAGATTCCGTCATCGTCTTGTCGGGTTCGAAGCGAAATCGATTGACAAGCATGGCAAGCGTGAGAGTAATCTCTGCGTATGCAAGATTGATCCCAAGACATTGCCTTGCACCCTTGGAAAAGGTCACGAGATACCTCTCCAGCTCTTTTGCGTCTTCAGTCAGCCAACCAGCGGGGTTAAAGCTTCTGGTGTCTTCACCCCATATGCTTTCGTCAAAGTGCATGCTGTACGCAGACATGCCGACAACGGTCCCAGCTGGGACGATCTTCTGGTCAACGATGAGAGGCGTTGCTGCATGCGGTACGACACGTGGAAGTCGCCCTGGCACGGGCATATCATAGCGCAACGCTTCTTTGACGCATACAGTCTGACAACGTTAGCTTCGTATTGCGATCTCATTGAGGTCGCATACCAGATATGGAAGCTGCTCCAGTCTCAAAAGCCCAAGATCTTCGTTTGTAGTAATGCCACTTTCCCTCAACTCCTTTCTTAACTTTACGAAGACGGCAGGATTTCCAGTCATCTGTTGGACAACAATCGCGAGTGTGAAAGCTGTGGTGTCAGAGCCTGCGACCAAGATACTTATGGCTTCGGCCAAGACCAATTCATCGTCCAAATGTTCCAAAGAGTTGAACACTAGTTCATGGTCAAAGGACTTGCCGGAAGTCTTCAAGCGTCTGAGATTGGCGACAGTGCTCGCGACGGTGCTAACGAGTGCCTGGAACCTCACGGCTGCTGTACTGAACATGGCGGCCACACCGGGCGGGCATGTGAAGGCGATAGTCCGGAGAGATGGGAAGTATAGCATGTCCCAGAGTGATTCAGCGGCGTGGTCAAAACACCTGTGGAAGGGAGCGTCGAAAGTATTGTCTTCGGCTTCAGTAAGTAGATTGAAGGATTCTCCAAAAGCCATCTGCGTGATGAGATCGACCGTTAGGCACCTGTGATGACTTCAGCGTCTATATCGCACCCGGTAGGATTGGGAGGGCTACCTGAAAGCATAGTAAAAGTTAATCGCGCCGTTGCCTTTAGTCTCCGATATCCTGTCACATAAGAGAGTGGCTTTGGAAAGCAAAGTTTTCTCCATGGACCTTATGTGCGTCTTCGAGAAGAAGTTGCTGAGAAGCTTACGTCGTACACGGTGTAATTCTTTGTTGCCCTCGACGAACACTGAGTGTGGTGCGCCAAAAGCCTCATAAAAGTACTGCTGTTTGGAAAAGGCATAGCTCTGCGAGTAGATTGTATGATAGAGCCTGGGTTCAGTAATGTGGAGCTCATTTGGCCCGATTCTGAGTGCTCGTGTGCCTGTTCAAGCTGTCAATGTCTGGACGTGTAATCAGTAATGAGACATACCATATGCTTTGTGCAGTTGCTCAAGCGTCTCTTCTTGTTTGCCAGTCTTGCTTGGGGTGTACTGCCACCAATTGGAAAGTGCAGCCTGGTACGGACCAGGAAAGGTTGCTGGTGAATGAAAGTAGAGTAGGTAGACTGTGCGCAAAAGGCCCAGGATGAGCGCAAAGAGGAATATACTGGCTTCAAGCTCGGAGAAGGAGCGTGTCTCCAGAAAAGACAGATTCCAAGCCTCCCTGAGTTGAGCGAAGATACTTGTGGACATCATCTTGAGCTATGGTAGCGTGATAGACGAAGATACTCAGCTACACTTATATGGTTCGTCATTTCGCACATCGTTTCGTACATCGCATAGTATGCGAAGAGGTTCCCCAGATCTGTTCGCTCAATGTAGATTTGGTAAGTCGTGAGTAGGCGGTCTCGCGTCGAACGTTAGACCGACCGTCCGCTCGCGGGAAAGTCAACGCCGACGATAGCAGGATTATGTTGATCTCTGAACGACCGTCTGCTGCTAGAGATAATGAGTATCCGTGCTTTGCTGCGATGAGCAAATGTGATGGAAAGAAATGTTGCGCAAGTGTGCAAGAAGCATCCAACTGAATTCGATTAGGCCGTTCGCTAGTGCCGGGGCCAACATCTGAGCATCTCCTACGTCATCGCCCCCTTGTCTTCTTCCCTTCACACGGCAAGCTTCACCCCTTCAAACCATCACCTCTTCAGAGAATTTTGCCGCAGACTCTGCTGCATAGCCTTCCGGCCATTGTCCCGTCATGCCAAAGACTCCAGTGGCCCTGCTTCCGATCGCTTTTTCCATGGCGTGCTTACCGACTTTCTTTTCCCATTCTTCCAGACTCATTTCTCCGCCCAGAACCTGCGGCAATGTAATCGCCGATAACCCTGCAATATCGCAGCTTGCCCCAAGATGTGGGCGAAGCTGAATGAGCGCCTCGCCTGCCAGCAGTAACTTGCCTCCGAAGAACGAAGCTTTTGTATTGTCAAACGCTAGATGGGAGCACAAGTCAGCACATTATTGCCATCCAATGGGTATGTGGATGACACATACAACAAACGGCTGTGAGAAGCGGCATGCTTGACTCATGGAAGATCTTCCTCCACATTGGGGACAGTACTTCGTCTCTTCGCCGGAGCTGCGCCTCCCAGATGTCTGGGCGCAACAGGTTCCCGGGTACGGTGACGTTATGTCGGACACCATTAACGTCGGTCATGTAATCTGCAAATACGGGTGTTGAAGCGTCGCAGGCGTCATACCAGCACCATTCGATCACACGATTCCCGGGGCGCATGTCTCCGATAGTACTAGGCGATAGATAGCTACGACCTGTTAGTCGTGGTCATCAGCATTCCACCCAAACTTACACCACTATGTAGCTTCCATCGAGCATGCAAAGAGGCATCTTTCCGTCTATCGCGCAGCGCAGCTCCTCAGGCGCATCGTTTTCTGGAAACTGTGACCTCCACGCCACATAGCCAACATAATCGGTCTTCACATCAGGAAGCACAAGACTACGGAGATGGGATCGTGCACCATCGGCCGCCACGATAATGTCTGCCGTCATCTGTTCCTCAACGCCATCTTCGCCTTTGTACGCTACCACGAGGTGGTCAGCTTGCTCAGCCAGCCCGCATACCTGGTATCCACACCGCATGGTGACAGGCCCATGGCCGTCGACGTCTTTCTCGCAGGCCATCCTTAGCAGACCGTGAAGACCAGCCCAGCACGAGGTGCGCACGTCTTCCGTGAACGGCACTTCAACCAAGGCCTTACCATCCTTGTCAAGGATTGGAAATGCGGGGTTGCGGAAAACGATATCGTCAAGCTCAACATCAGGTAAGTATGTTGTGAACACTTTCTGTGCGTTTGACCATAGACTCAAGCCTGCAGCTCGGGCTTGTAGCTGCTGTTCAGTTCGCATCTCAAGAACGACAACGCTGTGGCCATGAGACTTGAGCGCCACGGCATGCATAAGCCCAGCTATCGAGCCACCAACCTATTGGGTATGTCAGCCTCATACTAGCCAAGGGGTGTAAGGTAACTTACCACAACAACGTGTTTTTTTACTGGTCCTGCCATGATTCTTGCAATGAAGCGCACGAATAAATATAGACGGATGATACTCTGGGGGACGCCTTCTGAAGCGGAAACGGCCCTTTTATCGCGTTGCAGTCCAAAGATGGGTTCTATCGACTACTCAACTGCCACCGACTCAGTACGAAACGTCGTCCGTTGCACAATCATTCATTCAGGCACTATTATGAGGTGAACGGGCAGCGAACAATGCCTGCTCATACATGAGTGGTTAGCTTGCATACCGGCATGCAGCGCAGTCGCATCGTGGCTTCGCCTATCTTCTTGTCCACTTCCATCTACCAGTAAGACACATGTCTTGCGCGATCCTCCAGATTCTCTCCGCTTTAGCAAACCTCATGTTCGAAGTCCTTGACTGAGATGAACCAGCGGCCCGTTCACGGGTACCGAGCACGTTACGTGAGGCGGCTTGTATGTTCGATGTTCTTGGCCCCTTGTCGACTTCTGTTACGCGAGCTGCTGTCCAAGTCACTTCTCCACAAATATCCCGGGTTGATACTGAGGTTCCGCGTACCTTGCTCTCCATTAGCCTCTTCATACATACGGTCGTCTGCGGAGGATCTCATTGTCGGTGAGAACGACCCTGAAGTCTGTACCTCTCGATGACTTTGGACTGCACCTCGCTGTTCTTTCCACATATCTTGCAAGCGCATGCATGACAGGAGCAATAATACTTTCCTCGGCATATAATATGATGGGTCTCTACGCTTGCCTCGTTGGCGGTGGATCAGACTAGGAATAGTGGACACATCTCAAGCAATCGGCATTAGCTCTCATCATGCTAAGGAGTCTGCTATCAAAAGGTGTTGTATGTGAGGCAAAGAACGCCAAATATGAGGAGCCACTTAGTCAACATCCGCTATGTATGTCCCAGAATGCCTACAGGTTCATCTCCCGCCATGCCGAGCTGGCCTTCCGTACGGAGTTTGCTCCGCCAACTGCCTCAGTCTTACCATTTGCACCATCTTCTGACACTTTTCACCGCCATCATCACCACATTCATATCCCGACCTGATCTCTGCTTCAACGCCTTTCGGCCCGGGGTCCAGTAGGAGGGTACAGGTCTGGGACGAAGCAATCGTTGGTAGAAGACCTGTTCCGTGCGTTTCGATCACGATCGCGCTCCCGGCGAGCTCCTCGTTGATGACCACCGCGCTCGTAGAATCCACTCGACCTTCTCCGATGCTCAACGTATACCGCCTCGCTGTACCGCGATTCTCGCTCTCGATCTGAACCCTGGTGCGGAGAGTTGGCGTTGACGTTCATCATCGGGCGTTGCGTCGAGTCCCTCCTACCGACCCCGGTGTTTCCATCAGTTGCATCCGAAGGTCGATCCTGTTCCTTCTCAAACTCCAGGTTGTAGATATGACACTGTAGCCTATGGGCCTCTGTCTCTAACGTAGTAACGCGACATTGTAACTCCGTATTCTCGTCCTCGTATGCTTGGATCTGGGCCTCCATCTCTTGTATCTTCATCGTCATATCGCTGATCTCGCGGGCGGACCTGGCGGTGTCTTTCTCCATTAACATCTGGCGTTGTTCAATCGCGGCGTTCTCGCTGAGCACGGCGTTCTTCTCCTCCAGGCGCTTCGAGTACGAGACCGTCAGATCCCCCAGGGACTTGGTTGCCTGCGTCAGGCGGTCATGTTAGTCGCTGGCCATCTTTTTCGCAGCCGTCTTCTCTTCTTGGAGTCTTGCGTTTTCAGCTTCTTGGTCTGCGATGCGTACAATAAGCTCAGGAACCCGCCTCATTAGTGCCAAATTGCCATCGATCAAAGGCGGCGCCGCACTGTGATGAAGTCAGCAAGAGCTCTTTGGGAGATCGTTTCAGGGTGCTTACAGATCTTGAGGCTGCATCGGAACTGACTGGCGGTTCGGCGTTGGGATAGCGGATACTTCATCAGGCATGTCGACATTGCTAGGCTGACGACTGAGCCTAGGGTCACGGGCACTGCCGTAGGTGTTGTTGAACGCCATCTGAATATCTTTAGGGGCAGATGGGAGGTCACGAGAAGAAGAGAAAATCCGTGGTGTTGTGCGATTACATGAGAAATCGAGCGTTTGTCGATATGGCCTTGGCTAGCGCGACAATATCATAGGTGAGCAAGTGGTTCCTGCGACTGCGGTAAGGCCGTCACCCAACCACTCTCCCGCTTCCACGCCGAATCCTTACACTGGGAGTCATGTTTTATTCGCGTCGGTATACTCGCGGCGACCTGACTCCCGCGGACTTGGTCAAATCAACCACAGCCGCCGCGATGACGCGAGGAAGTCTTTTGCGACACATCTTCAAACATGGTCCAAATTTCATACTCAAGCGCGACGCAGTTCCATCCAAGATCGATGAGAATGACAGGTCGCTCCTCATCGCAAAGCGAGTTGAGACCCCACTGAAGGCGTCATCGCAAGATCCATCACCGCCACGAACACCCGAGCCATATACGGTGAACATTCTTCCTGAGATTACCGAAGAAGAAAACACCTCACCAACCAACAACTCTCCTTCTGCCTCCTCGGACACAGGCAGTACGGTGTCCGACCTCGCATCCATAGTCACTGTCCTCGCCGCGCACACGCCTCTCATCAACGCCACAACTCTCACGACGCGCGACCTCCTCTACGCTGCCATGGATGAAGCGATTTCAGCGACGAAGGACCATCTCGACACACTAGCAACTACATGGGCCCTGCTTGAAGCCCTCGCTGGCTTCAGCGCGACGGTTGAGGTGCTGAAGCAGGAGATGGGAGTGAAGATTACGGCGTCCGAGGCCAAGCTTGCGGAGCTCGAAAGATTTGAAGAGGCTGTCGAGGGTATGAAGTTTCTGGATGAGCAGGAGAACGTCGGTGCGGAGGAGGTGAGTGATGTGGACGGTTCACCAGGCCGTTAGTTGGGACATGGTCGCATAAGCCATGTGTAGGTCGAGTCTATGACTCCGCGAGTTCGTCTGTTCTGGTATACCGTCGCAATTTGAACAGAGGAACAGCGATTGAGAGACCGTGTGAGAGGATTTCCTACGGCTGAGTGGCGGTATAAAAGACTTGAGCGACGACATCACGGACTTATGGAATGCATCCACGGATACGCGCAATAGAACCAGACTAGTGAACTTGCAAAGGAAAGACTTGTGGGTGACGCCGTTAAATCCGAAGTTTGGAAAGTCCGGACTAAACAATGGACTACGAACCACACAAAAGCTTCGAACGCGCACCCAACCTCTTGATGTAGTCAGCCCACACGGTTACCATACACGATTGTTTCCGCTACTATACCGTCTCGACGTACTTCAAATCGTGAGCGAATCATATTGAAGATGAATGAAGCGATGATGTACGGTACCGAACACTGAGCAGCCAGTGATGTGACGCGCATATGTGTCGTGTGCTCATATATGGGATGTGCCGATATACTACCGCGGGCGCCTTCCATAATTTGATTTCAATCATTTTGAGCTCCGTACTCGACGAGTTCCGCGAAGAAAGGTATGCACTCCATGTTCACATATAGTCTTCATCTCTTCACCAGCACAATATCGCCTCGCATCATCTAACCACAGCAAACCTTCGTCCTCGGTTAATATGGTGCCTGCTAAGCACTACCACGAGAATCTCATACTATGCGAAATCGAAGCAGACAAGGACAAGTATATACGCTTCCTATAACGACTCGTACGAGCAGCAAGCCCCAACCCACCAGGCGACACCCGAGCCGCCGCAGATGTCGTCACGAAATTCCTTGCAGCCAACAGCATATACGCATATATCATTGCTTCGATGGCTCACATGCCCAACGTGGTGTCGGACTTCAACGGCCACCTGAATGACGGTCCTCGCGTCGTCTTCAATGGCCACATGGATACTTTTCCGGTCAATAACCTTGAGGGTTGGCGGGTTCCGCCGTACTCTGGATACAACGATGGCACCTCGATACACGGGCTCGGGTCTGTCGACATGAAGGCAGGTACCGCAGCTTCCATCATCGCGTTCACGTTGCTGAAGAAGCGGGCATCGCATCTTGTTGGCAGCGTAGCCTTGACTGTGGTCTCGGACGAAGAGACGGGAGGAAAATGGGGAACGAAGTATCTGCTTGATCACTGTGATGAAAAGTTACCTTGGCTAGGCGATTGTGTCATGAAAGGCGGGCCTGGTGGTCTGCAGTCTATCCGCTTCGGCAAGAAGGGTAAGTGATATTGATCTAGAAACGACTGTCAAAACATGCACTGACCTTACTTTGTAGGTACACTGCGCCTAACTTTCACTGTCACCACTGCAGGTGGCAATAGGGCGTATACACAACAGCTTTGAAGCCATTGTATACGCTGCCTGCTTGATGACAATACTCAAACACATGGTCGAGTCGATACGCGCGAACGTGCCGCCGGAACTTGGAGCCTATCTTCGGTCCGATGAAGTAAGGGCAGTTACCGACGAGATAATGGGATCCGGGGCAGCAGCAAATATGCTCTCACCCACGTTGAACGTGGGCGTCATCCACGGCGGCGTCAAAGTCAACATGATTTCTTCGAAGTGCGTCTTTGAAGCCGACATTCGCCTCCCCATCGGTCTCAAGGCAGAGGCTGTACTCAGGAATATTGACGAAAGGCTGCTCCTGTTATTCCCTAGCGTGAGCTACTCTATACAGGAAGCGGCTAGTGATCCGGCAAGTTTTTCGGGTTTCAATCACCCGCTTTCTGGGTACATGTCTGATGTTGCGTAAAGCATTACCGGAAGGGATCCGGTACAAATTATCGGCCTGGGTGGTACAAATTGTAAATTCTATTGCTATCGCGATGTACAAGCGTTTGTTTTTGGGCCTTCTCCAAGTGGGACGGGTGCAAATGGCGAAGCTGTGCTCATTGACGAGTTTTGAATGTCATGAAGACACATACACTGGGGGTCTTCCGGTATCTTTGGGACAACAAAAGATGGGATCTCAGTAGGGGATTGGAAGAAGATACTCCTACGGGTGAGGGAAATGGCAAGTAGAGTACGCTGTAGAGGGTTGGCCTGGAGCTTTCCCAGGTTCGCTGTAGTTACGTCAGAATTTATGCGCTTGGATGAGACACTTCTCCAAAGAGTTCCGATATGTCGCTGTAGATGTGATGACTCTGAGAAGTTTATGACGTCTATGGACTTGGCCCTGCGCATGTGGGGTGAAGTAGTGACGGTCCGCGCCGATGCACAAGCGCAAAGAGCATGACGAGCAACCATGTGGAGGCTACAGCGGGCCAGCAGCTCATAGACAACACGCCATGCGATAGAACTCGAGAAGGTACTATGATGTGTTAGTACTAGATGACAGCTGTTGCAAAACTTTGTTAATCATGGCGGCGACGATCAATACAACATACCGAAAGACTCTGCGGACCTAAGGAAGTACCTCTCACTACTTCCGCGAACTTCCGTCTGATCTACGGTCTGACAACGACGTCCAAACCCCAAAGCAGCCATCGGCAGATGAAACTAGCGGTGTCTGGAGGCCTAACGTCATACCCGATGACACTCAAGGCCCCTCTCAGTACAAACGAGATGACAGGCACGAGATCAAACACCACAACGGCATTGACATGTCGCAACTGAATCGGCGGCAGCACCAGAAAAGGCAGCAAGTACAGAAGTTCAGGAAAGGCTCGACGCTTCGCTTCGACGGTAGTCCAGACCCAGCTAGCGCACGACCCCCAGCGATCGGCCCTCGTGGTAACCGAGCGGGAAGTGGGACCAATAAAATACAGGGGTTCAGCTGCCCTTAGCTGACACCGGCACACACGGTTGGACTGACGGGACCAGCCTGCATATGGAAGGCATCCGTTCTCCTGTTTTCCTGCCTGAAATTTCGGTTTCCGTTTCGTTCTCTTCCCGTTGCTCAAAATCCCCAATACCCTCAATCCCCAGAAAGATCCTTCTTTGCTTTTTCTGCGAATCCTTTCAATCCTTCAATCCTTTCGCTACAAAAGTTCCATGCCAATCATCGGCCGCATATCTCTACACCGCCGACATACCTCCGCCTGCATACCCTGAACACCGAGAATCCAGAACCAAAATGCCGGGAACTACAATGACCAAAACGAGTGCATACCCCTACATCCTCACCACAGTCGCAACCCGCAAAGAAGGCGTTTCACGCGCAGAATTCTACCGGCACAACGAGGAAAAGTATGCACCCTTACTCAAAAAAATCGCGGGAAAAGTGCATCCATTGTCGTGGACGCGGCACTACCATGTTGACGATGAGGAGTGTCCGATTGGGATTCCGAGGGTGTTGATTGGGGTGGATGACGGGATGGATTGGGATTGCATGGGTACGATGGCGTTCGAGGATGAATTGCATTTGCAGCAGTTTATTGCGTTTATGCATAGCGATGCGGCGATTCCGGTGCTGGAGGAGGAGGAAAAGTTTGCCGAGCCGACGAAGACGAAGTTGTTGGTTATGAAGAAGGGGGTTAGTGTTCGGGAGGGTTAGATGGGTGGCGGATCTGGGGCGTTTGGGACGGAAAAGTGCAATTGGAAGCGAGGATGCGATACGACCTCTGGGAATGCGGTTTGATCGAAATGGAACCTTTGGTATTGGATGGTATCGATTACTTGACTGAAGACATGATACAATACAGCAATCAACGTAGTTCACGCGAATCGCAGTACAAACATCCACCCCTCTGCCACGACATGCCTACGAAGGAAGCCACTCCCCATCCCAATCCGCCCTCGCCATAGCCGGCCCCCACGAATCCTCCACATTCCCAGTTCTCTTACCCCAGTCATCATAGCCATCATGACACAACATCGGGACCCTATCAACAGCCATCTTCAAAGACGAACCTTCTTCACTTTGTATCATCCCCCCATCGCGAATCCATACATCGTACGGGAAGAGCTTCATCTCCCTGTGATGGTACATATGTCGAATATGTCTGTGGTTGATCTCGGCGAAGCATTTGGCCTCTTCCTCGTTCTTGTAAGGTGTGCAGGTGACGAAGACTGTGACGACAGTGTTATTCCATAGACCGCCCGCAGCGTCGTGGAAATGGTCGTCACTAGGACGGTATCTAGCCCTAGCAGCTTGATGGAAGAAGCGAGCAACGTTGGGCGTCACAGTGGGGTCGGTAGGTTGGAGTCCGCCCGACTTGGGGAGTCTCTGGAGAATGGATTGGATGTCGTACTTCTCATCATCTTCCAATGCCATGCGCTCCCGGGGGATCTGTGACATGAGATAGTGGAGTATCTTGCTATGTCTCATCTTTGTTCCAGCTTTGCCGAACTCGATGAGCTTGGTTGGTGACTCTTCGATGAACTGTCGGACTAGGTTCGCTACGATAGCGCGGGCTTCGAGGTAGATTTGCTTGCTCGTACGTAGTATGGCGGTCGGCAGGTGTCTTGTGACCAAGATAGCGATGGAGCCGTCTATAGAGACTTCGGTGTGTTTGGTCTGGCGTGGCAGCCGCTCGTAGACCATCAGGCGTAGTTCGACGGGAAGATTCATGAATGACAAGGGGTTGGGTTGGTCAAACGACATGTCGGTGGCTGAGATGATTTATGGGTTGCTCTTGGGAACAAGAAATCGTATGCAATGACTGATATCGAAGATACTAATGTGCCCATTGTACTCATCACGCCAGCGACTGCAAGCTTCAACGCCTTGAAATCGTTCAACACAATTATGAATTCGCAATAAGAACATATATGACAGCGTCAATAATGAAACGATAAGACCTGAATAGATACGGCAGCGAAAGATACCCTATCGGAAGATCCAAAGGCCGTTGCCGTGCCGTCACCAAGACCACGGGTAAGCCGGAAAGAGCGATGCGGAGAAATTTGTAAGATGGCTGGCGAACTCTGGACCAACAAACGGACAATTAATGTCGGATCGCCGAAATGAGATGTATAGCGAGAGCCAGCCAGAGTATGTTAGCAGCGAAGGTGAATACTAATGCGCGTCGGGAGAATGTGAAATTTGGGAGAATCGAGTGACGATTGTAAGATTCATATAAGAATTGCGAAATACATAAGAGCGATATTCGGATAGCATGGTATACCTTTCCGTCCGGGCGAATCTTCGGCCGAAGCCAGAGGCCCTTGGCTGTACCACGTCAAGCTAGAAAGAAACTAAAAACCCTAGAGCCTGCATTGACGTTAAGTTGCCTACTTTGCATGCTCTTATCTTAATGTGGTCTCTAGACCTGCTTAGCTTTTCCCATGAATAAGGTGCCACTGTGACAAGGATCTCCGTGAAAAGGTATTTTATAAGCCAGCTGGTATCTCTTGAGTTCTGACTACCCAAACTGCACTAACGATATCCGCGGTATCGTGTCACAAGACTGCGTTGATACGACAGTCCGCGAATGCCTCCAGCATGCTCCATAATCCCATTGCTACCAGGAACGCCATATCCGTATTCTTCACGAGGAAGGCAACCAATCCTGAGTCCAAGTTGCTTGACTGATAGAAGTGTCGAAGGTCCAGATCCGATCCGATGAGAACTTGGCCAGGTTGACTTTGACAGGGAAGTTGTTTGCTGTAAGCATGAACTCCCCATTGGGGCTGTGTATGAGCGTGCCATCATTTCTGGTTTGAACAAACACCTTCACGTCAGTGTCTTGGGACCGCTGAAGATCGTCTAATGCGTGGGCTGGGATTCTTGGATGTGGGTCGCGGCGAAAGTGAAGCAGCGTGTCTAGATCCGTCTCAAAATTCGCGAAGCATACTGTAGCAATACTACGGAGCGAGATACATCCGCCTGTCATCTTCGCCAGCGTGGTTTGACTAAGGAAGATTGCGATGTCGTGTGGTCGTGTGGTTTCCTATGGATAAGAGGCCAGGTCCGGGTGTCGCTGGATGACGTCGCTCTCACGGTATGTTTGACCATTCTACAGTTACTTTAGATTCGAACTTGAGAAGTAATGTGATAATTTACGGTTTGGCACACCAGAAATACTCCACACTCTGTTGAAAGCGATCGTGTGAGTACTTGAAGCGCCATCGCACGGATCTCATGAGCTATGGCGCGGGGCTGCGACTCTGTCACGGATGTCTGAACCAGATCCGTGACAATACTGTCTGCCTCAAACCAGATTTGGCGACCCATACCCAAGATAGCTACTGGGAGGTGGCGTGTTATCAAGATCACTGTTAAATCGACTTTCTCGGCTGGGAAGGGGTATTTCCCACCCACGTAGCGAGCCTTAGTGTGCTTGATCTGGCGGGGCAGGCGCTTATAGATCGTAAGGCGCAGCTCCGTGGGGAGGTCCATGAAGCGGTAGGGCTTGGTGATATCCTGCGTAGACATCGTGGTAGTGCAGTCCACAGCGTGGGTGAGAGACGGGTTTGCTGCTGTGTGGGTTGCGCAATCTCGGATGGGCTTGCTTGCGCGGACTAGTAATTGGGGGTTTGTTAAGGTCGAAATGAGGACGAGGACGAAAATGAAGGCAGCTCTGGTAGGAGCAAGGGACTCTAGCGCCTGTTGGCGTACTAAATAGGTAGTCGCAGTCGCGACACGCCGCAACAGGTGCACGAAGATTCTGGTGAGAAGATTAAGAGTTAAACATACTAATCAGACGAGGCGGAGAAAGATCAAATATACCATGTCCTTGCCTGCCCGAGATACCGCCAAGGCCAGCAATCATTCCCGGCCACCGACACCCCACACAACCCATCTAAACCTTCATCCACAGCGCCAAAACGCCCTTCGCGTACTCAACAATCTCATCACCACCAAGCTTGCTCTCGCCATACAGCCTGTCGACGAACGAGATGGGCACCTCCGCAACCGTACACCCCATAGCCTTTGCGCGCACCATCATCTCCATTTGAAACGTATACCCCTTACTCTCCGTCTGCCTAATCACCTTCTGCAACACCTCTTTCTTATACAACCTGAACGAGCCCGTAAGATCACTCACACCAGGCCTAAGCACCGTATCCGCAAAAAGATTCGCGCCCCTCGACACAAACTTGCGCTTGAGGTCCCAGCCAAATACACCACCGTCGCCGGCATACCGTGTGCCGGTCACGATGTCGTAGTTCTTGGTCTTTTGGAGGGCGATCATGGGCGCGATGAACTTGGGGTGGTGGCTGAAATCCGCGTCCATAATAATGACGAAGTTTCCGGTTGCGAATTGTAGGCCGTGGACGTAGGCGGTTCCGAGGCCTAGTTTACCGGCGCGGGCGCGGATTTGGATGCGTGCGGGTGTGTAGACTTTTTGGAGCTGCGCGGCGATTTCTTGAGTTCCGTCGGGGGAGCCGTCGTCGATGATGATGAGTTCCCAGTCGAGTTTGCTAATCATGTAGTGTCAGCATTGGGAATGTGGTGCAGGATGGGTGTTGCGACGTACTTCTCCTCGAACGTCTTGGCCAGCAGCCATGTTATTATGGGCAGGTTGCGGCGCTCGTTGTAGGTGGGCAGGAGCACCGAGTACTTGTTGGTGTTTGCCATCTTTGCAATGTGCGTTATGTGTGGTGTGTCTGCGGAATTGGGTGAATGAGCGACTGCAGGTGAGGGTTGACGTTGGGGAGTTGAGGATTCGCGGAGGTGATCGTGTCCGCAAGTAGCTCGGGGCTGCCGGACCCTGGACTAGCCTCTTTGGACCATCTCCTTCCGCAACGACATGGGCGAGTTTGGGTGGCCTTACACGTCGATGTAATATTCAATCGACATTCCCGCGCCAATTAGAAGGACTTTGGATTGGTGCGGTCGGATCTGTAGGGTAATGCCGGTCAATACGCCGGATACCGTCTCATAAAACCCACCCTACATCTCGCCCGCATCTTCACGATGTCACCATGGAAACCCATGCCCCAGAGGAAAAACCTCTTCCTCTGTCTCGACGCCTTCGGCACCCTCTTCACACCCAGCAAACCCATCCCAGTATCCTACGCGCAAGCCGCCCTCCGCCACGGCATCAACATAGGCAACCCCAACAACCCCACCCAAGTATCCTCATCCTTCAAATCCGCATTCAAGCGCCTGTCATCGGAGCACCCAAACTATGGCCGAGCGACAGGTATGGGTGCAGAAAAATGGTGGGCCAAAGTAATAAAGGAAACATTCACGCCTTTCCTCTCTCCAAACCAGGCCTTCCCCAAGTACCTCGTCCCAGAACTCCTCCACACCTACTCGTCACGTAAGGGCTACACCATGTACCCAGACGTCCTCCCTTTCTTCCGTATGATACGGCACATGAAAACCCACCAGATACGCCACGGCGCTCATCATGGACTCTGGCCCTGGGAAAAGACTATAGTAGGCATCATAACGAATTCAGACGACCGCGTTCCGGGGATATTGTCGTCCTTCGGTGTCAATATGAGTCCCGAGCGTTACCCTGGTATCTCGGATCGTCGTTCTGGGGCCGATGTGGACGCGCCAGGCTCCAAGGGCGAAGAGTATGATATCGATTTCACAGTCCTGTCCTACGATGTGGGAGCCGAAAAACCTGATCGACAGATCTTTGCAGCGGCGGAAGACATGCTGGATAAGAAGCTAAAAGGCGTCTCGTTTGGCGACGGCATAAAACCCGGAGTAGAGGAGTTTGAGAAATTGTACGTAGGCGACGACCTCTACAAAGACGTATTCGGAGCTCAAGACGCAGGCTGGTCGAGCGTTTTGCTAGAGAGAGACGCAAACGCGCTGGGCGGCCAAGGGTACGGGTTCAAGATGGAAGACAAGGGAGAAGAGAGAGGAGAGGCGGGAGAAGCAATTGGTCAGAACAGGTTGGTGCCACATGTGGGCTCTTTGCTCGATCTGTGTGCGTGGCCACGAAGACCTGCACAGCGTGAGGTATCGCCCGTGAGATATGTGTATATAAAGGGCCCTGAGGATGTATCGTCAGGGCAGGACAAGCGTCGACCACGAAGCCAGACGTAATTTGCATGGCGCTGCTCTGTAACTTCATATAATGACTAGCCGATTACAAGTCCACCGATAATTCACATCATTCAAACATCACTCTTCCTCGCTCCCCAATCACATACCCATCGCATCAGCAAACACCATCTATTGCATCATACGTCTCGTTGCAGTTCAGTTCATTCCATGTCACTCGACAATCCAACCCGCAACCCACCAGAACAAAGACACTTCACGCATCTTGCCCATCCGATCCTCATACCCCCATCCATACCACCGACTCATCTTGCCATTCGTGCCGAAGCCCCACCGCAAAAAGAAACATACGAAACATGATCATGTACAGAATCCACCAAATTAACCAGCCAAGCCAGCCAGCCCAGAGCCAAAAAAGGCCACCGGGCCAAGTAGTTATTCAAAGTCCCCAATACCCTTGATTTTCGCAGGATTCCGTTTGCCAATTTTTGCGCCTGAAAAGGTTATGCCTGACTGTCCGCGTGGTATTAAGGTTTTGGGTGACATCGTGGTATTGTTGTAGTAATTCGACTGACTCGTGGTGGACCGTTATAATGCAAAACAAAATTGTGTGTCGTTGCTACACGATGAGAAACTACCTCATTCGAAAGCGCGTTGGAAACAAATATTCTTGTGTCACAACTCCTCGTCTTCTTCCATCTTGGTTTCGATGGTGGGGATGTTTCCGTCAGAGTTGGCTCGACCTTGGTTGTGGGCGTCCATGAGGGCTTGGCCCAGGCTCTTGCGCACGTTGTCGTCGAAACCGGGTAATGAAGCGCGCTGCTTCTTGTAGGGTGACGCGATTGAGTTTGTACTGGGCTCTCCAGAGGTGTTCGCGGCGCCGGATGATGATGCCTCTCCTGTTGACGCGTTTTCTGGTACTGGTGTACCGGAAAGAGGAGATCCAGTCGAGTCGGAGTGGGAAGGTCCTGCGGGGCGGCCGAGAGGTTCTGCGGAATGTTGACGCTTAAGCTGTGATGTGTTAGTAGACGAATTTCGAGCGATGAAAGGCACATACCTTGATCTTGCGCACGCCCTCTGCGAGTTCGCCCTGTCTGTGAGCATCCTCAGGCGACAGCAAACCCTTGTCGAGAACCTCCTTGTCATCATCCGCGTCCTCCACCTTGACATCGTCCTCGTCGTCTGCGTCGCTATCCATGGCGTCTTCTGTCTTCTTCTTGGACTTGGGCGACGTCTCGCGGTAACCCCCAAAGTTCTTTGTTCCAGCGGCCGCGTTCAGAGGCTTCAGGCTGCCAAAGTCGAGTGCGCCAGATTTCCGCTTGGCTTGTGGCGAGGTGATCTTGGGCGTCTCCTTTGTGTTCAGAATACCCATCTTGCGCAGTTGACCTGTCATTGGTTAGCGGAAATCTAGTATCCCTTATTGTAAACTTACGCTCTCCACGGTACAAAAAGGTAAACACTGCGTAGGGCTTGTCCGGGGGATCTATGCCAGTCACAGTCTGGGTGCTGATAGACTTGGGGTCCAGCGTCTTGGGCTTTGCAAAACTCGTTGTGTGGTCAACGTCCTCGCCCTCTCCTCCACCATTTTGTTCGTCGTCATCGTGTGCGTCGAACTGGGGTGAGTACTCGCCGCGCTTGATCTCCCCAGACGCCAGGACGCGGAACAGAGCGACCTTGATTTGTCCGGCTGCCTCGGGCATTGGGGGCTCGTCGTCCGAATCGGAGTCGGTGGTGAAGAACTCGTCGTTGCCGGAAAGCGTCTCGACGGGCGCGTCCTTACTTTCGCTGTAGCGCAGTACACCGTTGCTCGATGCCTTCTTGTCCTCGTCGCTGCTGTCAATGGCCTCTCTCCGCTTTGCCCGCTTCTTTTCTAGACGCTGCTTTCTCCGCTCAATCTTTGCGGCCACGTCCTTGTCCTTGCCCTCGAGATCCAGGCCGTTGAGCCATCTCTCAAGACCGACCTCGCGGAAGAGGAACTCGCGCTCTGCGAGACCCCCGCCTTCTGACTCTGGCACGCTGACCCACCGTGAGTTGACCCACGTCTCTTCGCCACGTCGCAGCAGTGTCGCTACTTCCTCCTTTGCCCGGCCGTCAAAGTATATGTATGCAGCGATTGTCTCGTTCGGCGAGGTGGTCAAGGGCTTGTACGGGGCTATCGTGGGACCGTACTTGCCCCGCTCTCCGGTTTGACCTGGGAGGCCCCCGACAATCTTCGCTTTTGGGTTGGGGTCATCGTCAGTTGGCTTGGGCGTCGAGTAGGGCACGTGAAGACCTGGAGTGAGCAGAGTAATCGATATCGCGAAAGAAGACTGTTCAGGCTTGGTAGCGCCCGGCGGTATCTTTGCGGGTGGGACAGGGATGTACGAGGTGATACGGTGATGTTTAGATTGCTTCTGTATCGAGTATTCTGGGAGCGGGTTACTGTCGGCATGGATGCTGACGGCGAGGCCTAGAAAGGTCGGCATTTTGAATTAGGCGTGGTGAGGACGGCTGCGAAGCTGCGGAGATGGCAGCGGAAGAGCCCTAACACAGTAGTCTTGGCAAAGTTGGGAGGGAGAAAATATCCCTGCGATAGAGCGGCCGCCGGAGGGGCAGCTGCGCGAGTAAGTAGGCGAAGATGGGCTAGGAGGCGGTGTGAGGTAGCGACTCTGAAGGTCTGTGTTGTTGGTTTAGGCGGAGAGCTTCCGTAGCGGGCGCTCCACGATGTTGGGGTCCACAAGTCAACGAGCCAAGTCACGAGCCAATCACGCGTGCACCTGATTGTTTCCTGCGAACTTCAAAGAGCCGCCATCTTTCACGGATGTATCTGTCAATACCACGTCAAAGGAACATGCTGCGACCATGCGTTTGGGCAGGGGATCGAATCAAGGGGCGTGCCTGTCGCCGATCGAACGTGGGGTCATGACTAGCGGCATGGCACCTACCTGTTCGTGCCTTCCAAGGTTGAAGGGGTGCCCTGATGGTTCACATTCAGACTCCATGTGTACGAACAATTCAACATTCATCATCACGCCTTACCCATACATCCCTATGCCATGAACTATCGGTATGTGGGGTCAGCCTCTCGTACTATCTGAGAATTTCAAAGACAGCGGTCGGGTTCTGCACATTTCATCACCGCTCTTTACTCGCCGATGTCTCCACTTCTCTCTATCTAGGGTATTATACAGTTCCTTAGTCGGCTGGCGCAAACACGTCCTCTGGTTGCGAGTCCACCCGACGAGTTTGAGAGGATGAGAAGCATCTTTGTGATGATATGCCACCACCACCTGTCATGTCGACCGATCACTTACTTGATGCCCTCTGTCGACCCTGGCCAAACCAGACCTCATCGTTGAACAAGAACATGTTCTCTGCTTTTGGGGTCGACCTCGTTGCTCTCCCAGGGAAAGTCTCCGTTTGCGCATCCGAAATGTCACAAAGACGATCAGATTTCTAATCTTCCTCATCCAAAGCAAACATATCCTCAGCCTTCGGTCTTAACCGCCTCGCCCTCGCCACAGCTGTCTCTCCAGGGATCTCAACGATCTTTGGCGGATCTGCAGGCACGACAGGGTCAGGCACGACCACTTCTTCTTTGACCACAGCCTCAGCCTCAACCTCAGCAACAGGTCTCTCAGGCTCCGGCGATGCAAGTTGACTCGCAGTAGGACTCGGACTCCTAAACTCCTCCTTTGCATCCTCTGCACCCTCATCAACATCCATGCCCTGCTCATCTTGCTCACCCTCTTTGTGTGCGCCAGAAGATGACGGTTTTCTGATAACGTTACCTTTCCTCTTCCTCTTCTCCGCCGCTCTTTTCTGCTGCTCCAGCTCCTCCCTCTCCCTCTCCCTCGCATTGAACGCATCTTCTAAATACTTCAACGTCGCCTCATCAAAAAGATGATCTCCCGTCCACACCGCCAGGATGCCATTAACATCTTCCCTATACGTCCTCTCCGTCATACGCCCCATCTCCAGTTTCTGCGGCAGTTGCTCAAGATGTTCAAAGACTTTGCGTTCTACAAGCTCTGTTCCGATGGCTAGACGGTATTTGTAGGAGACGCCGGATTCTTTGGCTGTGACGAGGAGGACGTCGGAGACGATGCGTAGCGCGTTTAGGGTGACTTGTCGGAGGTCTGGGCGACGTATGTCGTCTTTACCATCCGCATCGCCTGCACGATTCCGTGTGTTGGCGTCCGTGAGCTGGAAGGGGTTGATGATGTTGGAGACGAGGATGCTGGTGACTTCGTCCATGCCCTGGGCGGCGTGTTCGACTGCAAAGGTTGAGATAGCGGCGAGGTCGTCGTAGACGATGCTGCCAGGTGGGATTGCGTTGATCATCCATAGAAGCATCGCTCGTGATCTGGGGTTCATGATGCCGTGCCCATTGTCCACGCGGCCTGGATAGTTGTCACCCACCGGTAGAGGCTTGAATTGCGGCTTCTCTTTCTCCTCCTCGTCATCGCTATCTAGACTTTCGTCGTCTGATTCAAAAGCTCCCACGTGGTCGACGAATTCGTGACGAAGCGGATCGACGGGGCCTTTCCAGGCGCCTTGCCCCGCAAAGATTTCGGAATCGGTGCTGTTGGTCACGATCTGGTGTAGACGCCAACGGTAGTACCGGTTGACGGGATGCTTCTGGTCATATAACCACGCGAAACGCTCCTCGTCTTGGACTTGCGGCTCGTTCATCAAAGCCGCTTCGAACTCCACACCACCAAGAATAACGCCCTCAATAGTCTGGTGTACTAATCTGAGTGTCGCGAGATCGGGAGGCTGGTTTGCAGTGATGATGAGATCTTCAGTATTCTCGCGCGGCCCTCTACCTCCGCCTCCTCCACCAAGATCTGGTGGCGGTGCAAAGCCCTTGGGTAGCTCGGGTGCCTGCCATCGTGCGCCGAATGCCTTCGTCTGTTGTGTGGTGTCTGCTGTGCGACTGCCCAGATATCTGTCCAGATGCAGATAGTAGCCCTTACCCAGGTACTTCTTATCATTGAGTTTATTCATCGCAGCGTCGAGGTCCCGCGCGTTGGCATCCTTGTCAAAGGTGATATTCATCGTCGCTGAAGGCCTGCCCTCCGCCCTTGAACCTTGCGGTATCCTGTCGACCCGCGCGATCTTGAGTGAGGGAAAATCGGCGAACAGCTCTTCGACGCGTCGCGAGTCTATTTCAGGCGGGAGGTTCGACGCTTTCGCTACGACGGTGGTGTAGAAGTTCTCGGTCTGCTTTGGGCCATCGAGTGCAGCTGGGCCTGTGGGTACTGAGCCTCCGAAGCGTGACTGTGTCTGTGGCGCGAGTCGTCCTGGCGGTGCACCTGGTCTGTTATAGCCATCGAGAGGTTCGGTTTCGAGGGTGCCGGGGCCGCTCTTCATCGTCCGCTGTCTGCCTGTGAAATGTCTCTTGCTTCCCGTTGGAACAAAGACATCTTCCTCTTCCTGCTGCTCAACCTCCCCCAATATACTCTTCTCGGCTCCGTGCTCCGCCTCGAAATCGGCCATGACCTTGTCGAGCGCATTCTTCTCCTCGCGCGCCTTCGCTTCCTCTTCCTCCTTGGCTTTGGCATTCAATTGCGCCTTGGAGGCTTTCGCAGCGCCTAGAGAGAATTTGAAGGCCATGTTGGCGTGCGATTATCGTACAGTCGTGTCACGGTCTTTCATGAGGTGATTGCGGCATGAGGTGGTGTTGAGGTTTCGCGCAGTGTCAACCAGAAAGTTAAGCTTGCGCGTGAGGGCCCAGACTAGCGTCACGCCCAGGGCTTCCCCACGGCCTCGGGAATCTCGAACAACGTCATTCTAAGCTCTCAGTACCGCGGAATCCAGACAATCACAATGACCTCGGCGCAAGACGTTCAATCGCTCCTCCGCTTCCTGTCACAAGACGCCAAAGTACCTCTCGCGCAAGCTTTGTCCAAAATCAAAGACCTCCAAGCAGCGAACCTGATCACGTAAGCACGTGACAGCGTACCATCGCGTCACGTCATTGTACTGACATCCGCGCAGCCCATCAGACCTATCTAAATCCTCGCACGAGACCCTCAAAACCATTTTCGCCGACGACAAAGTCGCGCGTTCAGTCCTCAATGCCGCAAAACGCCATTCCAAAAAGCGCACCGCAGATGCTTCCTCTGCTACACCTGCGCCTTTACCAAAGAAAGCTAAACCGAGCTTTGGTCAACCCCTCAATGGCGCAGATCTCGAAGCATCGCTCGCGCTTCCAGAGCCAGAATTAGATGAAGACATACTTAGTTCATCTGTCGTCTACACCAACCGCGCCCCCCTCGTCCTCGCTTTCGCAGTAACACTCCTCAAATTCACGATGCCAAGCCAACCCATATCCAGTCGGCTCAGCCTAGCACAAGCCGTAACGTCCATGAATAGTAAGACGAAAGCCGTCAACATCGGGCTTGAGAAGGGTAAGCCTGCGGAAGAAGAAGGCTGGGGTGAGGGGCAGCCGCTGGTACGGATTATGACGAGGGATGTCAGGGTGATGAAGAGGTGGGGGTATGAGTGGGAAGATGAGGGGATGCAGCAGAGGGTTAAGTCTGAGGGAGGTGAGGAGAAGGAGGAGGACGCCAGGGAACCTGCGCTTTGGGGTGTTGATCTTGAAGCTTTGAAGAAGGCACAGAACTCGAGGGTTGGCTCTAGTAATCTGCCTATATATACTGCACAGAGCGCAAGGGCGTATCTTATGAGGGCGTTTGAGACACCTGCCGCGGGACTAATCAAGAAGGAAGATGGCGATGTCGACGTCAAGGTCGAGGGAGCGCCAGCATCGAAACCGAAAGGGAAGAGAACAGCTGCTACCATCGCAACGGAGAAAGAGCGGAACCTAGGGCTTTTACTGGGCGCACTGGAACTATTGTACGAGTCGTGGGCAAAAGTGGTGGGTAAAGAAGACCTGGATAAGCGGGCTTGGGGTTGGTATGTTCGCGTACGGCCAGAGGTAGCTTACGGAGCTGCGGGCTGGGGTAGCAAGGGCAATGTCAAGTTGTCCGATATCCTCGCCTTGAGAAGACCTAGTTGAAGCGAAGACACAAATATATGGAATTCAGGATACCCCGATTGATTGACAACCTCTTTCATTATCTTGAATCTCTTATTTCTACAGCTTGAACTCAGCATTACTACGCTCCCACCCCACTCCACCACCATCCCTCCTCCCAGCCAATCTATCCGCCAGCCCCAATTTCTTCTCCCTATTTCTTTCCGTACACAACTCATACACCGTGCTCAGATTCAGCACGAGTGAGTGGAACGGCGAACTATCGTCTACCAGCTGACTAAGTATGTCTCTAGCATCCGATATACGTCCTATGTATAGCAAACACACGGCCAGATTCTGCGCTATCATCCCATCTTCGGGGAATTCTTCGTGCAGAGCTTGGAAAGATTCGGCGGCTGCAGCGTAGTCTGAGTCAGCGAGCTGGATGAGCGCGTTCAACGTGCCGTCTACGAGAGCGTCTGATGAGGCGGAAGATGCACGAGCGAGACAGCGTCGTGCTGATGCCATGTCCCCGACTCTGAGCCAAACGAGTGTTTCCATCAGAGATATCTCCCTAGTCTGATCGCCTTCTGCAGCAAGGGTTGCCAGATGTCTTCCCGCGCCTTCGAAATCGCCCATTTCTACAAGCACATTCGCAACACGAATACCGCAGTCTCGGAGTCGCGACCGCCAAACCGCTTTATCCTCGTCTGACCCTGCCTTGAGAATACTCTCCCTGCATTCGCGTGCGAGTTCGTAGTACCCCATTATACCCTTCCTCCACTCTCCGTATCCCAATGCTGCTAGTCGTACGACGAGGAGGCGTAGATCCCAGGGTACAAGATGGGCGTTTGTGAGGGGGTGGAGGTAGAAGGCGCTGTTGAGGTCACCTAAAACTTTGGATTCCTGCGCCGCAAGGGCGTGTTCTTGGAGTAGGCAGAGACATGCTAGGCGCACGTGGATGAGGTGGAGGAGTGTATCGTGGTCGCCTGGCGCAGCGGAGATGAGGTTTCGCGCTGCGGCAATGGCGGCGAGACGGTAGTGTCCTGACAAGAGGAGCGTGTCTATGGGCGAGGATATTGGCGGGGCATGCGGCGCATTGAGAAACGGGGGCGGGACATTGGTGACTGGTAGGACGTGATACGCCTGCGGGTCTTGGAGGAAGCTGAAGTCTTTATGGGGAATGTCGTCGATGCCGCGGGTTGGGCCCTCGTGCGACGGCTGCGGGGAAGCTTGAGGCCGTGCTGGCGACCGAACGCGCGCAGGTAGGGTGGCGGTACTTTCTGCGAGAGGGCTACATCGTTGTGTAAGCGTGTGTCTTGTACCCGTATTATCTGCCGGCTGAATAAACTGGGCGCATACTCGTCTATAACGATGTCATCGGCGTCGAGTGGACCCTTTGTCGTACGGCGCGTCAGGGCGGCTGTTTTCTCGATTAGTCATGCCAGAGCACACGTGAAGAAATGTCAACGCACTTCGTCGTCGCTCATCGCCCGAGGCAGCGCGGCCATGACCTCGTCCAGGTGGAACTTGCATCGTGTCTATGGTGTCCCCAGCTACCAAGACGGCTGTCACAGCGCTCCGATGTTCGGCAGCACTCCATGGAATTGCGGGGATCGCCCAATCAAGACCCCTGCCACCGGGGCCAAACGACTCCACTAACTTTTCATATGCGCCACGAACCTGGGCCCGACGAAGACTCAAAGGCGAACGGCCAATTGACTCAAAAGCGTCCGTCAGCTTCCTGTTTCCTCCCACTCTCTCTCCCACGTCGCTCTTGCTTTTGCTGAATCTCCCCTCTGTGCGTTATTAATACATCGTCCTGAGTGGACGTCATAATCGCCATGCAGCAGTCACGCACACGAGCTGTAAATGCTCTCAAGGGCAACCGCAACTTTTCCTCTTCCACACAACGACTAGCCGTCTCACCCTTCCGCAGACCCGCGCAGGCTGTCTCGAGTAAAATCACCCAAGAAGATGCGAAGCGACCTCAGAGCACCCAGGCGGCGGCGGCCACACAGACACAACCGCGTTCAAGACCGTCGCCCGCCTTCAACCGTGAAGACTACAAGGATGTCCAGCCGCTGAAGCAGTATCGCTCGCCTGCAATGGACCACTCGTTCGTTGGCATGACCGGTGGAGAGATCTTCCACGAGATGATGCTCCGCCAGGGCGTCAAGCACATCTGTATGACACATCTCACATGCTTACATGAATTGTGTGCACCAAACTTCAAGTACTGAATACTAACACCTCCCAGTCGGCTACCCCGGTGGTGCGATTCTTCCCGTCTTCGATGCGATCTACCAGTCAAAACACTTCGACTTCATTCTGCCACGACATGAACAAGGCGCCGGCCACATGGCAGAGGGTTACGCCCGCGCGAGTGGAAAGCCCGGTGTTGTGCTCGTTACCTCTGGACCTGGTGCCACCAACGTCGTCACACCCATGCAGGATGCGCTGATGGACGGAACACCCTTGATTGTCTTCTGCGGTCAGGTCGTTACCAGCGCAATTGGCTCCGATGCTTTCCAGGAAGCTGACATGGTCGGCATTACAAGGCCGTGCACAAAGTGGAACGTCCTCGTCAAGAACGTTGCGGAACTCCCGCGGAGAATCAACGAAGCTTTCGAGATTGCGACAAGTGGACGGCCCGGACCCGTTCTTGTCGACCTACCCAAAGATGTTACCGCCAGTGTTCTCCAAAGAGCTATTCCCATGAGTAGCACCCTTCCCACCACTGTCAGTGCTGCGACCATTGCCGCGCGCGAGCTCAGCAAGCAACAGCTGGACCACTCCATCCGCCGATCGGCAGACTTGATTAACATGGCGAAGAAGCCCGTCATCTACGCTGGACAGGGTATCCTCCAGACCGAGAACGGACCCCAGCTTCTCAAAGAGCTCTCGGACAAGGTCAACATTCCCGTAACTACCACCCTGCAAGGTCTGGGAGGCTACGATGAGCTTGAGCCCAAGTCCCTCCACATGCTCGGTATGCACGGTTCCGCCTATGCCAACATGGCCATGCAGGAGGCCGATTTGATCCTCGCTCTCGGTGCTCGTTTTGATGACCGTATCACTGGCGCAATCTCAAAGTTCGCACCCGCGGCGAAAGCTGCAGCGGCTGAGGGTCGTGGTGGTATCATCCACTTCGAGATCATGCCCAAGAACATCAACAAGGTTGTGCAGGCGACCGAGGCCGTCGAGGGTGACCTTGGTACCAACCTGAAGCAGCTCCTGCCTCTCGTTAACGAAGTTCCCGAGAGACCAGAATGGCTCGGACAGATTGCCGCCTGGAAGGAGCGCTTCCCATGGGCCTACGAGAAGGAGGGCGAGAACGGCCTCATCAAGCCGCAAACCGTCATGGAGAAGCTCTCCGACCTCACAGCCCACCGCAAAGAGGAGACTATCCTCACCACCGGTGTCGGCCAACATCAAATGTGGTGCGCCCAGCACTACCGCTGGCGATACCCCCGCACGATGATCACCTCCGGTGGTCTGGGAACCATGGGCTACGGTCTCCCCGCCGCCATCGGCGCCAAGGTCGCGCGCCCAGAATGCACCGTCATCGACATTGACGGCGACTCCTCCTTCAGCATGACGCTCACCGAACTCTCCACCGCCGCCGAGTTCAACATCGGCGTCAAGATCATCATTCTCAACAACGAAGAGCAGGGTATGGTCACACAATGGCAAACCCTCTTCTACACCGACCGTTTCGCGCATACCCATCAGCGCAACGCCGATTTCGTTAAGCTCGGTGATGCTATGGGTGTTCAGGCTAAGCGCTGCATTAAGCCTGAGGAGCTTGAGGACTCCCTGAAGTGGCTCTTGGAGTCTGATGGTCCCGCACTGTTGGAGGTTGTTACTGACCAGAAGGTTCCTGTGCTGCCGATGGTACCTGCTGGAAGTGCGCTGCACGAGTTTATGATTTACGACGAGAGTAGGTGATATCGAATGACGTATTGTGGTAATCAATGCTAACATAATCGTAGAAACTATCAAGGACCGCAGAAAGCAAACCAAGGAGCGATCGGGTCGTTAAGGCTTGAGATGTCTTGTCCCGTGTAACTTCATTCGTTGTGTATATTCTTGGGTCGGTACCGGCGTTTTCCTTTTAATTTAGCATATTCTTGGTTGGTTGCACTAATGCAACTTCGTTTCCATCGGGGAAAAGTGGGATAAATCAAAAGCGAGATATCAGTCGCGTTTTTTTTTATTATGCAACGAGAGGAGGACAGGGGAAGAGTAGTGGGAGTGGAATGACTCGAAGAGAATACTATTGTTTGACTGCATGCATGTTTTGTGTTGGCTTAATCTTGTGTGGCTTGGGTACGTTGAACTGTGGTATAATACTGAACATACGAATTGAAAGGATGTTGACTTGACGGAACCAAAATTTCGCCATTTGGGCGATGTTCGTCTTTCGTGGTACTTGAATCCTGCGCCACATTCATCGCTTCACAAACAAGGTACACAACATACGATGATTCCGCATCGCCTCTATCTTACCCTATCAGACTATACGAAGATACACATTCGTTTCACAACACGCCTCCCAAATTCGGTCAGGTCAAAAAAGAGAAGGGAGTTTGGAGGTTGGGTAGAGGGTATTGATGATGCGGTTGTGTGAGGTTTAGGTAGGATGAACCGTGTTATAAGCTCGAAAATGAGAATTGCGAGGACGTTGACTCGATGGACCAGAAAGTATACTTCTTGTGTGAGTGATGTCCAGATACGCTGTGAATGGCCTTTCTACTACGCAGGATCCACCATACCTCATCACACTATCACGGTATGTTATAGACGAAAACTCCCATCAGTTTTAGATTCATATAAGAGATGTGCGAAGATAGTAATTATTCTAGAACCTCTGTTACTCCCAAATCACATCCAAAAGCACATTCACACAGAAACCCTCGTCTACACGCCCATCAAGCAAGTCAACTACACATAACTCGACCGTTATTCAGCACCCCTGGAAATAACGAAGCCACACACACTATACAACCCACTACCACCTGCAACATAACACCCATGGGTTCAACAGCAACAATCCGCTGCTGGCGCGGCCGCAGCACCTCCGTCTTCTCCAACCTCCCTCAAGCGGATTCATCTGAAGCGGGAATCTCCCCTGTAGTTGGCAACACAGAATCCTCTTCGCCGCATTCATCTTCACCTTCAACTACGTCAGTGTTCTCCAACTTACCTCATGCAGAGTCATCTGGAGCAAAACCCGACCTCGTAGTCGGCAACCCAGAAGTTTCCTGGTCGCCTTCAAATTCCAAGGTCATCAAGAAACGAAACGACCTCTCCGTTTTCGCTACGCCTCTTCCTGATCTTGTGTTGGAACGGCGCCAACGTCGGATTTCGAAAGAGTCAGATGGAAGTATAGGTGGAGGTCGATCTGCTGGGTCATGTGACACCCATACTATTACGATTTTTGAAGAAGGGAGGGAGTGGTACGGGTATAGAGACGAAGGGATTCGTCAAGCGGCGGAGATGTTTGGCTTGACTGGGCCGTGGGTCAGGCCTGGTGCTGGTGTTGGTGCTGGTCTTCAAGATGTGGATGGGAATGGGAGTAAGGGGGTAAAGGGAGAGTTGAAGGGAGGGAAGGCGTTTTGGCATGGGAATGGGAGGAAGGTGAAGGTGGAGGAGAGGCTTTTGCATGTTAATGGTAGTGGCCGAGATGATGAGTTCGGTATTGTCGATGAGGGTGCGGAGGAGGACAGAGTGGAAAGTGAGGCGAGTGAGGATAGTGTAGACAGTGACGATAGCAGACAGGAAGGGGACGAAGACGGTGAAGAGAAGCCGTGGTGGAGTGTAAGGTGGAAGAACATCTTCATGATGCTGGGGTATGGTGTTTTGGAGTAGATACACGACTGTGGGAATAACTATCGCGAAGCGGCACTGTCTATATGAGTCTATGGTATACGTCTATTCCATGAAGGAGGTGTATCTGAGGCGATTATGGGTTAGAGGCGTGAACCTGTGATGTCTTGTGTTGGAATGCTATATCATCGATAGGAAATGTAAAATGCAGTGTTGATCGTCCATGTCCGTCCTGCCGGGTTTTGATTATCTCGTAGGGAAATGAGCGATTACGGGTCGGAGGACGGTGTCCTTCACATGCTGGATGATGTGAAGGTTTATATTGGAACGAGTGGCGAGCTCGACATCTGCTCGATGATCAGTGAGCTATTACAAGAGTCGGAGCTAGAAGCACAAACGTACCCTAATATTCGCGATGGTCGTTGCGGCCATTTCGGTTGCGACCTCTGAGATGATAGATAACGGCCAGTGAAGGGGGCAAAGCGAGGAAGAGGGCAGCGATAGCAATGATGGCTTCACCTGACAAGGAAGGCATGATGTCGGAATTGATGCAACAGATGATGGTTCAGAAGGTTGTAGATAGTGTGGGATGGGAAAGAAATCGGGGCGTGGGGGCTCCAGCCATCTTGATCTCATCAGGAGAGCCGCATTGAGAAGTCTCAAAGCACAAACCTGAAGGCATTAGGTCTACAAAAACTCTGAATCCGCCGTCGGCCATGATAATGCAGTCCCGATTGGCCAAAGAGTTCTGATCACGACTTCGCCTTCTCGCGGGTCAACACTGTAGAAGAAGACGTGGTTCGTTGTTGTCCAGTGAATAAAGGCCGCCGACGACTGAACTTACGAGCAGGGACTGCCCAGCTGGATCCCAGACTTGATAAATGCGCGGTGATGGTGTCATGTGATCTAGAGTCCTCCTCTTATCGATGGGGGCGCAGATGCGGTTGTGGCTGAACGGTCCACGGTCTGATTCGACAATGTTCTGAAATGCGTAGCTCCATGATACGAATCAACGAATCGGAAGATAAAGTACGTGAAGGCGTTGTTAAAATTATGCAAGGTGTGATGGACACTGTCACACAACAGACTGCATGCAGGGTGCTTCATCGAGCGGTGTATACGCAGGCGCCGGTGGCTTACCTAGGTACCATGTACACCAATCGCTGCCAGGCTGACGAATCCTCAATGTGTCCCGCAACTCAAATCGCTGGCCATCCGACCGCCGAATCAGCCCTATGACAGCACGTGAGTTGTTTCGTTCGGAATTCACTCAAGGATAACGTTCGGGTACGGAGCCGGCAGAAAGGAATGCCAATCTGAGAATAATGCGTTTCGGCTTCCCTGCTATTGTGCATCTCTCGATGGTCTCAATCTCTTCTGCTGTCTGGTCCTATCGTGATCGTCATAATTACCAATGTTGGGTTGTCGTGTGTGCCAAAGCAAGTTTGGTGGATTGGTACGAGGGACACATGATGACAGCATTCGAAGGCTTACTGGAGTCGTGAAATGGACGTCTCAAAATCAGCCCACCGGTTCGGGTCGGCGCCACAGAGCCATTACGTACATGCTAGCTCAGCCCTGCTGACACTCTACTCATTCCATTCGCTCATGAGCTGGAAGGCTACCAGCGGCACAGGTCGGTACAGTGAGGCCGAGTGTTTTGAAACCACATCATGTTTCAACAGCTACTTTTCCATTGTGAGTCCTTATCTTTGCTTCTCATCCCGCGTTCTGCAACTACAAGGCCACCTTTGCCACGTACTGCGCTTACTCGCCGTCGACCTGTTGTGTGACATTAGGGGCATCGGCTTTCGCAAGCTCATGTAAGAAAGGATGAAGAAGTAAAAGACAACAATAGAGTATCAACGTCCCATTCAACTGTATGATTCTCGTGCGCGTTCATACCTTGCGGTATCATTGATCCAACTCATGTCCTTTGTTCAAAGCTACCTTTTCCGTTCGTTGTGGGCACAGCTGATACCAGAAGGTCTGCGGAGGAATTCCAGGGGCCCGGAAGAACAGCACATCAAGCGCGTTGTAATAGGATCCAGCGCCCGAGTTCACGTGCAAGCGTATTCATCCCGTCCTACCGACGAATATGTACCAACCTCGTGATCAACGTTGATCCATGGCTTGATTCGCTGATATGTTCCAAATATGGTTGGATGGTGAAGGGAAGTAGTGGAAAGTGACTACATCCGCGCATTCAGCCTGTCGAGGTCTTGTCTCGTTCGATCCAGCACTACCTACCCCCGGCTGGCCCTTACTACGACATAATGCAGTTCGAGAAAGTATTCAGCAAGAGTCTCATGAAGAAATCGAACAAGTGCATGTCTTGTTGGCAACCAAAGCACGTGAACAGCCTCCGTGAATGCGAGCAGGAGTGCGCGATATGTCGAACTGGTGATCATGCCGGAAGTGGATGTCATGCCCCATACATGCCGATGACACTTTGGGAGTTACATGGACACATGCCTCCGCGTGGCTGTCAGATCCGTCCAAAGGCTGTTGACCAGGTTTACCTCGTTCTCGCCGGTATCATTAAGCCCCAAGAGAACAAGGCCTGGCCCATCCGTCCGAATACGGACCATCCGCTGGTGCGAGAGTTCTACGAGGGTTGAGACGATCCGGAGCCGCTTTTCAGGAAGGCCATGATTCCGGCGAGGGTAGCTAGGACGAGTGAGACCCGAGTGAAGCTGATCACAATACACGCAGCGACCGTCAACGAGATGGAAACAGCGCCTGTCCTGGCAACTGCCCTGTCGACTACGGGTGCTGCATCGGTCGAGTTCTCACCTCCAAAAATCGCGCAGCCATATACAGCGGCCGAGATCAGCATCGAGCAAGAGCAGGAAGAGGTATCTAGATATCAACAGGATGTTGTGGACGATGAGAACGGGGCAGAGAAACGCGCGTTGCCGCAGATGACGGTTGAGCAGCTGCTTGATGTGATTGGAGAGAAGGATGCGAAGCTGGCAGAACAGGGCAAAGAGCTTGAAGAGGTGAAAGCTATGATCGGAATAAGGGACGAATACCACCGGAGGTGGATGGACGAGAAATATGACCGGATTCGTGAGTAAGATAATCAGATCCGTGAATTGGAGAACGTGGTAGAGAACGTGCGATCCAGTATTGCGAACGAATAGAACGAGCGCGCGAGGCGTTGATGCATACATCGAGTGGCACGAATACGAGACTGAGGTACAACGGACGTTCGAAGTATACAGTAGTAAGAACCGGCGTTGGCGTCAATAGCACTAGAGGCATGTAGGAGGAAAGACAGCGCATAATGTCGCGAAATGCATCCTCTACGCAGATGGATAACTCCAGCCATGCACGATAAAGTGAGTGAAAACAACGAAAGCACATTGAAGTGAAGCTCGCTGTGATTGGCAAGAAGAGCAGAAGAGAGCAAAAAAAGGCAAAAATCGAATTACTGACAATTGAGCTTTCGCTAGTGATCACCCATCAAGCTAATAACCCACGAAGTCGCTGCTGCGATGCCGTTTTACGGGCTTCCTGGCAGCGCTTCTTCATGTTTTCTCGATGACAATTCGTAGAATCAATACTACCGTAAATGCACCGCCACCGTTGCCCCACCTAGAAGAAAGTACTACGGCTACGTAACTCACCGTGACGTTTTATTAAGCGCCCTAATGTATATGAAGACTCGTCACTCGTCGTCGCCATGTTGTCGGACATAGCTGCTGCGATCAATAATTCTTCTCGCTCCTGTGGTTGTTGTGCACACCCACTCGCCTGGTGAATAACACATGTCGTGAAGCAAGTAGATTGGCTGCGCCCAAAGACGGTGATGAAAGGTGACGATGCGCAAAATTTGAGGAGGGAGAAGGGTAATGAAGACATGTGGTCGGAACATCGGGAAGATGGCAACCTTGGTCTAAGTGCGCCTAGCCCCTTCCAGGGCATAACGTCGGCACTTCCGACCATGAAACTTCCATGCCACCACGCCACGCAGATTTGAGATCGTCCCTCAAGTAAGCTGCAACGTCTACTTTCTGTCACAAATCATCACCATCAGCCGAATTCGACACCGCGCAGTCGCTCGGTTGATATTCAACACCATTTTAATTGCAGGAAGAGTCCCGAAGCAAGGTGCGGGATCGGACTCTTCATGACGGCACTTTCATCTGCGCGGCTTTTATCCCGGCCCCGAATAGCTTCGAAAGCCGGTATCGCTTCGAGGCCACAACGGGCGTCTCTTAGATGCTATTGACATACATTAAGAAGGAAGAAGATATGCGCTGTTCAGCCACCGTGGAGAGACGCAATGCAAGCGCATTTCTTTTTCCAGTCAATTAGCATCCGTAAAGCACGTGAATACACAGTTGGCGGTGTACGGTAAGCTTCACGTATCGGCCATGTCGACAACACTGTATGTAATAGCTGTTCGTGAACAAAGTGGCTTATCACATCGTTTACCTGGTGTACAATCGCTCTATCGTGCCATATTTACTCACCACACCCGAACACCACCTTAGTTCCATCGCGACATGTTTCACAAGATACTTCAAAAGATAACATCAAATCCTCAAACCCGTGCGCTTGAAGATTCAAGCCCAGCTCCCAGCGAGAATTCAAACTTATCACTGTTTGAGGAGCTTGTGGTGTCACTAAAAGTTGACACTAGTAGCTTGAGCGATGCGAAACAAGTTGCTTGCTGGTGCGCAAACGAAAAGTTTGAGAAGCTGGTTGCGAAAGGCGCCCGTCTATCTGAACTAATGATTGCAGCACCATCCGAATCGACAGAAAGTAATTTCACAGCTGTTCGAGACCTTCACAAGTGGGGATACGCGCAAGACAGATATATCTACTCAACCGCCTCAAATGAAAGGATCGGCAAAACCTTTGAGCTCATTGGACTCAGCGGGGACTTTGCGAAGGATGAAGGCCCCAATTTTCGCGTCGACTACTCACACGAGTACGTGGTAGTAGTGGAAGGTCAATATTATGAAGCAACGGACGCGCTTCTCCGCCAGGTCATTAACCCCTCGGATGGAATTATAGTCGCGTATGACAACCACACAGCCTAAGCCATGGCTAGAAAGTCCGAACACCACTGCCCGTATGTCCCCAAGTTGAATCACTGGTCGGATATAGCGTATCTCCAATGGTTATCGAAAGCCAATGAGAACTTAGAGTTACGTTACGTACTTCGATACAGCGTGATGGACGATGTTACGCGCTTTGTGCTTACTTATCTCAGCTTACAGGGTAGATTTGCCCTGAAGGAATGGCGTGGGACGACATACAGTGCAGGCTCGGTGGAGTTCAATGCATTGTTAGGCTCACCCAATGGGGCTGGTGTCGCTTATCTCCTCATACAGCACAAGAAGGGACTAGGCCACAAGACTGTTGATAAGGTTACTGTCTTCAAGAAGAAGTGGGATACCATGTTGCTGTTCCATATCACGGATGTTGACAGTGCTGATGTCGAACACGTTTGAAGATCGGACTCGTACAATTATGTGGCGCTGATATGCATTATGTACGACTCACGGTATAGATAGCACGCTCCGAACAAAGACATGTACAGAGATAACAGAATGTACGAGGTGTGGTATTGCTAGTGGTGCACTTTACGATGGGTCACATGTTGTGATGATCTCTGCATTGAAGTGTCAACAATCAAGCTACCCGAGCACAGCAGATCGAATCGACACTAAAGTAGAGCGCGAGGCCGGTTGGCATCAGGCAATGGCTTCGTCCATAAGTGACAAAGCGCAAGACTGATACGTACCAGACAATGGCTCTATGGTTGGTGCATCGCATGATCATGGCAACTATAAGATCTCTCAGAGAGCGATCAAGACATCCCAGATCGCACGATGACGACCCCTATTCAGATCGTAGATCTCTACCTGTTCTTTTCTCAAGTTGGTGCGAACTGATGACGTCAAATGCTTCACATGACGTGAGAACAATAGGTGGTGACGTTAGGTTGCTCGAGCATAACACCGATCGGCATCAGACAGCGGCTCCGTCATGAATGACGAACCCAAGATAGATTACTAACAAGCAGTTGCTCATTCACCTCGATAGTCACATGATCATCATAGTTTCATGTCTCTCCATGAGCGACAGACAGACTACAAAGATCGCATGACTATCTGTAATGTAGAGGCTCAGTAGCTATCGGGCTAATAATTGAGCTTCTATAAGATCACATAGCTCCTGCTGTGATCGCGTGCACTCCGCTACGCATAGGTGCGCCATGTTGAAGTGGCTCGTGGAGATCTCTGCACGTGGGCGGCGATTATGATGTCATGTTGGGCGCGATGTGCTCGTAGACGGCCTTCTGACTGAGCACCGACTTGACCCCGATGCAGTATTGTGTAACGTTCGGCGAGAATTTGGCTCGTCGAACACGAGGTAGTATGCCAGGAGTAGTATTTTCCATCAAGGAGAATCGCGCATTGATGGGGAAAATGTACGGGTGGTGGCTAACCGCTCAACCAAGCGTGCTCATTGCCCATCCATCCAATGGTAACGCTACAACGAACAATCGCGCTGCAGGCGACTTATTTCCATGTTCTAAACTGCAACGCAACAGCAGGGCCGTTTCCGCGTCGAAAGGCGTCCCTGGAGTGTCATCCGTTCTTTTCTATCTCAATGGGACCGCTGAACTATAGTTGTGACTTGCCCGCGGTTGTTACAAAGACGGGAGACGGGATGATAAACTACGCAATCTCCACGAGGGAGCAGAACGCCCAAGCGCCAACAAAAGTTGATTTTGACATGACAAAAGGTTCACGACTGCGTCTTCTAAAATCATGTGAACCGCTAAGTCACCAGGGTAATACTTCAAAGAGAGATTTCTTGATAGTCCAAACTCCCTTTGAGTAGCTTCCCGGTGATATACTGGTGCAAATAAGGGACGCAAGTAGTGTCTAGCAGGTGCGCATCTGTGGGTCGGTCGGATCGCGCCCGTGCTCAGAGGCATAATCTTCATCCGAATACCTGATCAATCACCCGCCGCGTAGACTGGTAGATACCGCCTTCTCCATTACGATCCCCTGCATATCTAAGCTACTGCTCCTTAAAGCCTAGCCTTTACAGTCCAGCCGACTGCATTCAGTGTACATGCCCATTTGCTCCTTCACGTTAGTCACAAGCCGATCCTTTCGCACATCGCCGCATAACTAGGATACTAAGATGCACAGGAAAACGATGTGACTACTTGTGGTTTGGGAGCAAATGCGCCGGCTCCCCTCAACGATGTACTCGACTGCATGGCTGCACCCTCAGCCATCTCAACGGGGCTGCAATCGTCTTCGTCCTCAATGCAAACTCCAATGCCGAGCGCAAACATGAGAAAACTAACCCTAGTCGCGGTCGTACACCATCTGCTAGAAAAGAAAGTTGACCCTGCCAGCGCAACGGTCCGTACCGAGTAAGTACGCTAAAAGCGGGGTGTGGTAAGACCCGATTGGACAGTAATCTACTCCGCTCTGACAGTACCCGCTGTGGCGAGCCACTGATCGAGATTCCACCAGAAACTGATAAGCTCATGTCGTCCCTTCTCGCACAACTCCCGGCCAAACAATTTAGCTAGTGTAAGGACGGAAAACAATCGTAGTTCATAACAGAAGCAGTGTCAAGGTCATCTGCTTCTACAGCCAAATACTTTGTCTCTATGAGGATTGACACAAATAGCTTACTGCTCACCGCTGGCTCATGCTTGAGACACACATGCAGAGGTGGGTGGATTAGCGAATCATGAGGAGGTAGATCTGTTGAGCAAAACAAATGTGGAAAATCTGGTGGTGTAGTACAAATGTGGAAAAGCTGATGGTGTAGTGTTCATCTATCTTGTGACCATTTGCATTAGTGAAGTAACAGTAGCAGACGGGGTGCAGAGTGCGTAGTTTGCACTGGAAGCAGTATATTAGGCGTCTGATTCCAGTGTGTTGTGTTCCATCGCAACTTCAAACAACTATCTCGCTCAACATTATTGCTTCTAGCCTTCGTTCTCCTATCTTCATCAAATCCACATCCTCAAGTGCTTCATCTAGCCACAATGTCATCCACCAAGGTCGATCTTGAGGCGGGTATGACGCCCGTTGAGGTGCAGGCGATTGAAAAGACGCCAAAGGAGAACAAGCCTGCATCTTCTGCGGGTGCTTTCAAGCCAAAATACACACTCTACAAGCCTTCGGGACAAACTCTAGTGGGACAGTTAGTGAATCCCCTCTACAGTTGGGATCGCTGGACCTTCACGGCGTATCACGATGTCCACTTCGTGAAAGAGGAGTGGGTGAGAATCACAGTGGTTCACAACAATACCGAAGCGACAGCCAACGAAAAGAGGACATACGAACTGGGATCTAACGTCATCCACGGGTCTGAAAAGGTCAATAGTGTTAGCGCAAGCGCTGGCTTCTCTGGCTGGGGTTTCAGCTTGAACGTGGGCGCATCAAGTGAGAGTAAAACGTTCCAATCGAACGAGGTCTCGCGAAAAGAAACCCATGAGCGCAATATCACGGTTTCACCAAACAAGAGCGTTTACATCTATCAAAAGGTCTTTACGTTTCGACTCTCCATCTTCTTTGTGTGGAGAGACACTCAGCAGTTTGGTGGCAAAGAGTTGAAGTATTCGAGCAGTTCTCGATGGGAGGATGCTGTGTTTTTGGAATGCATTCAGACTATCAACTGTGATGAGTTCTGCTGGATCGACCACGAAATAGAGGCCGGTGAGACCACCGTTACCATCCCGAAACCTTCTCGACGAGAAGCCCCACCCTCTATCTGTCAGTGGAAGAATCTGAATGGAGGATCACAAGAAGCCCTATCTGCAAACTACCCTGGTGCTCCAAGAGGTTGAGGTTCTTGGAGATGCGATACTTCTCTCTTTCGTAGAGTATCCCCTTGTGTATGAGTCGTATGAAATGCGGGAGGCGTGGATGGCTCGTCGTCTCTAGGTCGCCTCTAGGTCGCCTCTGGGTCATCGCAGCAGGTGCTCCAAGATAAGTTCAGGGAAGGCGTATGACTTGGTACACTGGAATCACTCTCTTGGAAATTATCTCTGTAAGGGTAAATACCATTTACCACTCTATCTATGCACCTACGAGACAAATCTGTTGTTGTATCTGAATACAGATATGTAGCATAGAAATACATTCGCTTGTGGTCAGTATCATATACCTAGTGTATGTAGCGCGACGAGAAAGACTTTCTTCAATGAAACTTTGTATTACTTGAAATGACCGAAGCACGATGAAAAGATTGCGGCTGAGTATCTGTATCTCTACTCCACCGTACCCGCTTTCGTCATCGGCCCCGCACTCCTCGGCAACCGCATACACACTCGCGCTCAGATGGCCCTAACCAAAACAGCTTGCTGTGCCCGTCCGTCGATCTCTCTTCCACCTGTCTTGACTCCTCTTCTCGAAACAATGGCGCGTCATTCATCTCCCGGTCTCGCTGCACTTCTGCTGCAGCAGCCGTCACGTTCGTTTCGCTCAGGCAATCGACTAGTTCACGCGTTAGACTCTTTTGGGTAGCAGTCTCGGACACGATTTGGGCCATCTTCAGCGTTGCGCGGTCTTCAAGTGTGCTGGCTAGGAGAAGCGACTGATTTGCTTTTGCGCAGTGTGCGAGGGCTTGCGTGCGTATCTGCTGATATGTGAAATGCATCCAGTGCCGCGCTCGCTGAAGCTGGACGACGCAGTCGGGATATGGGTTAGATCTAGTGGGAGTGATTCATGAATCTTGTCCTCGTGCATCTCATTGGCGAGACATGTGACCACTTCAACCCGAAATGCAGGAACTCAGTCATCAACTCTCGATCAAGTAGATCTGCATCGGTTTCAACCCGCTCAGTCCAAGGTTGATACGATCGATTTTGCTGGATACATTCAGAAGAAACTTAGATCTATGAGAGGTCCTGCCAGACAAAGGAAGACAACAAACTTTTGGCACCTGGCTTCTCTATGACCAATTCTCTCTAGATCATCCAATTTAGCAACAAAGCCTATTTTTGGTGGAAAATGTACTCTCCAGATGCGCGATAGTACCTGCAAGGAGTGAGTCGTAGTCGAATCTCTCTTTGCTTGCGCGTTATCAATCTTGACGAAGACAGTACCGCTGTTGGGACCCGCCATCAATTTGGTGAAGTAGAGCTGCACACTCGGTGCTCTCGAAGCCCGCTGTCGGAAGAATTCTTGCACGTCTGTATGTATAGCATGAAGAATCGTCCACGGTCTCGGAAAAGTTCGGTGCTGGACTGTGGGCAAATCCTGATTAGGAGGGAGATTAGAGTCAAACCCCTCGAGCGGTGGACTGGAGATGCTCCAAAAGACGCAGACACTCATGCCAATATAAAAAAGCTAGATATCAGTCTTAAATAAGATGCTGAAGGACAAGACCGATCATTTCGTGAGGCGGCTCCTTTAGGATAGCGTTTACTTTGCCGTCAGCGGATTTCATGTAGTCGCAGCCATGTGAGAATGCATAGATGATCTCATGTATGCGAAGTATCTGGAGTCCATGGCCCGGATGCACTCCTTGGCCACTGTAGACCACCCATCGGGCATCTTGCCGGTCCGTCCAGTGCTTCATCTGACCATAGTCGTTTCGCGTATTGCGTCCGACGATGACCATTGTGGATTCCGGAAGATACTGATGGAGGCAAGAGTCGGGTCACCGGGCGATTGGGCAGTTCAGAAGTTCCATCTGACTGAAGGATTCGATTGGGGCGTGACCGCACGAGTTGAGGAGCGTAAAAAGGGTCCTCGGTTGTATAAGATTCTCCAAGTTCAGAGAAGGCACCAAGCAGTATGCACTGTTCCGTGCCACATATACTGGAAGCGTGAGAACCTGTTCGTCATCTAGGTATTTGGCTGGCACAGCGAGGTCGACCGCGATGTCTGGGCGATGGCCGTTTGCCATATCTGGCCTTGCCGTAAGTAGAAGCCATTTCTTCTTTGAAGTACTTTTCTTGCCCCATCTCTTTCGAATCGTGTCTTCGTGTCGCTCAAGTCTATAGCATAGCTCTTCGAAGCATGCAAATATACCGTTCGAATAATTGTCAGTCAGATGCTGCACTTCTTTATGAGAAGAGAAGAACTTGATAGCAGGGTAAAGATCTAAGAAGCGGTATAGATTTTTCCCACCGAGAGGGTTGTCCCCAAATCTGTCGAGAAATTCCTGGTTGTCCGATCGCTTACGACTGGGGACTATCTCTAGAACGTGAGGCCCATGTGGCCAGACGCTTGGCGTCATTTCCAGCGTCCAAAAGGCGGCTCGATATGCTGCCGATGGTCGTTTAGATTGAGAGAGACGAAAGGACGAGGCTCTGCTTCAAGAGCCTAGGTGAAAGAAACGCGTCGAGTCTAGCCCGATGGAGACAGTATTAGTGCGTCAATCACCAGTGACTTGGGGGCGCACACGGAGCTAGAAGGGAGCCAAAACGCAGTATCGATTGGTAAATTGGCTGTAACGCAGCTGGGTACGATATTGTACTCTCAAGGGCTTTGTTCAGCGTAGCAGTTGGGCGATGTCACGAGCGGAGAGTATGCGGCGTTTTCATGTCACGATATTGGAGACGGGCGAGCTATTATCATTTGCGTTCTCGTGATCGCGATACCCCGTATCCGGTTAAAATATCGCATGTTGAAATACTTCGGCTGCTGTTGTCACCGAAGACTAGTGCGAAGATTTCCGATCTATTTTGTGGTAATGAGTTGCGCAGCGTCATTCGGTTGTGGCTATCGAGCCACTTGTCGTGACATGCGTCTCTTTGGGCACAGATCTGGAGTCGCTTGGCAACTTCATTGGATCCGCTGCGACTATGGCTAACAGTGTGAGCTCCTGGCATCCTCGCTACTGTGATCATGACAGCAAAATCTCTTTTGGTCATATATGCCACCCGGTCGCATCTGCGGTATAGTTACTCGAGCGACAGAAAGGAGATATGGCCTCTATCAGACTCTTGTTGCGCTCATGTCATGATGGGGTAGCTGTCGCGTCTTCGTGTCAGCCGGCGACGGACATCTTGACTGACATGATTCCAAAGTAGATCAGATGGTGAAAGAGACAACGTGAAAGTTTCTGCGCGTGACGTCAAGTGGTGATATGAAAATATCGCGCCATAGTCGCACATTGCCCAACACCTCCCACCCATCTTCTACCGCACCGTTCGCATCGAACCCCGCCCACACTTCATCCTCCCACGTTCAACGCGCGACCTCTTTAGTCTAATATCGACGCGATGTGGGAATAGCGCGACACCGCTTCTGTGTATGGCCGCCGCGATAGAGCTCCCGACCCGCAACGGAACGCAACCTCGGAGACAGCAAGGAGGACAGATAGTGGCGGAGAGTGTAAGTAAAAGTATACATTGTGCTTTTAAGTGACTGGCAAAACGCCATGAGGGAGCGCGATACCCCTCAAGCAGCCTGCGGTGGCTGCGTACGAACGCGCAACGAACTTATATGCGCCAGGGTCACTTGTCTCCTCTCTCGACCAGTTTTGCTGACATTGTATTCGCAGACGACCTTTCCAAGTAATGCGAACTACAGTTGCTCAGTGTACGAGTAGAGATGGAGCCCGGTGTCTTCAAGTCTATTGGTCCGGTGAAGGGCCTGAAGGTATCAATAGCCAACTGCCTGCCGCCATCTGGACCGTACTTTGACGAGTATACCCTCGGAAACCATTTCGAGGAAGCCATGTTCGACGTGCACGCCAACGGCGAGATCTGCGTGTGTATTGTTTGTTGGGGGGCCAAGCATGAAGATACCCACAAGAGGTCTAGGAAGAACTGTCGGGTTTGCAAGACGAATGACCATCTGGGGCAGACTTGTGGCCAAATATACGTGACAATGGCCCGGTGGAGGGCTCGGGGCTACAATGTGGTCAAGACAATGCGCGTACGTCCCAACGTCAAGGAGTTGGTGTACCTCGTCGCAGTTGGAGTCGTGCACAGCTTCAAAAAGCTTACGGACGTCATCGTTCTGAACGACAATCATCCGCTCGTGCGAGAGCTTTACCGAACGACCTCGATGCCGCAATATTCGCCGGGAAAAATCGTCTGGCCCAAGCCGAAAAGGCTTCAGGGGCAGTCAAGGTTAGGTGTTCTGAAGCAGCATGTCAGTGCAGCTGCGGAAGGTGTTGCACCTTCAGATCTGGACTCCACCCACAGCGTACACCCCGCTCGCGATCCCCGCCTTATGGCTCGACGCGTGGTGGTCGAAGTGGAGGAGGTACTTCGTGGTGACATCGTTTCCATCACCAATCAACCAGTCACACATGAGCCTGCAGATAGCGTCGGAGAAGTGAGCACCTCTGTTCAAGAGTCTCCTCATCAGTCTGAGCGAATCCGCTTTCTAGAAGCCGAGAATAGGCGCCTAGCCGGAGCACTTGAGCGAGCTCTCGCGGAGCTGGTTGCGAAAGACGATTGGATTGCTGAGTTGACGGGTGACGGCGTTTCAACAGGCACAAAGAGGCCCAGGATCTAGGAAGTGGACGCTTGCGGCGATGGATGGTAGGTATGAGTCGAATCTAAGGCGATGTGTCGTCACTTTCGCGAGTTAGATAGCTAAAGCATTGATACTCGCGACAACAGTTTTGGAGCGGATTCAAACATATACTATAGCACTACTAGACACTCGTGATACATGCACAGTGACTAAGTTATACAAGCGTGAAACCTCTGGTAGAACTTCTCGTACTCTGAAACGATTGTCTCCGCGTGGCAATAATTAATACAAGAAAAAAGGAATTGACTTGTACAGCGCGATAAAGACGCGAAGCTACTTCACGGCTTAAAGATATACTGGAGAGGCGTAAGTCCGCGCACGTGAGAATGACATGCAAAAGTCTGCAGTGCAGGCAGCTGCGCAAAAAAGAAAAGAGAAAGAACAAAAAGAAGAGATCGTGCTCTGATAGATGCTCGCCCAATGCGTGACAGTCGTTAATGGTCATCCGCCCAGCTACGGATGCGTTGGAGCAAGCTGGTAAAGCCCAGATGGACCAGTCCCAGAAGGAGTTACATGTCCGGTGTCACACGATGGGAAACTGCAGCATTATAAGCGATATGACGTAGGTGTACCGTGAATAGCAAATATTGAGGCCTTTGGTAGATCAGGCGACTGTCGAAATATGCGGGCGAATCCACGCTCCCTTTGCACACTCGATGCGCAAACCGAACCATGATCGAGCTGCAGTTGTCACCAGGCAACAGCCACCAACTCTTTCGGATGCTATGTAGTCGCTGTCATCGCTATGAAGTCCCTTGCAGACATAAGCGCAAGGACTCTCTTATCGTGTGTGGTTGTGGAGATGTGTTGCGATGCACGACCAGGCGAGTGTGTGAAAAGAGTGATGAAGACGCGTCGTCAGAAGATCGGGGATGGAGGTTTGCCGCTAGATTACCGGTACTCATCCTACCTCCACTTTAGCAATCCTCCGAGCACATCGGCCTGCCTCAGAATATCACACTCCCACCGCGTTCAGGAACATCAGCACCGAGCCTTCACAGAGGGCAACATACATAGCTCAGAGGTCTACATCGCGGTAAATTGCTGTCAATGCGCGTTCATATACATGTGTAGACTCCAGGACGCCTTTTTATTTTCCTTCCTCACATTGCCATACTCCCACACCATCCGAGCAAAGGACTCGTTACCTGCTCTCTAAAGAGCCAGACGAAATTGATTTAGAGGTCTACATTGCTTTGGCATTTTGCAAACTTTCATTCCTATACACGTGTAGTCTCCAAAGACTGGATAAATTTGTCTTCCTATACATACATGCACATCCTTCCAGGTCCATCATCAGCCCATTCGTACGCAGTATCCAAAGAACAAGGCCACTTTCTGACGATCTATTATGCGCCACCAGTACTAGCAGTTTGAGCGCGCAGCTACTCAAGCTCCGACCTGAGCTTCCGAATCTCACGATCTTTCACGACTGCCTGCATTCTCAAGTTCAGATTCTCGACTTCCTGCTCCTGAAGCTTCTTTTCGATGTCTTCCGGGTCAGTCGGGATCTCGCAGCTGTTGGGGGTGTCGGGCTGCGGAAGTGTCAATTGGGCAGGCGCGCCATGGGAGACGCGACCCTGGAGACGCGGGTCGAGGCGGTTGTCCACGGCTGTCCTCGACATACTGTATGGCATCGGATGCGGGAGCGGTTGCTGCGGAGGGGCGTTCGCTACAAGCGTTGGCCCACTTCGAGATGGAATGGACGTCGAACGATGCATTGGGTCTGCCTCAAAGATCTTCCGCATCATTGCCTTCGACCTTGGCTTGTCTTTGTAGAAGTCTTGCACAATAGGATGCATCGAGTTTATGAGGACAGTGTTGTTTGGACCACGTGCTTGGAATAAGACACCGATACGACTGAGAACAGCAAGCTCTTGTTTGTCGGGACGAATTTGTCGATCTCGAACAGTCCCTGGACCGCATGGGATTTCCTGCTGGCGATACCAATCTCTGTTACAGTAGAACAGGGAACAGTTCTAGCACCTATGTCAGCATTGCTACTAAAAGATACGCTGAGCTTTGGTACAGCAAATTGGGGACAACTCTTACCTCGTCCGGGTGGCGGCGGGTTCTGCAGACCTTGCATACCTTCCCGCAAGACGTGGTCGAATAGCCTGCGGCGGGGTGGCAGGTCCAACAAATCATGCAGGGTTTGTACTTGAAAAAGATCGCGCCAAAGATGGGAAGGAGAGCGTTCTGGTCGTAGTATGGTCCCGCGGGTGGTAGGTATCGCTCAATCGGGTACGTGAGGCCAGCAGGCAGTCTTATTGACGAGGGCGAAGAAGGCGTAACAGCAATGTCGCCAGGAAAAGACGGGAGCGATTGCAAGAATCTGTCCGCAGCGTCGGATCTCGGGGATTCGCTCTTGATGCCGACTGGCTGGACATTGGCACCAGTCGGTTCCCAGCGCTCAACCGCTTCAGAGTCGGGGTCAGGCGATTCTGCTATGGGTCAGCAGAGTGTGCAATTGCTTCTCGGGGCTCTTACCTTCGAATTTCATAAGCTTCCGGCGCCCATCGTGTATTGCCTGCTCGGGCGTTGCAGACTGTCTCGACTGACTCGCCTCGCCTCCCTCGAGCGCAAGAGCATCGGGCGTGGGTGTCGGGAGAGGCGGCTTCGGGGCGTACAAGGCTTGCATCAGGTACAGATTGGCCATCGCGATGTTTCGGGGTGGGTCAAGTCTGTGGGCATGGGTATCTCGAGTGTTTGGGTGTTTGTTCACAACAACGAGTCTTGGCTTGGCGTGTTGCTCTCACCTACGTACCCGAACAAGTAGGCACGACTGTGACCCGGGATCACGTGGCTGTGACATCATCTTACTCATTCTCTTACTACAGACCGTCACAACTTCTCATTTAACGCCAGGTCAACTAGGTTTAAAGCTAATGGATTCACGGTGAGTGTGCCGTATTGAACAAGATAGTCATAGCCTTCAGAGAAGACGAAGGCTCAACAGAAACGGTGATACGTGATAATGATCCCAGATCACAGAAATGACCTTAACCGCAACGAACGTAAGACGACCTATAAGCAGTGAAAGCGTAGTGAGAGTCTGTATGTAGGACTATTACGTATCGTGAAGGTGTCTTGTACTATGCCAGATGAGCCAAAGATACCAACATCTGGTGGTAGAAACTGCGTGGGCGAGCGAGCTCTGAGACTTTTGAGCGATATTACAGCAAGAAGGACTACGGGGTTACGTTAACACATGCAGTTTACGACGATAGTGAGGCGGGGAGATACAACGTACTAATGGGAGGATGTTGGTGGGCGATGGATGCCTTGGAGTACAATACAGGATGCGAAGTCGTTCACGCAAGGGCTTCTTTGTTTGGTCCGCGGCGGCATCCCCACGCACTTATAGAAAAAACACCTATAGCCACAGCTCACCGGATGGAGGCTTGCGACGTCTAGATTCCGACCATGGAGGGCTTGGTTTCGAATCTGCCATAACCCCAGTCGGCCGTGCAGTCCTCGTCAGCTCGTATGGTAAGCTGGTGCTTTGCGCGTGGAGTCAGATCAAGTCAACATAGGTAGCGAGAGGAAAGGTGGGAGAGGGAAGCAGGGCTGAAACATACAGAGAAGTGCGCTAGCAGACGCTAACGCAGGCGCTCACTTAGCAAGCACGTGAGTATAGTACTCTATCACCAACGCGTCTCCGCCTTCGCAGCGCCTTTCCTGGCGTAGTTGCGATACCCACGTTCATACAGGTACCGCAATCATCTTGGAAGAAGCCATCGCGTCGGGATGGAGCCGAATCGTGTTGATACCGATAGGATGGAGGACGATGGAGAAGAGACTGCTGCCAATGTAAGTCTTTCACTGACACATCTTCATATCAAAACAACAGAGCTGACCAAAAGTTAGCAGCGATACACCCAAGCCACCGTCTCTGGTCATACGAGCCTCCAAAATCCCGAACGCACCATTAGTCTCACATTTCGTCCCGCACATCAAGAGGATCATGCGTATCAGGTGAACGACTGGTTAGATTCACTCGGCAGCGCCAGCAATGGTCCATACTCCATGGCTCCGGCTTTCCCTGTTCCACACAGCCGCGCTCCACCGTCCATGTTCCGATCCACAGCGCCCGCAGTTGGATCCGACCGCATCATCAAGGAGGAGCATGAGCGTATTCTAGAGCAGAACGCGAAGTTGAAGCAGGAGCTAGAGTTGGCGAGGGAGGCACGGGATAAGGCGAGTAAAGCATGTCGCGATCTTGCCACCTGGACTTTGTGGGAGCGGGACAGGTTGATGCGCGAGTTGGGAGAGGCCATAGAGATTCATCGCGCTTTCATTGAGGACGAGGTCGACAAGCTTATCGCCGAAGAGACAGGCTGTCTGCCTATAGATCATTAAGAAGATGGCGATTAAACGCCATTCTGGTCTACCGCGGTCAGCATTAGCGAAGTACCTATGTAGTATTTTACTGTCATGCGGCTGCCAGATGGCCTTCGATAGATTGTTTCTGTCCCCAAGGATATGCCGCGATAGCACGCAGACTACAACTCACCAATTCACCGGCTCTTGCTGGCATGAAAAGTGATGTAAAAGGCCTCTTGCTACTTCCCGATTATATTTCACGGTGAGATTGGTTCACTTTCACCGCCCCGTAGCTCCGCTATACAAGGGACCACGTTGGCGACCTGACACCGCACATGTCCTTGACGCCATTTCCTTCCGACACAAACGCGACATCGCAGAGCTATTCATGAATCGATTGTTTGCGATGCCACGAGCTATGCGAACAGCTACCGGAGCAGAGCCTGTCCCACGACAGCAGCCAGACACTGAGTACGAGGCTCCCCACGAATAAGAGAAGCCAGAAACGGTGGCACAAACGAATGAACATCCCGCAGACGAGAGTGAAGACAGTGACGAGCCGGTGGCAGCAGCGGAAGATGCTAGAGGTAACGCCCACACGCTGCGAATTCTCTCCGGAGACGGCGACCTCTGCGCGACATGGACTACTGGTATCAACAGCCTCTGGAGGTGCGCCGTCGATGAGGCCGCACTTCTAGCCGCGCAAATAAAAAACGCCGCACTAGATGCTGTCTAGAAGGTCTCGCAGCTTGGATTCATTGGTACTGCAAATGCCATTGGCTATTAGATCGATTTGCATCCTTGGGGGTTTGCACTGATCGTGGTGCCTTCCGTTGCGGTTGCGGCCACAACGATAGCGCTCTTGACCATAGGCTTTGGGCCAGGTGGAACCGTTGTAGGTATGTAACGTCAGGGAATGCGTCGTGAACGGGAGGTACTGACGTCTCATAGGCAGTACAGCAGCTGCCATCCAAGCGAGTAAGCGTTGCCGCAGGTTCGGCCTTCGCAACATGCACCAGCCCCATGATGGGCGGTTATGGCTCTTTGATCATCTTCGATCGTCTTTGGAGGCGTTCGGCTTGTGTCAACAGCTTTCATGATAGGTTTCGCGGCGGCTTGGAAGTCCTGGAAGGGCCAATCGCAGCGTGCACTTGCACCCCTAGGGACCAACTATACCGAAGTCTTCAACCGATGTTGCGAGGCAAGCCGCATCCGACGCTGCCTTCTGGACCATGGTCGCCGCAGCCTACGCGGTATACAGGATGAAGAGTTGGTACCGAGGACACGCTAAGAGGAGCTCGTCAGAAAGCGAGCTGGAAGATGAGTGAGTCTACAGATGCATTGAATCGTCGTGGCGGACAAGCTGTCGAGGGAGAAGTAGGAATGATGACAAAAGAAACGATAGTCATAGATCCAGCGAGTTTGGTGTAGAAAGGGTAGATAGCAACGTAATCCACCCTGCTAGCCCGACTCTGTTTAATTTTGCATGAACCCTTGACAAATGTTATTTTGTTAGAAGTCACGTCGCGCAAAAGTTTTCTTGTGCTGCACTAGCTACAGCACAAAGGTTGTCAACGGAACGCCGCATCTCTCATGTTCTGAGAATACACTTCCTCATTCCCACCATGGGTAGCTGGCGCCTTGATACACGAGGGCAATTCTTCCTCGTCTCTGTCATGTGCGGTGCGTATGATATAACCTGAAGTTGGTATCTCGCGAGGACAGAGCGCCCCGTTGTTGATAGTAATTGCTGAAGCGGGCACTCATAGATCGAGAAATCGAGGGAAGGGGGATTCGGAGGTCGTCAAGAGTTCAAGAGTCGTCCGGGCCGAAATGAGACGACCCACTAGCGCTGACTAACGATGATGCAGGCCAAGAACCGCGGCGTGGCAAGCATCACCTCCTTCCTCGCCAGCGACAGACGAGTCCATCATGCCACCAGATCGATCACGCACCGCCAACTCCCAAGGCAGACAGAAGTCATGCTCAGAATGCGCAAAGGCAAAACGGAAATGTGGTCTCGAGCAGCCTCACTGCGCACGATGCGCCAGGCAGCACTTATCATGCGTCTACCCTCCGCAGCCTCGGTCGCAGGCCCCAATTCCACAGGCCAGCACATCTGCGACTCCTCCTTACTTGAGCCCATCCAATGCGCCAATGGAGATGCTAGAAATAGATGATGGCGGTCTTGCTTTCGACTTCGACCTGCCTGCAATGCCAGCCGACTCCACCGCAGACATCTTAGACTTTGACTTTTGTACCGCGACAAGTTCTCTCGACGCGCTTACAGACATGCTGAACACGCCAGCTCCTCAGGAAAATCAAGGGACCTTACAAAAGTCTTTTATCCCCTTGAAACAGCCCTTCTCATCGAGACACCTGTCGCCTTTCGCAAAGTCTAGAGTGGAATACTCAATTGAGCTCGTCAAACTCGCGCCAAAGATGATGGTCGAGCAATGTTGCACACCATGGGCTCATCCTTTGCTTTACGAAGACCATATGCCAAGATCACTACAAGATGCACACGCTGCATGTGCCCTTTACATTACGATGAACGATAACAATGCTGAGCACGTCGCACGGTTCATCACGAGTCGCGCAGAAGAACTCATAACCACTGCTATACCAACTACACCCATTGAGATACTAGCTCGTACACAGGCTCTGATGTTGTACGAGATCATGCTCATCTTTGGGGGCGACATACGACTATACGCCCGAGCCGACGCCCTGATACCGCATCTTGAAGATGTCGGCGTCGTCCTTCTACCCATCGCAGCAGAAGATCCCGAGCTTCCAGCAACTCTTCCACTCTATCCCAGTACAGCCGCTCGCTCAGCCTGGAAATCGTACATCTTCCGCGAGTCAGCCAGACGCACGGCCTTGGTAGCTTTTCACATTACCGTCATATACACTCTGTTGAGCGGGCAGATGAGATCTTGCGCTAAAGAGCTTTCTTTGAAGAACCGCGTCACGCTTTCTGCGCACTTGTGGAAAGCATCGAGCGCTTTCGACTTTGCCATGGCGTGGAATAGCAAGAGTCACTTCGTCATCAAGGAGCTGGATTTCACGGATGTCTTGAGGGGCGCGCAGCCTGATGACCTTGATGCATTTGCTAATATGATGCTCATTGGACTTCAAGGCATCGACGATATACGGGGCTGGTATCATACACGAGGCGGGGCTCTCACGTAGCCTTCAATCAACGCCAGCGCGCCCAAACTAACTCGTCTCACTATCGTCTCAAGACCGCTGAAGAGGCCACTCGCTCCAGTCTCCCTATATCTAACATCTCTGGATGAGCAAGGCAACTAGTTATCGTCATCACCCAGGCCCTGCATAGTCGCACCCGGTACCGGTACCTTATCAGAGTCAGCGAAGCCCAACAAAAGCACAGTATCAAACGGCTTACCTCAGGAAATGACCACCACCTATCAACATTTTCAATGAACTCCTTTCCCTTCTGCTTGCCGTATACAATGATCCAAGCGCGCTCAGAATTCGAAAGCGGATGATGGCGCCAAGGACAGCGGACTCCCATCTCACAGCGTTTCTTCGTAAGGTATGTGGTGAAGCAAAGTCCCAGATCATGGCGCTGCTCGGAGCCGTACATTCCTGGTGCGACCTTCCCGTTGGCGCCGTTGACGAAGCGCTGAGGTTTGGGCTTGCTGGCGTACGTGGTGAAGATACGGTAGTCGTAGCCGCGGAGGTCGTGGGCTGTCGGTGGGAACTCCTCTGTGTCAGCATCCTGGAGGTGCGGCAGGCCTAGCTTGGGCTCTTTGGCTGACTTTGCTGTACTGGGCGTTTGGCTGGATTTGCGGTGCGTTGACTGAACTGGTGCATGCTGGGCGGTCGGAATATGCGCTTCTGAACCTTGATGATGGCGGTGAGGCCCCTCGTGCGTCAGTTGTTCAGGCTGCGGAATCTTGCGCCCTGTGCTCATTCTCACTGCGGGAGCTATATCGTCCGTCTCCAGTGCGTCGTCGTCCCAGTCCACTTCGTCCTCGACGAAGTAGCCTGAACGCGAAGGCCCCTCACTAGACTGATCCCGATGATGTTGCTGTGCATCTTGATCTTGGCCGTACACATGCTGGATATGAGCGTCCAGTCGACTCGCATCTCTCATGCGACCGGTTCGGAAGGCGTAATCGGCAATGTGTCCATCAACAGCATCCTGCTTGGGCGACCGATACCTATCGTCATCCCGGTCACCGTATCGACCGGCCATACCCTTCGACTCATTGGCAGCAACCCCAACATCCGTCTTGATCTGGCCAACTCGAACCTTGCAAGCACGGGCAATATGTCCTCGTTCTCCACATCGAAAGCAACCCTTCTTGTCGGTGAAGGCGGCTTTACAATCAGCAACTCTATGGCCTTGACAATCTTAGCAAGGAGGAGTTGAGAGTCTGCAGTTACCACAAACCTTTCTTGTTACAAGCAAAGCACCGTTGGTACTCTGCCTTCTCTGGCCTCCGATCGTCTCGCTGCTGGTCCACCTCCACGGGCTCACGACGCAGCGGTGAGCGTTCTCGATACCGGGCTCGCTCACCACGGCGACCTTTCTCATCCCAGATATCCTGATGACGGGCAGGCGAACGACTGCGATCACAATCTCGTTGTCTTACTCGCAGTTCTTCTTCGGCCCGGGCGTAATCACGCTTTCGTACAACTAGCTGTGGACGGCGCCGACCTTGCATTCTCTCACCATCCACATCATCGGAACTTCGACCCCGAATTTCGCTTGCTCTGGGCGGGGGCTCGGACGGAGGCGGCGGAGGGTTGTTTGGACCATAGGGACCTGGTTGTACTGCGCAGTCTCGCATGTTGGGTTGCCGCGACATATGCGGGCAAAGTCAATGTAGATGGTACGTTAGCCAAGATCAAATGCGAGGTATCAAGCTGGTGTATTGTGGACCAAACGGCGAGCTCTGTTGCGTGGACGCAGTAAGTCTACGTGACCGTGTATTAGCGCACGGGCCACGAGCGTACTCACGCAGCGTAGTAACGAGGGTCTCTTATTACGTTGCGACGTCGATCTATTTAGGCTACAGGTGCTGTCACATGCAATTCGTCCTTCGATGCTGGTGTGCAAGTTAGGCGTTGGGAAAGTACCAGAACTACTTCGATGTCAAACAAAGTACAAGACCGATGAACCCGAAGACCTATAATCCCATTTCCGGATAGTCAATTTGTACAAGAACACACTGTAAATTGCGAGTCTGTGGATATGGAAATAGTATCATTGCATTACTTAACGGAAGGGGATATCTGAAAAGCATTTCGCAGAAAGTCGTAAATCGTGATAGAGGTAGACGAACAGCCAACATACAAACACCGAACTCTTTAAAAACATTACTGCCTGTGTACGTCCAAGAAACACCAAAGTGTGACGCATTCGTCAATTACCGTGGCCCATACGCCGGGTATGGAGGATTGGCATACTGCTGTTGCCCAGGCGCCCGCGCATAGTCCTGCGGGTTGTATGCATATCCCTGATGACCACTTTGGCCACTTGGCTGCCTCTGGTGACCATTGTGCTCTTCTTTTGTTTCTTCCATCGTTGGCAGCTCAGCTGCGAAGGCCTTTTGCTCTAGCCCTGGCGATCGCATACCTTCTGAAGGCGCATACGAACTGGGACGTGAGCTGGCGGTGCTGTGCGATGCGGTCGACCAGCGTGCATCTTGTGGCTGTGGGGAGTATTGCGATGGCTCAGAGGCAGAAGATGCGCGGTTGTCGTGAGGGGAGAGGTGGGATGGGGACGGCTGAGGGTGGTAGAAGTCGCCTGGTAGTTCCATTACGACGTCGTTCGTACCTAGGAGCTGCTTTGGCGGCACAGGAGGACCATGCTGCTGGGCGGGCTGCGCCCATTGTTGGCTTTGCCTGTGCGGTGACATGGGCATCTGGTAGGGTTGGGTTGGGGATGGCTGCGGAGGCGTGTGGCCGTAAGTAAAGCGATCAGCTGGATTGACCGTCTTCATGCGCCCATTCTCCATCATCGCTTGGAGCGCGCCCGAGTCGAGCAACTCCGCCTTCTTGACTAATCGCTCGATCATGATCGTGCAAGCTGCCTTCATTTCCTTCTTGACAAAGTTCATCATGGCGACGTTGCATTTGATCTCTACATCCTGTCGAATGTAGAGTCCCTCTGGTGGCGCGCCCGAACCCAGCTCTTTCGGCTCAGGTGGCTCGCCAATCTGGTTGCCGCCAATATGCCACTTCTGGCGCAGGTCGACGTTCGCAGGCGCATACGTGTGTGTCTGAAGCCCGAACGGCAGGTCGTGGAAGACACCGCGGAACTTGATTGCGCCGCTGCCCATCTTGCCAATGCCTGGTATGTATTGTATGCGCTGCGATATTTCGTACCATGTTGAGTAATATTCGTCTGCGGGGGCGTCGCGCGGTGCTTTGATGGGCTCGTGGCCGGTGACGAGGGGGTTCAGCTCGATGATCTCGCCGTGGCTGTGGAGGAAGTCGATTGCGAGCTGGCGCGGTATAAAACTAGGTATTGGCGTGATTTGCACATACTGCGTCTTCTTGCGCATCATATTCATGGCGGGCGATCAGTGTCGAGTAGGGCCGATGTAAGTGTGAGGATTCTGGGTCAATTGCTTGAGGGTACGATCTGAGAGCAGAAGCTGCGCCACGACGGCAAAGGTGGGAAGTAATAAGGACGTTGCTGACGGTACCCCTGCTTGTGTAGGTAGGTTTGCAGGCGCTGAGCCGTGGCCGGGTTGTCAGCCAAAGATCGCCGTGACGAAACGCGTCATGCACGTGCATGTGATGTCAGAAACACCCAAGATGCGCGAGTAATCTTCTTTTTCTTCTACCCTGCTGCAACTGATGCGATCAATGACTTGCGAGCGCTGTTTGCTTGACAATGCGGTCTGCTTTCGATCGCTTTCATCATGGCGGCCCTGTAGGGCGGTTGGCGCCCGCTGTGGATCAGCCTAATTATAGGCTTGCAGCTTGGTCGCCGGCAACTATCAGCTCCATGCAGGTGCTGGTGGGGGCAGGAAATCTGAACTTCATCAGCTTCTCACCGTCGCAAGCCATACATGGCTTCGAATCACCAAGCCGAAGCTCGACACATGCCGCGACGCCAGTGCTGATGTCCTTGGTGCCTTTCTTTGCTTTTGCCTAACGCCGGAATCGTCACCTTCCGAAGACGTAGCGTGACTGCGCCAAGTTGTGCTCCTGGGCGGACGCGACGACTGGCATCCAAGCGGCTGAGCCTAGGACAAATGATCCTACTGTCGTTCCTCTAGTCCGATGCCACGTTCACGGCGGCGATGGACCCTTGGGAGTTGAGATGGGAGAGATTGAGATCCTCGACGAGACGGCATAATCATGTTTCGGAAACAACAAGACCTGAGGCATCAAATCTCCTCGACCCCGCGGAGCCCCTGGACGCCGGCAAGTATGGGAGTGTAGCCAAGGGTTCAAGAGTCGCGGGCTGTCGTTCTCGTGAAAGCGCAGATGGCTCGCATTGATAAAGAGTCAAGAGTGTACTTTCTTTTGACGATCTTGGTAGCCTGTTCGGTCGTACTTGTAGCAGCTAAGAAAAGATCCCTTATTGACATGCAACACAGGGTCGATGGAAGCAGGACGATGCATGAACGCTACTGCTACTGTGCTGTCTGTAAACCAAGGGAGCGTGTTCTAGTGGCATTCGAGACGTGCTGGAGTATCCACAGGAACGATCTGGCTGCAAAAATGAAAACAGAAACAATGCAGATGCGTGAGAACGAAGATGAAGAGCGGAGGGTGGGGAAACATCTGGGAGGAAATCGCAGAGTTTTGTCCCTGCCTCTGTCGAGACCCTGACGCTTGTTTGGCTCGATGGGCAGGAGCTATCGCGACCTCGACCGTGGTTCGTGCTATGCGGCTCCTAACGGCAACGGCACAACGCTCTGCCAAAGAATGGCTACCAAACTTCAGTCTTGCGGGTACGCTCGCATGTCGGCTGTGAGTCAAAGGCGAGTATACATCCCATCAGCTGCGCACCTGCGTTGCTCAACCACTCATCTAAAACATGAACACACCAACTTCCAACTCAAGCACCTTCCGTGAAATAGGCCGAGGCTGCTGCGGCAGCATCTGGACACTCGCAGACGCCAACTGGGTGATCAAACGCGAACTCATGCATACGAACCGCTCCGTCTTCAACGACCAAATTATGCACCGACGAGTCATCGCAGCAGACACCACACACACGTTGCCTGTGCGAATACCGCAGTCTTATGAGGTCCTGGAGGCTGATGATGCATGGTGGGATAGTAATCTCTCTCGCTTTCCTCCGGGCGAAGAGGTGAGCAGAAGCTATAGGCAGGAGAGAGTACCTGCTGTAGGATTACCCAATCGCGAGATGCTTGTTGACAAGTACTGCCGTGAGTCGTTGAGGGATGCCACAAGGAAGAGTAAGAGGGGTGAAGATTGCCTTATCAGGCTGTACACAGGGAAGCGGAGACCAAAAGGACGCCCGCCAGGAATGTTCTTCAATCTGCGCAACTACGGTCTTTGCGTTGACCAAATGGAAGAGCTAGGTCTGGATCCTGTGTCTATCGCGAAGGCTCCCGCTGAGGCGCTCGCGCACTGCTATTGGAAAGCCGAAGTCGATGCGAACGATGTTGAGTTTGTGCTTGCGCCAGCTACCGCTACTGTTACAGTCGACTCGTCAATTCCCATCTTCAGACTGCTGGACCAAGGCCTCGTCATATGGATGTTGGACTACGACTGTGTACGTCACATGACTCAAGACGCTGACGGAATTGCCCAAGCAGTCCACGCATTCTGGCGCAACGACCCGTACTTTCCGCGACCCTTCGCGTACGGCCATACGAGTGTTGAAACTGAACTGTGGCAAGCGTTTAAGGCGCATTTCCTGGGCGTGAGCAGGCGAATGTTGATAGATAAAGAGAGAAGTGTAGGTGAGAAGATATTGTACCTCCCGCAGGAATGGGTGATGCAAGTCGAAGCTGAAGGAAGTCGGCGTGCAGCAAGGCAAGAAGAGCGACGTGAGTGAATGGAAGGGGCGACATTGTGCTCCGTGATTCTGCAAAGCCAAAATAAGAGGTGGAAAAAAATGAGCAACGACCTGAGTCTCGAACTCGGCTGTTTGATTGCGGAGGGCCCAATGAAGGGAAGAAACGGGAGGGGGCCCGATGAAGGGGAGACGGCGGGGGACCAAATTGCTCTTCGGCCGCAGTCGCGTTTGATGATTAATTCGATAATCGGGTATCACATGTACTGCATGAGATGTCGGTGTGAAAATGGAAGCTAGAAGGTGGAGGAAGCAATATAGAGATAATGCTAACGTGCACTCCGGTGATTGAGCCAGCAACTAGGAAGGACGCCACTCTGAACATCCTCGCTTCCGTAAAAATCCAGATCAGTCGTTCATTCGTTCGTTCATGGCCTGTATTGTTGCTCATCGAACGTAAACGCCCTCCCGATCCATATCACTGCCCTGACACAACAATATTCAACACCCTCTTTTCCTTGACTCGCCTAACCTCCACCCACCCATCCTCCTCCAACCGTACAATCTTCCCATCAATACATATCCTCCTCCACCTTTCGTCCTCTTCCTTACCCTCAAACTTAATCCTCAACCCATCGATACTCTCGTATCTAACGTCCTCATCGTCAACATGTTTACCCCCATCATACGCTTTGTTCATGATACCCATGACCTCATCGCCACTCCGCGGGGTGAAATGAACAAGATGCAAACTACCATCTAGGGGTTTGGTAGCAGGGGAGATGCAAAAAGGTTTCTCGAGGTGCGAGACCATGCTTGCAAGGACGTACATGTGCTCTTCTTCCGGTAGACTAGTCCACTGATCTTCTTCTCTCAAGACGGAAATTTTGCCTTTGTAGGGATGCGGTGGTGACCCATCAGCTGGGTATAAAGCTTCTTTCGCGGCCATCTTGAAGCGTTCGACGCCGTGCTTGCGGTACTCGGTTGTGTCGCTGTCGCCGACGAGGGAGGCGTGCATGCCCCAGGATGCTACGACCGCACCATGTAAGATTCCATTACCCTGCGAATCTTTTGGTAATGCCTGCTCTTGTCGTGCTTCGTCGACGAGGAGGCGTGCGCCAGGGGAGAACGTCGCTGTGAAAATGGGTAGTGGTTTTGCTTCCCATGATGTCAGAGCGGGGAGGCCCCATGTGTCGTTCCCTCCGGCGTTGATGGAGTGATAAAGCGCGTTTGCTGTTCCTAGAGGGAGGATGACGACTTGTGGGGGGATATATGTTTGTGAATTTGGTGTTTCGGACGAAAGACCGTTCACAAGGTCTACGATGCCGCCGTCTCCTGAGAGGAGAATGATGCGGATAGGTTTTCCCTCATTGGCGGCTGGAAAGAGGATGTTGTCTGTGATCTCCAAGATGCTAGTTGGCGATTCCGTGGTATGTATTCTCGTCTCTTTTGACCCCTTCTCCCCATATATGCTTTCAAGGATCGGACGGACCGCGCTTGAGAAGAAGTCATCTGCGAGTCCATGACCGGAGCCACTAGAGATGATAACATGGGTTTCGCGCTGTTCTGGTAGGAAGAATGGGAGTTGTTGATTGCGAGGTCGTGTTGATACGTTGATCAAGAAAGGTGGTCTCGTGAGATCTTTGTGCTCTTGCAATGTAACAACAGCCTCTGACTCGCCGTCGACGCTTTGAGTCGTGAATACGATCTTGCGATGCTGATCGTCCCCGCCAGATCTGTCCATGGTGGATGCCTTGACCTGGTGCGATGAATGATTCGGGCGGACTTTTTGGTGTAGTGCGATCGCGAACGAGTAAGATGATGATCAATGTAACTATTGCCAGAAGTTGATCCGAGGGACAAACATCCAGATCTCACGGTATGCAATGTCACCCACTTCATGGTGTGGAGATAGGCGTGATAGGCTCGCTGCCCAATCGCGCAATCCCACCTGCCCCATTTTTCGTTACGGTAGACGCTAGTCCGCGTGCGTCATCTTCAATAACGGCCTCGTCGTGAGACGAAAAGCACGCATCAATCTGAAACTTTTCTGCCCAAACAGATCTTGATGATAGGGGCTAGACATTCCTTCCCGTCGTTGTTAAGATCGCAAGGAATTTCTCCGTCGTATTCACAGTTGTTATATTTGGGCAGCGGCGTCAGCAAGGGTTACGTCATCACTTGGCGATACGAAGCAGCCGCCCGGGCTGGAGGAACTCAGCCGCGCCTGTCAGCTACACCAACAAATTGACATTGCGGCGCAGCCAGCCGACGTCGCATTCTACGCCTGTCGGGATACCATCAGGCCCATCGCCTCCCGCTCTTGGAGACACGACTGTCCGCCTCAGCGACAGCAAACCCATCGGATCCGCGCAATCGCGCCCACCATAAGCAAACCGCACATGCGACCCTAATCCCTCCCCACAACAACCCACACGACCACCGCAACCATGAACGGCTGGCTAGTCTTCATCATAATCCTGCTCCTCCTCCTCTCCTTCTCCTACTTCGGATGGTACTTCTACGCCCGCTGGAACGCATCCCGCAATGGCCTGCCACCACCCTCCATGAACCCAATGGTAGCCTTCAGCCGCTCCTCTGACGCTGGCGCAACCTCAAACTACCCGGGTCCTGCCCCCACCGGCATCAAAGGCTGGTTCGACACCCAAGTGCGCAAGTTTAAGAACAGAAACAACCGGTACACAACGGGGAGCGGCTACGAAGACGCCGGCTACAGCGGAGGACGCGGCGTCGGTGGGGGCCGCGGCGCGGGAAGTCGTCTTGATCCTGATGAGGCGTGGAGTTCGCGCGTGGGCGACGAGGCATACTACGAAGAGCAGGAACTTGGTCTGCATGAACCTGCGCCTACCCACGGTGGACAGACCGCGAATCCTTACGCCAATCCTACGCCGTACAACAACGCCGAGCCAAGTCGCGGTCGTAGCCGCACACGCGATTCGTACGATGAACATCTTGATGCGCAGAGTGGGAGGAATCCGTTTGGCGACGACAACGCGGCGAGTCTGAGGGGTGTGAGTCCCAGACCGGTGCTCGATGCGGACACAAGTTATCGAGGTGGTGCCACCGCGACTATGCCGAGCGTGAGCAAGCATAGGAAAGCGGGCAGTGTGGACAGTGTCGAGAATAGCCCGACGGAGAGCCGGAGAAGTGTGTTCAGGGAAGGGTTGTAACGTGATGGAGAGTTTGGACGAGGATTTTTTGATATTATACCTATGTTGGACTGGACTGGTGTTTCGAACTGGGGTCTTACTCTCCGGAATGGGCTTGAATGATATTTAGTTGCATTTCATAATCGGCGGGCATTGCGTGATGTCAGATTGACTAACAGCACATAGGAGACAAGCATCTTAACAAACATTTGACAGCAAAGACCAAATAAATGTTACCTCTCGCACGTCCGGGTCAAACACTGTTTATCCAGAACTTTATCCTAGACCAATATTACCTCACGTTAGTCAAGATGGGCAACTATCTCTCTCGCCCTGCAAAGAACAAGACACCATCCAAACTTTTAGCCCTCTCGCGCGAACTCCGAAACAACATCTACGACAGGATTTCCCGCGACCTACAAATTGAATGACTCTGGGATACCCAGGGGTACAATGATACCAGTTACGCTACTTTCGACGTGGTCAAAGTGGCATTCCAGAACGCGCCGGAGCCCGGCGTACTAGAGGCATGTACTCGTCTCCGAAAGGAAATGCTGGAGCAGGATCAATTGCTCAATAAAGCGCTATCCGTGTCCATCACCATGATGACTCGCGTGACAAAATCACTGTCTCCAGAGCAGATAGAAGTACAGCAGGAGAAAGATAACACCACCCGCGCCCGTATCAAAACCGCGTTCCGCAATGTCCATCACGCCATCCTCTGCATACAGCATCTCACCCCAAGTCCACCCTGGGGACCAAGCAGCACAACTAGACTCCTCCGATGGTCTTCCCTCGGCATACCGGTATTACAGACCTTCCGCCTCGCCCTGTGTAAGTCTTTCACTATGCGGGATGAAAAGCTTATCCGTCAGATTCTACTGCGCGGTCCGCAGAATCACACATTCACTTCTATTACAGCGCCTCCTCTGGTGTTGTTGCAACGGGGTTGTGGGCTGCGCATTGGATTTGACTCGTGGAGGGCGGAAGAGGAGGTTTGGCTGAGCTGGCGGTTTCAGCGGGTTCTGCGACATGGGGTTTGTTTGGTGGAGGTGTATATGTATGCGAGGGAGGGGGAAGGGAGGGAGTGTCTGATGTATTGGACGGTGGAGGACATTGCGGAGTATTTTCCTGTTGAAGGGTGTCCTGAGGCGGTACTGGGAGACGTAAGCGGAGCAACCGCTGAGCGGCTGCGAGGGTATGAATCGGAGGTGACAAATCAATTTGAGCAGCGGTGGGCAACGCGGAGTGGAGATTGGGTTGCAGTGTAGTAGATCCTTGATCGTTCAGTTTGTTCCATAGATACAACAGAGGTATATCAGGTTCCAGAAACCGCTACATGATTGAGCTTACTCTATAACGCATGCGATTCGCTTCTTCGAAAACCTAAGAAGACCTAGGATGCGTCTTATCAAAAGACGCATCTTCCCCAACCACCACTCGATACACCAGACGTGCATACAGATCCGCCTGTTTCGCCTTGTCCCCCAACTTCAACTGCTCAAGTGCCAATCGTGCATGTAGGAAAGCTTCCACCAAGTGGTCCACTATATGACCCCACCTTGTGACCACGAAAGCTGCGGGCGTGCGATCGAGCCCAGTAGTGCTGAAGCCCAGAATCCGGAGGACATTACCCACTGATTCCAGGCCTTTGGCAAGATCAGGCTGTCTCATGTAGATTCGGGTCAACAACAGTTGCGGATCCCAGAGCAGGAGTCGAGGCACCTCTTCCGCCGGACGAGCATAGGTTTCGTTTAGCGCCTCAAGCAAACGTTGAAATTTTGCATTGAAAGCATTTCCTCTCGACGACGACGACTTACAGAGTCGATCCAACTGCTCGAACAAGGTTCGCCGCTTGGTGACTTCAGAAGATTTAGTACTCTTGATGTCCTCGCACAGGGCACAGTTGCAGACGAAACCCCAGTTCTTGAACTTTTGACCAATCTTGGAAGTGTAGTCGCCATCCGGGGCCTCGTATGGAAACGACAACTCCATACCAGCTTCCATGTCTTTCTTCGCGCGTACGATCATCATGTCGCCGATGAATGACCGACGGACGTTGCCGAGACAGTTGTGGTTAATGTATGAGGCTTTGATCCATATGCCACAGGAATGGTGTGCCTTTTCCTTCGATTCCTTGTTATCTTTGAGCATTTTGTAGCTATTCAGGCTTGTGATAGGACTACCGAAGACGTTGAGGGTCATTGTTCGTTCGACGAGGAAACTGAAAAGTGAAGTGTTAATACCAAGTCGCTTGTCTTCGGGTTCAGGACGTACTTACGTGTCTACAATTGGCTGTCCATCAACGGATTCTGCATCAACAGCTCCATAAGCGCCATGATAGAGGTCGGTGAAAGCAGAGGCCGTTGAATGATTTTTGAACGTTTTTTGCGTGATCAGCTGAATGAGATCAGCCTGGCCGCCCAAGAAGCCTTTGTCCGTCTCGACGTTCATTAAAAGAGAAATGCGTGCGTTGCCTTCGTTCTCTTCGTCAACATGAGCATGGCTGAATGCTTTCTCGCAGAGGAGCAGATCTCCAACTTTCACGGGCTTGGTAACAAACAAGCCACGGCCTTTCCCTTTCACTTTCCGAACCTCCAGCGGACCCACGTACGTAGCATGATCGAGATGAGGAGGACGATACTTCTTTGCTTCGGCTTGGAGAAGTTTGAAGTCGAATTCACCGGTGCTACTCTCAGCACATCGACGTTGAGCACGAGTAAGTGTGGCAACTGCTTCTTTGTTGGCCGGGAAGTGTTCGCAAAGTTTTTCGAGAGTTTGACGGCAATCATCATAACGAGCGAGATGGTAAAGTGCCTCAGCTGCACGGAACACTCCTTTCTCCGACGGCTCTTCGCTGAAGGATGGGTAGCCGGTGTCAGCAAGCGCAGCATCGTATTGTTTGGTTTTGAGGTATGCGAGTGATCTGTTCCGCCTGATCACTTCGACTTCTTTGGGCATAGCTGTTTGGGCTAGAGCGTCCGAGTACCTGGCATGTATATTAGCACAGTCACTTGTTCAATGTAGATCCCACTAACTTTTCGATAGCTCGCCAGTATCTCCCTCTCCCTACGAGTATGTTCCCCTCCAGCTTCAATGAATCCGCTGTTCTGCTCATCTCTCGCAGTCTCGGTCTCCACGACGTGGGAGTCATGGTTTCCTCGTCGGTGAGGAATATGATATCGGAAAGGTGATCCACTCGCAGACTGTAGTCTCCAGATGCCGTAACCTTGAAGAAGGGCTCTTTAACAATAAGTATCGAGCCCTTATCGACGACATCAACGGCTGGATGACTGGTCTCATCCTCCTGCTGGTACATTTGCAATAATGTGACATCCTCGCGTTCGTCTTCCACGATGACCAAAATTGCTGTCATGCGATTCGGCGGCGTGATGGCTCTCAACGTCAGATAGCGACCGCGGTGATGCGTCTCAAGTAGGAGGTCTTCGATCATGATAGACTTCAAATCGTCGAGAGGGGTGGTGCAAGGTGGATAAGCTGATGGAACGAACGACGACTGTATCTGTTGTTCGCCATTGCTACTAGCCCTACCACTCATTCGTACAGTTGACATCGACGCCATCATGAACTCAAACAGCATTTTGTCTCTATCTTTGCGATCGCGAGGACGCTGGCCTTGCTTGCTCTTGGCGTCCTGGAGCACGCGCCTTTGCTTTTGCATGAACTGCGCATATTGATCGATGTCTTTGCAAACATCCATTGCTACGGATAGCGGAGTAGAGGAAGTCCGGCAGGTTGGAAGTGTTTGCGATGCGTGGGGATCTGGAGCACCAGAAATCGGGGTTCTAGGGGCACGCTCGTTGTGCTTTAGAGCGCTCTTACACAAAGTGGGGCAGTCGTAACTAACCCGACCGTGATACGTTGTTGAACTATCTAGAGTTCAAGAGGATAGCGGGCCATGTATACCCTTGGATGCGCCCTCGTTGAATTTTACATGGCGCGTCAGCGCGCGCCTAAGTGCAAGAGGATTCGTTGGCTAAGAGCGTAACACGTAGGTTTGTACCACGCCACTCATGCGCAGAGACGAACGAGGCTGTGTGTAACACCAACCGGAAGCATCAACCCGCTATGCAAGATGCACGCTCGGCCCGGCAAGCTTCGGAGTAGGCTGAGCAGGAACATCGGACCGGAATATGGCGTGTCGAGAATTGCATCCCATACATCGTTCATGTGAGCAAGCATAGATATCGGAAACTCTTTAAATCTCTAATTGCCGTCCGGCCAGTTGATGAACAAGCTATCGGTCAATTCTTTGAGCAGCCTTCGTTTCAGTTCCTCGTCTGAAGGCACCAGCTCATCATCAGGGCCATCTATGAGCTCGGCCGGCGCTGGCTGCGGCGCTGACTTCGATATACGAACCAGATTGCCTCTCTTGCTGTATTTGAACCCTCCCGGTGGGGGCGGTGTTCCGGGTCGTGGCAGCGGTTCGGGACTCTCCACTTCTCGTGGCGGACATGTGCGGTTGATGCCGTAGAATGTAAGATGTCTTCTTTATTCTTTCTTTTCAGCAATGTATTTGCCTGGTATCCGCATTTTCAAGTAGCCGTTTCCTAAGAAGGATATGCCGAGTCGAACCTCCGTATCTCCAGCACCTTCGCAGTCTTTTCGAACGCCTTGGAGGGGTTGCACTCCAGATGGGAGTTTGACCAGGTTGAGGGGAAAGTGCCAGTCATTCTTGAGACCGTTGAGAGAAAGCTGTGCAGTGGCTTCTAAAATAGTCCGTACAGCCCGTAAACGGAGCTGAAGAGGGTGCAGCTTCAGCGCATAAGTTGTACTTCTCCTGCAATGCTTATTTGTTAGAGAGCTCTATACTAAATAGCATAGTAAGAGAATAGAGGCAGGTGGTGCCTGTAAAGGAAGCTTTCCTCTAGCTTAGTGTTCGTTACGTGTTTTAGAGCTAGGCTTAAAAAAGGAAGAGCTAAGCCTAATAGAGGCGTACTGACATCTTGGCGGCTTGTTGTCCAATGAGAGACGAGCTTAATGGGCCAATGAGAAGCTGTTTCTTCCAACAATCAAAGCCCTAGGAGGACCAACCGTAATATGCAGCTAAAGCTGCAATCAAAGAGAGCGCGATACCGTCGCTATGCCCTTCAATGACCAGTTTCCCCGAGTTCCACTGACGGAAGTTAAACCGCCCCTGGTAGATCAATGCTCGATTATCGACTTCGTGAAGGTCTAAGATAGTTGGGAGAGTAGAGATCCCATTCGCCTCGTACGTTACCAATTTGCACTTCCTCTTCCTCTTCCTCCTCGCATTGGGTTCCGATCGCTAGATGTCTATGCGCACTCTCGACGCGCTTCTCATGCTCTTCCTCCATCTTGATGGCTGCATCATAGCCATAACCTTCAACCTCGAAATCGGCGAGATCTGAGTCGTCGGAATCTGATTCGTCCGACACCGGTTGGCCGGCATTGGTTAGAAGTGAAGACTCGAGCGCATTCTTTGTTCATTTTGTGGCCTCCATTGGCCACTCTCTTGGAGTACTGAAGTTCGTATTCTCCTGCGCGACTCTCTTGGCCGTGTTGGCGTTGCCACTGGCTGTTGCATCATCGGTTGCCTTGGGTTTGGGAGCTGGTCACGGCGATTCGATCCGGCTTGATGTTCTTGGTCGTATACGCACCTCTATTGGGCGGCATTGCGACCCATGAGCATCTTGACAGGTGTGGGAAGCGTGGGGTCGCGTCCACGGCGCTTGTGTGATAGGTGGTGATTACGTCATCTCGTCTCATTTCATTCCTGTTTGGGTGGACAAGACAAGGACGCCTCTTCTTCTGCACTCAACACGTTCGTCAGATCAGCAGACGCATTCGAATTATACCAAAGATATTTTACTCTCTGTTCCTTCGAATGTCCCACATCTGCTGTTCTCTGCTCTGATGTGATCGAGGACGTCCCAGATTTGCGGCTTCATGTTTGCTGGAAAAAAAAACCACAGATGCCAATGCAATATCTCGGATCGATTTAAGATTTAATTTAGATCCAGGATCGAGTTCCACATGGTCTCGCAACCAAGCTTTGATGACATGGATCATTTTGTTGCAGATGATAAGCAAGGTCATGATGTCAAAATTGATAAGGAATCCATTCCCCTTCGTGGCGTCTCGGTACTTCTCAAGTGTCTGGAGAGAACTGACTTCTTATTTACGATGCTTGCATTGCTTTGACGTCCTCGATTCATGTTCCAACCGATGTCGGACTACGCGCTCCAGAAGCCAGATCGGCTCGTTCTCGTTTTCACCGTTCTCGTCCGTCTTCAGCATGACCCTTTTGAGGCCGTGAAAGGCGGAAGCCTGTTTGATTCTCATGTGAGACTGCTTCGCCCTGGCAGTTTTTCTGTCAGACTGGTAATCGATCATCACCTCTCTCCTTTCGTCGTGATCGAAAAGATGGTCTCGGAAATATACGTTGTACGTGTCTTTGCAAACAAACGTTTGCGGCGAGAGCTTAAAGTCATCGAGATCGTACTAGCCCCTCTCGTCTTTATGGGTAACGCCGTTAGTCACTCGATCTTCGAACCCTTGGAGAAACTTGATCACTTTGTGGTGGCTTTCAAACTCCGAAAAGTCTTTGAGAAAGGCATCATCAACCCGTCTCAAGATCTCAATGGCGACGTTAGCGGTCGTAGCTGCTGTGGTGAGCGCAAGGCTACGTTACTTGTATCGGCGCCAGGTCTTGTAAACGAGTAAACGAATTGCTATCATGTCTTTGAGGAAACAGAACAGCGCAAAGCCCTTCTCACTCTTTCGATCGGCGGACTTCTTGATGCGGTAGCTTCGGCTCTGCGTGTCTGTCGACCCTGAAGGCACGTAGCCCAATGGCGTATCATGCGCGTGAACTAGACTGAGGTGTTCGAACAGATTAGATGTGCGACTATGCATACATGCTCCTTTCTCGCGTTCATTCTTGGTTTTGCCTGCTGTCGGCGCTTTCAGCGCGCGATAATAGTAGTCGAGGATGTCGATGAAGGACTGATAGCTTTCATTATCGATGTCGTCATCAGCGTCTCGCTCTGATTTCGTTTGATGAAAGCCCGCACATTCCCTACGAGCGGTGATGACGCTCCACAGGGTAGCTTCGATATCGGTCGGCAAATTGATCTTGGCCTGTGCGAGGATGTCGACCAAGGTCTTGAAAGCATGTAGAGGAACCTCGCTCACACGGTTCTGGCGGTCATATAGTCCTCAGGAATCTCTGCCTGATGTTGCTACATGTGAATGACACACCACAAAAATATTTACATGTTAGTAAAGCAGTGCAACAAACGCGTCCGCTGAATCTGTGAGCATGTTTGGTTTCATCGTGAAAACGGGCACTAGTTCGTTCGCACGATCGATATACAACCTAAAAGATCTTGTATGCTAGCAGGTGCTAGACGGTGCCACGGAGTCCCCAGCTATCTCTTCCAACCGCCCTCATCTGCTGGAGCTACTCAGTCATATCAGCCGCAACGATACCGAAATATGTTCAGACTGTGGTCTTCTTGTCAACGAATGCCTAACAGAGGAAGTCTCGACGCTTACCATATCTCTGCCTAGCAGTGATCTATCGTCCGATGCAGTGTGCGGAGGCGGTCTCGCAGTATTGCGGATAGGGGCACCCGTAGTTCCTCTGCCAAACGCCATTGACGCAGACCTGAACCGCGTTACCGCCGGGGGAGCACCTGGTTGCGGCGCGGTGGGAGCATTTGTCTGGCTTTGATCCTGAACTGGCGAGAACGGGCACGGTGATGGTAAGGAGGGCCAGGACGGCGAAGGTTAATTGCGCGGGGGTCTTCATAGTGTCGACTTCCTTGATGTCGGAGTTCTTGAGGTAGGTGCGAAAGTAGATTCAGTTGAGAACGGTGGGTGGAAAGTGCAGTCGCAGATGGGGGAATGAAAAAAGACAGAGCTGAAGGACTGGTGATGTGGGACTCGCGCGACAGTGAATGCTGTTCGTGTGTGCGTGAAGGTGCATTCTGTGACATCAGCGGTATGGCGACGCGATGCACGTTAACTTGGCTGTTGTACTTGAGGCAGGTGCGTTCGACCTGACCAATCTCGTCATACCCAGGTTCAAAGGTCTTGGAGTACATCAGTCTGATAATGTTGCATACTTGATGAAGCGCTGAAGTGTGGAGGTGGTATACCTAGTTTGAGGCATACCTCGTTCGCGATCATGTGAAAAGTCTAGAGTTCTGAATGCGGACGTCGGGGCCCGTCTGCCATCACGAAGACATCGGAAATATCGTCAACGAACCTCAACCGAAGCGGCCCAACACACTTAACGTCGCATTACCCTGCAAAACTCAATTCTGTTACCTGACTAGGAAGGTTTCTGACAGGTGTGGATAATTTCAAGGTGTTTTCTCGCTCCTGCTCGTCGTGGAGGGCCTGCAGACCGCGCCCTCGAGCCGACAGCATTATCGTGCTTTCATGACTGGAGGCAGCCAGGGTCATTCTTAAGACAAGATTAATGTTCTTGGTCTCTAAAGGGACTAAGTGCTATAGACCTTGTTCGGATCTGGAGGGGTCCTGGATATGGTGTGTAAAGTCGCCGCCAATGACATACGAACCATCACGACATCGTTGGCCAGAGCTAGAAGCTTAACATGCTAGTTTTCGGTGTATGGCCGGACCCGTCGGAAGATCAATGATTGTTACGCAGCGATGTCCATCATCTCGAGTCGTTCTTACCCAATCCACTAGCTTCCTTGGCGGACAAGGGTCTCTCCGCGCATCGCGAATTTCCAGTCCGACTATCATCACCAACATCAACAACCCACCTCCGCCTTGCACCCGCCATTGCACCTCACACAACACCCACAATGAATCTCTCAGCATTCCGACCGGTCTTCCGGCCCTACAAGCCTGCCCAAATACTCCAAGCGACAAACATCTGGCAAAGAACCGCACAATGGACATGTCCGCAGCAGCAGAAGTCGCAACGAGCAGCCTTCTCATCAACACCGAATATGCAGAAGAGGAGTAAAAAGGGACCTGGAAATGATCCCAGGATAAGTACGTCTCTTCCGCCTCACAACCCCATCAAACCTGCCCCATCCAATCGATTCCACCCACCCTCCTCCGGACTCAAAAGACAAAGCTAACACCCCCCACCAGCAAACATCCGCTACCACCTCTCCCACCCCCTAACCCCGCGCCCACTCCACTTCTCCCGCAACCGCTCCCTCCGCCACTGGACAATCCACCGCGCCTGGCTGCTCTTCCTACGCAAACGCCGGTGGGCCGAAGAACGCGAGTTAGAACGACAATACATGGCCATGCGGTCAGCGTGCGAACACCTGCGCCTCATGGACAACAACGGCAATCTGGTTAAAGAGGAGGAGGCTGGTGGGCGGGGCGCTGATCCGAGCAGACTGGGTACGAAGGGCAGGGAGGTGGGGAGGTTGTATAGGAGTGCGATGCTCAAGAGGGGGATCTGGGGGAGTGTGCCGGTGGAGTATGGGAGGGTGCAGACGGATTTCCCAGCGAGGGAGGGGTGGAATCATGCGTGGACGAGGGATTAGGCTCGCGAGCGATAGGGATGTACCATATGTGTATAGCAAAAAGACGGTCGATGTCATTCTTGGCATCTTTTGTACATGGTCGCGTCACGTTTCCGGAAGAGGAAGAAGTGTTTGTATGATGTCTCGATTGTGAATTACTGCCTTCTAGTTGCCAGACTTGCCAATCATTCCTCAAGAATATACAACTAATTGCCAAAGTAGCCGAATGAGTGGACGATGAAGGCGCTTTCTCGTCAATCATTAAGCCAACATCTTCAGATAGATAGAGCCCAACAAACGTATGTTTCCAACTAGCTGTCAGAAGCCAGCCTTTTCTCTTTCGCAAGCTCAATCAAAAAGAAAGGTAATGTGTAATGCAGTTATAAGCGCTCAAACAAGACAACGCCCTTGAAGGATAAGAAGAAGAAAGAAGAAAAGAATCGAGAGCTGAAAATTGAAGAGCCCCAAATGTATCGTACCAACTCCAGTTTGTCGTGACTCCGCCCAATGCAGTGTGTGATATGAAGATAAGAAGAAGATATAAGATGCAGCGAGAGACTCTTGATGAAAAGTCTCACAGAACAACGCATCCGCACCCAGGATTCTCCTTCTTATCCACACTCAGCAGCGCGGCCCTCGTCGCCGCTTCAAAAACATCGTCCACGCCATCCCCCGTCAGGGAACTGCATTCTAGGTATTTCCTCGCGCCAATCATATCTTTCATATCTGCGCCTTGTTTCGGTGTGATAAACCGTAGACTCTTCTTGCGCATTTCTTCCTGTGCTAGGGGGTCATCACGGAGATCTTTTTTGAGGCCGACGAGGATGATGGGGACGGTGGGACAGCGTTCGCGGGCCTCCTCTGCCCACTTGTGCTTGACGTTATCGAGGGAGTCGGGGGAGTCGACGCTGAAGCCGATGAGGATGACGTGCGCTTTGGAGTAGGCAAGGGGACGGAGGCGCTCATAGTCTTCTTGGCCGGCGGTATCCCAAAGGGCGAGTTGTACGGATTTGCCGTCTACTCTGCAGTCGGTGACGTAGTTTTCAAAAACGGTTGGGACGTAGCGCTATGACAGGTTAGGATTTGGAGGGCGGGTTATCGGTGGATGTATTGGACGTACTGTTGGAAAGTATCCGAGAGTGAAGACGCTCAGAAGACTAGTCTTGCCGCAAGCACCGTCGCCAATAATGACCAACTTCCTAAAGACACAAGATCAGCATACTGTGCGGGTGAAGGGTGCATGGTGTGACAGCGTCGGCGTGACCGAGAGTGGATGTTGGCGCAAACAAGAGGATGGGAGTGCAGTGCATGACCAAAAAGAGGAAGAATTGAGCGCGAGTCGATAAAAAAGTGGACATGGGGAGCATGTAGGGTGGCCTATTTTTAGTCGGACGTGTCGTCGGACCGGGTGCGCCAATGCAAGCTATGGCGCAAAGCCGGGGTGCCTCAGCTCCAGGTCTTGGTCGTACCATTGCAGGAAGGAGAAGTAAAGCAGAATTTGACGGAGAAATTGGAGAAATTGGAGAAATTGCTGGGGAGACGCAGAGATCTTGTCGTCAGAGTAAAGTCGGACGGAATGAAATAACGTTGGGAAAAGCAATTGCGCGCGTAAGAAAACGGTCGTGAGCGATCGACATGAGATAAGTTTTGACCAGGGTCCAGAAAGTGAAGATCAAACGTACCTGCGCATTACAGGCTCGCCATTCTGCTGCTGCTGTGCCATTGTGGGGAGGTGTTTGGGAAAATGCCGCAATCAGCGGGAGTCTTGTCCGGAGATGCTGGGTCGTGTTATTGGCCGGAGGAGCGCGTTCGCAGTTGCGGTCGTGGGAGAGTGGGAGTCGAGGGGGAGTGGTGAGCGGGTGGGGGGATACAGTGAAGTAGCCTTGTTTGCGCGAGGGTGTTGTCGGGGTAATGCGAGTGTAATGGCGCGAGCGACGTGTCTCCGGCGGTTGTGAGTCGCGACGGGCGAGCGAGAGTATCAATGGCGCGCTGGGGCGGAGAGAAGCGACAGACTACCAGCGGAGGGGTAGTGAGTGTCGGCGGGTGGGTGTCGAGGTGAAGGTGAAAGTAACGGGTGTGCCCTGCGACAGCAACGGGTGCAATGGGAGAGAAGCAAAAAGCGGTGGTGCAGTAATGAAGTGGACGGGCCGGTGTTTAAGAATGAAGCTTGGGGGACGATCACAGCGGAGACAGGCACGAGCTAAAGCTACAGACGGCTGGGCTGGGGGACGGGGGACGCTGGCGTGTGGGCGGGTGCGGTGAACGAGAGCGAGTGTGTTGAGATACGAATGAATGGCCGTCGCAGAGCACTTGCCTGCACAGCCTCTCGCCCAGTTCCTTCCGTTCCAGAAGACGCCAAGACGTGGCACCTGCGGCAGTGCGAATCGCAACATCGGTACCACAATGGGCCGTCGACCATCAACAAGAGGCTACGACAGCGCGGCATGTGCTAACAAGACCCGAGCACACGACCGCCAGAGTGAACGCCCGTCTACCGCGACATCCCCCGGACACTCGCATCTTCGCATCTCCCGCATCTGGTGTGCGTGACGGCCCCTCCAATTCCTCCACCTCCACCTCTCACTTTTGCTCCCCGAGTGGCTGTACGCTAGTCTTCCCGCGCCATCGTCCGAGCTGTCACCCACTCGACTCCCCAGACCCGCGCTCTAACTCGTCGTGCAGCAGGACACAGCGACACATATCCCCCTACATGGCCCAGGGAACACGCGGGCCCGCCCCGGCTCAAATGCCGCCCAACGGCACTGCGACCCACGATCCCACCCCGACCGCCGTCAACCGCAAGAAGCAGAAGCGACGCGAGAAGGAGGCCGCCAAACGAGCCGCACAGGAGCCGCCTGCGCCTGCGCCCGCGCGGAATGGCGTGTCGCCTGCCCGAGGGCCCCCAGGCCAGCAGCAGTACGTTGACCCGGAACTGGACGAGCCGCCATATGACGAGGGGGAGTACTACTCGGACGAGGAGTATGAGCACACGTACGGCACAAATGGCGACTACCAGCAGGGCTACGGCCATGCCCCAATGCGCAGCGCCCAGGGCAAGAAGACCCGGCGGAAGAAGAAGGCGCCCTCAGCACCCCCTCCGCTGGCCTACACCCAGCACGTCGCATCACGCCTCAGCCCCGCACCCGGCCACGCCATGTCGCCCACCCACTCCGTCGCGCGATCCGGCTCCCGAGGCGACCGCATATGGAACACCACGATGCAGGACGAGCGGGACCGCATACGCGAGTTCTGGCTGTCCCTCGGCGAGGACGAGCGCAAGTCGCTCGTCAAGATCGAAAAGGAGGCGGTCCTGCGCAAGATGAAGGAGCAGCAGAAGCACTCGTGCAGCTGCACCGTGTGCGGGCGGAAGCGCACCGCCATCGAGGAGGAGCTGGAGGTTCTATATGATGCATATTACGAAGAACTCGAGCAGTACGCGCACCACCAGCAAGACGTCGGTAGTTTCATTCCCGAGGCTAATTATGGTTATGCGTCCAGTGCTCCTCACCACCCGCGCCCCATGCTGAACCCCCACCCACCCCCCGGCCCCTACGACGACGACGAAGAAGAGTACGACTCGGGCGAGGAAGAGGAGGAAGATTCCGAATACGACAGCGAGATCTCGTCAGAGGGCGGCTACAGCTCAGGCGAGCGCAGTCTGCCGCCGCCCGAGCCCTCAGACTTCCTCCAGTTTGGCAGTAGTCTGCAGGTCAAAGGTATGCCCGCCCCCTACCCGTGCTGGGAGCATGCTGATTCATCCTTTTAGGTGGCATACTTACGGTTGCTGACGATTTGCTCAAGAACGATGGGAAGAAGTTCATCGAGATGATGGAGCAGCTCGCTGAGCGTAGGATGCAACGAGAAGAAGATGCTCAAGTCCAGGCTCACCCCGGCGCCCAGCACCGATCCTATAGCGGCCACAGTCACAGCGCTCCTCCGCCCGACGAAGACGACTACGACGAAGAGGGCGAAGACGAGGAAGAGTACGACGACGACGACTACGAGGAGGACGAAGAGGATGAGGAAGTGCGTATTCTAGGCTGGACTATCTATCTGCAACTAACCCCGCCTAGGGCGCCATGACCGAGGAGCAACGGATGGAGGAAGGCCGGCGAATGTTTCAGATCTTCGCAGCGCGAATGTTTGAGCAGAGGGTACTCCAGGCGTATCGAGAAAAGGTGGCCGCGGAACGACAGCAAAAGTTACTCGAAGAACTGGCAGAGGAGGATGTGCGGAAGGATGCGAAAGAGGCAAAGAAAGCAAAGGAGGCCCAGAAGCGCAAGGAGAAGAAGGATAAGCAAAGGCAGCTGAAGGCGGAGCAGGAGGCCCGCAAGGAAGCCGAGCGAGCAGCCAAAGAAGCCGAGGCCAAGGCCGCGGAGGAGAAGCGACTGGAGGAGCAGCGGAAGAAGCGAGAAGAGCAGCGCAAGAAGAAAGAGGCCGAACGCAAAGCCCAGGAGGAAGAGAAGCAGCGCAAGGAGGCCGAGCGTCTGAAACGACAGCAGGAAGAGCGCGAGCGGCAACAGGAAGCAGAGAGAAAAGCACGCGAACAGAAAGCCCTTGAGAAGAAGGCCAAAGACGAGGCGAAACGAAAGGAGCGGGAAGAGCGGGAAGCGAGGGAGAGAGAAGCGAAAGAGAAGAAGGCGCAGGAGGACAAGGACCGCAAGGAACGGGACTCGAAGACCAAAGGCGGCAAAGACCAAATACGTAAGGAGGACCAAGCTGCCGCTGCCGCTGCCCACAACGCTATTGCTGGTGCGAAGAAGGCCTCACAGCCAGTAGCTGTCGCGCTACCTCCTCAATTGCTAAAGCAAAATTCGTCTACGGGAATGCCATCGCCGCAGGTTACGCCAGCTGTACCGAAGGCTCCAACTCCTAACCGACCGCGCCAAACATCACACCAGACCTCCCACGGCTCATCGCCAAAGACTCCCCATGCTACTCTAGGAACAAGCAAGTCGACATCTCCAAGCTCCCAGTTGCCAAATCAGTCGATACCAAGGTCTATACTGACGAAACCACCAATCCAACAGCAAGGTCTAGGGACTCCGCATGGGCAGCCGTCGTCTCCAATGCCTCCTATGGGACCACCGCCGGGCATGCAAGGGCCGCCAGGACTGGGTATGAACATGCCTCCAGGCTTGAACGGCTTCCCTGGTCATGGATCCATGATGCCTGGAATGATGGGACCACGTCCAAACATGCCGTTCTTCCCTCAGCCAGCGCCCCAGAGCTTCCGTGGATTTCCACCACCCGGAATGCACACACCAGGTGCACTTCCAATCGGCCGTGGTTTCCCGATGGAAGGACCGCCAGGCTTCCCAGCACCTCCAGGCTTTACTGCGCCAATGCCGTCCGCCTTTCCGATGGGTATGCCGACGCATTCGCGGCAGGGCTCGGGATCTTTTGAACGACTCTCAAACGAGAGCCCCATCACTGGTCCTCAAGCACAACCCATACAACGGCCAACGCCTATCAAGCGCCCTTCAAGCGTGAAAGCGGGCGATGAACCCGGACAGCAGGGATCTGATGTAGACGAACTTGCGAATCACCTAGGCAGTAAAGCGCTACTGGACGACGATGACGACATCCCCGAACTGCCTGATCGACGCCCAAGCATGCAACAGCACGGCTCAGTGAGAGCGCCCTCATTCGGCTTCGCAGACATACCCGGGTCGCAGTATGGATCGTTCGGCGCACCAGGCGGCGGCAGCATCTGGGGCACGCCACCCCTACAGGGCTTCCACTCCGGCGCCAACTGGGGCAACTCGCCCACCTCCAACATCTTCAACAGCCCCTTCTCCATGAACACCACGCGAACCCTCGAACGCAACGCAAACGAGCAGCGCATAGTCTGGCTCCGCCGTACCATCTGCGCCGCATGCAAGACCCTCGCTCCCCGCGCCTCCGACGCAGACGGCTACGTCGACGCGGCCGAAGTGCATCGTCAAGTCGAGGCTTCGCGCGGTGCGATGGATCCTGCTGTTTCGGTTGATGAGATTAAGGAGGCGTGCGATATCCTTGATGTTACGCATACTAATGGCGGTGGGAGTCTGCAGTACAAAGAAGATGCCAATGGCATGTTGTCGCATATCAAGTTTAGTGATGGCGCGATACAAGCGCCTCCGAGCTCTCTTGGTGAGATCGGTAGCCCAGTTCCTGGTCACAGCGTTCTTGTTGGTGGGTTTGGGGGCAGGTTTCCTGGATTGGGGCCGCAGGGTTTCTGAGATGTTGGACTCATCTGTTCTGTTGGGCTGTCCCATTCTTTTTCTTTTGGCCGAACAGGTCTTGTCAGCCTACGTATGCTGAGTCTCTGTCTCTGTTGATGAAGCTCCTCCTTCATACTTGTTCCTTTGTAGATGAGAGACGAGTTGTCGGTCTAGTCTAGTGTCTTCCTCTTGTGATTGATGGATGCCAAGTCGAGGTAATCTAGCTGCTGAGGGAGTGCCATGATGGGATTTCGATGTGCTCTGCATACGGTGACGTGGTGATGTTGTTGATGTTGACGTTCATTATCACGATACTAACGATACTTCTAACTCGAACATCAAGGCAATGTCCGGGAAACTTGATACATATACAGGAACCACTCTGAGAAGAAGGTGACTTCGAGTAATCAGACGCTTCTCCGTAGGATTTTCAGGTCTTACTACTGTGAACAGGTTTCATCTCACGATCTATGATGTACCAATGTCAATACGGCGAGACTTCGATATACGAGAAATCAGCTATAGCTATAGCAGCGACCGCACTAATCCTACGGAGTACGGTCAATTACAAAGGAACCTTTGTTACACTAATTTTGGGAACACCATGTGATCATCAGTCGCCAGGGAGACGTCAAGAATGATCTCGGATCATATTATCTAAGAGAGTTGGAAGATTGTGACGGGACCTCATGTATTCTGCCATATGTCACTTCTGCTATGTCAACAAAGCGTGTGTTGGACTCGAAATTGTTTGGCTCTAGAATATAAGCTGCCTTAGACATCACCAGCATCGTTTCCCAAATTTGATGTTTGCCCCTCTTGTCCATCTGATGTCATGGGTCAAGAAAACCGTGTAGATAGACACCGTTCTACGTAGTTCGACGTTGACGGGTAGTGTCGGACGATCTCCACCCAGTACACCGGAACACAGCACGTTGTGGCAACGTTGTAAGAGGAGCGGTCAAGCTCGCCGCCTCGTACCAGTGTCGCAAAACCCCGCAATTGCGACATCCCACCACCTCGCAGAATGCATCTAGCTAGAGTAACGTAATCATGTAACATCGGACAGACGTTCAGATTATTGAGTTCCAGCAGCCTCGTAGTCTGGTCAAGCAGACGTCGAGTTCCTGCGCCTTCTACTCTACTCTATTAATAGGATGAAGCTGGCAGAAACGTGGTTAGCCAGGTACGCATCATCATCGTCGGTCCTGCATCGTCATCCCTGCATTCAGCATCCCTGCTAGCGCGTGTCGGCCGGCGGGGTCGTGGGAGCCTCATAGCTTGCTACAACACCGAATGTTCTACGTCTTTTCTCGCTTCAATTGAACCAGCTACTTTACACCACCCGTTTTCTTTGTACCATTTATATCCCGTACCCTTCGCTTGCATACACTATTCATCATGTCCGACCCCATCGCCGACGCTGCGCAAAAGCACCCTGCGCCCGAGGGCCTCAAGTACACGTACGGAACTGCTGGTGTAAGTGACAGGGGAGAGTGATTCGAGAGATTGAGGCATTCAGAGGCTGACGTATAATCTAGTTCAGAACAAAAGCGTAAGCCATCCCCTGCATCTCATACGGTAGATGGCTACTGTCCCAGCTATCGACTACCTCCACGCGTCGCAGCTGGCGACGCTTCCCCCACCACTCCGAACACCCACCCTTTCCACGTGCAACACTCCCGAATTCCACTTACCATAGCAGTGATGTCCTCGATTCCGTCCTCACTCGCGTTGGTCTCATTGCGGCGCTGCGGTCGCGGGCGCTCAAGGGAAAATGGATCGGTGTCATGATCACCGCTTCGCATAACCCTCCTCAAGACAATGGCGTAAAGCTCGTCGAACCAATGGTACGTTCCTCTCCATATATGAGAAACAAGGTCAGCTAATGGTTAGATAGGGCAACATGCTGCAAGAGGAGTGGGAGGTCATCAGCACCGAGATGGCGAACAAGGCCACCCCCGAAGACGTCTCGAAATACTACCGCGACATCGCAACCCAGTACAAGATCGACCTCAACACACCGGCACGCGTTGTCGTAGCTCGCGACACAAGAGCCTCGGGTTCAAGGCTTCTCGGATGCCTTGTCGATGGCCTGAACAGCGCCGGTGCTGAAGTCAAGGACTATGGCTTCCTCACCACGCCACAACTACACTACATGGTCAGGTGCTTGAACACCGAAGGTACCAAGGATGCCTACGGTACACCTACCGAGAAGGGCTACTACGAGAAGTTCGGCGCGGCTTTCAAGACTGCGCTCCGTGGAAAGAAGCCTTCTGGTAGTTTGACAGTCGACGGTGCCAATGGTGTTGGTGGACCGAAGCTGAACGAGCTCATCAAGTACCTTCCCACCAAGGAAGAGGGTGGTCTCGAGATTTCGGTTATCAACGACAACGTTATCAAGCCCGAGAGCCTGAACGTCGACGTAAGCAAACATTGCTACAAGTGCTAGAAATTTGCTGACACATGAACAGTGCGGTGCAGACTACGTCAAGACCAACCAGCGCGCGCCACCTTCGTCCAAGGCTGGACCTGGCGACCGATGCTGCTCGCTCGATGGTGACGCTGATCGCGTAGTATACTACTTCAAAGACGAGAAGAATGTGTTCCGACTACTCGATGGTGACCGCATCGCAACTCTTGTAGCCTCCTTTCTCGGCGACACCGTCCGTCAAAGCGGATTGGCAGACAAGCTCAAGATCGGAGTTGTGCAGACCGCCTACGCCAATGGCGCCGCCACTAAGTACGTTGAAGACAACCTCAAGCTGAAAGTCGACTGCACACCCACCGGCGTCAAGTACCTGCACCACGCAGCTGAGAAGCTAGACATTGGTGTCTACTTCGAAGCTAACGGCCACGGCACTGTCATCTTCTCGCACGACACCCTCGACACTATCGAGAAGCACGAGCCCCGCAACCCAGGCGAGAAGGAAGCCCTCGATGTTCTCCGTGCCTGCATCAACCTCATCAACCAGTCCGTCGGCGACGCCCTTTCCGACTTCCTCCTCGTCGAAGTTGTCCTTGCACACAAGCACTGGGGCTGCCAAGAATGGCTCTCAACATACAGCGACCTACCCAACCGCCTCCTCAAAGTCCTGGTCAACGACCGCACTATCTTTAAGACAACAGATGCGGAGCGCAAACTCACAAGCCCTGAGGGTCTCCAGGCGCAAATCGACAGGGAAGTACAAAAGGTCCGCCAAGGTCGCTCGTTCGCTCGTGCCAGTGGAACAGAAGACGCTGTCCGCGTCTACGCCGAAGCCGAGACAAGGGCTGAAGCTGATGATCTAGCGAGGAAGGTCAGTGAGCTTGTCAAATCTGCCGGTGGCGCTTAGAGAGACGTCTCGGATTCTATGGAGATGGCTGCCATCTTGAGGATGCTGATGGGGAAAATGTCGTATATGGGTGCAAACGAAGAAAACGAATAATTCATTGCTTGGATAAGCTGAATGGTAGATAGATCATGGTAGTAGGGTAGATAAGAAAGGGAAAAGCGAATAATCATTGATTTGTTGAAGATGTCGGTACGATTGTGTAAGAGTGGTTGTTGATCAAGGTTTTGGTGAATTTGCATGCATGCACAGGTGTCGCGATGAGATCTCATACCCACCCATGTCTATGCTCTACGCGAGGAAGATGACTACACAATCCGGTTTGCCGAACACGCTAGGTATCAATCTAAAGTCAGATGTAAGATTTAACACTAATGTATCTGTCAGATTCGGTGTGGGACGAGTTGGACGTCGATGGTCGCGCTCTGTTTTGTTTGGCGTCCAGTCCGAATCGGGTAACTTGTGGAAACTTGTTGATTGCAGTTCAGGGTGCCTCCAATATTACCACAGGGCCATACGGTGTCTGGACGTCACATACATGTGCTTGCGGGTATGATGGAGGAGAACATGTGTAGCCCGAAGGAAGCTTCTGATAAAGAATTGCAGCTCAGAAACAATGTGGGTTGACAAGAGATGTGCTTCTCAAATACTTCGAAGGATGTATTGGTGAGCTCGTGGTGAAGGTTTTATGTAGACGCGTCTTTGTTGTCTTTTCCTTTTTGCTTTCAACGAGACCTCTCAAACCAACACCAGCAAGATCAATAACCTGGACCAAGTCGACGGCATTGCAAAGACGAGTATCTCCAAGATGGCTCAGTGTTTTTCCCCTCCTCCCCACTTCCCACACACATCGCATTTCACTGCTGACCAGGATCTCGGCAGCACCGAGTTCACGGATTATCGGCACCCAATAAAACTCCACACAACCCACGATCCATCTCCAGGCATAAACGTGGCCCATTTCATATCGTCCGAAACATGCATATTTGAAACGAGAGTGGACTGGACAAGCCTCGTCGAATCCGAAGAGCCGCCTGCGCACCGCCACATTTCCACATCTCATTCGTCAAGTTATGCATCAACGTCACGATACGTAAACTTGATCGAACTTGCGCGAGCGGGTGGCAGTGCAAAAGCATAGTGCAGCTTCATTTTCCCGTTCTCCGCAAACTACTCCGAGCTCACTAAGGGGCGATCTCTCTCGAAAATCTTAGGACAGCTGGCCAGGCCTTGAAAGCCAAAAATAAAATCCACCCGCCAGAGCTGCCATGGCAGAGCCGCGTACCCGGCGTTAAAACGGCGCGTTGGGACAGCCAATCGCTGGGCGTGCCTGGCGCGCTGGCAAGGGAGGGCGGCTAGGGTCTGGCTTTGGCGAGGCGTCACAGCTCCCTCTAGCGCCTCCATCTTGACAGGGCCTGACAGGGATCGACGGCCCTTTTCCATCCGCTCTCGCGGGCAAAGGACGCGAGGCACTGCTCGTATCTCTGAACTCTCTCTCACTACTGTCACTGCTTACTGTTGCCGTTGCTTGCTTCACTCTTGGCTTTCCTTACACTTTGCTTTGTACACTCTTTCTGCTTTGCGCGTATATACCCTGTCATTTTTTATTGTGAAGAGCAGGCAGCCGAATACAACCGAATACGACAAACGGCGATCTTGACGATAGAGCAGATCTTACCGTGAGAGAGAGGGGAGTGACCACAGGAAGACATGCGCTGAGCTTCCCGACCCGAGATCGACCTCCATCACCACGTGTACCCGTCACACGTACTACCACACTCGCTATCGCACCTTCGCTACACGTTACACCCGTCATTCGCTATGGCATCCACAGTACCGAATGTGCTGCTCCGGCGGGACCTGAGCATAGAGCAGAAGTTCGAGCAGCTGATGACAGATAATGCCCTGGGCGCTTCGGTACATACAGCCTCAATCATTCGCATACAACTCTAACACCTCCAGGTATCCCAAGACTCCGTCCTCGTTGCTATCGGCACGTCGTTCGGCATCACCGCCGCCATATTCATACTTTTCCTCCTACTACGTCCTTTTAATACTATCGTTTACGCGCCCCGTCTCCGACACACTGATGAGAAACACCGACCGCCGCCTCTCGACAAATCGCTGTTTGCGTGGTACAAGCCCGTGTTCAAGACAAACGAGCCGGAGTATGTTGAGAAGATTGGCCTGGATGCGACCATCTTCCTGCGCTTTGCGCGCATGTGCAGGAACATGTTCGTCGTACTCGCCATCGTCGGCTGTGCGATCATCGTCCCCGTCAACGTTATAAAATCAGTGGAATTCCAGAAGAACTTTCAAGGAGATATGGGCGGCAAGATCATCTTCCTGATGACACCCAGAGATTTGTTTGGACAGGTCTTCTGGGCTTTTGTCGTGCTGGCATACATTATTGACATCATTGTTTGCGGCTTCCTGTGGTGGATGTACCGCGCTGTACACCGGATGAGACGCCAGTATCTGGAGCACCCGGACTACCAGAACAGTCTGCACGCGCGAACGCTGATGGTTACGGATATCGACCGCAGCTTTCGCAGCGACCAGGGTATCGTGGAGGTTACCGATAGCTTGAAGACTACGCCAGAGGTTCCCCGCGCATCCATCGGACGCAACGTGAAGGATATCCCAGACCTTATCGAGGCACATGAGGAGGCAGTCATTGAGCTGGAGAAGGTCTTGGCGAAATACCTGAAGAACCCAAACAAGCTGCCCGCAGAGCGACCGTTGTGTACTCCTTCAAAGAAGGATCCAGAGTTTACCGACAAGGCGCAAAAGGTGGATGCGATTGACTATCTCACAGCGCGCATTCAGCGACTGGAAAGCAAGATCAAAGAGGTGCGCGAGACAATCGACAAGCGCGATGCTCTATCGTACGGATTCGCTAGCTATGAGAGTATCGACTCTGCGCATATGGTCGCCTTCGCAGCCCGCAGCAAGCATGTAAAAGGCACCACCGTCCGACTTGCACCCAAACCAAAGGACATCATCTGGAAGAACCTCACCCTCGATCCCAAGACGCGACGCTGGAGACGGATGGTGAACAACTTCTGGATTACCCTACTCACACTCCTGTACTTCATTCCCAACGCCCTAATCGCCGTATTCCTGTCCAAACTCTCCAACTTGGGTTTTGTATGGCCTACCTTCCAGACCGAATTGGCCGCACACGCCGATTTCTGGGCCGTCGTTCAAGGTCTCGCAGCTCCGGCGCTCACCTCGCTCTTTTACTACTTTCTCCCCATCATCTTCCGCCGCCTGTCCATCAAAGCCGGAGACACAACCAAGACATCCCGAGAGCGCCATGTCACAGCACAATTATACGCTTTCTTTGTCTTCAACAACCTGTTCGTATTCTCGCTCTTCAGCGCCGTCTTTGGTATGATTGTCATGATTGTCAATCTCGCGACGCAAGAGCACGTCCCTTTCATGGATATTCTACGACAAATCAAATTCTTCGACACGACCATGCGTACGCTGTGCGAAGTCTCGCCTTTTTGGGTTACATGGCTCGTCCAACGTAACTTGGGTGCTGCCATCGATCTGGCTCAGGCTGTCAACCTTGCGTGGGGCAGTTTCTCGCGCAAGTTCTTGAACCCAACGCCCAGGGAGCTGATTAGTCGGACTGCGCCGCCGCCATTTGACTACGCGAGTTACTACAATTACTTCTTGTTCTACTCGACGGTTGCGTTGTGCTTTGCCCCGTTGCAGCCTATTACGCTGGTTATTGTGGCGATTTACTTTACACTCGATAGCTGGATGAAGAAGTATCTACTGATGTAAGCCTTGACCCTAACTCCTCATGGACCTCAGCTAATCTGTCTTAGGTACGTCTTCTGCACCAAAAACGAGTCTGGTGGTGCGTTCTGGCGTGTGCTCTTCAATCGCATGCTCGTTGGCACTTTCTTCTCCAACTGCATCGTTGCGCTGCTTGTCGTAGCCCGCGGTTACGAACATAAGTGGACTATGTTGGCTGCCATGGCACCTCTTCCCCTCGGATTGATCGCGTTCAAGTTCTATTGCAAGAATGCTTTCGACAACTCGCTCAAGTACTACACGCAAGGCACGCGGGCCAAGGGTACCGAAGCACCTACACCAATCGACAAGGAGTCCAGACGAAGGGATCGTGTTGCTGTGCGATTCGGGTAAGTCACCTTTATACTCCCAAGACAAAGACAAATCACTAACACATCACCCCAGCCACCCCGCCCTCTACCAAAAGCTCACCGTCCCCATGGTCCACGAAAAATCCAAACACCTCCTCGCGGAAGTCTACCGTGGCCGCCTCGACGGCGACATCGGCGACACCGCCGCCTTCAGCGACGTCTACACCATGAAACGCATGTCCAAAGAACACCCTGGAAAAACCGCCGCCTCAGCCAACATCTCTAGCGGCGGGACCGGCCCCTTCGAATTCGTCTCGGAATCGAACATGGATTTTGAAAATTATAAAAACAGACCTGAGTTCAGCGATGAACACGGCGGCGAGGGTTCGCTTTACGGTGGCAGTGCGACTGGGCGTCCAGATACACCTGGGAGTCACTGGGGCCGCGATAATTCCACTAATAACAGCGATCGTGGCCGCAGTACAAGTCGCGATTCGGAACGTACTATGCGAGATGATCCTGGCGTTTTGTACCCACAGGGGTATCATCAAACACCCAGTGCGTTGCGGGAATACAGTCCTAGTCCTAGTTTAGATTTACGAGGGGTGGATAGCAGAGGTGAGAGTCCTTACGAAGTCGGAGATCAGGGGAGGTTAGTCAGTGGGGCTGCGCCTATGGGTATAGGTCATGGGCAACAGCAGTATACGCCGTATAGTCCTAGTAGGGATGGGGCGAGGGATTACTTTGCGAGGTAGTAAGAGAGGAGGAGGATGTGTGTAGATGACGAATTTCTTTGTGTTCTATATAAGTGTCTGTTAAGAGCGGCATTTAGATGGGCGTTATGGTTTTAGATACCAGAATCTTATTGAGTCCATTGTTTCAACTGGCCTGGTAGCTGAATATACGTGTGACGCTGGATCACAAATACATATTAAACTACGAAGAACCTCTGAGAATGGGTGGGGGGAGGGAAGGTGAAGGCTTCTTGTCATGCTAACCTCGAGTAGCTGTCACGTCTCGGCTTGAACCAGCGTTCGCAAGAGCTTAGACAGGCAATATTCAAGTATGCGTATAATTGTAAGTGTGGAGAGGACTGCATCGTAAGAGTTGTTGACAATGTGCATTCGGGCACATGTTAGAGAGTCTGTTACAGTAGAATCGTAATGCATAGCAGGGCAACAAAACCCAGTCAGATAGATCTGATGTATTGTCCTCAATGCCGGTCCACTTGCCAAACACCTCGTACACAAGAGCGCGCTAGATCGTCACAAACTTCGTCCCCACAGAGATATGACTCGGCATCATATCCCTCAACACCTCCAAATCATCCACCTCCAATGGGTTAACATTCCAAACCGCCAGATCTGCCACAAAACCAGGTAGAAGACGTCCCCTCTCACCCTCCTCCCGCAGCAGTTCAGCAGCCTTAGTAGTATGCAACGCAACCGCCTCGTTCACCGTAATCGCATGCTCAACCCCCCTAACACCAACCGTCGTCTCACGCGTAGCCATCCCCCAAACCGACCGCATAGCCGCAAAACTACCAACAGGGTAATCACTCCCGCCCGCAATAAGCGCTCCAGCATCCAACCAAGTACGTGCTGGGAAAGTGCGAGATAATCGATCACGTCCCCAGTAAACCTCCTGTATCCCCGCCGCATTATGCAAAAGCGGATGTTGGATCGTCGTCGCAATCCCCAGTTTCACAGCACGCCGCTGCTCACTCGGCGACACCAACGCCCCATGTTCCATAACCAGTGTGCCAGGCGTTAGATAAGGGAAGCGCTGCATGAGTATCTCGTATACATCCAATACCAATTTCACAGCCCGATCTCCATAAGCATGCGTGCCTATTTTCCAGCCTCGACGTACGACTGCAGACATGGCTTCTATGAGACTGGGTTTCTCCCACGTGAGCATACCGTGGTAACTAGGTAGCCCGCAACAATTGCAAGCGGCGTCTTTTTCTCGGCCGGGCGGGATGGAGAGGAAGGGTTTGGATACGGCGCCTGCTTCGATTCCGCCGTCGACCATGAATTTCACGCCCCAGACGGAGAGGTAGGGATCGCGTTGTAGATACCGATATAATTCCATTTTGTCGAGGAGGCTTTCGACTTGTGCTGCGGATGTCATGCCCACGGCGGGGACCAGGGCATGGACACGCACGTGAAGTTTTCCAGCTGCGTGCGTTGCGATGAGGGCGTCTAGGTCGGCGAGCGGGACGTAGCAGTCTCTCACGCAAGATGTGCCTGTTGCGGCGTATGCAGCGGATGCGGCTTGAAGACCGCAGATTCGTTCGGAGAGGGTGGCGGAGGGTTTTAGTTTTAGGACGGGTATGGTGGCGGAGTCTTGGAAAAGGCCGGTTAGGGCGCCGGAGGGGGATCTTCCGATGAGGCCGCCCGGTGGTGATGGTGTGTCAGACGTCACGTTCAGCATTCCTGCAACGACCGAATTGACGACTATGTTATGCCCGCCCCGCATCACCATAACGGGATGTTTGGTGGATATGGCATCGAGTTCCTTTAGCGTAGGCAGTCGTTGCTCTTTGATGTTGTACTCTAGCCAGTCCGTTGCCGTACATATCCATTCTCCCTCTGGCGTCTCGGTAGCCCGCTTCTTCAATCGCGCAAATAGTTCGTCAAGATTCTTGATGTCGTGGACTGGAACGTCGAAATAGGTCAATCCGGCGAGGATAAGGTGTGTATGCGTATCTGTAAATGCGGGGAGGACGGTGGAGCCTGGTACGTCGATGATTTGGGTCTCGCTGCCGATGAAGTCGTCTGAGCCGGCGGGGTCCTCGGAGAGAGCAATGATACGTCCGGAGAGGAGGGCTATGGAGCGCTGTGGTGGCATGTCTGGTTCGAGAGTTGAAATTGTGCTGGCGCGGATTAGGGTGTCTGCTTGGGGTTGAAAGGTGGATATAGCCATGATGGATGTATCACGCTGTGTGAATCTGATAGTGGTGATGCTGGTCTGAAGTCATAGCAGACAAGTAGTTGTTTTGATCATATAGTAGTGCAAGACTCTCAAGCACTTGCTCGTTCTACTTGTACCCAGGTGTTCGGCCGAAGGTCAGTCGCGAACGTTACTGTCCATTGACTTGCGTTACAGTCTACCCATGGATTTTTGGGAACGCATGACATCGTGTTCGTATAGCGTGGCATTCTCAAGTCGTGGCTTGACCGACACCGTGAATAAGTTTGTGCCGATCAATGGTTGGTGTGGATGTTCTAGCTAGAGGCCGGTGGTCGCGTGCTCAGCAGGCCGAAAACGGTGTTCGGGCTAACAACGCGCCGTACGTCACTACGGCTAATTGTTGATCTGAAACTCTGAAGTTGTGGAGTCGGTACTACCTAGGTACAAAGGTTGTACGAAGCGCAAACGAAACCGTGCGAACCCAATTTGAGACATTGCACATCATGTCTCCGCAGGTTGTGTGCGCGCGCACGACGAGGCAAGGACGGCTGACAGCTCAGTAATTGTATGAGGACTTTAATCAAGGAAGTGAGGACAGTCTCGAAACGGTCAATCTCGTTTTTTCAGTCCTTACATTTACCATCAACCATCACCCAGTAATGTATAAGCATTACTCCCCTGTGGCTTTGCCTGCAGTCGTTGCTCAGTCTTCTTCCTCTTTCTTTCCGCCTCTCTCACCTGCCTCTTCTTCTTCTTGTTTGAGACCTGTTCCGTCGGCACTGCCACACCAGCCACTTTGTATATCTCTTCAATACACGACTTCATCATGTCGGGTTCTTCTAGGACGCGTTTTGCCTGCCCTGGAACGCCGATAAGGTCTGGTATGGAAGGGAAGTCGGCCATGTGACCGGCGATCTTAGACATCTTCTTGCGCAGGTTAAGATTATGCGATTGCTGTCGGTTGCACTCATCTGCTGGAATTTGTTCACCCTCAGGGTCAATCGCTTGCCCTATCTTTATCGACTGACTCAGCATGCGTAGAGAGTAAAGAGCAGCATGTATCCTAGCCGTGAGATGTACGAAGTCCCAGCTGTTGTCAAAGTCGCCGTTCAAGACGCGCTGAACTAGTGGAATCGGAGGTGGCGTATTGAGTTCGGCAAGAACCAGCCTAAGAGCATAGAGCGGCCATGAGACCTCTGGTCCGATCTCACATGCGACCGCCCATTCCTGCAAATAGCTCATCTGTTCCTCTAGGATCTGAACGGGGTCTGGGTGTTCGGGAAAGTATCGCGGGTATATGACGACTTCCTGGATGGAGATACCTTGGGCTTTTCTCCTGTACTCTTGGACCACCGTATACTCCGTTGTTGCGAGGAGAGTGTATGCCAGTCTGCGAATGTCAAGGCCTATGTTCCATGCGGATGCTTGATTGGGCTCTTCGATGAGGAGAGGCAGATACACATGCGGAGTTTGGAGGTGGTCAAAAGCTTGATGTACAAATTCGGATAGCCGGACATCAATCTGAGGCGGATCTACGAGATCCGGCTCACCCAGGTAAGCAGGTCTTGTCACCATCGCGACGTATCGGCTAGCGAAGTCAAGGTACCGTGCAGACTTCTGGTCCACGTCTCGGGCTTGGTGAGCTAGAAGCTTCGCACTATCCTGCGGGTTCTCGATAAGAGTGTATGCAAACGTCACTAGACTCGTTACTTGTAACTGATCCCTGATTTCGTTTGGTGAGTACGCTTTGATGCCAGCAGATACGTCTGCATCGTGGAGGAATACTATCAGCGTATCTACCGAGTAGTCATACAGAACAAGGTCCGTGTCGCTCGTGAAGATGATGGATCGCACATGTTCTTTGGCGTGCGAGGCGCACCAGTCGTCTGCTTCGCCAGGTACGGTATGTGTCTTTGAGGCAAAGGGCGAATTTAGTAGCGCTTCTTGTAGCGCAGGCGCGAGGAATGCGTATGATATCGAGCCTAAGTATGTGGGTACAGGGCACGAAACGGTAGCATAGTTGTTGCGAAATTGCTGCACTCGTCTGTTGTTCGCCTCGGTCCTGGACAGTCTCTCGGCTCGCTTTGAAGTAGGCAAGGCTCCATCGAAGTAGATGGCAGACCTGAGAGCGTGCGATCAGCAATGGACGGCATAAGCTCACATCAGCACTCGCTTAATGTGCATAGAACGGTCACGGTCAAGTGCAATTGAGCAACTTTCCCATATCGACTCTGCGATAAGTGAAGTTTTCGCAACCCCTGCAGCAATGGCGGTGAAGTGAAGAACATATGTGCGCACCTTATTGGCTTGCCGTGGCGGTTCCGTGTCCGGGCGCTGAAAAGCAACTGTGGTTTACTCACACCTTGATGTTGCTATTCTCCAACGAGGTCAGCCAGCGAAGTGCTTCAGCGACGATGTCTGCATAAGACGGGATTCGGATGGCGCTAGCGGCTGAAGCGAGGGCCAATTTGTGAGCGTAGTAGGCGAGTGCAGGGCCGTCTATCACAGCGGAGTAGCCGTCTAGCTGCTCGGAGGAAAGCCGCGTCGCATAGGGTTCGAGACGCCTAGCGAGGCCTTGTATACCCATTTTGACCAGGTGGTTGAGGGTGTTGGGAAGGAAGGTGTGCTCTAGTCGAGACGGAAGGAACTGTGGTATGCACGCAACCAGGATACCCCCGCAAAGGGTCTGGGGCGAAGCGAGGCGGGGAGTGGTCAGTCAAGAGCGTTGTGCAGTGTCTTACCCTCGGATGCAGGGCTAGCGCATGGGCGCAGCGAGTGTTGGGACGTTGACGAGAAAAAGTCGAGAGATGATAGCCAGCGTGGCGTTGGTCTTTCCGCTGATGAGCTAGCGCCGGCGTCATCCCGCGTGGTGGGGGAAGCTGGGCCCCTCACCAGCTCAAAAGTTGCCAGCTGCCACATCGCCCGACTCTCCAATTGCTTCAATCTTTCACTCAAAAAGCTCCAAAAACATAGACAGTCAATATGAGCGTCCGAACAGTCGAGTTGAAGCCTTTCCAGGACCAGAAGCCCGGAACGTAAGTCTGACGCACCCCAAAGAGCTGAGGAAGGCTGATGAAGCTATGGCGTGGATGGATGATAGCTGACATTCTCTATCACAGTTCTGGTCTCCGCAAGAAGGTCAAGGTCTTCCAACAAGAGCACTACTCAGAGTCTTTCGTTGCTAGCATCCTCCAATCTATCCCCGAGGGTGTTGAGGGCGCATTCCTCGTCGTTGGTGGTGATGGCCGTTACTGGAACCCCGAGGTCACCCAGACCATTGCCAAGATGAGCGCTGCCTATGGCGTCAAGAAGCTCCTCATCGGCCAGAATGGTATCATGAGCACACCCGCCGCCAGCCACATCATCCGGATACGCAAGGCGACAGGTGGTATCCTCCTGACTGCCAGCCACAACCCCGGTGGTAAGTCCTCCACAACCCATACACTGTTCCCATCTAACACATCTAGGTCCCGATGAGGACTTTGGTATGAAGTACAACCTCGCCAACGGTGCTCCGGCCCCCGAGAGCGTCACCAACAAGATCTACGAAACCTCCAAGACCCTCAGCTCGTACAAGATCGCCGACATCCCCGACATCGACCTCAGCACCATCGGTACACAAAAGTACGGAAACCTCGAGGTTGAGATTGTCCACTCCACCGAGGACTACCTCAAGATGCTGAAGGATATCTTCGACTTTGACCTCATCAAGTCGTTCCTCAAGGAGCACTCCGACTTCAAGGTCCTCTTCGATGGCCTGAGCGGTGTAACTGGCTCATACGGTGTCGACATTTTCGAGAAGGAGCTCGGCATCCCCAATAGCACACAAAACTGCATCCCCAAGCCAGACTTTGGCGGCCACCACCCCGACCCCAACCTTGTCTACGCCAAGTCGCTGGTCGACGCCGTTGACAAGAACGGAATCCAGTTCGGTGCTGCCAGCGACGGCGATGGTGACCGAAACATGATCTACGGCGCAAACTCTTTCGTCTCGCCCGGTGACAGCTTAGCCATCATCGCACACCATGCCGAGCTCATCCCATACTTTAAGAAGCAGGGCATCTACGGTCTTGCCCGCAGTATGCCTACCTCTGGCGCCATTGACCTTGTCGCCAAGAAGAAGGGCGTCGAGTGCTACGAGGTGCCCACCGGCTGGAAGTTCTTCTGCGGTCTCTTCGACTCTGACAAGATGAACATTTGCGGTGAGGAGAGTTTCGGAACTGGCAGCAACCACATCCGTGAGAAGGACGGTCTGTGGGCTGTCGTCGCCTGGTTGAACATCTTGGCTGGTGTCGGACAGCAGACTGGTACCACACCCAGCATCGCGTCGATCCAAAAGGACTTCTGGAAGACCTACGGCCGCACATTCTTCACCCGCTACGACTACGAGGGCTGCGAGACCGAGGGCGCTAACAAGGTCACCGCCCACATGAAGGAGCTCATCACCACCAAGAAGGACGAGTTCATCGGCTCCACCATCGCTGGCCGCAAGGTGCTCGAGGCCGACGACTTCTCCTACACCGACCTCGACGGCAGCGTCAGCAAGAACCAGGGTATCTTTGTCAAGTTTGACGACGGTAGCCGCATCGTCGTCCGTCTGTCCGGCACAGGCAGCAGCGGCGCTACCATCCGTCTCTACATCGAGAAGCACACCAGCGACGAGTCGACATACGACATGGATGCGCAGGACTACCTCAAAGACAACGTCAAGCTCGCGACCGACCTCCTCAAGCTCCAGGAGTACGTTGGCCGCACCGAGCCCGATGTCAAGACCTAAGCGCGTTGTTGTAATGGGGAACGCGTAGATGTAATAAGCATGATTAGACGAAATGTACACGAGATATCACAATAGTATCATAGCACCAAGAAATGGAACAGCATGGCTGACAGCTCCGTGGCAATAATGTTGTTCGTCATGACCTCGTTGTGTTTGGGCGGGTGTGTGGCTTAGCTCCGACGTCATTGCCCAATCTAAGCATGCTCCGTCCGCAGCGTCTCCATAACAGCCCTCAGGTCCCCACTGCGAAGGTCCCTAGTCTTCGACACCCCCCGCCTTTCACACATCCCTACACGCGCGTCTACACCTGTGGACGATTTCTTCTCACTTTCCCCACCTCTTCAACTTATACCTCGCACACGTGCATCGCAATCATGGCCGAGAAAGAAGGATCGGCGGTGCCACCCCAGGCTAGAGGCTCTTGGACGAGCTTCCTGAAGGTATGGAATTATCCCAGCGTCCTCACGTGTACAGAGATATTCGCGCATTGCGAAATGCTCGTAGCTTCAGGAAATCATGGTGTTTTGACTCGGACATGGCATTTGACTAACACAGGACAGTCCATTGCGTCCTTCAATGGCGACCTGTCCACGATGACGGCGCCTGCCTTTATCCTCTCCACAAAGTCGCTCACCGAGTTCTCGTATGACCCTCCGTACCTACTACCTAGGAGCCAATACTAACCCACAGCAGCTCATACTGGACCGAACACCCCTCCGTCTTTGTCGCACCGGCCGCCGAGAAGGACCCTGCCAAGCGGACCATGCTGGTGCTGAAGTGGTTCCTGAGCACACTGAAGCAGCAGTACGCCAGTCGGTCAGAAAAGCTGGGTAGCGAGAAGAAGCCTCTGAACCCCTTCCTGGGCGAGCTCTTCCTGGGCAAGTGGGAGGACCAGGCAGGCACAACACAGCTCGTCAGCGAGCAAGTCAGGTACGCGCACACACGCGTTTGCGATGGCTAAGCCTGTCGTAAGCATGCCACGCGTATAGTACGGGAGAGCTAATGCAATGCGCGCAGTCATCATCCACCCGTCACGGCTTACTCCATCTGGAACGACCAACACGGCGTCCGGCTAGAGGGTTACAACGCGCAAAAAGCGTCCTTCAAGACCACCATTAATGTCAAGGTGAGTATTCGTGGCATCTTTCATGTACACTGCTGACATTTCATAGCAAATCGGACATGCCATGCTCCATCTCGACAACTACAACGAAAGCTACCTCATCACCCTCCCCGCCCTCCACATCGAAGGCCTCATCACAGGCTCCCCCTACGTCGAGCTCAACAGTAGCACCTACATCCAATCCTCCACCGGCTACACTGCGCGCATCGACTACAGCGGTAAGGGCTGGGTCTCTGGAAAGAAGAACTCGTTCACCGCAGTGCTATACCCGGAGGGCAAAGAGAAGGAAGCCATCTACAAGGCTGACGGCCAGTGGACCGACTCGTTCCAGATCAAGGATGCCAAGACCAAGGCCGTCGTGGACACATTCGACCACAAGTCCACAAAGACAACACCCCTCGCCGTCGCCGCCATCGAGCAACAAGACGACTTCGAAACCAGACGCGCATGGAAGAAGGTGTCGGATGCGATTAACAGTGGCAACATGGACCTGACAAGTGCGGAGAAGACCATCATCGAGACCCGCCAGCGCGAGATGCGACAACAGGAGAAGGACGCTGGGAAGGAGTGGGAGCGCAAGTTCTTCTCAAGAGCACCGAAGTACCCGTTGTTCGAGCAGCTGGCCAAGAAGATTGGCGAGGGTATCAATGATGGGCAGACGAATGGTGTGTGGAACTTTGATAAGCAGAAGGCGGATGCGGCGAAGAGTCCGTTCCATCCGGATGTTGTGCCGCCGATTTATGAGAGGAAGTGAGGCTGGGATGTCTTCGCTCTATCACGCATACGTGTAGTCAGCTCATCATGATGGATGAGTATAATGATGCTTTCAGTGGGACTAAAACTCCACGGAAGCGGTTCTTGGCTGAGGCAAAATCGTGGTACATAGGTATCAGGGCCTCATGTGGAATCAAGCTGTTCAAGCTATGACGGTTGCAGTAAAATGGCCTGACGAGCATCTCTTTCATTGCTATAAGTAGTCTCAGTATACCGAAGAACGAAAAGATTTGTCTTTCCCAAATGTGTCGTTGATTTTTCAGTCTAGTTTACACGTCTTCTGCTTTGGTAACGATACAGGTACTCTTACACATGCACTCGCGGAGCTTGACTACTGACTCAGCCACTATGAAGCGTCTTTCGAGTCTGTTCTCTTATCATTACCATGTCGCTGCCAGCATTGCCGGAAGATTTCCATCTACACAACATGTCAGTTTGGGTGAATCTCAAAGCCGCCTTATTACTTTCGGCGAATCCTCGGCTTCCGCAAGTCCAGAAGGAAGAGGCAACAGCGCTGGTTGACAAAACTTACCTCTTGCTTACACGCTCGCCAATCCTTCTTCTCGTAGTAGCAATCTGTCAACTTTGCATTTTCGTCTGCGCAGCCGGTGCTGTAGATGCGCTTGTCCCTGGTTGGAGTATCGTTAGCTTACTTCGCTGGTTTTCCTCGCTTCTCCAGATCGGATCTCCGCATCTCACAGAAAGACTACAACTACGCACCAGTCATCCGGTTCATCATCGATCAACAGCTGCGCTGCTGCTGCCCGTGCTTTATCTTCTTTTGACATATTTGAAAGAGTTAGAAGAGAGGAATTGCGACGTCTGGTGTGAAGATATCGAGTCGCGGAAGCTTTCGCAGGTTCATTGAGAAAGTTAACGTTACTTTGAGCACGGTCGGCCAATCTCGGTCCGCACTACAGTACCGTGAACGTCACCGTCAGTCAGTCAGCATACGAATCGCACATCACATATCGAAATCGCCAACATTATGGCGAGCAAAAAAATGAATGTGCTGGTTTACTCCGGTACGCCTTTTCAAGCCTCCTCACCACCCCCACCAAGATGACTAAACCAGCCCAGGCAACGGCAGCACCACAGAGTCCGTCCGCCACTGCCTCTACACTCTGCGGCGCCTCCTATCCCCTTCTTACGCCGTCATCCCCATCACAGGCGATACTCTGATCAAAGAACCCTGGTTCAGCACCTGCGCCTTACTCGTCTTCCCCGGCGGCGCTGATCTAGGCTACTGCCGCACGCTCAACGGCGAAGGGAACAGGCGCATTAGTCGGTATGTGAACGCCGGTGGTTCTTATCTTGGTTTCTGCGCTGGAGGATACTATGGCAGTAGTAGATGTGAATTTGAAGTCAACGACCCCAAGATGGCTGTAGAAGGGGAGAGGGAATTAGGTTTCTTCCCTGGGACGTGTAGGGGATTGGCGTTTGAGGGTTTCAAGTATGCGAGTGAAGCTGGGGCGAGGGCGGCGGAGATTAAGATTGAGAAAGGTGCTTTTGAGGGGGTGGATGAGGGAGTAGGGGAGAGTTTCAAGAGCTATTACAATGGCGGGGGTGTTTTTGTTGATGCGAAGAAGTTGGAGAGTAGGGGGGTGCAGATTTTGGCGAGTTATACGGAGGATTTGCATGTTGAGTCTGGAGAGGGCAAGGCCGCGGTTGTGTACCGGAAGGTGGGCGAGGGGCATGCTGTGGTTACTGGGCCGCATCCGGAGTAAGTCTGCTTTGATCCATGTAACACGTTCTTACTAACGCGCCATAGATTTGCGCCCCAGAACTTGAGCAAGATCCCCAGCTTACCTTCCTATGCTACTGTCATCAGCGACATCACAGCTACAGATGCTACTCGACTCGACTTTATGCGCTTGATCCTCCGCAAACTTGGGCTGCAGGTCAACGAGCAGGAACAAGCGGTACCGTCCCTTTCCCGTCTGCATCTCACCGCTCATAACCTATCAGACGTTGCTGACCTCATTGCTACCTGGAGCGAGATCATCACTGTAGTCGATGGCGATGAGTACATCAAGGGCGAGAACGACGTGTTTCGCATCGAGAAGGAGGGTAGCGCGTGGAGTGTGAAGGAGTTGAAGAGGGCGGTGAGCGCTGTGTCGGAGAAGTTGCCTACCCTTGCTTCTGTGACGAACAGTACCAAAGAAGGCGTCGAGGAAAAAAGCCAAGAGAAGGCGGAAAACAAAAAGAAGGTACCCAAGACCCCAGAAGAAGAAATCCAAGAGTGCGTCGAGTACACATCCAGCACATCTCCCGACCAAATCGTCTCCTACGAAAAGGTTGTGAAGGTCATAATACCTCACGAGAAAGCGTTGCCATCCGCCGAAGAGACGAAATTCCACCACGAATCCTTCTACGCAAACCTCCACCACTACCACACCAAACTGCGCAACCCCAACGCCTCCTTCGGCAAACACCTCATCTACGGCGAAGTCGTAACATCCACCAACACACTCCTCGAGAAGAACCCGTCCCTCCTCCGCAGTCTCCCAAACGGCTTCACCATAACAGCAACCACGCAAATTGCGGGTCGCGGAAGGGGGAACAACGTTTGGATCGCTCCGCCCGGCGCGCTGATGTTTAGTACCGTGCTCCACCATTCCTTCACGCTGAGTCAGAGCGCGCCCGTGGTGTTTATCCAATACCTCGCTGCCCTCGCCATCGTCCAAGGAATCCAAAACTACGCCCCAGGCTACGAAAAGATTCCCGTGAAGCTAAAGTGGCCAAACGATATTTACGCTCAGTTACCTGGCTCCTCCAACAACCCCGTTGTGAAAATCGGCGGCATTCTGGTGAATAGCAGTTATTCGGGGAGTACGTATGATGTCGTTACGGGGATTGGACTTAATTTGAGTAATGCGCTGCCAACAACAAGTCTCAACCTCCTCGCCAAATCCCTAAACCCGCCACTCAAAGATTTCACACCCGAAAAACTCCTCGCATCCATCCTCGCACACTTCGAAACTCTCTACTCCACATTCACACAGTCCGGTTTCACGCGCGAGATGGAAGAGTTTTACTATGCGAACTGGCTGCATACGGATCAGCTTGTTACGCTGGAGAGTGTAGATGGGGTAGAGACGGGTATGAAGGCGAGGATCAAGGGGATTACGAGGGATTGGGGTCTTTTGCTGGCGGAGGAGGTGAGGGAGGTGGATGGACGGGGGACGGGGAGGGTAGTGCAGGTGCAGAGTGATGGTAATAGCTTTGATTTTTTTAGGGGGTTAGTGAAACGGAAGGTCTGAGTGGGTGAGGCTGGAAGGAAGGACTAGATGCCAGAGAATGTTTTTCATGGATGTTGAAGCACTATACGAGGTCATTTAGTCTTCGTTGATTTTGGTGCCAGGAACCATGTCGCTCTAACGCTCCCGTCCAGGTTTGCGTACCCAGAACCGCATACCCCGCCAGTCTCCACCATTCATCTCTGCAGGCCCCAACGGGTAGATCACCAGCCTGGGTTCATCCTCGACAGTTTTGATGAATCTGGCACATAGCCTTCTCTTAGTGTAGCAATCGTCGCAAGCCTTCTTCCCGTACACTTCCTTGAGTCTTTGTTGCATCCGTTGGTGTCGTTCTTCACACCTCTCTTCCTCTTCTTCATCATACATGCTCAGCATTGGATCGTCATACCAGTCCTTCCGTGGTTCTGGTTGAGCAGGCATAACAATTTCTCCCTTTGGTTTGGGGTTCAGTTCACGGTACACACATGTCTCTGCATCGTCCACCTCTTCCATCATTTTCCGATACTGCTTCCTGTGCTTCGACTTCCCGAGGTAATCTTTGTTGAACTTGCGTGTCATCTCTTTGACGAACGCGACCGGGAACTCGTCCAGTTCTTTGAGCTCTTGGCCTTGGGCGGTGGGTATCCGGAAAACTACATCGACATCGCGTAGGAGCGAACTTTCGGATGTAGACCTTTTCCTCCTTATTCCGTACGATAGCTCTGTATCGGCAAGATCTTCCGTGTAGTCTTCGTCGCTGCCGCACCCATCCTCGCTGTCGGTGAGGCTTATGTCGAGCATGGTTGAGGATTCCTGAACTTCTTTCCAGGGTGTGGGTACAACTTCACCGGGGGTAGCGTCGGTATCGCTGTTTGTGTCGGCGACAGAATTGGCATCTCCTTCTGGTTCATCACCGACGATGATATCCGCCTCCCCCTCATTGAACATTTGGGCGTTGACCTGATGATCTTCTTATTCCGCCTCTGACTCTAGGTTTACGATTCCTGTCTTCTTCCCTGTTCTGGCAAGATTACTTCCTCTTCTCTTCCGGTTCGCAGTCGATGATTGAGTTGTTCTCGCTTTTGGGGTCTGGACTGGCTGGTAATGTGAAACTTGCGTGGGTCGCGGCTCTGATTAGCTGTCAGCAGTTGATTGCGACTAATCGCAATTGCAATTACCTCTGCTTCCGCGTTCCGCACGCCTGCGGGGAGTTTGACTATCGTTGCGGACAACGTTGTTGCTATCATCCGTGACGTCGCCGCCATCTTTGTCTTCCACCGGCGCTATAACGCCGCCTGCTTGAGTCGCTGCAATTTCTTCGAACACCTGTGTCGCGATGATGTTGAGGAACCCTCTAGTAACGCCAGTTCTGAGTCCACAGGTGATGACGTCGATGAGTTCTTCGCTGCTCATGCCTATGAGAAGACCACTCCTTGCAGCCACAAGGGCAGGGTTACCCGATAGCGCCAAGAGCGCGTCGTGGTATCTTTGTGCCGTTGACATGGTGATGTCGCGGATGAAATGGGGCTGGCGGGGGTTTGTGGAGGTAAAGTGTGTTGAAGTTAGGGAAGAGATTGGCGAGTGGTTATGAGGAGAACCTGAGTATGAAGGTGGCGCTAGTATAGTCGGTGAGAGACACGGCGATGAGTGCACCTTTACTTGTGCAATGATTCTGGTATCGAGCTTTCTATATACTCATGCTGTGCACGGTGACAGGAGGTTTAGAGTTGCTCCTGAAATGCTTACCCTTCTATTCCGTCGCTTAATGCACGAAGAAAAGTATTAAATATAAGTTGTGTCTACACAGTCATTGAGCGAAACGGACCCCAAAAGACTACACCGTCTGTTTTAGTCTAGAAACGCAGTCTGAAAGTTCATGTATACATCGAGAGTAGTCGTACTTATGTGCTAGTCACATCTATCGCAAGTTCTCAAGGACGCACCCAATAGTCCAGCGAATTCCCCCTTGCATCACCGCGAAATTCGAGAGGTAAGGGGACAAAGGCAAGCTTGATCACACCCTTATGTAGCATCAGCCGAGTGCACAGACGCTTCACCCTAATACAGCGATCGCAGGCCTCGTTCATGTGTCCTGTTCGTCCACCAGGCTGCTTCGCTCTCATGATGACGGTATCATTGACACAGCTTTGGGTGGCGACTCCCTTTTCTCGTAGTCTTAGCAACTTACCCCACTCTGATCTATGGAGATCGGTAGAGAGGTAATCTTCATCAAATTTTGAGTCGAATAAGGTAGACATGTTGGCGTCACCATAAATATTGTAGTGTACACTCCAGCGGACGATATCGATGCGCGGAACGATCTTGTTATCTATGATTTGCTCCATCTTACAGTCTCGAAGGCTCATATTGCCGGCGGAGGCACCAGCCTGCGTGGCGACTACAGGAGGTGTATCGAGTCTGGAACGTTTGCGGGTCGCAATGCCGGGAGACGGTGAAGGTGATCGCTTGCTTGCTGTCGACATGGCTGACGTAGCTGGTCCGCCCGATGCTGGATGATCGTTGATCACCATGATCTCGTTCATGGCTAGTGCATGGTCAGGAAGTCCTTTCAAAATCTTCTTCAGGGTGCTCACATTGCTGCTGGATGCTGTTTCCTTGCACTTGCTCATTCTTGACGCTAGCTGTCGCGTGATCCCTTGCGATGACGTCCAGGATGACCGTAACGATGTCTTCCAAGCCGCCGCGCGCGAACTCCCTCCCCACGGCTTTCTTCAGTAGCTCCGAAAGGTCGTCGTCATCAATACCTTGAAGTAGATGTTGGCGGGGTGTGACGAGCTGCTCGTTTCCGGAGAGCGCGAGCAAAGCCTTGAGATAGGAATCGACGGTCGACATGGCGAGTAATGCTGACGGGAAGACGATGTATAGTGGAAGGTGGGAGAGCCGTGTTGCTGTTGACTGTGCCGCGCACCCTAATAGAGCTAGCAGTGGAAACGCGTGGATTGGGAAAGTGCAAACGGACGGAGTAACGCACATGCATCGAAAGAAGATGAACACCATTGAATCAGGTAAAAAATATCAGAAAATGGTGGAAGAGCGATCCTCATCAACCAAGTCATCATAAGCGCCGTATTCGTCCTTCCTCTACTAGCTTTCTCAGCCCGTAAATCAATTCCCATGGGGCCGGGGTTTTCGTATTTGACCTCCATCTTGCAGTCTGGTTACCAGAACCTCATGTCGACGGCCGGGCAGAAGCTTCATAGACGCCAGCGAGGCTTTTTTTTTAGAACCGCTGGTAGACCTGTGTAGCATCTCTACCGCGACGGCGAGCTTTATCCTTGGCCCTGAAACCCCTAGATGCTTCTTCGGCTCCCTCTGCATGTGTCGGAGGTTTCTGAATACTATTAGGGTGTTTTTGCGGCTGCCGGCCTTGTTTGGCGCTTGAATTGGTGGACACCGATGCTATCGTTAACGGACCCGGGTCTGCAGCAAGCTCTCTATCATCTGGTGTAACGTTGACGTTAGCATATGTCACGGCAGCCTGGGGATAATTACATAGTCTCACGCTCGGATGCCTTCATGATGGCCCCATCGTCGTCGTCTAGCTCTTGTTCCATCTTGATCATGACCTCAATCTCTCCATTGGCTTCTCCATCATTCACCACGACTTCATTCTCTCTATTTACATCATGCATAAGCTTCAAGCACGGATCGCTTGAGATGGTATGCAGCATGACTAGCGCAATATCCTCCAATTCTTGTCTTTCGAACTTCTATCTCATGCCTTGGATGACTACACGCGACAGCTAATTATCGCTGAAGTTCTTGGGTATGTCCTCGTGCGTGTCGGTATCTGCATGGTTGTTGAACCGCGCGAGTATGGCTTTGAGATCGCTATCGTAGTATGACAAGGTAGGTAGAGATGGAGGAAAGAGTCTTGTTGTGTTGTTGTTTACTACGCAGCGACACCAACGCGTTCCCTGCGATGTCTCATAGGTAGACAAGAGACAAGTGATGACCCGGCGAAGGCGTCAGTGGAGGAGAATTGGCGTCACCAGCTTTCAAAACCATTCAAGCTGCGACTTTGGTGGGCAGGAGAAGTTGTTATTGATTGTCTTCCTTTCTCGAAATGTTTGTCTGAATGCTGTAACCGCCAGGCAGCTGCACCGGGATCAAGCGGGCGCGCGAGCACATGACGTCCATAATGCGGGATCGCCAACGATAACCCCAATCCGCACAATGTTCCAGGAATGGAGTAAATCATCCTGAGCTTTTCGAGAAACGCAAGAGTATTGGTCTTGGCGAATGCATTCTGTTGCGAGATAACAATTGGAAGTACGTCGACGATGAAATTCTGGGTGGAAGAAGTGCCTACTTGGGTATGGTCACCTACATGGTTTAGCCTTATGCGACAGCGTGAGCAACCGTACACGCGGCGCCATGACGTCAACAATGTCTTGTCTCAGTATGTAGGTGGGTTCGAAGTTCTTGTCGAATTGAGAGGTATTCTTTTGTCTTTTCGAAAGTAAAAGTGCGCCTGGCGCGAGCGGGGCGAAATCCCCGCCCCCGCATCTAAGATCAGTTTAGACCGCAACATACCTAGGTGGCTTCCACGCCGAACATTTACTTCAACACGCACAGTATGATGGTGGCGCAGATTGACAAGGCTGAGTTAGGCAGACTTCGCTTAGTTCGTCCGTATTTGGGCAGGAACTTGGCCAAGCATTTGGCTGCTGACACTGCCCCAGCCCCGCCCTCGTCGAGTGCTCACATACTACTACTGAGGGTGACAAGATGCCGAAGAGAGTGCATCGACCGTTCAGACCAGTACCAGATCACAAACGAACCGAATTGACATTACATCGCGCAATATCCGAAGTCGCTGCACGTGGATGACGTCATGCCAGACGCTAAGACCGGCGATAGAATAGCGGCCCGTCAGTGTTGGGAGTGCTTCAAACGACGCCTGGTATGCGATCGCACCCTACCGTCATGCAAGAAATGTACCAAGACTGGTAAGAAATGCCCCGGATATAACGAGCAGAAGCCGTTGCAATGGGTGGAACCGGGAACTGTGACGCTTCGGCGGAAGAAGAAGGAAAGTCGGCCAACAACATCCACCATCAGCACAAGGAAATCCGGGAGGACCGCGCCTGCTGTTTCAAGTGGGCCCGATGCTGCTCCTGAGGTAATCAGGGAGACAAGTCCGCTAGAGCTTCTCGGACAAGGAAGGTGCTTGTCTTTCCAGTGGCCCGTCGTCGAAGAGCTTCAGCTTTCCCCAGAGGCAATCGAGCTATCCAAGAGCCAACTTGCAAATCTGTTGGTGCAAGAAGACAAGCCAGCATGGTGGCGCAAACTTGAAATCGAGAAGCATGTAGACCCCGTTGAGCTAATAGCTGCAGAGGCCGGAGCGGGCTGTGGGGTGGGCGAACGCATCATGTGCATTGGCAACAAAGACCAGATCAAGGAAGTAGTAGAAAGAGGCCAGCACTGGGAAGCCGCACTACTTTTGCAGTCGAATCAGAGGCCTCTCGCCAAGATACAAAGACTGCTCGAGGTCATGGAGATGAACAGACTTCCATCGTACGATTTCTTGTCGGATGAGACGCACGACGTGGTACAAGCTGTCAATTACTGTATGTGTGCAAAATAAAACTGAGTACATGTACTAAGCCCGCTAGTCAACACTAGGATTTATCCTGATATCCAAGAAACGGACTGCCTAGCACCCAATCCAGCGGTGGTTCACTTCCCGGTATGGGCATTGCATATATTGGCTCCGCCAATGCATTATACCACGGTCTGCCTGAGTCTCAACTACCATTTGACCTCGTCGTCTCTAGGCAAGGACCGTGCGACTGTTGCAGACAATCGCCTGAAGATCTACCATTATCGAGGCCTTGCTATCCGCGCTCTCAATGAGAATGTCGCGAGGAAGGAAACCCGCAGTAGCGATCAGACAATCGCCAGTATTCTCATGTTCATGGCAATGGAGGTATATCTTGACAATCTCGACATGCCATGCTCCAAACGCTAATGATGCTTGTAGGTACATAGCTCTACAGATGTAGACTGGAGATTGCATGCAGATGGAATGAAGCGACTTATAGATATGCGTGGTGGATTTGAACCACTACGACACGCAGTTCCTCACCTGACGTCAGCGCTAGTGATCTTCGTCCTGTTGGTATAACTCGAGCATTGCGACGAATGTAGCTGACATCATGCAGCATTGTAACGTTTTCGAACAGTCTTGGTCCAGCATCGCGTCAAATAAGTATCACTGAGCCACTCGAACAGCATATCGAGGAGGTGGAGAAGTTGTACAGCCTTATACTCCCTTACACACTGTGTCCGTCAACACTCTTCATTGAGATCATCCGCATCAACCGCCTACGTAAACAGCTCAGCCGCTCGTCCATCGTGGAACCGCACCAGTACACCCAATACGCACAAAGCATTCTTTCTCGTACCGAATCCTTCGTCCCAAGAGAATGGGCGCAGTCTAAAGACCAAGTAGATGGCTGGCAGCTGATCGGATCGATTTGGCAGTCTGCAATCGTACTCTACTGCATAATGTCGTTGCAAGCTTTTGACGTTCTTCCCAGCACCACAGAGATCGACACCATGCGAATGCGACATCGTGATCGTCTCTTTAAAGATCTGAAGGCTGCCACACGATTAAAACAGCTCAAGAAGATATCGACATTTCCACTGTGTGTACTTGGGGTGGAAGCGGGCTATCATGTTCAGCAAAGCACTCAGATCTGGATTGAACGGCACTTGGAGGAGCATGCTCGCCTTCTCGGCAGTAATAGCCCTTTGAAGGCGCGAGAAGTGCTCCGACGATACTGGCGGCGAAAGAAACCTGGTTGGAATGAGTGCTTTGATGAGCCGTAAGTGTTTCATTCGTGACGTTTCCAGAGAGATGCACTAATGAGATCGTGTCGCAGGTCCACAACTCTTGTGCCAGCGGGTGTCTGTTGATCTTTCTGACGAATCGATGCCGTCCTGACGTTATGCATCGGCCAACTGAAGCATATTTAGTTGACTGCTTAGGCAACCTCCCAACCCAGTTCCAATGAATCATCGATCATTACGTGCTACAGTGCTTCCCACCACCGATATCTGCACATTTGATGGATCGCCGAGATGCCGAAGTGCATGCACACTTGTCTTGTTTCGGGAGTAAAGTAGCGAGCTGGGCTGACTGCATACAACGGACTGAAGCACCATCTGGTGCTGGCCAATGTCAATCTCAGAATGCGATCGCCGCCATTGCTTCTCCTGATTCGTGGCTGTTCGCCTTGGCCCTCTTTGCTTCCTAATCGGGTTAGCGCTGATGACAAGCGGTCTCCGTGCATTCCCAAGGCTATACCGAAACAGTAAGACGTTCAAGGATGAGCATCGATCAGGAAGAAAGCTTGGCCATTTGGCAGTCTATTTCAGTATAGTCGCGCAGCATATGCCTCATAACGTATACGCGAATCAGATTAGCCACGTCTGCGCTCTACCTCCATTCTTGCTGGCTATTGCCGCGTACCGATTCCCACTGACAACAGTGCTCAAGATTTCGATGGCACTGTGGCTTTGTGCATCATGTCTGACAATGACGAAGTCTTGCTTTCGATGCGGCCCCCACGACTAGCACTGCGCGAAAGACGCCTCATCTTCTTCTATTGCATCTGCAAGGCTGACTAGGCAAGATATTAGGTTTCAAGAAACGCATATATATTGCAATGAATTCTCAAAGAGCAGCTGGACACCATCGACAATCGTCGCAATTACCGCACCAAGATGTTTCCAAAGACGACCTTTTACCTAGCGTTAAACGCATGCCTGAACCTCGCTGCGACGGCGTCACAAGCATCTTCTGAATATATCAAGTACCCTGAGAATTCTGAGAAAGTGGCCATCAACTGGACAGATGCGTCCAGCGTTCTGGGTAGACCCGACACTTACCTCGGAAAGCTGGCTGTACCCCTTGACTACACGTTGCCCCAATCGAAGAACAACACACTCACCCTCAACATTCTGAAAGTCAAAGCGACCAAAGAGCCTAAGCTGGGGAGTGTGTTGACAAATTGGGGCGGTCCCGGTTTGCCTGCAACTGACTGGCTGTTGGCGCAGGCTCGTTATGTTCTTGCGTAAGTTGCTTCTCGATGATCAACGCTATGGCGAGATACTAACGACTCTTCTCGCGCAGCATGACAGGCGGTCAGTACGACATTATCGGTCCTGACCCCAGGGGCACTGGAACGACTTTGCCCGTGGATTGCTACAAAGACGAAATGGAAAGGATGGTCGCGACGTTACGAACACCCACGAGGACCAATTCGTCTGAAGTTGCGTTGGGCGCTGTTTGGTCTTACACAAAGCAATATGCTGCACGCTGCTTCCAGAACGAGGCAGTAAATGGGTCTTTGATGAGCACAGCGTTCGTGGCCAGAGATTTCATGAAAGTCGTTGATGCCCTGACTGTGGAAGGCGAGGATGGTTTTCTCAGATACTGGGGTGAGTTTGAGATAAAATCTGGCGTTTGGTGCTATTGACTAATCGACCCCAGGCATCTCCTATGGCACATACCTCGGCCAGGTCTTAGCTGCCATGTTTCCTAACAGAGTCGAAAGAATGATGCTTGACGGAGTTCTTAATTCGCTCGAATACCAGCAAGGATGGTTGGTGAATTCCTTTACATGATGGTGGCACAAGCTGACTGAGAACTAGGGAAACCGGTCCAGCTGCCTCTGCGCCCGTTGCTTTGAGACAGTTCACCAAACAGTGCATTGATGCCGGAGCCTCCTGCTCCCTCTTTCGCCCAAACCTGACCGCAGACGCACTGTATGATCATATCCACAGCCTTAGCGAAGAAGCTAGGCGAGTGCCGATCGTTATGGGCCCCAACGTCACAACCGATATCGTCACCTACGAGAAAATTGCCGAGGCCAGTGACACAGCTCTACGCATGGGTCTGGCATCCGGTTCTTACTTAGCTGGTTATCTCAACAGCATCATGATCCGTGATACTCCAGAATACAACCACACCCAGTACCTGGTCAACCGCTCCTTCATTGTGCAGGACGCCGCGATCAATGCGGACAATACACAGCTAATCCGCTGCTCCGATGCCATGTTCCGTGCTGATGAGCTCACTGACATCGAGGAACGCGTCCAGTACATAACGGAGTTGAGTGATTGGAACAGCGATTACATTATCGGCTCGTATATCATGTGCTCGCTGTGGAAGGTTCAGGCGAAAGAACGGTACGAGGGTGACTTCAAAGCGAAGACGAGGAAACCCGTGTTGCTCATCGGCTCGCCGTATGACGTCCGGACTCCGATCTCTGGGGCTTATGCGGCGAATAAGACGCTAGAAGAAAGCGTTGTGCTTCAACATAATGGTCTCGGAGTAAGTTGAACAGCATTTCTTTGCTTCATGGAAGGGTGGGGTTTATCCGAGAGAGACAATCGCTAACGAGATTGGTAGCACACGGTTATGTACAGCCCCGGAGCCTGCGCCATTACCGCAACCGCTGCGTATTTTGTGAACGGAACTATGCCGGAAGAAGGGACGGTATGCGAGCAAGACTTTGGTATCTTCTCCGGAAAAGGCTTGAATGAGACTCTGGACCTATTTGGTGAGCCTTAGTCTGGCAAGGTGAGGAGTGTGAGACTCCCAAGCCAAGCTTCGGAATAGTAACGAAGGACAAGGTTGGATCGTGGTGAGAACCAGATGGTGTGCTCGGAAGACCATGGCGGGTGATTGCTCATGCATGAACATTGAATAAACATCTCGTAGCTGCTCGTCATTATTCTGACCAATACCCCCGGTGTGGTTGGGTGTGCCGAACTCGGCTCCATTTTCCGAGTCTCTCCAATATGCGTTGGCATATGACTGCTCATTGAGACGGAGGCATGCTGGCGCTAATGCGTGATATCTCTTGATCCCGCGTCTGCGTCTGGAATCGCATAAGAACTCCGTCAGACATGATATACGCGCCAAGCGACGCCCAATTTTGGCCTTCACGATACATATCGTGCAAAGGGAAAGCGCGAAGCTTTGGGCCTACAGCATCCATGATGACTCTTATACAGAGACGCAGCCGGTCATTGCAATGGTCACAAGTCTTGTCTTTATCTTCTTCAGCCGCAGTCTATTTCGAAGCTGCTACACCATGATACAGATAGTTGTTGACACCCATCCCTCTCTGAATGAACCGTTCTGCACACCTCACTATCGAACGATACATTGTCCATACTTTAGCATGAGAAATGTAACAACAGCGCTCCTATCTCAAGAATGGATATAGCGGTCGATGAAGTGCATATGTTGATCAGGTTGATGTTGTCGTCGGCGCTCTTGGGTGCCTCTTCCCGTTTAAAGTTGCCGTCTTTCGCTGTCAACATGTTCCGCGGAGCAGTACTGTGGTTCGCGATCACCTTCTGCCAATGCGCCGCCTCGATGTCGCCCTCGCCGGATAGGCGAACAACTCTTCCGTTTGTCGATATCGGAGCGAATGTTCTGTGTACGCGATGGCCGAAACTATCCGCCTTTCCCGTAGCCTTCCTTGTAGATTGAACTGTTTGCGACGCCGGATTGGAGACCGGCGTTGCGCCAGCAAAGGGAAGTTGCTTGGGCTGCCAGGAGCCTGCATTCTTTAGTGACCATTGTATACGCACGAACTTGATACTTTACCTTCGGTATCCTGAAGCAACTCAGACTTTGTGCTTTGCTCATCTCTTAGGCAGTCAAGCATTCCGACGCCTAGCTTCTCGAATATCTTGCGAGGAGTTGTAGAGAACATTAATCCTTCTTGAACCAGGGAGTCAAGCTCCTCATCGCTAAGAATCTCGGTATACTGCATGCTTGCACAGGCGAACCTGGCTTCGCCGGAAAATCCAAGAGGTAGCTCCAGGTACAATTGCGCCATTGTTATTGGAAATGAGACGTGACGCTACGATCGAGGTCTAGATATTCGGGGCTGTTTACACTGAGGCCGATGCTATAGGTTAACGCGACGAGTGGGGGTTGGTCAGCGCAAATGGGGACACGCAGAGATATGGAAACATCATCGGGCAGGTCTTTGTCTCCCTCAACTCCAATTTCTGCAAGTCATGTCTTTATTGCCCTCCGATAAAGGCATACCTCACGCCCAACGACACTATGAACTGGAAGAATTTCGGTCGCATTGCTGTATGCTCAGTACTACATTCCAAAAAGTAGACACTGTCAGTGGTAATGTATAATTCCGGTTTCATTGCAATGCCCGGATACGCGACATGAGGTTTGCTATCCGTAATTCTCCTACCACCCTAGGTTCGGTTGCGCAACAAAGTCATACACAAACACTTGCTCGAGCAACGGGTCCGTCTCATTCTTCCGTGGAGTTAGCCTGCACTTTCATGCGATGATATAAATACCACATACCTTCAACCTATCATGCCCAGGATCTTTATCAAAAACCTGTCTCGCGGCTTCATCCTACTCATTATTAGCACTCACATCTCGGTTGCGGCGACGTCTACTCCATACTTTGAAGATCACGATAAAACCCATATCCCACACGCTCTCCCTCTTCACATTTGTCAGGTTCAACGGCGTATTCAGTGGCCTCCCTCCTTTCGGCCCTTCGACCAGCAGCTCCGGATGTTCGGCATAGAGCGCGAGAAAGGCGGATGCGCGATCGCCTTTCTGCTCCGCAGTGACATTGGGATGGAAGCGGAATGTTGCTATGCGCGTCACAGGGGATGAGTCGGTAGTATTTGTGGTTGATGAGGACATTGCGAACGATGAGACGGGTGCCAAGATAGCGAGGAAGGCCACGAGGATGTGGAAGTGGAGTTGCATTGTGATGAGATAAGACCGGCGGGGTATGCGATTTAAGCAATGCAAGGCGGAATAATGCTGTGCGGCTTTAATCAGGGCGTAACATCGTAAAAGAGGAAAGACGTTATGCATGTAGTCGTGATGCTCACCGCGTATTGGTGCGCTAAACTCTAATCTGACCTGCATGCGGAGATGGAGACACGCGGGCGGAGAGCCGAGATCATCACATCACATTCGTATCGACACACGCTGACTGCCATTATGAACTTTTATTGTACTATCACTCTTAAGAATATATGTAACAATGCTAACAAGACGTCTTCGTAATAATCTAAGTGACACTGGAAACGACAAAAGAAAGACTCAGACAAGGGTATACAACCGGAAAGCAATCGCAAAAGGGAAGAACGTTCAAAAGTGGCGCCGGATACAGAAAAGAGATAGATAGACTGCAGGGCAAGCCTTTTAGACCTGCGCTCAGTGCGATAGCGATGAGAGCCCTGTGAACTTCCAGTCGACTCAAGATCGCTTAACGATGAGGGTCGGTGAGAGGGTGGCAGATGCGCCAAGCCACCTTTGTGGACTTGACTTCATCGCAGCTGAGTGTTGAAAGCACTAATGTGTTCCAGATAACTTCAGGCAGTATCTACCAGGTGTCTTGGTGGGAAGTCGCCGATGAGTCAAGACCTTTGGACTTGCGCTCATCCCGACCGAGTGAGTCAAGCCTCTCTGGACCTTTCATTCATCTCGGTCATCAGCTCTCGAGTCTCTTTAGACAAGATCAGCTGAGTCACATTGGCAGGTGTGACCCCGATGGGCGCGCGTCTTGGAGGCGGCGAGGGGTAAGTAGATGAGATGAGCTCTTTGAGCTTGCACCTGGCCGACTGGGTGGTGAAGACTCTGTGGACTTTTGACCAGCTCAACCGACGACCGTCAATGTTCTCTGACACGATCCGCCTAGATATATGCCGGCAGATCTCGGCTCGAGGGATGCGCGTTCTGTGGCAGGGAAGTAGATGGAGAAAGCTCATTTGGCTTTAGTTCAGAAGGGAGGTCGCACTGACTCAGCGAAGATGTGGCGAGCCATGAAAGCTGTTTAGACTTCAATGCATATGGTTTGTTGAACGGGTGATGGGTGAATGTGGGCCCTAGGCGGTATGGCGTCTTGCGAGGAGGAGCAGGCTCAGTGGCCTAAGAAGAAAACTCGTCTTGACGTGAGCTCTAGAGGCTGCGACGGTCAAGCACTGAGCGAGCACGCTTAAAGCTACTGCGCGGGGTAGCCTTCGCATCCTCGTTGCGGCGAGCCTCGCGCTGTTTCGCGACCACCTCCTTGGTCACGACCTTCTTGTTGCGACCTTGGCGCTCAACTCGCTCTACTTCGTCTGCAAGGCTGGCGGTGCGACGGCGTTTGACACCAACGGCAGGAGCGGAAGACGACATCACCGGAGGAGGCGAAGGAATTGAGGAAGCGGGAGCTGGCGGGGCGTGTCCTGGACCTCCTGCTTGACATCTGAAGGCGATGACTGGAAGCCGGGGGACATAAACGAGCTGAGGGAGCTCTGAGGGCCAGGGGCGACGTCCTCGGTCTTGATAGCAGGGACGGACGGTGGTGTCTGGTTGACAGCAGGGCGGGTATTGCTGATAACGTCGAGGTTGTCAGAAGTGAAGGAGACGGCCTCGGAGTTTATCTCTTCAAAAGCATCGAGGGCGCGCTTAGCGCTCGTGGTCATGGCGTTCTCAATCTTGATGACAGGGGCAGGTGTAGGCTTGGAGTTGACCTCAGGATCGAGTTTGCTACGACCATTGGCGTTGCTGTCCGTACCATCTTTCAGCTTCACCAAGTCGTCCTTCGTGATAGAGAGGGGTGCACGCTCAATGGGTTCTTCTTCAACTACATCGAGGGAGTCGGCGCACTCCTGGATCAAAGACGGCTTGTCGTATGCGGATTGGTCGACTTGCAGAAGTAACTTCTTGAAGGCCGGACAGTCATGGTGGAGGTAGAAAGACCCGTTCAAGTCCTCTGGACCGTGCTCGAAGGTCTCAGCCTTGGTAGACCTCTTGGACGCGACAGGAGCCTCCTTGAAGCTGTATGGAGAATGGGCCCGGTTGGCGACCTCATCGAATGGGCCTCTCCGATACATGGTATCGTACTTTACCGTCTCGTTGGCCCTAGCACGCTTCAACAAAGTCCTCGGTGTCGGTACTGCCGGAGCTGTTTGGACATTCGAGGAGACATCCATAAAAGACTCGTCGACGTTTCGCGGGTTGGTGTTGAAACCGTTGCGCTTGTCGGTGTTGGCTGAGGGAAACGACTCTGAAGTCGCGCCCTGGCCCTTGAGTTGAGCCCTCCTAACGCGAAGACGAGCAATGTTGTCGAGATTAGCCTGGAGGTTGGGACGCTTCGCACCATATGGAAGCGAGTAAGGCTCAAGCTTTCCGTCTAAAAACCGCTTGAGCTCTTGGGAGCAGCTTTCGGACAGTGTGACGCCGCTATTCTTGATGATTTCCTTGATGTCGTGGAAAAGATGGATGGGCCTCTGCTTCAGCAAATAGGACCCTATGCGATGTCAGTAACGAAAGTATCGGGCAAGGAGCGCGGACGCGGGTGTGCCTACCTGTAACGGGACGCATCTTGGGCGCAGCGTGCTGGTTATTGGAAGGGATAGAAGACATCTTATGTGTGTACGTAAAGTAATGTCAATATGAGCGTGTAGAGGGTGAACCCTGGTGAGGAGCGTGCTTCCGAGTGCGAGCGGGTGTGGGAATACGTAGAATTCAGGGAGTGGGTTGTATATAGAAGAGTGATGGTCCGAGCTATCGCGATGTTTTTTCAGGGACGGAGTGTCGCGTTCTCATATCGAACTGGTGTCGTGATTACCTGGGCGAAAGTTTTCACTACGCAGTCATGGGTCGCAAGCACAATGTAGAGCGCGATATCGGCGCAGGCGACACCGAAAGCAACGAATGTGTCGCAACTCTTGTCCAAGTCGCGCTTCCAAATGTTCCATTGCAACAATGTTCCTCGTTCTGGCGCTGGGTGGGGCAGCTAGATAACGACCCACGAAGTCACGTGCTGCAACATTCACTGCGACGATACTGCGTTTGGTGGTCTACCCCTCAACCGCCTTAGCAAAGCTGCTGCGATACCTTCGTATCTACGAAGAGCACGTATGGATTGCTTAGCGCAGAACCTCGTGCTAAGCGCGCAGCTTCAGTGTACTGACCTACCACAGGCCCGTATAATGAAACCATCAACCAGCTTTCCGGTCGCGAAGCCATGGCCCAGAATATATACCGAAAGAATCTGGTACATTCGTGGCAATGCACATCTTGGCCGTTTGACCGCCAGCTTTCCGCTTCCGTCTTCTCGCAGGGGGCCAGAACGGTAAGGCAGTGACGTTGCTGTAGGCGTTTGCACTACTCTATTCCGATTGAAACGCGCGTGAAAGTTCTCGCATTCACCACATGCGGCAACCACAACTTTCGTTCCCCACGATACGAAGTGCAGTCACCCACCTCTTTCGTGTACTCTACGGACCATCTTTGCGTTTTGCTGGTATATCATCGCGCAACTGTATTCGGCAACCTTATACTAACACTATGCCGCATAGTCCCAGCACTTCCTGTAATCTAGCAACATTCGAGATGGTTGACAAGATCGGGCGCCCACGCAAGGCTGTAGGCAGCAGCGACCCTTCCGAGAAGAGTAAGAGCAATCGGGGAGGCCGCCCACAAGTCGAGGCCTCTTCCCGACCCGAAGAATTCCACAGCGCCCACGATGGGTTCGAAGATGTGCCCATGCCACTCGCAGCGCTAAGCGCTTCACAACTCCGCGACTTCGCAGAAGCTCAAGCGGAGCCGGAGTCACCAGCTCGTACGTCCAATATCCGCACCAGCACCGCCGATGCGTTGCAAACCGGCGCTGACGAAGACGAAACGACCTGCCAGGCTACATCTGCTTCCTCTTCCTCCTCATCCAGCTGGGAAGACCTCCATTCCTCAGCATCAACATCCTTCCAAACAGCGACACCCTTCCCCGGCACCTGGCCCGCCGCCCTCCACGACACCAGCGCCGCGCTATGACAGATCTCTGCCGCGACCCTCTCCTACGCCAGCGCCATCGCATCATCAGGCCTTGGTCGTGCATCATGGAGTGTCGGCACAGCAGCCTTATCCTCCACCAATCAACTCGCACTCTCCTTCACTACTTGGGGCATGGCGAAGACAGGCGTCATGCCGAATGAGCTTCCCGCACCAGTGAGGCAGTGGATTCAAGGGAAGGAAGAGCGTGATCGGCGGCGGAGGAGAGCTGAGCAGAGGAGACGAGAGAGGAGAAGGAAGGATGGAGAGGTCGTGGTCCGGGGAGTGGATGAGGAAGGTGGCTTTGTGTTGGCGACGCATGAGATGGACAACACGCTGAACTTCGAGGACAGGGGGCCTCAAGGTATGCGGGAAGACACAGGTGAACAGGATAAAGTGCAAGAACTTGCGACGGGAGAACGGCAAGAGATCGAGGAGCAGGAGGACGAACATGAAGACTTGTGAGAGTCGGCGGTAGATAGACGAGGGGCCATGCGATGTACGTGTAAACCATAACGATATATAACGAAATTTGTTAGTACTGCGACATCCACTGCCTCGGTCATCCCTCGCGAACAGTATCACAAGTCCAGGCAAGGAGGCGACGATGCTGGTGAGGGCCAGTTCGGCAATGCTCGGGATGTCTATGAAGCACCTGAGTTAGTACACAAGTCCAATACGCCCATCTAGAAAGTGAGGGTGTCGCAAATGACCAGACCTAGGGTATCAAGGGCAGAGGCCATCAGCAACACTTTAGACTATTTCAGTCTCTTGCAATAGCAGTAAACGTGCGCGTAGATATGCAGAACAGCAAAAGCGTACGTAACAACTAAGCAAATCTATTCTGCGAACTAGAAAGGTTTCGTTTTGTTAGCAATGCTATGTTAAACTTAATCCTAGCAGCAACCTACTATGTAGTCTCTGCTATTAATAAAATATGCCATAGCGGCGACGCAGAGTAGCTAGGTAGAAGATGGCACTAATGCTAAAACTACTAGGAAAGCAACAGCTCTTACTTGTTAGGCCAGGGCCAAGCACAAGTAAGATAGAAACGCTAGCCCTAGCAGCCTAACTACTTTGTGATAGTTTTATACGCGTTTACCCCTCTAGGCAAAGTCCTTGGTTGGCGCACTAGGGACCCTTGTCGCGCGAGTATCTTGCACCTTGCAAAACCCGGAAGCCAGCTATGCAAACCAGTGTACAGTCGCTAGCGATGGCAGTTTTACCTCTGCCCACAGCTGCAACATCATTTACACCAGCATCAGGATAGGGTTGCGCAGCCCTACCTACTCTATACGTGCTTACAATTGAATAGACAGCTTTTGGCTCGCTGCCAACGATAGTCAAGTATGGTTACAGCTTAAGTTGTGAATGAAAGGGATTTTTTTTGGCACATAGTCAATAAGGGGTTGAGCTCGGTGCGGGTTAATCAAGTAAATAATCCCGCTTGCTGCCTGAATGATCGCGGTCTGAGGCCAAGTCTGAGGTAAGCCGTCTACGTGTCTGGCGTAATGTACCGCCATAGCACCGAATTGCCGTAAGCTCTCGCTCAGCCAGTCCTCCATCACTGCTTCATCAGAAACACGCATGCCGCTAGAGCAGAGTTTAGTTAAGGCTTTGTAGACCTGCTTTAAGCTCTTATAGCTTAGAGAGCAAGTCTCTTTAACGTTTGATAGACATTTGCACAATCCGTACTAGTAGCGAGTTTCTGTAGTATTCCGTCTACTAGGTATATATAAGCTGAATGACGTGGCTATATTAAATTAAGAAGGGTATCCTCACTTACTTAATAAATTTGCATCTAATTAGTCGGCCCTACGATGTCCGCGAGGTTCCGAGCCAAGTGAGAAAAAGGTGACCTATGTATATATTAAAAGCTCTAGCCCATCGAGAAGCACTTCAGTATCCTCACCCAATATCTACCAACGCAAACCACACCAACAGAACTCCTCCCCTTCAACAACCATTCCCAAGATGCTTCGACACTACCTCAGCCTTTTACTTGTAACTGCCATGACAGCTACGACGGTTAATGCAGGGTGCTGTGTTTTACCAAATGGTCTTGGATGCGCAGATTTTGATAGTCAGAGCCAGTGTAATTCAGTTGCCGGGGCTACATACAGGAGTTCTGCTTGCACTGCTAATTGCTAAACGTAAGCAGCCCAGCGTTTGTTAGGATTCTAGATCTAACAGGCTTTACAGGCGGCTTCCAAGCAAGCTAAGCGAGTCACCCTGAAGTCGGTTTACAACATGCCAGTCGAATGTTACGGTCTAGGCAGGGGCGGCGCAATCAAAAGGGCAATCAGAACCGTGACCCAATGACTGGATAAGTTGTCACGGCCAGCATCAACGCCAAGGGGGCTTCCTGCTAGCTTATGTAATTCCAGTACTCACAATGGAATCTGAAACTCGAAATAGCCCACCCATCTCATCCTCGCTCAATCTATTTCTATACATTTGTAAACATTTCACCATGTGTCTCTCTACGTCCGCGTTAAGCTAAGTTTACTATGCCGTACTAAAGCGAGCAGCGCTAAGATAACGTAGCAAAGTTTGCGTAGAAGTAATAATTTAGAAGCAGTCTACCCTAAAATAGAAATCTGTATCTCTAGAGCATTACATAGTTTGCTTACTCTAATTAATACAATTACATACGCTAGGTCTAGAGTTTCACTATACAGTCTATGCTTTAAAAGTGCTTGTCCGCGTGTCTAGCATTTAAAGATCTAGCTACACAACAACTACTAATAGAGTGTCTTGCGCACTCCCTTAAACACATGCCCTTCTTTAGACTTGCTCAGTAGCAGCCGTCGGCATATTGTCTAACTCCGACGACTTCGCGTATTCTATTGTGACCGTCAAACTTCTTCTACCCAGAACGAGATCGATGATAGCTTCTACAAAAGCCCATACTACCAATTCTGCTCTCCATCCCAACCACTATACAACGCATCTACAGCCCAACATACTTGACAGCATTGCACTGCGTGTCACTCGCAATCGGCTTTCCATTAAACGCAATCTTGAGATGCCCCTCCCAAGTACCCCCATGATCCATCTTGAAACAAGCAGCATCATACCCATTCTCCTGCATCCACTTAAGCTCGCGCTCCACCGCATTCCTAATCGTCTTCGACTCAGACGTAGTGTCGCACTTCGGACCAGAAGTTGTCGCGTAGTATTGCCACGCAGCGCCGTCGACGTTTCCAGAGATTACGGAGCAGCTGTTGACGTCGGATTGGCCTTTGATGTAGACGGCGAGGTAGTTGGCGATGGAGACGATGGCCAGAGTGGCGGTTGCGCCGTTGCTGACGAAGCCGGCGGCGACTTCGATGTCGGTGCGGCGGTCGAGAGGAGCTGCGACATCCTTTGAGAGCAGGGCGTAGCTAGAGCTTTCATGTCAGTAGATTGCAATAACCGATATATGTTGATGGAAAGGCGACAACGTACTCTTTCTCGGGACTACCAATAGCGATGGCCTCGGCAGCGCCGAGCAAACAGAAGATGTGGGCGAGTTGGAAGCGCATCGTGAACAAGTGAGGTATAGCAAATGGGGTACTTTGATGTTGAACTGTGACTTGAGAGGAACTGATGAGATGAATTGATACCTTTATTTCGACGCCTCAATTACTTATATACATCATCAAATGGACACAAGGCCTACGTCAGGCCTGCGCTCTACCTCCCCTCTTCGTCAAGATTCAAGCACTCGACAAGCGTTTCTGCCTCGTCGGCCTGATCTTGACGAGGCCTCCAAACATACTGCCCGCCTCGATCACAAAAGAAGAGAGAAAGTTGGATAGACGGCGACGTGAATCCATGTAGTAGTGCTGTATCAACGGACCGAGACAGATGATCGCGGGGTGCCTGATGTACGATACATGGAGTCGATCGGGTATTGCAGTCAAAATAAGAGCGCAGCTACAAAGCTTAGGTTGATCCTTGAGTGTCTTGATCCTGGTGCCGGAAAATCGGTCGGTGCAAAGACATGGTTCGTTTACGGACCGATCTGGAACGCCTTAGATACACAGCCTCGTGCGGCTATGTGCAACGACTAAACATGGAACGCCTAAGCGATTCTGACGTAGATAGTCTACCTAAAACGGCTATTTTTGAGCGCGGGAAGTTTGCGGAGGCTAAGATTACTGAAACGCCGCGACGAGATGGGGTCCAACATCGTGATTCGGCCCGCTGCACAGACCTGAGAAGGAACGCCTTGGAGACGGCGAAGTGCAACACCACGATCATCATTGTATAGACGCTGATCCAAGAAGGGCGCCTTACACATGCAGTATTGTGCGGCGATTTGCACGGAATGAAACGAAGATAGCATCGGTCTACTTGCTAGTGGACACATGCATCCTGCCTCTATCCAGTATACTCGGGTCATATCGCGAGGCTGATCTGGGTACTCTTTCCAACCACGCACGTCTTCAGGCGTGCAGGCAGTAGATCACAGGATCCCAGGGCGTGCTTCCAGTCAATCTGTGCTCAACTATCACCAACTCCATCATCGGAACGATCCAGTATGCGAGTGTATATATAGCGGGCAGGATACACACTTCTATCGCACCATCCTCATCACTCAAGCATCACTACTCTCCTGTGCTTCAACAATCTACAACATTCATCTACCACATCCTTATTCTACTTCCCATCATGCGTTTCTCAACCATCGCCGCTACCGCTCTCTGCCTCGGCTACAATGCCATGGCCATATCTCTTCCGGAGCGGGAGGCTCTGCCACTCTTGAGCGAGGAAACACAGTCTGAGTATGATGCACAAGCTCTTTTCAACCCATTCTTCATCCCCTACTAACAACTTGTGTCCAGCGACAGCCTCGCAAAACGCCTCACCATCGAAGAGGCAGTCGCTATCCTAGGTGCAGGCTCCATGGTCGCGCTCAACGTGAACGCCATCGCGACCTACGTTTCAAACTTGATGAAGGCACAGAGCGATGCCAACACTTGTGGTGTTATCACCGGCACCGTTGACGGGTACGTGTTTGCCTTCCCTCTTTGCCCCCACCTTGAAACCCCCTCCCCAAAGCTTCGACGCTCGTTTCATCTTCCTATCCCCTTCCCCCTTTGACATACGGCCACTGAAGTATCACCCTCACAGCGTAAACTACCAATACCACGCGGCCACGACCGGAAAAAACTGCGACACAACCGCCGAAGTCAAAACCATGAAAGACGCCGTGTCTCGCGGCCTAGAATTCATGACTACGCACAACATTAACCAAGCCTGCTTCAACATGCAGCATGGCGGCACCTGGAGGGGTTTGCTGCAGTTGGCGAGTGGGGATAGACAGATTGTTAATGGCAAGTGCGATAGTGTGACTTATACTTTGACCGTCACTTAGGTGGTCGGAGTGGGGATTGGGGGGATGAGTAACGAGTGGCGGTGGTGGTGGATGGGTAGTGTAGATGGGAGATGGAATTTGACGTTGCTTGATGCCTTCAATGTGTTGTTTGTCGATCGTGAGCCTTGCTTCCCTTTCATTCACCTTCTGATGTACTCGTCCTTTCGATATGATGATGCTGATGATGATATATTTACTGTTCGAGTAGGCTCACAAAACATCGCCACAATCTTTCGTCTCATGAACAATAGTGTGCAAAGCCAAATCCAACATAAGCACAAGCCAGCGGACGATGGAGTCACTAGCAATTACGCCTCAGTCCGTCCTCTGGCTCACGCATCCAGATAGCTTACCCTTCCGTCAATCTAGGGGGTCGGGCAGTAATGCGTCAATAGGAGAAACGTCGAGCTCGGGAGAAACATGACGACGATCAAGTCAGACGGTCGCAAAAACCCGGCCCCTATCCAGTGTACTCACACATGCACTTGACTCACTTACAAATTCATATATGATATCTTGCTGCAAAGGGTATTGTCGCATTGGGGTGACCGTTCAAAGTCGTCACTCATTATGTTATCAACTTACAGCTATCTTACCAGCTTACCAACACATATCTACCCACCAACGCACTTCTCTTGAAATGCGCTTCTACAACCTCTCCTTCTGGAGACCCTTCCATCCCCACTCTTGTGCAATCAACTCAGCGGCACGCTCGCCGATACCCAAGACTGTCAACATAGGGTTGATGGTGGGCATCTCGGGGAAGCATCCCGCATCCGCAATCCTGACGCTCTTGAGACCGCGAATCTTCAACTCGGGGTCTACAACAGCCATCTCGTCCTTTGTCACATCACCCATCTTGGTTGTGCCAGCGGGGTGGTATACAGTGTGCGCGACGCGGCGACCGTACTCGGACAGCTCTTCGTCGGTGTTGACCTTGGGACCGGGCGCAACCTCGCGCTTGATCCAGTTGGAGAAAGGTGCCTGCTTGGCGATCTCGCGGGCGGCTTTCAGACCGGCGACGATGGTGGCTGCGTCGTAGCCCTCAGGGTCGGTGAAGTAGCGGAAGTCGAGCGCGGGCTTGACGGTGGGGTCAGATGAGGTGAGATAGATGCGGCCGCGGGAGCGGGGTCGGGGGATGTTGGGCGTCATGCAGAATGCGTCGATGGGGGAGTCGTAACCCATGCTGGTGATCACGTTAGTTGCAGTGCGGAAATGTGGGGTCGTTGGGCTTACCGAGCAGTGTTGAGGCAGAAGGGAATCTGGTAGCAGTGAGCCATGATGTCGGCGATGTCGCCGTCACCACCTGCTGCGTTTGGAATTTCACGGCGCAGGAAGATACCAGCGTCAGAGTCCATAGTGGTCTGGTTCGCGGGTACGGGCTTGTTCAGCTCCCAGAGGATGATGCTCTCGGGGTGGTCTAGCAAGTTCTCACCAACACCGGGAATGTCTTTTACGACAGGGATGCCGAGGTCGGAAAGTTGTTGCTTGGGACCAAGACCGGAGAGGAGCATCAGTCGCGGGGTGTCGACTGCGCCTGCGCAGAGAATAGTCTCACACTTGGGGTTGAGTGTGCGCTTCTCGCCGCTCTGGAATGTGAGGTCGATGCCGGTGACCTTGTCGCCGTTGACATTGACCTTGCTGACCCACGCGTTGGTGAGAACAGTCAGGTTGTCGCGCTTCTCCTCACCGCGGAGAATGGGGTGGATGTAGGCGACACTAGCGCTGCTCCGGCGGCCATCGTCGGGGTTATATGATACTGAGAAGAAACCGACGGAAGGCTTGAGGGCGCCCTTGGTCTTGATTTCGTGGTTGAAGTCGTGGATCACGGGAATGTCCATGGCAGTGGAGCAGGAGTCGATCCAGTCGAGGCAGAGCTGGTTGCGGTGCTTCTCGTGAACAGGCTGCACGGTGTTGCGCAGGTTGTCAAGCACACGCATGAAGGTCTTGAAGCTCCAGCCCTTGCAGCCTTGGGCCTCCCATCGCTTGCAGTCGTACTCAAACGGCCTGAAGGAGATGAGGGTGTTGTGTGATGAGCAGCCACCAAGGACCTTTGCACGTGAGTGTCGGATGTGTGAGTTGCCATTGGGCTGTTCGGTGGTGCCGTAGTCGTAGTCGAGCTCCCCTCCGAGAAGGTTGAGCCAGTCCTTGAGCAGCAGCACACGGTCGTCCATGAAGTCGCTTGGGCCGGCCTCAATCAAGAGGACCTTCTTGTTGGGGAGATATTCGGTAAGTCGCGAGGCAATGACACAGCCAGCTGTGCCTCCTCCGACAATGACAAAGTCATACTCGGCATCCTTGGGAATGGAGGTCACGGTCTCGAAAGCCATTGTTGCGTGTGGGTGGTGTGCTTGGGGTGATGGCGAGAATATACTTCTGCTGAAGAGAGCTTTTCACGTCAGGGCAAGCTTATATATCCAACCGGACTATCGCTCGAAGGAGACGATGTTGTCTAGATGGGCCGGGCGTCGCGATCGGGCGGTCGGCAGAAGGTCGGACCAGCAAAAGTGAGCTGGCGATGAGGCTGGGGAATGAAGAGTCGTGCACAGCTGCAAGATGTGTCGTTCGCCTTCCAGATAAGACTGTGCTAAATAGGGCCGTTTACGGTTGGACCGGACGAGTGCACGTGCTCAACCAACGCCTCAGGACGTCAGCGATGTTGCGACGGGTACGCGAGGATGGATACGCGATGGGCCGATAGTAAACTTAGAGCACGCTGTAAGCAGGTAGTGAGTAAGTTTGATCAATTGGGTCCAACAACGACTATGATGGTGCCGGCGACGACGTAGATATGGCGCGCGTGGCCGTCAGTGAAAGAAAAAAAGGCGTCGTAAAACCGTCCGATGATGTGATGGGCGCGTTGGGCCTAGCGCGACCCCGCTGGGCTGCAGCTTCCGAGCTGGCGATCCCTGTCGCTTCATGCCGCACCTTCCCCGATCTCTGGGCGGTGAGGGCGGCAGCCATCGGAGCGACGTTTTTGTGCCAGACAGCAGCAGCGACAGGAAACGACGCCATCCCGCTGAAAAGCGAGCTTTGCTGCTATCACTGTCGTTGCGACAATTCTTGCTCGCACCCCTTGCATATCCCTCAGCTGACGCATCCCGTCGGCGACGTCCCGAAGGATTACTGATCGTGAAAGGAAGTAGAGGCGCAACAGCTGCATCCAAGCTCCCCGCCGCTATCGCTTCATCAAATGTTCGTTCACGTTACATCACCGCGCCAATCTTGACCACTTGGCTGACATGTGCAGATCAAACTGTGCATAAAGATTCACCGGTATATCTCGCTCATCGTGACCATAGTAGCGACCAAACTCCCGCGCCATCGCGTCAACCCCAGAAGCAACCCATCGCACTCTCCCATTGCGCCAACAAGTCACCACCATGTCTCTCCCATATGCGCCCCGATCAGCCTACTACGACGGCAAGCTTCAATCAGGCTCATCCACTTCCACCTTCCAGACCATTGATCCCGCGACCGCCCAACCTGTCGCAAACATCCACACAACATCCAACGCTGGCATAGACGCTGCGATAGCCTCGGCGCAAAGAGCCTTCCCCGCATGGTCAGCGACACCACCCATCGAGCGCGCGCGCATCCTCCAGCGAGCGGCTGCCCTGCTTCGCGCACGCAATGACGAACTTGCCCGGATCGAGACCAGCGACACCGGCAAGCCCTTCTCCGAGACCTCGACTGTAGATGTAGTCACCGGCGCCGATGTCCTCGAATACTTCGCGAACCTCGTAGGCGGAGGCGGCATGAACGGTGAGACGGCACAACTGCGACCAGATGCGTGGGTATACACGACCAAGAATTCTTTGGGCGTGTGTGCAGGCATTGGCGCGTGGAACTACCCAATCCAGATTGCGCTTTGGAAGTCTGCGCCGTGCCTGGCAGCCGGCAACTGCATGGTCTACAAGCCTTCGGAGTTCACACCGCTGCACTCCACAGTGCTAGCGGACATCTACGCAGAAGCTGGTGTGCCGCCGGGTGTCTTCAACGTCGTCCAGGGCGGCGGTGAGGTCGGCGCATACCTGACCAAGCACTCTGGCATCGTCAAGGTCAGCTTCACCGGACAAGTCTCGACAGGCAAGAAGGTCGCAGGCAGCGCATCTGGCGAGATGAAATACGTGACAATGGAGCTGGGCGGGAAGTCGGCATGCGTCATCCTCCCAGATGCGGACGTGGACCAGGCAGTTGACGGTGCGATGCTGGCCAACTTCTTCTCAACAGGGCAAGTCTGCACCAACGGTACAAGGGTCTTCATTCCCGAAGCAATCAAGTCAGAATTCGAGAAGCGACTATTAGAGAAGATGCAATACATCCGCCCCGGCAACCTCCACGACATGAACACCAACTTCGGCCCGCTAGTTTCCAAGCCGCACTACGAAAAGGTCATACAATACATCAAGCACGGCCGCGACAACGACAAGGCGAAGATGCTTTGCGGAGGCCCTGAAACTCCATCATGGGTTGCGTCACACAGCGACAAAGCCTACCAAAAAGGCTACTGGGTCCAACCCACCGTCTTCACAAACTGCACCGACGACATGAAGATTGTGCGCGAAGAGATCTTTGGCCCTGTCATGTCCATCCTCACTTACAAGACCGTCGAGGAAGTCGTCCAACGCGCCAACAATACCGATGTCGGTCTTGCGGCGGGTGTCTTCACCAAGGACCTCAACCTAGCGCACAAGGTCATCGCTCAGCTTGAGGCGGGTATCACATGGGTAAACACTTGGGGTGAGAGCCCCGCTGAGATGAGTGTGGGAGGCTGGAAGCAGAGCGGTGTTGGTGTTGAGAATGGTAAGAAGGGTCTTGAGGCTTGGGTCCGGAATAAGAGTACGCTTGTTGAGATGGGTGGGGCTGTGCCGACTGTGTTTGCGAAGTTGTAGTAGCCTCGTAGACACGAGAGAATGTATGTATATAGTTGATACCGATTCAAGTTCAATGCCACAATCCGGGAAAACTCGGGCTGTATCCCTTGTTTTAGTGTGAAGGGGTCTAGTTAGCTGCACCAGTGGCGATGGCTCTCGTGAGATAGGCCGCTGATGTTTATCTATCGACCTTGGCTTGCATGGTGATGTACCATGTATAGAACAAAGGCGAGCCTTCTGTTGCTTTTAATCCGCGTCAGCGCCTCGCATCTGGTGGAGCCCTATCCGCCACACATAACAGGTCGAGTTTAAGTTAGACTCTTTTAGCTGCATAATTCGTGGCACAATAGCAAATGTAAAGACAAGCCTACGAAACACTTAACAGCGGTCTGACATCCCTTGCCTTCCGTTCACTCCCAGCAACTCCCCAACACACCAACATGTCAAACGGAAGCCAAAGCCAAAGCTTCCTCGTCGAAGTGAACGGTCGATTCGTTACTACACCATCGCCTGCTAGTGAACTCGACGATCGCGATAAGAAGCTCGCGGTCACCTTGGGGGGTCAGAACGATGCCGCAGCAATTTACATGCTGGGCGGCTTTTTGTGTACTGGCTCTAAACCCAATGTCCTCTTCCTGGGGCGTTTGATAGATGAGCCGCGTAATTCTGAACCTCCCGCGATGTACTGGACCGTACGATCCGACATGCTGAAGCCGTATCAATCTGGAGAAATCCCAAGTTCTCTTGCGATGGGATCGGACGGTATGTCACACTATAGCTACGTCCAACACAGCTCTTCGCCTCCTTGTGAGAATGCTTGGTTAACTATCATGCAGACTCTCGCCTGCGTGCCAATTCGGGATACGATGGGATAAAGCTAGTTCCCTCATTGTCGGACGTTGGTAAGTCAGATGCCACTACACATGGTCAACCAAGAGTTCGATTAACATAAACGTGCTAATAATGGTAGGAAGCGCACCGACGTTGGCCTGCCCGCCGGGATTTCGCATGGAAGGTGATCAGGCTGTAAGAATCGAAGACGCGTGAATGAAGTATGGCCTGTAAATGATGCGATGTCAGATTGAGGCATTCACGAAAAGCGGGACGGGCAAGAACAAAGTGATGGTGGTTGCCAGGCTGGAAGCGAAAAATATTAGGAGTAGTGACCGAGCTTACGATGGACGATGGACGCGAGGAATAAGCCACTCCCACTGCACGACGTGTGTTTCTTCGTTGTGATATATGTGGTAACGGAGGCCCGCACGAAAGAAGAAATGGGCTTGCAACTTAGAAAGCGGGGTCGCATCGCGCACCTGCATCACGCAACCTGTGCAGCTTCCAACTCCACCGCTCCAAGTATACACCTCGCGCAAGAGGTCTCATAGTTCCCGAAAACCTCGTAGTGACAGGATGTCGAGCCTGTCAGTCCAAGCATACATGACATTCGACTAGCCCCCTTATGACATACAGCACAAGCCACCATTATATCGCGGCAGAACCCGAGCATCTGCGCAAATGGGCTTATCGTAGATTTATTTAGTGTCAAGCTGATCAACCTGATGAATCCAACATACTAGAGTAGATGACGCCCAGCGTGCGCTCGTACTTGCATACCGCTGGCACTACTCGTATTCGGATACCGTACTACTCTGTGAATGTGCGGTAGGGTGATACTATGTCCACCTTAGCAATAAGGTTCATTGTGCGCTGTCACCACACCAAGAAGTCGTTACCTATTAGCAATTTGAAACGACTGAGAGCGGTGAAGAGACGTCGAAGGCATTTGAGATAGGCGAATTTTCCGCAAAACAGTGCGTATCGCATCACATGGAACAACCAAGTCAAGATCGCGCAAGGGTACGGGCGGGGATGGTGCAGGCGAATGGAATCCACAACGAATGCTCCTACAATCACCCAAACTTCACCGTTGAGGCTTTCCCGAACCCTCCCATCCTCCCCTCAACTATCCAAAAGATTGCCAAAATGGGCGAAGTTGACCTTCCTAACGCAATTGTCATTGAGGTCAACGGTCACTTGATCGTTGACCGTCCTGAGCCCGACGGTGATGAGGCCGATGGTGGAACAAGGAGTGCATCTCCAGCGCACATGGGTGAGCTGAAAGACGCCGCGGTCTTCAAATTGGTAGGCTGCCGCATGATCAGTGGAGACTGAATGATGGCCGTTGTCGAGGGCGGTTACGGAGATCACTATTCACCCAAGGGTGTGCGGTGGATTGACGGCCATGACGAGTACGGACAGGCGCTAAGGTTTAATTATGCTCGTGAGAAGCATCAAGACGTGTTGTACTGTGGCACTCGTACGTACTTGTATCGCTCGCCCAAACCGCGTCATTAGCTAAATCCTTGCAGATGGCCTGATGCCTGCTCCGCCAAAGGATAACGAGGATTGGATGCATATTCAGCTTCCTCAATTTTCCAGCAGCTACGTGATAGGCCTTAAGGGATCTGTTCTAGCAGTACTGGAGCTAACTTTGCTAATTGGGGTGATGAAGATGCAGTAGCAGAAGATATAATTGGACCATTATGCGTAGAGTTCGCGTTGGGAAGACTAGTGGTGTAAGACGCGATGCGCAGTGCCAGCGATACTCAGATCTGATGTCAGCATTGGCAAATCTTCGAGACGCGTCGCTTCAAGTTTGGAGATTGGACCGTATTCGCAGCATGTGCTGCCCTTGTCTCTTCAATGCGAGCTTGTGCTGATTCCCGCGAGCTTTGATGACCATGACCATGGAATGTGAGTTGATACGAATAGACATTGACAGCGTCTCCCGTTGCATTAAATCTTTCTTGCACATGCGACCAAGTCGTAGTTTCAGATCTTATACAAAGCTTTTGAACTCTGGCTACCTGAACCAAACGATCGCAAGATGACCGCATGAGCTCTGCGCCATCAGAACATGTGCGAGGCATGTATTGAATTTCCTTTACCACTTCCTCGCTCGACTAACCCAAGAGAAATGTAGTTTGAACACCGTTCCTCCGCCAGTATCTACTATCGTCTTTCTCCCAATACTTCGAAATATACATAGGATTAATTACCTCCCGGCCTTGCTTGTCGCAAGCGAACCCACCTCTACCGCCTGGCTCCCAAGAAAAACATCCGATACGTTCATAATAGTTTACGTGTTGCTGCAGGATAATGATCTGCATTTCATCCTCGAATCGATGGTTCTCTATAGGCGAAAACAGTATCCGGCCGTTAGAGTTGAATACAGGGTCCTTCCCATGCCACATCCGAGCTTCGTTCTGGAGAACTACAACACAGGGAAGTTCAATCCGTCCAGTTTGAAGGTCCGGTTCGGCTATCTGGTCAACATCCCAGAAAGGATAAATGAAGAGATCGACCGTCGGATTATAAGGGACTTTAACATACAGTCCAGCAGGGCGCCTATTGTCAACTTGAATGAACTCAAGCATCACGATTTGAGTCGTCAGTCTTAGGAACTTAGAGTGCTCTTCTACAGGCATTTGGTGTTGTAGTCGTAGTCTGCCGATGTTCTGCGGAACGGCCGCGTAAGTAGCATTATGCCAGACTTCCATTGAACAGTTGTGTGAGAGGCTAGGAAGTTGCTTCTCATAATCCACCTGTCCACGCCAGCCGATGGGGGACCAACTAGGAAAGCCTTTGCGCCGGGGAACTGGTGATGAATGTTTCCAATGCATGAACACGTATGCTTTGTGGTCACTTTTCGCAACATTTACACCCCAGATATGATCAACGTCTTGCGTTTCGAGCGCGCCAAGCACAGCGTTCAGCGCATCGTGATCGTTTGTGAGATGACGTTTAGTGTATTCGCGCATCATCTGAACCGCGGTTCCAAAAGTTGTCGTCGTGGATGTATTGCGCAGTGAAGCCGAGATCTTGCTAAAGGATTCTTTGTGGCGATTCTCATCACACAGACACACTGCACCGACATCCGTGAAGTACATTCGTCGTCTTGACAAGTAGCCTTCTTGGTATGTCCACGCTCTAGTGTACCAGACAGATTCCGATATCGACTTGACGATCGATCCCCTGTAGGGTAGCATAGAATCGGAACTAGGGCCTGCGTACGTGAAAGGGTTCTCAAAGTCACTTGTCACTCCCGGGAGCCCATAAGTAGCGCCCGTACCAGCTGCTGCGACTAGAGTCACTTGTGCCCCAGAGTAGATATCCCCCATCTGATTGATCTGGTGTTGCTGGGCTACACTATTGTTCTGATCGATACACTGTTCTAATCAGCCACTAGGTAGGATGGAAAACAGACGATCATACATATCTGTCAACCCAGAGGTACCGACAACCAAGCTTGTTTGTAGCCTCGATGCTGTCTTCAATAGTGCGAGGAAGGTTGTCCGGCAGCCGAGGAAATTGTGTTCCACCTCCAGATGCCTGTGGGCCCCAAACGTATGACAGCGCGACGTATTTGCAATCGCTCGGTGCTGGAACAACGACTCTATGATGGCAATCAAGCACCCATAGGTCTACTAGTGTTATCCGTGTCGATGCTTTGCACCCGGCGTGCGTAGACACGCAATTGTGTACATAACGCTTTGCGTCTTCGAAGTTGACACGCTTCATCAAGCCACCGAATACATTGATGGGTGCTTCCACATTTTTGCTTTTCAGTGGTCTGCTTTTGCCGCCACGTGTCCTGTTCGCGGCGTGTCTGAGTTCGATCCATTGGTGTGAGCCGGGCATTGCTCAAACTGTGCGTGGTTCAAGTAGCAATTGAAGCTGCAGGCGTCAAGCCTTCGTTGTGCAGTCAGAATCTGTCCGGGAGCTGAGGTTCGCAAACAAAAGCGACCAGCTTGCCTATCTCTGCGAACCTGAGGTATCCAGGTGCTCTTGCCTGGCGCTAGTGTTGAAGCAATGCAGGCGAAGCAACAAGGGCTGAGCCTCAGGAACAGAGACTGTCACCCACGCTGCACGTGTCATCTGCATCGCACGACTGGCCCCCCCAATACCTTGGTATGATCTTCGCGCAACTTCCATACTGACCTGTGTATGACCAGGCCGGCTTGTGCACTGCCCCAACACCGTGGTTGCCTGGCGGCATCTGCTCAGCCACCAAGCGTCTCTATTCGCGCTCTACACCCGCGCCCGAATTAGTCACGCAATCATCTTGATCCGCTCCTTGTGATAGGAAAGACAGTTACGAATCATGCCAGGATGATTCGTCGCTGTACGAGCGCATCTGTTAGGAGCTGAAGAGCCGCACCGGAGGGGGGCTACTGGGGCCGGGCCCGACACTGCCCAGGTGGTGCCGATGAGCTATGCACGAGTAGCGGCATTGTCGCTAACACAACGGTGACGGGCAAACCTCGCTAAGTGACACCACCCTGTCTCACGGCACAATCCTGCTGGGAAGGACTCAGGCGACCACCCAACAGAAAGCGCGCCTAAGATGTCATGGCGTCGCAATCGAATCTCCCGAGCCTGCAGTGTGCACCTATGTGCGCTGCGACCTCTTCGAAAAGACGGCTGACGTCCGTACTTCTTATCCAAAACTCCCGACGAGCCACTCCTGCTCGACAAACTCGATGGGACTAAGGGTATTGTGACGCGACGCCTACGCTCACTTTTGATGATGCTTGCAGGCTCAAGCCGCTTCTTACCAAGTTCCAGGTCTTTCGCCACCGGGCGCACGCTTCGGGTGCTGATCGCATTCGTCGGCATAGCCATTGGAATTAATCTTCTTGTCCTCTTCGACTGGACTTATGTCGAATCCTTACCAAGCGATATTCTAGGCAAACAAGCTTTTCACCCCAAGCCATTCGCGCCGTTACCGCATGAACACAACGCGCAAGCCGACAATGGACTGGACTTCTGGACTTGGAACACTACGACACAATTCAGAAGGAAAGAAGACATTGACTGGCGGGACGGCGTCACAGACGAATGCGCTCTCTTTCCAGTGCATCTGCTCTCGAAGGTTCAGGTCATCCTGAAGACCGGATCAGCGGATGACAAGTCACGAACCGATGCTCAGCTTTCGACAGTCATTAAGTGCATCTCCAATGTTCTCATCGTTTCAGATGGCAGTCATACCTATGGCCGCGACCATCGAACTATCGACGTTCTCGCAGATTTGCCACCGAATACGTACCTGAAGGAAGAGGACTATATCGTCTACGAGGCGCAAAAGAACGCAAGCCGACACGGCACGCATCTACAGCAGGGTCATGAAGGGTGGAGGATAGACAAGTACAAGTTTCTGCCGGAAGTGGAAAAGGCGATTGATCACAATAACGCGGCCGAGTGGTACGTCTTCCTTGAGAGCGACACATACATCTTCTGGGACAATGTTTTTCGCCTCTTGGAGAACTACAACAGCTCACTGCCCTACTATTTTGGATCGCCTTCACCGGGAAGGACGTACCATCCTGACGCGCAGTCTGAAGTGGAGAATCAAGTCTGGTTCGCGTATGGAGGTGCCGGGTTTATACTATCAAAGGCCGCTGCGCATCGACTCGTTGATCGCCACCGCAATGCCCTCGGTCTTAAGGGTCCTCGTCTCACTACGGAATACAAAGAAGATATCAGGGCCGATTGTTGTGGCGACAGCATATTAGGGTGGGCGCTGCACGACAAAGCCGGGATAGATATCAGCGGTCTGTGGCCCATGTTCAGCCCTCATAAGCTCGAAAACATTCCATTCGGTAAGGACTACTGGTGCGAGCCCGTCATCAGCCTACACAAAACCGACCCAGCTCTCTACAAAGAGCTCTGGTCATGGGAGAACGAATGGAGAGCGAAGTTTGAAGATCCCATGCGCTATCGCAACTTGTTATACCGCGCCCTGCTCTTCTCCTTGCAAGGCGAATACCCGCAGCGCGAAAATTGGGATGCAGCTTTCGACGCGGGATTTCAGCTCCCAGATAGCTCCACAGTCCATACGAACCTCGATGCTTGCAGGGTCGGGTGTTCCGAACACGACGAATGCATCCAGTACACCTGGCATGGACGACATTGCTACTATGCCAAGGCGTTGTATATTGGTCATGCGAAGCAGCCGGATGGTCATCATGACCCAGAGTACAGGACATATGTCAGTGGCTGGGATTTGACGAAACTAAACGCTCTGGACTTTGGAAACACGTGCGCAGAGGGGGCGCATTGGGTGAAACCAAGTATCGAACGGAAGTATTGAACGCCTGAGATATGCATGCGAGTAGCGACAAGAAGATTACAGGTATTGCACGTTGGGGATTACGATTCTATCATAGAGTGCGACATTGATGTTGGTCATACCTCGACCTCAGTCTTCAACCCCGATATCCTTCAACCCTCCTTGCCTCGTCCAAAAGATCTTCCAAGCATTAGGCCACCGTTCTTCCTTGAGCCCCCGAAGCCATTCCGTCACGGTGATCTCCGTATCGCAATACCGGATAACGCCATTCTTGATGCCCTTCCATCCCTTCATCGGACCTTTGATATAGCGATGGTTCGTGCCGCAGAAGCTAAGCCATGGCGCTTCGATCTCTCCCTTGGTTTGCTTGATGCGCTTAGAGTGGCAGTCCTCACACAAATCACAGCTGGGGCATACGAGACAGTAGTAGATCGGGCGCGTCCAGGAATAGATGTCCACCCCACACTGGCCGTCGCAGTAAACACCTCCTCCGGTAAGGTCTTCGTCCAGTTCATCAGGTTTTGACTCATCCGAATCCGTGCCCTCTTCCCCTGCAGAGTCCTGCTTTTCCTCAACTGGCTCCTCCGTAACGATCTTGACTTCGTTGTTATGTACCTCGTCCGTCGGAGAGTCGTTCCGAACAAGTTCGCTTGTAGCTACTGGACCATGCTCCCTTGCAGTGTCTTGTCCCGCATCTGGTTCTGCATCAGGTCCCGCGTTTGTTTCGCCGACATCTTTGTCGGAAGTAGTCTCCGATTGCTCGGACTCTGTATCTTGCCCATGTATTGCGCGGTCCAGGACTGAGAACTGGGCACTTATCGCGATTCGTGCATCATGCTCTAGGCTGTCCAGAGACGCCAGAACCTTGGACAATAGTCGCAGGCTTGACAAGTCGTTCCAAGAGACACTATCTTCGAGACCAGCGATGCACTTGCTGAATAAATCGTCCATGTATCTCTGATAATCTTTCGCAGGGCCCATGATACGAAGCATGTTTGCGCGAAGCACATCGACATGAGATTCTCTAATGTGTTTGTCGTCACCTTCGTCATCGTGGGCGCTGGGCAACAGTCGTAGGGTTTCCATGATCTCTTCCTTCTTCGCCGGGTCCGCGGTCGTCTGGAACTCATAAAACAGAATGTCTGCCAACTGCATCCGATGACGCGTCCTCGTCTCGTTCATGGTGTCTTCATATGCAGGATCGGGCTTCGTCTTCGTGGTCAAGAGCTCTTGACGCAGCGTCTTACCCTTCTCGATGTCGCCCAGCATGGGGTAGTAGATGTGCGCGATTGCGCCCCGGATGTTGAACAAATGGAGGCTTTGCGCCGGAAGCGTGTTGGCTAGGGCTCTTAGCCAGCCGATGAGTAGATCGGTCTCGCCAGTCAAATGTGCTGCTCTTTGCAATCGAGCTACCGCGTCGATAGGCACCCAGTCCACGAAGAGGTAGGTGAACCAACTGTTGCGCTCCTTTTCGGTCCAGCTTTTGAGTACTTCCATGAGCCTAGGTCCATCAATTTCATCTTCCTTCTTGAATAATAGTGTTATATTGTCTAGGATCGTTCCGGCTAGTGGCTGCTCGCCCTGCAGTCTTCTTGCTTCGTTGAATGCTTGCAAAGCTTCGTCGCTTTGCTCCAGCGTAGAAAGGACGGAAGCTTTCTCGGTCAAGATCTCCACACGTATAGATTTGATCTTCTCGCGCTCTTGTTCGGAAGACCCCTCGGCCTCGTGATCTGGTAGCATGTTGTAGGCGTCTTCGTAGCGCTTTATTGCGTCGGATGGCTGGTCGCATCGCCCACATACCGACGCAAGTAGGCGAACTGTAGCGACGTTGTCCAGAACGTCTCCCTGCATACAGTCCACTGATCTTTTCAGATACAGGCGAGCGTCAGTGAACAGCGCTGCTTTCTGATCCATGTCATCCCACGCTACGTAACCATAGTCTGCCAAAGTGCCACCGATCGCTCGTAGAGTCTTGTAGTCATCGGATGGGATGTCCCATCTGGTGATAGTGGCATTGATGTAATCGAGTGGCTCAAGGTCCTTGGAATCCTTGGTTTCAAAAGCGTTCGACTAAAGGGTATTAGAATTGCGATCGCATAGAAAGACCGACTTACACGAAACAGCGCGGCCTTGAGGAATCTGAACTTCTCGGGTATCCACCATTCATCGCTGGCGTCTAACCAATTATGGACATGACCGCGAGCAAGTGGAAGCAGAACATTGTCTCGGTCGACCACGAGCGTCCAATCCTTGACTTTGTCACCCAAAGATTTGTCTGGTAGCGTTGATGCCCTAGCTGTCCAACTCAGAAGTGCATCGAACCAAGGGGTGGGCACGTCGTCCGCGGGTTCTGGGTATATATCCGTATGTTGCGCCAGCTTTTCGAACAAATTGGCGATGTTGTATGTATTGTCTGTAACGCAGTGCAAGAGTGTCACGACATCTCGAACAGTTTCGGGGGTCGCGTTCGCTGCGTCCAACTCTTTGAGGTGCTCATACCAATAGCTAATCGCGTAGAGTGTTAACCCAGAACTTTTCGCTTCGAAAGGCTCTTGGGCCGCTTTCATCATTACATCCACGCACATCTGGAGAATTGTCAGGTGCGCAGCGGTAGCAGGTGTCCGAAATTCTGTCACGCCGTCATTTTCGACGCTCACGCTCTTGAAGTATTGCCTTAGTGACCGGTCTTGGAAGCAGAGAGGAGAGTCTCCGTATCCGAGCTCTGGAATATCCTCGTCTTTTGGTTCATCGTTCTCGTCGTCGTCTTTATCGTCGTCTTTGGCGTCCTCCTCAAGCTGCCGTGATTGGGTAAGCTCGAGGATGCGGGAGGAACGTCCGATGATTTCCTCCTCGATGTCGAAGGTGTCGTCGGACAGTGCGAGTTGAATCAAGCTAGATGCCTCACCCAGGCTAAGCGGTCGCTTCGAGAACGCCAGCCACGCGAACAGCTTCTTCAACGCTTGGTATTGCGCTTCCGATCGATTTTGTCGGCACTCGTCTAGCAGGAGTTTGTAAAGTGCATGCAGGCCGGAAGGGAGCCTCCCCAGTGCTTGCAAAACCGCCCTTTCTCGACCAATGTAAGAGAATCTCCTAAGCATGTGCTCAACGTAGAGCATACTATCTGCGTGTTTGATAACTTCGCGAAGAATTGCTATTTTGGTAGCTTTGGTAAATTTGCGTACACGTGAAAGTGTGCGGAGACGATCCCTCACGAGTGTCTTCATATCATGCTTAATCTCATGCTTGGTAACCTCGAGGATTGAAGGCTGAAGTAGCTGCAATGTGGGCTTATCTTCGGGTCTGCTCGTCGCAAAGACTGACACACTGGCGTTTAGGCGCTTGAGGTCCGACAGAAACCGCGTAAAGGTCCCGCCTTCTTGCACACGCGCCTCATCTAGGCCATCAAAGACAAGGAAAAGGCGGCCACCGAGTTTGTTGTCACTTGGAAACACCGAGAGGAAGAACCGTTCCCAGGTGGACATCGCTGCGGACTCACTGGGCTCCTGTTTGATCTTGGCCGCTACCTGTTCAGCATATCTGTTGTTTGATCCGGCGATTTGTAGTGCAGCCGAAGCGAACGCGTTCTGCATTGACTGTTGGTATGGACGCTCCTCCTTGAAGTAGAAGTAGGCCAAGCAGTCGTGCTCGTTTTGATGTAGTCGCAGCTCTTGGACAGCCGAGTAGGCTAGGAATGACTTTCCGATCCCCTCGTCGCCTCGTAGCCAAAGCAGAGGGGTCTCTCCACGTACCCAACTCTTGAAGCTTGCATGCTCACGGAGCCATCCGGCTGTTTTGCTCACCTTCGTATCGCGCAAATCTTCCTCTTGGAGCAGATTCTCTTGGTGAGCAACTTGCCACGAAGGGAAGACGTCGTATTTATCAGCGAAGAACTTCTTTAGTTCCCGCAGTGCTTGGAACTTCCGGTCACCGATGTCGCCCTTCGGCTTTTGAGCGAGCTTCTTTTTCTCCTCGATTTCCGGCGCCCTGCTCGTCTTGTCCTGGTTCTTGATGATTTGCAGGAGTAGAGCACGATCTTCCAGCCGCTCGTTCCGTAGGGTGACAATTCCCTCGGTGATGATAAGATGCAGACTGATCGTGCTTGCGTAGACCTCCTGGATACCTTTGTCCAGGCTCGAACGATAGGATTGTAATTTCTCATCGAGCTCATCCAGCTTGGAACTGCTGGCAAGCACCGTAGTGCTAACGGTTGTGAGAGTGCCGTGAGTTTCGTAACTCACTGTTTCGTTGAGTTCCTGTATTGAGGCTTGCATTCCAGCATATGCTGCTATGAGCTCTTCATCTACTTCGTTCCACAGTGTCTTCAGCCAATGCTCTACAACATGTCAGCACCTCCTTACGACCAGAGAAGTTATCTTACTGAATCGTTTCTCCTTTATCAGCTGTTTAGCCCTGCCGCATACCGAAAGCTGCATCGAGAAGACTCTCTCGATAGCAATAGCAAGCGGGCCGGACTGTGCTTTATTCTCAAGGATAGAAAGTCGTTGGAAGAAACGGGCTGAGTATGCGAAGAACTCCTCGACACGGTCGTAGTCTGCTCGCACTCCTGCAAATGCCTGTCCATATTTAGTGCGGAATGACAAAAGGATCCTAATTACTCACGGAAATCAGGCGACTTGCGGCAGTGAACACAAGGCCTACGGGCATCGCTGGTGGGAATGCACTGACAGCGGCCCCGACGGCAGCAAAGCCGTCAATACACAACTGTAGATCACCAAGATGATCACCCATAGCCGAGCGAAAGCTTGCCTTCTTGCTACCGTCATCGCGAAAACCTTTGAACTCGTCCATGGCCGCATTCGTTTGTCGCATCACATCGGCGACGTTTCTCACTCCCATCGTCGAAAGATCCTCCCCAGTACGTTCTTTGTAGTCTCGTACGGCGCCTCTCCATAGTCGACCGAGATCAGTAGATGTACTTGGCTGCACGATCTTAGTCGCCATAATGCGGCAACGAGAGCGCGACTCGTGAAGCCGGCGAGGAGACGCTATGTGTGAACTTGCGAAACGACGCAGACAAGCATCGGGGTTCTAGTGGGAACACCCATCGTCTTCAAGGCGGCAGCACCAAGGCGGCTTCGGATAAGCATGGTTCAGCCTCACGATGCATGCGCTGGTGGGGGCTAAAACGAGGTATCATCTGTGGAGAGATGCGGCGCCCAGCTACTATACCCATGGCACGAGGTGGGTATCTTATAGGATGAGTGTGACTGTTGAGAGCAGCAGCTGGCTACATTGGGAAGCTGTGTGCAACTCAGTCACTCAGCTCCTTGTTAACGTACTGTTCAGCGATGTCCAACACTTGCGCGCCTCTCCAAGGCAACAGTAAGCATCGACTGTGTCGACCCGTTCGCTGTTGCGCAGTCGCAAAGAGCATTCCGCAAAAAGTTGCATCGAAGTTTGTCATGAGAACGCGGTGGTGTGGAAGAAGACAGTGCGAGGAAAGCCTTTCAAAGCTTGCGATGCGACGGCCACTGCCACTGCCTACATAATCAGGATCAAAAGGGATGGCGGAATACGTTGAGCTGAGGCACGAGGAGGTGTGCAGCGTCCTGCTCGTACTGCACTAGGAGCATGGGACAGTGTACAGATGCTCAACATCAAGGCTGCCTTTCAAAGACGACGAAGACAGGAATGGAAGTCCGCGATGCTCATCCCTGCCGCATGCTTGCACCATTTTATGGAGGTATGGCGGCCCGATTCGCTGCGAAAATACTGTGCGGTACCGGTAGCTGTGCCCTGTCACTGTTAGTGTTGAGCTCGCACAAAAAGTCCAGACGGCATCGGAACGGACAAGGCAGTAGGCTAGCAAACATCTCAGTCTTTCAAGCCTGTTTGAAAGTAGCTTGCTGGCGTTCGCGTGTTGAGATGCGCGCCCGGTGCTTTGGCGCTAATCAAGATTGGCGGCCGAGGCAGGCACGTGTGCAGGGTCCTTGAGCGGTGGACCCTTTGTTTGATCGCACAACATCCATGAATCATCCTTTTGACTTTTGCATCTCGGCCAATTACCGTCGCCCCAGCGCCAGAAACATGTTCCAGACGCAGATGGCGTCATGCGGGTCGACCGTTAGTCCATCTGTTCCTGCCATCGCGGTACGGCGCCTTACCACAACCGAAACGGTGGATGGTGAGGCATAGATTTCACGCTTTCGGAGCGTGGCATGCGCGAGCCTAAACCGAAGGCTGCCGACTGTTTCTCTTCTTCCACCTTCTACATACTCAACTTTACGACTGCAAAGACTACATACGAGCTACTTGCCACGACTTCTTATCCTGCTTTGCGCGCATTGCTTGCATCCTCCCGCGAAGCGAACACCCCGCTATAGACATCGCAGCAGCGACGCGACGGTAGTCGGCCCGCCAATAGCATTTCCAGCAGCCCGGACAATCGCAACCATGGCGACAACGCCCATCGAACATCCCTCGACTGTCAGCAGTCTTCCCACGCGCCAGAAGCCCATCCCATACTCCTTTGCCAATGGCCGGCGCACTCCGCTGTCGTCCATCCTCCCTCCCCTCGTCTTCGGCACGGCCACGTTCAACTCCCAATACAACACCGATCCCTTCGCGCTCGACACAACTGGTCTCGTGACCTCAGCGCTCACACATGGCATTCGCGCCTTCGACACATCGCCCTACTACGGCCCCTCCGAACAATTGCTCGGCGATGCGCTCGCAACACCCTTTGTCCGGGAGACCTTCCCGCGCAACTCATACATGATCCTGACCAAGGTCGGGCGGATAGCGGGCGAGGAGTTTGACTACAGCAAGGAGTGGGTGCGCCAGAGCGTCAACAGGAGTCTGGAGAGGCTACACACCGAATACTTGGACCTGGTGTACTGCCACGACGTCGAGTTTGTGAGCCCAGCGGAGGTCCTGGAAGCAGTCAAGGAACTCCGCCGCCTTAGGGACGAGGAGGGCACGATCCGGTACATTGGTATCTGTGGATACCCATTACATGTGCTGGGCGACATGGCTGAGCTCATCCTCCGCGAGACCGGCGAGCCACTCGATGCGGTGCAGTCCTATGCCAACTTCACCCTCCAGAACCAGACGCTCGCCGGTCCGCGCGGTATCTTGCGCCTGAAGAATGCAGGCGTCGATGTCGTCCCGAACGCCTCCATTCTCGGTATGGGCCTCCTCCGACACGAAGGCATACCCGTTGGTGGCCTCGGAGACTGGCACCCCGCCCCATCCTCTCTCCGCGAGGCAGTGCGCAAAGCGAGCCACTTCTGCGACGACTACGGCGAGCGCATCGAGGTCATCGCCATCCGCTTCGCGCTCGAGACATGGATATCTGCTGGCGCGCTGTGTGGATCTCGCGGAGATCCCGCATCAGGTGTGCCATGGACGCACGAGTCCATTGACGACGTCGGCGGCTCCAAGCTGGGTGTCAGTGTCATCGGTGTGTCACGCGCTCCCGAGTTGGAGAAGACCATGCTCGTCTGGCGATCCATCCTCGATGGGTTGGAGGGCGGCAAGGAAACGGCCGTACAAGCAGGCCGCTGGTACCGCGCGTGGGAGTGGAGCAGGAACCGCAGGAAGGCAGTGCAAATCCTCGCCGAAGGTGTACAGGAGGTGCTTGGTGACGGCTTCGACTACGCATGGGCGAGCCCAGACCCGGATTTCGTGAACAAGAGGGTGAAGGACGCGACAAAAGCAAGCCAAGGCAATACGCCTGCAGCGTGGTTGACGCCAGCTGCGAGCCCGGAGGCGGTGCCGGTAAAGGATGCAGGCGAGGTCGCTGAGGACAAGTCCTTGCCGCTACGGTAACAACGGAGATGATGCACATGTATATAGTGAATAGAATCGCACATTTCCTGAGACCCAGCTACTCCATCGTCGACTTGTCGCTTCGTGACCGCGATGAGAGAAAACCCTTAGCCACCATTCCACCCAGACAATAAGTGATCCGTCTACTTGTTCACCAAAACACCAACCGCCGACGTCTTACTTTGCCTAATCATCCTCTTATACCCCTCAATCTGCGCAACACCCACAACAACAAGTTCCTCCACCGTCTGCGCATCCAGGCCCTCTTTCCAAAGCGTGATCCACCCACCCACCTGCTGATGATCAACCTGCGCGACCATCACAAGACTCGTCTCGTCCCTCAACTCCCACGATGCTGCGCCCGCAACCTCCATACCCGTGCCCTTCCAATGCAATTCCCCCAACCCACCGCTCGCAGCAACATTCTGCTTCGACGTACTAATCTCAATGCGATGGCTGTTGCGAAGAGGAAAGCCAATAGTCGCGGAGAACATGTGGTAGTCGATGAGCGCGACTTCTTGGTTCGAGCTCATGGGTGACGTAACGTGTATCTTGCTTCCCCATGCGCCGAGGATGGACTGCCGTTTCATCTCGTACAGTGGTGTCTTCTCGCCCTCTGCCGTTAGGATGCGGCGGTGTTCAGCGAGGCTTGTGTACTTGAGCTTCAGCACTGGGGTGTCGGTCCCGCGGCGCGAGTCGGGTGTTGGGGATTCGTCGTTGCGGACGATAAACTTCTCGAGCCAGGCTGATGCCATTCTTTGATCGTGAAGGCGTGGGGGAATTTGTGGAGAGGCGTCGTGATTTGAGGTGCAGATTCAGGTTGGGTTTGGAACGGCGTGCTGTCAGGTATCGTGAAGTATCTCCATCGCGACACCAGTTACTCTTTATACAGCGTTCAGCTCAGCTGCAACGACTCGCCTTACGTTCTATTTCATTTCTCAAGTAGTACCATCAAGGATGTTGTCGTGACTTCGCCAGCCTAGACCAAGACGGCGAGCAAGTATCGCGCTGGTACCTCGTGGCGCAGTCTCGAGATTAAGGATGCATGCGCGACATCACGCTCACGCTCGTGGCGCAGGCTTGGTACAAGCGTCCGTACCGAGGGCTTGGTAAGAAATATGTCTTGGTATTCGGCCGTACTTTATGGCAGGCGGTGTAGTTACGCCGGTTGTTTCCCGCAGTTCTCTCGCCACACGAAGAGCGAAGATGCAAGAGAAGGTATCGCGAACAGAGAGAAGGCATAGCAAAAAAAGTTCTAAAAAAACAACAGAGACGTGCGCGTAAGCCTAGCTATATTAGAATTAAGAATAGAGAACCTGTTGTAACGTAGGTGCATAGCAATGTAACTGCTACGTGCGAGAGTAAGATATAAATCGTAGGTAGTCTACGTTAAGCTTCCTACTCGGCTTGCATTTTATTTTACCTGAATAGCGTAAGATTAGGCATTTGTATTTGTTGCTCTTTCTACACTAAAATCTACCGGCTCCCTAGAAGACTTATACACGTGAGATACAATGTCCAAATGCGAATCGAGCGCACCACACCTTGATATGAAAGTGGAAAATTAGAGATCATTATGATATTTGTGGCGAGCGGAAGAGCATTCTGAGCTTCTGCAAAGAGGTATCTGAATGAATCGCGCGTTGTAAACGAACAGTGACAGTTCGATGCTTTGTTGCTTCGCTTATGTGAGAGCATAATGGCTGAACTCACACGAGTGAACTTCAGTCTGCCAGTCTGCTCCGATCCAGCCCTCGTATTCTTGGCGTAACCAACCATCTTGCCAGTGTGCGTCTCAGCTCATCTCTAGCCGCCGGCTTAGTCAAATAGTCGTCCATACCTGCATCCCAACACCTCTCTCTATCGCCCTTGATTGCGCTAGCGGTCAACGCAATGATCGGCAGCTCCCGTACTTGCTCATTGAACATAGTCTTGTCGTTGCGGATGCGCCGCGTGGCCTCATATCCATCGACAACTGGCATCATGCAGTCCATCAGTATGACATCAGGCCGAGGTTCTGTCGACTTCTTGCAGAGGAAATCGAGTGCCTCTTGGCCGTTCCATACGGCTGAGACGACAAAGCCTAGCTTTTTCAATGCGATAGAGATCACTTTCCGGTTGATGGGATTGTCCTCCACGAGTAGGATGTGGTTGCCGATCCCTGGTGTGTTCGTGATAGCGAAGGGTTCGGACGTCATGCCGTTCGTACCATCGGGAGGACTGAGGTGGCGAGCCTTCTTGGTGTTCGCTTTCTCTTCGGGATCATGTATCTGTGCCCGGTCAGGTAAAGCGGTCGATATGAGTAGGCCATGAGTTGGCCCATGGTAGATCTGAAAAGGAATCCTGCAAGTTGCGGTGGTGCTTTCTGCATGAACGGATTCCAGCCCGATGTGCCCACCCATAAGCTCAACTAATTGTCGGCAAATTGCCAAGCCTAACCCAGTGCCGCCATAGAGTCTTGCTGTTGAGCCATCGGCTTGGCTGAACGGTTTGAAGAGTAGTTTGATCGTTTCTTCCGAAATGCCTACTCCGCTGTCCTTCACAACGAATTTGAGGATGACTTGGTTGTCCTTCTTTTCTGCCTCGTGAACGCTAAGTGCAATGTGACCCTCCTGTGTAAACTTGAGACTATTTCCAATCAAGTTGGTGAGAATCTGGCGCAATCTCCAGGGATCTCCCAGGAAGAGTGCATCAGGCTTGAGATCGCACCTAAAGTTTAGAGACAGGCCTCGTTCCCTTGCTTGAAGTCGCAATGGGATGAGTGTGTCGCTAATGAGCTTGTAAGGCGAAAAGGGTATCTGCTCAATATCCATGTGACCAGATTCCATCTTGCTGAAGTCCAACACATCGTTGACGAGAGTGAGGAGGAATTTTGCGCTTTCTTCAATGGAGTTGCTGAATTCCAATTGTTCTTCATTGAGCCCGCAATCGGAAAGGTGCTCACTCAGACCAATAATTCCGGATATTGGAGTACGGATTTCGTGAGACATCTAGGTAATTTTTAGCTCTAGTTGCGGATCCATTTAGAGCGCGACCTACATTTGCGAGAAATCTACTCTTCAAATTGCTGGCATCGAGCGCGGCTTTCTCTTTGGCGACGAGTCTCTTGTTCTCCGTCAGTAAGACAGACCGCGCCTTCTCTTCGGTGATGTCAAATGTGAGAGCTAGTGCAGCCTGCACAACATCCTCACTTGTTGCGCTCCCATCCACGCATGGAGGGACATGCTCTGCAACAAAACGAGTCCGGAAATAACGATCATCTTCCCAATGTTCCACGATCGGACTGAAGGTGCGTCCCTTGAGAACTCCTTGGATAGTATGAACCAATTCTTGGTCTGGGTTGCGATAGGTCTCTTCCGGTGATTCAATGTACGGTACATCTTGTTCTCCTCTGGTACCTTCCAAAAGTTTCACGACCCTACTAGGGTCCCACTTTAAGCGCCCCTCGCATATATACATTTGATTTGTCTTGTCGATTCCCCACAACATAACATCCGTTTGCGCGAAAAGTGTGATAATTGACTGCCGTCGTATGTCCGCCTTAAGCCGAGCAACGACCCATTCGTGAATGTCCATCATGGACACGTACCAGCGAAGGACGTTTCCTTTGGCATCTCGATATGGTTCGGCGCGTATCAAGAACCAGCAGAAGGTTCCGTCTGAGGCTCTCCGAAAACGAGCTTGATGCGTCCAATGCGAGCGTTCATGCCGGATAACATCAGCCCAGGCCGATGTCATTTCCTGAACATCATCGGGAAACATTGTGGATATCCATCCACTTCCTAAACTCTGTTCTTCATTCAACCCTGAGAACGAATACCAAGACTTGGATAATTTGACAACCTGCCCATCTGTGTCCATTGTTGCGACAATGTGAGGAATGATGGCGTAGGCGACGTCCGATGCATCAGTTTTGTCCAAGATGTCATTGCTATCCAAGGACTGATAATCATTTTGTCGTTCGAAAGCATTGATTGAGTCTTTCACTGCAGCTGGTGAAGTCGGTGCTGTTTGATGTGGCAAGGACGTCCGGTTGAAGATGATCAAGAAGACGCCGTCAAGATTGGACGATAACCAGTGAACAGATGCTCGGGCTCTAACTACACTGGTAGCGTCATCGGAGTCGTTGGCCCTAGGTATGCCCGCTTGTGAGGAATAACGGGCAACGTGTACATCGCTTTCGATGATTGCTTGTTGCTCAGCTTCATCGTCCCAAAAGTCATCGGTGTTTTGATAGAGATATGTCGTAGAAAGGTATCCGCGGAAACTTTGTCTATTGGCAGCACCTGATTCGCTGATATCGATGGCAGCAGCTAGAATAGAACTCCAGGTCCGCAGAACTGGTGAAGCACCAGGCAGTGGAATCAGTGCAAGATCGGCGATACTTTTGCCAAGTAATGAGCCTTCTGTGGCAAAAGACGCGTTTTGTCGAAACGGCAACAGGAGTCGGACGCTGCCTTCGTTTGCAGCGACGACGGTGCCGGAGCGGTTGAGTATCAGCGCTGGCGTTATCTGATGCGCAAGAATCGCTTGGGCATTAGGCATATCGCGCGCCATCTTGGGAGAGATAGACAATAAGGCGATCAGACTGCGGCAATCTAGTGGTGGTGGTGATAACCGCGAAGGTGGGTATTGAGTACAACACGTGCTGTAGTACAAGCTCTTACGTGGGGCCGTCGGAAGCGTTGCCCTAGCCAATACAATAGGCGTTCGCGTAACGAGCTAGTTCGCGTTCCAAGCCACCCGCCGAACATTAGACGATTAAGAAAATAACGTAGGTGCATATTAAGTAACGTGAATAAGCGAGCGACGCACTTTTGCTAAGACCTAATGTACTAGCGTACGGAGTGTACACTCTGTACGTAACTAAGTCTGTGCGCAACCTAGGTTTTAGAGCTTCAGCCGCTTGATGTAGGGTGTTTTGCGCCATTAAAGCGGAAAGAGATCAGAGGCTTAGCAAACAGTGACATCGACCATATCAAAAAGAAGGCATTCCTAGCCTCCTTTAAGAAGGTATTAAGCGGCTCGTTTTCGATAAAGAACATCCAGTCAAGCTTCCAAGCAACTAGTATAGTCCCAAATAACCCAGATATTGTGTTGTCCAACCTTGAAGTGGAGCCTCGCACGCCTACACCTCCTACACCAGCGGCTGCTGAATGGAACCCTAAAACACCAAGCAACGCCCGTGAGATAGAGGCTCAATCAACGCTTATTTGCGATCGGATTCGACAGCACAAGGGCTCCTCGCCAGCTTCTATCATTGAAATGCTAGACCAGCTGAAGAAAAGCGCGCAGATGATGGTGCATTCGCAGGCGTTGCTAGCAGGTCAGGTCGCACGTCTTGAGAAGGCAAACAAGGCTCAGACGCGTTTACGCATTTGAGCGAGTTACGAACGGACGCGCTGACAGAGCGCTGATACCGTTCAGGAAGGCGGTACAGCGCAGCACTATGTGGATGAGGCGAGCCGACCCCTGCATTACTGATACAAAGGCCATTACCGATTTGATAATAGGGCGTCAGGCCTGATTTGTCTCCTCATATTGGTTAGGCGAAGATCAAGGGTGCTGCGGAGTACATGGACGCCAAGGGCATCACATACTTTCACAGCGACTTGTTTCGCTTCTATGGCGTCAAGAAGCATGAGGGATGGGCAACATTGAACGATAAGAGCGATGAGAGCAGCCGGAGGCATCACAATCGTCAACCCTCACTAGAAAACAGAGACAGGAAACCTCTTTTGAGCCCGTCTCAAGTCCGGCAAGCTGACAGATTCCTCTAAGATGTTGGATGGGATGCAAGAGTACTTACTTGGTCAAAATTGGCTCAAGAACTAGACTTTTGAGTCTCTGGGAGAACACTACAACGTGCTCTTGGCTCTCTTGAGTATTCAAAATGTATTGCTTGTACAAAGGAACGGGTATCTCAACGTTGTGCAAAGATACGGGTGAAGAATGCCGAAACGCTCCTTGCACTCAAGCCAGAACCTCAGGATTGGCATGACGAACGCTTTTTAGATAAAATATACTGCCGTGTAGGTCCCCAAGGCAAGCTTCGCATTGTTCGGAAGCCTGGGGAGCGTTATTGTGGCGATTGTATTTAAGAACAGCTTAATCGGGATAAGGAGAAAGATTGGGAAACCTCCTACATCTGGGGACTTGTTGGCTACGGCTTTAATTCAAACCTTACCTTTTACAAGTTCGTCGGCAACCGCAATGGCAAGCTCTTATTGAGTGTGTACAGGGACCAAATCTTTGAGCCTGTGGTGAAGAAACGGCTCTAAACTGACCCCCCATTTATTCTGGAAGAAGATAACGACAGCGGCTACGGCGGAGGCAGTACTATAAACCGCGTGGCTCGCTGGAAACTCTAAAACGGACTTGATTACTACTTCAACTCACCTATCAGTCCTGATCTTTCACCCATAAAAAACTGCTGGCAAGTGATGAAGCAACATCTCAAGAAGTTTCCCCATTGGGATGAGTTTGAGACGAGAGAATTAGCTTGTGAAGGCTGGGGAAATTTATTACAAGGCTTCATTAATGATCGCGTCAATCAGATGCCCGAAAGACTTCAATCTTGTATTGATATGGAGGGTAGAATGACTGGGTACTGAAGAAAATTGTGCGAAAACAACCCCTGAATGCTCCTTTTGAGCTACAACCCCCAGAAAAAAACTTGGATATATAGCTTTTCTATAAAACTGAATAGCTTTAAGCTTTGATTTGAGCCCAAATATGTGATATTACAAGTTGTTTTGGTTGTGCTGCAGTACTAATCGTAATAGTACAGGATCGAGAAACTAAAATCGTAGAATCCCAGAAGTGTACAAAAATAGAATAGAATTAGAGATATAAAGATGTAAGAGCAGAATTAAGCCTCTACAATCTAATAGTTAAGTTAGTATAATACTTATAATATTATACTAGGCACTAGCCTTAGACCTAATTTATTACTAATAGATTAAGTTAAGTAATTAAGAGGCCTATTTTTAATATATTTCTTTATATATTTAGAGTATAATATTAGAAAAGTACTATAGACTACACGTAGATAAAAGTTAGAGAATATAGCTCTTAACTTTTAGCTTCTTAACCTTACTCTTTATAGTCTTAAATTTTTATAATCTGTAGTAGTGTATTCTTAGTCTTCTACTATAATACTATATTAAATAGTTTTATATATGTTAGAGCTAGAGAGACCTAATTAGTTCGGTTAAAATAAGTGTATTAATTAGATAACTACTAAAGAGAACTTAGAATAAAATCCTCTGCTATATATCCGCTTGCTAAGCGATCACGTGGCTTAGATCGTCGCGATTAGGTAATTAGAGCAGGAATCTATAGATTCCTGCTCTAACAATATATTATCTTAAAACTATAAAGTTAAGCTCTACTTTAAGTTTAAATTTTATCTACTAGCTACTCTCTTAATTTTTAACCTCTTAGTATTACTTTTAAAGCTAATTACTACTATTTACTAAACTTTTTTAGTCTTTCTAGATAGACTTATTACTATCTTAACTAAGTACTTATATCTTAATACTACGCCTAGTAAGAATATATTCTGTAATAGTAATAGATACTTACTAGAACTTATAATTTCTTCTATCTAATAAGTAGATAGCTCTATGAAAGTACTTAACCTCTAGCCTATAAAGTGTATTACGTTCTACTAGATATAAGGCAACCTCGATCTTGCTATTCACAGAAATTATACGCATCGTATTTCAAGCCGATACTATCGATCACTGCTTTGCAGTATGTAGCACTGAATTAAACTAAACTCTGATCCTCACCACGACTCAACCCTCTCTTTAGCTATAATACACGCGAACGCTCTTATGGGAATCGAAAATGCAAGGAGAGGCGTCACTCGATACTGCTGCGCAACAAGTTAATGGTGGTAATTGTGCCCCACTATACAGCCCGCCCAGCAAGGGGTATGAGCCCCTATCCTTCGACCAGATGAGATCCTCACAAGCTACAGACGGCCTCTGTGCGGCTTGAATCATTCCCGATGAGGACAGCTCACCCAATTTTCCCAGTCCTTGTTGTCCACTCGCTGCTGTCCGCGATATGGTTGATACGCGCGACGCTCCCAAGCAACACCCTCTTAAACGATACTTGGACCTGCTTAGCCTATGCAGCAAAAAGACTCGCTCAGAGCACATGTAGGCCTCTGTCTCCATCCAGGAAAGCCGTATGTAGCGTGCCGCAACAGCATACCGCACTCCAACTCTTGCTCGCGCAGCGGCGGAAGCGTTGCGGCCAGTAACACAATCGGGCACCCAATTAACCGCAAATCATTCATCGAGAGCAGAGTCTTTCGCCAGTGCCGTGCAGAGAACACCAGATAGCACTCGCCTACCACCACTCGTCGCAGCAGCCCTTTGGTCTTTAGCAAATCTAGCAGAATAATGTAAAAAATAGAGTAAGTTTCATAGCCTAATTCTAGCCTTTTGTCAAGATACTTAATCTAGCACCAGTCTGAGCATTTACCAGCTTTTCTAGCATCTGCACAGCAGTTGTACCAACTTCCTTTGCCCACTCGACGTCGACTACTTTTTGATTGATCTCTAGGAATGCTTCCACACGCATTTCACTGGTTTGCTGAACTTTCCAGACCATCCCTTGTGGCTCTGCCTGTCCGGTAATTTTATCGTGAATCTCCCAGCTAGGCGATGCTTGTGGCATGTAGAGAAAAGCCTGTACCGCAGAATTGAAGTACTTTGCAGGGCAAATTGAAGCGTCGAGGGACTGGCACAAGTTTTCAAGCTCAGCAACACCAAGCAGTGCATTGTGCATTTCCCCCAGCCACTCATGTAGCGTTTGCTCGGCGGGAATGCTCGTAACGAATGGTACGCGGCAGTTAATAGCTGCTACAAGCGATGGTGTTGGGGGCCAAGGGGCCATCCGACCAGATCGACTGAGGAAAAACGGGACAAAATCGGAGCGCGTATACTTCTGTAAAGTGAGCGCCCACGCAGCGAAGATTATTGTCGCACTTGATACGTTATACATACGCACTGCCGCCTCAATGGAATCGACGCTTTCACTAGTTTTGAATGGCAGAGATCGCCAGCCTTCGCCCTCAAAAGATATTTGTGGTGGTTGAAATCCAAACAAAGACTGTTCACGAAGAGGATTCATCATTCGCTTCCAGAAATCAGTAGCTGTGTCCAGCTTCTCGGCTTTGTACTTGCGCATGAAGCGCGCGAAGTCTTGAATGGAAGGTCCTGGGTTGACTTTGTTTCTAGCCAGAGCTTGATCCAAGTCACGAAGGACGGTTATGGTTGAGAAAATGTCCGTGAGAACGTGATGTAGATGCCAAACGAAACCTATGGTCTTACGGTCGGGCGCATAGACGCAGGTGATACGGCAATACGGTACCTCAAGGTCGGAGCTGTGGAGACTCTTGAGGCTCTTTTGACGTGCCCAAACTTGGTTTTCAACGGACAAGAGAGCTTTGTCAAACTTTTCGGCTTCAACGGTGACCTCATCCCAGGCGAGGTTGATACGTCCAAGGTCATGAAGTGTCCAAGTTTGCATGTCGTATCGCGTTTTGAAGATCTCGTGCGCTGAAAGGACAGTTATCCAAGCGGCATGCAGTTCGTTTGGTGTTGGGACAGAATTTTGTGCGCCGGTAAACTTGACTCTAAGTAGCTGGGAATTGATTATTGGTTTACGTTGAGACTGGGATAGCATAAGTCTATGCATGTCGGTAACTGGCACTGCCTCAGGTTCAGTCGAGACAGTGCCATTGGAAACGTCAATTGTTGTAAGTTTCTCTTCCAATCGATCAATGGTGTCTTCTCTGAGAATTTCGATGATGCGGATGGCATAGCCTTGTTTCCTCAGGAAGTCTGAAAGGCGTATAGCCGCCAAAGAATTGCCTCCAAGTCGAACGAACGACGATGATTTGTCAAGATTTCGGAAAGGAACTTGAAGGCATTTGCTGAAAGCCCACCGTAGTGCATCGTAAGGTGAGTAATATACCATGGTGTCCATAAACGCGTCCTCTTCCGCCATTCTATCTTCCAGTCGAGCGTGTAGGGCAGCTCGATCGACCTTTGCATGTGCTGTAAGAGGAAATTGATCCAATGCTAGAATCTCGTCTGGGACCACGAAGGGGTCTACATTCTCCTTCAAGAACACACGAAGCTCCTCCAGGTTTATAGTTGCAGGCCGCACGAATCCCATAAGCTTATTGCGCCACATAAAAGCGGTTGCGGCTTGGACGCTGGAGAATCGTAGCATGGCAGATTCCACTTCCGTCTCCAAGTTCACAAGAAACCCTCGATTCTTTACCATACTGTCAGCTCGGCCTACCCACGATAATCTGTTTTCGTTTCTCCGCGCCAAGTCGCCAGTGCGATATATGCGCTTTCCATTCCAGTCAATGAACTTTTGAGCTGTAAGCTCGGGATTATTGAGGTATCCTGCAGCCAGACATGGACCGCTTATCAATATCTCGCCAATATCGCTTTCTTGCAAGTTTTCGTCGACGAGAAAGACTTCCACCCCAGGGCTAATCGTACCCAGGTTTGACTCAGTGTCTTCAAGGATTTCACCTTGAGAAATGTGGATGGTCGCCTCTGATGGGCCGTACGTGTACATTACTTTGCGCGTAGAAGTGACCCATTGGCGTGCAATGTCGAAGTTAGGTGCTTCAGCACCTAACCAAATTGTGCGGACCTGAGCATAAGGCCCAGCTGGATCTAGGGAGGCCAACATAGATGGCGTCAGGATCAAAACATCGCAGGTAGTGGCAATTTCAGGAAAATTTGCCGATGAAGCCATGACCAAGGCTGCGCCCTCTGTGATTGTTGGCCAAATAGTGGCAGCACATGCTGTAGTGATTTTTAGCTACCGGAAAATGTTGATACTGAGGATAATTTTGAGGCTCACCATCAAATGAAATAGAGAAGGCCAGCAACACACGATCGCCAGGTTTCAGTTTCGGAGTAGCATCAGTTCTCGGTAGAGAAAGCTCATGCAGAGCTTGATGATACTTTATGAGAGCTCGATGATATATCATCACCCCCTTTGGCTTCCCGGTGGTTCCGGAAGTAAAAGTGATATAGACAAGAGCATTCGTATCGAGACTCCGGCGAATGGTGTCCAGATGGCTGTGCATATCATCCATGTCATGGAATGGCGATCGAAGCCAGTGTTTCTGAAACAATACAATCGCTGGCACGCGGTGCGTGTCTGGCTGAACGGTCGCAATGGCTACTTGTGGCGAGATTTCCTCGATTGTGGCATCAATTCTCGCCTTGCTCCAGGAAGCTATGTCGATGGGTACGTAGCAGCCACCTACTCTGAGGACACCTAAGATGGCAGGTAGAAGCTCGAGGGACATCTGAGACAAGATAGGAATCTTGTCGCCGGATCGAACACCTTTGGATAGCAGAGCTTTGCTGACATGGAATGATGCATTTCGTATTTCGGCGAAAGTAAGCGTTTGCCCGTTATACTCGACTACAGTGGCTTCTGGCGTGCGCGTTGTCCAAGTGTCGAAGAGGTCAACAACGGTTGTCTCCAAGTGTTCGGTCGCCATTACGAAGTGGTTTTGTTTTCTTCCAATCTAGCTAATACCGTCAGCAGCGGAGTTTGAGAAAACATGCAGCTTCTGCTACCAAACTATAAGGCAGAGAAGTTACGTTCGGATCAATTGAAGGCGAGAATGCCCATAAAGTATAGTAATAGCATACTAGAGGAGTGTAGTGCTTAGTACGCCTCACTAAGCGGAGCAAGCTTCACTAATCGAAACAAACTACACTAAGCGGAACAAGCTTCACTAAGCGGAACAAGCTTCACTAAGCGGAACAAGAAATGGATAGTCAGCATCGCAGTTACGCAAATATCGAAAATCACACATTTTAGAATGAGATTTCATATAAGCTTTATGCTTAATAACTTGAAAAGAAAATACATCTGTACATCATTCCATTCAAACGACTTCATGATGAAAATCCTCATCAGCACGAACCTACCAACATTCCGTTCTGTGCTTGGAGATGACTCTTCACAAGTTTGCTTTTCCCTACCCGATTCCAATATTGCCCAACGATTGAATGGCCTCATCCCGATAGATCTCTGGATATGCCAAGGTAGCGAGGTTACCGAAGAGCTAGTGGATCAGTGGTCACATCGGAATTGGAACTCGCCAAAAGTGCTCCTAGTGCACGACGCCGAACTTGTACCCCATCTTCAGAACCTATCTAAGGGTCGTGTGGCTGAGATTCAAGCAATTCCTAAGCAAGAGCAAGACGAGCCGTCATGGGTGGTGTCGACTCTTCAAGCTGGAGAAAGGCTTTACGCCCGCAGTTGTGCTCGCGGCGCAGTTCGTCCGAAAGAAGTCATCCTTGACCTCCCAGCCAAAAGAACAGTGGTACTCGTCGGAGCGGGGATCATGAATCTTGTGACAGCAGATTTCCTTGCGACCCGCGGTTTTCGAGTACGGGTTGTAGATGCCGGCCCAGATCCCCGTACTTGCGAAGACTGGACTCGCCTAGGTACCACGCATGGGGGAGGCGATGCTCGTATGTTTACGTTCACCGAAGCGGATTGCTACAACGAAAGAGGCAGTGATATATATCATAATATGCGGCAAGTCTTTCGCAAAACTGCTCTTAATGGCGGCTGGAGTTTGAAATCAAATACCAATTTCAACACCGCCGAAATTGCCTGGGTTAAAACTTTTGAGCAACTTCCAGCTTGGTTAGCGAAGGCCTTCAAAGAAGACATTTACTATGTCAATAAAGTAGCTGGAAAGCTCTGGACTGAATACAAGGACCGCTCTCCGGAGCTCTTCGGAGGGGTTTCGTTTCACGCCAATATTCTACGCTTATATGTCGAAGAAACCGCCCTGACTGAGGCTTATAAGCTGAACCGACGGCTTGGAGCAGTTGTAGAGGAGTTTTCTCAATCAGAGCTTCTAAGTGAATACACCGGGTTTCGCGCCGCTGCCGAATCAGGCGAGCTTGCTGGTGGACTCACCGTACAAGGGTTTACACTCGCCATTCACTCGTTCGTGGATAAGTTAATCAACCGTATCATGGGGCTTGGTGGAGATTTCACTTGGAATTGCCGCGTGGAGCGAATTCAACGCAATGCTTCAGGTGAGGTTACTTTGCTGGAATCTCAGCATGGAGCTCTCCACGCGGACAATTTCGTGATAAGTGCAGGGGTTCCGCAAAATGGATTGCTAGAAGGAACGGCTTCGGAGAACCTTATCCATGGCGTGTTGGGAGTATGGCTACGAATTCCTAACTTGAATCCTATGATAAACAGGTCCATCAAAATTCATCGCCGCGGTTGTCTTGTCGAAGATATCAATGTTACTGTATCTAGAGACATCAAGACAGGCGAGGATATTCTCATCTTTGGTGGTGGGTACGGTTACGTCGGGTCGGGTCGCCCGCCACCGGAGTGTCCTGAATTGCAAGCACTTTTCGATGAGCTTGAGAAAGTGGCACAGATATACTTCCCCGAGGCTTATCAGGTGGCGAAAGAGCAAGGCGCACTGTGGCCAGACGGAGAACGAAATTTTTGTATACGGCCATTTACTTGTACAAGTTTGGGCATCTTTGAAGACATTCCCACTACAAGTGGTGGACGTCTTGTCATAACTGGTGGAAATAACACAGGGGGTTTTGCCCAAGCCCCGGCCATTGCAAGAGCGGTATGTTGCGCTATGGTAGGTGAGCACGATCCAATTCATGCTCTATTTAGTCCTCATCGCGGCAGACTGGCAACCCAACAGGAAAATGTTTCGCATTTATAAGTCATGATATACCTTGATATGCCTGAATTTTCCAAATTATACTTAGGCACTCAGAACCTTTCTCTTAGCAAATTATATTCGAGCTTTTACAATGATCTGGCACTTCCATCTCCATGTAAGCCGAAATTCTGAGCGACTCGCTTCGTCCGGGCGCTTTGGACGCAGATACTGTCACCTTCGAGACTACGTGTCCGTCCACTTGATGTGCCACCTGTAAGAAATCACCAAATCTCCATAACCTCGTAGCTCAGCATACATACGCTGAAGCTTGTCAGCTATTAAAACAACATTTGACAGGTACAATAATGGTAGGTAACTTCGATCATTAAGAAGAGTGAATGAAGGCTCTGAGTCGAAAATATGAGAGACTTCCTTAATGTGTTGCCCTCTACTCTAGTGATAAATGATACGGCGTGTAAGCCTGCCCCAGTAATAGCAATAGTCTGGGCCTTTAGTTGTTCTAATGAACACGAAGCATTTTTGGGAGCTCAAACTGATTATTTGATACTTAGTGTTTGTGCTCGAGCTCATTTCGAACCTTTGAGCTACTTTTGCAATTCAATTTTGCTGTTTGGGTAGTAATAACCATCGCTGCGACTCTATCGCGTAAGATGAGATATTCTGGTAGTCTATTAGCCTAAACATAGGGTTAATTGTCTATTTCATGGTGTTGCTCTCTTGCAGGTCGTTTAGTTCAAAGCCGCCTGCATGTGGCTCTTGGGCCGACGGTGGATTGACTACGGGCTGTCCCTCGGACTCCTCTTATTGTAGAAGGAGCTAGTGGGGCGTCATCGGTATTCGAGGCGTCCCTCTAATGACCACGGATGGCTGCACTAGTAATACCGACAGCTAATTGATCTTCTACAACGAGGACGCCTTTCCAAAGGGTTGGATAGAAGAATAGACGATCGAATGCGTTCTACTATATCTTTGCGAGCTTTCATTTTTCTTACTATCCCTAGTCCTAGATTATTCTTGCTTAGGTCTCTATAGCCTCTGTAGTATTCTACATTGCATCTTAGATGATTCTTTACCTTACTAATAATTTCTCTTTCGGTCTATCTATATTTTTCAAGCTATATTTTCTATCTTCTTAATTAGATTTATTCTTTCTTTAGCATTCTAGCGTTATATTTATGCCCGCTAGCGTTCTTTATAGATATTAGCGCTACTAGGTTCTTAGATATTAATTAACTACCTACTTGTGTAGTACTTTGTATGGTAATAATATGTTTCTAACTAAGTTTAGAGACATAGGATGTGGGATTTTGTGCCGTTGCTTTAACTGCAGCTGCTCTTTCTTAGTTGATTAATTGTTCTTTGTTCTTTGTTTCTTAAGTTACGTCGTAAAGACTTCTATATCTTTCTCAAAGGCCTTTATCCTAGCTTTTAAGAGATCTGATGAATAGCGATGCAGAAGTGGTAGGCCGCCTTTATGCTGCTTAAGGTTGTTGCACGTCTTGTACATCTCGATCGCTAGTTCGTTTGATGGGACAGGCTCTGCCTTTAGTCGTTTTATGTTCTAAGTAGATCTAGTCTTACACTTAGAGCGCTAAAAGTTAACTTTACACTTTGTTAGGATAGTAGTAGGTAAGAATTAGAGATAAGTTAAGTAGAAATTAGAGACATAACACCTTTAGAAGCATGGAATCGAAGCAAGGCATAGCTGAGGGATCTGGGGGGCTCTGGGTCAACTAAGAAACCCGGACTCAAGTGGCGACTTCTACGTAGGAAGCCAGTCTAGCCTCAGAACCTTAATTGACCGAAATAGTCAAATCTTAATCTACTCGAATCCTTTCTTGCCTCTGTATATATACATATATTGTTGAAGATATTATCCTCTACACAGAACTAGCACAAAGAACCCTGCTTAATTCCGGTTTTTTTGATAGATGAGAGTTAGGTGATGTGTCGATCTAGGCGAGGAAGAGATGAGGAGATGATGTCACCCTCCATGTAGCCTGAGTGAGCTCTCTAGCAAGAGCAAAGACAGTGCTACAAACTCACTACAACCACGTGCCACAACGACCATCAATCGATAGATTCGAATAACTACTGTTTAAGACTGTTCCAACTGCTCTCGCCACTATAAAACGAGCTCATGATAAACTCGTCAAGAAGTTTTGGAAACACCGAGCGATGACACGCATCTTGAAAATGTCTACTAGAGCCTGGATCGCCATCGGCGAAATTGAATAAAGTGGTAGATAAGACTTCATTAAACGACTGGTTACCTTGCTAGTTAGCATGGTTTCAGGCCGATACCAAATTCTGGAGGCACAACGTTAAACCCAGTCAAATCAAGATAGCTTTTCCAATCAATGGTGTCGTCTTCTCACTCACCATGCTACACTACAATAGTAGACAGTGCGCGCACATTATCTCTCATCAAGTGCATTGTCGACGCCTTTCCCCACTGGAGCGTTCAGAAAATTCCCGCACTCTTCAACTGATCCATTGCTGCGATTCCCATCCCATCCGTAACCCCGAGCGTCTTCTTTGAAAACGCAAGAAAACCCCCCTCTCCGTGCTCTATCTCCTTGAACTTGCCGACTTCGCTGTAAATCAGTTCACCATGGCGAGTTTCATCCGCCATCAACAATGCAACAGAGCGCGCCGGGACATCGGCAGATTGGTAATTTGCCTTGCCAATCGCATTGAGCAGGTCGTCAGTGACGATGCCTGACGCAGTCCAGGACGGAGCGATGGCGTTGATCCGGATAGGCAGAGCGGGGTGCAGTTGCGGCCCAAGAGAACGGAGCAAACCCAGGACGCCGTGTTTGGCAGTTGCTATTAGCTTTGAGTCAACTGCGAGGTATCACTCTTTGACCACGTAAGAGACGTACTATAGTCGGTAGTAGGGAGCCTGGCGAAGCTGGACACAGAAGCAGTCATGACGACACTGCCTCCGTTTGGGTTCTTTTTCAGGTAGTAAAGGCCTAGCTTAACAGTATAGACACACCCCGTCATGTTCACATTGAATGTTTCCATTCTAGGTGGTAAGAGGTCGTCATTGTCATCGACGTCGTCTTCAAGCAACGTAATAGTAGGACCAATGCCAGCATTAGCAAAGACATGATCAATAGCGCCGAATTCTTTTTCCGCCGCTTTAAAGAAGGCGACTTGCTCAGTCCATACAGCAACGTCGACTCTTAGAAACGGCACACTATCGTATTCAGGCGAAGGCAGAGGGTTAATATCGCTGGCGAAGACTTTACCACCGTGCTGAAGAACTCGGCGAAGAGTTGCGAGACCAATGCCGGAAGATGCTCCTGTGCGAAATGAGCCAAAATGGTGGTTTGGGAATCGACAGATCTCTACCTGTAATGACCACTACTTGATCCTTGATACCATTTAGTTGATCATCAGAAATGGTAAAACTGGTCATGGTTTGGTGATCGAATGGTTGTCAGTGGCAATGGTCTTGATAAGAAATAATAAAAACAATGTATGATATTTTATCGATAAGGAGACTGAGGTAAAATTATTTACTTGGCCTCGCTCTTGCTAGCTGTGAATGGCCAATCTATATTTACTGGCAAGCGATGTTAAACGTACAGAGGTTAGACAAGCCATAGCAACGATGGTGTGCTAGATTAGAGTAAGCTGACGTCCTCTGTAGACTAAATGCGCATTGCAATCACACCGCGGGAACAGTCACACATCCGCGCTGCCGGGGGCCTGAAATTCGACATCTTTTGCCTCGACTTACGCAGAGCTAGCGGGAGAACCCGCCTCTTTAGCCTCTCGGCTAGAGTGGAGGGGAAATGATAGATAACGATGCGAGGGCTAAGTCGAGGCAAAAGATATCGAATTTCAGGCCCCCGGCAGCGCGGATGTGTGACTATTCCCGCGGTGTGATTGCAATGCGCATTTTAACTTTAGCGCCTCGCGGGCTGACTTTAACCGACGCCCTTGCTTGGTACACCCTGCCTGTAGAATCACAGCCTACACCAATGAATGAACACAAATACAACATCGCGTCTACCGACTAACCAAGATCGCTAAGCCCAAGTAATCGGCTTAGTATCTAGTTTTATGCAATGTAAACACCAGTTAGTCTAGTGCATCTTATCACGGCGAATCTTCCCTCGCTATCATTTGCTGAAAGGCTGCGCATAGAAAAAGAATATCTGATTAGTCTACAGAGGACGTCAGCTTACTCTAATCCAGCACACTATCGTCGCTATGGCTTGTCTAACCTGTACTCGTGCTGTCGGCTGTACGTTTAACATCGCTTGCTAGTAAATATAGATTGGCTATTCACGGTTAGTAAGAGCGAGCCTCCTATGGAAACTAATCTCTCTGTCGACAAGATTGTAACAAGAAACATTTTACGTATACTATATATGATTGTTTCGAAAACAATAATTGCTGCGGCTGGCTCCAAAGCAAACGCTCATCGAACGCTATCGCAGAGTGTGTTGGACAACGCCCCGTCCATCCTACATAGATCCACAGCGCACCCCTACACCTAGCCAATAGTAATTGCTGCGCCACTCCTCTGCATTCCATGAGATTGGATATTGCGCGATACCACAGTGGCATGACTATAAATCAAGATATGGCAACTCCTACTTTGCTTCGTGAGAACATATCGACCGGGCGCCTGGCTCTCTATTCCCCTTGCGCTTCATGGAAAAAAATAGAAACGTGTCTTGATCCTATAACGGGAAACAAGGTAAACATCGAAGTTTCAATACATTTTAGATGGACGATGCAGGACCCAGAGCTTACGAGGCCGGACGAGGATTGGGTGAGTTCAATTGATGAACTTTTATGATTTCTTAGGTCACTGACAATGTATGAGAGGGCACTAGAAGATCCCTTAGCACGAAGGAAAATTCAGAATCGCATAGCGCAGCGTGCCTATAGTGCGTATCCCAATTATCACGCCAGAATCCTTGATCATCACAACGATGAGTGATTCGACGGATTATATGCTAACACTTGAATGTGACTTTAGGACGCAGCATGCGCGAAAGAGCAAACAAGATCGAACAATTAAAGGAGCAGCTTAGAATGTATGAAGCGTCAAGCAGCTCAAACTTGATCAACACGCGGGACGAGGAAGACCCACGGCAACAGAGCAGCAGCCCGACAACACTAGCAGCTAATAATCGGAATGTTGGAGGCTGGGTTCCTCTGCATGAAACTACTCTGCCAGTAGAATCAAACGAAGAATGGTGTCAATTATCACTTCTCGACAACTCTCAGCTCAGCTGCGTGCAAGAGCAAGTCTCGCCAGGTCACATGAAGCAGCAGTCAGCAAACAGTTCCGGAGGGACACAGCAGCGACTGGAGCGTTGGGCGCCAGCAGACAGCCAAAGGACTATTACAAGAGCTCAATTGCCTACACCAAATCTTACGATAGAAGGTGGAGTTAGCTCGAGCGGTAGTAGCATACTGCCGCTGAACGCAGTCGACTTTTCAGCCAATCTCTACGAGGATCAAGGTTTTGACATGACTGAACCACTTAATGAGAGCACACACTCGATGTCATTTCTACATATGGCGGTTGCGGGCAATCACATAGACACCGTCAAGGTGTTGCTGCAGGACAAAAGGATAAAGGTCGACGATGTAGACAGTGGCGGCTTCACACCTTTGCAGCGGGCTATTATGCATGGGAAATCGGAAATAGTGAAACTATTACTAGAGAAGAGTACTATAGGTGAATCGGGGACGAATTCTTGAGTCTTCTAATGTTAGCATATGATTAATGTCGGAGGTATATATAGAAGGCATTACAAATGTGCAGTCACTAGGCCTCAAACAATAAGTTTTGGCCATCGGCCACCTAAGCATGAAGTAGCTTACAAGTGTAAAATATCTTCGAAAGACTACAAGAAACGGTTTAAAGCTCGTCACGCATCCATGTGGGAAATGGCTAAAACTTATGTAGGGTATCACAGTACAGCCCGTGATGCATATTTGATTTTCTCTCCTAAAGACGGAATCCTTGCATACTTGTGTTTGTATCCAGCGACGCAGCTTGTTGTTCCTCGCCTGATAGATTATATACAGCACTAGCTAGATATTATCAAGAAGAATAGTGCTCTGACAACGGTCAGTGTACATTTTGTACATATTGAGTGACTAGCGCACTATGAGTGCACTGCAGTGGCTGTGGGGACATGAGGATACTTTGGCCGCTAAAAGCCGCTTATTTGTTCGCAGCGTAGATCTTTGTCGCATTACTCTATGCTGAATTAACAAGGTTGTGGTGCAGGGGAAGGGGCGTAGAGCTATTCAATCTCATTAGGGACGTGACAGCTGTTATGCAAAACATATTTGAAGCTATGCCTGATCTTACTAGGTCACAGAAGACTCTAAGGCACTGCTTACTAGATTACAGTCAGACATAATCGCAAGGATCAACTAGAGCGTGATTACAAAGATTGATTAGAAAATTTCAAGGTAAAGTACAAAAATACACTTGAAACGAATGCAACCACATTGGCATCACCATCTCCAGACCAAAGTTGACCAGCAAGGGAAGTCGCCAGGAGTTCCAGACTTGGCTTTGAGGAATTTTCCATGACCTCAGTTTTTGAAAAATCCATGGCTTCAGAAACTATACTTTTGACCGGGGCAACAGGTTTCGTAGGCTTCCGCATTCTCGTTTTCTGTCTGCGCAGAGGCTATCGAGTCCGGGTTGTGTTACGAGATCTTTCCAAGAAAGCACACATCCTCAGCACTCGGTCGATCCAGCAGCTAGGCACTGCGGCCAATCTGACTTTCGTTGAGATTCCCGACATTTCCATCCCCGCGGCATTTGATCAGGCGCTCCACGATGTCGACTATGTAATCCATGTTGCCGCCCCCGTCGTTTCAGTAGATCCATCATCAATCAGTCCAGACCTAGCATCACATTACGTCCAACCGACTGTAGATGGTGTGCTGCACTTGCTTCACTCGGCGAAAGCACATGGCACGATCAAACGCATCATTATTACCAATTCGCTTGCCGCCCTCGTCGACTATGTCACAGACACCCCAGAGACTATCCACACCGAGTCAACGAGAGTATCGAACATCCTGCCGCCACCCTACCCTTATCCCTTCAGAGCTTACGCCGCCGCCAAAGCAAGCACGCTGAAGGTAGCTGAAGATTGGGTCGAGTCAGAGAAGCCTGCCTTTGATCTCGTGCACATAGCACCAGGCCACGTTTTCGGACCTAACGAGCTTGTCACCGACCCTGCTGAACTATTGCAAGCAGCGTCAAATCGAATCATTCTCATGCCCGTCACCGGCTCAACATACCCCATGGAAGCAGGAGTAACGGTACACCTTGACGATGTGGCCGAGGCCCACCTTCGCGCTTTGAATCCATCAATCCCCGGAAATCGACTATATCTCCTGAGCTCGGGAGGGGTGGAGGGAACAAAGCTAGATGACTGCTTCGAAATTGTGGCGCGCAACTTCCCGCATTATGTTGGGAGTACGTTGCCCAACAACGGATCTCTGCCTTCCTCGGTTTTCAGGGTGGATGCGAGCGAGTCGGCCCGGCTTCTGGATATTGACTGGATTCTGTATGAGCAGCAGGTTCGTGATCTGGTCGCCTATTACATCGAGTGTGTTCAACGGCGAGCTAGCCTGACAACTTCAGACTAGGCAAGCCAGGTGGTACGTAGTGAGTATTAGCGCCAGATTAAAAACCCCAATCTACTTCATAGAACATCTTTTGGAGGCCAAGGTTAACATTATGTATCAAATGTACAACGAATTACTCTGAAGACGGTGCTTTGAATCCTTGCCGACCAGTATCCTCTTTCTCCAGAGATCGCTCTTTCATGCAAAGCGCCGCCAGCACTCCCAGCGCTGCAAGAGCCGCCAATACCACCCAGATAGTTTGAAAAGCATCTTCGTACGCCCCTATCACGCGATGCATGATGTCCTCTGGCACTTGAATCTCCCTGAGCCGTGGTATGAAACCTACAGCTTGGCTGGCATCCTCCAATACGGCAACTTGCTCAGGTAGAGTCTTGAGCGAAGAGAGACTTTTGTGAAACATGGAGCTGAAGACAGTTGAACAGATAGTCAAGCCTATCAATGAGCCTAAGAAACGCGCTGTGACAAGCATCCCTACAACCTGTCCTTCGTCATCAACCTTTTCCACGTTTGCAAGGACTGCTATCAGTCCCGCCATCATAGATATGCCAAGACCAGCTCCAAGTAAAGCTTGAAAGGCATAAGCGTGAGCTCTACTGCTTTCAGCGCCTATTGTGTAGCTCAGGCCCAGGAATATGGTTGTAAGGGTCCAGCCGGTCCACAATGCAAGACGATATTTGCGAATCCGATCAATCAACACAGAGACAATGATGCTCATCGCGACGACTAGGCAACAGAGAGGTAGAGTTGACTTGGCGGCTTCGAGAGGGGTTTCGAGGTACACCGCCTGATAAAACAGCGGGAGATAAAGGAGTATAGAGTTCAGTAATGAGCCGTAGACAAAGCCGCCCATACACCCCGCGATAATGGAGATGTTCTTCGCGGCTTGGTATGGAATCATAGGCGCTGCCGACCTTCTCTCAATGAATCCAAACGGAATAAGCAGGAGCAATCCCGTCAGGAGCGGAACGAGGGTCTGCCAGGATCCCCAAGGATACAGTGTCGTGGCCCAACTCAGTGGCAGTGCTATCGTTGTCCCAATAATTGTGAAAAGGGCGAATCCACACCAGTCAAGTTTACGCATATTCTCCATGAGGTTACCCTCGATAGGCGTCAAGTGGAGAAAGAAGAAGGTCAACACACCAGTGATGCCCACTACAACCAGATTTATCCAGCCAAGCCATGGCCACCCAATATGTTGGGCAAATACACCTCCAATGAATGGCCCAGTCACAGCTCCTACCGCATTTGCCATGGACATGACGCCCAGCCAGCGTGGCCGCTCCTTCATGGTTGTAATGTCGCAGAGGATGATAGATTGTAAGACGTCTAGTCCGCCAGCACCCAGACCTTTGATTAGTCGGCCGGCAACAACAATGTTCATATCTTTGGCGGTAGCAAAGACAACGGAGCCAATGCCAAAGAGTATGACAGAAGCGTAGAGAGTAGGTTTACGGCCCACAACATCTGAGATACTGGCATAGATGGGCTGAGTGACGGCTATGCCGAGGATAAAGGCTATGCTGGCCCAAAAAGACTGGAAATTTGTTGCATGCAGCTGTTCGGCAATGACCTGTGCGAGTTCGTGTTAGCCATGGCCACCGCTGATAAGTTGGCGTTTGGAGAGTGAGACTCACGGGCAAAGCCAAAGATAGGGCTGTCGCATCCCAAGCCACGATTAGAGCGATCATGGTTAACATCAATATCGACAGGTAGAATGAATGATGCTTTTTTGCTTGAGGCCTTGTGACATCATCTTCCCGCGTCGCAGATAGCTCCGGCTGTGCAGCAGAATAGTCATTGCTGCTTGAGGCTTTCTCCATGCTGAAATTCAGACAATGTCAACCTTTGGGGATGGAAGAAGGGAAAATAGAGTGATGTGGGGACAGAGGAAACGGGGACGTGGGGGAAGCGTGTTAGATTACTATGGTGAAGGGGCGCTAGTGCTAGCGTTGCTGTGCCTCAAACAACAAGTCCTTTAGGAAGGTAGCATCTTCATGTGCTTACTACATTTACATTGCACAGTGAGATATGTAGAAGTCGGATTACTATCTCGCTTACGCATGCATCTTTACTCCGATTACTCCGATTACTCCCATGCTATCGTCATTTCGTAATAAGGATTACGCTTTGTAGTAAGCATAATCGCAATGATACAGTGAGACTGATTATCATTACCCCCAGTCTTAATCATGATGCAGGGGTTCCTCGAAGCCACGGACTCTCCATGGCGTTGCGATGCAGAGTGTCTATACCAAGGGTCCGGTAATAGTGACCTTGGTCCGTCTCCCATCACAACGCTGGGAAATCAGGACAGAGAAGGGTCTCTCTATCCACACCACAAGCAATCATTTCATTTTGAAAGATTCAGACTATCATGAATAGTCACTCCAACGGGATCAATGGGTCTGAGGACCATGTGCACTTTGGCCAGGATAATGTGACTGAGTCGAACGAGGTTACGGGCATCCATATTGCAGACACGCCGGCGAATGGTGTCAATGGACACGGTGCAAATGGCCATGGAGCACACGGCTTCGGAGCAAACGGCCTCGGAACAAATGGACACGGAGCAAATGCCAAGATTAACAACAGCAAGACGAATGGAGAAAGCGAGCAAAAGGGTGCAAAGGCTCCACCTATTGCTATCTGTGGCATGGCATGTCGACTCCCTGGAGGAGTGCATTCACCGTCGGAGTTATGGGACTTTCTCCACGCCGGTCGGGATGCTCGCGATACGGTGCCAGCCTCGCGGTACAATATGTCGGCTTACTATTCGCCGGATAGAAAGCCTGGTACCATTGTCACCCAGCAAGGGTATTTTCTCGATTCCACCAACGACCTGGCGGCACTGGACACGTCATTTTTCTCCATGCCTCGCAAGGAAGTAGAGGCACTGGATCCGCAGCAGCGCTTGCTTCTCGAAGTGGCGCGCGAGGCCCTGGATGATTCGGGCGAGACAGGGTGGAAGGGGTCCAACACTGGCGTTTACGTTGGCAGCTTCGGTCAGGATTGGTATGATACGTACTATCGAGACACGGAGGTGCATGGCATCTATCAAGTGCTTGGCCCACATGACTTCATGGTGTCGAATCGCCTGTCCCACGAGCTGGACTTGCACGGGCCCAGTATGACGGTGCGCACAGCTTGCTCTGCCTCTCTCGTGGGGGTCAACGAGGCATGCATGGCCATGGCGCGCGGGGACTGCACGGCGGCCATTGTGGGTGGCAGCAGTATCCTCATGGCCCCGTCGTCGACGGCTGCAGCGTCCGAGACAGGCGTGCTCAGTCCCGAAGGCTCGTGCAGTACCTTTTCCGCCAATGCAAACGGCTTCGCGCGCGGTGAGGCTATTGTTGCAATCTACCTCAAGCCGTTAGCCAGCGCCATTCGGGACGGGAACCCCATCCGCGCTGTTATTACCGGCACTGCAACAAACCACAACGGGCGCACACCCACCATCTCGAGACCCAGCGCCTCAGGCCAGGAGACGCTCATTCGCCAAGCATACCAGAATGCGGGCATTGCCGCTGCTGACATTGCCCAAACGGGCTACTTCGAGTGCCACGGCACCGGAACACGGACCGGCGACCCGATCGAGGCAGCTGGCGTGGCGGCCTGTTTCGGCAAGGCAGGCGTGCATATCGGCTCAGTCAAGCCGAATTTCGGTCATGCCGAGGGTGCGGCGGGCCTGGTCAGCATGCTCAAGGCTGTTCTTGCCTTGCAGCACCGCACCATCCCCCCAAGCATCAAGTCCCTGCCGCCTAACCCGCTGATCCCGTTCAAGGAGGCCAATCTCGTCGTCCCCACCGAACCCACACCCTGGCCTGAAGGTCGTCATGAGCGTGTGAGCGTGAACAGCTTTGGTTTTGGCGGTTCCAATGCCCACGTGATCGTCGAGTCGGCAGCAAGCTTCAATTTGACACCCAAGTCCAAGTCTGAGACAAGTGCCCAAAGCCAACGAGACGCGCCGCAGCTGTTGCTCTTCTCTGCCAACACCCCGCCATCTCTCGACGTCATGGTCGACAGGTACAAAACCTTCCTAGACAAATCCCCACACTTGCTTCCCCATGTCGCCTACACCCTTGCCAATAAGCGAGAGCACTTGCCGCATCGAGCATTTGCCGTCTCCACAGTCGACAAGATAGCGCCGGCTACACCCGCACTCTCCACCTCCACCTCTACCTCCACCAAACCCCAAGCCCAAGCCCAAGCAAATGCACCTTCTCTGGTCTTCGTCTTCACCGGCCAGGGCGCCCAATGGGCACGCATGGGCTATGAGCTCCTCCGTTCAAACGCCAGCCCCGTCTTCAGCAACACAATTGCTTCCCTCGACAAGTCCCTCCAAGATCTAGGCTCGCTGGCCCCATCATGGTCCATTGCCCAAGAGCTCAGCAAACTTGCTCGCAAAAGCCGTGTCGATGAAGCTGAGTTCTCCCAGCCGTTGTGCACAGCCCTGCAGATTGCCTTGGTGGACACCTATGCTTCGATAGGCATCCGCCCTGCCGCAGTGCTTGGCCACTCCAGCGGCGAGATTGCTGCGGCATACGCTGCCGGTGGTCTCACTGCCCGCGAGGCTATTGTTGTGGCTTTTCTGCGTGGCCTGGTCACCACCCGCCAGAGTCGCAAGGGCGCCATGGGAGCTTTGGGCATGAGTTGGGAGGCTGCCAAGGAGCATTTGGTCCCTGGAGTGGTGCTCGCATGTGACAACGCCCCAAACAGTGTAACAATATCCGGAGATGTGGCTCCGTTGGAAGAAACAATCAGCCGCATCAAGCAGTCGGGCTCTGGAGTCTTGGCCACTGTGCTCAAAGTTGAAAAGGCCTACCACTCACCACACATGCAAGAAATCGGCCCTGAATACTGCGAGAGCATGACCGACGCTGGCGTCGCGGGCAGTGTACATACTGTTCCATTCTTCTCAAGCGTTTCAGGCGAGTTTTTTGCCCCTGCCGCTAAGGGGAGATTCGGACCCAAATACTGGCAGACTAACCTAGAATGCCCCGTGTTGTTTACATCAGCCGTAGGCTCCGCTATCAAACATCACCTGGACTCTTCGAAGCAAATATTCTTAGAGATTGGCCCTCATTCAGCCTTGGCAGGGCCGCTTCGTCAAATCATCACCCATAACGCGAGCAGCGCGTCGTACACTTCCACTTTGACCCGACGAGCTGACAGCGCTGAAAGCTGGCTTTCCGCACTTGGCCGACTGTTTACTCACCATGTATCTTTTGATCTCCAGGCTTTGATGCCAACTGGCAACACTCTATCAGATCTGCCCACCTACCCGTGGGATCATAATCGCACTTACTGGAACGAATCTCGTATCGCCCGTGAGTGGCGTATGCGCAAATACGCACATCATGACCTTTTAGGTGCAAGGATTCCTGACACCACAGACCTCGAGCCCACGTGGCGGAACTTGCTGCATATTGAAAACGCTCCATGGCTACGTGACCATAAGGTCAGAGGGGATCTTATATTTCCCTTTGTTGCGTACATGGCCATGGCGGCTGAGGCTATCCGTCAGATTACTGGTGTTCAAGAAGCAGTTGAGTATCGAAACGTTGCCGCGCGTACCGCCTTAGTTCTCAACGAGGGTTCGCCCAAGGAGCTAGTGACTACCTTCCATAGGCTCCGTTTAACAGACTCACTGGACAGCGAATGGTGGGAGTTCAGTATCACGTCACACAACGGACACACTTGGACAAAACACTGCACTGGCGAGATTCAGGCTCGGTACGACAAAGACTGCAAATTTGATTCTGCTGTTGCGCACGACAATCTGCCACGGAAAGCTTCCACTAAGAAGTGGTATGATGCCATGGGCCGTGAGGGTTTCGACTTTGGTCATCACTTCAAGAGTCTTGATGATATCACGACGACGACAACGGGCCCACGAGGCGCTCGCGCCAAAGTTCGCAACAATTGGCATGGAGACGAGCAATTCTACTACCTTCACCCTGCCATAATAGACTCATGCTTCCAACTTTCCAGTATTGCTGCTCGACACGGACTCACACATGACTCGCGTCCAATTATCATCGCCAGCGTGGGCTCAATGATCCTCCGCCGCTCCAATGTCGACAATCTTGTAGTGTCTGCCACAGCTGAGTTGGACGGCAGTGGGGTTTGTGGGTCAAGCACGATCAGAAGTGGTGACGGATTCATTGTGAGTCTCTCAAATGTTCGTCTGGTATCCTTTGAGAATGGTCATGAGGAAGAAAGCGTACCTATTACTGCGCGAAATGAGTGGGTACCACATATTGAGACGGAAGCTCTCAGCACTCTTGTGAAACCTATACAAGAGAATCAAGCCTACGCTACAGCGTTAGATGAGCTTGCCGGCCTTGCAATTACTGCCTCTCGGAGATCGACTACTGGTCTCGATGTCATTCCAGAACTTCAACGATACAAAACATGGCTTGATGAGGCCTCATCGTGCTCGGAAGAATTGGCTGACGCCACTTTGACCGCGCGTATTGAATCTCTAGCAACATCTTTAGCTTCAACCTCCGTCGCTCACATTGCGAAAGCCATCGCCATGGTTAAAGATAATACACCAGCTATCCTTTCCGGTCAAAAGAAGGCTGTCGAGATTCTGGATACAGAAGACAGTCTTGGAAAATTCAACCAATTCTTACGGGAATTTGACGGATCGGCATTTTTCAGCCGCCTTGGCCACAATAAGCCCAACCTTCGGATTCTGGAGCTAGGCGCAGGAACCGGCTCTGCCACGGCTGGCATTATTAGGGATCTGACACGGCCAGACGGCCAGATGCTTTTCTCGCAGTACGTGGTGTCTGACCCATCCTTTGGCATGGTTGAAGCTCTAAAGACGCGTTTCACCCGCGTTCCCAACATGAGTTTTGAGATGTTCGACATCGGGGTTAAGGCTGAGCTCCAGGACTTCAGTGAGAGTGAGTTTGATCTTATCATTGCAGCAGGAGTGGTTCACAGTACGCCCAAGCTTTTTGATTCACTGGTCCGGATCCGCCGGCTTCTTGCTCCATCAGGAAGACTTGTGCTGCAGTCCTTGCGGCCCGGTCTGTCCTGGTCCAAATATGTTCTTGGCCTTTTCCCCGATTGGGAGATAGGTCTCGATGACGGTAGAGCTGGCGAGCCATATGTCGATCTGAAGACTTGGCAAGAGAGACTAGTGGCGGCAGATATAGAGGCTGCATTCGATCCCGACGAGTCAAGTCATTTATCTCAAGTTATCGTAGGGAGGCCCCGTCGCGACCACCTTCCAGCGAAGAAGGTCACTATTCTTTCGGACCTTTCCGATGAAACGTCCAGGTCTCATCCAATTACCGAAGAACTACTCTCACGTGGATATGAGATTTCTTACTCCTGCCTTACAGATATGCCTGTGTCCTGTCAGGATATTATCGTTCTTCTCGATCGGCACAAATCCTTCCTTGAAGACCTGCATGCCACCAAATTAGAGCAGCTGCGAACCTTCATCGACAGCATGTCTAATTCAGGGCTTTTATGGATCACCCAACCTTCCAAGAGCCAAGGTGCAGATCCAAGCTTCGCTCAGATTCACGGCCTGGCCCGATGTATCCGTTCAGAGCTAGGTATTGCTTTTGCTACCTGTGAGGCAGATGACATGGAGACCCTTGGCGGATGTCAAGCGGTTGCTGATGTGTTCCGGATCTTCTCAGAACGCGTCGATGATGGAGATATTGAGCCTGATTTCGAATACACTATTGACAAGGGTATGATACGAATCAATAGATTCTTCCCAGTCTCCTCTGCAGGTGAGGATGCAGTCTTAGAGACAACCAAAGATGCAAGATTAGTCATCGGTCAGCAAGGACATCTAGATAGCCTCCATTGGGAAGGCGAGATTGTGAGGGAACCCGAAGGAGATGAGGTGCAAGTAGAGATTCATGCCACAGGTCTAAACTTCCGGGTAAGTCATCTGTCCGCCAACTCTTTCTTTTTTAAATACTAACAATATCTCTAGGATGTCTTGGTAGCAATGGGAATCATTGATATAATCCCTGTTTCCATAGGCTATGAGGCAACGGGAATCGTGCGTCGCGTCGGGCCGCAGGTAGAGAGGCTCAGCGTTGGAGACAGAGTGGCCCTTTTGGGAACTCATCTCTTTGCATCGACCGTTACAACAACGGAGAAGCTGTGCGGGAAGATACCAGATGAACTTGACTTTACCAACGGAGCTTCCATGCCGCTGGTCTTCGCTACAGCCATCTATTCGCTCATCAACGTGGGTGCGCTTACACAAGGCCAGGTATGTAGAACTTGTCCCTGAAAGACACAATGATACTGACAGGGATTGCAGTCTGTTCTCATTCACAGCGGCTGTGGTGGTGTAGGTCTAGCTGCAATTCAACTTGCCCGCATGATAGGCGCCGAAATATACACCACTGTCAGCAGTGAGAAGAAGAGAGAGTTTCTTGTACGCGAATTCGGAATACCAAGGGATCACATCTTCAACTCGCGGAGTATGAGCTTTGAACAAGACTTACTGCGAGAAACTAAAGGCAAGGGTGTTGACCTGGCGCTCAACTCGCTCTCAGGCGAGTTGCTACATGCAACCTGGCGCTGCATAGCCAAATGGGGCACTTTGGTAGAAATTGGTAAGCGTGACTTGCTTGGCGCTGGGAAACTGGACATGGAAGTGTTCCTTGCCAATCGAAGCTATCGATGTGTCGACGTTGGCGACATGTGTACGCAGAGGCCTGAGATGATCAGTCGGTGAGTTTTGGTCGTTGCTTACATGATGAACCGGGCTAATATGGCTGAAAGCTTGATTGAATCCACAATGGACTTGTTCCGCGATGGGCATATCAAGGCCATCGCAATCGACCGGGTTTTCTCTGGCTCCAAGATGCCAGAAGCATTCCTACACATGCAGCAGGGCAGCCACATTGGCAAAGTTGTGTTTAAATTTCGCAACCCGGCAGGTGGGGAACTTCAGCTTGGGCAAATCCAGCCTATGAATACCTCTCCTACAGCCGTTCTTGATAGTTCAGCTTCGTATCTGCTCGTCGGTGGTCTTGGTGGTCTAGGCCGTTCCGTAGCGTTGTGGATGGTCCAGCACGGAGCCAGATATCTCACGTTTCTGTCCCGCAGCGCTGGAGAAAGCAACAAAGACAGACCCTTCGTTGAGGAGCTTCGGAGCATGGGTTGCGAGGCGCATCTAGTACGTGGAAGCGTCACTAAAAAGGAAGACGTTGCGCGAGCTGTTGCTGAGTCGCCTCGCACACTCAAAGGAATACTCCAGATGACAATGGTGCTCCACGACCAAGCCTGGTCGAAGATGACAATCGACGAATGGAACGGAGCGACGGCCCCCAAGGTGGTGGGGACCTGGAATCTCCACAACGAGACCCAGTCGCTAGACCTCGAATTCTTCATCCTGTTCAGCTCACTCTCCGGCATCGTCGGCCAGCCCGGCCAAGCCAACTACGCCAGCGCAAACACCTTCCTCGACGCATTCGCCACGTTCCGCACAACCAACGGCCTCACCTGCACGTCGCTCAACATCGGCGCTGTCGAAGGCGTCGGCTACTTCGTCGACGACGACGAACTGCTCAAGAAGATGAAGGCAATCGGCTGGCGCGCAGTACAAGAAGCCGAGCTCCTAGACGTGCTGGGAACTGTCATGCGACGACCATCACATCTCGCATCTTCGAATGCCAGGCCCCAACAACAACAACTCCAAGGGTCGGTGGTGGCCGACAATCTCGTCAACCCTTACAACACACTCATCGGCATCGCCCCCATCATCCCCCTCAGCAGCCCAGACAGCAGCGCCAAACTCCGCAAGGACGTCCGCATGTCCGTCTTCCGCAATATGCGCGCCAACACCAGCGGCTCTGCATCCTCCACCGACAGTCTCCGCCACTTCCTCGCCTCTGCCAAAGCCAACCCTGAGGCGCTCCGGAAGCCCGAATCCGTCGTGCTGCTCGCGCAAGGAATCGGCAGGAAGCTGATGGGCCTGGTGTTGAGGGGTGGCGATGACGAGGTGGATGTGACCATGTCGCCGGCGCAGTTGGGCTTGGATTCGATGGTTGCGGTGGAGATGCGGGCGTGGTGGAAGCAGGTGTTTGGGTTGAATTTGAGTGTGTTGGAGATGGTGAGTATAGGGAGTTTGGAGGCGTTAGGGAAGTTGGCCGCCGAGGGGTTAGGGGCGATGTATGGCGCGTGAAAGGTGAACTGGACTGGAGAGTTTTGAGGTTAGTAGGTGTGTTTGAGCGTGATGAGCTGCAAAGTATTTTTGATGGTGGTTTTGTGGAGGATTCATGCTGGTAAGCTGGTTTATGCTCGTGTGGCGAAATAGCTAAAGCTTATAGGGGGTATCACGGCAAATAGGGTGTATGGTTAGGTGGTGTCCGTGACTGTTGCTTGGGACTGGAATATGTTATGTTTCAACTCTATGATTACTCTTTTCTTTTTAAATTCCTAGAGTATACTACTTTAGAACGATCTTACCACAACAGTGTATTCATTTTACGGAAGCGTTGTGTTGCCAGATAAATATACTAGTCACAGGAGGCTAAAGCACATTATGGTAGAAGGCTTTTTTGAAAATTTAGACTTGGATACTGTATGTAGTGCGACCATAAGCAGAAGATCGATTTGTCGATATCCTCTGGTCCGGGCCGTGCGGAAGGAAGTCTCAATCAATCAATTTCTTTCTAGCTACTTTGATAAAGCTAGAAATGTAACTCCCCCATAGCTCACAGCATACTCGTACAGCCCCATTTCATGACGCCCACCATAGCTATTCCAGCATATATACCATCCAATTCACGACCTTACCCTTTCCAACATACATACCCATCCACACCACACCCCAATTCCAAAATCTACAATCCGCCCTCCTTATCCTTATCCGCAGCTACAGCATCCCTCACCTCCCCCATCGACCTAACCTGCCTCCCCTGCGCATCAAAATTCTCCCCCCCCAACCACCCCTCCAACACCCTTTTATTCCTTACCCACTCGCTATCCAGCATGCTCAGACAATGCGAATCCCTCGCTGTCCCCCACCGCGTCACGTTATCTTTCCGCAACACCCCTTCGTGCACGTACCCCAACCGCTCCAAGTGTCGCCGCGACGCCACGTTCGCTGTGCTGCATCTCACCCAGACGCGGGCGTACGAGCTTGGTGTTTGTGATGATTCGAAGAGGTGGCGGAGCAGTAGGTAGGAGGCTTCGGTGGAGGCGTAGGTGCGTTGTAGTGCTGGGGAGAATAACACGTCGTCCAGGGCGATGGTGTGCGAAGGTGGGTGGAGGCGGTAGCCGATGAGGCCTAGGACGGAGGTGTCGGCGTGGGTGTCGGCGTCAGGTAGAGATAGTGGGGATGATGGGGGGCCGAGATGGTTAGGACAGGCTTTGATGGCGAAGATGGTGAGGTCGGGGTTAAGGTCCAGGTAGCTGAAGATGTGGGTGGAGAGCGCTTCGGCGGTGGAGACGTAGGGGAAGCCGGTGATGTGGTCGACGAGGTGGTTGGTTTGGGGGAAGCCGAGATGGGTGAAGAGGGAGGGGATGGCCTGGGGGGTGATGGGTTCGAGGGTTACGCGTTGACCGGAGATTGGTGGTGGTGGTGATGGCGGAGTTATGGGCTGGGTTGAGTTCGGCGAGTCGAGACCTGGTGGGTTCTAGTAGATGGAGATTTAGGGAGATCATGTGTGTAGTATGGGACGTACCGTTGCTCCCTTTTCTTGGCATTGTGAAGCACGTGACGTTTCAAGACACTGATGATTGAACGAGGTTGCACTGATCATAACGGTTGAGGGGCAACAGTCGAGCTACAACTCAATGTATGTATATACGTCGAGACATCTCGCACGTACAAATCTTATGAATATGCTTGTACGGAGTACAGAGGATTGTGTCCTAGCCTTTGGTCGCAGGGGACAGGAGTATCTGACCAATGCTGAATTGTCCGTTGGCTGTGGACCCAGTAACTACACATGCCGCTTCTTCTTGTCGTACTAAGCAATGCTAGCATGCGAAGTTGTCTTAGTAGACAAGTGTAAGTAGGCCAGGGGATAGTAAGCTAAGAGAATGTACTAAGCGTGGGACCAGTCTCTTTCGTAGTGCATAGTAAGCTAGACGCTCCTACCACTACATGAAAGTACTCATGCATTCGCCATCCTGGCTCTGGGTCAACTCAAAAACCCGAAGTTAAGCACCGACTTCTGCGTACTCGAGTAGTAAGCCAGCATAATCTCAGAACCTTGATAGACCAAAATAGTCAGATCTCAACCTATCTGAATCCCACCCCGCCTATACACTTTTGCTTAGTGTCTTAAAAAATAATTCTATACCTGTGAAAAAAAAAAATGAGCACAGTGGACCCTGCTTACGGTAATTTTGGGTTCTTCAGTTGGCCCGGAGTGTGGATCCTAGTAAGCAGACATCACCAAAGCTCCACACCGAAGACTTCGTTTCCAGCGACAGAAGTAATATTCCATCTTTTGAGAATCTTGCATGGTGAAATTGGCAAGCGCCAAAATCCCCAGTTCAAGACGAGAGGATGCTGATGACTTGGACCGTGCCACATCATCTCAAGTATCGACACCGAACAAGATTCAACACCAAAGTTACCAGCTCGAGCGCGGCTGACACCAAAATATCCAACATGTACGCAAACACTATGCTCACGAAATGGCTCCAGGACCTCAAGCCCCGGGCTGCTGCCATGAAGGATAAACCAGCTTTCTATCGCAACCTCGAACAAGCCATGGATATCAGCCGCACGGATCACAACATCCAGACCGCCAAGCCTCGCTGGGACGACTCCGTTCTAGACTTTACCTCAAGTGACTTCTTGTCCTTTAGCCGCTCTGGCCGCATCCGCGAAGCTTTCTTGGAGGAGATAGATCGCCATGAGAATTTCCGCCTTAGCGCCTCAGGCTCTCGCATTCAGTACGGAAATTATGACTATCTTATCCAAATGGAGCAGGAGATCGCAGAGTTTCACGGAGCGGAAACAGCATACATTGCACATTCGGGCTATATGGCCAACGCCGGGACGGTAGCGGCTGTACCTTTGCCTGGTGATGCGATTGTATACGATGATGCTGTCCACGCAAGCACTCACGAAGGCATGAAGCTTTCGCTGGCTTCGCATCGGTTGGCCTTCCGACACAATGACCCAGACTCTCTCCACGAGGTTCTAAGCTCACTCAAGGACTCACATCCGGCCTTTGGAGCAGGGAAATGCTCAATTTTGATCGCGGTGGAGTCTGTCTACAGCATGGATGGAGACATCGCACCGCTCGAAGAGTTGGTGCAGGTGGCCAAAGAGCTATTTCCCCTTGGCAACGCTCAATTCATCATTGATGAAGCTCATAGCAACGGCGTTATTGGACCAAAGGGCAGAGGGCTCGTAAACATGCTGGGACTAGAAAAAGAAATGGCTATTCGCATTCACATGTGCAGCAAAGCCTTGGGATCGACTGGAGGTAAATCAATGCTCCCCAATAATACACATAGGACGTGAGAAAGGCTGATTGTAGCGAAACAAGGCATCATCTTATGTAACAAAACTATTCGTGATCGATTGATCAGCAACGCTCGTTTCGCCGTCTACAGCGGTGCGCCATCATTTCCAATGGTGGCATGTATGCGCGCTGGATACCGGTTATTGGAGAACGGTGAAGCCGAAAAGGTACGACTCTTTGCTTGCTACTCGTTTGATCCCTTGCAGATTTGGAAAAGGGACAACTTGCTAATCAAGCCCAGGGAATGGAACAGATTCAAAAAGGTGTCAGGCACTTTCTTCAAACCATCACCTCACACCCCGTATGGGATGAAGCAATGAGCAAAGGCATTCTCAACATACCTATCGTTGAGGATGCCGAGGACATGGAGGTCCTCACTCATATCGTGCCAGTATTGACGCGTACGAAACACGAACTCTTCCTCTTCTTCCATCTGATGCTCAACAATATCAACGCATATTGTATCTCTTTTCCTATCGTTCCCAAGGGGCAAAGTCGTGTACGTTTGGTGTTCCATGCCCACAACGGCCTAGACCAAGTGGAGAAGCTGGCAAATGTCATCTGCGAGTGGGCGCAAGAGATGTTGGACATTGAAGCTGGCAAGACTGAAAACACTATTCCAAGCGCAGCGCGTCAGGTTTATGCCATGAAGATTTGAGAGAGTTGGCTTCGGGGGGAATGAGTGGGTTCTTGTGATGAGATATAGTATGATTAAGAGCAGGAAATATAACCAAAAGCTTTCAATTGATCCATTTCTATGCCAAGATGAATCATGGTAGATTTAAGCTACTCATTCTTCTCTAGTATGTTGTTTCTCATTACACTGGCGGATGATCAGTGCACAAATTCCGAAGGCTGCTCTGCTTTTAGACACTTTTGAACGGAGTGCTATCAAGTCAATAATGCAGGAAATATTAGCAACGTTCAATGCTACGCCTTTTGGAGAAGCCATGGCGGGATCTGGATTTGAGTGCGCAAATGAGTTGTTTGATGGTGATTACCCCGCCAAGTCAGACGGTAGTAATACTACGTTTACACTTAGTGAGTTATAGTAAGCTAAGATAATTGGTATAGCGGTGAGCAGTCAGAGTGAAGATGGTGTTTCCAAGGTTTCGTGGCCCAGATAACTAAAGTAAAACTAACTCTTTCGGAAAAGAGGGAAATGACCTTCCTTAAGAGAGAGATCTGAAACAGGCAATCCTAGAAAATCATTACTCAACTAAGCACCATGTCTTCGCCGTTGCGGATTGCTATCCTCGAGTGTGATGAATTTGTCGAAGAGGTCAAAGAAAAGTGTGGTAGCCTTCGTAATCTCTATACACGATATCTCGAGAGCAGTGCGTTGAAACTCGAAGAGAGCGGTCTCTACAAGCGACCAGATATCAAGTTTTCCTACTATGATGTGGTACAAAAGCAAGAATACCCAGATATTGGAAATATCGATGCAGTTTTATTGACAGGTAGCCGTAAGTGACTGACAAGAACGCCTCGCCCAGTCGCTTGTAGAGTAACACGACTGACTCTATGTTCTTGGTGTAAGGATATGACTCTTTCACCTCAGGTCTGAATAACTGGATACTCAAGCTCGTCGACTTCATCAAAGCAATACTGCAAGACCAAAGGCGGGTCCGAATCATGGCTGTCTGTTTTGGACACCAAGTCATTGCACGCGCACTTGGAGCTATGCCGGAGAGAAGTGATGCTGGTTGGGAAGTCTCTGTTACTCCCTTGTCACTAACGGAACGAGGGAAGCAAGTCTTCGGACAGGACTCACTAGTATGTCAAGTTAAATCTGTGAAGATACGGCTCCTGAGATTGTGGGAATCTTAATGACAATTTCCTCATAGGTGCTCCATCAAATGCATCGCGACGTTGTTCCGTATTATCCCTCGTTTGTTGAGAAGCTTGGTCACTCGAAGATCTGCGAGGTACAAGGAATGTACGTCAAGAACCGTATCATTACCTTGCAAGGACATCCGGAGTATAACGAAAAGATTGCAAACATACTGCTCGATCGAAGACGCGGAACATTGATGGATGACACGACGTACCAAGATGGAAAGAAACGAGCAAATGACTCCCATGATGGCTTGACGGTTGGGTTTGCCTTTTTAAGATTCTTGTTAGAAGAATAATCTATAAGTGTCGTATTCGAACGAGAGGCAGTAACTTGAAGATCCCTGCTAGCAGTTGTGCACAGAGTTTCTGAATAATAAATAACTTGTGTGAACGGACTGGTTAGCTGTATCTCTAGAGAAACACTTGGCATTTCAATACACGTTGACCTCTATTATGTATTTTCGGTGTTTGGCAGAAGAACACGAACATTAGGCTAGTATGCTTTAATGTAGCTGCTTCTTCGTCTAAAGTAGTCCGCTATGTGTAGCCTAAAATAATCTTAGCCTAACTGTCACAAGACGCTACGAGCACGTGTTTAAGAGCTTACAAGAAGCGTTAATTGTAGCTACGTACGATATCTGGTGTAATACAAGACGTTGCGTAAGGAACAGAGCAGAATGAGAAGCGGTGAAAGATATAGCTAGGGCCGTGCGCGGCGCTCAGGCCTTAGCTGGCCAATTAACAGATTTCGGGTGGACTGGCGAGCCACCCGAAATCTGTGCGTTCAGGTGTTAAGGGAACCACGGTGGTTACCGTAACAGTACCCCCCTCTTACTCTTAAGCTCCTGTGAGTAGAGATCATGTCATGTAGTGTAGCAGTTTAGTTGTCTTGCATCACTTCGGGTGGCTCCAAGATGTCAGAAAACCTCTCATGGAAACCGGCTACGGCTGCGTTATCCTTCAGGTCTGCAGCGGGTTCCCAGGTCATCTCATCATAGCCTGTCCATTTAACGTAGTATTCATGTCGTCTACGACGCTTATTGTAACGGAGGTCTTCGATACTCTCTACAAAGTATTCTTCTTCGTTGTCTACAACAACAGGTTCGGGCGGTAGGACAAGTTGTCCTGGCAGGTACTCCTGTTTTGGCGCAGCAGGCCGGAGTAAGGACACATGAAATACTGGGTGTATCTTCATGGAATCGGGCAGTTCGAGACGGTACGCGTGGGAAGAGATCTTTTTAGCTACTCGGTACGGGCCTAGATTCTTCCAATCAAGCTTCTTAGATGCCCGTTGCGTTCGGATGTTACGCGCGTCTAACCATACCTCGTCGCCAATTTCGTATGTTGGCGCAGGTAGGCGTTTGCGGTTCGCGTACTCTTGCTGTAGGGCTTGAGCCCATGTCATTTCTTCACGGATGAACTCAGTAATGTCGCGCATCTTATCCACCATCGCGTTCACCTCACGAGCTTGGAGAGCTTGGTAGGCGGGACGTGTCTTGTTGGTAGGCGGCTCGAAGCCCATTCGGGGATTCTGACCGTAGCAGGCCATCATCGGGGTTACTCCAGTAGACTCAGAGACGGTATTATTGGCTTCGAACTGAGCGGTGGGGAGCCATTGAACCCAATCGTCTTGTTGATAGTTCGTATACGCGCGTAGGACTTGTTCCATCGCAGCATTAGCGTTCTCTGTTTGTCCATCTGTCTCAGGATGGTAGCCGGTTGAGAAGCGCGGGTCTATCCTTAGTTGAGCACACAGCTCATCATGGAAAGCAGATACGAACTGTCTGCCACGGTCCGAGACTATCGTATCAGGGAGGCCATGATTACACCAGACGTAGCGCAGGAACATACGTGCTACGTCGGAAGCCTCCATCTTATCGCAGGGGATCATGTATCGGTACTTAGACAGGCGGTCTACTACAACCATGATGTTCTTGCATCCTTCGGATTCTGGCAGGTCAACGACGAAGTCGACAGAGACGTCTGCCCAACGTCGTTCAGGTACGGGTAGCGGCTTCAGCAGGCCGTGGTACTTCTCACGAGAAGCCTTCGAGCGTCGGCAGACGTGGCAGCAAGAAACATAACGGCGAACGGTCTCAAACAGTCGGGGCCAGTAGTATTCCCGCTGGATTAGTTCAAGTGTTTTCCCTCGGCCAGGGTGGCCTCCTGATGGGGAATCGTGGACTGTTCGCAGGATCTTGATCTTAAGTTCGTCGCTGTCAGGTATCACTAACTTGTTGCGATAGTAGAGGCGACCCTCACGGTCTTCGCAGTCACCAAGTGTAACTGTCTTAGACCGTCGTGCGCCGTCGCGCAACAGCTTCAGCGTTTCTCGAATAAACAGGTCTTCAGGTAGCCCATCGCCTGTAGGACGGTACTCATCGTCGATAATCTGCTGGATAGATCTATCTGTCTCTACCAGTCTAATTGCTACGGGTTCTCGAAACAGGTCAGGACGCAGTAGGGTCTGTTTCCGAGCTTGTCTCGCTTCCTCCTGAGCAAGCTGGTCCTGAGAGCGACGGGTAAGAGCGTCAGGCTTCTCACCGTGCTTGCCGGGTCGGTATGTAATCGTAAACTGGAATCGTGATAGGTATTCAGACCAGCGGGCTTGACGGTGGCTCAGTTGCTTCGTAGTGGCGAAGTACTGCAGGTTCTTATGGTCGCTGAGCACGTCGATAGGGAAGGCAGCGCCTTCTAATTCTGGTCTCCACTGTTCGAAACAGCGAACAATAGCAAGTAGCTCCTTGTCGTAGATCTCGTAGTTGTTCTCAGCGGGGTTCATTCTTTTCGAGTAGTACGCGACCGGACGGAGGACGCCGTCAGGTCCAGATTGGGACAGCACTCCTGCTGTAACATAGTCGGAAGCGTCAGCTTCAATAACAATTGGCAGGTCTGGGTCGAAGTGTCGTAATATTGGTGCAGTAGTGAAGGCATGCTTCAAAGCATCAAAAGCCTTCTGGCAGTCGTCATTGAAGAGGAACTTAGTATCCTTCTTAGTCAGCGCTACTAGCGGAGCAGCTAGGTAGGAGAAACCGTCTATAAACCGTCGGTAGAAGTTTGCGAAGCCTAGAAATGCTCTGACGTCCTTAACGTTGTTTGGGTACTCCCAATTTACAATAGCTTGCACCTTCTTCGGATCCATTTGTATTCCGTCTACTCCAACTACGTAGCCAAGGTAAGTCACCTCAGTCTGGTGAAACTCGCATTTGTCTACGTCTAGTTGGAGTCCAGCTTCTCGAAGGGCGTTTAGAACAGATCGTACATGCTCCTTATGTTCATGGAGATTCTCACTGTAAATCAGGATATCGTCGAGGTAGGCCGTGCAGAAGACGTCTAGGAACGGGCGTAGTACATCGTTCACGAAGTGTTGGAACGTGCTCGGCGCATTAGCTAGTCCAAAGGGCATCACTAGATATTCGAACAACCCATATCGAGTGCGGAAGGCTGTTAGCCATTCGTCTCCTTCAGCAATTCTCAATCGGTTGAAGGCAGCAATAATATCGAGCTTCGTGTAATACTTGGCCTTGCTCAGTCGGCTCAAGGTCTCTTGGATCAACGGGATTGGGTAACGGTTCTTAACAGTGGCGGCGTTTAAGGCACGGTAATCGACGCAGAAGCGTAGTCCGCCGCCGGGTTTCTTAACAAAGATAACAGGGGAGGCGACTGGGGAGGAGCTTGCGCGAATGAATCCCTTCGACAGGTGATCTTCGAGGTACTTGCGCAACACTTTGAGTTCGTTCTGAGACATGCCATACAGTGGGCCGAACCCGTGCTGTTTGCCGGGTATTAGTTTAATCTTGTGGTCGTAAGGCCGTCGTACAGGCAGCTTATCAGACTCTTCTCGTGAAAAGACGTCTATCAGGTCATGATACTCCTGAGGGACTTTCGTGAGTGGATCGGTGTGCTTCTTCTCAGTTAGTGCCTTGTCAATGTCGGCAATGCTAACAGCACAGATTTCATAGCCTCTTTTGCGTGCTAGGCTCATAAACGGAGCAGCACCTATACAGTAGATGTCGAGTTCTGGCTGCAACTTCGACGAGTCGTTCTGTTCGTCTGTTGGCTGGGCACTATCAGGGTCGGGTACAGGTTCGGGTACAAGTTCGTTCAACTGGCGCTTCATCTTAGGTAGCCAGTGGTCGTGCCGTTGTCGTGGCACATGCTTAAGTTTTGGGTTTTGAGGGTAGGCTTCATCATGCTTGTTGTTGCTCCACTGTACCTCAGGAGAGAGAACAGGAGTTCTAGTAGTTCTAAGACAACGTTCTTTACATCGTTGAGCGGTGAAGATTAGTCCTTCCTTGTCGTAGTCTAGGTTTACTCGGTGCTTGTTCATCCAGGGTTGGCCAAGTATTAAATTATGACGGCCGGTGTTCGTGACGTAGAGTCGTATAGATTCGTTGTGATTGTTGTGTTGTAGCTTCAGGGTGACAGTGTGAGACACTTCTCCACCGTCGAGTACAGTTCCAGTAAATCCAGTCGGGTAAATAACGTAGGGCAGCGGGTCTTGACGTAGTTTCAGGTTGCGCGCGAGGTCTCTGTGAATGTATCCAATACCAGTAGCTCCAGTGTCAACTAAGGCTTTAAGGTTACTCTTAACACCGCCTTGTTGAACCGTACAAGGTATTGTAATACAACGTTTCCAGGTATCAGTCTGAGGTTCAGACCAGAGTTCAGCAGAGATTCGGTGGGTGCGCAGTCCCGGGGAGCGACTTATCCTCGGGACGAGGCTTTTCCCTTCTGGGATCGGTTACGAGAACGTCGTCCTCGGGATCGCGAAGGTCGCGAGGATCCTGACGAGACAGAACTAGTAGACTGGGTACGGTCGTGGTCACGCGCGCTATAGGATCGGATATGCTGAGTAGGTAGGGGAGCGCTGCAATCCTTAGAGATGTGACCTTTCTGGTTGCACTTAAAGCAGCGGCCTTCCTTGATCCTCTTCTGTCGTTCGGAGGAACTAGCGGGGGCGTATGCTGACGCGTCTATCTCCATTGCGTCGGGGTGGGTTACAGGGTAGCGTCGTGGGCGGTCTGGTAGGAAACGGAGGTTATTATCGTACGTGGATATCAGGTTAGCGTAATCGTTAAGGTCGCTAGGCAAGGCTTCTCCAACCATTGCACGTTGAAGTTCGTGGGATAGAGAGTTCCGGAGGGACGCGATCAGGCCAATCTCATTTAATCCAGTGTCAGCAGCTAGTCGTCGGAATTCGGCGAAGTGGGAGGTGAAGCTGCGCTTTCCTTGACGGAGTCCGCTTAATCGACTAAGAGCTGTCAGCTCCTTGTTTGGGTCTCCGTAGGTAGCT